AAGACTAAATTTCACGATTTTTCATGCAAAAGACTATAGTTCACGATTTTTGATGGAAAAGACTAAATTTCACGATTTTTCATGGGAAAGACTATAGTTCACGATTTTTCATGCAAAAGACTATAGTTCACGATTTTTCATGGAAAAGACTAAATTTCACGATTTTTGATGGAAAAGACTAAATTTCACGATTTTTTCATGCAAAAGGCTGTAGTTCACGATTTTTCATGCAAAAGACTAAATTTAACGATTTTTCATGCAAAAGGCTATAGTTCACGATTTATGATGCAAAAGACTATAGTTCACGATTTTTGATGGAAAAGACTAAATTTCACCGTTTTTTATGGAAAAGACTAAATTTCACGATTTTTTATGCAAAAGGCTATAGTTCACGATTTTTGATGGAAAAGACTAAATTTCACGATTTTCATGCAAAAGGCTATAGTTAACGATTTTTCATGCAAAAGACTATAGTTCACGATTTTTCATGCAAAAGACTATAATTATCAATTTTTCATGCAATAGACTATAGTTCACGATTTTTCATGCAAAAGACTATAGTTCACGATTTTTCATGCAAAAGACTATAATTATCAATTTTTCATGCAAAAGACTATAGTTCACGATTTTTCATGCAAAAGACTATAGTTCACGATTTTTCGTGCAAAAGACTATAATTCACGATTTTTCATGTAAAATACTATAGTTCACGATTTTTCATGTAAAAGACTATAGTTCACGATTTTTCATGCAAAAGACTTTATTTCAAGATTTTTCATGCAAAAGACAATACTTCACGTATTTTCATGCAAAAGACCATAGTTCAAAATTTTTCATCCAAAAGACTATAGTTCACGATTTTTCATGCAAAAGACTATAGTTCACGATTATTCATGGAAAAGACTATAGTTCACGATTTTTGATGGAAAAGACTAAATTTCACGATTTTTCATGCAAAAGTCTATAGTTCACGATTTTTGATGGAAAAGACTAAATTTCACGATTTTTCATGCAAAAAGACTATAGTTCACGATTTATGATGGAAAAGACTAAATTTCACGATTTTTCATGTTAAAGGCTATAGTTCACGATTTTTTATGTAATAGACTATTATTCACGATTTTTCATGGAAAAGACTAAATTTCACGATTTTTACATGCAAAAGACTATAGTTCACGATTTTTGATGGAAAAGACTAAATTTCACGATTTTTCATGGAAAGACTATAGTTCAAGATTTTTGATGGAAAAGACTAAATTTCAAGATTTTTCACGCAAAAGACTTTATTTCACGATTTTTCATGCAAAAGACTATAGTTAACGTATTTTTCATGGAAAAGGCTATAGTTCACGATTTATGATGCAAAATACTAAATTTCACGATTTTTCATGCAAAAGACTATAGTTCACGATTTTTCATGGAAAAGACTATAGTTCACGATTTATGATGCAAAATACTAAATTTCACGATTTCATGCAAAAGACTATAGTTCACGATTTTGATGGAAGACATTTCACGATTATGTAAAGACTATAGTTCACGATTTTGATGCAAAAATAAATTTCACGATTTTCATGCAAGACTATAGTTCAAGATTTTCATGCAAAGATTGTTCACGATTTTTCATGCAAAGACTATAGTTCACGATTATGCAAAAGACTATAGTTCACGATTTTGATGGAAAGACTAAATTCACGATTTTATGCAAAGACTATAGTTCACGATTTTGATGCAAAAGACTAAATTTCACGATTATGTAAAGACTATAGTTCGATTTTGATGGAAAAGTTAAATTTCACGATTTTTCGCAAGACTAATGATTTTCATGGAAAAGACTATTTCACGTTATGCAAAGATATAGTTCACGATTTTTGATGAAAAGACTATAATTCACGATTTCATGCAAAGATTATGATATTTCATGCAAAGACAATATCACGATTTTTCATGGAAAGATAAAGTTCACGATTTTCATGCAAAATACGTTACGATTTTCATGCAAAGGTTGTTCACGATTTTCATAAAGACTATTCACGATTCATGCAAAGACTATAGTTCACGATTTTTCATGCAAAACACTATAGTTCACGATTTTTCGTGCAACTGTCCATAGTTCACGTCTTTTGCATGAAATCGTGAACTATAGTCTTTTGCATGAAAAATCGTGAACTATAGTCTTTTGCATGAAAAATCGTTAACTATAGCCTTTGCATGAAAATTCAGAAATTTATCTTTTCCATCAAAAGTCGTAAACTATAGTCTTTTGCATGAAAAATCGTGAACTATAGTCTTTGCATGAAAATCGTGAATTATAGTCTTCGCATGAAAAATCGTGAATTATAGTCTTTGCATGAAAAATCGTGAATTATAGTCTTTGCATGAAAAATCAGAACTATAGTCTTTGCATGAAAATCGTGAACTATAGTCTTTCGTGATGAAAATCGTGAATTATAGTCTTTTGCATGAAAATCGTGAATTATAGTCTTTGCATGAAAAAATCATGAGCAATAGTCTTTGCATGAAAAATTCGTGAACTATAGCCTTTGTATTTATGAAATCGTGAACTATAGCCTTTTGCATGAAAAAAAAAAAAAAAAATCGTGAACAATAGTCTTTTGCAAGAAAATTGTGAACTATAGTCTTTTGCATGAAAATCGTGAACTATAGCCTTTTGCATGAAAATTCGTGAATTATAGTCTTTTACATGAAAAATCGTGAATTATAGTCTTTTGCATGAAAAATCGTGAATTATAGTGTTTTACATGAAAAATCGTGAATTATAGTCTTTTGCATGAAAAATCGTGAATTATAGTCTTTTACATGAAAAATCGTGATTTATAGTCTTTTGCATGAAAATTCGTGAACTATAGTGTTTTGTATGAAAATTTGTGAATTATAGTCTATTACATGAAAAATCGTGAACTATAGCCTTTTGCATGAAAATTCGTGAAATTTAGTATTTTCCATCGTAAATCTTGAACCATAGTCTTTTGCATGAAAAATCGTGAAATTTAGTCTTTTCCATCAAAAATCGTGAACTATGGTCTTTTGCATAAAAAATTGTGAAATTTAGTCTTTTGCATGAAAAATCGTGAACTATAGCCTTATGCATGAAAAATCGTGAACAATAGTCTTTTGCATGAAAATTCGTGAACTATAGTATTTTGCATGAAAATCGTGAATTTAGTCTTTTGCGTAATGCCACCTTTTGCAGTCAACGGTTTGACTTTGTTCCGGTCTCATGTAAACAGGCTTAACTTCAAACACAACAGTTCCGCATCTTAACTCCTAAAGACTAAAGTTTGCGCACCCTAACTCCCACAATAGTTTGAAGCACAAAGACTAATAGCAGCACAAAGACTAACACAAGCACTAGTACTGAAGGCGGATTGGCATTCAGTGCAATCGACGCGCGATCTACTTCTTTGAAATGTGTGCAGCAGTGGAAACTGTTCTGGTCGAAAAGCTTACAATTGAAAAGAAATTGATTGGAAAAGTCGATTGCGCGACAATTTGCCCTGAATGGAAATCAGCCTAACACCAACACCATAGTATACAAACATACAGTAGTCTCATTCCACTGTACAACTTGGTGCTGTATATTTAATTAGATTATTTCTGGCGCTGCTAGCCATCTCTGCCTTCTATTGGTCAAAAAGCAATTGACTGGTTGCTACCATAGATATAGTATATAGTATATAGTTATATACTATATATACTATATAATTATATACTATATATAGTATAGTATACTATACTATACTATACTTTATATATTATATAGTTATAAACTATATAATATAGTATATAGTTATATAGTTATATATATATAGTATATAGTATATGCTACCATAGATATACCATAGATATAGTATGGCTGCTACTATGCTAATGACATGCGTAATAAGATATGCGCTACACAAAAATTTCTATAGAGTGGGACTACTGTTTATTTCTATACTGTGCCAGCACTAAAACCAACACCAGCACAAGGACAAATAGAAGCTTTAAGACCACCACTAATTAAGACAAACATTTATCACACAACTAACCCTAGCACTATGACAACTATCACTAAGATCAACACTATCTTTAACACTAACACTAGCACTAAGACCAGCACTAACACTAACACAAGCACTAAGACCAGCACCAACACCAACACAAGCACTAAGACCAGCACTAACACTAACACAAGCACTAAGACCAGCACTAACACTAACAAGCACTAAGACCAGCACTAACACTAACACAAGCACTAAGACCAGCACTAACACTAACACAAGCACTAAGACTAATGGCAGCACTAGGACTAACACTAAGACCAACAATAATTGGCATCAAACCAACACCAGAATAAAGACCAACACAAGCAAGACTAAAATCAACACTAAGACTAACACTAGCACTTAGACTAACAATAGGACTAAGACAAACAATGTCATGAAGACTAACACCACCATTAAAATAAATATCTGCAGTAAGACTAACTCTAGAACTAAGATTAACATCAGTACTAATTATGATTAACTCTAGTACGAAAAGTATCACTAACTCCTATATTATGACCAGCAAACTTCGATTTTACATGATCTAAATGCATTTAAAACAAAAGATAAAGAGAATTTTTATCTCATAGTAAGTAATCTTCATAACCCTATTCCTACCATTTCTCTGCCAACCTTGATTTTAATGTCTTGTCTTCATCTCTTTCTTCAGCCTTTCTAGAACTGATTGATAAAGAACTGATCCTATTAGAATCATGAAACATCTCTATAAAACCATTATAAATACACTTAAAATATCTTGAAGTCAACCCATTGAAATGATCAAAACAAGCTGAAGGTAGCCTTCCATTACATGGTTCCAGTTAGTAACTTTCCTTTCAATGCTTTCAATGGTATATATCATTCATTATTCATTGTGTCATTTTGTTATTTTGGGAAGTCTGGGCTGCGGTAGAAAAGCCCTGGGTATGAGACTTGAAAAATAAAAAAACACATAAAATAAAATAAAAACGTTCAAATTTGAATAGAAAAATGAAGAAGTTATTGGAAGTGAATAATCATTTTGCATTTATTAAACGTTTGTTTTCCTCACATCAGGTGAGGTCGACTTAATGCATTTAAGATATGACGATATTAAAAATTTTCTTATTCCAAATAAGTATATCTAATATCTTAGTTCAGCAAGCAAAGCAAAATAAAATTGAAAGACGAAAGGTCGAAGAAAGTTTTCCCAATAAAGCCAACTATGACTAGAGGCTCTCAAGAATTACTTCTAAAACCAATTTCAAAAGATGTATGTAAACACCATGGTTACCATTTTTAAAATACTCCAATGATTAATTATTTTCTTTTTTTATCGCGAATGAAATTTAGCACCCAGCTTTACATGGTATGAGGATTTCCAACAAAGAAAGAGTAAATTTTAAAGTTTTGGTTTTCGTAAAGATCTATGTGATGCAATAAAAGATATGGGCATTGATGAGCCAACTCCTATTCAGGTTGCTTGTACCTTGTGTGCTTGGTAATTGTCTGAATGTAAATGATTTGACAGTAAAATATCAACTTTATATGACACCTAAGGTGGAGAGTATATCAAAGATCCTTCAAGGAAAGAACATCCTCACAACATCATTGCCTGGTAAATATAGTGTATTTTCACATTAATGTAACTCACTGTAATCTTAATTTGGTTTCAATTGTAGGCTCTGGCAAAACACTTGGCACCTTCTTCCTGTCATTCATAAATTAAAGACTGAAGAAGTGGAAAAGGGAATTACCTCTTCCAGGTAGTCCACATGCCTGTATTGTGGTACCATCTCGAGAACTTGCAGTTCAAGTTTTGGTAAGAACTAAGAATGGTATATTTCCAAATCTAATGAATAAATATAAGATGTCCATGCTGTATTGAACAATATATTGCATTAATTTCACATTTTAGAGTGTTGTTAAACATCTCAGTCACTTTTCTAAACTTTCTTCGCTTGGTTTGATAAGTGGTCGCAAAAAGGTCTGCAATCTGGCCATTGCAAAATTTATATCACTTGGAAGTTTTAGATTGATTGCTTTTTGTTGTAGAAATGGAAACTGGAAGGATTAAATAATTCAGTTGATGTTGTTGTTTGTACACCACATGATCTACTTAGCTATTTACGCAAAGGTTTCTCTGACACTTTATTTATTTGTGTTGTAGTTATTTGTTGTAATTTTGAGTCATGAAATGTTTCAGATATTGTGAGTTTCTCTCACCTCAAACATCTTGTCATTGATGAAGCAGATACCATGTTTGATCCAAGTTTTCAAACACTTTCAATGGAGATTTTAAGATTTGCAGGAGTATGTCCACATATTAATGCCAAAAATGGTTGTATATCTACTAGTTCACTTTGTAATTGCTCTACTAATGTACTTTTCACATCATTTCAGATTCGCCCCTGGGTGAATTTTGAACAAAGAATACAAACAACATTTGTTTCAGCAACCATTCCACATGAGTTGCTCAAGTTACTGCAAAATTTGATTCAAGTAAGATTTCACAGATAAACATTTTCTTTGCTATAGCATGGCTCATATCTATCTAAATTGTGTAGGATTTGACAATATGCAACATTAGTTTGCATCAAGTCCTGCCACATGTTTCTCAGAAGTTTGTTAAAATTCCACAGCACAAAAAGAGTGGTAGGTTCTCAGGGGTTAAGATAAACTTCTATAGTACGATAGATGCATTCCATTTATAATTTCCAGAACAATTACTGGAGGAGATTAGACACAATTTAAGAAGTGGTCAAAATCAGACAATGGTGTTCTGCAATACAACAAAAGTTGTGATTGGACATCATTTTACCTAGAGGAACAGGGAATTTCACAAATTCGATTAAATGGGAAAATGACAAAGAAGGTATAATTAATTTTATAAATCTGTATGAGACATTCCAAATCAATAAATTAGCACTCTTGTAGGAAAGAAAATGGAATATAGACAAGTTTCAACATAATGAATCACCTATCTTGGTTTGTACAGATGTTGCCTCAAGAGGACTGGACACCACTAATGTAGGTAATCTACACAAGAAAAGATAACATTTGTACAGAAGCATTAATTATTTAGTGCACAAGTGATGATCAATAAGATGTTCTTAAACTATTTTAGGTTGATAATGTTATAAACTTTGACTTTCCACCAAATGTTATTGACTATATCCATCGAGCAGGACGTACAGGGAGACTTGGAATGAATGCCTTATCCTATGTGACTAGTTTCATCAGTCATAATAGAGAACTTGTCATCATGGAAGCAGTCAAGGTTCATCTCTGTTTAATTGAGACTCAATGTTTATTTGACGTATATATTACTTAATCTGATACCTTTCTCAAATTCTTCATTTTAGAGAGCAATGCATAACCACATGCCTTTACAAGATCCCCATTTGTGGCAAGCAGCACATGATGACACCAAGTACCAGTATTCAGCAACAGCAAATAAGCCAAGGTTTTCTCATAAGAAGCAATATCACACTGTTCACAGTAAAAAAATAATTTAATTGACCTTTTTTTATAAGTGCTTTTCCATTCTATACAAATATGTACAATTAAAAATCCATAAAAAATACTCAAAATTATTTAATTATCCCCACAAAGGAATTTACAGTTAAAATATATATTATTAATTTTGACTTTGTACATATTTATATTCAGCATGAATATGAGAGTTGTATCTTTGTCATACCCTTTAACCATGATAGTGTAAGGCTACTGAGATGTCATTTACATAACACTAAGACAAAACAATAAATGATACAATTTTAGAAATGCACATAAACTATTTACTATGAACAATCTTAAGTTTAGAAAATACAGTGGAACATACCTTTTAGAATGTAATTTGTCAAAAGATTTGGCACATTAGGATTATTCGTTCTCATTGCATCCATTACTAGTTAGAAAAGGTTTTATGTATGAAGCAATGCATTTTGGAAGATAAAATGTTGTACAAATACACTACCTATAACTTACTTTCAATAAGCTTTTCTAGAACATCCACACTTGGTCCATCATTCTTGATTTCATATGGGATGGTTGTGAAACTCTATAAAAACATTCACAACATTGTAATGAACTTCGTATTTGGTTATGAAATGATTTTTTCTCATACATACCTGACTATTGGGGAATTTTGAGGACAATGAAAATTTATTTTTGGTATTGGTGGTTGCATCTTCTCTAAGCTTTTCTTCTACAGATAAAAAACTTGCTATGAAATTATTTTTAAGTTCCTTTTCACGAATGTACTCATCGCGATTCTTTAGTTCCTTGATGAGAACATCAGAATATTGTTTAGTAATCTCCTTTAATTCATTACGAAGTTGAAGTATTTCTTCATATGGTAACTGCTGCAATTCTAAATGTCACACATTGCAAATGTTTGAAATTATAATAGACCACAAACAATGTAATTTGTAATTTCTGTTTAAGTACATACCTGCTAATGCATCATTCTCATTTAGTCCAGATGATGTACAAGATGAATTGTCTTTCATATCACATTCTGACCATTCCAATTCATCATCAAGTTCTTGAAGGTTGTCATGCAATATCTGAGTCATGTCTACTTTGGCAACATTCCCCAATTCTAATAATGTTAAGCTCTGAGCCTCGTTGCAATTGGTAAGTTCTATGTTTGCAATGGTTCCATTTAATTCCTTTGGTGATTTAGTAACATGATTAGTCTGAATGATATCGTGAAAATTAAAGAATTGTCGATAAGATTCATCACACTTTATTTCAGGCTTTTCCATTTTATTCTAAATAGAAAAAATTAAGGAAAAAAAAGTTAAGGCACAATCATATAGGGCAACTTTCGAATACATAAACAATTCGGGACAATAATCAAAAATGTCAATTATGACATTTCTTTCAGGAAATGACTTAATCATGATAATAATTTCATCACTTTGGTAAAAAATTGCCATAGCAGAATCTCACCTTCAACATGTTTATCTGCAAAGCTTCAAAAAAATCTTTCTCCAACATAGAACTAGGCCATTTCGTAAGACGAACTTCGTTCAAATTTGAAATTAATTTCTCCCAAATCCTGTCAAACAAACCCTCAAGACAATAAACCAATAAAGTTGAATAATAATTGGCGGATATAGCCTTAATACACTCGATATAAAAACTGCTTCTCTTACCAGTGTTGAGTACCATCTTCTAAAGTAAACGATTCGTTAGATAATTGAGTCAAAGTCATCGCGTTGACATCCTCGCCATGTGCAGGCATCTTGTATTGTTTGACAAAGTAACGTTCGCATGCTTTCTACATCATTGAGGACAACCAACTCTGGCGTAGGATTTTTGTCTTGGCTCTGTTCTGATGACTCTAGTTTCGGTAATATGAAATGGTTTTCGTCGAAATCACAATTAGAGGATGAAAATGCCAGCCATTCCTCACCTTCGTCCGTGGCATCCGCCATAATAAACTATTCCTTTGAATTTTGAAAATACGTAATTCTTCCTTAAAGATGATTTTCCTACTTCTAAAAATACAAACCACCTGGGGGCAAATCGGTCACATCATTTCCAGAGTCGAAGTGACTGTTTCCGGAAAAAATACAGCACGATTAAAAACAATATTCGCCTCAATATTTGCTCTCGCATTTCCTTGAAGTCCGAAGTGGTCAATGCAAGAAAAACGAAAAACTGAAAGAGTGTAAATGCTACCCAAATGACTACTTATAAATGATAGTTGTCCTTGGCATTTCCCACTGCCCAATGAACGACAAAACAACAGACCAATGAAATGAAACATAGCATTTCCACATTTTACTCGATACCATATTTCAAAAGTATAAACAAATATGGCAGCCGATGAAAGTAGCGCGGTGGTAACCAAGGAAAACACAAACGACAAAACTAACCATACGAGAGAGAAGGCAGGCTACTTGTTGAAACGTAATAAGATAACAAATCGATGGAAGAAAACGTGGTGTTTCATAAAAGACAGAAAAATGTGTTATAGTAATTCAGCAGAAGTAAGGAGTTGAGCGAATCTACGAATGTCATAAACCCATAATCATTTATCCTTAATATGTACACAAAACTTCGGATATTCTTAGGAGACAACTGCTAAAAGCGTATGTTTGGAAGGGTGCCAAATAGGAACGTGTGAGATCAAATCAATGATCAATACATTTTATGTAAAACCGAAGACATCACAGAGAAAATACATTCTTTGTGCAGAAAGTGAGGAAGAGCTAGAAGAATGGATGCAAGCAATATTCTTGGAAAGATGTTATGGACAGAAAAATAGTTTAGGATCTGAGGCTTGCGTCATTCAATAGATTTAAAATAGAAATGTTTAATGATTTTTAAAAGGTAAAACCAGTATTTTTATGTGGGTAGAATTTCTTTACCAATCTTTATAAAAATTTATGTCTGTCTACCAAGTCTATCAAACACTGATTTTCGGCTTGATACATTAGATGAGGAAATAGGTTTTACTGGCTGTACAGCACGGATTGGTTTAAGGGGTGGTAAAACTCGATTGCTAATAGTGGTAGATGTTTTCTTGCTATGCATGATGGGTGAACCGTTCAATGTCCTAATTGCAAGGGAATCACTTTGCGTTGATTTCATTTTGTTTACTGCAGATTGACTGCTTTGTCCCAATCTTTTGAACACTGAAGTTTGATTCTAAAGATTTGAAAGACTTTAACATGAGAAGTTTTTAAAAGACAATCTTCATTCTACTTTCAGCAATCACATTTATATATTTATTTACTAACATTAACACAACCACTTTCCAAAACCACTTTTTCATCCATTACACAAACCATTTTTTCAACCATTACACTAACCATTCTTCCAACAATCACCACAACATTACCGTAATCATGAAAAAACTTACCTTGGTTAATGATACAATTTTACTAGGTGGTGATTTCGTGGAAGTACCAAGCTTGGCCACTTTTATTTTATGAGAAAATGAATTCATATCTTTAGACATTGTCTCTTCATCACCTAGCCGTTCAAAGGCTGACTTTCGTTTACTTGAAGCATTAGTTTGTACTATAAAAAGAGGATACAAATGTAACTCTGAAATTTTATAAAATTGCTATCTTTGGGGTGAAATTGCCTCTATCACCTTTCTCTTCTAAATTTAGGCCTTCAAGTTGTTGCTTCTTATGTCTATTGATTTCAAGATTTCCAGAAGAATCAATTCTAACTGACCCATGTTTTGCCTTCATGGCAAATCTGTCAGATAAAGACATTCCTACATTTGCCGTTTTCTTGTTTGATGTCACAGATGAATCATTGCCTTTTAATGTTTTCTTTGCATTGGGAAAAATTTTTAGGTGAGAAGAGGACTTGGTAGCTGCTGGTTGCACCTCTAAAGAAGGAATTTGCCAATTCTTACACATATCTTCATACATGAAACTATGATGATTTAACATCATCATACATGTACATACCTGTCCTCACCTTAACTGGTCCCTTTATTGGTATCTTTTTCTTTTTAACGGACAAAGGAACTTCAATCTTATTTACAGAAGGTACATCGGAATCTTGCATCAGCTGATTGGATGATTTCTCCCTTTCAAGCTAAACATACGGTTCATGATACTGAAGATGACAACTAAATTCATGTGCTCCATTATTTACATACCTTTGCATGAACTACTTTGGAATGCTTCAATATAGACATTACATCACCCATCACAGTAATACCGATGTCGTTCAATATTTCCTAACAGTTTCATGTCAACATTTGAAGCCAATACATCACGTGAAATTATGTGATAAAGAAAGGCAGCAAATATGTAAAAAATATCTTACCTTGGTTAAATCACCAAGAAGGTCATCCTTGATGCGATGATTACAGAACAACGCTGAATACCTAGTTAAATATCGAAATTATTATTAAAAAATCCGATCAAAATTGAATCATCCGTAAAATGATTTGCTAAATGATAACTAAAGAAAAATAAATTTCCGTTAATCAAAGAAACGCACTAAACACGTTTAGATAAATACTCACTTCGAAGCTGGTCCTTTTGGAATGCCAGCATTGTTAAAAAATGTGTTCCATTTCAGTAAATCTTAACAGCACAAAAGACTAAATTTCAACCTTATTTCAACAATGCATTCCGATGCCTATCATTCACTCACCTTTTTCTGCCATTTCACAGAACTCCTTTTTATCACATTTCTCATCTAAAAATCACGCTTGTGGCGTTGCGTCCGGGACGAAGTAGTGGACTGGAACTAGCGTTTTGTGCAGTTAAGCCGTGGAGTGGATCGAGCGTACTGTGTGTTGCGTATGCAGCTCAAATCAACTGCTTTACGATTGAAAGAGAATGAGCAAAAAACTAAAATTAACGCAGTTCTTTGTCACTTGATGAAAATGCAAAAATAACAAGCCGACAAAAAAATTAAATTCTGTTTTAAATGATAAAGAAGGAGACGCTTTGAGGTTTCTCAAAACCAATTAGGCACAAAAATCATTTGTTTTCCAACTCCCAAAAGTCATTCATCAACATATATGGTTTACATGCTTTTAAAATATTTACAGCCTCACGCCTGTACTATCCACTTTCATTATAAGATTCCGTAACTTGGTTCCAGACTCCATGCTTCAGATAGATCATGTTTATTTCTTAGTAAAATTTCGCGTGTTGGAGGTAAAGTTTTAAATGAGGAATCCTTTAGCAGAAGCAGAAAATGGTTTTGGTAGGAGATTATATCGTTTCTGACATCCTAAAACAGATAAAATTACATCAAAATAAATGCCGAGAAAATAATTGTCAAGCAGGGGAGGAGATGTCGAGAAGGGGGAGATGAAAATCCTAAGAAGTTTGAATCAGAGAGCATCGTACTTGGTCAGGCAGCAATAACACTTGATTCATGATTTTTAGCCGCTGTTTCAAATCATGGATATTCTACAGTGAAAGAAAATAGAAAATTGTTACTGACATAGAAATTGCACAAGGAACTAGTTAAATTTCAAATTTAAATACCTCGGGCCTGGAAAAGCAAAACATAGATAGATGATGGATAGCGATAAGGTAAAATATTGGAGACCACGATAGTCTAAAAGAAATAAAAATCACTCATGACAGATGATGTTTGAAATACACAATGGTTGTAATGTCGGTTGTAATATCAGCTCATTTACCTGAGAAAACCGGAAGTAAATGCCCGAAGTTTTAGAAAAAGAATCTCTACGTTGGTTTCCGCAGGGAATAAAAAATTTTCAAGAGGCACTGGTAACTACGAAACATATGAAAGAGAAAACTTTAGTATGTTCGGTATGTTCAAAAAACAGGAGCTACTAGATTTGCTACCCTTTATGTCCATCAACAAAATTAACATACTTGGTGTAGTGGAAGGGAAAATGATCGAAAAATGTCAGCATTTTCGTTCCAAATGAACATTCTGTAAACTTTGTTATACCGTTGTTGTAAGGGCAAAAGAAGAAACGCGGAGAAAAGATGATCCCCATACGATACAGATTGATACTGGATGACAAACGATACATAACTGTATAGAACAAAAACAAATAAAATTTTTAAGAAAACAAAAAATCTTCAAGTGAAAAATGAGCAGTATAGGACATCATGCTCAATGAATTTACGATGTCAGTTTACTCACAGATCATAAAATGATGAAATTCCAGGAATAGGTGTGTCAAAATCCATAGTAGAAAGCTGGAAACGAAAGTAACAACGATTTTAGGTATTTATGAATCGAGGTATCCAGAAATAAATCACTTCCTAAAAACAAAAATTTATCGTGTCATCAATGGCCAGATATTATCATGAGAAATATACAGTGACGAAGCCACACCGATTATTTAGATGTGCAATGTAAAATTTATGTGTCTATTCACTGGAAAAACAATATGTTTTCAAGGAATTGAATAATGATGATGATCTAAAATTTAGATAGCAGTTGCGGGCTGGCTTCGGCAACATATGAACCAAACTGGCGAAATTGGCAAATATGAACCAAACATGACTGGCAACATATGAACCAAAACTGGCGAGCTGGCTTATTGGCAACATATGAACCAAACATGTGAGCTGTTCGCTACTGGCAACATATGAACCAAAACATGGGGCTGGCTTCGCTACTGGCAACATATGAACCAAAACTGGCGAGCTGGCTCCGCTATTGGGAACATATGAACCAAAACATGCGGGCTGGCTTCGCTACTGGCAACATATGAACCAATGCACGCTACTGGCAACATATGAACCAAAACACTGGCTTCGCTACTGGCAACATATGAACCAAAACTTGCAAACATATGAAATATTGGCAACATATGAACCAAAACATACAACATACAAAATGTTATCATATTATATTGGCAACATATGATGACTGGCAACATATGATAAAACATATGTGACTGGCAACATATGATGGCGAGCACTTATTACTGGCAACATATTACTGGCAACATATGAACCAAAACATGTGGGCTGGGCTATTGGCAACATTGGGCTGGCTTCGCTACTGGCAACATATGAACCAAAACATGCGGGCTGGCTTCGCTACTGGCAACATATGAATGAATTGGCAACATATGAACCAAAACTGGCGAGCTGCTATTGGCATATGAACCAAAACATGTGCTGGCTTCGCTATTGGCAACATATGAACCAAAACATGCGGGCTGGCTTCGCTACTGGCAACATATGAACCAAAACTGGCGAGCTGGCTTCGCTATTGGCAACATATGAACCAAAACATGCGGGCTGGCTTCGCTACTGGCAACATATGAACCAAAACTTGCTGGCTGGCTTCGCTACTGGCAACGTATGAACCAAAACTTGCTGGCTTGCTTCGCTACTGGCAACATATGAACCAAAACATGCGGGCTGGCTTCGCTATTGGCAACATATGAACCAAAACATGCGGGCTGGCTTCGCTATTGGCAACATATGAACCAAAACATGCGGGCTGGATTCGCTATTGGCAACATATGATAAATATAAACCACACTCACCAGTAAGGAAGGTACACATAAGACGAGCTATTTTAGCTGTACACAATACTTGATGTAAAACAACTGGCCGCCATTCTTCCAGCAACAAAACCCACTGCAAAGTACGTTTGACAATTGACTTTGATGCATTGCCTTGACGATCAGGTTGCGACTTCAACAGCAATTCTCTTTGTAATTAACAACAGAGACGATATATAAGTAACAACAGCATAAATTACAAGTGCAGAAACCAGCTGGGAAAAAAGGCATTCTATTCAAAAGCACGCATCAATGTATAAAACGTACTCTTTCACTGTAATGTTGTGAAGATCCACTAGGGGAAGAAACATCCAATCAGCTGGCAGCATTGTACCACCCGAAGGTGCAAGTAAGAATGACGTAATGTTTTGTGGCTGATGAAGACTGCAGGCTCTTGAAGAATTATAAAAATAAGAATTATTACGAGTTCAATAGATGTTAGATGAGGTTTATAACGCACCTAGACTTTGCTAAAGCATGCCTCATCTGTGCAAATGACGAGATGAAAGTAGATCGTATCGGCAATAGATCTTTGTACGCTTCCGACAACAGCTCCCCTGGATAGCGTTGTTTCTTTGGCGATGTAATATCATTGAGACTAGGTTTAATCCCCATCTCTGAAAAGTCGGACGTAATGGTCGTAGCATGTTCATCTCGACTCTCGCTAAGGAAGATGTTTGATGAAGTTAAAACAAAGAAGAACAAGACGTTGGTGAATTTATACTTACTGAAAGAGAGCGGAGTTGAACAACATAACAGACATTAGATCATGGGCATAGAACTCGTCACCAGAAAAAAGACGAGAGAAGAGAAGCAAACTGGATGTATGATATAATGCAGTCAGTTCGCCGTCCATGTTTCCAACCTGTATAAACTGTCGAAGGTTATTGAATAAAAATTAAGAACTGTGTTTCTTCATGACAGAAGAAAGGAACAATGGCTATGAATGAAATTTTACTTACTACATTATAAAACAACTTAAAAGAAAGTATTGAAAGTGTTGTTCCACTTTGACAAAACACATTGAGATTCGGTGTTCTGAAGTGAAGAGTAAAATGTCAAATCAGAACTGAATCAAAAACTACATGAGCTACTTTTAAATAATTTCATTGTTCTTACTCACTCCATGTCTTGGTGTTGTACAAGATTTTAAATATTTCACAACGCAGTCGTTCTTTAAAAAACATTGAAACTACAAAAATAAAAAAAATTTCTAAAATACTATCGAGAGACGTGCCTATCGGAAATCGAATTCATGTAATAAAAATTAATGCCCAACATAAAGCTTTAATTACAGCCATTGAGATAAACCAAAAGTTGTCAAAAGGTTATAAAATTGAATTCGTCTTTACTCAAGACATCTTCAGAGGTGAAAATTGCCGAAGACGAAACGTCACAATAAATTCAATTTTATAACCTTTCGAAAAAGATTTCTGCATAAACTATTTAAAAACAGACGCGTCTCAAAATCGCTTGGCTGCCATTTTTAATGGAAATGATCATGATACCCAAACTCCCAAAAGTCTGCTAGGAAAATCATCTCTCGTGACGAAATATCATCGTTTATACCTAAGATATGCTTAATCAGTTTTGAAGCATGTCTGTTTTCTAAAAAAAACTTGCCGTATTTATCAAATGCCAATGTTTATCAAATGGAAACCGATTAACAATTAAATAACAGGAAGATAGTGAAAATACAACAAACAACAAGAAGAACAACAAACAACAAGAAGAACAACAAACAACAAGAAGAACAACAAACAACAAGAAGAACAACAAACAACAAGAAGAACAACAAACAACAAGAAGAACAACAACAACTTTTTGCAACACCTTTATGACAGGAAGTTATTATCATAGCTAACCGCGAAAATGAAAGTAACAGAGGAAAAGGGCTGCCATCACGTAAACAGCGAGGAAGATCATCACTCAAAGAACATTTGAAGTCAGGAAGACTGGTGACTAGTGGTTGTTCATTTGTACATGTTGCACTTGCGTAATATGAAGTATAGTCCGTCAATCTCGATAGAAGGGTTTCAAATGTTTTGCAATCGAGCATGGGCTGACATATTTCGCTGATAACAAAGTTCTCAATTTCTTGCAAGCTTTCCACCGGCGAATAGAAAGGCTAAAAAATATAAAATAAAATGAAATTACCAGAACAATCCGTTTTGATTGTCTTAGGTTCATGATATTAACTGAAATAATAGTAGGAAGTTGAAAACTTACAAAGTAATCATTAGCGAAAAGAAAATGCAAAATAAAGTCTACGAAGAGCAAGATATGATAAAATAGAAATACCTGAACGACAAGTTTTCATAAAACGAAGCCAAAAGATTAAGATATTTTGCAAGTAACAGAAACGACTCATTCTACAAACAAATAAGAATTATTGACTTTCCAACATACATCACTACGTCATTTTTATAAAGAAATCACCTGGGCAACTTTCACTTCCGCAGATACAAAACTATCTTTAAACTGTCTTATACCATGACCAATGAGCGGGAGTAGTCCAAGCACGTGACTCCAGTCAATAGGAGGGGGTGGTAAATGGCTAGCGTCCATTCCCCCTGTTGCAAGGTGCGTAGACAGTTGCGCCTGTAGTTCTGCTTTGCTTCCAGCAACATGCGTGACAGCTTCAATAAGATCAACCAATGCACAGGCCACGCGAACTTGGGAAGTACTACGGACTGGGTACAAGGCAATATTTTGTACTTGTGTGACAATATGAGAGTACACATTGCTACAAAAGAAAATTAAAAATTTCAACAAATAATAAATCCTGAATATATATAAGCAACTATGAAAACGTATTACTGTTGAAATGATACACGATGATATCGTCAAATCATTTACCATACCTAAATGATTCACAAGCTAACCCATAAGAAATACAAATAGTCCATATAGTAAAACTCTCAGTTGTCAGTTCATACGCTTCAGTCAAACTTAGCATCATTTCATGAGCAGGAACTGTTATGAAACGTAGAATTCTTGATATAAGACCAAATTTGGTCACCTGTATTTAGACAAGTGATAAAACATATTTCTTGTCTACTCAAAGATAACATGATAACATAGAAACTCTATGAATGATCGCATGATAAGATAAAATACTTTAAAATATACCAAAGTATCCGTCAAGTATTTCCCAGCGCAGCACAATACACGAAGCAACTTCAAAGCTTTGACGAGAGGATAGCCGTACACATTATCAATAGCTTGTGATTCCTCTTGCTGTTTCCAAGAACTAGGTAGAAACTGAAGCATAATGGTTTCCAATAATCTCGGACAAGTTGCGACACTGTGTGCAGATTCCAAAGAGTGACGTGAGATCCTGATGAGAATATCAAGGATATCAAAAACAACAGGGGATGCAGGGCGACACACTTCCAGAATATAACGAAGCCTGGGGAGAAATCTCATCTGTATAAGACCCTAAAAGATAAAAAATATTATGACTTACGTAGGAAATGTTTCTAAAGTAGTCTCAGGGTAAAATAAGATGTCTAAATTGATAAATAGAAAACCTAAGAAGAATTAAGGATAAATACTACTTCAAATGGCAAAAAGAAAGAAATGAGTACAAGTAGAAGAAGAGATCTAAGCTTTGAAAAAAGGATAAGCAAGAGACAATGAAAAAACACATCACAGCTCAACCAATGAAATCAATCAAAACAATCAATCAGTCAAAGAGAATTTGCAAATCGATCATGAATACATTTTAGAGGAAAAATTAAAACGTTTACTTTAAATTAGTCTGTTCCGTATTATTTTTATTTTATAAAGAAATAAAGACCTCACAGACGCTTAGAGAACTTCGAGCAGGTGCAACCCTCGAACTTCGGTCTCGGACTTGCACTGATCTGCTCTCGAGTTCTCCCAAAGGTCTCCTCGGTTTGCAAAGGCCTGTGCAAACACAGTAAACATCTTTTACTTCTTAATACATAAATATTTCCACTGAATTGTAGATATAACAACTTCATCCCTCCCTCCCCTCCCTACCACACTTACGTGAAGTATACATAAACACGTGACAGAACAATTAAGGTATGTTGGAGTTGAAGCTGAGCTCAAAGTCTCAAAACAACTCTTCAACAAGAAGATTGAAGTAAAAGTCATACTTTAATTAAGTCCTGTTTAACAACATCCACATCAGGTAGGTTGCTTGTACCATCTTCCTTTACAGGCAGTTCCACTGGACACAACGATGGAATTTCTTTTCCCCGATAACAAGTAAAACACGACATGTCTGCTACAAACTAATGTTTCATACGACATAAGAATAATATTTTCTTCAAAAACAATGATCAAATTTAACACCATTTCCTAACTCACCTCATCCCGTTTTCTTACAAGAACGGCGGTAAAACAGGCGACTGAAGCAGCAATCAACTGGTCAGCGTTGTCATCAAGTGTCCACCGCAACAAAAACGGTAAGCCGGCATTGAGTAGTACAGGTAGCAAGTCTTGATCCAATAAATTTACATAAATACCGCGACGATCCTTTGAAAAATAACGCACATCAGGAGCGTGATAAAAATACTCCAGAAAAGGGCAACTTTCACATTAACGTGACTTCGATGTGCCTGCAATGAGCGTCCATCAAAGTCACGATTGTTCAATGACCATCTTGTAAAGTCACGTGTTAAGTTATAGTTGTCCATTAAGGAAAGCAAAACTTGAGCGTCATACCTTTTGGATTACTTTTGTGAGAATATTCACAGCAACAACGCGTTGATTTAAAAGGTTGCTCCTCGATAAAATGAATAGTTCTTCCAAGGTGTAACCAGGTCTGTCTGGTTCCTGTCCATGATGATGTAATCCTAGGTATTCGGGGATTGAACCTTCTGTCTTCGTCATGATGTTGCCTTGGAAATCAAACCTTGCTTGCTCATTGCTCTGTCAGATGAAAAGAAAAATTGATCTGATCACAGATATGTATCCCAAACTTAGGGTATAGCTATCAGGGTGTGTAGTTGGTATGATAAAATCCTGGTCAAGCTACAACATTGCACCCAAATATAAGAAAAGAGGAGTAAATTTACCCTAGATGTCCTAGCATTTGGTATCTTCTTCATCCATTCCAACTTGTCATGTTCAACATGATCCATATGCAACCATTTCTCAGAAATGTTGCTGCCTAGAACATTGTTTGCTACATCCATACTACCGTCATTAGACCCAGATATCAACGACGGTCCCCTATTATCCTCATCATGACTTTCCTCAACAAAATAAGAATCAAAGCCTTCATCAACATCATTATCGTCACATTGTTCAGCAATGATTGAATCGTTAGTTTGTTCCTCGGATTTCTTCTGTTTTTGTGTTAAAAACTCCACGATAGATGGATCTAACAAAACCATTGCTATAATTTACAATATTATGGCAATCTATCAATAAAAGACCAATAACAACTACCTATCATTTCTCTCAGTTCGGCTTGTTCTTGCAAAATCTCGCTCTCTGACATGGAGGAGAGCTTTTTCACATTCTCATCGTGTATTTTCTGATGCTCTAAAGACATCCCCTTTCCAGATGTCAGAGCTTCACCACTGATCAAGGATGACATCGAATAGCTTGCCTCTTCAACAAATTCACGTATAATAAAGTTAGTGACTCAACCATTGACATGTTTTAGACAATTGCATTTATAATCATGGCAGCAGAGCTTAAAACAAAACTTTAAAAGATGTGTCAGAGAGTTTGAATGGAAAGTATTTGACATGTGGATGAGGGGAGGGAGGGGCACATCATTACCGTCGGCCTTGATCTTATCTTTTCCATACTCCAGTTTCCATATCCATGTGGAGGTTTCAATTCCTTCTCAATCCCAAAATCCTCTGCTTTAGACTTAGCAAACTGCCTGGCAAACAAACTCTTTGTTGAGTTGCTTTTCTAGAATACAAAAAATTTTAGTAATTAAGCATTGTTCATAGGGTTGAATAAAGATGATATGATTTAGCCATACCTGCTCCTCCAACGAGCCATTTACTGCATTTCTATGAAGGACAATTGGAAATCCTTTAGGAGTGATGTTCGGCATGGTAATGTGTGCTGACTTAGTCTCTTTCCTGCAAAATAATTATAGTGCCACTGCTTCGCATAATGATAACGACAAGTTAGTTCTATAGAGTTCACACAAACCAATATTTTCGAAAGAATGATGGATACATGTGGATCATCATCTAAAAACAAAGAAATAATAGATGAAATGAGGATATTTAAGTAAGGATGATGGATACACGAAGTTTATTTACTATAAATTAACAAGATGTATGGAATGAGAATTTATTAGAAAAAATAATGGATATAAGATGAACATCAATTACAAATAAACAAAATGATATTTTAGTGCTTCATAAAAAATCCCTTACTTTCCAACAATTCGGCTCCATCGAGTTCCACTTGCTTGCATTTCTAAGAGATAACAATTCAAGATATTGATATTCCAATCACAATTTAATTTGAATTGTCTCAAAACCAAACAGTTACATTTATGCCGAATCGTCTGATAATCGATTTGAATGGATCGTGTGACGCAGTATCATGAAAAGTTTTAATATTATGTTGATATCCATATCACTATATACGTAACTATATTTAGTGTATCATTAATGTAAGCAAACTTGCATTGTATCTGTTATTAACACTTGGGTCACCTGTTGATGTTGATCTTTAAATTTGGATTTCTTTCTAGGAATATTTGATAAAACTTCAAAACTTTCATTCCCTGAAAAGAAACAAGACATCCATGACTAGCATGTACTTTTTAAAAGTCTTCATGCATCATAAGAGCAGCTCGCATTAGAAACAGTCAGCCAGCAAAATCTGATCCTGCTATGAAATTTTTTCTCAGTTTACTCGCTGCAAACACATATTGCTCTGAAATTCACACATCAGGACAAAAAGTTGCTTTCTCAGTTTGCATAAGACTGTGCAAACACAGTAAACATCTTTTACTTCTTAATTGATACATACGAGCTTCATTAGTTAGTTGAGTAGACTGTGCTGGTTTTAATTCATACATTATAGGCATGTTGTCTTTCTTCCTTAGCTTGTTTCAACAAATGCATTTTCATACTTGTTTCCTAAATGATCATTACTGGCCTTAGTGGCCAAGCATACCCTCAATGATCATTACTGGCCTTAGTGGCCAAGCATAACCTCAATGATCATTACTGGCCTTAGTGGCCTAGCATACCCTCAATGATCATTACTGGCCTTAGTGGCCTAGCATACCCTCAATGATCATTACCAGCCTCACTATGCGTAAAAACCTAGCCAATACGCAACCATACAAAGACATTACACTGTGGACAAAAGAAAAATCTCTTTCATATAAACCATGGACAATATGAAACAAGTGGTTACTTAGACTATAGATGTGATAAGTTTTATTAAAAATTTTATTTGTCATGAAGTCAATGGATGTTTGCCTCATGATACATAAATCAAAATTAAATGGGAGATAATGAGAGAAATTAATTGTAAGAAATGAAATAAATGTATGAATGTATGAAAACTTTGCACCATCCTTGTATCTGCAGATAAATCTCAAAAATCCTCTCTCCCTTAAATCATAAAATCCACTCTGGTTTATATGGAGTGTATTGAACAAAGGAGGAAGGGGGTTGTTATCCAGATTGAATATGCCTGCATAGAGAAACAACTTAAATGGAAGCTGATAAAGAAACCTTGTAAAGAAACCACGTCACGAGGTCGTTTTTCACACATTGGATCCAGCTCATCAGACAGTCCTGGAGCACCAGCATTTTGTGTTGAATGTTTCACACTAGCGGCTGGATTTTTGCCTTCGTTAAGAAACTCCCGTTGTATTCTCAACAAATCCTCTTCACTTTCACCTTTAACTGGCCGTGAAAACATTTTAAAGTAAATGTCCAAAATATGGAATACATTTTAGGTAACGCATCTTCTTTTCAATCTTAACACCTGATTCGAAAATTGCCCTCAGTCAGTCAGTCGTCAAAACTTTCCCGACAAAATTGTCAGCACACTACTTTCAAAATGGAGAACGAAAATCGTGAAAATGTCCAATATTTAGAAGAAAAACTCAACCGTACAATGTCTGAACTTCAGCAAATAAAAGAATTACTTTTGAAAAAGGCAATTCTTGCTTCATGTGCAGCTTTATTTACTTATGTAGCAGAATAATCTTAAGATTCATTTTGCATTGAACATTGTAATTTGTAATTGTAAACACGTGGTGTTTGTATATCTTATTTAGCAGGCTAAACCTGGCTTTAAGCGAAATTTTCTTCTGTTGTGTAGTCATTTGGTTGAATACTGGTTTTAATGCATAGTCATTTTTTAGGGCATATCGTTGAACGAATCAGACGAGCTAAAGTACGACCAGCTTCCAGAATCTAATGGCTTTCATGAAGTTATGAAATCCAAGCTCACTCATTCAGATATATTACGTTATAGCAGACAACTTATTCTTCCTGAGATTGGTGTTGAAGGACAGCTCAAACTGAGCAACAGTTCAGTGCTAATTGTTGGTGCTGGTGGTCTTGGTTGTCCAGTGGCAGTTTACCTTGCTGCAGCTGGTGTAGGTCACATAGGACTGGTTGATTACGATGACGTTGAAATAAGTAATTTGCATCGTCAAGTTTTGCATTCTGAACTCAAAGTTAACTGGAGTAAGGTTGACTCCGCACGACAAGCATTGTCTCAATTAAATTCATCTTTAAAAATACAGACATATAAAATTCATTTAAACAGTAACAATGCCATGGACATGATCTCCAACTACAATATTATTGTTGATGCCACAGATAATGTTCCAACACGTTACCTACTAAATGATACATGCATCTTGTCTGGAAAACCGCTTGTTTCAGGTAGTGCTTTACGTTTTGATGGACAGTTAACCATATATGGTTACCAAAATGGACCATGCTACAGATGTCTTTACCCCAACCCACCTCCACCTGCTGCAGTGGGAAATTGTTCAGATGTTGGAGTCTTGGGTGTAGGTAAGTGTATATCCTAACCTATTTTGTAGATTGCTTGTATGAAATTTGCCCTATTTGTTTTTGTACTTGTTGAGAGCACAAGAAATTCATATGACATGTACCTTTTTTCATATAAGCAAGAGCTCTTGACCAATCAAATTGCTTCATTTCTAAATGTTTCGATTGTATGATATATTATAGTTCCAGGAATTATTGGTAACTTACAGGCTTTGGAAGTCATAAAAATGGCTGCAGGGCTTCCCGGTATCCTTTAAAGATCTTTACCAAGATACCTTTCATATGATCCCTACCTTAAAAATTAGTAATTTCCCATTAATTCATTTTGTTATCAGAGTATTTAATTGACTATCAACACAGTATCTTTCAATCAAAAGCTGTTATTGTTTGACGCGCTTGACGGTAAATTTACAACAATCAAGTTGAGAGGAAGGCAGAAAAATTGTGTAATTTGTGGGGAAAAACCGTCGATTACAACGTTACAGGATTACGAACAGTTTTGTGGACAAAAGGCGTCGGATAAAGTACGAAATATACATAGAAACTTCTTCTAGCATGAGCTTGTTTATCCTATGAATTGAACATTTAACGTTAATTTAAGTAATTTTATACAGGGAAAGAATATCAGGGTACTGGATTGCTCGGAAAGGCTGTCGGTGCAGGTTCGAACCAAGCTTTACGTAGATTTTAGTCTATTTAGTTTTTTTTTGTGTTTTTTTTTTTACATTCACGTACCAGGCAATGTGAACAATGGAAATAGGGCAATGTGAACGAAAAGAGGGCAATGTGAACGAAAAGAGGACAATGTGAACGAAAAGAGGACAATGTGAACGAAAAGAGGACAATGTGAACGGAAATAGGACAATGTGAACGAAAACAGGACAATGTGAATGAAAAATGGACAATTTAAATGAAAACAAGACAATGTAAAAGAAAACAGGACAGTGTGAACGAAAGTTTACGATTTTGTCTATAAAAGGGCCTTCCTATCTATACTTCCAATAATTTTGATTCAAAATTTCTCTATTGTTTAGGAGTACAAAAAGTTGATAGATGATAGCGTTGATCATTTACTAATTGATGTACGACCGACAAATGAATTGGAAATTTGTCAACTTTCAACTTCACGTCATTTTATCAGTATGTTTTTACACTCTATGTCATCGATTATTCATTTATATAAGATCGCTTTTCAAGGTCAATAGGAATACATAAAATACGTAAAAGACAGGATAATTTAGTGGATTGTCTAGGCTTCAACCTTAATTTTTCATTTGTAGATCTACCGATTCGTGACATTGAAGGCGTTGGGCTAAGGAAGAAAATCACTGACGACATTGTTTCACTATTGACGCAAATCAACTGCAAAAATCGTCCAATTCCAAGTAAGTTAAGTAACGACGTTTGGATAGTTTTTTGTGGATATCATTTTTTCTCATTCTTGACGAAGGAAAAGGAAAATTAACGACATCGATTTTTGTCTAGTTGTTGCAGTGTGTCGTTATGGAAATGACTCACAGAGGGCTGTTGTCATATTGAAAAAAATTTTACTCCACCTCGAAGTCACAGTTAAAGATATATTTGGTGGACTGGATAAATGGAGTGAAGAAATAGATCCTTCTTTTCCTAGATATTGATTCATTTGAAGCAACTTGTTGAAACATTTGTGTAATAAATATTAAAAAAACATTTGGATTTAATTTTGTTTTGTGAGAAACCAAAGAATAGTTACGTCATAATGTAATCACGTGTTCCGTAATCTGTAACTTGATAATTTTCTGTTTTTGCTTGGTATATGGCGTTTTCTACATGTGCCTGCCCTATGTGAAGTTAATACTGTTGAATAAACCTTCTCTCTATTAACAAAAGTTTCAGATTATTTTATCAAGAATTATATTTTATTTCCCACAAACCTGAGAAATTTGGACTATCTTTCCTTCTTAGGGTCAGCCCTCCTCTATGCTGTTCGACTGTCTTTAGAAAGCTAATATGTGTATTAAGGAAAAAGTTGTAAGATGTAGCCATGTCGTACGATGATTTTGCAACAAATGAAATGTAACAGCCTCATTTTTGAGTCTTGGACTCTTGATGCAGTCTATATCAACGATTTCAAAGATGTTAAGCTCAGATTGTGATTCTTAATGTATTTGTTCTCCTCTGGTTTAGAATAATGGTTGAAGGAAAAGGGAGTATAGATGATAAAAAGTTGATTTATAACTTTTAGTTGTCTTAAAAAATGTATTACCCTTACGAAAAGATGCTAACCTTGTGACTTCCTGTAATTACATGTGAATGTTTGACACTTTGGACCTTGAACTGCTTCCATTTTGTTAAGTTGTTTTCATTCAACAAATACTTGCTAGTCTTGCAAAACTTCCACCATGGCGAAAGCTTTTGGAATCGAGTGGGCACCGCTTAAAATACCTGTAAAAAGACGTCGACAAACTTTTCTTGTTTGGATTGTTGGCTCTACATTTATATTTGGTCATATATTTTGTGTACTAGTTTGTCTTTTCCTATTGTACATTAATCTCTTCACGAGAATATTTTTGCTGTTGTATCTAGCTTGGATTTACATTATTGACAAGGATACACCTCACAGAGGGGGCCGATATTTTCCCGCTATGAGGCGGTTAAAAGTATGGAATTATTACGCCGAATACTTTCCATTACGTTTAATAAAAACGCATGAGCTAGATGAATCAAAGAATTACCTCTTTGGCTGCCATCCTCATGGCGTTATGGCTGTTGGATCATCGGGGAATTTCGCCTCGGAAGCAACTGGATTTTCAAAACTTTTTCCGGGTCTTACTGTGCATCTAATAACCCTGAACATCCAGTTTAAGATTCCATTTCTTCGTGAATTTTTGTTGGCCATGGGTATATGTCCAGCATCAAGAGAAAGTTTGAAACACATATTGACAAAAATGGGCCCTGGTCATTCATGTGTTGTGGTGGTTGGCGGTGCTTCTGAAGCACTGGAGGCCAGACCAGGGAACTATACGTTGGTACTAAAGAATAGGAAAGGTTTTGTAAAAATTGCTCTAAAGACAGGGTATGTTGAAAAGTTTTGTAAATTTTCTTTTTACATCATGTGGTGGCTTAAAGTGACTTCATCAAAAACCAAAAGTACTTTTGTAGTCAATTCACAAAGCCAATGTATAATTAATATTCATTATAAAAGTGCTATGGCATAACAGTTCCTCTCATTTATTATTTTAGTGCATCACTAGTGCCTGTATTTTGCTTTGGTGAAAATGACTTATTCAAGCAATATCCCAATCCAGAAGGCTCATACCTTAGGAAGATTCAGACTAAAGTGAAGGACATTGCAACATTCTCTCCACCACTCTTCTATGGCCGAGGGATATTTCAATACACATTCGGTTTGGTCCCATTTCGCGCAAACCAGTCCATACCATAGGTAAGTGATACAGCATTGGCCAGCAGCATCATTGTTCATAAACCATTTTTTTAAAAAGTCCCTTCTTACACCAGTATCCTAAAACATCCATAATATTGTTCCAGTTGGTAGACCAATTCATATTGTGGCAAACACTGATCCAAGCATTGAAGACATTGAAAATCTTCACCAACGCTACCTTGAAGGTCTTAAAGAAATCTTTGAAGAGTATAAAGAAAAGTTTGGCATTGACAAAGACAAACATTTAGAGTTTATATGACCAAAATATAAACGACTGCAAATTGTGTATGATTACATTTAAAATGTTAGCATGATATATAGATGTATTTATACCAGTATTAATGAGTTGACGGAAATTTTTTCTGGGCAACAAAGACATATAATAAACATATGCTATTACCAGTTTATTTAACAAATTATGTGAAATTTACATTCTGTGTTTAGGTCAAATTATCATACAATAAAATTCTCTTGTCATCAGGGGTTGTCAAAAATTAATTGAGTTTCAATTAATTGCAATTATTTGTAACCAATTAATTGATTGGACAAAGCATCAATTAAAATTAATTGATTGGGCGCACCTCCAATTAAAATTAATTGATTGGCATTGACTGCATTTTTTCTATTTTTTTACATTGAAACTACTTTTGTCTTGTCGCAGCAGCTCCATCAAAGGTCAATGGTTACAGCTCACAAGTCAGCTGACTCAGATATCAGATATCAGCTTTGACCAAATATTTTAATTTCTAATACAACGCCATATTGATTCTCACTACTTTGGGGCTCCGGAAGTAAATTTGCCCGGCTTCAACCACTACTTATTAAATGTAAGCCGTTGCACTATCTAGTGTATTATTAGATCTGTGGAACTGACTCATCCTATAGCTTCCCGTCAGGCATTTCTAAAGCGCTAGCTGCGAAAAGCAAATATCGATTGAAATTGATACCCCTTCCTGTAACGTAATCGCCGAGTCAGTTGCTTTTTGATCATTGTAATTCGTTGCTGGTGACTGTGTTGGTTGAATTCATTCGGACGAAATATTGCCAACAAGGCAAAGATACAATCATACTTTAAAGAAGCAAATCCTGGAGAATGGGAGTGCACTTGTGGAAAGACTTTAAAACAAAAGAAGGGCACCGGATGGACAAATCTCGCGAACCATCTGAATTCTCAGCATCCGGATTGGAAGCTAGAAAAAGGACAGACGACGCTTGAAACTTCAACCTCCCTAACCACCACTACATCCAGGAATATCTATTCGTGGCTGGAATGGGTATGTATGGGCCTGAAACCTTTTTCGTTTGTGACAGACCCATTGACCCGTAAATACACAACCCTAAACCCGATATCCACCAACACGCTGAAGAAGTACATGGAAGTGGTTGTGAAATATGTTGAACGGAAGCTGTGCGATACATTGCCTGATAAATTTGCTCTCGTTATCGACGGGTGGACGGAAAAGAGCACTCATTTTGTTGCTGTTTTCGCCAGCTATCCTGACGCGAAAGCAACAAAGGGATATTCGACGGCTTTACTGGCTTTCAGTCCTATGGGCGAAGAAACTGGATTTACCGCTCAAGTTCACAAAGACTTTCTGGAATGGGTCCTTTCTGTTTATCGAAAATCACTGGAAAATATCGTTTGCATTATCGGAGACAATTGTGAGACAAACAAAGCTTTGAGCAACTTTTGTGGCAAGCCATTTGTCGGCTGCGCTTCGCACCGCTTCCATCTTGCTATGATGAAATTCATGGAAGGTTCGAGGGATGCATTGGAGAAAGTTAATTCTTTGATGGTGAAACTCAAAAGTTTGAAATTGGCCGGCGAACTGCGGAAGCATACGATCTTGACTCCCTGCCCTATGAATGTGACGCGATGGAGCTCAACTGCGAATATGCTGAACAGATACTTCGAGCTTATGCCTCATCTTTTCAATTTCGAAGAAAATCTGGAGTTATTGGATCTCATGCCAACTCCAAGAGAGAATACTCAATTACAGGAGCTCAAAAAAGTTCTCTCTAAACTGGACTCGGTTACGAAAGCTTTACAACGAAGCGATGTGGACTTGGCTGACGTCCGGTGTGTTTTTGATGAAGTGATTCGACGTCATCCGGAGACGGCAAGTTACCTCGGACCTGATGCCAAGATTATCCACTCGATGGAATTCGAAAATGGAGCCAGAAAGATCGTGGAAACTAAAGACAGTTCCTTGACTCCTCTGGAGAGAAATGCTGTCGAGAGTCTAAAGATTTCCGACACTGCAACTGCTAGTGAGTCTGAACCGGTGCATGACTTTGCTATTTCCCTTTTAAAGAAGCGCAAGACAACCGATTCCAAATACCTGGATTGCAGATTCATTCTGCCCACAAGCAACATCGTTGAGCGCTTCTTTTCTACCGCTGGCAATTGTTTCAGTGAATTCAGGCAAAAACTGCTGCCTATGAATTTAGAGATGCAACTCTTTCTAAAAATTAACAAAAGCTGGTGGCCCGATGCACAGTCTGTCACGGAGGCTTCTGTTAGCATGTGATGAACACTTGGTTGCAACCCTTTTTGCCTTTTTGACAATCACATAATTTATGTGATTGTATTTGTATTCTTGTTAGATTTCTAAATTTGTTTTTTTGCAGGCCTACACTTTCGAAAAACTCGAATTATGCCATGTTTACATTACATTTTTTATTTTCTTCTTCCCTTTTTCATTCTTAATGGGAATCCGAAAACTTATACAACCTAATTGTGTGGCTTATGACATAGAGAAAAAAGTTAAATACATTTACTGTTGCTATACCTATTGCTATTGCCTGTACAATAGACCTACCTATTTCTATACGATATTAGCGTTAGTGTGCGTTCTAGTACTAAAAAGATATGTAGACAAAGTATACAAGGGTTGTCAAAAATTAATTGAGTTTCAATTAATTGATTTGACAAAGCATCAATTTCAATTAATTGATTGGACAAAGCATCAATTTCAATTAATTGATTGGACAAAGCATCAATTTCAATTAATTGATTGGGCAGACCAATTTAATTGCAGTCAATTATTGACAACCCCTGCTTGTCATATTCTTCTCAATATCACTAATACTCTTCCCCTTGGTGGATTTCTGCATGTTGCAAATGACTTGCTGTGAGACTTTTTTAGGGCTAAGGACTTCCATTATGACTGGTATGTAATCCATGACTGCGCAAGTGGATTATGAAATGAATACTTAAGAAAGATCACATTTCAAATCCTGTTTTGATGTCAGAGTGGAAATGAGTAACAGGGGCACAGTTTCATTAATTCTGTTTTCATATTACTTCTGTTCCCAAGCTAAAACAGACCGTAGTTTTTCCTTATACATAACTGATCGCAGTTCCAAGCTTGTCTTTTGTTGGACCCTGCATTCCACCACTAGTTTTCTTATACAAATGATTAAACCTGCTATTACTGTTTAATTGACTGGCAGCTTCAAGCTCTAAACGATATGCCTCAAAGCGTTTATCGTCACTCTCATGTAAGATAACGCTCACCAACTATGGCTTCCAAACTCCGTAGATCTAACCACGTTTGATATTCCTTAGAGAAAATCAAAATTAATCATCAATAATATGAAGCTATAGGATGAGGAACTTTTTTAATAGGGAAATCGCGCATATCGCACCACTTCCATGGTACTTCTAACGACTATGTTGATTAATGCACAACGCCACAACCCCCGTCCAAAAAGAATTGGAGTATTAGACACTCTAGGACTGACTTTCTATGCATATGTCATAAAAACCGGGGAGTATGAAATCCTCCACTCTCTAAAGTGTGAAATCCTCCACACTCTCTAAAGTGTGAAATCCTCCACACTTCCTAAAGTGTGAAATCCTCCACACTCCCTAAAGTGTGACATCCTCCACACTCCCTAAAATACGAAATCCTCAACACTCCCTAAAGTGGGACCTGAGCACGCCAGGCATACCTGTAGCCATGAATGAGCGAGAGATTTGTCACATGACAAGCGGTAACGTTTATCGACTTGTAGTAATCTATTAATTAGATCAATTCCTTGCTCAGAGATTTCTTGCCATGGATCAGGAGGATACATAAACGCAGCGTTTTTTATTTGATCTGCTATCTCTTCGTCTTCATTGAAGGGAAATGTACCGCTTAGGCTAAACGATAGAAAAATGTAACATCAAGTTTTCTGATAGCCGATTAGTACGCATAGCAACCAAGGGCGAGGGAGTTGAGACTGGAGCTCCCTGAGTTGAGTGACTGGAAACTGGGTATTTGTAACAATAGTTGTGATGCATGTAGACATTTCTGCTGTTGCATTCGGACAACTTGCCAAATGCTTCCACCTCACCCTCAATCATACTGAAGGCAACAATTTTTAAGTTAAGTAAACTAAAAATTACTCTCGAAGGGCATTTCAAAGGTCTTCTCCATGTAATTTTCCCATGAAATTATATGAATTATCACCTTTTAGCTAGAAATTATACCTGACGTATATAATAACACCAACAGACCACATGTCAATACTTCTGTTGTATCCTCGATTTCTTAAAACTTCGGGAGCAAGATAGGCAGGTGTGCCGACGACTGAACGACGAAATGATTTCTCGCCAATGATACGGGCAAAACCAAAATCACAGAGTTTGATCTATTATCAAAGGCAAGACGATGTCGTGAATGAGACCCCTGACACAGCTTTATCTTAGTCATGTTTTTAAATAAATCATTGACGATAAATATTTGTGGATGTCGATCTTTATGGCTTGAGTAGCGAGGAGAAGAACTGTTGGTGTAGGTATTGACTAACATTTCGACGTCCTTAGCGGGAGTTAGAGTCAAGGACAGAATCAATGTGAGGTTCATCGTGCTAATTGCCTGGTTCAATGGATGGACTCTTCAGAGTATTCTGAAGATGACTAGCGCTAAGAATTTTGAAACAGCAGTCAACACTAACACCATCTATCCTTCTAAGAACTGCACTAACAAAAAACAATATCGACAAGACTTCCGGGTTAAAAACATTCACTTTATCAATAATAATCTATCCTAACCACCAATTAACCCTCGCCTTCTAACACTACTCCTTATTATACCTGAGGAAATCCACAATCCGAGCAGTTTGATGATAGTAACACGTTTTCGGGCTTTAGGTCGCAATGTACAACATTTTTTGAATGAAGATGTTTCAAAGCGATTAAAATCTAGATAGAGGTAATCTTGCATGATCATATGTCTATAAAAGGGCCTTCCTATCTATACTTCCAATAATTTTGATTCAAAATTTCTCTATTGTTTAGGAGTACAAAAAGTTGATAGATGATAGCGTTGATCATTTACTAATTGATGTACGACCAACAAATGAATTGGAAATTTGTCAACTTTCAACTTCACGTCATTTTATCAGTATGTTTTTACACTCTATGTCATCAATTATTCATTTATATAAGATCGCTTTTCAAGGTCAATAGGAATACATAAAATACGTAAAAGACAGGATAATTTAGTGGATTGTCTAGGCTTCAACCTTAATTTTTCATTTGTAGATCTACCGATTCGTGACATTGAAGGCGTTGGGCTAAGGAAGAAAATCACTGACGACATTGTTTCACTATTGACGCAAATCAACTGCAAAAATCGTCCAATTCCAAGTAAGTTAAGTAACGACGTTTGGATAGTTTTTTTGTGGATATCATTTTTTCTCATTCTTGACGAAGGAAAAGGAAAATTAACGACATCGATTTTTGTCTAGTTGTTGCAGTGTGTCGTTATGGAAATGACTCACAGAGGGCTGTTGTCATACTGAAAAAAATTTTACTCCACCTCGAAGTCACAGTTAAAGATATATTTGGTGGACTGGATAAATGGAGTGAAGAAATAGATCCTTCTTTTCCTAGATATTGATTCATTTGAAGCAACTTGTTGAAACATTTGTGTAATATTAAAAACATTTGGATTTAATTTTGTTTTGTGAGAAACCAAAGAATAGTTACGTCATAATGTAATCACGTGTTCCGTAATCTGTAACTTGATAATTTTCTGTTTTTGCTTGGTATATGGCGTTTTCTACATGTGCCTGCACTATGTGAAGTTAATACTGTTGAATAAACCTTCTCTCTATTAACAAAAGGTTCAGATTATTTTATCAAGAATTATATTTTATTTCCCACAAACCTGAGAAATTTGGACTATCTTTCCTTCTTAGGGTCAGCCCTCCTCTATGCTGTTCGACTGTCTTTAGAAAGCTAATATGTGTATTAAGGAAAAAGTTGTAAGATGTAGCCATGTCGTACGATGATTTTGCAACAAATGAAATGTAACAGCTTCATTTTTGAGTCTTGGACTCTTGATCAGTGGCGTGCGGTGACCGAATTTAATAGGCAAGCGCTGGGGGTGAGGTTCGCGGCAAGCCGCGAACCTATCTAGGGGGTCTGGGGGCATGCTCCCCCAGAAAATTTTTGGATTTTGAAGGGTACTGGAGCGCATTTCCAGCGATTTCTGGGAGTACTTTGTCGAAAAAAATGTATCTGTCATGACTGAAACAGTATTGAAAAAATCTAAAAAATTCAAAAACTTTTATAGAGTATATATTACAATTACGGTTTAAAAGTATTACATGTGGTATTGTGATATAAAGTCGTTTTAAGTAAATGGCTACGCGTGTATTTCTATTGTAGTGAAGAAGTAACAGAACGAAATAGTCCAAAATCCTACAACAGATTTACTTAAATGTAAATTCCATCCGTCTTTCCTTTGCGCAAAACTCCTTTATAACGTCCTCATAGAATCGTGGCTTCCCCTGCAAACTTACCAACATCTCCCTCTCGATTGAAATTCTAGCCAATGCAGAAAGTCGCTCTTGCCCTTGTGTACTGCGAAGATACGTTTTGATACGCTTGAGAGCCGAAAATGATCTTTCTGCAGAGGAGGACGTATTTGGCATAGTAAGAATGAGCTGACACAATCGGTACACCTCTGGAAAACAGGCTTTCAAGTCAAGTTCGATTATTTTTGATATCATATCAAAAACAGGTTTCGATTTGAGCTCGGCAGATGCGTATACAACGATTAGTTCACTTTTTAGTGCTTGAAGATTAAAGAATGTTCCATATGAATCTTGCAACGATTGCAGCTCTCGTTCGGGAAAATTCCGGCTGTACAATTCGTGCTTTGAATGATCCAACAAAGAAACGAATGCTCTGCTGTTAAGACTTTCGAATCTAGAGTCAATCTGCACGACAATGGTATCGACTACACAGAAAAACATTTGACGGAAGGACGCCTTTACATCCTCTTCACTTTGCCCGCGTTTCAGTGCTACTTTGACGATACTTGACGTAAAATTCCAATAATCTACGAATTTTGTTCGTTGTTCTTGAATCTTATCTTTCGTCTCGCGAACTTTCGTGACACAGAAGACAATATCGAACTGCTTACTCTGAATGATATTATACTTTATAATTACGTAAAACAACTCAAATTTCAAGTACATTATCCGCTGTGTAATAACTGCACCTTCTTTAACCAAATATATAAAAAGCCTGTAAATAAATTCTAACACATAGAACACTCACGACTGCTGTAAATAACTTCTTTGCTAGTGAATAAAATAATCACAAAATTTAATAGCGTTCTAGTACATTGAACTCACGTTCGGAGCTCATACGAAAGACTTATATATAACGCTAAAATCTACCGGATACAAATATCAATACTACGCAAAAGGAAGCTCTTGTCAATATCATAATCTTGTAATACATGCTACAGATAATATCTTCTACATACATAAATTGCAAGACAATAGGCGCGAAATGTATTGTAGCAGTCGTGATTATAACAATTAAGAACAGCCAGTTTCGCGCACAAAATTGGCACGGTGTGTTACAAACTGAGGCCATGGCGTTGTTTAATGTTTATAATGACGTCATGGCAACGTGTTCTCCCGTTCTTCAAAATGTGTCTGGCACTGACTCGTACGTTTCAGAATATCGGAGAGTCGTGTTTATTATTTAGTATCTTGTACCTTTTATTTTTAGTCATTAATTTACGAATTCAACGACACAAGACTGACAAGAGCATAGTGTTTTGGTCATAATGCTAGTCATACTTTACCACAACACACGTTTGCGTGCATTTCGATATCTCTGCAGACTGCGGCCCCTGCTTGTTTACGCACATTGTGCGCAGAAAATAATAAAATAACCAGTAAAGCACCTACTATTTTGAATTAGAAATCAGAACATTACCTTTCGCTCTCAGTCATCTTTTAATAAACGATAACATTAACGGCGTGAATAATTCGGATGTCCAATGTGTTGAATATACGAATATTATTCGTGCGCTGATATGTGTTTAAAATTACGAGCGTACAAGACTGTTCACCAATCGCTATCAAGCGGCGCCCTTAGAAGCGCCGCTTGCCTTTTCTCGATATTCGTCGAATAAGAAGCCTCCCAAATCTAGATTAACGCATGCGCAAATGTTCAAATTGAGCTCCGAAGGCAAGCGCGCTTGCCTTGGTTAATAAATAAGAAATTTTTAAGGTGTATTTAATCCACTTGACTCATCTTACAAGTGTAGCAAAGTGAAACCGAAAACCACAACAGTAAATCGCGTATAAATAGCAAGCATTTCAACTGTAAAGACAATTTAGACAAAAGATTACAGTGACATTGTTTAGAACTGAAAATTTTAAACTGATTTTGCTCAGAGATTGATCCAAAAAATTTTTGTTCGGTAAAATGCTTAGGCAAGCGGCGCTTGCCTACGCTTGCATGACGGCACGCCACTGCTCTTGATGCAGTCTATATCAACGATTTCAAATCTATATCAACGATTTCAATACATCTATATATCATGCTAACATTTTAAATGTAATCATACACAATTTGCAGTCGTTTATATTTTGGTCATATAAACTCTAAATGTTTGTCTTTGTCAATGCCAAACTTTTCTTTATACTCTTCAAAGATTTCTTTAAGACCTTCAAGGTAGCGTTGGTGAAGATTTTCAATGTCTTCAATGCTTGGATCAGTGTTTGCCACAATATGAATTGGTCTACCAACTGGAACAATATTATGGATGTTTTAGGATACTGGTGTAAGAAGGGACTTTTTAAAAAATGGTTTATGAACAATGATGCTGCTGGCCAATGCTGTATCACTTACCTATGGTATGGACTGGTTTGCGAAATGGGACCAAACCGAATGTGTATTGAAATATCCCTCGGCCATAGAAGAGTGGTGGAGAGAATGTTGCAATGTCCTTCACTTTAGTCTGAATCTTCCTAAGGTATGAGCCTTCTGGATTGGGATATTGCTTGAATAAGTCATTTTCACCAAAGCAAAATACAGGCACTAGTGATGCACTAAAATAATAAATGAGAGGAACTGTTATGCCACAGCACTTTTATAATGAATATTAATTTTTCATTGGCTTTGTGAATTGACTACAAAAGTACTTTTGGTTTTTGATGAAGTCACTTTAAGCCACCACATGATGTAAAAAGAAAATTTACAAAACTTTTCAACATACCCTGTCTTTAGAGCAATTTTTACAAAACCTTTCCTATTCTTTAGTACCAACGTATAGTTCCCTGGTCTGGCCTCCAGTGCTTCAGAAGCACCACCAACCAACACAACACATGAATGACCAGGGCCCATTTTTGTCAATATGTGTTTCAAACTTTCTCTTGATGCTGGACATATACCCATGGCCAACAAAAATTCACGAAGAAATGGAATCTTAAACTGGATGTTCAGGGTTATTAGATGCACAGTAAGACCCGGAAAATGTTTTGAAAATCCAGTTGCTTCCGAGGCGAAATTCCCCGTTGATCCAACAGCCATAACGCCATGAGGATGGCAGCCAAAGAGGTAATTCTTTGATTCATCTAGCTCATGCGTTTTTATTAAACGTAATGGAAAGTATTCGGCGCAATAATTCCATACTTTTAACCGCCTCATAGCGGGAAAATATCGCCCCCCTCTGTGAGGTGTATCCTTGTCAATCATGTAAATCCAAGCTAGATACAACAGCAAAAATATCCTCGTGAAGAGATTAATGTACAATAGGAAAAGACAAACTAGTACACAAAATATATGACCAAACATAAATGTCGAGCCAACAATCCAAACAAGAAAAGTTTGTCGACGTCTTTTTACAGGTATTTTAAGCGGTGCCCACTCGATTCCAAAAGCTTTCGCCATAGTGGAGGTTTTGCAAGACTAGCAAGTATTTGTTGAATGAAAACAACTTAACAAAATGGAAGCAGTTCAAGGTCCAAAGTGTAAAACATTCACATGTAATTACAGGAAGTCACAAGGTCAGCATCTTTTCGTAAGGGTAATACATTTTTTAAGACAACTAAAACTTATAAATCAACTTTTTATCATCTATACTCCCTTTTCCTTCAACCATTATTCTAAACCAGAGGAGAACAAATACATTAAGAATCACAATCTGAGCTTAACATCTTTGAAATCGTTGATATAGACTGCATCAAGAGCAGTGGCGTGCCGTCACGCAAGCGTAGGAAATTCCAATAATCTACGAATTTTGTTCGTTGTTCTTGAATCTTATCTTTCGTCTCGCGAACTTTCGTGACACAGAAGACAATATCGAACTGCTTACTCTCTGAATGATATTATACTTTATAATTACGTAAAACAACTCAAATTTCAAGTACATTATCCGCTGTGTAATAACTGCACCTTCTTTAACCAAATATATGAAAAGCCTGTAAATAAATTCTAACACATAGAACACTCACGACTGTTGTAAATAACTTCTTTGCTAGTGAATAAAATAATCACAAAATTTAATAGCGTTCTAGTACATTGAACTCACGTTCGGAGCTCATACGAAAGACTTATATATAACGCTAAAATCTACCGGATACAAATATCAATACTACGCAAAAGGAAGCTCTTGTCAATATCATAATCTTGTAATACATGCTACAGATAATGTCTTCTACATACATAAATTGCAAGACAATAGGCGCGAAATGTATTGTAGCAGTCGTGATTATAACAATTAAGAACAGCCAGTTTCGCGCACAAAAATGGCACGGTGTGTTACAAACTGAGGCCATGGCGTTGTTTAATGTTTATAATGACGTCATGGCAACGTGTTCTCCCGTTCTTCAAATTGTGTCTGGCACTGACTCGTACGTTTCAGAATATCGGAGAGTCGTGTTTATTATTTAGTATCTTGTACCTTTTATTTTTAGTCATTAATTTACGAATTCAACGACACAAGACTGACAAGAGCATAGTGTTTTGGTCATAATGCTAGTCATACTTTACCACAACACACGTTTGCGTGCATTTCGATATCTCTGCAGACTGCGGCCCCTGCTTGTTTACGCACATTGTGCGCAGAAAATAATAAAATAACCAGTAAAGCACCTACTATTTTGAATTAGAAATCAGAACATTACCTTTCGCTCTCAGTCATCTTTTAATAAACGATAACATTAACGGCGTGAATAATTCGGATGTCCAATGTGTTGAATATACGAATATTATTCGTGCGCTGATATGTGTTTAAAATTACGAGCGTACAAGACTGTTCACCAATCGCTATCAAGCGGCGCCCTTAGAAGCGCCGCTTGCCTTTTCTCGATATTCGTCGAATAAGAAGCCTCCAAATCTAGATTAACGCATGCGCAAATGTTCAAATTGAGCTCCGAAGGCAAGCGCGCTTGCCTTGGTTAATAAATAAGAAATTTTAATGTGTATTTAATCCACTTGACTCATCTTACAAGTGTAGCAAAGTGAAACCGAAAACCACGACAGTAAATCGCGTATAAATAGCAAGCATTTCAACTGTAAAGACAATTTAGACAAAAGATTACAGTGACATTGTTTAGAACCGAAAATTTTAAACTGATTTTGCTCAGAGATTGATCCAAAAAATTTTTGTTCGGTAAAATGCTTAGGCAAGCGGCGCTTGCCTACGCTTGCATGACGGCACGCCACTGCTCTTGATGCAGTCTATATCAACGATTTCAAATCTATATCAACGATTTCAATACATCTATATATCATGCTAACATTTTAAATGTAATCATACACAATTTGCAGTCGTTTATATTTTGGTCATATAAACTCTAAATGTTTGTCTTTGTCAATGCCAAACTTTTCTTTATACTCTTCAAAGATTTCTTTAAGACCTTCAAGGTAGCGTTGGTGAAGATTTTCAATGTCTTCAATGCTTGGATCAGTGTTTGCCACAATATGAATCGGTCTACCAACTGGAACAATATTATGGATGTTTTAGGATACTGGTGTAAGAAGGGACTTTTTAAAAAATGGTTTATGAACAATGATGCTGCTGGCCAATGCTGTATCACTTACCTATGGTATGGACTGGTTTGCGAAATGGGACCAAACCGAATGTGTATTGAAATATCCCTCGGCCATAGAAGAGTGGTGGAGAGAATGTTGCAATGTCCTTCACTTTAGTCTGAATCTTCCTAAGGTATGAGCCTTCTGGATTGGGATATTGCTTGAATAAGTCATTTTCACCAAAGCAAAATACAGGCACTAGTGATGCACTAAAATAATAAATGAGAGGAACTGTTATGCCACAGCACTTTTATAATGAATATTAATTTTTCATTGGCTTTGTGAATTGACTACAAAAGTACTTTTGGTTTTTGATGAAGTCACTTTAAGCCACCACATGATGTAAAAAGAAAATTTACAAAACTTTTCAACATACCCTGTCTTTAGAGCAATTTTTACAAAACCTTTCCTATTCTTTAGTACCAACGTATAGTTCCCTGGTCTGGCCTCCAGTGCTTCAGAAGCACCACCAACCACCACAACACATGAATGACCAGGGCCCATTTTTGTCAATATGTGTTTCAAACTTTCTCTTGATGCTGGACATATACCCATGGCCAACAAAAATTCACGAAGAAATGGAATCTTAAACTGGATGTTCAGGGTTATTAGATGCACAGTAAGACCCGGAAAATGTTTTGAAAATCCAGTTGCTTCCGAGGCGAAATTCCCCGTTGATCCAACAGCCATAACGCCATGAGGATGGCAGCCAAAGAGGTAATTCTTTGATTCATCTAGCTCATGCGTTTTTATTAAACGTAATGGAAAGTATTCGGCGCAATAATTCCATACTTTTAACCGCCTCATAGCGGGAAAATATCGCCCCCCTCTGTGAGGTGTATCCTTGTCAATCATGTAAATCCAAGCTAGATACAACAGCAAAAATATCCTCGTGAAGAGATTAATGTACAATAGGAAAAGACAAACTAGTACACAAAATATATGACCAAACATAAATGTCGAGCCAACAATCCAAACAAGAAAAGTTTGTCGACGTCTTTTTACAGGTATTTTAAGCGGTGCCCACTCGATTCCAAAAGCTTTCGCCATAGTGGAGGTTTTGCAAGACTAGCAAGTATTTGTTGAATGAAAACAACTTAACAAAATGGAAGCAGTTCAAGGTCCAAAGTGTAAAACATTCACATGTAATTACAGGAAGTCACAAGGTCAGCATCTTTTCGTAAGGGTAATACATTTTTTAAGACAACTAAAACTTATAAATCAACTTTTTATCATCTATACTCCCTTTTCCTTCAACCATTATTCTAAACCAGAGGAGAACAAATACATTAAGAATCACAATCTGAGCTTAACATCTTTGAAATCGTTGATATAGACTGCATCAAGAGCAGTGGCGTGCCGTCACGCAAGCGTAGGAAATTCCAATAATCTACGAATTTTGTTCGTTGTTCTTGAATCTTATCTTTCGTCTTGCGAACTTTCGTGACACAAAAGACAATATCGAACTGCTTACTCTGAATGACGTAAAACAACTCAAATTTCAAGTACATTATCCGCTGTGTAATAACTGCACCTTCTTTAACCAAATATATAAAAAGCCTGTAAATAAATTCTAACACATAGAACACTCACGACTGTTGTAAATAACTTCTTTGCTAGTGAATAAAATAATCACAAAATTTAATAGCGTTCTAGTACATTGAACTCACGTTCGGAGCTCATACGAAAGACTTATATATAACGCTAAAATCTGCCGGATACAAATATCAATACTACGCAAAAGGAAGCTCTTGTCAATATCATAATCTTGTAATACATGCTACAGATAATATCTTCTACATACATAAATTGCAAGACAATAGGCGCGAAATGTATTGTAGCAGTCGTGATTATAACAATTAAGAACAGCCAGTTTCGCGCACAAAATTGGCACGGTGTGTTACAAACTGAGGCCATGGCGTTGTTTAATGTTTATAATGACGTCATGGCAACGTGTTCTCCCGTTCTTCAAAATGTGTCTGGCACTGACTCGTACGTTTCAGAATATCGGAGAGTCGTGTTTATTATTTAGTATCTTGTACCTTTTATTTTTAGTCATTAATTTACGAATTCAACGACACAAGACTGACAAGAGCATAGTGTTTTGGTCATAATGCTAGTCATACTTTACCACAACACACGTTTGCGTGCATTTCGATATCTCTGCAGACTGCGGCCCCTGCTTGTTTACGCACATTGTGCGCAGAAAATAATAAAATAACCAGTAAAGCACCGAGCGTACAAGACTGTTCACCAATCGCTATCAAGCGGCGCCCTTAGAAGCGCCGCTTGCCTTTTCTCGATATTCGTCGAATAAGAAGCCTCCAAATCTAGATTAACGCATGCGCAAATGTTCAAATTGAGCTCCGAAGGCAAGCGCGCTTGCCTTGGTTAATAAACAAAAAATTTTTAAGGTGTATTTAATCCACTAGACTCATCTTACAAGTGTAGCAAAGTGAAACCGAAAACCACGACAGTAAATCGCGTATAAATAGCAAGCATTTCAACTGTAAAGACAATTTAGACAAAAGATTACAGTGACATTGTTTAGAACCGAAAATTTTAAACTGATTTTGCTCAGAGATTGATCCAAAAAATTTTTGTTCGGCAAGCCGCGAACCTCACCCCCAGCGCTTGCCTATTAAATTCGGTCTCCGCACGCCACTGATGCTATTACCAGTTTATTTAACAAATTATGTGAAATTTACATTCTGTGTTTAGGTCAAATTATCATACAATAAAATTCTCTTGTCATATTCTTCTCGATATCACTAATACTCTTCCCCTCGGTGGATTTCTGCATGTTGCAAATGACTTGCTGTGAGACTTTTTTAGGGCTAAGGACTTCCATTTATGACTGGTATGTAATCCATGACTGCGCAAGTGGATTATGAAATGAATACTTAAGAAAGATCACATTTCAAATCCTGTTTTGATGTCAGAGTGGAAATGAGTAACAGGGGCACAGTTTCATTAATTCTGTTTTCATATTACTTCTGTTCCCAAGCTAAAACAGACCGTAGTTTTTCCTTATACATAACTGATCGCAGTTCCAAGCTTGTCTTTTGCTGGACCCTGCATTCCACCACTAGTTTTCTTATACAAATGATTAAACCTGCTATTACTGTTTAATTGACTGGCAGCTTCAAGCTCTAAACGATATGCCTCAAAGCGTTTATCGTCACTCTCATGTGTAAGATAACGCTCACCAACTATGGCTTCCAAACTCCGTAGATCTAACCACGTTTGATATTCCTTAGAGAAAAATCAAAAATTAATCATCAATAATATGAAGCTATAGGATGAGGAACTTTTTTAATAGGGAAATCGCGCATATCGCACAACTTCCATGGTACTTCTAACGACTATGTTGATTAACGCACAACGCCACAACCCCCGTCCAAAAAGAATTGGAGTATTAGACACTCTAGGACTGACTTTCTATGCATATGTCATAAAAACCGGGGAGTATGAAATCCTCCACTCTCTAAAGTGTGAAATCCTCCACACTCCCTAAAGTGTGAAATCCTCCACACTCCCTAAAGTGTGACATCCTCCACACTCGCTAAAATACGAAATCCTCAACACTCCCTAAAGTGGGACCTGAGCACGCCAGGCATACCTGTAGCCATGAATGAGCGAGAGATTTGTCACATGACAAGCGGTAACGTTTATCGACTTGTAGTAATCTATTAATTAGATCAATTCCTTGCTCAGAGATTTCTTGCCATGGATCAGGAGGATACATAAACGCAGCGTTTTTTATTTGATCTGCTATCTCTTCGTCTTCATTGAAGGGAAATGTACCGCTTAGGCTAAACGATAGAAAAAATTAACATCAAGTTTTCTGATAGCCGATTAGTACGCATAGCAACCAAGGGCGAGGGAGTTGAGACTGGAGCTCCCTGAGTTGAGTGACTGGAGACTGGGTATTTGTAACAATAGTTGTGATGCATGTAGACATTTCTGCTGTTGCATTCGGACAACTTGCCAAATGCTTCCACCTCACCCTCAATCATACTGAAGGCAACAATTTTTAAGTTAAGTAAACTAAAAATTACTCTCGAAGGGCATTTGAAGGGTCTTCTCCATGTAATTTTCCCATTAAATTATATGAATTTTCACCTTTTAGCTAGAAATTATACCTGACGTATATAATAACACCAACAGACCACATGTCAATACTTCTGTTGTATCCTCGATTTCTTAAAACTTCGGGAGCAAGATAGGCAGGCGTGCCGACGACTGAACGACGAAATGATTTCTCGCCAATGATACGGGCAAAACCAAAATCACAGAGTTTGATCTATTATCAAAGGCAAGACGATGTCGTGAATGAGACCCCTGACACAGCTTTATCTTAGTCATGTTTTTAAATAAATCATTGACGATAAATATTTGTAGATGTTGATCTTTATGGCTAGAGTAGCGAGGAGAAGAACTGTTGGTGTAGGTATTGACTAACATTTCGACGTCCTTAGCGGGAGTTAGAGTCAAGGACAGAATCAATGTGAGGTTCATCGTGCTAATTGCCTGGTTCATTGGATGGACTCTTCAGAGTATTCTGAAGATGACTAGCGCTAAGAATTTTGAAACAGCAGTCAACACTAACACCATCTATTCTATCCTTCTAAGAGCTGCACTAACAAAAAACAATATCGACAAGACTTCCGGGTTAAAAACATTCACTTTATCAATAATAATCTATCCTAACCACCAATTAACCCTCGCCTTCTAACACTACTCCTTATCATACCTGAGGAAATCCACAATCCGAGCAGTTTGATGATAGTAACACGTTTTCGGGCTTTAGGTCGCAATGTACAACATTTTTTGAATGAAGATGTTTCAAAGCGATTAAAATCTACATAGATGTAATATCTTGCATGATCACACGTATACCTGGGGCGAGTTGCGAGAAGCTTGGCGATAGGGTTAGGTTAGGGTATACCTGGGGCGAGTTGCGAGAAGCTTGGCGATAGGGTTAGGGTTAGGGTATACCTGGGGCGAGTTGCGAGAAGCTTGGCGATAGGGTTATCAAGTTATTAGGGGTAATAATGGTTTCAAAAAATATTAAAAAGACAAAAAGCTATTGGACTATCAATAGAATAAAACGTCAACTCAACGATAGCAAAACTTTCTTTTTGTGAAGAAAAAAAAACTATTTTAATACACTAAGAATGTGTTCAATATTCGAAATCGAGGGGTAGTGCAATAAAGAAACGAATTAAAAAAAAGGGAAAAAACAACCAGGAAATTTACAAACTTACAGGAAACATTGAGTGAATTTAGAATACAGAGTTTAGTTGCACGAACACTGGATAACGTTATCCATTGGTTAGTAATATTTTCAAACTTGTAAAAAAGTTGTTAATATTTTCATTCCGACATAGAAATTTTTTTTTAATCTGGGAAGCAATATTTCCTTTTAGCTAATGCTCATTTCAAAGAGGTTTTTTTAAACGTTCAAAAAATTTTTCTATCCAGTGGATAGCGCTATTCGGTCTTCATGCTACCGGGCCCAGTTATGCAAGCGCATCAAAAACGAAAATCAGATTACACTGTAATCTGTATTTTGTAACTTAAACAATACCATTAAGGAATTTTCAGGCAGCCGATATCTGCTTTGTGCAAAAGTTTGTTTTAGGTAGTTAGTGACGAACATTATCTCAGGAAATGTTCATTTTTGAAATTTTCTGCCTGGAAGTGAAATACTTTATCCAGGCCTTGCCATACCCAACCATTGTAAGACTTAAACCTGCTTTCCACTAGCCACGTATCGTAACGTATCGTAACGTATCGTAGCAAAACGTAACAGGGCGCATGCGTGCTTATGAATTTGATGGTCACTAGGCACAATCATGCATGCACCATGCTACGTTTTGCTACGATACGTCACGATACGTGGTCTAGTAGAAAACAGGCTTTAGACTTTCATTTAACCCAACCCAATAATGAAATAATATTTACAAAGCCACTAAATAGCAAACAATAACCAACACATTTCTCTTTGATACCAATAATGAACACCTGTTATGTCACTATCCGGGCTTTATGCAACCGTCCCCCATAGTCCTAAAAACGATCGAGTCTACTTCTTAATCATACCTGATATATCATAAACTTCGTGCACCTTTCCGTTAATCTTCCTTTCGTACTAGACAATATAAGTTCTAACATGTCTCCCTTGAGCTTTTCCATTACGACAAAGATCTGGAAACACATAAACAAAAGGAACACTCAACGCAATAATTGATGATGAAGAAGATGGACACAGAGACGTGAGAAGACCGTTACCTTTTCCACAGTTTCGAAAAAGTGATATAAATTAACGACTCCTTGGTGACGTAAGTCCTAAATGAGAAATGGGAAGAAATGGTCGCCTTGGACGACGATAGCTTTTTATGTGACATAGCTATTTAAAGAAACCGTAGAGTCAAGACCTGTAAAATAGCCACTTCGTTTTTTAGTTGTGTGGCCTGTTTTGTCGGAAAGCGAAGTTTATTGACAATTTTTACGGCAACTTCGTTACCAGTCTCCCGATGAACACCTAAAATTCAACAAAAGTTCATAAAGCACAATGAATAAATGGCGTTTTTCGCAAACATCGATGAATAAGATTGTACAAACCTCCGTAGACAATACCAAATTGGCCAGAACCAAGAATTTCGTCTGGAAAGACTTGATAAAGTTGAGATAGGTCCTTAAAAAGTAAATTTTGAAGAAGTTTTCAAAAGAGCAAATTCGGAGCTTAACAAGGAATTTCGAGAGGGGGTGGGGATGGGGCTGTGGAGCCAATGAACTGACTTTTTGATTTGGCAATGGAAATTTTTTGATTGTAACGCGATAATAGAGCGATTATGCATTTAAAAATTGGTGGAGGTTTTTATAACCGCGCCTCGCCGCGTCTAATGTGCGCCTTTTTATTTCCCCTGTTCATCAAACCTCCATTGGCAACTCTCAAATTAGCAAGATTGAAGTAGAACTATACCTGCTTTGGTTTAAGTTCTGTTTGTTTTTCATCCTTTGGTTTCTCCTCTTTCTCTGCATTATCATCAAGAAAAACTCATTGAAGAAATTGAAGTATTGAACAACCCATGTGTGTCGCAAACCTTGCTGTTTAGATCCCGCAGTAGTACTGGTCTGCGGCGTGACGCATCCTGGATTAAGGGCAGACTTGATAGCCTCGGCCCAAGCAAGTCCCAGCCTTGTCCCAATCCCAGCATCCCTATCGACGGGACCAGTATCTTGCAAGTTATCTGTTTGACCAACGTAGTAGGTAGCAACGCGTGTCTTCATTTCAAAACAATGAGGTTGTCTTGATGTATCTGTTTTTTGTCGATCTATGTTCGTATCCACTGATAATACTTCCGATAGCGGAATGTCCTGGAACAAAAAAATCCGTATATCTCACGTGATGTTCCTTTGTTCAAATCTCGTATACAAACATGAATAAGGATCTTGAACTGGACATATTTAGTATTAACATTTGGCCTAAAATACAATTCCGGTGTAGAAATGATGATAGCAAAACGATTAAAATTCCCTGGTAATTCAAAGATTTAAACACAGAAGCGCGCAGTAGACAAAAAAGAGCGCAAATTTGGCACATTTTTTTCTTCAGGTACTTTCTAAAACAATAGAGGTGTGAACGAAGTGTTCGGCCACCCTCAGACTTATCATTATCTTGTTCACTCCCAAAGAAACTTTCTGTCAAAGGTTAAAGTTTATCATACAATCCAAACAAAGAAAGACATTCATACAGCATTTTTCCAAACAATACAGGAAAGCGCGAAGAACATTTCTAATGAGCATGGCTTACCTAAGTAGGAAAAACTAATGGCAAAATTATAACACATCTTGACTATAATGGTTGTAAAAACAAAATTAACGAAAACATAATTTCTAAAGAAAGAGCTCATTTTATATTTTATATTATAGTACACGACCAGATACTTACCTTATAGTAATTTTTTCCTTCCGAACTTTGAAATAACGTAATGCACTTCGTGTCCAATCGCCAATAATGTTTTCTTCTCTATCAAACATACAACAAAAACATCACTGGTACCTTAACGTGAAGTGCAATAGACTGAAAAAATTCATGGATATAAAGTATACACGCATTGACATCAGAAAGCGCACGAAAAAAATAAGAAATGTACATACATTACTATCTTTTTCGGTGAAATGAACCATCCATCCTTGTTTCAATACTTTGGATGCTCTTTTCTTGGTGTGTTTCACGGATACGACTATTCTTTGAAGCGGAATGTTTGAACTTTCAGTTGCCTCGAGCTTCGGAGGTTTGGGCTCGACTGTAAAAACCATTGAAAATCTTTTAAATTAAGAATAAGCGAGAATTTATAGAAACTACCTCAACGTGACGGCGTTTCTCAAGCATTGTAGGGAGGGGTGGAGGGGATGGGACGAGATGAGCTCCAGAATAGAAAAAGTTTCGTTTCGCTTACGGTCACTCCATAGTTTGTGTCCCTGTGTCAGACTATTGTACATATCAAACTGTCAATCACGTGCATAGTATGCAGTAAACGTTATTTTGACTTTTCCCATCGAAACAATTCCAAAGAAATTAAGTTTAAAATTCTAAAACATGAAATTGTCTAAGCATAAGTTTTACCAGGCGATGTTGGTGTTACTGGTTCAGCGTCTGTTTTTGGGCTTTCTGGTCCTGAGTCATCGCTCTCCTCCTGAATCTCATTAACATCTTGAATGTGGTTCTGCGTTGGATCATCATATGCAGCTGGTTCAAGAAAAAATGAATATGATGAGGAGTAAAAGTGGTTATGTAGGGATATTGGATGATGGCTTGGTACCTGTATCACCAAGGCAGTTTTTAGGAGCATCTGGAGCACATCTCTTGTGTGCAGTAAATTTACAGTCTGAAAGAAAGTTTTTAATGCAGCATAAAGCACGGAAAATACCAATGAATAAATGAATAACAAAATGTTATCTCATGCAAAAAAATCTTATCCATGGAAAATAAAATAGTTATTATGAAGTTTGTTTTCATTTCTTGATTTCAAAATATACCATATGCAGCCAATAAATTTTTAATGTAATGTTTTGCTTTGTTTAGTAAAATAAAACTAGTTGTCTAACCTTTACATTGAACACCTTGGCCAAATATTCTCAACTGAAACACAATTTATTTTAATTAATAAAACAAAACCATGATTGAAAACAGCTATTGCCTAGTATTACAACAAGTGATGATCAGATATAATACACAGCTAGTGAAATAGTACACCTTCTTATGACAGAGCACATCTAGTAATGACTGGTACATCTACTTATAATTATAGCTGATTATGACAACTAGTTATAAATGATAGAGTACAGCTGAAGATGACTGAGTATAACTACTTATGATAACTAGTGATTATTGTCCCGCCTAAATCAACCTACCATTTTCTTGCAAATCATGCAGACAGTTGGCTTCTTGAATGACCTCACCACAAATGTGTGTGGAACATCAATTCTTCCCAAGATGGCCCTATCAATCCACACTGGCCGGCCACCTCCCCATGTCATCCGTCGACCATTTTTATCATTTGAAACAAAGGAATCAGTGCTTCCAAAAGAACTAATGCTACCTGAGTTGGATTGTAAAGAGCCTCGTCTTTTTACATCTGAGCAATTGTTTGGAATCTTAAAGGCACATCTTTTATGGAAATTGCCACCACAACCTGTGAATGATACAAGAAAGCTCTTGGATCATTTTAACAAAAAAAAAAACAAATAAGAAAATATAGTGATGTCAATAAGTTTCTCACAAACCTTCACATTTCAATCCTTGACGCACCAAACCAAATAACATTTCACCACAATAATCACAGAAACTTGGTGAATGGTATGAATGTACAACAAGCATATGTGGCCGAATTACTGTCTCATCATGAAGTTCTTGAGCTGAAGAAAACATCTTATTTAGCAGGATGTCACTTCTTCAATAAGTCAAAGTTCTACAATACACAGTGATTAATTAAAGCATTTAATCCATCTCTTGTCCAGACCAATGTATATCAACAAAGCGTGTCTCTGTCAAGATTTTTGAACATTATTGCAAACCATATACATCCCATAGCAAAAAACTTGCAGCATGGCAAAATAAACTTACAAGTCTACTTCAGCTATGTCAATTTTAAATCATAGTCAATATTCATTTCTTTAGAAATCAACAATTTTTACAATGAGTGACACATAGCAGGAGTAAGTTTTGAATACTCAATTGAAAATTCACAGAAAATATTGGAATTTGTTTTTGAAGAGCAGTGCAAACGGTAGCTGAGCTAGTCTTGACATTTTGCAGATTCATTGGTAGACTAATACATATTCATGATATAAACTGTAAAGAAATGCTGCCTTATAAAGCCAGCTGTTCTCAATTTATTGTTAAGTACTCCTTAAAGTACACAAATATATACAGTAATAAGTGACAAGATTAAGCAGTATATAAACAATGCACATGTACAACTGTATCCCAACAGTAAATTTATTATCACCTTTAAATACTATCTCTACGACAGCTCCATCTGTTAACTGTTCAACATGTGTGAGCAACTCCAACACATTTGGCTTACTATAATCATGCTTGTACAGCAAAATCTTGTCTGCCAAAGCCACATAGCTGTGATCCGGGAACTAAAGGAAATATGACATCTCTTTTAATTATCAAATTTGTCATGATTGCATGGGCTGAATATGTCGGATGATGAACTAATATAGGTGTGTAAAAGTCACAAAACATGGATTAAGAGTCTCAATATAAAATATTAATGGTGTATGTAATGAAATTCTTGATCATTAATAATTCATGAGCATATTAGTGATATCAGAAGGTAATCTTCTCCCACAATGTGTAGCCCATACATCCTTTGCCCGAGGTCAAGAGTCATCACTTGAAGAATAACTGGAAGGCCAGTAAAAATTGTACATAATTGTACATAGTATGAATTTCTAAAGTAAGAAGAGTGGAACCTACTGCTGCTACATTGAAATTTTCAGGTTGTAAATATTTATTACACATTAAATAACCATTGTGGCAGCTTTTCAATTACATTTTCTGACAAATAGAAATCCTGGAATGACTAACTATAGCACAGCCAATAATATAATTAAATATAAAGCATTAGGTAGCTTAGCAGTTGTCCTTTAATCAATGTATTGTGACTTCCTCTTTTCATTTCAAAGTAAACTTAACTAGTAGCATATAAATTTGTATGTATGTGAGAACATTATGATTTTGCTTTATTTCACAAGTAATACTCATAACATGAATCCACTACAAAAACGATTGATAAAGTTAATATGTAACCCATTTTCCAATGTAATTCTACTTCATACAATGAAAACTATCGTTGTCACAAATTGTCAATGAATAAAATTTTCAAACAAATGCTCACTGCATGTGGCCACTTGACAAACGAAAAATACAAAAGGGTTCGCTGAGTTCAGATTTTAAGGTTCAATAAAATGATAACGCAGCATTTTAAATATTTGACACTTAAGTACTTTAGATAGTGTACACTTTTCAATAGAATATCAGTGCCTAACATCAAATAAAGTAACTTAACTACGCAAGAGGCGCTCCTTTTCAAAATAACATGAAAGAAACTTCGACATGACGAAATTTCAGGCACTTCGAAAGTCACTTCTTCTTAAAGCAAATGACAAGAGCGAAGAGTGCATTTTGTAGATGATGGTTTTAAGGGAAAACATAAAAAATAAATCTAAATACCGATTTTTAGGAATGAAACTCTCCTCACTCATCTCAGAAAGATTAGGGAAATTCGCTGTATATAAGACTATGTACATGTATGTGATGAAATTTGCAAAAATATCTTAGCATTTTTTGATACCTTGTAGTCAACAAAACCGCACGCAAGATCCGTTAGCGAAGCTAAATCTTTGGCTTCAAGCACACGAGTTTCTCTAGCAATACCGCATTGAAGGGCAATTTCCTTCTTTGTGGAACTGCCGTTCATTTTAAGCGACGTACAAAACGATGCAAATACTCTGCCAGCGAATCTGCCATATTTGCAAGATTTACTAATTACAATCGAAGTTAAACTTGGAACAGCTTGTCCGAAGAAGCCACGAAGAGCTGTCACGTGAGGTTGTCGTCAACTGCCGGAAAGTTTTCGAATAGTAGGACTTATTATGCATTTAATATACACAAGTTTTTTTAAAAGACATGTTTCGACATCTCATGATGCCATCTTCAGTATAAGTGAAATAATAAATGATACATTAGCAATAGTGCTTTTACGAAATTATAGGAGCTTATTACTTGGAAATTTTACAAATATACAGTTGGAAATACTGTGAATTAAAAAAGAGAGAAAAAGCCACAGGGAGAGAGAATCAAGTGATATGCAGAAAAAAAATGGAAACTAATTAACTAATTTTTATTAGTGGGATTCAGACTCGTTATTTGATTCCACATCGGTAATTGTCATTTGGCAACTTCTCGATTGTTTCAATCGTAAAGGCAAAGGTTTTACAACGAAGTCACTTCACCCTCAATAAATAATGCACGAATCTCGTGCAACTTAATTACTAACATGCAGTCAACAATATGTAAATGTTGGAACAGTTACCAGGCGTATTCAATTTTCTTCCCAATTTCAAGTACGAGTATTCGTAATTCCTTTGCATGTTTAATTGACAATTTTTGTTTTAAAACAAAATAACACCTACAATCTTTCTAATATTGGACTTACGTTAACGGAAGACGTGAATACATAAAGATTCTTTTTTTAACAAAGCACTGTTCTACGTGGGAACAAAACCTTTCACACACGTTAACATCGCCGAAAATACGAACTACAAGATGGGAAATCTTAAGCAGCTGAGACAGTATTTGCCTGTGTTATCAACTCTAGGAATTTACAATGCTTCGCAGAATTTCTGAGTTAAAAGTATATTTTGTACACTTTTGATGAAGCGAAAATAATTTTTATGCCAACGATAGTTTATTGCGTGAGAAGTCGAAATGCATAAGTACTCTAATCACTGAATCATAATTCAGGGCAATTTTCTATCATGCATATCGGCAAAAACAGGTCTATAATTATAAAACTTTCGCAAATAAGCTGTGTAATATGTGAATGTGATAATATTGGTAACATTATATCGTCACAACTTTAGTTATTTTTACCCCGTTAAAGAGAGTAAACGGAAATCAAAAGATTAAGTGATTGATCAGACAATTTATAAACAGTTTTATCAAAATTTATACCAGTATTTTACCTTATTATCGAGAAAGAAATACACTAATTCTCTAAATACGGAGAAGTCTTGGTCTTCGAATATCGTAGTTTCGCGAAAAATACCACATTGTAAAGTAATGGCTCGTCGATTGGACGCTGTATTACCGACGTCCATACTCTCAGAAGAAACGTACAGAAAACAAAGTCAAGTTAGACGTTCTCTAAACTCTTTTAAGCACGCCAGAGGAAATTTAATAGGCGTCAAACGTCAAGTAAGCTCGTATACATCCCTTTGTGGGTGAGAAGTGTATGACTTCTTCTATTAACGTCAATGGAGCGAATTAAATATATTTTAAGTCACTTCCTCGCCTTCGTGCATATTTAAACAGGGCTTATAATAATGACAACATACTGTTTACACAACATACTTGAAGTTCAAAATTAAAAGCTTCCGAAAGGCAACACGAACTAGTAACATATAATGGGATAAACAGTTTCAGCGCTGAAAATGCACAATTTCCATGCATTTCGGCGAATTTTCTTCGAGAACTCAGCTTGGTGTTGATATGCACACAACAGCCAACATTCGTAAGCTCCCACTCATATAATGAAGCATGAAAGTGCACACAGCAGGTCATCGTGAGCCTATGATGAATTTATGATCGTTTTATATGTGTACAAACATATCAACTGGTACTGTTTTAAAATAATATATTCGCATAAACAAACACACAAACGTAGAAAGCTCTGTTTAATATACAGAAAAAAAAACACGAACTAATATTATCAGTCACGTCCGACCGACCCACGCCTCCCACCAAACTAGAAAAAATCAACTTTCCTTGGCTTTTGCTGACATTTACTTCTTGCTTACAAACGCCCCACTGCACATTTACGTAATAACGGGACAAACAATTTTTTGGCGGTTTGTCTCATTTTCATCATTCATAACCAGCAAGAGACTGCATGCTAAGTTGAACTCGCTTATCTCCATTTCGTGCGCATTGTTTTAATAAACGAACGCAGATCTAAGCAAACATAACCAAATAAATAATATGTGTTAATTGTAGGGTAAAGATCAAGATTTTGCCTGGTTTTGTCTTGCATTTTTTTATATTTTTCAAGTTAGTAAGAGTTTTCAAGACCAGTTTAAGTTGCCCCGCTTAATAAATATAAATACAATATTGTAAGATAAACGAATCTCACGTAAGCTTTGTCTTCATCAGTCTTTTAATTTTTCTTATGTAGTTTTCTCCTTCTGGTAGAAACGACTCTCAAGCTTTGTCTTCACCCTAAGAAAACCAAACTTAGATAATGACTGCTCTTGGATAATGATATAAATCTTACCATTAACATACATTATAAAACATTGGTGTAGTTTTTCTGATACTTTATGCAGGATTTCATCCACTTGTTTCTGGAAAAACACAATGAATAGTAAAAAGAAATAGAAACCAAATTGAAAGTAATAAAAAACACACATGCAGTAGTAAGGCATCATATAATAAAAAATATGAGCAATGAATATCATGTGGTTACATACCACCAAATAATAAATACTTCCAGGTATTATTTAAAATACAAGACCTAATGATTTAATTACAAAAAACATGCACAGTACGAGCAGATTCTTATATAATCATTGTCTAATATGCAACTTATAAATTTGTGTGCAAATGGGCTACACCTGGTTGTCTTCATAGAGCCTTGGCAATGAGAAAAGCATAACAGTCCCTTTATAAATAATAAAGTAATTACACAATAAATCATCAAAATGTGACACAAGGTTGGAAAAATGTCAAATAAAAGAAACTTTCCAAAAGCCTATTTATAGAAATTTTTTATCTTGCACAAAAATTCTTCACATATACACAAATAGATTTAGAATACGGGTACAATTTACTTCATCACAATTCATAATCTGTAAAGTGAAAAATGCTAATCAGGAAAATTCACAAGAAATTGATAGGTAAGGCAAGAAACTTTCATTTTTTTGACTTGCTGTGAGAAAGTGAAATACTAACTCAAGGTCTGAAGGAAACCTAGAATTATTTGCAATTATTTACACACATTATCAAAATGTAGAACGACCTACCAATCATGAAAAGTGTAATTGTATCAAACCACTTTCCAACACAAGATAGAAACCACAGAAAAATCCCAAACTATTTGAAAAAGAATGCAATGATACGATCAGTGTTGACACAATCCACTGAGTTGCTACAACAATTTAAAAATTTGTCACCTTAATGGAGGCCATAGTGTCTTCAACAAGAAAAAGTTTTGAAACTTTCATCAAGACAGTGTTCATTTTATTTCCAATGGCTTCACCTATTCCTCTGGCCTTCTCTGGCGAGATTGTCATGTTCTTCTCAATAAATGATCTATGAAGATAAATTCAACATTTAAATGACATCTTGAATAAAAAAATTTTTGTGATGTTTCCTCCTTCTACATACTGATAAGATGTCCTGCTGTCAGTTTTCTGCAAAGCACTGATTACAGTCATACCAATGCGATACAGGGCAGAAACGGTGAGAAAAGACAATGCAAAGAAAGAAATGACACTAAGTAACGTGTGATATGCCAGAAATAACAGAATCAATAAGAAAATGCCAAACACAATAGCTGTCTTCTTAATATCCTTCCAGTATATCAAGTCAATTACTACAAAAAAGATATTTTTGCAGTTAATTACAAGATATAAATATTTAATCATGGAATCCAATAATGCAAACAACACAAAAAGCTTAAAGATGCATTTCACTTCAGTCTTTATTTGATAAGTATTACCTCGTTGTCAACCTCATTATTAATTAACCATACTGCAAGAGAGCTTGTTAATTTGTCTAAAATATAATAAATCATCAAAATGAAACATGTTCTTCCATTAACTTTGTATCATTCATTAAGAATGAAGAAATACCAAACTGTAAAACTCTTGTCCATAATACAAGTATCAATCTGTCATCTATTTCCTGCAGTTTTTATCTTAATTTTAATGGACACTGACAGCATTTGTGTCACTAATGGGCCACTGACTATGTAACTCAAAAAATAAGGCATGCCATATTAGGTAGTACTTCATAAAGGAAATATTTCTTTAAATTATGTTACTGATTGCTATGTATGCATTATAAATTTCAATTTTCTACACCACCAATACACTGATAACATAACTGTGAACACCAAAGACCTTCTGACCTTCTCAAATAATATCATTTGCTGTCATTGACATCAAATATTTTATAGTGCTGTTCTATGACAGTAGTTTCGTTGACTGGTTTAAGCTATAGCATACTTCTTTTGCATACATGGAAATGTAATGACTTAAACGTAAAAATGTATCCAAACCTGCACTCTGAGTCAAGTTATCTTTCTCCAAGTCTTGTGCAGAGCAGTCATCGGCAGGCAAACGTTTCCCGTCCTCTTTATCTTCGTCTACCGTAGACGAAACAACATTATCTTCTTTCAATGACTGCGTTGATGATATTTCAGCAGGTTCTAGCATGGGCTGTGGATCGCTTGATTTGTCAGTTGAATCAATGGAGTCAATGTCACTTGGTATTTTGGAGGCTTGAATCGCATCTACATCTTTGCTTTCCATTGCGGACACTGAGCTAGTAGCACAATGCAAAGAAGATAAAGAAGTAGCGAATATTTAACTACTGAGCCAAACAGGAGACAACGCCAACGCTTTGTGCGACCGCAAATTTTAAAATTTAAACAAAATCGTGAAGATTCAAGGTGAAAGCTCGAAGTGAGCATGGCAATATGGCCGCTACATTAGCCAATCAAAAGGCCCGTTAAAGCCTCGTGAATAATGCGCGCGCCAGATTCCGCGAACAGTAACAGTTTTGAAAAAAAGGTCAAAATCACTTTACTGGATATATATTTAACCCATTTCATTAAAAAATCCATAGTATGGTACCGTAGAAATATAATAGATGGGAAATAGCAATGAAAAACTTTGACAAGGTAATGGAACAAGTACAAAATTTGCAAATTGCATTACATTAAAATTCAGCCATTTTCAACAGTTAATGTCATTTAAATTAAGAAAGCTTTGTCATTTTGCCTTTGCACGTCTTATAATTCTATGTTTGTACTGATGGGGTGTATAGGTAAATTGATGTATGTGTATAGCATTATATATTCATTAGGAGAATATTAATTTAACATATCCATTAGAGTTCTGTAGTGGAGTGCCACAGAAAGGGCATGCAGCTCTAAATGCATGACATCCATGAGGGAGAGGGACCTGCGACCAAAACCTAAAGATAGGATACAAATGAAAGGAATGAAGAATTATTGGGGGTGGGGAGAAATGAAAAAATGATTGAGGTTGAGGTGAGGCAAATGACTGATGGAGAAAAGGAAAATGACTGAGAATGAGAAGAGACAAATGACTGGGATGAAGAAAGATGGCAAAGAGACAATTGCCTGGGATGAAGAACGATGGCAAAGAGACAATTTCCTGGGATGAAGAAAGATGGCAAAGAGACAATTGCCTGGGATGAAGAAAGATGGCGAAAAGACAATTGCCTGGGATGAAGAAAGATGGCAAAGAGACAATTGCCTGGGATGAAGAAAGATGGCTAAGAGACAATTGCCTGGGATGAAGAAAGATGGTGAAAAGACAATTGCCTGGGATGAAGAAAGATGGCAAAGAGACAATTGCCTGGGATAAAGAAAGATGGCGAAGAGACAATTGCCTGGGATGGAGAAAGATGGCGAAGAGATAATTGCCTGGGATGAAGAACAATGGCAAAGAGACAATTGCCTGGGATGAAGAAAGATGGCGAAAAGACAATTGCCTGGGATGAAGAAAGATGGCAAAGAGACAATTGCCTGGGATGAAGAAAGATGGCAAAGAGACAATTGCCTGGATGAAGAAAGATGGCTAAGAGACAATTGCCTGGGATGGAGAAAGATGGCTAAGAGACAATTGCCTGGGATGAAGAAAGATGGCAAAGAGACAATTGCCTGGGATGGAGAAAGATGGCTAAGAGACAATTGCCTGGGATGGAGAAAGATGGTGAAGAGACAATTGCCTGGGATGGAGAAAGATGGCAAAGAGATAATTGCCTGGGATGAAGAAAGATAGAACAGAGACAATTGCCTGGGATGGAGAAAGATGGCACAGAGACAATTGCCTGGGATGAAGAAAGATGGCAAAGAGACAATTGCCTGGGATGGAGATGACACAAATGACTGGCATGTAGGAGAATAAATAACTGGGATGAAGACTTGATACCAATTCACATACCTAGCAGTTGCTTGAGAACACACATGACCACAAGGGACAAATGCAAAGTAATCTGGTTTACAGTCAACCCATAATGCTGCTTCATAGCCAAGTTGCAACTTCGTGTATGGACCAACCTGTCGACACACAGGACATATTCTCTGTTCCTCTTCAACTTTTTGTGCATTATTCCATGTGTGATAACCATGAACATGGCCACATTTTAAATAGACATAAGGTGTTTTGGAGTGATCGTGCTATAACAATGATAATAAATGAATTTGATTAATAGACTACCAACTCAAACTTTACATATAAACATAGATAATGTATTGGAAAGATAGCGTACATGAGATGATCTATAAGGATTGGATGGGAACTGTAATGTCATTAGACCAATTGGACATTGCGGTCTTGTTGCATTCAATTTATGACGGGCATCATCAATATCACACATGGTCTGAAAAATAGAAAATAACAGCAGCATTTACCATTTTAATAGGCAAAAATTTGAACCAAAGTTCAAAAGACATTACCATTTTATCACCTCTACACTAATTACCATTTTTTTACAATGTTTACAATGTAAATCTAGTTTGATGCTAATCAAGCCACTTACAGGCATTCTTTCCATTCCCTCTTTTGATTTCCACAATAAAGTTGTACCACAAAGATCAATTAAAGTTCCATCCACCAGCACATTTGATTCCCCTGCTATCTAAAATCAAATAATAATTCTTTGCACAGTCCCAAACTAATATCGATTTTAAAATTCTATACAAAAAGGGAGTAAAGTCATAAATTTTAGGGGAGTTGGAATGATATTGAAGTGAAATAGCCCAAAAAACGTATCAAAACATGAAACACAAAGCTCAAGATTCTAAAGTCAGTTGTGTGAAATGGCATGAACGAGAAAGTTGAGAGAATATGTAAGAGAGAAAGAAAAAACTAACAGTAAACCTCAATGGGAAAATAAACATTTGGGGGATAGACCCTGGGCTACACATCTTTAAAAATTCATATATAATTCTCTTACTAAACAATTATACTCTTACCCTTTTCCCAGCATTTCGGTCTGACCTTGCCTTACGTAAACTGTACATATTTCCAGCTACTGACACCTCTCTCCATATTCCTGGACCAGTAGAAGTATCACTGTTATTATTAGGATGAAGTATGAGCACCCCATTTGTAGTCAGTCCATCCATCATACCATCATCTTGTATGCATTTGATAGCTTTGCTCTAAAGAAAATTTATCACAACTTTTAATAACATCTTTTCCATTCTTATTTATCTAAATGCTCAACCAATCTGGTGCTTCCGAGATCTTAATGAAAATATATTAATAAAATGATGGCAGATTACCCCAAGAGCAATATTCTTTGATTTATCAAAACCTGATGCATAAATCCTGGCTGTGTATGGAGGACATCTGTCGACATAAATCCGACAAGCAAAGCGAGATATTGTGCTTCTTGTTAAAATGCAATCAGATGCTGTCTTAGCATTAGGCACAATGTCCATCATGACATAGTCATTCACATGTGATGAGCGGCCAATCTATCAATGAAAATGTTATCAATCAATTATAATAACAGTTATTATACAGTAATTGCTGAATACCTGAAACATGTCAACATCTGCCAAAGTCTTGTATTTCACCACACAAGTTCTTTTCTCCCCAATAACATAAGCCACAGAGTAAACCGAAGTTGACTGAAAGTCCTTGGGCAAAATTTCAATATTTTTAATTTGAAATTTTAGCTTAATTACAAATCTTCATATTGTAACCTTACACAAGAATTCTTTGCTGACTCATAGCATTGTTGCTTTACAGGTGTTTCTGCATTTCCAAACTCCCTTTGTTTCAATAAAAACTTGCTTGCCAAACGTTGATCACCAGTCTCAAAAGGGATTCTTCCATTAAATCTAGAGAGACATTGCTGTATTTTATAAAACAAATGAGTTTCAAGTGCATGTAATTAAAAGAATTCTACAAAATTACCCCAAGACAATCAACTGGCCATATAAAATGTCACATTTGCACTTGTCAACATCCATCCTCAAGCCATGTAAAACAAATATCATTCGATATTTAATTACATAAATCCCATCGCGGCTAATATGAAATGAAAATCACAACCATTCCACAGGATCGAATGACAGACAAAATATTTTACTGTTTGAAACGTTAACTTGTCGTCGTGAAATTATGGGGGTAGTGTAGTGCCAAGTAAATTTCTCTAAAACAATGAAACGATTTCCATATTCTAAACCATTATACCAATGGTTTCGTGCGTAGGAAATAAATTTTCGTCCCAAAAAGGTAAATTATTGTACAAATAATTACGAAACTATAAGTTCATACAACTAAATTACACAACCATGTTTATTATTATTCAATGTTTGTTCAGGGCAATAGACTGGTTTCACATCAGTAGAAACTGTTGTTAAGGTTGAATTCGGAGGACAAGCAAACGGCTTCACCGCACAGTTTCCACACAAAGAAACCTTCGTATTTTTTAAAAAATAATATTAATCGACATTCAAATTCTATATGTAGTGCGGAAACTGTGCGATAATGGCCTTTATGGATGTGAAATCGTTCTATTAAAACAGAATACAAATAACCAGCTCAATACTTGCATGTAAGCTATAAAAGTTGCTTGTGTATATACCTATGTATAAAAAATTCTGACGTTTCGAAAAGAAACATTTTGTCATTAGGAGAAGCATTTTGACGCAAGTTTGTTATGACTGTGCAATGATTTTACATAGAGCTTTGAGCGTCACGATATGACGTCAAATACAAGCCGCTGACATTTTCTGCTCCCACGCACCGGAGCCCAAGCTGCAGCATTTCAACTCATTTTTTGTGAAAATATTGAATCAAACAAACAAAAAAATTGCGGGATGTTTATTTTCACGGGACAGACAAAGTTTTAAAGCAAAATTAATGGGAGAGTGGAGCTCCCCTTTAAGATCCTCGGCCTAACAAGTAACAAATAAAGGACAAGTCAAATTCGATTATTACATCTTAAAATGCACAAATTGAGACTTTTCTCGATTCTCATCTTCAAAGACAATTGAACTAAAAAATTAATCGCTAGATCTAGAACTGCTATATTTACCACTACTCTCCTACTTCTTTGCTATTTCATTTCATGTGATCAAAGCCTGATGTTCAAGCTCTTCATATTGAACTATTCTAAGGCAAGCCTTCACTCGACTATTTAATTCGAAACATACAGGAAAACAAACCTTACGAAAAGGATAACTTCAACTAAAGCTTGTTTTAAGAAACATCTCAAAAGACTCAGTACTACGGTGGCCGGTACGGGTCACCAGAAAAATAATTTAGAAAACATAACAAACAATAAGAAAACATCACTCAAAATCATACTACACATTTCAAAATACTCACTACACATTTCAAAATACTCTACACATTTCAAAATACTCACTAACATTTCAAAATACTACACATTTCAAATACTCACTACACATTAGCTTCATTTCACATTATTATTTCAAAATACTCACTACACATTTCAAAATTCGCACACATTTCAAAATTGCTACACATTTCAAAATACTCGCTACACATTCGTCCCAGTCTTACCCTGGTCTGGCCTGCCCACGGTCATCATTAGTTTCCATCTACGAAACTGACATGACATCATAAAGTAAGCATATTAAGCATATAATTCCGCATTTCACAAGGCAAACAAAATGGGACATTGGGATAATAGCATGAAAATATTGGCTCAACTCTAATCAGAAATTCTTCCAGGGTTTTGCTGGACTTGGTCGGCAACAACATTAGTAGACGAGCTACATATCGCCAGCAAATGTATTTGCAGTGGCTTTACATGTCCGTACTTTAATAGCAAAAATTTGAGTATATGAATTTGCATTCGCTATGTCGCGTACGTACTTGTGTGATGCGTTACAAAAATAACAAGAAAACCAAAGAGGAAATTTACACATAGTATAATTTGTTGCACAAGAAACGCCAAAGAAAATGAAAAGTTCGTAATTTCGAGTAAACGCAATAAATTTAGAACTTCAATACCAGTCACGTCAATAAGTGCATTAGTTAAACTAATGATTGTCGAATATCACCAATACAAATACAATTACATGTAATCTGTAGATTGACCACTCATGTTGTGTTGTCTAAACAAGACCAAGAAATCCCTTGAAGAAATATTACTATTAGTTCATGTTATATTGATGCTATTGTGGCAATATGTTTGTCTATGTGCCGAATTCACAGACAACATATCGCCACAATGCAAAATATCCTACGCGAACTGAACTGTTAGTAATATCGAAGCGTATATTTATATTAGCTTTCTGCCATCACGTCAATTTCGTAGATGTAAACTAATGACGACCGTGGGCAGGCCAGACCAGGGTAAGACTGGGACGAATATGTAGTGAGTATTTTGAAATGTGTAGTGAGTATTTTGTAATGTAGTGAGTATTTTGAAATGTGTAGCGAGTATTTTGGAAGAGTATTTTGAAATGTGTAGCGAGTATTTGAAATGTGTAGTGAGTATTTTGAAATGTGTAGTATGATTTTGAGTGATGTTTTCTTATTGTTTGTTATGTTTTCTAAATTATTTTCTCGTGACCCGTACCGGCCACCGTACAGTACCAACACAATACTTCGATAATTGTATAAATGAACTTTACAAGTTTACATTGATCCAAAACTTTTAGCCAATATTATATGACTTATATGACAACAATGCAGGCAACTTTGCCTACTCGCAGGTTCTCGTTCACGCAATCTCCATTTTTCTAATTTTTCTATATTTTTAATACTACATTAATGTCATTCTTTCTGTGACATTCCGCGATTCTGATTGACGACCGCTGGTCCTCGAGCCATGACTAGTTGAGCTCCCGTGGGAATGTCCAGTGTATTTAGCAAAGAGGCGTCTGATACCCACAAACACAACCCTCCGAAAGTCCTCTTTGAACAAAACATATAAAATTGGATTTATCACAGTGGTACCGCATCTTAAAAGGTTAGAGACTGTCCACAGCCATTCTGGAATTCGATTTAGATATAAGTGGTCTTCTTCAAATAGGGATGCCATGATAAGATCAGCGTAGTAGAAAGACCAAGAGATTACAAAGTACAGCATCATCACAGAAAACAGAAACAAAACCTTAAGTTCCTTTTTCAATCGCTGCTGTGAATCAGTGGGTGTCACCGATGTCTTGGCTATACCATCCAACTGACGACGCACGATGAAAAAGACGCTGACGTCAGCAAAAATCATAAGAAACAAAGGCAAAATAGCGAATATGGCCACGACACAAATGGTGTAAATTTTGTCAGCGCGCATGCCAGCCTTACTTAGTTGCTTGTTACCAGGAGGAAACCAGATAAGTTGAATACATGTGACGGAAATACTTATGAACCAAATTACTAGGACTAGCGTCAGCTCGAAGGATGCCCGTCCTATCTGGTGAAATCGAAATGGCATTGTGATTTTGAAATAGCGCTCGTACGATATGATGAGAATGTGAAGATTCAAACAGATTGACAAAAAGGTGATGAAAAAAAGAACGTACAGGCTGATGATAAAGTAGTAAAAATTGAACAAATCAAAACTGCAGGTATTCCCACCAAACCAAATGCCAAGTTACAAACAGTGAAACTTATTTGAAGAAAATTGCTCGGTTTTCGAAGATTTCGGTTGAAGACAAACAGGAATATAATAAGGAGATTCATGAAGATGGTAAGGATGCTTATAATGACATAGGCAGTATATATTGATTTGAATTTTGTCTCCTTCTCTTCACAAGATGAATTTGTACAATTAGTATCCATTTTGAGAATGATCAAAGGAATTCCACAATTTTCTGAAATAAAAACGAGTACGAAATCATTTAAGAAATAAAAGATGTTTAGTGTGCTTGCACAGCTTATGCAAACCGACTAGAGAAACAGAGAAATAAATAATATTTCCTCAAAAATGTATCATGAATGACTTGCTAATTCTCTTTGATTGATTGATGGATGGATTTGATTGGTTGCGCTCAAATCGGTTTGAACAGTCTAACCCAAACACTACTGTAAAACACAATTATCCCACGCTTTCATTGCTTTATTTTATAAAGTGTTATGCAAACTAAGAAAGATCAACTGTCGTGTAATTGCCATCTGGCTATTTGTTGTTGTGGTAAACTGGTGATAACTATAAACGTTTTTACTTTTCAATCTCATATTTCTTCTAAATTTTTTTCGGAGACACAATCATTTCATCAGACGTCAACTAAAATACCATAATTGTGCAATAACGAAGATTCTGTTTGGATCTGAACTCCAGCCTCAATGCAGAACACTATATTCATTCTGTTGCAAACTGCTCTCGAGCTCTCCCTACTTAAGTTTCTCTTGGTTAGCACAAGCCTGTATGACTTCATGGAGATTTAATAGCCGTCGTTTCATGAATCATGAATCAAATACACATAGTCTAATTTGCAAAATTAAATCGTAAAATCAAACAGTTTTCATAACGATAATAAAAAAGACACACATCGGGCCAACGCGGTGCAAAATGGCCCCCGTTTTACAAATCATTTTCTTGAATCCTAAAATATCATCATACAGACAGTACAAACAAGAAGTTGACCATTGGAGTCAATTGGCTTCTTGGAATCATAAATGAATTAAATTTCAATTGGGTTGGGCGTTTGTAATTTTCGTTCCATCTTTATAAATATTGCAACTCACAACCCCCATTACACTATACTGAAGATATAATTACTGCACACTGCTTGCGGTGTCTTCGTTTGGCGTGTAATAACTAATAATCGCCAGTCAACTCTTACTTATCGTTCAAATATATCGTACTTTAAAGGGTGATTATCAAGGAGCTTCTGAAACCGTGGATATGAACTTGCTCTTGTAGGGAATCCGTTGCGATTTTACATTTCACAATCGATGCCCTTACCAATCAATCATCAATTATAACTTAAAACATTTATCAAAAGCAACTACATTTTTACCTAAATAGAAGTCTAACTGATATCCTAAAGTTTTATAAACTGCTTTTAATATCATCAGTAATCACTGTTATGATTTAGAAGTCAGGAGTCCGTGGAATAAGACCACTCACACAGACATATTACATTTGCACTATGGATTTTGATAGTTTTTTTTTATTTTTCAATTTTTTACGCGGCAGTTGATAATAAAAAGGTGTAGTCGCGGTGTCTTGAACTTTTCGATTAACTTTCGATAATAATCGATTATCAACTTGTCTAAACAGAGCGCAAACACAACTCAAGAAGCCAAAACATACCAAAATATAGCTTAAAACATTACAAATGTAACACATCTTGAGCCTTCGGGTCATTATGGAGAATTACCTTATTATGTTAAAGATCCAAACGCGAAAACAAAGTCAAAAGAGGCAATATGACCAACAAAGATATCTTGACATAAGCACGATAATCAGAGCTCTCTTCCAAATGCCCTTTCACCAAACCTTCAATACTACAAAGGTACAATTACTATAGACATCAACAAAACCAGAGTGTATGTAGAGATGGAAGACATTCTTGACAGGGATAATCAAATTACAAGAAACGCAAATATAGATCAACACATGTTTGAATAACAATGAACGCAGAAAATTGAAAAATGCCATTAGGATTACGTGACTTTACGATTTTCACTCCTAAACAGCAAAAATCCGATCAAAGCTATTAAATCAATCAAAGAGAATTTGCAAATCAATGCTGAACACATGTTAGAGGAAAAATTAAAACATTTCTTAAATCATAACATTTTCCCCAAGGAAATCAAAAATTTCATATGGCTTTCAAACTACCCTTATTGTACCCATTACTACCCCCAAAATACCATAACCATCCTTACTACACTCGATAAGTTCACGGTCATAGGAAGAGTATACAAATGATGTTTTTACATTCTACGCGTAAATGTCAACTGATCTAAATAACTTATAAATAACAAGTGTTCATTAGGCGCGGCGTCAACCGATAGTCCCTGATAATTGAGAAATTCTGCAAGATCTCACTTACTAAGAACGAGGGGAATTTTGTACGTGATCTTCTAAGAAAAACTTCAATCAATGCGATAGCATTGATGAGGGAAACAAATGGTTATGGTAAAGATAGGACGTAGTCCTTCATCAAACGCTCCTTAAATGAAACTATAAAAACAATAAGGTATGTTTTCATGAAAATCAATAACGATATACGAGTATAATACTTAAGTATTGATATACCACATGTGTATGATTAATTTCTTTTTCAACATCAAATTAGATAATTTATAAAACTTAGCACGATAGTGATGTCGTGAATGTACTTTTAACAGTCAAATGGCCACTTTGATAAAAATTTTGACTCAACTTCTCTGGTAATTTTCCAGATATCATAGTAGTGGTGGTAAAAATAACTTTGCATTTCGTGTTTACATAGAATTACCATATTTAATTAACAACACCCACGACATGTGACACCCACGAGGAGATTTTTAGAGTAATTTATAAGATCAAGTAATTTAATTAACAAACATTGAGAGTTGAAAGACTGAATCAGGAGATTTAATCAAACAGCGAAAAACATGAAACATGACAAATTTCAATTCATTATTTTTTGTTTTAAGTGCGTTCGATACATAAAAAATTTGACGTTCGAATTTTCGAAGTAGAGGCCTACTCCATAACTCCACCCCCTTCGATTTTGACAATTGTGCTGTTCCAATGTTCTTGTTAGAATGTTCAAATAAAATCGTTGTAATATGACACAAAACAACAGCGAATTATTTTCACAAGTGCTTTCTTAATTAAGAACTGAGATACGTTGAGTGATAACGAAAAGTCATTGTTTTTTTCAAGTCTATTTGAAAAACGGGCGCGTCCTAATAAATCATCTTTTAATAATCACATTTCATAAAGAATACGTGATTGGGTTCAATCTTATCCTAACCAACATCAAGTTCGCAGAAATAATTCGTCACTCCACGCGATATTTAGGATAAAGACTGCCTAAAATAATACCTACTTAAATGACCACTGAAGGTACAAAGGCTGGCGAGTTTAAAATTGAATATAATCAAAGTACATAACTGATTTGTTTATTTGACCCCCTTATCAATCCTGTCAGAGAGGACAAGTCGAAAGCAAAACAATTATTATTCATAGTAATCGATGATTTAATCACCAAGTTCAAGAAATCGTGATTATCATAGCTTTGATTCTTACAAGAAATCGTGATTATCATAGCTTTGATTCTTACAAGAAATCGTGATTATCATAGCTTTGATTCTTACAAGAAATCGTGATTATCATAGCTTTGATCCTTACAAGAAATCGTGATTATCATAGCTTTGATTCTTGCAATCTCGCAATAAGACGAGCAGCCTTTACATGGCAATAAATCGGATTTTACTATCTAAACAATCTAAACCCTTTTGATAGAGATATGAATTTATTTCGCTTTTCAATTGTATTGTTTGTACAATCGGTGTCTGAACTATGATGCATTGCGCGCCTCGCATGAGCAAATTCTTTCGTTCTAGATGCAAATTTCGCTGTGACAAAATTGAAGAAACGTTCATTTCGGAGTTTCAAACGCTGTACAATTAATGAAAACAATGAGCAATATTTCTTTACAAGATGCTATGCAACCGTCTGTATCTGCGATCGCGTGATTAACATGTCTATTGCTTTACATTGGAGTCATTCCTTACATATCTTGCGAGGAATTTGGCCTTTTTAACTTTTGCATTGGCAGGTACTTAAAAATAGATGTCAAGAAGTGCATTAAAGAGCATGAAAGCGATGGCATATGTTTACCTTTTCGTGAGTGGAAAAATGCGTTCGCTTTCTATAAAAAAAGTATTTAAGTAAAAGGACTGCTTGTCATGACAATTGAACTTTAAAACACAATAAATAGCTGTTTTGGTGCGTGAAAATAAAACAATGATATGATGGAACTTTAGTTTCGTTCGTCAGAGAAAAACGTTGACAATTGCCAAGCTTGCCAGGACGCATTTTACGCTAACGACATGTAAATGTTGAAATCATTAGCAAAGGCTTCCGTGAAAATAGCGTCTTGTTTTACACACCTGAAAACGTGTAATGGAAGGCAATCTAGCGTGTTGCGTGCTCTCCTCGTGTTAAAACTAATATCTGCGAAATATCAACAATGTTTAACCTGAACAAACACATTTCAGAAGAACATGAACAGCCCTTAGAAAGGGAGAAAATGATGACTTCGTGCAAATGCTAAAGCATGCTGAACAACGACAAAAATTTCAATAACAAGCCAACGAAAATCTTCAGATTAAAACTGATACTAATTTTGCAAATTAGAGCGAGATGCCTCCGTGAATGGCTACAATCAAAGAATTTGTCATCTCACTGACAAAAAAATTATTTGATATCTTAAACATGTGAAGTCGAAAACGAAAAACAACATGATTCTGAAAATTTCACCTTTAACAGATTCCCTTGGACAGCATAAGTTCTCTAAGATCAATGTCGGTAAACGCGTCCTTTCGTAGCTACCCCGTATTCCTATTGATTATGATATAAAGCAGTATCCACTTTCGTATTTTCTGCAATCGAATGCAAATTTAAGAAGGTGATGACATCTGTGTTCAACACGATAAGTGCCTTTGATGTTTCACTAAATAAACCGAAATGTACAACATGAAGAGTAAAAGATAATTGTTTGACATAAAAGGAACACTGTAATTTGTCGAAAGTCTCAAGACTCAGTTCAAAGTTTCGAATGAAGACACAAGTAAACACGAACCTCTAGTTACGAAAATCAAAAACATTTCAAACATGATATTGCATGATTTAACACAGCGACCAACAAAGTTACATAAACACGTTAAAAAATGTATGTTACGCTACATGAATATAATCAGTAGCAAACGAAAAATTCTTTACCAAAGATGGCTGTATTTCGTTCAAGCAAAGAGAACATTTGGTTTACCTTAACAAACAAGCCAGTTACGGCTGACTGACACTTCACTTCACCCACAACGACAAATAAATATGAGCAGGAATCGGTGAGAAAACAAATTTTACTTTCATTAAACGAGCTATCTATTCACGCCCTCGAGATGATTTCATCTATCATGTGCATTAATTGAGAAGAACTCATTTGAACAGAATATTTTTCAATAACTTTAACGTAAATGAAAGATAATATTCACAACGAACGACGGCATGGACGACAGCAGTTTCGCCTACACAAATAACTTCGAGAAATGTCAAGTGGGTAAAGGGAACAAAGTCATTTGCATACACACGGCCATGATGATAAAGCAAACATCGAATGCATATATTTGAGATATTCGTGTGTGAAAATGTCATAAGTAATAATTGTTATGGGCTCGGCTTATCAGACATCACACGATGTTTGTGGACGAATATCTTAAACAAAGCAAGATTATTAATATTTGGCTTGATATTATTAAATTGAAGAGTTGCGGAGATAAGGGAAGATAAGTAGTTCGAAATAATTGATTAGAGGACACTATGGCGCTGCAAGAATATTGAATATAGGTAGATCTTTGGAGGTGAAATTAGCAAGAATATTAATTTCGCGACAGCTGAATCCCGCTGTTGTGCATAACATAGTGCGAATGCCTCCCCTCGGAGTGAAATTACATTTTGAGGAGGGGTCATTCAAGTCTTCAATGAAGGTGAAGACGTTTCTTCAAGTCGTTTTACTTTGAGAAAAAATAATCTAAATCCATTAAAGCCGAAGGAAATTGTTTCAATAAAAGACATCGAAAATATTGAAAATATAAAATATAAAACATGTTTGACAGACAAACATTATTACCTGTTTTGCAAATTATCAAGCTAATTAAAGAGAGCATTTGCACATTAATAAATAAATATTAACATTAGAGTCACTAAACGTACGCCTGAGATGTACAAAAAAGAACTTTCCTTTTCATTTATAAGAAAAACACCTGCCGGATTATGTTTTTACAACAATGAATGAGCTATCTAAAACAATTTCCAGAAGTTAGCATAAAATGTTCGCCAAATTTTAAAATAATCGGATCAGTTTGCGCAAAGATATTTAAGATGTTATACTATCTTTATTATCACAAAGATTGCCATTACATTTAGACCTGTTTCAAACCACAATTTTTCATGTGCCAAATGGATTAAAAACAAACAATAATAAGAGATCCAGAAACTTTTGACTATAATGCTTTTGGCACATGAAAAAATTGACGTTTTTGAAACGGCTCTAATTATTTAAAACAAAAAATTCTTCAGAGTACAAAATCACAATAATTAATGGTAATATGGCATACAAAATACTATAAAAAACTATACTTTGCATGATAGAATAAGAAATTTTCTTGAGAACATTTAATAATAATACAAATTCAAGCATTAAAAATGTCCCGGATTTAAGATTTAATTTTTATCAATCAAGATATTTCTTCTTTTGAACTTAGAGAATAGGCGGAGGGTTAAAAAGTTTTTCACGTTGATCATGAAGTTTCATTTTTTGCTCTCATTGACAAATTTTTCATCTTTGTTTCACGTGTTAGTAAAGATATATCATGAAATGTTCTGGGTAGCTTTTTCGACCTTAATTTTCACATTTGTTGATGTAATTCACACGATCATTGGTATGTTTCTGAAGAGCATAAAAAATCTTGTAAACAAAGCGACGTTTGTCGACTTACACCTTCAGGTCAGACATTTAAAATTGGATCGTTGAAATTTATCAAACCATGATCGCCTAAGAACTTCATCGGGTAACAGTTGATAAAACCGAGGACCTGACGTCACGATGTATCCCACAATCCTTTCTTCTTCACTAGATAATCTCCAGTCTTCCGAAGCTGGAAGAAGAATGACACGAGTGTTAAAAATATCAAGACACAAGATAAACATGTTTTTTTTGTAGTCATGCATTGTCCAGGTTTTGTGGATTCTTAAACAGAGGATAATTACAACAAACCTCATATTTACATGTGAGTTGTCACATACTTTAAAGTCTATATAAAGTCTATTAAACACTAACAGTCCTATACAATGGAACACACGAACCTATACAATCAACATCTACAAATGTGTTCAAACTATTCCCTTTATAAACGTGTTTTCACATAATTTCATATTTTGAAATGTTACCTGGGCCAAAATAAAGACACAAATGACAACCGTAATTTTTGTCCTCGGTCTCCGTATCGGTGAGGCCTTGGAGCCGAGCATAATTCTCCATTGTCCAAAGAATTTCGTGCAAATCATAAAGCGAGTTTTCCTGTTTGCCTACGAACCCGATTTTTGGGTGGCTTGGATGATACACCACTCGGATGACGTTACAACCAAATAATGAGCAAAGTTTGCTTCCATGATGGGAGTTGACAGCTCCATCAAGTTCAGATGAAGGTGAACAGGCTTTATCGTTATCGTGTGATGAATGAGAAGGATTTCCTTGTTGTGGAATTGAAACTCGAATGAGCTGTAAAATAGCTGAAATATCGTCTTTGAAAGTACTCTTGTAAGGATATCCGCGTACATTTTGGGCATAGGAACGGGGATCTTTGTTCCAGACCCACTGTCGTGTGACATAAGCAACACTTGGCCAGTCAGGTATCTTTTTCTTTTTACGTTCAAATAACGCCAAGTATTGATCTACCTCCACGCAAAGATGACAGTGAAACGATTTTGCCGCGCGGGACTTCCACGATCCTCGATGAACCGACAGGATTGCCGAAGGTAAACGAAAACAAGACAACGTGTTTTCAACGGCTTCTAGTAATATACACGTTTGCTCGGCTGTCATAGCGGCGAACTCCGCATTGATTGCTTCAACATCTCTCGGCATTATGATAAACTGTGGTCGAGGAGTATAAAAGTCAAAAGACACACGAAAAATATCGTTTTTATATTGTCTAGGCAGTAAATCAAAGTTCTCCATGTTTTTTTTTATTCTCAAGTAATAATCTATAGCTAAGTGTTAATTTATAAGTAAAGAGCTACTTTTTCTTGGAATTTCGTTTTTGTTTTACTTTCTTTACTTCCGGCCAATTATAAATCGTAGGCAAAGCGGAAGTCAGTGAGCCCTGAGCCATTTATACAAAAATCATTGCATTTACATCTGAGTTTCAAAAGTTTGATGTGGTTTAAAAATATCATCACGCAAACACCTGACACCCACAGGCGCCATGTGACATTCAATTTATGAAACATCAAATACTTCAAAGCATCAAAGCGCCTGAGTACGAGGCTAGATTATCATTAAATAATAAACATAATAGCACTACCTTTGATCTTCAGCAATAAATATGGTGCTTAAGAAACCATTGATCACATTACGTGGAATTTTTTATAGGTTTAAAGTTCATAAGTCTAACGTGCTTGATTAGCTGGACATTCCATCACTTAAACATTGTAAATTCCTTCAAAGAGTCAGAGGTGTATTCAAACAAACCAAACATCATTAGATTTTATAAACTTAAATAAATAATGTACATTTTACCTAGATTGTATTTCAAAACCATCAAACATCGTCCTCCCAAACAAGACTAGTTAATGTCACTATGGAAGATGGAAAGCAATCAGCAAGAAGGATTCCTTTGTCTTTATGGCAATCTAATTCATCAATGTATCCAAACCAGTAAATAACCATACCAGGTCCAAACCTACAAAGAATGCACCATAAGAAATTTCCACACTCGGTCGGAACTACTTACATATAAGGTCACATACTAGTTTAACACGTTATCTACATAAATCAATAACTATCCAACCTGTTCCAATAACTCCATAACTGATCCCTCATGTTTATCTTGTGATTATACTCATCACCAAACGAAGCTTTAGACTCAATCCAGTTAACAACATGCCCATCAACAGCTACAAGAAGAAAAATCACAAGTATTTGAAAGGTAATTTGTCATGGTTTCATTGAAGATTTTTCCAATCTTTTCTCACCAATTGGTACTTGTAGCTTGAAATCAGGAGTCTTGTCATAACCATAAGCTCTCATGTGGCTTTCCCCTTTATCAAATAAAGTTACATAAAAACTAAATCACTTATCAACTAGCGATCCAAGGATAGTGCAAAGTTTCAAAAAACACTGTGTAAAGATAAACATTAATTTATAATGATCGGTTGGCTTTGTCACCGTCATGGCTACTTCCACCGTCATGACTACTTCCATCGTCATGACTACTTCCACTGTCATGACTACTTCCATCGTCATGGCTACTTCCACCGTCATGACTACTTCCACCGTCATGACTACTTCCACCGTCATGACTACTTCCACCGTCATGCACATTTCCACCGTCATGACTACTTCCACCGTCATGACTACTTCCACCATCATGACTACTTCCACCGTCGTGCACATTTCCACCGTCATGACTACTTCCACCGTCATGCACACTTCCACCGTCATGACTACTTCCACTGTCATGACTACTTCCACTGTCATGACTACTTCCACCGTCATGGACACTTCCACCGTCATGACTACTTCCACTGTCATGCACACTTCCACCGTCATGACTTCAACACACCAACTTTTGAATCGTAATTTGAATCAATCAAAAGATGTTTCATACATTCATCCCGTTTCTTCAATAACTTTCGTTAAATTTTGCTTTATGTACCATGAAGCGAACATCCATTAACTTCATGGCAAATAAAAACATTTTTAATCACAAGCTATTGTCTACATAACCAATTGCTGCCTAGTTATGCATGGTTTATATGTTGGCAATTCTTTATCCACAGTGTAACGTATATGGATGTCTAATTGCCTACTTTGTTTTTACGTATGGTGGAAGCACGCGAAGCCGATGACTGTCAGTATGGTTGGAAAATGCATTTGTTAAAACAAGCTAAGGAAGACAGACAACATGCCTATAATGTATGAATGAAAACTTGCACATTCTACTCAATTAACTAATGGAGTTCATCCCAATCAATAGGATCTCCTTGCCATGTTCAGGGGTAACCACCTTCCTCCTTGGTCATAAACTTTTGAAAAAACCATCTAGAGTTGTGGTAATAACCAACTGGATCTACTTGCATTAATTTCAGAGTAACTATCTCGCTCAGTCTTAAATTGTTAGAAAATTGTCTGAGCATGTGCAATTGACTCCACCTATTGTCCAAGTTCATATTCATGGCAACAACCAATTATATTTACTAGAGGCACAGATGTAGCTCCGGAAGACACTTTCTCTGCATACCAAAGTACCTTAGCACATGAAGCTGAAGCTCAGTTTTGGCTAATACAAGTAGGATAGATAGCATGGTAGAAGCATAAATCTCCCTTCAAATGTTAATTTGTGACACTCTGAAGGGATTGAAATTTTTTGATATCAAGCTTTTCTATTGTTTACAAAAGTTCTCAAAAAATAAATTACGACAATCAAGGATACTGCCATGTTTAAAAACAACTTTGGCCTTTTTTACTTATAATTTAAGCCAACCTTAAACATGTTTTATAAATTTCTGATTGATTTATAACTTCAAGTAATTTGTTCCCCTTTGTTTTGATGCACAAAAAACCTTCCCTACCGAGAAATGGTATCTTCTTTTCCGTTAATTTCTCCTCTAGAACTTTTTCATACTGTAAACCAATGGATCTGCAAATTTAAAATGTGCAGGCTGTTGTTTTCTACATATACAAATACTTTATAGGAAAATTGGCATGCAAATTGGTAGCCAAGTCTAATTGAGGTGAGCACCCCTCTTATCCCACCAGTAAAATCCATTCCTCATTAAACTCACCTTCTCATTGCATCTACAACAGGGCCGCTGTGTTCATCCATCGATATGCACTGAAATATTTCAAACTTAAGACAGGTAGATTTTCAAGCACACCAGAAGAAAATCGACAAAGTAAACTAACATGTTGAATTTCTCGAGAAAGTTTTTGACAAGGCACAAGAGTGGGATCTTTCATCATAAGACTGGGAACTTCTTTTGGAACTAAAAAACAACATAAATCAATGATTAAATATATCATATCAACTCAAAGCATTAAGTTCCTGGTTGTGTACCAGTTTCTCCTTCAATATAAGTGCAAGACAAGTATTCTTCCAGGATGATTCTCGCAAGAATGCAAGGGGAGAGATCAATCTAAGAGAATAAATACATATCTCATCAAGAGAGAAAGTTCAATTTCCTCAACAACTGAATTTTACTTACATCTTGTGAAATCTTTATCAAAATCTTCTCATCTTCACAAGATTTTGTCATTTTCAAATAACTAAAAGCATGAAAAGATACAGCTAAGAAATGCCACTTTTATAACAGATAGTTGTATATAATATTTATATAATATTTGTCCCAAAAGAAGTACAAACCAAAACAAACTTTTTAAACAATAGAAAATTAGTAAACAGTTTAACAATTGACAGCAGATCACGAAAATATTTTTTTCAAATGTTTATGATAAAAAAATACTAGCAACCACAAACATATGAAACATAAAATGTACAATGTTGAAAATGAAAAGACTATAAATTAAGTAACTAGTGCTACCTTTGGTAATATTCTTTAATGACATCTGGATGACGATGTTTGTGATGACTCTTCCTAATCTTTTTCTTTTAATAAAACATATTGAACATGAATACATGATGAGACAGACAAGGCTGCCAAAAGACATTGGGAGCCCTAGACAACTGCTATGTGATGTTATAATTTTCAATATGCTGTTTGGCAGCCTTCAAACTGGAAATATTTGTAATGATCACAATATTCTTTAGGAAATCAGGCCTGGTTTTGGATGGTCTTTTCTGGAATTAGAATTCCACTTCTAGGCAAAATGCTTCATCTCTTGGCAGCCCTGGAGACAAATGTATGGTTTATCATTAACCACCCATATATATCACCTGATGTTCCTGAGAATAAATGCTAAGAAGTGTATCATTTGTCACTCTAAATATAAATTATATTAAATTAATGAATCATATGAATAAAATATAACTTATAATGATTTTTATACAAATTACATTAATGTTCACCAAGCACTAAATATCGACCAATGAAATGAAAAAAATTGATGACGAATGCGAGTAAGTTAACTCAATTCTTACGTTGGAAACCTGTCTAAAACAGTTTTAAAACACTCTTTAGACCAGCATGAATGAATAAGGAATACAATTTCTTTGTAAATGTCCAGTTTCATCAAAAAAAAAGCACAAGACAAACTAACTCAACCCAATTACTCAAATCACTCAAATCAATACCAAATCTGACCAAATTTCAAAATTCAAATTACTAATATTTAACCACACGAACCACTGATCTCAAAAAAAACTGGACCAAGCAACTCTACATTATCACATGTTTCTAAATCTAGATCGTTCAGGTTGGTATAGTCCTGAGAAGGACTGTTTTTGTTGTTGTTGACTGACGTTTCGACAACCTTAGCGGTAGTCATCAGTTGCTGACTGAAGTTTCGAATACCTTAGAGTAAATGGTTCAAACCATTTACTCTATATTTTTAGTAAACAAATTTCGAAGCCACCGCCGCCATTACTAAGGGACCAACACATTGAAAGATTTTTAAAAAAACTATGGAAAACATAGCAACACATGGCCAAATTATGCTTTAAGATAATGCAGAAGATGAAAAACAACCTTTATGGCGATAGTAAAGCGAGTCAGAATAAATAATCGGCCGTATAAAATAAAACGCATACAGGTTTCACTCCGAATCACTCGAAAAAAGGCTTGTAATTTTAAAGGATTGATCAGTTAATGATCGTAAATGAGGTCATTTAATGAGTTTGTACTTCTGAACTACGATTCCAACAATTCTAGGTATTTCCATGCAGTTGTGGGCTATTTTCCATAGTTTTTACATGCCACAGTAGAGTTCCCGATGACAAAAATCGCTGCATTTTTATCATATTTCATCATATTTCATCGTATTTTTAGCTCTTCTATAAACTGATGTATCTCTTATGTTCATGTAGTTATATGTTGAAAATTCTTCATTATTCTCGTATAAATCCACAATATATTTGCTCCTTATTTTCGAAAGTTGGTCCCTTAGTAATGGCGGCGCTCCTTATTTTTTGTCTTCAAAACCATTGAGTTCTATAATAACTGGAGCGGCTATCTCAAGCGCGGCCTTAGATATCTGCTGACGCCAAAAAAATGGCGGATTTCGTCCGTTGCCGCTGAGATTTACCGAAATTGACCGCTTTTCCGAAAATTTCACAATTTCCCAAAAGAGTGAAGAAAATGTATGTGTGTATTTGGGATTCGGCAAGCAATTTTTGATGAAAATCACGATAAAACCTACAATTCGTAACAGCGAGTCAACATAGCTTTCCAGTTATCGGCTCCTACGAGGATGTATTTATAACTATCGATGAAAGAGCTATATGTCGGCTACATCTATGAATGCAGATATGCGTCGTTTTCTTACCAGCGTCAAACTTGTTTGATCGATTAAACTCTTTAGTCTATACAAAAAGTATATCATAGTTCATCTCCACAGTGGTTCACGAGAGAGAAGTTAGCTTATTTTTATCATTGCTATTTTGCTTCTTTTACTTGTTTCTTTAAAAAGTAAATATTAAATCTCTGGATATTTACGTATTTTCTGTAATTGAGTTTCATATTAAATTTCAAAAGACTCAAGTCTGCATAGGTTTGGTAAATGAAAACAAACAATATTGTATAGAAATTACTTTAAGTAACCTTTTGTGATGTTCTGAAGTGCAACTGCATCAAATACTTGTAAAGTTGTAGCACATTTTGATTTTGTTGTATTGATATATAAATTGGGCAAAATGCAAATAATCATCAAAACACTTATGCTTCCAATGGTGTTTATAATTCATTTTAGTTTTAATACTTCTACCCTTATTTTTCACTTTGTTTTGTTTTTCCTATATTTTCAATATAAGTGCACAATTTGAATGATTAAAACAGTTTTCACTTCAATAATAAATTTCATAAGCAGTTGGTAGTGCATTTTGTTCTCTGAGTATCCACATTTGGTGTTTTCATACATGAATGATGAAATGCATATGGATATGTCATAACAAGGCAATAAAACCAAATGAATTAAATACCTATAGTGTACTTTTATGCTAGAAGCTTAACAGCTTTCTAGAAATTATAAAGTTATTGGATTATATTACCTCTATATCATCAATCTCATGAAAAGAAATAAGAAGCAAAATATTTGTAGAAAAGCTTTGAAAAGTGAAAACATTTATTTAAAAAGCAGCAATGATGCATATGATAAATCCCCATTCTGTACTCTAATAGGTAAATAAGCTCAAACTGTTTCTTAAAGAAATATAAGAAATATATAAGAAATATACAGTACAGTAAATTTAAAGGTTTCATCACTGAATCTTTAATGCTTCAGTATAGTGCATTAGATATTAGTAACATTTAAACAACACTCAACTAAAATATTTTGATAAAGATATGCCATGATTTAAACATTATGTTATATAAAACCCAATGGCTTATTCAGTTTAATGCTTCACATCTGCATCAAGTCATCATCAATCTCAGTACAAATGTTTACATAGACACAAACTTTATGGCCTTTCCATTTTATATGTTGTGAATTGACATTTAATTAAGCATCAAAACACACAACCTTCTTGCCATCTTTTTGGTTCATGAACTTCAACTTCAAAGCATTCAAGGCATCATTAGTGAATCCATTGTCTCCATCCATAGAATTTGACCATGATCAAATTAAATAACTCTGGATAAGGCAGACAATAAATCAATTATCTTTACAGCATTATCATTTTTAAGACTCTGCCTGGTCAATAACATCTTCCAGTCATCTTTACTTCTTGGTCTTCCTGCATGTTGTCAGCAAATACAACATAACAAGCTCTGCTCCAAATCATGGGTACTGTTGGGGCTGATCATTTCTTCTTGATACTTTTCACAGAGCAAAATGTGTGCAGGGTCTTTTTGCTTTAGGAAACTATTTTGCAAATAGATAGGTAAATTTACGATTTCATGCATTAACAAATGACAGAAAAGTATGCAGAAATTTATAGACAAAACACGAAAACATCAGTATATTTGGCGTTCAAGTCAGTCTTAAAAATACGATCTTTAATATGTATTTTATGGCTTTTCAAGTGCATGTATAATTGCTTTTCAATCGTTGACGGACTAACAAAACAAACAACTACCTCACCTGTGGGAAGCGATATGTACCTTTTGTGGAAACTACGACATCCAACAATTGAACGATTGAAGTGTTGGCATTATAAAAGAAATGCCAAAAGAATCGTCACAGAATATGGAACTAACGATATCCATATTCTGTGATATCGTGTTTGTTTTGAAAATTCTTTATAATTTACTATAGACACCAGGGGAGGTCGAGAATATTATTTTTCTGCAAAGCGATCATTTCAGCGGAAATACGTCCGTTGGCCGCCATTTTTTTGGCGACCTCGCCCCAGTAAAGATAGCCGCTCCAGTTATTATAGAACTCAATGTTCAAAACACGGAACACGCGAAAGATTAACAAAGATTATCCCAGTGGATTATCCACTGTCAGCATTATCTCTGAGTCTGATGCACGTAATCCTAAATTATCCATGCTTCACATAATTCTGTCCGAAGTTGAAACAGCGAGTGTGAATGAAAAGTCGAAAACGAAGACACGTGCAGTGATACAGTTAGTACAATCTACAAAAAAATATAAACACCTCTGTAGTGATGGGTAACCTCAACTTTTTTCTAAAAATTTTCTTTTTTCGGTGACTAAAGTGACATGTGTATTAAAGCAACGTGATAGTTGCGACCTTATAAAAAATGCAGTCCAACGAAAATCTGTGGATTGTACTTCAGTTCAATACAGTAGTGTAAGCAGATCGCAAGTATTGGTGAGGCTCACTAAATTGAAGAGCTTTATTATCAATTATTTCTTTACAGATTTATAGTTTTTCAAGTGTGTAAACACAGAAAGTTTTGCATAGCAAGACTAAATTTGCAGCATATCTCAGCCGCTAATTCAAGGCCTGAGACCCAGAGGTATTTTCAGCAAGCGATTTAAAGAAGAGGTCATTTCTTTGGCAACGAAATATTGATACATGCACTGGTACTCGATAGAGAACAGACGCACGGTTTCCTGAATTCATCACTAATTGGGCAAAGAGACCTTCAAACAAACCTTCAAAAGAATAAGAGAAACCCCAGTATCCTTACGTCGAAGAAAACAAAACGACGTCATTTGCGATAAGAACAAAAGGTGACTACAAATGTTGACACTCGTCAAGGGGTTCAAGTTCGGTCGGGTTTAGGAGAGAAAAGAAATTTTGTAAAAAATATACAATAAAAACAAATCTTTCACTTTAACTGCTCACTGTCACTTCCCTCCGTCACCCATCGCCATCTCTCGTCATTTATGCCTTCCAAATGTTTGATGGATTGACGTTTATGTTTTTTTCTGAAGTCTTGAATCGTTGGAGGACACAAATGGGATTTGAACAGGCTTGTCGAGTTTGAAATTTGCTTATGTATTTATTGCAATTTGAGCAAGTTTCACATTTCTAAGTCATTTTACGTTCACCAGCAATTTTGCGCGTTTACTGTTCCTGGAAACTCGACTGCTATTATGTTTACTTTGTCAAACCGTGAAATTCAATATGCAAAGTACAATTGTGTATTTACGATTCGATGTTAAAATTTTTGATATTCGTCAAATTACGAGGTCAGATCGTAACCTGACAAAATAAAGATCAGAAATACGTTTAAGTAACGACGAAAGAATTAATATTAAAGCCTCCCGACATCACAGTTGTTAATATATGTGAAATTATGATAATAAATTCAATATATGGCAATTTTTTGTATATACAATATTGAACAATTAAGACTTTGTAATGAATAAATTAATGATAAAATTTGGCATACCAAACATACATGTTTGAATTTATTTGTCATATGATGTTGAATGATTTGGACGTCAAAGGAACACCAGCAAAATTCATTGAACGCTCCAACTTAAGTTTTGCCCATGACATCAACTGATTGAGTGAAATTATCATTTGGATTCTCTATCATCCTCCGTAAGTAGAAAACACAGAGCGGTTGTTTTTGCGAAACAGCATTGATAATCATTGCCGGATAACTACCGCCTGGATTCACCTAGATGATTAGTGTGAACGTTAATTTATTTAATAACTTGGCGAATCAATAAATACACTATGTGATGATAAGACTTCCTATCATGCATCACGCTTAGGGATGGGAATAGTGTTTGGATTAAGATTGTAAATCCTTTTTATAGCCATGTCATAACATAAGATAATGACAGACAAATATAATGCCCATATCAACTAAGTACAGAAAGAAGTTGATGAGATTTAGAATAAATGAAATGTGATGGATGGCCAAGCTAAAATTTCATCAATCACTTATATGTCTATGAAAACTATAGTTTCAAGAGTCAAAATTAACTAGATTTTATCTTATTTATCTTTTATAAAGTTGCGGAGTGGGAATACAAACCTAAGAATGTAGGAAGCTGTTGGGGTTTAAGCTATACTTCAACACGACAGGCTGATAGCCATGACGTCAGATAAAAACAATCTAATGGCCCGCAACTAAGTTTTCTTACTAAATAGTGATTCATTCCACATACTCAAAGGCAATTAAAATTAAAACTGTATAATTTTGTAATCATTCAAACCTGTGCCATGTAGGTAACCGTTGAATATAACTGACCGTTATGAAGGATGGGTTCGATCACCCATCCAGAATAAATAATCTAAATATATTATAATAATTTATTAATACGCGATGACCTATTCAATTAGTAAATGACGTCGTTTCATACTTTGCCGCGTTTCGCATCTTTTTTCGATGGAGGAGCATTAGGGTAGTCAACAGATACATATGACAACACATACTTGTCTTTCTATAAGGAAATCATGAAAGCTTAATGCAGTAAGGACATTTTTAGTTCATCCTTCAACAACAACAAACCTCTTTTCGAGTGGTCTTAAGAAGAACAAAATCTCTTGAATGTTTTTGGAAACACTTTTCCGTTTGAAAATAAATATATTCTGAAAATATTCCAAAAATATGAGATCGTAAGAACATCACTCTAGTCTTTCATTCATGCATATTATAAAATCACATTTACCTATGGTTTGCGTTTCACTCAAACGTTCAAGGATTCGTGTTTCCTGGAATAAAAAAATTAAATGCTATTGTAAATGTCAATGACGTAGCATTTGTCGCAAATTTGGTAATGCTATGCAAATAGTTTGAGCTCACTCACTGTAAAAAAAAAGCATTATAGAGAAATGCCAACAAACGATCGAAATTTACATAGCTCAACCAAACACGCTAAGGAATTGGTAAATACCCTCCTTATCCTTAAATGTCCCACTTTTACACAAGTGGAACGATTGTTAACGATTACCTTCAGCATGTTGTTGTAGCGAGAGGTCAACTGAGGATTACATAAAATCTCCCATACTTTAGGTGGCGGACAAGCAATCAAACCTTTACCAGCGAAACTAAAATCAATATATTTGAGTGAAAAAATGCAAATCGATGCAATGGTCGAAATGAAGTTCAACTAATAAAATTCATTGTTTCAAACCTGTGCATTTTCTCACTCTTATGAATTTTTCTAAAAACGAGCACATTCCTCTCTGTCTCCTGAAATCTACAATAAAAGAGGCTCGAAGCTTTTCTTTTGTGCAAATGTAGAGAATGTTTGCTCAAAATCAACATACCGCCATTGGTCAGGGACATTTGATGAATTTGGTTTGGATATATCCACCTCCGTTACTTCAAATGACTACAATTAAACAGTATTTATATAGCTATTATACAGAGAAGCTAATTCCAGACGCTTTTCAATTTTAAATATTTTTTGGCATAATAGTAAAAGATATCATCAATACCTCCTGTAACAAGGCTGCACAAGCTTGATTACCGATGGTTTTGTACTCCAAGCCAACTTGATCAACTTAACAAGACACAAGAACCAACATTTCAAGCTATTTTATTGATTTATAGTTTATAGATAAGCTGTGTAGCTTACCGTATGTTCCGTTGATAGAGGGAGACAACCTGGATTCATCAGAAACTGTAAGAGACTGATAAGAAAGTAAAGATGAGTTTAAAAAAAGGATTCAAAAGCAAAAAAATAAAAGAATGCCGCACGGTTGAACCTGTGTGTAAGATTCAGGATGTACATCACCGTTGACCAGTGGTACAGGTGGCGCAGGAGATGACATCACTTCTGGTGGTTCTTTAGAAGTCGTACTTGGTTGGTCCGTGGATCTTTTAGTAAGTTGTTCCTTAGCACGTTCAAGTTTTTCTTTAAGTACTAAGGCATCCATTTTAAACTTTGACGCAGGTCTGTTTGGGTTGTCAACTTCATCTTCATACATTTTCTCAACAAATTTCTTGACAAGTCCGACGGAGGCCGGTTGACTAGCGGTAATCTTATTGACAATTCGCGATGGAACACTACCTTTTTGATTCAAACATAAAAAAGCAAAGATTGAACGGAACAAGAAAACGACATGAAGCGGTTGCATAAAGATGGGATCTAGAGACCAATGCACGAAGCGTGGGGTCAAAAGATCTAAGGCGATTGCATGCACAAAGCATCGAGTCAGGAGGTCTGGAGACGGTCGCACGAAGCGTGGAAAACGCTATCCAGTAAATGGCAATTGTTATGTTTGTTTCACAAATATCTCACGGTCAAGTTACGATTTGAACAGAACACATATTCAAAGACAACAAAGTTCAATTTTAAATACAACCACTTTCTAAAAAGGGACAACGATATTTGACCTTTGTGCAACCTACTGCAAGTGAAAGCTTAGAGTAATTCATACGTAATTCATGACATAATTCCGTAATGCATACCTTCTAGATCAACATGAGTGATATAGGAAGTCTTGATACGTGGAGGATTTTCACTTATGATTTCCATGACATAACCTCCGATCAAAATCTTTCCTCTACATTTGATAAAAACAACTGTTAATTTGAGAAAAACAACAATAATTAAGTACTTGAGACAAGCTAGCGACTTACCTCACTATTTTCTTGTTTGCCGGGCATGAAGGATGTTTTACCTCAAGTACAACAATATTAAAATGAGAGAAATCTGCCATTAATACGCGCAAGCAATAAAAATGAGTAGGTTACTTACATGTGAAGCAAAGTAGACCACAATGTTGTTCTTCAAAACTCGCGTCGCAGAATAGGAACAGAAATCTCGATTACTAACAGGCCAAATACCCCTATACTCTATATATACGATCTTTGTTAGATCACCAACATGTTCGACGACATGACCTGTTGAAAGATAACCATCAGTATTATAAATACAACAATTTCTAGGAAACATCATCATCAACGCGCACCTCTTTCGAACATATCATCGTATTCGACTGTCCTGTTTAAGTCGTCAAGGTAAGCCATAAGATAATGGACGGGGACGTTGATTTCCGTAGTTCCTTTTGAACAATCCCAAATGCTAAAACCCGGACTGGCTGGCTTCTTCATGATTTCCACATTTCTACAAAATCAGTAAATGTAAATATATGAATAGCATGCAAACACTTCAGAATAGCCAGGGTTATTTCATTTATTTAAGAAACATTTCCTCGTCATAACTGATGAGAGAAGATTTCAATTAAACTAACTATTACAAATTGTTATACATGTTAAACTAAATTAAATTAAGTAGTAAATTAGAGTTAAACTTAAACCTAGAAGCAAATTGTGATTCACAATCTATATTTGATCTTTTACTCCTTCAATCATCCAGATTGTTTAACTTTTTGTTCAAGCCTTCTCATGAACGTCAAAAATTTAAAATTCTCAACATGATTAAAGTAAGAATTTAAAAACGTTGCGATGCTAAACTGTCAACATCGACGTAACATATCTGCTAAAAATTGAGAACTGTTAACTGCAACAAAAATGATCTTCAAATAAATTTGCTGTTCACTTTACTCTGCTCATAAGCTGAAAAATAGGTACTATCTACTTACGTTTAAATTTCTATAAATAAAAAAGTTCCTACTTCATATTTCCAAAGAAATTCCAGCCATCTTGGTTAGCTTTGGCATAATAATATTCCAAAAGTGTCTTCAACCCAACATCAATTGATGGTTTATACCTTAATAAGAAAATTATGTTTGTACCATCATCAAATTCTCTCACCTTGTAATGGTAAACATGTTTGCTTACTTGGACTGAAAATCTTTGTCTGGAAAAAAATAAACTCCCATCTCATCAAAAACTTCCTAAAAAAATTATAAGACCACAAAAAATTTTCAAGATCACCATTTCATTCTTAAAAATGTATGAAGCAAGTTTTATTTCAAATACCTCAGACGAGAAACTGGAATTCTTGACATCAACATTTTCAACAATATCTGAAAAATTATAAAATCTATAAATTTTTACTGAGTGGAAGTTTTAAGAAGTGCTATTCAAAGACTACAAACCTTCTGAAACATCTCCTTTTTCTTCATTCTTGGCAATATTACCATCTTTCATATCCTTAACTGCTCCTGGAAGTAAAACACCTGTGCATCTTTGAATAACAAAATCTCGTAGTCCAGCTACACTAGAAGTCAGATTTGAAGGATCAAGTTGTGAAATTGTTTCAGTTACAACAAAGACTTGACATTGCTCTTCTTTCTCTGCAACAGAATTTCTATGATGAGCAAATCAAACAATGATGATCATTCATCTCACATTTTGTCAAGATTAAAAACCTTTAATAGGAAAAACCATAAACAAAGTGAAGTAAGAATCAGTGGATTTGGGATCAATAGTTGATGTATGCAGCCAAAAAGCAACATTTTCTTCAAAGTTCCAAGTTCTACAAGAGATTCACAAAGAAACTCAAATGCTTAAAAAATCTAAGTAAACAAATAGAATGAAGGCCAGTGATTTCTACCGTGAAATAGTCTTTGACTGAGCTGTAAGAAATTTACTAAAACCTTGCAATGATTCAGTCACTGAAATGACATCAGTACTGCTACTCGCCCCACCACTAGAAATGTCTGTTCTTGATATAAACTTAATCTTTATATTCCACTCATTGATTAACGAAGGTTCAGTTAAAATGTCCTTTGCAGTCTAACAAACCATAATGGATAGCTTATTAGTTTAATATGACCAATTGTTTGGCAAGATTAGCTAATGTTAAAAATATTGGAAGGTTGCAAAAATACCTTCAAAGAAGCAGGGAGCATCGCAGATGTTGCAAAACAATTGTTGTAATAACAACTTTGCCAAACTCTTAATCCATCTTCCACATACTTTAAATTCCAATAATTTTGGTCCAAAGGCAATAACTGGCATGAAAATGCAATCAATAAAAAATTTGATCATTTTGTTGTACAAAACTGCTACTATTAATTGATATGAAATAATTAGCATGATAATTTTCAATATATATGAGTAATGGTTAATTATTAATGAGCTATGCACATATGATTATAAATAGTAAGCTACACATATCAATGAGTACTATGTATATAAATGTGACAAATCACACGAGATTCTTTCCAATTTATGCAGTGTGTTTGTAGCAAATCGAAGAGATAATAAACAAATTGCTGATTTTCCAAATAATTATTTGACAATAATTGAAGACAACAAATACATACTTTTTTAATGCTTGTGTAAATATCTGACGAAGAACACCTGCCTAATGTTGAAGAACTTTTCTATAGAACAAAATTCTGTAGTAAATACAATGTTTCACTGCAAATTCTCAAGGTCACATCACATGAGACGGCTGCATATCACAAGTACATTTTGTGCACAAACCTTCGATCGATTTATGAAGTAATAGACAAATATTCCAGCCAAAAAACTTGACAAAATATACGTAAAGTACAAAAAGAACGCCATTCGTTTGACTTGTAGATATGTTTGTGTTGGAATAGTATCTCTTTAAGAAAAATGCCGGATTCGTCAGATCACGTTTCGTGCGATCTTGGTACACGGAGATGCTATCAAATTTGCTGAGTGCAAAAGTTCGGATTTATTCGGAAACTCTCGGAATACCATTCGATTTGGACACGTGCATATAAAATATGTTCCATAATTTTTGCAGATGATGTTTTACCTTTATCATAAAAGTAAAACAGACACAAAATCTAAGTTTATATCATTTCTTTATCTGTTTTATACCGTATTTAGGTTGTTTCGCAAAATAGAAGTCATTGCCAAAAATTAAAAACTCACGAAAGTGAAAAGTCAACGGTTGAAGATATTTCCAATGTTACAATCATACGTAACAATCACACCACTTTTATCAAAATCGCGTGATCAACATGCAATGAATTGTATCCTGCAGTTTTATCCTGAAACGATTTTCTATGTTTGTTTAAGTAATTTAGTCGAACAAATCTACACAAAATTACCAAAATCATTTCTATATAAATATCAATCTTATCCCGACAGTTCCTTCTTACTTTTCTGTACATCTGCAAACTGCCACTTAATTATTTGAAAAATTGCAATAATTTTTTCTTGAAAAAGGTTACACCCCACATAGATAAACTCAAGACATTTCCTCAGTTCTAAATTAATGAAGATTCGTCGTCAAAAACAAAACACTTGGACCATTATATGACATATCCTATTACATATTATTATACATCTTTCGCCATGAAAAGTCTGGTCGCATTTTTAGTCAGAAAAACCTAGGGAAAAGAAATACGGTAGTTTACAGTTGTAGTTTCTTAGTCCCATCTATAACTGTGGGAATTCAAAAACTGCTAAATTAAATGGATAACTTCCATTTTCCCGAGATTGTTGACCTGTGCGAGCCATCGGGAACAGTTTTAAAAGGCACAAAGAGAAATGGCGTTTCTTATGAAAGAAAATCAAACGCCAGCAGGTACTTAAACAAAACTGGAAAAAGACGTTTGCATAATAGTGAAAAATCAAGAGGAAAAAGAACGAACCACGAGCACACGTTGCATAAAACGTGTACAATTAAAACGTCCTTGAACTCTGGTAAAAAATCTTTAAAAGCGTTCAAGCAATTCGACCCTATCGGATTACCCAAGATTTCGCCAAACATTGTAAAGGAAGAAGCAAAATCGAAAGGAACAGCAAAGAAATGTAAACGAAGCAAGCAAGCAGAAGGCGATACTATTTCTTATATTTATTCAAAATCTTTACTGGATGAAAACACGATGGCTTTCTTACGAAATATGATGGACGTCGACAGAGATGGAAATCATCTTGTTAACAAGGACATCAACAGGTCAAATTTAATAGAACACAAAAAACCATACGGTCTTCCAGCATTGAAGATACCTGAAGGAATTCGACAAGAAGAGATAGTTGAGAAAGATTTTCATCTACATGAAAGTGAAACAGAGAGTTTGTTGAACGCCTGGGAAACTCTAGATGACCAATGGAGTAACGGGTCTACATCTAACCATTCTATCTCTAGTGAAGATCCTTCCAATTGAAGTATTGTTGCATCTTTATAAGGCTTCTATAACTGCTTCAATAGCAAAACAAGCCTATTTCTGCGACAGAGTAACATCATGAAACCGTTATAAGTTAGTAAAGAATTTCTCCTCTTCTTGGAGACTCATTAGAAACGTTAAAATGTCAACAGATAATGAAGAATTTCTATTATTCCAAAACTCTTTATAAAACACTTCTGCATTCATCAAAACGTTACGACAAAAGAACAGAAGTGAATCTTTAAGTTGGAAGTTGTAGGATAAAAGAGATTATTTCAAACAGTTTTTTTCCAAAGACGATCAAGTCCATAAAAATAAAAAAGCAAATACAATGACCATCAATATGATTTAAGAAGCAGTGTTGAGTGCTTTACATATATGTGTATCAAAGGTGGATATTTTTTTATTGAATTTTTTAATTAAAGCTTTAGACACCTTCGTCAAAAACGATGCTAGAAATTAGGATTGAATTAAATTATACCACGAAGTGGTAAAGATATAAATACATTTTACACACGTGAAAAACAATGAGTATGTTTACGACAGTAAATCATCGTAGTTAAACTGTTTAGAAAAGGAGTTCTTGCACTATATTGCAATAATTTACGTATGCAGTCCTAGTGGTGAGATTTTAGCAGACAGTTGTAAGAAGAAACTATCGTCTATTTTCTAAAGACGAGTCATGAAAAAAGCGACAATGTAGCGTGGAGACTGGGAAAGGAGGGTGTACTTGTGTATTCATGTAATTCATATGTTTTGAAAAACAGGACACAAACACTCTCACTGAGAATCATTCCTGCTAAATAAACTCTACTTCTTTCTCTCAAGAAACTCCACTTTTTCAGTTCACTATAGAAACTTCATTTTTTTCAAATCCCCCATCAAGAAACTGAATTTTTTCTGTCCTCCCCCCCTTAAAAACTGTAAAAGGCAAAGATTGTAATTTGAAGATCTATATATAAATATCATTCTTAAATACAAATACATACATGTTTGAGCCTTGATAATGGCTTTTTAACAAAACTTCAGGGAAATTACTATGTACACAACAATTGCAACCAATCACAGCTACAAAAGTATGATGTCAACAATCCACAACCACATCACTAACATCCAAATAAGGAAATAGCAAAAAGATGAGAATGGCAAAATCTTTCTGAGACATGAATTTGTCCATTTCATTATTAATCTACACATAAACACACCAAGTGAAAGGCTATTTACTCAATGATAAGTTCATGATCATCTATCTCATCAAAATGTGCAGCTATGCATTCTTCTTCCTCTGTTAAAAGTTTGCTTTTGTTCTAAAGAGAAAAATGCGTAAAGCATTCAGAGCTGCTAACTATGACACTACAATGTTGGTGCCATTACCTGCATTTGCCGATGTTTTGTAACTCGTTTTCTTTTGAATTTTTTTACAGGCTTATCCGCTGGTGTCTCAAATAGTGGTTTCGGTGGTGCTATTAATGTCAACTGTTTTTCATCCTTCTGAGCAATTTCTGGGGTCAAAGCTGCTGAGGTACTTAATAGGTGATGGGGAATTGGAGAAACTGGCAAAGGAGTTACTAGACCATCTAAACCAAGCATATCTGCATCGACTTCCATTCTTTCAAATGCCGGAGCAATGGGTGTTGAATTCGATCTTTCTTCATTTATGACACTGTTGGTCGGTTTCTGTTTTAATATCCGAGATCTATTTACTGTCTTTTTTACGCGATTTTTCCCAGGATTTTCAGATTCACAATCACCATCGTAATCTTCAGAGCTCACTTTCTTACAATAATGCCGTGTGTTTGCCTTCAACTGCACATCTGAACCACTTGACAAACCTAAAGTAAACATATTTATGTTGCGTGCGATTCATGATTCTTCCTTTATTAAAAAACAACAAAGTTATGATTTACCTTTACTGTCTACCGTACTATTTTCGCTGTCATCACTTCGAATTCTTTTTCTTCGTGGTGGCATGTTTCAATATGTCTTAAATATTGACGACGATCAAATAAATATACAATCGACAGAAAAAGAAGCAGAACCTGCCAGTCGCCATATTTTAAAATACGCGCGTGCGTGTGCCTGACAAGCTGACACTTTGCCTACATATCCCGCCTGCCAATCTCAAGGGGTATCCTTATGTAAATAATTAGTGTGCTCTTTCATTACTTATATTAGAGCAGCTGCGAAGGTAATTTTTAATCGAACAATAACAATTTTAAAATATTCTTACATTGGTGTGAAGTTCTTATTATTATAAAGGATCTTCAGTTTTGCTAGCTTTGCAAGTTGTGATGATTCCAGAATAAAAGCTTTAATATAATTGCAACATATTCAAATTAAACAACTGAAGACAATGATCATTGTTTAAACAACAGACACTGTGAGCATTTCTCGCCAGTTGCCTGTTGTATTAATAAAGGTCCTAGGAAATAAAAAATGTAGCTAACAGCTACTGTCTTTAAATAACTACTTAAGCAAGAACTTTGACATCATCTCCAACATGTATTGTCCCTGGAACATCAGCCATAAAAAGATCTCCGAATAAAGGCTTTCCATTGTATCTTTTATCATCAGATTTTGAAACACGTATCCTTGTCCACCAAAAATTTATGAAAAAATGGTGTATGGTCTGGCATGCAGAAATACAACTACAAATTCTATACTTACCTCCTTAATGTCTTCAGTGGCTCACCATCTTTTCGTTTTACACCTAAATCCATATCAACTGTAGTCAAAACACATCTATAAAAGAAACAAACAAACATTTATGCAAACTTAAACATGACAATTTCACAAAGAAAATAAATAAATTGATGTACCTTGGAGTTTGCCTCAACTTTCTCAATAGAACCTTGCCAATTTGCACAGATTGCCAAAAGTCTTCTTCATAGGGTAAGCATCCTTCAACATAAATATTAGGACGAAATGTTCTAATGTCAACAGGGCAATCCAAATGTTTATTGATTGCCTCTAAGGAGGCCTTGGATACCAACATTATGGGAGCACAATCTTGAAACATCATCTACAAAAGAAGCAATGGAACATTCAGCTTTATGCATGAACTGGGGGGCAAAGCTATTTGCTTCTTTATTATCAATATTTTACCTTATCAGTAGACTGGACAGAATCACCCCACACATCATCCTCTTTTAACTCTCTTCTCTTTAAACATGAACTACGACTAGTGAACAATCGATGCCCTTCCTTTCCCAAAAATCTATCAAACCACTGCGCAACATCGTCACCACAGTCCAGACCTTCCCCATGGAGACCAAAGAGACTAAAAATGACACATTTGATACAAGAAGTATAATAGTAGTACTACAACATGTCTTATATACAAAATCCAATTGGCTCACTCAAGCATATGCTTTTCTGTGCTATCCTCTTCAATGTCAATAGGAATTTTCATTGTGGGCATGCCAGGAGCATCAAGGACTAAATAGTCTGTTCCTTCCAACGATGGTTTGATGAGAGCCATTTTTGGAAGCTGTCGCATTGTCTGCACAACTCCTTGGGCATTACACAGCACCCATGACCTAAGAAGAAATTTAGGCGAAATTAGTAATTGCCATATCAGGGAATTCTCAAAACAAAATATGCTTTTGAGAAAAAACGTATTTAATCAAAGTCTACACTGACCGGTCAAGAAGAAAACCAAGTTCTGTTATATCGACTTTATCAAGATTTATTCCGGCGCATGATTTCACGGGGTAAACAAACAATGATTTAACAACGGCTCTTTTGACCATTTTTAAATGCTTATAAAGCATCCAAAGCACCAAACCTGCAGTTAAAGCCGTCCCTAATGCAAGTACACATTTTTTGTCGGGACTCATATTTTATTTGTAAATTTATAGATAAAACTAATTAGGTACATTAAAATTAAATAAAAACTTTAAATTCCGGTGTTAGTCAACTAAGCCTCCCTTGTGCGCCGGCTACAAATAATTACCGCCAAATTTAAAGAATTTGCAGTATTTGCATAAAAGCATGTCCCGTAAGTATAAAACTGATAAATAGAAAAGTAAACCTGTATCTCTATCTGTATCATTGATCTGCACCAAAATTTAGCTTTACCTAACAGGTATATGAAGAACTAAAAAATATACACTTGCTTTAAATACTAAGTATTTAGAAATATTTTACTGTATACAAGACATATTATATATTCAGGTGTCACGATCTGATAATTTTTTGCAACTGGATACTGGATATTCTGATATTTACTACTGATATTCACTATTCCTCGTCATCAGATTCCGCAAGCAAGTTTATGAGATCATTGTTCAAAAGCCGTGGATGGCTGGGCTAAAGAAATGACAAAAAAATATTTTAAATTAATGGATATAGGTTACATACAAAAACATGTAGTAATTGGAGTCCAATGGTAATTTTTCGATATCTGTATGTATAAAAAATAATCAAATTCATCCCTACAACTACACCCTTAATTCTAACATAATTACTTTCGGCACCCCCTCAACATACACTGCAACATGAAAAGCTGGGTTACACTTACATGCCCTGTACATACCTAAAGTTCTTCTTTCAATGTAAAAAATGTGCACTCTGTTACTTATTATTAGACATTGAAAGGTTGATATAATAAACCCACTACCAATATTATCAACCAGACTACCAATATCATCGACCATCTACAATTTTGCTTAAATAAATGTAACTTAACATTGCTTCTATTTTCAAGATGATGTCACAAAACTTAACATTAATATCAATTTCAATTCAATACCAAGGGCATTTTAAGGACACACAAAAAAAACTTTCCCATGATAAACAGTGAAAAGTACCTTGCCACCAAATCGAACTTTAATTAGTTTTCGGCGACGACACGATCTCATCATCACCATGCCAAGTGCAATTACTAATGCAGCCAAAGTACCAATCCCAACAGGTACAATAAAATCCCACAAAACTGCTTCACGTCCCTTGTAAATATTATGAATAAGAAAAAAATCACACACAAATATAAGCAATAAGTAAGAAACAGGGGTGTATGCAGCAGACAAATTTAGTCTTGCTATTGAATTTCAGAACTTAATATTATTTATTTCTTTAGAAATCTATTTTTTCCACAGTAAGTGAACTTAAAAAAATTAACAAAGCACGGCATAATGGACGTAATACCTGATCTGGTGGTGGCATTTTCCCTTCATCTACAATAAAATAAGCAAAAAAAATCACAAAAATAATTTGATCACCATCCATATACTTTGTTCATAAATTTGTTCATAAAAACAAACTTTTACCTTCATTAGCTTTTTTTATCTCATTGTCATCATCTGATACTTCATTTGATGAAATTTTGTTTGTTTTCAGAACTTTATGTTCAGTAGGAGGCAGAATACCTTGTTTAGGAGTGTCATAACTTTCAGATGATGGTTTATTTGGTGTTATAATAGTGGTTGATCCAACTGATGGTAAACTAGTACCAGTTGATGGCTTTGATGGTGTTTCATATTTAAAAGAATTTTTAGAAGGAAAAGCAGTTGATGATGTACCAGTAGATTGTAAACCACTAGATAGTGAACCAGCAGATGATAAATCAGTGAATTGTAAATCAGTAGATTGTTTCAGTGGCAAAGTGCTAGTAGAAGGTGACCAGCTCATAGCTGTATTTTTGACAACTATCAACACAGTTGACTTTTCAATAACAGATTTTTTAATTGATTTGCTACTTTTGGATGGCAAAGTTAATTCAGCAGTAGAAGATGCCGCAGATGACTCAACAACAGTAGATATGACAGGACTGGAGACTAAGTCAAATTTTGATGTTGTTAAAGATGGCAAATTTGTCTTTGCAACAAAAGATGTGTTGGTGAAACCATCATCAATGGATGGGAACTCATCATTGACATATGATATAAGAGATGGAATATTAGTATGATCATCAGCCAAAGATTCTGTGGTTAAAAGGCTACTAGTAGGCACTTGAGCAATTGAATCATTCCTTGAGATATTCGCTGGTACAGAAGTTACATCAAAATCAGTAATGGAAGGGGCAGTTGCAGGTGAGATATGATCAACATTGATACTGGAGGATAATAGAGAAGAAATGGCAGATGGTGAATAACTGTTTAAGGATGCTACAGAAGCATCATTGAATGCAGAGTCTGTGCTCATGCCTGCTGATAAAGAATTACTTTCAGTGATAACAGCAGCCATTAATCTACTAGCGTTTGAATACACCTCCAAAGAAGATGATTTGGGCGATGATAGTTCAACAGTACTGAATGGTTGAATAAGCATGCTAAAATTAACATCATTCGTTGTTTTTGAGATGTTAACTTGAATGCTTGTAGCCACGCTAATTATAACATTATGTGTTGAAGCTTTTGACTTTTCAGATGATGCCAAGTTAGTATAACTTTCATATAAACTTGACAACAAAGGTGTCTGTTGTTCAGATGTCTTTTTCGTTGAAATATCAGTTAAAACACTAGGAGTTAAAGTAAAATAACCATTTGTTGAAATTTTGTCATCATTTCCATTGTTTGATTGCCTCGAGTGAGAAACCAGTACTTCAGCTGGATCGTCTTTTATGCCTTCGTCAACTTCTCGTATCTGAAATGGATGCCCATTTATACTTAACGTCGACAGTAATCCAAGCCCAAAAAGAACCAAAACAGCCGTCATTTGTCGTCGATTATTTATGAAATGTTTCAAAAGTAAATTTCGTCGATTCCTTTAATATAGAGCTTCACTTTACTTACAGTCGTTTTCATCCACAGTGTATCATACGTAAGCGTTCTTTTTACAAATATCAAATTACCTTTGAAGGTGATAATACTTTAAATAGTTGTACCAACACAAAACAAAGACCGTTTTGTCTTGTGGCAATTCTACAGTAATTAATATGAGTAATATTCGTAATATTGACTCCACAGTTTCCAAGTATGGACTGATATCACTTGACTGGAGTGCGATTGCAATACGCGTACGTGGCACGCATAAATTAAGTCTGGCATAAATTATAACTTGGCGAGCATAAATTATAAAGTGAGTTTCTCGTTTTCAGAAGAGCAAAGTCAAAAAAACAAATTTCAAGGCGAATTGCTTTCTATGTCTTTCCACATTCTTGTTCTAACAAACCACGAAAAACTTCAAAATGATGATTGGCGCCGTCCAAGCAGTGAATTTTATAAATTGAGCCCAGTCCTCCTGAGCAAGGAGTCGCACAGCCATAGAAAACTGTTCGAATTCTAGAATGTAATAAAGCCATCGCGCACCTGATGAAACGAGAAAATATTGTAAGATTCCAACATAAATAAAACAAAGTTTTAAAAGCTGATGATAATTCTCTTGCAAACTCACATGACACAAGGTTCCCTTGTAATGTATAGATCATATCCTGTGCACAAGTACGGTGTCTCACCACAAGATATTAAGTCATCTTCAAGCATATGATCATTATCTACCATGTCTTGTTCATCTTTACTACCTTGACCATCTTCATGTGAGTCCAACTCTCGGTCCCAGGCACCACCACCATGCAACCTAGCAATCAGATCGATGCATACCATGGAAGTATGTCTAAGAGGGTGCCGTGAATTGCTCATATCATAAGCTTTGCATATAATCTTGTTTGTTCGAGGGTTTACAACAACACCACCAACAGGATGGGATACTCCATTTTTCTTGCCTGTTCTTGCAACATTTATCGCTTCAATCATGTGTTTTTTTATTTTCAGAAACTCCATGTCAGTAAATATTTCATTGGTCAAGAGTTTGGTAATTCTATTAAAAATTAGTGAATCAAGAAGTTCAAATGAAAATGATTTAGATTTACAAAATGGAAATTTCTAACCGTTTGTTTTCATGAAATTTCATTGGCCAGACTTTTGACCAACAATTAAACTGGTCCATCGTCAAAGCAGGGTATTTTGGTACACGCGTGATAATAGGTTGAGATAAACCATCAAGGACCAAAGTTGATTCACGAAATAAATCTTTCAAGGTTACATTTTCCCTCAATATACCGCCAATACCATCTACTGCAGCTACAATCATCACCAGTGTTCCATCTACGCACACAGCAGGTTTTTCAAAAGTAATTCAGCACATTCGTACGTGAATCCCATATGGTCTAGTGGTTAGGATTCGTGGTTTTCACCCACGCGGCCCGGGTTCGATTCCCGGTATGGGAAATCCATTTTGCTTAATTTTTGAATGTTGAAAATTTTCCCTTAATATTGACTTTTTCACTATTGAATCAGTGTAAATTTTGAATAACACTTCACCAAGTACTATTTCAAAAAATAAGAACATCCAAATAATAGAAAATACAAAATAAATATTTCATAATCTGTACGGGTTTTTCGGGTTGGAGAGCCCGCCGAAATTTGGTTTGTGGAAGACTGAACCGAGATTTTAAAAAGTAAAATTTAAATTTCCTTAAATAACAACTAATTACATAATTTACTACATAATTTATTTTTAGCTTTTTAGAAATGGAAAAGTTTTATAAAATAAATATTGTAAAAGTCAATATAAAAAAGACATTCCCATACCGGGAATCGAACCCGGGCCGCGTGGGTGAAAACCACGAATCCTAACCACTAGACCATATGGGATTAGTGATTTACACCCGAAATTCGAATTATTTAAATTCACCTTTATTTTTTACACGCTTTAAATGACGAAGATTTTCCAATTTGTGAATTTCACCAACTTCCCTATTGCAAATATTATTTTAAAGTAACCATTGAAAGTGACATACAAATTGAACCATAAAAAATACAATAAGTGATGGCAATGTTCCTACAATACCTTAGTAGTTTGGAGGTCTGTCCTCTATCGTTTACAATGCACGTCCAAACATCAACTACAATAAAAAAAAACACGCTAAAATTGTTAAAAAGTATTGAGAGCAAAATGCCTAAACACAGCACACATATCGTACCTAATTCTAAAGACCGATAATACTTGTCGTGCAAAACTGCTTCAGGTTTTCTCTCCTGGTCTTCCCGGGACAAACAAAATGGCGACAATGTTTTAATTTCATAGACAACATTTCCAGCCGATTCACTTTTTTCTTGGGAAGAGACAATTAACCGAGTCTCTTTCGATTCAGATTTCAATCTTTTGGCAATTGGCTCTGAAGATAAGGAAGCCATTGTAAAATCTTGACTCACTTTACACTGATCATCCAAGATTCCACGGGTGCGACATTCAGCCCATCCAAGGTGCAAAATTTAAATTACATCTTGAAATGATTACAACACAATATGCAACACAACCAATGTAGACTTCATCAAATGATCACGATCACGAAGACATCATTTACATTGTCATTGTCCTATGAGTAATTTATTGGAGAATAACACGAGAATCTGATACAAACGGCTGTATCATGAAAGGGTCCGGTGGTGAACATGAACATTTTTTGAAAAATGCAAGTAAAAACTAAACACAATTTTCAGTAAGTCGTCAATAGTAAATCTCGTTTTAAGAAGATTACTTTTTCAAAACAAAATCGTCAAAAAGAAATTCGTAAAAATTGAGGGAGGTTTCAATTGGTTAATTTGATGGATCAGATAGAAATTAGAGAATTACAACTAGAGATTAGAAGACGTTAGAGATTAACAATTTTTATGCTAATAAAAAAAGTACGTTTACTGAAAACGATGAGGTTTTCATTAATCGTATAAAGGTAACTGCAGTTAGAAACACCATGACCAAAGAAATTATATCCCTTAAATAGTCAGACTATCATCTCATGATACCTGTTTCTTTCACCTTGTTTCTCTCAAGTTTCACAAATAGGAGAAAAGTGTGAAAGAATAATTGAGACCTGAAAAATATAAGTATTACTTGGCATTGAAACGAGGTAAGAATTATTAAGTTTTCCCCATTTCTTCTTTCTGAGATGTGTATGAACAACGATAAAATCACGAAATAAATCCTTGGGAAAAAGGGCGTTTTTGAAAGTTAAACGAATCAACTAATTATAGTCTAATACTCCTCTATATTTACAATTTTCAATGATTTCAACTTTGGTCAACTCTTGTCATAATTAATAACTTTACTTAGCACAAGAATATTATTGTTCCTATGCCAAAGATCAGTTTGGTTTCTTGAAGAAAATCGTAAATCATTCCCTCTTTTCCTCTCTGCCCATAGTGAATGCCTTAACGAGTTTCGGACAACTGTATTTACAGCTTCGGTACATGTAAATAGAGTGGAAATCTATTTCACAGAACCCAAGATCTTTCCACCTTTTGCATCGAGCGTCATGGTCAAAAACTTTGCTCTCTGAGAAAACAATTAAAAAAATGTGAAGACATTCAACTGTAGGAAGAAATGAAAACAGTCATTATGAAAGCGAAAAGACTTTCTAAATTCGATGGTAAATCCATCCTCAGGCAAAATGAATTAAAATAGCTCATTCTTAAATTTAACACCTAACCTCCAATCCATAAATGGAGAATATTCTTAAACGACATTCTAAACAGTTTTATCTAAAATATACCAGAACTTACTAAAAAACTAATTCCGAAAAAATTATGGATGGGGATTAAGCTGAGCGCGTCATCCTGCTCCGTGGTCTCGAATATACCACCACTAGGTTAATGTATGTATTAAAGACTCACTTTTGTCGCACATTTGGCAAGACAAACGACATTTTCTCCCCATGGCTACATAAGATTGATCCTTGCTACACCATCCTTGTCTTGCTTTTCTTTTACAATCTTTCGAGATGTTTCTGCATTTGATTTCGCTTGGTACCATATCAATGGTTGATACTAAAATATTCATGAAACGATTTTGAGTCAGCGGGCATCTGGATAAGCAAATCCAACATGATTTCAATAAAAATACACTTAGATCTGCAACTTTCGAAGAGTTCTTAATTCTTATCAGTCGAAATTGCGGTGAATCAACGAGTACATAAATACAAAATGACGACTTTGAAAGATATATTTGGCATATAACTGTTTCCTCTTTGTAATAAAATCCTTATCACACACCTGACAAAATCAAAACGGCGACAAGAAGAACACTTACAAACAATTTCATTTCTCTCAAAGTTCTCTAAATTGAAGAAGAAAAAAGCACGTTAGGAATTGTTTTAGTTCTTAGTCTTGTAGTCTCATCAAAACATATAATTATTAACTTATTATACACACAGATTAAATATTTATGAACTTGTGACTTGTCAAAAACAAAGCTAACTAAAGTAACAAAGACATAATATGTAAGTAAAGTGAAGGAAAATACATAAATAACTATGTAAAAGATATAAAGTTGAATTAATGCCAAACATGTCTTACCTTTTTGAGTGATTACGTTATGACGTTCAGGTGTTTCTTATCAAAAACGAGTTTTATTTCCACGCGGCAATACCAAGCGTGAATTAACCTGTTGCTTAACAAACTCAGCGATTTTTACCTGCATTACGTAACTTTTATGGGAAGCATAAATAGACCAAATCCTCCATACATAAAGCTTCAATAACAAGCATCAATAGACAAAGCCATTAGTGATCTGCCATAATAACTTCATTAATGGGTATAAATAGACCGACAATTAAAGTAACCTGCCGTAAAATAATTTCAATAACATGGGCATAAATAAACCAGGCACTACAATAACATGCGATATTTAACATTCGTGAAGTTAAGGAATTCATGCTATCTATTTTCATCGCAAGCGTTTCGGTTTATTGATAATTACGCATATTTACAAAGTTTGATCGTAAAGTTAATGATGAATGACACGTCCTCACTCGACAACATATAAAAACGTCACAATAAATACCCACGTCATCACTAAGGTAATAACAACGACATCACAACGGTTAATTCACGTCATCATCTGCATCATCAGCAGCGTCATGATGTGTCACATGTTTTCCTTTGGATTTCTCTACTTTACGTCGTCTTGCAGTGTTGGTCAAATCTTGAAGCTGGACAGGTACATCTCCAGGAGATTGGCTAGAGACGTCCTGCTGTGGTAGACTTGCAGTTTGTTGCTGTGCTTGTTGCACACCAGAGTTTGCCACTTGATTTCCATATTGCTGCTGATCATTTTGCAGGCTGTATTGTCCTTGTTGATATGGTTGTTGGCCATAGTTCTGTATTTGCTGTTGATTGTATTGCTGCTGACCAAAGTTCTGCGCTTGCTGTTGATCAGCCTGTTGCTGACCAAAATTCTGCGCTTGCTGTTGATTAGCCTGTTGCTGACCAAAATTCTGCGCATGCTGTTGATTAGCCTGTTGCTGACCAAAATTCATGTCATATTGTTGACTACCCTGAGGATATTGCTGCATATGTTGCTGTGCAAACTGGTGCTGAGGAAAATATTGTTGCTGCTGTGCAGGATACTGTTGCTGCTGTGCAGGATGTTGTTGCTGCTGTGCAGGATACTGTTGCTGCTGAGAGTAATCCGAATTCACTTGCTGTTGACCCAGTTCCCATTATTATGCTGCTTTACTTTAGCAGGGGGGGTGTTTCTGTGAAAGTTGCCACGACCAGGCGACATAATACCACTACGTATTGTATTACGACAACTATATTTACAGCGTTTTAACATGAATCCTTGATGAGGTCTCATTTCACAATATCCTTTTTTAAAATATGTGTGACAACGTGAGTCACCGTCAAAGAGAGTGGCATCTAAAATAAAAGATAAATTTTTAATTTCATAATATTTGAGCACATCACCTTGCTTGGACTGCATGTTCACAAAGTCTTTTTTCACATTTATACAATTATCAAATTGAGTAAAGTCTCTGTTGAACTTTTTGCAGCCAAACTTGTATTTTTACATTACATTAATGTCGTACCGTCATCACCACACATCAAACAAGTTTTTTTGCAGAGTTTTGACATCGAGACATAGAAACGCTGCTTCTTATACTTAGGATTCTCATCACATAATTTCTTCGTGTTTGCCCATTTATCACATGACTTTGTCTTGTCTTCACATTTCAGTTCTACGCATAATCACAGAAGAACAGAAGGAAATTGAGGGATTTAAAGAATATAAAGAAAAAGATGAAAATAGAAGGACAAAATGACAAGAGAAGAACATTATGAGGCGAGAGAATAAATAAATGAAATAACATACCTGACCGTACGAGTGAAATTAATATCACAAAAACGCAGAAGATAGGTAGGGTTGAGAAAGCCATAACCTATAAAGGAAATAGAAAAATTAATTCTCATAATCATGTTGCATCAATTTCTTTTGAAACACGAACTTTCCATACGTCTGCTTCAATCAATTAAAGAAAAAATACCGCGTTCTCCATGAACGACAGTATTCTCCACAGTAATTGATAAACAACAAAAGCGTGCATTTTCAATAATACTTTATTTATTTTTGACGAAGGGACTCGGTGGACAACTAGCATTGAAGTGAAGTTATATAGGAGCAGAACACTTTATCTTTAAAAAATACTCAAATAATAAAATTATGCCTGAAGTTAAACAAACCTTTGAAATTTGATAACCACGAGATATAGTAAATGTTCGTTGACTCAAAATGAACAAAAGCAGGAGTGATCTAATTGAACCAGTCACAGATGGAGGTGCCACCTGCAAAAACTGTAAAGATCGCATGTAGAAAAGTTGTTCACCTCAAAACAAAAGCGAAAGACGATTTTTCATCACAAGATAATTGTTCGCTGTTTAGTCGATAGGCTCACATGAAACCAGTGATGGATTAATTGATATGAGCAGTGGGGTAGTCAGCCTGCATGTTTACTTCTCCTGTAGGTAAATTTCAGATTATAATCATAAAAATATATTGATTTTACATTGATTGAACAGAGAAAACTTTACATAACAGGACCAAATTTGCTAGCTCTTTACGCCAATAGACATGAAGGATGCAAATTTTCCAAGGAGGGTGTATTAATACGCTAGAAAAAGGTTTTCTGACGCTCTGGACTGTTGTATATTAAAGTTATAAGTAAGTTTCACTCTTACTAGGTCTTACTGTACAATGTTCTAGCACTATATAAATTTGAAAATATAGTAGGCGTGCTATTTCTTTTGTTTTTCTGGTTATCACATATCAATCAATGTTCTTTTAGGATAACATTGATAATCAGTCAATGGTTTATAAGATATCGATGATAATCAGTCAATGGTTTATAAGATATCGATGATAATCAGTCAATGGTTTATAAGATATCGATGATAATCAGTCAATGGTTTATAAGATATCGATGATAATCAGTCAATGGTTTATAAGATATCGATGATAATCAGTCAATGGTTTATAAGATATCGATGATAATCAGTCAATGGTTTATAAGATATCGATGATAATCAGTCAATGGTTTATAAGATATCGATGATAATCAGTCAATGGTTTATAAGATATCGATGATAATCAGTCAATGCTTTCTAAGATATTGATGACCATAGTATTCAGTAATTTGATCGAAAATAAAGCATGATAACGAGTTGATATTAAGAAAAAAATCGACGATACACTCGTTACTTTGATTCCAATGTCATTGTAATAAGGTGGTATATATTGTTAAAGATTTGTTGGCATTGCAATTTAGCAAAATACGGCAGAACATCCATAAATCATTGCCAATTTCAAATATCATTTCCCATCTTCGTGAACCTAATCAACGTTATTATTCGATGACCTCGTTTTTTTAAAACCTAATTAGTCCACTTATCCATAAATTTGCTAAATCACAACAATAATTAGCATAATTATTATTGAATATTTTCACTTATCCCAAAGATTGTGTTGATTTGGAAAAAAATCACTCAAACAGAAGATCTTCATCACGGCTGTCTTCAAGAAGGTTTGGAATAGCACCACCTTAAGATTGAACACATTTCATTTACAAACAGAAAACGATGTATGCATTATTACATAAGAGGTTAACTTATCATTTTCTCCAAATAATATAATATCATTAAAAGAATTCAGAACAAGACTCACCGGATTTTTTTGTTAATCCTATAGCTAACTTCTCAGCTTCTTCCTTTGCTTTTCTTATTTTTTTCTTCTCCTGAATCTTTTTTAATCTGAAAAAATCGAGAAACAAAAGTATGTCCATCAGATACACAGTGAATGGAGCGGAAACTCAGTGAAACGCGACGGGAATTGAGATATGTAGAGGAAAGACACTCCAAACTGTTACCTCTCCCCCCCTCACAACAATGCCTGGTATAAGATTATTGACTTTTATTCATATATTGTGTTCCAGCATCAAAAAGGAGAAAGCGATTCTGTACGAGATATGTACGGTATGCGTAAGTTCTAGCTATTGTTTACCGTAGAGATTTAGTAAAAGTTTCAAACGGAGCAAGAGAATTTTTTTAAAAGAGGAAGATGAATTTATTGACGCATAAACTGATCGTGCATCATCTATCTTAGTCATATATACATCAGATATATTTAATTACCTGAAGAACTCCTCTCTGTCGCGTTCATCTAATTCAGTGTTTATGTATGATATGGTCGCTTGAATTCGGGGGATTATCACTAAACGAATGGAAATCTGATTATACAAAAAAATTACTTTTTTTCAGCAGGGAAGACTGAAAAAAAAATCATAAATATCCCACAACAAAGTACCACATTCATTGCGCCATATCCCACAACGACCCACCATGTTCATTGAATATCCCAAAACAGCCTAACACACTCAATGCATATCCCAAAGCAGCCACCACATTTATTGAAAATCACAAAACAACCTACCATGTTCAATGCATATCCCCCTCACAACAACCTACCATGTTCAATGCATATCCCCTCACAACAACCTACCATGTTCAATGCATATCCCTTCACAACAACCTACCATGTTCAATGCATATCCCTTCACAACAACCTACCATGTTCAATGCATATCCCTTCACAACAACCTACCATGTTCAATAGCATTCACTCGACGATTTGTTATCTTTATTGCCTCATCAAGAGTGATAAATGATGTCTGTATGGATAAACAGATAATATTTATTTTCAAACTACTTAATTGGCTAAATTGGGAATACTGATCACTATGTCAGACCACTCATTAAAGAACCAAAATTATCTACAGCAAATAGTAACAAAAATGTTTACAATATAATTTACTTATTTGATTTGTCCATATAAGAAAATACTAAACTCTGCCTCAAAAACATTCCTGTGCCTTTGACCCCCAGGTAGTTTTTGAGACCCAAAGAAATATCCTCCTATATGGACCACCAAGTCTGTTAATAACAAATATAAATATATTATTCATGAAAGATGATATGCAAAACATCACCTGTAATGATGCAAGTTCTACCAAAAGATTAACTGCTTTAGCAAAAACCTCTTTACAATTGTTCACTTGTTGTCCACCACGAGATAAACCAGTCAGTTCATATGCTGAAAATAAATCATAACATCATTCACTATCGTTACATTCTATTTTATAATTCCCCTTTCATACCACTGGCACCATCAGAGGTTGCTTCAAAGAGAGGCAGAGTTACACCTAATGACAAGAGAAAAAAACAGGACTTACATATCAGAAAAATTTTTGATAAGCACTGGAAATGTTAGAAATGGAGGAGACAAAAGGTAAGCTTCCTCACTTATATATGAGGGGAAATGCTCCCCACTGCAGCCATGGATCATGGAGCTGAGGTGATGGATCCCTCACTCTTTTCACATATACACTATGTTATAATTCTATTTTTCCACCCCAGCGCCCCCTTCCCTTTTGAACAGGCTCTGTGGTCATTCCACTGTAAAACATAGTAATTAATACATTCATTTTCATCAACCACATCTGCATAACTTGAAACACACACTTCCACCAATTTCTTAATCTTTCTAATACCTTTGCAAAACAAACTGCATTCACAAACAAAAATTGTTATAACCTGCAACATTTTCATTTCTGGCACGAACTTTAGTTTGAGCCTTGTCAACATTTTCAAGAACTCCATAACTGTGTAATAAAACAATACATTATAGCAAGTTTTAGGATGTTGTCAGTTGTATGATTGTGTTGTGAAAAAATATAGTAAAAACTGCATCTTAAAAAAGAGTATATTTCATGAGCATTCTATCCAACAACAAAAAACTCAATGATAAGATTATATTGCTACGTATTCATTTAAAGCACTAACTCCTATCCTACTTTGCAATACAAATAGGGAAAAGAATTATACCTAAAATCTCCAGCAGCAAAATTTGCTTCGGCCAAAGAGAATTGAGCTTCTCTCATGATTTCACCCATCACAGTTTTAGTCTGTAATGACAGCAATATTACTAAAAACATGATGAAAACATGATATGGTAAGAAAAACTATACAATATCAAATCAATATTACCTCTATAATGTCTTTTAGGATGTTCCTAAACCGCAATGTTAATGCATCTGCTTTCTTTTTTAGTAATGAGTGACCTTTTTGTGCACCTTTCAGCCGGCCTTTCATGATGGTTAAGGCCCTATATCAAAATGTGTTTAGTTCATTCATTATTACTAGCGACCAATAGGATTAGGAGATGATAGGGGCGAAATCAATGGATAAACCTACGGAAGATGACAAAAAAACAGGTTCCAAAAACATAGACAAGCATTTTTTTTGTAAAAGAGGATAGTCGTGACATTAAGGAACGTTGGTTATTAATCATAAAATATCTGTACATTTGAATTGTACAGATAACAAAATTTAAAGTGAAAACTAAGTGAAATAGTGAAATACTTACATTCTAGAAGGAAATACGTTTATTTTATCTTTGCTAGACATTGTAAGACAATTTAAGTTTCAAATCTTTCAAAACTACAAATTTCCAACAAGTTTACGTCCGTAGACAGCAGTTGTTTTTAGAGAACAATGTCGCCACATCGTATCCATCAGTGTACCTAAATTATTCTGTGTACCTAAAAATCACTTGCTTATAAAGCATTGAATGATTGAAAGACCATCTTCGTATCCTTGATAAGTATTCTGAATATTAAACCCAAAACAAAAATTATGAAGTAGCACATTTGGTGAAATCTAGGCACAAAAAAATAAAAAAATTGTTGAAATTGGGATAAAATTCCGGGATAGTCCGTACATGTTACAAGGATACTTTTGATGCATGACATCTATACATCAGATTCCCGACCCAGTTTCCAGTTTTGTGCCACGTTTCGTTGCACATCTTTATTGTATATTTTAATTATTATTTTATTATATATTGTATACATTTATAGTTTTGTCGAAGTAATATCTCAAACTGATTTTGACGTTCTATAAATGGATAAGATATTGTGTATTTTATTGCTGGTTCTCGTTATTTTTGATGAAATCCCTCCGGGAAATTCACTGGCCTTTACGCTTCCATCTGGTACAACTAAGTGCCTGAAAGAAGAATTACACAAAGATGTTCTAGTAACTGGGTCTTATCAACTATCTGAAGCTAATCAAAAAACGCATTTGACGGTAATAAAGAGAACAAGTAACGTCTAGTCTTTCTATATGATTATTTAATAGAATATTATCAAACAAAACCTGGCTAGTGCTAAAAATATAAGCAAAAAGTCGAAGAAATACTTCTTGCAGCCAATTGTTATACACGTGTCACATGTGCCTGTCATGACAAGCAGTATTATAACAGACATGCTTATCTTATGGAACTTACCCAGGTAACAGATTCAAAAGGCCATGTGCTGTTTAAGAAAGATGATGCAACCAAAGGAAAATTTGCATTTACAACAGAAGACTATGAAATGTATAAAATATGCTTCCAAAGTGAAGGTTGGTGAAGATGTTTGTTGTCAAATTAGCTTGTAAAATACCCAGAACAAATTGTTCAATTTTCATGGTGCATAGGTAATGCAGGGACTGGGATGGATAGAGAGGTAACTCTGGTGTTGAAACATGGTGCAGAGGCAAAAGATTATGAGAAGGTTTGTTAAAGATGCAACTTGATGTTTTTCATTTCATTTTGATAATGCCATTATTTTATGTTATGGGTTTTTATCAGATGGCAACTGCTGAGAAAATGAAACCTTTGGAAGTAGAGTTGAAACGTCTTGAAGATCTTGCCGAAGACATTGTAAATGATTTTGCATACATGAGGCAGCGTGAACAAGAAATGAGGGACACCAATGGTAAGACAAATATTTTATCCACGAACAAGCTCCTTTTATTGAATTGTTTAATTATATTGTGTTATGCACATTTTACAGAGTCCACACATTCCAGAGTTCTTTACTTCAGTGTATTTTCAATGCTCTGTTTACTGGGATTGGCAACGTGGCAGGTGTTTTATTTGCGTCGATTCTTTATCTCCAAGAAGTTGATTGAGTAAACATATTTTGTAATTGCAAAAGTCATATACATTTGCATTGTATAATGTTGTGATGTTTGTCATCTCCTCAGCAAGATCATTGCTTGAGATGATATAATTGAAAATCATTCTGTTTATTTTACTATGAAATAATATGGTCACGTTGTTGTTTAACTGAACAGCTATCTACCTTTAAGTAGACATGTCTATAATTTTGCATGAAGCTAAATTTTACAATCATGTGTTATGGAGATAAGGTCCCACATTTTAGAACTATAGTAATGAGCTTTTTTAATCTTGTGTGGGAAGATTGGTATTTGTTGAATTGCTTGCTTTAAATTTTGGCATAACTTAGCATTCAAATTATATTCAATTCATTGTTCTACTGTTAAGTACAGTGTCAAAACAAACAGATTGCAAACCCAGTAAACTTTAACATTAAATAAATTAGTTGTGAAATCATTGCTGTTTGCTTACATGTGTATTAAATTCTTTAAAGTGGCGAATCAAGTGTTTGTTGAAAAAAATATAACATATAACAGCTTGATTGCAACTTGAAAATATGTTCAGAACGAAGCTCTTACAATAACATTTTACCAAATGATTTGCTTTTTGATGGTATATATATATATAGATATAAAATAGACAAAAGTATATGCTTTGCTTTTACCTATTTTATTTTATCTTATGCTATACCTAGATGAAATTAACTGTATAAGAACAAACTGTGGTAATTTTTATCTGTTCAGGATAGATGAATATTTTGTCATTCCACATAAAAAATGATGATTGAACAATCCCTTGATTCTTACAAAGAAAATTCTAAATTTCAGACTTAGTGGGTTTGACAAATGTAAAAATTACCATCAATTTGCCATGGTGAATAAAAACCATTAACTAGGCAGTTCCAAAAAAATACTGCCATCAGTTGTATTAAATTACCCAATTTTAGCATTTTGCCTTTCATTTGCTAAGTTATTAGGTGTCAAAATTTGTACCACGTTTGTGTTTTAACAATTCTTTTCAGAACAAAGTATGCTGTAGTTATTATTCAATATGGCAAATACACTTTTCAAAGCAAAATTTCAAATAGCTTCGTTTGTTCATGGGTGAAAATCTTTAATATTTGCATTGAAATTTACACTATAAATGATGGTTGTTTAAATAATAAATAATTAAAAATCTACAAAATTGCAACATTTGAACGCAATATAGCAATTAAGTTTATTATTGCTGAATTAATTGCAAACTTCCAAGTCACCATCGTTTTATTATTTATTTATAATCCGCTAATAACATAGTCATAATCCGCTAAAAACAATGGTTTTCAAAGGAACTCATGCATACATGTATACCCCCTGCCCAACGATTATAGATCCTCCTACGTCCCTGTTCCAAAACAGAATACTTACACGATCGAGAAAATATAAGGAAGGAAGCCACGCTTCAAGAAGGCCATAAGTCATAAAGTGAATTCAAGAAAAAAGTCTGTGAGAAAAAAATCTCACCCCTGAACAAAACCATCCAAATAAAATAGTAAGATGTTAAAGTAACTATCTTCATCTGGTGTCCAAAAAGTTACGTTGGTCCAGAGAGTTTCACTTTACATAGAAAGTCCTCATCATTGCTTAAGATATTGTTATATAACAATTCATGGCCATCTTTTGCATATGCTAAGTACAAAATTTCAAAATATAATTAAGTCTTGAAAAACTCATGAAAGTCGAAAATGCTCATGTCTAGTTTCATAAATATCTCCAGTGTTAACAAGATCTTCTAAAGCCCTCTTAACTCGACTTCGCTGAACGTTCTTGTATTTGTCACGAGACTTTAAACCGCGCATGATCTTACTCAATGCGACGCCACCTTCGGATGGTTCACCTTCGGTAAGAATGACGATGAGAACATATTTCAAGGGAGTTTTCGGAATCTCTCAAAACACAAGTATAAACTTTCCCACGTAACCATTTACAATGAAGATGTGTTATTTTCAAGAGCAAAAGGAATAAATGTGTATCAACTACTATTACTTTTAGGTCCAGTCCAGCGTCATGCAAAAAGCAAATGAATGGCTACATGTTTCTGCAAATCAAACACGCGCCCGAAAGCCATTGAAATTTCAAATCACACGTGCGTAGAGGCTTAAAAGATAAAAGCCATTTTAGGACATTTCAACGACAAAAGAACATTTGATATCTATCAACAATATTTGTCTAAAAAATGACACTTTACGTTAACGAACCAAAAGTACTGGTTTTACGTTCCTCGTGTATGGCAAAATCTTCCTCCAAGAAGAATTGTGTGTCGTATAAACAATAATGCATTTATTAGCACTAAATTGTATACTATAACATACCGTCGATAAATTCCTAGTTGGTCATATTAGTTTTTGAAACTATGGGCTTTCGCTTTCCTACTTTTATACGCGCCATTCAAAAATCCCGACTATGTTTATAAACATGAAATGTGTACCTTCGTTTTCACTGGTTTCTTTGATAATATGCATCACTCGAGTAAACAAAACTTTCTTGTGGTAAATAAACTAAAAAACGTACAAAGACAAAGCACTGCAAACTTCTTTATTTACAAATTTAATTAATTAGTTGTCGTTTTCAGTCAACAAACACAAAATATTTCCAGAATGAATAAACAATCGGGTAAGCTTTACCACTGTTTGTATCATCCATAAAATATTTACGATAAATAGCCACTCTTTGATTAAACAAGTTGTTCGTTTTGTTCACTGCCATTCACTGTTTATAGTGTACATAACAAAGGCGATAAATTGAGCAATGGCATTGTTACGATCGGTAGAGTAGCCAGCCCGCAAATCTAGTCATGCTATGCAAATATTTCTTTGTTACTCACTGCAAAAACAATAAATTTGTAAAGAAATGAATGATGATGATAACGTTCTGAAATTCACATAGCAGGACTAAAACTTGCTGGCTTCCTATGCTACTGGTTACCATAAAAACATACGTCAAAATATTGCACTATAACAATTTGACAAAGCGCCCACTATTTTAGTGGTTTGTCCAAAAGTATGTTCATGTTGTGATTAAAAAATCTAAACACCTAAATTTAGATTTATTTAATGAAGTGAAACTAAACATAACGGAATACCTCGTATTGTGTTCTGTCAGGTTGATGATACACAACGCCAACTTTTTCTAGTTTTTGTAAACTATCTTTTATAATGTGTGACCTCCTTTACCGCGGGCTTAGTCGACGACATCATCTTGTTAAGAATTGAAAAGTTAACATTACAAACAATTGTGGAAAACAATATTCACTTATCTCAAAATCAAGCCTCTGAGGGAGAGCTGAAGTTGGGGAAAGGGAGAGCTGAAGTTGGAGAAAGGGAGAGCTGAAGTTGGAGAAAGGGAGAGCTGAAGTTGGAGAAAGGGAGAGCTGAAATTGGGGAAAGGGAGAGCTGAAGTTGGAGAAAGGGCAAGCTGAAGTTGGGGAAAGGGAGAGCTGAAGTTGGGGAAAGGGAGGGCTGAAATTGGGGAAAAGGAAAGCTTGTTCTAAATAAGTGCATCATTGATTTCATACAATCAACAACCAACGACATTTACGGAAATATTTAAAAATGCAAATTCCAACGTACTTTAGAACTTTTGCCTCGTTGTCGGTACTTAATTAATTCTTTCACCACAGCCATAATTTTTTCATTCTTACATAAAGTACCTTCGATGGTAAAGTGCAACACTTGTGCATGTTCAAGATAATCGGATATTTCCTTATCAACAGATTTCTCAAGGTCATAAATCTCCGTATCTGCAGCATTTTTCAGACAAGATGTTTTTTCGAAACTGCTATAAAAAAAGATTGATATCACTTGAATGCATTAAACTGGACTGTTCAAAGTGCTTAGTGATAAATTTTTTCCTACTGGGATCTTTTACAATTAAAATGACCCCTTCATTTTACCTTGAAAATATGATTATTCGTATGTACAGCTAAAACTATCCCTTACTTTACCCATTAACACGTATCCTTCTTAAACAGCATTAAAATTACAACATAATATCGCTTCAGATTGGAAGTTTACATAAAGTAACAAAAGACAAGCAGACATATAAAGATGGGGACGATGGAAGATCGACAATTGGGGGGTAGGTGTGGGGGGTAACAGGGTAACATTCATACATGCATGTTCTACCCTTAAATATCGTGCATCACAACATATTATGTAATATGCTGCATTGTTAGTAAAACATACGAACCAGAGAAGAACAAAGAAAAATGAAACTTTGTTATTTGGAGTAATTTGTAAAGCGGTAAAACCTAGATGAAACCTCAGTTCAAGATACAAGCTTGCCTCTGTACACGTGACATAAGGTACACGTGACCAGTGTAGTAATCAGCACAAAAGTTTGTTCGTGGAATAATCCTAGGAAATAATTAATTTATGCTAGTGATCTGAAATTACATAGCATGACCAAACCGGCTACGTCATTACTCGTAATGGTTTTGTTTTGCTAGCGCAAACGTGTCAAGCTCTTCATTCAACACATTGATAGAAAGAGGTTTCTTCTTGAATGTACTTTCCTTTATATTTTTTATCATTGAATAGAGAAGATGAAGACCGTTTGCAATGTCAAACGTCATTATCACGTGGTACAATAAAATTCAACCACGTGGTGCAACTAAAAGAGGCGAGCTCAAATATGGCTCAAATCATGACATTTTAGGAGTTTGTTCTTTGCCCAAAGTTGATACTAATGAAAGCATACTCAGCATCATGAAGTTGAAAAGGCTTCAGATAAATCTCTCTTATATTCATGACATCAAGCCAGTGAAGAACTTCAACATTGTGGTCTGTTTCAATATCTGAGTTTGTATGTTAGGATAAATGGGATCATAACAAGGATCACGACAGTTCACAGAGATCATATTGAAACAAATTCTGAAAACATCTTTTGTTAATGTAACTAATAAATATTTGCCTTAAAATTGTTTGCTTTTACAAAAAAATTTTTTCATCTCTCTTATATAAAATTTTTCAGTCTTTCACTTTGACAAACACTGTGTTGCACTTATGAACAGACAAAAAAATACAAAAGAATATTAAGGATATCAAAGGACAAGGGCATACAAAGGATGATAATTGGGGGCTCATATTCATGCATACATGTTACTATCTAAAGAATAAGGCATATCATGCATATATGAATATGGGGCTGCCAATTATCAACTTTTCTATGCCCATGTAAAAGGATTAACATAGCCATTGATTCAGCATTGAAAGCAATAATGAATAAATGAAAGGATACAAAAGGACGATATAATTATTTGTCTTGCATTGTGATAATTACTTATTTTTCCCATCACAGTAACCAGATCTCCTAAGTTTGCATCAACCATGTCAACATGTTCATTGTACCAATAACAGCATGATATTAAGCCAGTGCCATCATCAACTGTTTGATTTAGAATGAATTTTTTACATGTGCACAATAACCTTTACAAGCAAAGTTGTCAGAGTTTACATCTTTAAACAGCTCAAATGATTACTGTACTAACACAAAGGTGGGTAGTCTCATTTGATTGGAATTTGTGGTGAAAATCTTTGGTTTTCACTAGACATTCAATGTTGATATTGTAGGTGATAAGTGCCCACAGCAGTGAATAATATAATAACTTTATTTTATTACAGTTCACCAGCCAATAGTAGGTAGCATCGGCACATAAAATTTTTTTAAAAAAAACTAATAACACTTTCATCATGCAACTGGTGTAATGCATTATGTAATTTTTTTTGAAGATTTTGCATATTACCTTCAAAAGTGATAAGCTTCTCTTTCTTATGTACCTTAACAACGTAGCCCACAATGAGCACTTGTACAACAGGGTGATTACTGATGGCATAAACTGCTGCAGAAAATAAAAATTGCTTTAAAATTTGGCCAACAGAAATGAAGAAATGAAGGCTAACTCGTTCAATCAGAATTCAAAGTACATAATGACAAATACACACAATCAAAGCCGGGATATTCTCTCAGGCAAAGCACATCTCGCACAAACAGCTTTACATGTGACCAGTACAGTGGATCTGATCCCCAAAACTTTACAGGTACTACATTCTCCATTAGATAATAGTTGAAATTTGAATCAACTTATTCAACTGTGATTCAACTCTTAACTCGTCGGTCTTATTATGGTCGTATTGTTACCGCCATGTTTTTAAATTTGAGGCTGAGCAAGGAAAGAGCCTGGAACTACAAAAAAACCAAAGTATTTTTTCACCGTTCATTCGCCAAAAAATTGGTCGACTTGAGCTAAGTGGTCGAGTTAGAAAAAACACGATAGTTGTTGACATTCGGATGTTTTGCCCAATTAAGTACCTTTGAGTTTGAAGTCAGCTAAATAACATCGTCAAAGACTATCGGAGTGTTATTTTTTTCAATTTAGCAGCGGGCGGAGTCCTCGCCTTTCCTGTAAACTGATCAGTTGTTGCAGCAGTAGAAAGACATCTCTTGGGTCGCAAAACGTTCCTCAGCCTGCAGGCTACGGCTCTTTTACGACCTCGGGAAAATATTTTTCTATTCGTAGCTTCAAACCTACCCTTCCGGTAAATTGCACATACTCATTTAATTGTACATTGTTGTCTGAAAATAGGTTGAGTTTTTTACTGAGTATTTATCTTCCGTATTTTTAATGGGAAAGTTGCAAGTCAATATATATTGATGAATTTATGTATATATAGTAGTTTATATACATTATAACATTGTTTACAAACTGCTATTGTGACTACTTTGTTCAGAATTTCCTCAAGTGTAGGCATGACCATAGTGGGTATGCATGGTAAATATGTACAATGTTTTTGCAACGGTTTTAACTGATGAAACCCTAAGGTCAAAATATTTAGAGCAATTAAGAAAATTGAAATATTTACTATATCAATTGAGATCAGCATGTGTGAACATATTTGTAAGCTCATCTTCGGCAGATATATTCTGGGGTCTACCATCTCTTGTCTGTGGAGATGTTTCAGTTGACCCATTGTCTTCCTCTTCTGGAACAAATCGGCAATAAATTGCATCGGGGCGAAAGGCCCGACCACCAAACAGTGCCCGAAGACTTCTAAAAAAGGTATTCTCGTTGGTCGGCAAAGTTGATTGTTGATCAACTGATGCTGTATCCGAGACACATTCAGAGGCAATGGGAGAGGACTGACTTTCTGGGTTGGATCTAAATTCAGAAGTAGTTGGGTTAGAAGCTTGTCTAACATTATGCATAATATGGATGGTCGAACTGGCAGTATCAACGTGTGCACTAGGCAATTCATCATCACCAAGGGCCTCTTCAAAGGTGGGGGGTTGGGCTTCGTCACTTTGCGTCATAGCTTCGTCATACGATGGTAACATCAAACGTATGTCGCGATGGTATGTTATGAAAGCAGTGAAAGCATCTTGATCCTGTTGATGACGTAATCGTGCACGTGTAATGCGAAGGCGCAGCGTTCGACGCTGACATGAAACAACAACAACCAGTAGAATAAGGGCACTCAAAATAGCACCAATAGTAACACTGAAAATTATGATTGTATGCTCATCTGTATGGTGTTCTTTGACCTTTTTGGAACTCTTCAAAACTGAAATATATAATTAAATGCAAGTGACCAAATTCTTTATTTACAATGCATGTAATTTAAAATTCCCAATTGAGAAAAACTCAAAGTTGACATCTTACCTTGATTGCTTGGATTTGTAGGATTTTCTAATATTTTTTCTACAAAGCAGAAATGATTAATGATACTAATGATGGTAGGAGAGCATTATCAGGTTCCACAAATGAACTGAATATTACTGGAATACAACCTCCCATGTTGACAAAATTTAAAGCCAACTAGTCCCAATCTTTCCACAAATTACCCAAAGAGTTTTCAGTTATATATTTAGCTAACTATTTCTGCAGTGATTTAATGTTGGTGTTTCTAGTTTGTACTTGCATCAATATTTAGGGCACACCCCACAAAAATTAGAAGGTGTTCAAATTTTGGGACTGACCATTGGTGCTCGGCCAGTTTCTGAATAGAACATATTTAACAAAAGCTGAAGAGGGTATTATTATTTCCCTGTTACACTTGCTCTTGTCTAAAATTGTGCTCAAAAATAAAGCATGAAGTCTTAGCATTGAATTGTTAAATGCCTTTAACAAATGCTACAAATTTTTAAAAATAGATATATCCCCTTTCAGAAAAAGGCAAAATAAAAAATGTTTAATGTCTTACTTGTTAAAGGTTTATCTGTTGTTTCTATAAAAGAGATAAATCATTTTACACAATTCTACAGATTCATTTTAAATGGTCTTTACAATTCAATCAGTGAATTTGTGTAATATTTGGTTTCATAAGCATTTTAAACTTGAGTCTACATTGATTTATTAAAACAAACAGTTCTATCAAACTTCTCCTTAGTTTGATATGGGTGTTTTGTAAGAGAAAACAACAAAATATGTTCACTTGAATAGATGCTGTTACATGCTATCAATTAATAGTTCAAAAATGGCAATAACTTTTTATAACACACCATAGAGTCTCGAAAGTAGCCTCACCCTGAGAGTAACTGCTTTTTTTGACATTTACTATCCGTACAATGTTACAATCCAACTCTCGAAAAAACCTTCCCCTTTCAAAAGTAACTACTGCCCCTTTTAGAGCTTTTAAAAGCTTTATAGCATTTTTACTATACTTGTCAACTACCACAACCTTACACAACTTTAAGCACATTGAAAAATACCGTTTATAAAGAGTGGATTAAGAGTTGACAATTTGCCAGGTCGATTACTTTGAAGACTCTATGGTATTATTCCAATAAAGTGTGTAAGAAGGAACAAACTAAATTTCAGTAATTTCCAATTGATAAAGAGTTTGGGAGTTTCGAGAGTAGCATTAGCAAACTTTACTACAATGTGACATTTGACCAACACATTAGGATCAATTTAATAAAAATTAATACTAACCAGAACAATCAATTTCAGGATTCCATAAATCACTGTCAATACAAGTTGCATTTTTGACTGTGCCATCATGGCAATGAACACTAGCTTCTGTATTAAATGGACAGTGACCAGATATGACTTGCTGACTGAATTCAATTTTGTAATTTTGTAATTTTGACACAGTGCACGCTAAAATTGACAAGAAAAAATGTATTGAAGGGCAAAATGTTTCAATAAATTACATGAAAACTGCATAAAAACTACTTACAGCAAATGCTGGACGATATTTTCTCATTCCATCCATTTTTTTCACAAGTGATAGTCATCCGTTTCCCTTCCTTACCATGACAAAAAATTGTAGCTTTAGTCTTGAAAGGTACATTACCATTAATAACATGATGTGTAAAGCGTATCAAAGCAAATGGAATCATCAGCTTCTTGCATGTGGATGTGGGCATAGGTGATGTTGACTGATCATCTATGGAAGTTGAAAAAAATACAAATGAGTTGAACCATATGTTTAGATGAAAAACAAAAAAACGTAAAAAATCAACGAGCAATCAACATAACAAATGGTACATCCTCACCACAAGTTAATGGTATTTGCTTATTTCCAATACAGCGGTAAGGTTTTAATGTACCATCTTTACACAAACGATCTTTGAATGGATGACAAATATTGCCTGACAGAAAAAGAAAGACAGTAATCTTCTGTTATTTTTTGTTCGTTTAAAACTGTACCATCAGTTTCTTTCCATTATCCGCGTCATATATTAAAAAGGACTAAAAATATTTACTTTACATTGATAAATCACACCTACCTTCGGTATCATTGAAGCAATAACAATGAAAGAAAAAAAACAAAGATAAAGTATGGACATTTAAAAAATGAAGGCGATTGACGAAGTTAAATAACATATTTTAATAATTAGAGAAACGTATACACGCACAGAGATATTCAAGAAACGATTCATGAAAAACTGATGGTAGCTTTGATGATTGTAAATTGTTGCGATACTTGGTCATTTCCGCCTATGATGTCATGGGTTTTTCTAATTTCTATTAGAATTTGCGAACCAGTGACCCGAACTCATAAAACATCGGTACAATTTTTTTTATCAGAGAAAAAAACTGTATTTCAGTTTACCATGCAAATCACCTGACAAAATGCAGCAACCGCGATGATAATCGTCTTTCATAAATTGTTCTTATCAGGAAATATTCATATCATATTTACAGACCACGCCAATGTTGATGAAGTTAGCCTGCCTGTTTTGCAGGCAATTAAGTATTGCCCTTACTTCATGTAATTTTTTTATAATGTATTTAATTATATTACTTCATAACCAAAGAAATTTGAGTAGATTTTGGATTATTATTTATTTTATTTCAGTCAATTTCAACGAGAAAAAATGTTTTCAGCGGAAGAGCATGTCCAACCTGGAATGGTTTTCGAAGTCATCTTAAATCGAGAAACAGGTTTAATTGTATTACCCAGAAATTTTCATTAAATATAAACTCCACCAAACATCATGCCTCACCCTATATAAAAGTCGAACTGAAATTATTGTCACCTACGGTTCGGTTGGTAGACAAAATAGTAGATGAAATTATTTGATATTGTTGAATGATGATGTAAAATGTGAAATTATCATTATTCTCTTGTTCATTACATATTAAAAGAGTGTCAAGTGAACAAGAAGACAACTAAATATTATCAACGTTACTTTAAGGTGAAAGTTTTGGTCTGAATATTGTTGGTGGCACAGATTCTAGAGAGTTTGGTAATAATACAAGTATTTTCATATCATCCATTAACTCTCATGGTCCTGCGGCTTCTTGTAAACAACTGGATGTTGGCGACAGAATTTTACAGGTTTAACTTTAATATGAATTTCTGTACATATGAATTCTGACATGGTTGTATGCACAATATAAAAGAGTCAGAATTCATATTTTGGTTCTCTGACAATAGCTTCAAAATTAATTCTTCAATAAGAGCAAGCGATTCATAGTTTTGTTGTATGACGTTTTGGGAATCGCTCACTTTCTTTGAGTTTATCTTATTTTATGTAGATAGATGACAAGATTTTGAATGATGTTACTCATTCAGAAGCAGTTGAAGCTTTTCGTAATAGTGGTTTGTCAGTTAAACTAAGGGTTGAGAAGTTTGCTCAGCAATTATTTGTTGTAAGTTTATTTTTGAACTTTACAAAAATTGATCACATCCTATCATTATGGCTTTCACATATTTTGTCTTTCAGGCAAACCTTTCAGAAACCAACATTTCAAATACTACAATTAGTGGTCGCATTCGCAACTTTGTAAATTCATGGGCAGGGGCTCTTCTAATTGGTACTACAACAGGAATTGTGGTGATGTACACAATATCAAAACATTGGAAACTAAATCTGAAGTGATCTTTTCACAACAAGAACTTTGCTGTTACCTTATACAATAGACATTTGGCAAGTTATAAATTTATAATATATATATTTTTTGTACATATTAAGTGATATATTTGTTGGATGTTATAAAGAAAGAACATTTTCCTTATTTATGAGTGAGAAAGATGGTTATTTTGTTGTTCAAATCAAATAAGACTCACATGACATAGTGCAATTGCCAACACTGAAATTCAGCAAATGATTTTAATAATAACTCTAGATTTGCCTGATGTTTTTACATTCAAAGTATACTGTTATGTACATGTGAACCAAATCTACCATGTAGTTTAGCATATAAAGTACATAATTCTTACAATGGTACATACCAAGTACTTGACATGTAGTATGTAATACAGAGAACTAAACACAGATGACAAGTTACATGATCTTTATTCTTTGCCTGAAGTTGAGCTCTCTTATTTAGTACAATTTAATCAGTAGAAAACAAACAGGCAATCTGTTTTACTGATTCAATTCACTCAAATCCCTTCAACGCTTACTTCGTTTACGATCTGAATCCCTATCAAATATAAAATAATCAATGACTAAACAACTCTCAACAAAACCTCCTGCAACTCATAAACCATTCTCACCAGCTTCCTCGAGGATCTTTGTTGTTTCTTTTACCAGCACGTTTTGCTTCTGTAAGGAACTTATCCAATCCAAACGGATCTTCTTCATCACGTTCAAACTGAACTGGACCATCCCTTCGCAAGTTGCGGTCAGTACCAGCGAATTCTTTATCTGGGTGAAACCTAGAGAAGTTTTCATAACAATTAAAGTCAAGTGATGAGCAAGGAGAGAATGAACACCAAGCAACAATGACAGGTACTTGAGTCATCTAATGATGAAATTACGCCAAAATAAGCGTTCGTTTCTTAGCTATGCGATCCAGGTAAAGATTATACAAACCTGTCAGTATTCATTAGTTTCTCAAGATCATCACCATATATATCTTTATCGTTATTCTTTGATGGTCTATAAACAGCATTTGCTGTACTACCAGAATCACGCCATGGTTTATCATAAACATTGTATGCATCATCTTCACCAAATCCTGATGCTATACCCTGGTAAAAAAAGCATTAAACTTCATCAAAAACCTCTCGCCAACAAAACAAGAGGAAGGATCACGTTACCTTATTCTGGTTAAACAACCGCTGATCATACATCGCTTCCTGAGACTGCGAGCCTCCGCCCGCCATCCCCAAAGCTATTTTTTCTGTGACGTCACGCTCGCGATCGCGTTGAAGTCTGGATCTGTAAATAGGAAAGTAATGTGGCTAATGTTGAAGATCAGTGGTAAAATTTCTTCTATTTTTAATAGCTCTGCTGCAATGAAACAAAAAACTTAAAGTGAGACAGACGATCTTCTTAAAGCACAACAAGATAATGGACGGACACGTCTGGGCTAATCGACGTTTAAGTGACTAAAGTCTTTGATATTCAACGCTTTTCAACCTGATTAGGTCCTAGAAAACCTTCAGTCCTACCCCTAAGGTCCTTGTACTGTTTCAGTCCTGCCTCATTGTACACCGTGTGACACCTTCAGTCCTGCTTCTATGTACACCGTGTGACACCTTCAGTCCTGCCTCATTGTACACCATGCAAACCCTTAAGTCCTGCTTCATTGTACACCGTGTGACACCTTCAGTCCTGCCTCATTGTACACCGTGTGACACCTTCAGTCCTGCCTCATTGTACACCGTGTGACACCTTCAGTCCTGCTTCTATGTACACCGTGTGACACCTTCGGTCCTGCCTCATTGTACACCATGCAAACCCTTAAGTCCTGCTTCATTGTACACCGTGTAACACCTTCAGTACTGCTTCATTATACAACATGCAACCCTTATGACCAGCTTCATTGTAATTACCTTTTATCAGGTGCAGCCTTAGCAATTCTTCGTTCTTTTTCTCTATCTTTATGTCTATCATAGCGCATTTGATCTCTTTCCTTTTCGTCTTGCGATTTTTCTGATGAACCCTGTATACCAGCCCTGGCCTCACGAGCTTTCTGCGCCATTTTTCGTAGTTTGTCTTCTTGCTTCTCCTTCTCGCGTTGTGCAACCTTCTTCTCCAGTTGAGCCCGCATTTCAACAGCCTCTCTAGCCTAAGCAATCGCAAATTATCTTGAGATTGAAGCTTTGATAACTACCGCTGACAATAAGTGAATGTTAACCTTTCTGTCCGCAATGTATAACGCTTCCGCAAGCTTAGCAAATTTATCATTAATGTGTGGATCTTGAAGACCACGACCATCAGCTGCTAATCTTTTATCCAGCGGAATAGTGTAGCCCTGACAAAGAGAAAGTTGAAGTTGAAATCACCACAAGTGAGCATCAATGATATCATCGGAATATACCTTGGCATTTTTCCAATTTGAAATACAAGGTGGAATCTTCCAATCCTGCTGTTCTTTCACAGTCACCTGACATCAGAAGATAGAGTGATAGAATCAATATTTATTTGTATTGCAATAGTATAAACCATTGAAGTGAATATATAGCTGAAAGGTTATATATTCTATATTTGAATGAAGCCTAATAATTCAATCATTTCTGAAGACAAAGTCCATCATTTTGGCTTAAACTGTGTTGATATTTATTTTGGCTATACTTAAAAAAAGTTGGGACTAGTAAAATTTCCTTAATCTAATTTTAGAGGGGGGGTTAGCATCCAGTTGTATTTAGCTCAATGATATAACCAACCACAAGAATGTAACCAACCTTCCTATTTGGTGAATGCATTACTGGTGCAGGTGGGGATGGTGGTCCTCTGGGAATTTTTTTGTTGGTCCTAAAAAAAGCAAATTCAATTCTCACAAAAATAAACTCTCTCTCAATCAAAATTTCTCAAGCTTCAATACATAAAATTGCTTTAGTCAACTCAAACAAATGTTGAGTGTTTCCATACTTAAAACGTGGTGGTTCCATTGGATCCTTCTGTGCTTCCACCATACGAATGACACGTTGTTTTGCACCAGAGTTAAAGGAAAGTCCTTGTTGTGAAGGGGTATAGCGTATATACTGAGCTCCTTGTTGTTGCTGAGGAACATGTGTAGGTTGGGCAGCAGCAATTTTTGATGCAACTTCTTTTTCCAAAGCTAATCGAGTCTTTTCTGTAACCTAGAAAGAAAAAGGGATAAAACTAATGAAGGCACAAAGCTTTTGTTTAGTTTTAATATTAATTGATGTCAAATAGATGACAATATGTAATCTTAAAACAATCTGTAAATAAATCTTAAAACAATCAATAAAAACACCTCTGCTATCTCATCCTCATCAGGTCTTTGCAAATCTGGATCATCTTCTTTGCTGATCTGAGCTGGAATAAGGTCTTGAAATCTTGAATGAATTACCTAAAAGAAGCAAAAATGTCTTAGTTTGATAACTCTAAAATTGTTCAATTTAAATAGTTTACATACTCTATCCTTTGAATGTCCCTGCCGTACAAGAGCATCATACTTTACTCTCCCTTCAGAATCCAACTTTACTGGCAAGGTTTTTGACGAACCCTTCAAAAAACCAGTTCTTTAGTGAGTACAACTTAACCAATGTTTCCAGATATAAAAATTTAATGCAAGTCGAAAACCTTATTTTGGCTTCTAGTCTTTCCCATATCCAAAGGAAATTGGGCAACATGGATTTCAGGAAATGCACCTCCATCGCCAAAATCCTTAAGAAATTATTATCAAATGGAATGTTCTGTCATAAACCACAAATTCAAGGTTCAATATTGATGCAAAAATATTGTAAATTTAACTTTAAGATTTCTCCAAGCCACTAGCAACTCTGAAATATAAATTCCTGACAACAATGCTTCATGGTTGCAACATTTCATTTTTTTTTATAAGTGAAGCTCCAAGGCAGTTGAGCATATGGTTGGCATACATGTTTTTTTTTTCATATTTTGCTTAATTTTTCAAAATTGCCCTTTGTTTTATTTAAGTTCAGATTCAAAATACTAAAACATTACTCCTTAGAAAGCATTGAGTCATTATAACTATAAGTGGTTGACATTTGTCATTTTCTAATGCCATACTTCCTGAGATCTGGGTACCCAATTTTTTCTCTTTCCATAAGGTGGTGGTTGCTTTCTGACCACAGCAACTGTCGTCAACTATATCAGCAGAAATTATTCTCACATAAACATAAATCTTTATGTAATAAATTAAGATACCAGTTATAAATTGATGAAACTTACTTTACTATATGCTAGTTCTAAATCATCATCACTAGCTTCCTGATAAGGCCTGTGAGACGGAGCTGGTAATAAACTATACATAAAATTCAGAAATAAACAGATCAAAGTCATAATCTACAAAATTTAATCGAAATCTTTGATGATTTTGTGAATCTCTACTCACCGAGCCAACGACATGTTGTCTGTTGATAAAAATACTACCATTTGTGTTCAAGGGTTGAGCGGGGCTTCCACAATTGATTTATCAAATTTCCTGCTCGGACTCTAAAAAATCCTTCTTTCTGAGTAAATTTCCTTGCCAAAATTTCCTGACTCCATTACGATTAGATTACGTCACTAGTCAGCAACCCAGACTTATTTGTCTATTCATTTTTTTGTCGTTTTACACAACAAATTTCAAGATATCCTAGTTCTTTGTGCAGGTATAAATTTCCCTTCCATTTCCTTCCCAATTTGATTTCCTTGCCTTTTACCTTGTAAATGTGGTAAAGGCCAAAACTTCCTTCTGCAGGAAAATTTCCCTGCAAGTGGAAGCCCAGGCGTTGAGTGCGAGAAATTTTTCATATTACCGTGTCTAAAACGTGACGTTCCTTGCTTTTTTAGTGCATGTTTTAAGCGAGGAATTTGCATCTTTAAGAAAATATGTTGACATTTGACAAGCCCATTAAACAAGTTTTCTTTGAAAAAATAACATGCTCGCATGTTTTTGTTACACGTTTATGTACTTATGACTTATACATTTTTTTTGATAACAATGTCCCCATCCGTAAAAATTTGCATGGAGTTTCACACAAAAAATATAACTTTTACATTTTTTTATATTTTCACCAAAAGATTATAATTCTCATATTTTTACATAATTTCGAAGGTAGACGTAGGGGTAGACACGAAAGTAAACACGAAGATAGACGTAAAGGTAGACATAGACACGAAAGTAAACACGAAGGTAGACATAAAGGTAGACATAAGGGTAAACACGAAAGTAAACACGAAGGTAGACATAAAGGTAGACATAGGGTAAAGAGACATAAGGGTAAACAAGAAAGTAAACACGAAAGTTGACATAAAGGTAAAAAGACACAGAAAGTAAACACGAAGGTAGATACAGAATCAAAAACATGTAATCGTGTAGACATACATGTAAAACACTATAGGTAATGTAATGTAATAAATAATGTAATCGTGTATCACTACTACATGTAATCGTGTAATAAACTACATGTAATCGTAACTGTAATCGTGTACTGTAATCATTTCATTTCTTACTATACTACGTAATCGTGTAATCATTTCTTACTACATGTAATCGTGTAATCATTTCAAAAAAATATTTTATAAAAAGCGAACTTCTACAATTTATGAAAACCACGCGAAGTACGAGTGCCTCAGTTATACAAAATAGTCATTTCAAATTTTTGGTGAATTTGATTGATATATTTAAACAAGTTGCTTGTCCTTCTTAAGCGATGTCATTTTTTTAACATTTACAGTCAAAATAATACTGTAATAATAACAAGGTATTCGTCATTGACCATATAAAGTTGTTATGATATAAACAATGGAACACTACAACCTTATTGATTATGATAAAAAGTCAAGGCAAATTTTCAGCTTTCTGAATTGTACGTTGTTTTGAATATGGAATATTTGATGGTGGAGATCTTTCGGCGTTGAAAGACTTGTTGACAAAACTACTACTGTCATTTAATTTTTCGAGAGAGTGATCTCTATTTGACTCCAATGGACGTAATGGACCGCTGCTTATACTCCGAGGTGCAAAACTTTGAGGCAGTGTGCTTTCTAAATGAGAACGAACCATTGCAGGAGGCGGATGTGCAATCAAACCTAAGGGTTGCACCCCAAACGATGGAGCAGGAGGTTGTCCTATAGGAAAGCGACCAACTCGAGGAGAAAAAAAGTTAGGAGCAAAAGGAAGTGGTGGCGAGGATCCATCATCTATAGGCATTCTCATCGGTCTTGCTAACACGTGACTAGGTGGGGGTGGGGGTGGAGGTGACGAACGCATATCTCCTCGATATCTTCTTGCATTAAGATCAAGTGGAGGTGGAGGTGGTGAAGGAGTGTATCTATCACCACGTTGATCATCCATATCTCCATCAGAGGAATCCTTTCGCCCTCTACGTCTAGAAGAGTTGCGATCCCACAATGGAGGTGGTGGAGGCGTCTCACGATCTTTTTCTCGACGATAGGAACTCTTATCAATTTCCCAAGATGGTGTCGAATTTTTCTCGCGTTGTTTTCGCTAGAAACGGTCATAAGAATAAAGAAAATGCTTTCAAAAAAAATGAAAACATAAAAAATAATTTAATCCTTACCTTGCGATCTTCAACAGATGATGGACTTTTTCGTGAATTAGCACTTACTCGTTTCTGCAAAAACATAAAAATACTAAATAAGAATATTTTGTCCTTACTTTAGTGGAAAATGTCAGATGTGCAGTGAAAGGCTTGAAACGACTGAAACATTTACCGAACTGGATCGAACATTGGTGGATGGTGATTCTAATTGCGATTGAGGAATGTCCCCTAATGCTCCAGGATTGTTATCTAAATTCAACAGTTGATGTATTTATAGAAAAGAAGAGATCTTTTTAAGCTAACCGGATTCATGATGAGAGTTTCTAACCTTCTGACGAGACTTTAGACTTGGAACTCGTTTCCATTTCATACAATCTGCACGATAAAAGATTTTTGTAATCGTAAAATTCACGAATAAGCAATATCTGTAAAAAGTTAACCTTCTCCTTAACGCGTTTCTTTCTCTTTTCAACTCTTCTAATTCTCGTTCAGCAGATCTGAATTTTAACTAAAGAATTCAGCAAAAGAAAATATTGTCGAATATCAAAATACAACAAATCACTAAAAAAAAACCCCTAGAAATTTTTATAAATTGATTATCCTACCCAATTCTCATGCGCTCTCTCTTCCACACTGGAGATCTATGAACAAGAGCATTTCATGGAGAATATAATGAGTTATGAGAGGTTGTAGGGTATTAAAGAGATGTATTACAAACTTCTGGAGTGTATTGGAAGAAATATACCGAGGTAAGAACTGCCAAGAGGCCAAAAATAAAGACCATTAGATAGGTATACTCAATAAGAATAAAAATTAGACAGATAGAGACGAAAGCAGTTGATTTGCAGTGGAAAGCCAGGCACAAACAAGAGGAAAGAGGAAATTTGAAAAAAAGAAATCTGAAAGAATCTTGTCTTCACTAAAAATCAATTTCATCGTACCTGTGATTGGAAAGATTGTTGTGTTGCATTGATTTCTTTTTTTAATTCCTCAGCTTGCTTCCTAAGAATAAATAATCATTCATAAAGGAGACGATACCAAAGTCATTTTAATCCTCAGGATTACCTATATAAATCAACATCCCGAACAGCCGACGAAGCTTCACGCAGTTTTCTTTCAAGTTCAGATTCGCTTGCCATTCTCGCAGCTTCCTCTGCAGTTAATTTTCTACAACAAGGTACGAAGAAACCAAACTTCACTACAATAATATTAAAGTACAATAATTTCCTTATATTTATAGATAGTGTTAAAATTCAACTATTATGGTGAAGACCTGTGAAGATCCTTTTCCATGTTCTTAAAGTAATCTTGCAAAGTATTCAGTTTTATGTCAGTTTCGCGATACTTAAAGCGTATTTCTTCTTCAGAAGCTTTTGTCTTATCTAATTCGAGCTCGAGACGCTCCACTTCACCTGCATTTCAGAAGATGGTGAATAAGTTATGCAAAAACCGTGGGTCAACAATGTTGAACGGTGAAAACGTTAAAACCAATACCTTCGAGTTTTTCTCGCTTTTCAACTTCTATTTTCATATTCTGTTCAAGGCTCTCTTTTTCTTCCAAGCAAACTTTAAAATCTGCTCTAATCTAAAAAAAATCAACAATGTAAGTAGGTTTCAAATAGATCGTCAGGTTTCAAATAACAGGCGGAAATTTTATTCACCTGAGAGACATCCATGAGCTCTTTGATTTTATTTAATTTTGCTTCTTGCACTGAACAAAATTAACAAACACACATTAACTTTACAAACATAAAATATAAAGCATAAAACACATTCATAGAAACAAAATTACGCAATCCACTAATCCTTAATTATATAATCATAGTTGGAAAAAATAATGGTGAAAAGCTTGACAAAAGTACACAAAAGAGTAAAAAATTCATCCCATTAAAATCTTCATCATCTTCATCAAATGCTTCAATAAATACGTCACGACGTAAGTCATGTACACAAATGTATGTTTATATAGTGAAAGTATAAACTACAAATTAAACAACCTTCTTCCTGAGAAAGTTCTTCGTCAGAATTCACGTTCACCCCCGTGTTTATTTGAACCAAAGAATCTCGGAGAATCTAAACATAACGAAAGCAGGTCAACTAAAGTTTTTGACAAAATAACAATCTTATTTAACAACACTTAGTACCTCCTCCAGTTAACAAACAGTTTATGCATAAAACTCGTGAGGATCAATACATGAAAAATACGATTTCATACACATTGTCAACAAACTGATATCCTATAGTGTATACAAATGCTACCAAAAAGCCATTAACTCCCGGAACATACCTCGATTTCGTTGTCTTTGAATTTTATTTGCTCTTCCAAAGTTTGATTGCTCAATGAAATATCGTCACACTTTTGTTGTAACTCGTGATATCTGCGTGTAAAATGAATTGAATAATAATTCGGCATAAATTACGCAATTCAAGATTTATATTTACGTAGTTAAAAGAGATAAAGCACGTATGTTAAATATTTGCCTTCAAACATAAACTTAATGTAAATATACAAACCTCTCATTCCATTCCTGAAGTGTAGTTTTATGCTGTAAATAACAAAAATTTTAAGACGCTAAGTATAAGCTTAAGATCTTTACAAAGTGTAGAAAATATGAAGTGAAATTTCATTCTTTCATGAACATAAAACCAAACAAACATACCCTATTTGAATCATCTTCCGATTGTGAAAGTTTACGTTTATATTCATCAATAACGTCCTTTAAAACATTTATTTCATCGTCCTTTGTCGTCAATTCCCGCTTTAACTATACAAAATAAGAAGTTGAAGAAACTTCTTCGTCAACACCTTATACGTTTAAGATAAAAGAGCAATCATGTGTTGTGTTGAGTTGACACCAGTTTTCAAGAATAGACTAAACGAATCCTCTAAGTCAAGTAGATGGCAATTAAAAATGTTGATGGTCAAGAAACTTACTAGGAGAAATTGAAAGTTTCAAAATAGAATTTTTGGATGGGCATTCAAGGACTACAATAAACTCAGATTCAGCTCTTACCACTAAACTTGTAGACAATCATAAAATGACGCTGCGAACACCAATGAGCCAACTAAGAACTTTGCATCTCATGTTAAAGAATGACCCCCATCCGACTGTTAAAAAATGAACACCCCCATCCAACTGTTAAAGAATGAAACCTCCCCCCATCCAACTGCTAAAAAATTAAACTTCCCCTCATCCGATTGTTAAACAATGAACCCCCTCCCCCCACCCGAATGTTAAAGAGTGAAACTTCACCCCCATGCGACTGTTAAAGAATGAAATCTCCCCCATCAAACTGATAAAGAATGAAACCTCTCCCCTTTCGACTGTCAAAGAGTGAAACCTCCCCGCCATCCGAATGTTAAAGAATAAGTCCCCCATCCGACTAAAAATTACTATAAACCAACATTTTCACTTTGTTGTTTTTCTTCCTCAACTTCCTTCGATGTTTCAGACAACTAAAAATAAAAAGTTTTAGGTCAGTAAACCCTTCCAACACTTATTACAAGTCATTTATTATATGGCAAGCGTCACTTCCGGAAAAATGGCACGCTTTCATTGGCTCAGAAACATTTTTGACGGTGCACTATTTCAGTAATGGACCACGGTCCAAAACGCGTAATTTTGCAGTCAAATGTAATGAAACTTCGTAAAGCAAACAGCAAAACGTAAAAAAAACAAAACAAAAACCATTTAGGAAATGTGAGTCGAAGGAAAAACACTCGAAAAACAGTTTAACTATCCAGACGATACAATTTGAGACGATTTGTTTTTTACGGACAAAAACTAGAAATATGAAAGCCAACCCGTACAAAACAGCAAAGACGAGAAAGAAAGAAAGGTTCACTTTAGGTGAAATAATGCCGTATAATAAATCTTTTAATTACCTCGCTTTTTTGGTCTTTACTGAGAAATATCGGACATCTGTCTTTTTGTACAAACCTCGCCTCTAAGGGCTCGGTCTGTACAAAAAGACCTCGGTCCGTTATTTATCCGTAAAGACCTCGCGCTTGGTTATTAAGGGCTTATTAATGACAACATCGATGATTAATTATTAACTAGTTACCATATTGGTAGAAAAGTTATAACCAACTGCTTACAAAACACTATAGTGTTAAACGAAAACATTGTTTAATTAGTTCACAACGTCGAAAGAAAACAGCTCTAACCTTATCATCAACTGTTCTGATCCTTTCTGCTTTCTGTTCTAATGACTGCTTCAGCTTTGATGATTCTTCTTCAAGGAGTTCTACCTTTTCATTAAGATTATCCACAATTTTCTATAAATAAATCAAACAAGAATGGAAAAAGAAGACAACATTGGTTAATACAAAAATACACAAGCCAAAACACACTTTCAGAATTGAATTTTGTTCTTCTGATTTACAACGTTCATGTTTTTCATCATCCAACTGCCTTTCTAAAGCAGATCGCTGAAATATAAAATAATATGATGACCATTTGTAAACTGTTGGTGTAAAGTTTCGACTTCCCTCTCCCCCCCCCCCAACGCTTTATGACCGGTCGAAAAGTCCAGGCATTAGCCCCACAGCTCAAAAGAACCAAGTATCGTTATGAAATTTTGACAACTGGTCTTTTATGAAAACCAATAAATTAGTAAAAGATTAAGTTAATAAATTGATACTAACACCATCGTCAACTTCTTTTGTTTCTCGTTTCATGTTTTTGATTGAAATTTCATATTTCAAACATTCCTCTTCTAGAATATTGATTCTTCCTTCGTAAGTTTTAAAGATATCTAAAAAAAGTTGGGGTCAAAGTTAAGACGTGGTTTTTAGGACGCCAAACAGCAACAAAAAAGAAATTGAGTAAAAACTTGGGTAAAATTAAATTATGAACCAACGTTATGTTATCGTGATTTTACAACAAACTTTCCAAAATTTACTTTTCTTCTCATTTCAATGTTCTTTTTTTTCGAATGTTATACGTAAAAAATTCACTGAGCATCACAGTTAAAAAAAAAACAAAGCAAAATATACCTTTCAGATTCGGTCCGTATGCAGGAAGAATCTTTCGGCTGCACTAAAATTATAAATTAGAATGAGATTATACATACACAACTTAAGCTTCTGCTTTAAAACATTAAAAAGAGTATTTCACCGGAGAAAAAGCAAAACAAAAACAAGTTTAGGTATGTCATAAGATAAAATCACCAAAATACTCAACATAAAAAACAAGTTTATGTATTTCATAAGATAAAATCACCAAAATACTCAACATAAAAAACAAGTTAGGTATTTCATAAGATAAACTAACCATAATACTCAACATAAAATAGCCAGCAAACGCCACCAACATCACCGTCAAGACAATCAATCCTTGAGGACCTTGTTTTAGTTCTATTTCCACAAATTCAATGGTCTGTGGTCATGAAATAATAATGAATAATATTGATGGTGGTTATTATAAGATAATAAAGGATAATGTTGAACAATATGGATAAAAAACATTGATTAGTGACTTTCGTGAACTACGTCGATGAGTTACATCATCATATATAAAAATGTGAAGTTAATATATTTGTTATAATCGACTATCGGATAAATGAATATACAACTATATTAAATTTAATACTTTTAGAAAACAAAATAAAAGCCGACTTACTTTCTTCATTCCAATCTGTTCAGCGAGAGGTTTTATGATGTCATTCAACGTTTTCAACAGCTGTAGACCATAGACGGCAAAAATAGTGTGACATTTATTAAATTTTGTAACAGCAATGGCAAGTATTTGTAGAAATTTCCCTTTGTTATTACTTTGTTCTTTGTCACTTGAAGAAATATCTCCTTCAACGGTGTCAAGATCATCACTGTTGCTATGACGACTATCATAATCAGAGTCTACATGTTCTAGGATAGAGCGATGAACATTTGAGGAGGAAAAACTAAGGCTTTCGCAACCACCGTCTTTATGGCAAACACCAGGAAGTTGATCCTTAATGAACACACCAGATCCAGCATCGTCAATCTTATGTGGATCTTTAACGACTTCATCAGATCCAGCATCGTCAATCTTAGGTGGATCTTTAACGACTTCATCAGATCCAGCATCGTCAATCTTATGTGGATCCTTAATGACTTCATCAGATGCAGCATAGTCAATCTTATGTGGATCCTTAATAACTCCATCAGATCCAGCATCGTCAATCTTATGTGGATCTTTAACGACTTCATCAGATCTAGCATCGTCAATCTTACGTGGATCCTTAATAACTCCATCAGATCCAGCATCGTCAATCTTATCTTCAGTTGTACTTATGCTTTCACCTTGTTTTCCCTTCAAAAATTTGTTTTTCAGCCATTTTGAAGCAAATTTTGGAGTATTTTTACAAACGCTTTGTGCTTCAATGGAATGGCTTTCTGCTCCCATGAAATGGTTTCTGTCGAATGAACAGAAATAGACGTTGAAGGATTGATGTTTGTAACAGTGTTTGTAAATCCTGAGATCGTCTTATCAGTGTGTGATTTTGTCACATCACCACTGTCCAATACAAGATTTGTATTTTTAACTACAGTATCATCAACCTCTTTATTAGATGAGAAAGTCTTCATACTTGTTCCTAATGATTCATCGGTGTTATTGTCAACATTTTCCACAGGTTTCTCTACATTTTTAGTATCCTGAGCATATTTTATAGACTCTTTCTCGAGTAATTCAGATAAACTTTCTATAGTTTCAATCCTGACGCCAGCATCAATCTTTTTAAAATCGTCATCATAATGTTGATCACCGTTTTTATTATTTTCAACCTCATCATCACGCTCATTTTCATTTCCAGGAATAATTTTTTTTATACTTTCCATAATTCCACTCACATTTGGAAGATTATCTTTACATCATCAATCAAGTCCTTTGCATCGTCATTTATTTGCCTCTGTGTCTCGTCCACAATTCCTTCCTTTTGTTTTGACAATTCCTTTCTGCTTCCATGATCCACGACATCGCCATCCGCGGACTTTTCATTCATGTTTTCACCAACTGGTGACAACGTTCTCATCCGGGCATATGTTCCTTCTGAGTTCGGATGTTCCGGCTTTATTTTAGCATTAATTTCATCATTAGAAGATGAAGTTTTCTCATTATCTTTCCTAAATGAGATCTCATCGGAAATTGGATTAGTGTTGTCTTTCAATTCAGATATTCCCAAGTCTTCCTTCGAATAATCTCTTGAAATTAGGTGCTTTTTATCTTCATTTGTCTTTTGGGATTTTTTTTCTTTAAAATCATCCTGGACAATGTCTTCACCAGAAAGAATACCATCAAATTTAGATTTCGACTTAGTTTTTTCATCAGATTTAAAACCTCGCAACTTCTGCCTTTCTTTCTTAAAGATATCATCATTACTAGAAGCTTGTTGCGCCATAGTTTCTTTGTTTTATTTGAAAATTTTCTCCTTCCCTAGTGCTTTCTTTCGCATCTTGAATGACTTCTTCATCTTCCGTAGTATTAGTATTATCAATATCAATATTGTTTTTTTCTACACCATCAACAATCTTGACATCTTTTCCACCATAAGCCATCTTCTTGTCCTTCTCCTCATCAAGATTCTTTTTTTCCTCTTCACTATCAGTTTTCTGCTTGTTTTCATTATCAACATCCTCTTTGTCACCTACATCGTCAGCATTCTTTCTGTCTTTTGTCACCTACATCGTCAGCATTCTTTCTGTCTTTTGTCATCAGCATTCTTCTCTTTGTCACCTACATCGTCAGCATTCTTTCTGTCCTCTTTGTCACCTACATCGTCAGCATTCTTTCTGTCTTCTTTGTCACTAGCATTCTCTTCTTCATCATCAGTAATCTTTTTCTTATCTTCATGGTTCTCTCCTTTCCTTTCTCAACATAAGGATTCTCTATATCCTCTTCATCATCACCCTTCTCCTGGTCTTCTTCATCATCAATATTCTTGTTGTCTTTCTTACCATTGGCATATATTAAAATTTCTTCATCATTAATGTTCATGTTGAGTTGTTTACCATTAGCCTTTTTAACATCTTTTTCATCAACTTCCACTATCATTATGAGACAGAGGATCAAAATAAATTGTTGATTCATTGTTTGACTGATCCTGAATCTTTTCACCACCTTCTTTCAAGTCCTTTTCACCAGCGACTTTATCAACTTGTTCATTATCATTTAATATGGGATCATCTTTAGAAATTAACTCTTGCTGATCTTCATTAGACAGTTTTAACTGTTTTTTATAAGAATAATCCACAAAGTTCTCTTTAACTTTCTTATCATTCTTTTCTAATTTTGGGCTTTGAAATTCCTTCCACTCCTCTTGGGTGAATCCATCTTCTAAAGTACAAAACAATATTCCTTGCAAAGGTATTCTTTATGTTGTACAAAGAGAGACAGTATTGAATGCCACAGACATTTGCTAAATATAAACAGAAATAGGTTAGTATAAAAATATACTACTAACCAGAGCACTAGGTTTTAAAAAACATTGACTTCCAGGTTTAGCAGTTTCATCAAAACAGCAGTTATCCCGCAAACATTCCTCCTTATCCACAGTTTCCAAGCATATTTCACGATCTTTTACTGGTACTGATTGACACAACACTGTAAGGAAAATAATTTTGAACACAATAAACATCTTGTTCATCCTATATTTATAACTTTATTTATCACCTTTATCTGAGTACTGTATCAATGAAGGGGTCTCTTGCTCCTTTTTATCCTCCAGTATCCCTTGTGCTCCACTTTTCTCTGGCAATTTATTCTCTGTATCTTCTATCATTAATCCAGGAATGTTTTCCACTGCTTTCCTGGCTTCTTCCATTAACGGATTGTCTTCATTGTCATTCACCAGAACCATTTTCTTGGAAACATCTTCCACCATCTTTTCTGAGAAAGTCATATTTTGGAAAGGTTTCTTTGATTCTTCAGATACCATCTTCATTGACTCATCAGAAGTCATATCTTCTTTAATGGTATTCATCACTTTATCCGTATTGTGCTCATCTTCATTGCCCTCATTCTTCCTCACTTTCTCTAATTAATATGCACCACAATTTAATAATAAAACAGGAAAATTTGACAGGAAAGATTTAATTTCACCTTTAGGATCTTCAATGTCACCAAAATCTTTCATGATGTTTTCAGTAAAGTCAGAGACAAGATGCCTGACACTGCTAAAAAACCCTCCCTTTTTCAATCTAGACTTCTCATCATTCTCTTGCATTGAAATACTATCCTCATTTTTCTATGAAAATAATCAACAAGACAAAATGTCAAGTAGGCAACAAGACTGCACGGTTCAAAATGCCAATTACTGCACCTTGTCAGAAAGTTTTTCACTTGAATCATAAACAACATTTGAGGTTTCTTGGTCAGTTACTCCAACAACTTCAACTTTATTGAATGCATCTTGATCAGGACGACCCAAATACTCAACATCATATTGAACACCATTTGGATCAGTGTATATCTTTGTTTTTTTAACATTGGTTTCATCTTTATCCTCCAGTATTCCTTGCTTTTCACCAAAGTCTTCAGGAATGGCTTGTTCATGTTTCTCTACAACAGCATAGTGCCCATTTTTATCAATTCTACTATCCTTAATATCTACATGTACATTCTCTGGATTATGTTTGTTATCAAGTTTTTCCACTCCTTGTGATTTCAGAACATCATCTACTTTTTGTTCATCCAAGGGTTTCATCAACTTAATGTCTTCTTCTCTCAAGTCATTCTACAATTTTATGCAAACAATAAAAAATATTTACTCAAAGAGGTAAGCTTGCTGTATAATGTACTGCATGTGAAATACCTTTACACTATTAGGTGAAGAAACATCAATTAACTTGTCATCCCGTATAAATGTTCTTCTTTCTTTGACATATGAGCTTTTCATCAATTTGGCAGAACTTCCCCCCTGAAAAATGATAAATCTTACTCAAACATCTTTATTTCCAAAATTGTTCATTCAAAAATGTTGTCTCTACCTTGCTCGCAGTCCATAATAAATTATCTGCATCAATATATTTTCCATAAATAATGATTTTATCACCCTTCTTAAAATTTAAATAATTATTTTCATTTCCTTCATAATTCTCTAATGCAATCCCAATTGATATGGGAACTAGAAAATAGATATGAAATCATAGTTTAGGATGAAAAAAAACAATGGAAAGCCAAATCTAGGTGCAGGTGTGACTATGAACTTAAATTTTACATTGTTGCTTTGGTTGATGCATTTCCAGGGATAAAATTAAGTACTGTGGGGTGCAAGAGGGATGTAAACTTTTCGTAAAAATATTAATATTTGTACCAAAAAATTAAGCAGAAGCAATTGTGCTTTGTTTTTAATGGAACACACTCTTATAAAATATTTTCTAATAATGGTATAAAAGTAACAGCATTTAACATGAAATGGCATATGAATGTTTTATGCAGCCCAGAGGGGCACATCTCTTCATTTAATGAAATGGCATGGTAATACCCACAAAGTAGCCTGGATAGAGGATCCCCTCCCCCCTTTTAATTCAACCAGGATCCATGCTCTTTGAACTAACATTATTTGCATTATTTTTAGATCAGACTGCGCTCTAGTAAAGTATTTAACAGAAGTTATAATGACTCAAGTTTTCATTCGTTCCCAAACTCGTTTCTGTTCCTAGTCTCATACACATAAACCTCCTCTGCCCAAAATATACAACGTGCAAATTGATATGCACGCAAAAAAACCTTACTCTAACCAGTCCAGTAAAACTAGCAAACTTGTAAAGTCTTATTTCATATCATCAGCTAATTTGCAACATGAAAACGTTAGAATTCTAACACAATGACAAGTACAGTAAACGATAATAAATGACAAAAAGAACAGCTTAATAAATGCGCATTTTGACGACAAACACGAAAAACGTATACCTTACCTCTGCAGAATTTATCGACGCACTTCTTCGCCGAAATATAATATAATATGTTAAAATATACGATAGAAATTAATAGAACTCGTACGTGGCTTTCGGCCATGTTGTGAACGATATACATATACGCATGCGTTAACGGTCACTCGGCTGACGTGTCCAATGGTTTCATTCAGTGTTGTACAAATTGGTAACCATGTCAACGTCAAGAAACTTACGAACTTTTGTTACTTGTATAGTATAGCTATCTTTTCGAAGTATATCGAGAAATACGAAAAATTGAGAATATTGAGGATCATCTAATTTTGTTGAGGAAAATGATTCTAGCTATATTACAAGAAATACTAAATATATTAAATAGTGATGTTTTACTGCCTCCTACAAAAAGAGCAAGTAACCCTCAAATACACAATATAAATATACTTCTTACATATAGAAAAACTCGTTGCCTCAACAATGTGCAATGACGAATCATTATCAGTGCACAGCTTATCATGTAAGCATCAATAACTTTTATATTTTTTAGAAGTTGAGAAATCCTTTCTAAACGTATGTAGTGTAGGGATTCTCTCAGTCTGCAGACCAATTCATGGGTGTCATCAAGGTTACCAAGGAATTATTTGATGTTTATTCTTTTTCGCAAATTCTTTCAAAGCCAACTGTTACCTCATTGCAGACAATATCCGAGGTCTATACGAGCTTTTTTCAATTTTCCCCCAAGCTCGAACTATACCTTGGGTATTAATAGTGAACAAATGAAGACTGGTGAGGGAATAGGTGATGCTAAAAAGGATGTAAAACACATTAGAAGTCTGGCACTCATTGACAAACAACGAGCAGTTAAAGTATCAGTCCAAACGAAAAGTCTTCCTTACTCAACAATAGGACTTTGGCATGAATCATCTTTGAGATCAGCGATATGGTCCAACGTCCACGTATTCCAAAGTCTAAAAGTGATGAAATGAGAAAAGTACGATCTTTAAAGAGTGCTTTCTTTCACTAAGCCTGATGATGGTCCATCCAAATGAACGAAGCCGCGTGTAAAAAGATCTTCGACAGTTTTAGTAGCTCTTTACATCCATCACGTTAAAAATATATAAAATGAATATTGCAAACCTCACTACACCATTTTCTAAGCCTGCTACCAAAGAGTTTACCGAAACTCCTTCTGGTGCACGAGAAAAAGTAACGCAGTTTACTTTCTCCTGACAAGAAGTACTTTTGATCTCTCTTCCATTAACTGACCATAGCCTCAATACGCTTGATCTATTGTTACCTTAACGAAACATTCATATACATATCAACAATAAATATCTATAGGAAACTTTGCACTAAAATGTTTTTCTTATAAACACAATGAAATCGTAAAATAAATACCTTTATGACAAACTGTTACAATATCTCCCGTAGTATCACTGATTGCAACCAAACTGACAGGTGAAGGATGTTCAGAAAGACTACATACATAGCACAACCTTGCAAACGATAGAGAGATTGCACATTAAAATTTGAAACTTAAGGAACGGTTGTATAAAGTCTAAATTATGCTGGATAGTAATAAAGGTGAGTACTGACCTATTCAAATCCCAAATGATAGCCGTTCCATCTTCACTGCCGCTAACAACAATACTAAATGCTGAGCAGATTTCAAGACAAATTATACTAGCTTGATGCCCTTGCAAACGAATCTTTCGACCACTTATCACTAAACCACATTCCTGAAAATGATAGATGATTTAGTGTGTAATAAATCCATTTTTTAGACAAAACACAAAGTATAAATAATAACAGAAAAAATATCTTACACTATTTCTATCGTATCTCGTCGGCCAAACGTTAAGACATCCAGTTGAACTTCCTATCCACAGTAGATTACATTGTTCTGATACGGCACAGCATGTCACCTTGATAAAAACATCAATGATTGTACCTATAGCGTGACATCTAATTACTAAAACATGGCCTATGCTGAGCGGTAAAATGTGTTGTAACATATTTCTCGATGTTTCTCGATCATGTGACGAGGTTCTTGATCATGTGACATATTTCTACGTTTTTTTCTCCAATAATAACATTCACCTTCATGCTTACCTTATGAAAATCAATGTTTTCCATGAAACCGACATTGCTACCTTTCTTGGCATCCCAAATGCGAATGATATCGTCAACGTAATCCCAACTCAATACCGCTGACCATATTATATGCATCGTCCGGTTGCGAGTTCTCGTAACCATAAGATGAGTCGAATTTGGAGGCAAAATAATTATGCTACTTTGGGGATGGGACACCAAGCGTGCAACTGGTAGAGGGTGTTTAGATGACCAGCAGATAGCAGGCCTAGGATAGGCAGGAGAACCAACGTATTGTCCCCATTTTATGCCATATACAGTCGAAATTGGACTGGGAGCATCTGAAAGAGAAATGATTAATATGGAGGGTTAACTGCTTTCTTTACAAAAAAAGAAAAAGATGGTTATTGAGGGGAAACTTTTAGTCATCAAAGATGAAGTAAGCATTTCCAAAAATAAAAGTTGTCAATCATGTTTAAACACATTTAATTTTTCTTTTCCTAAGTTTAAAAAAAAACTTAGTTTCTTCTTTAACTATACCTTGCACGAGTCTCTGTGAAGAGCGCTCAGACACACTTGACTTTGAATAGGAATCAAAATCTGTAAATGTTCCGCTAATCGTAGAAGATTGATCCACGGTTTGTCGTTTTTTCTCGGGATGTCGCTCAGAGAAGAGTTTGGCGGGAGTCTGGCCGTACGTTTCAATCATCGTCTGTACAGCTTTGCGTTGCAGAGGATCATGAAGTCTGTTTGCATCAATTCCACCAATGTAAGTCTGAGATAGATAGAATTTGTTGTCGAACGAGCAAACAAATACATAAAATAACAGAGACCGCCAAGGGGCATGTTCAATGAAGCCTTGATAGTTGATAACCTAATGAATGTCAAGTGGTGCGAACCATGTATAATTTTATAAGCTGATATCGGGCTTATTACACAGACGGTTGTATTGTCTTCAAGGAAACAAAACTTTGTTACATTGGAATTAAGGTTTAGTTCTGTTGATTGTCCTGTTAAGGATGCAACTTCGTGTGATGTAACGCTCGTAGTAATGTAGACGTCAAATTTAATTTTTCAAATAATTTCTTTTCACATCACATTAAACTTCACTTCCTTATTCACGTAATTATTTCAGTTGCTATCGTTTGTAAGGCATAGGGAGGGTTAAATAAAAACCAAGAAAGATTTACAATAAACACAATAAAAAAAGGAATACTATAAGGAGAAACAAAATGAGCAAAATGGTTCAATAATCACACTTAACCAACACAACTTTAATCACCATTCACTCAAACACTAAATAAACACAACTTTAATCACCATTCACTCAAACACTAAATAAACACAACTTTAATCACCATTCACTCACATACTTACAAATACAACAACTCCATTAATCACCAACACAACATCTTCAGAGTCAAACTCTGACTCAAATGACACCATTCACTCACATCACTCAACTTTACAACCATCATCACTCACATACTTGAAACCATTTAAAATACAACTTTAATCACCATTCACTCACATACTTGACAAACACAACTTTATATTTTTCTTGTAAAAAAGATATACGTATAAAAAAACTCTCATCTTACAGATGGATGAAAGACGTTAATGGCATTGATTGCAGCTTGTCCTTCTTGCTTGAAACCAAAAACTAGATCGATCCATTTATTTATTGCGCTGGAGATAATATCAGACTCTAGAGCCTAAAGACAAAATAAAAACGTGTAAGTAAATGATATACAGTGCGAAAGGATAGGCATGTATAAATATGGATAAATTAATGTGAATAAGGATTGTGAGAAGGTAAAGACAACAAATATTCATACCTGACGATGAATGAAAACAAACAAACGAGGATCATTGCAGGCCCACGTAGGCAAGTGTACATCCATAACACGTTGTCCATTTTGTCTAACACCGAAGTCAAAACCTAAATAATCATAATTTTTAAAGAAAAAAGAGAGAATCCTTCGCACCATTCGGGTTAACATGTTATGAAGTCTTATAACAGGAATAAATAAATGTTAAAATGTCCATGTCATGTCCACGTGGAGTACATGTCATGTCCACGTGGAGTACATGTGATGTACATTTTATCATTCTTTATAACTCGTTTCATACAAAAAATATCAATTGCAAACCTTTCCAAGAAATGTCGAAGTTCATATAAACACGGCAGTCACAGTCGCTAAAAATATTACCTTCAGAATTACGGAGAAATTCTGGCAAGAAAAAGAATTCGGGAATAAGTTCCTTCACATCAGGAGCAGAGGCAAATGAAGAAAGATTCCAGGTCGTTTCGATTGCATGAAACGTACGATCAGGAACATCAAATTGTTTATCTGAAAATTGTTACGATCTCGTTGAAAAATTTGTCACGTATAATAAAAAATCCATGAAACCATATACCTTGATATATCAAGAACATTTTCGTGAAGGGGAGAAGACGGACAAGGAAGTGCAACACAGTACCACTGTTTGAATAATGGGATCCATAGTGATAAGGAGGAATACAGTTCATAGGATCAAGCCTCTTCGTGATGTCATATTGTTCTTGTAGACTCTTAAAATATTAGATTTCGTGAGGTTATATAAATAAACATATCTTCGGCAAAATCTCAATATTTTGAAACCTACTAACAGCCTCATTGTCTTGAAACCGAACCGAAATTTCAATATTTTGGAACACTTACTACTAATGCATAATCTTATTAATAAACTTGCTTACCCTGTAAGTTTCTTTGTATTTCGGGATCCTTAATGGATTTTGAACAGCGATTGGTTTTGATAAGTCCCTACAATAAGATGTTCGAAAAATAGAATATTTTCATGAATAGTTCTAAAAGTTTTGAAAGAACAAAAAACAAGATTCGCTATGAATTAAATACAAAATTAATAATGACTTGAAGTTGACCATTGACATTGTTACCTGTAAATCGATGCATCTGTCAAATCCAATACGTCACATTTATAATCAGCGAGAACAAGAGGGAACACTGGGTATTGCATAAGATCATTAAAGGATCGACAAGCTTGCTTATTCAATTCAGTTAAATAAGCGAAGTTGGTTAGTTCGCCATTTTGCCATCTAAAATCAACAGCATCAAATACAACTTGTGCAACATGAATTTATTCTTGAAATTATAAAAAAACACCTTTGTGTCAAGTCTGCAACATTCTCTGTCGTCACTAAGTTTGGCAATTCTTTAGCATATAATTCTTTATATACAGTCTCTCTGTCCTTTGTTGTTTCAAACGCAAGTAAAAACGTGCGACCGTTCGTGAGGAAAATCTCAAGAGCGTTGTCCTGCAAGATAAAAATAATGACAAAATCAAAGATACGGTAAATCTGAGGAATTGTTAATGCTCATGCATGCTTAAAGAATGGCGTACCTTAAGAGCATATCGACGTCTAAGAATTTCACGAATTTGTTGGAACAACCATGAAACTGACGTGATATCTTCATCGTCAAGAAAGAACTAAAAAGAAATTGATAAAGACCAAACAAAATATTTTTCGTGCACACAAAATAAAACATGTGTATGAATGGTATATATTAATAATATTATAGATATTTTAAGAAAAATCTAAATGAAAAATGAAACAATCGATATTTTAACATCAATTGCTGTTACCTGTGCCGTGTTGATGTTAACATCGTTCTCTTCACCAACAAAATAAACTCTTTTCTCGCCTGGATAAAAGAAAACGAAACTAATTGATCATCCAACAAAAATGAGTTAACGTTTGACAAAAATCCAAATCGTTCAAGGCCAACATACCTATCAAAATTTCTCCGGGGACTTTCCTCGAAGGCATTATGCTTTTACAACGGTGCAAAAACTAAAAAAATAATTTTAAGTAAAGCTTCAGTAAATAGCTACATACCAACATAATTTTCCTTATATATACGGAATCGACAGGACAAAACAAGCAAAAATTGATTGGGAATAATCGTTAAAAATACTCACCAAATCGTATCTGTTGTGTTGAATATATGATGAACATTTTTTGAAGTTGGCTCACCAAGAGGCTCATCAAAGAGATAGAATAAAGGAACAGTAACAGATTCTAAAAATACAAAAATACAATGTAATCGGTTTCCAAGGTGGTCACAATCATGAGAGAGGTGGAGGCAAATCAGTTATGTTTTCTTACGTGCTTTCCTATGTTCAGGCATAATGAACTTTTCATTGACATCCAAATGACAACGTTGTAAACGACAACGAACTCTACAAGGTCCTTCGGTTCTATCAAGCTGCCATGATTGTGGGAAGAATTCTTTATCGTACCAAATGGCTCTAGTAGACGAAAAACATTCATCAAGTTTTAAAGCTTCCGTTTCCTTACAGTTTTGCTGTCTTTTTCGATGATAAAGAGATACTTTCACATATACTGTAGTCAATGCTTTAAAAATCCGTGTCACAACACGCAGCCTATGGGGGACTAACAATAATTGATTCTGTATCAAGTTACAACAGAAGACACAGCATATTAATGTACTTGAGCGATTTAAAAATAAAAAGTAGATGAATGTACAAGAAAAATGTCTCTCTCAAAACTGCTGATCAACCTAGATGACTGTGGGGAAGAAAGTTGGCATAAACAACTTTTAGAGTTTACGCATCACATAACATTGTCTTTTACCGTAGTTGTCGCATGCTATTACTGTCCAAAACTTCATATTTCCTTACCGTTCGTGGGTAACTTGCATAACCAACATTTGCCACAATTTGTGACTTTGAACATCGTTTGATAGAGCACTTTTTACATGTTTGAGTAAGTTCTGTCGCTGCTTGTCTTGAACGTCAATGGAAACCTTAGTGACCTCAAGTGCATTTCGTGATATTCCCTCACAGAGTTGCTCTAATTCGCGTTCTACTCTGAAAAGTATTTACCAAAAGAAATTAGATAAGCGCTACAACATACAATGTAGGATATTAGTAAGTACTACAACATACAATGTAGGATATTAGTAAGTACTACAACATACAATGTAGGATATTAGTAAGTACTACAACATACAATGTAGGATATTAGCTTGACAAGTTTTTTTTCTAATTACAAAGCGATATGTTTTCTTGGATAATACGTCCAAGACAAACTGTTTTTGTACTTCTCTAATACAAAAATGTTTTTTGCTTGATACATGTGGTGATCGCATTAATCATAGACAACTTTTATCACACAATCATGATGTAACCTTATGAATTTGAGAAAATCATCATAAAATAGAATAAATACCTTTTCTTTTCAATATCTGTCTTATTCTTGTATTGAAGTTTTTTTGAAATATCTTGCTTTGTCCACTCTTCCTCTTTCTGAAGAGATAAAAAACGTGTACATATATGTTATTTACAGGATGGGAGGTCCAGATATAAAAATATAGGTGTCGGTAAATCAAGTATTTGTTATTTTTACTAAAGGCAACAATCTTATAAGATTGCTTGGTCAGATTTAATAATGGCGGCAAAGTAAACATTCAAAACTTTGCTCTTCATTTTACTTGGAAACTTAAAAATTATTCAACATAGGTTATTATCAAAATTTGGCAGATAATTTTCATTTTAAAACGAAACGAAAGTATTTAGCATCGTAAAAATCCATCCGCTGCTACAGCCAATCAGATTGCAGGAAAGGGTAGGAGTCCGCTCGCAGCTCATTGGTAAAAAATCAAAGTTGATATCAAATGACGATAACTAATTACTATAAAATTAAATAATATCGAAACATTTCAATTTCAGTAGTACAAAAGAAGCAAAACGCAAATTCCTTCGATAAACGACATATTTATTATACCCGTTTCAACGAATCATCATCGAGACCATCCATCTTTTGATCCTCGACATTCTTCAAAAGTTCTGCAACAGTTCTCCTCAATTCCTTTTCTTCCCTACTACAATCCTCTCTTACTTCATTTAAGAATGAACGTACGTATGCTATAGTTCTCTCTTTTTGCTGAAAGTAGAACTCCTCATCAGATAAAGTTAAAAGCTCTTAAATACAAACAGAGATGAGAAAATAACTCGATGCTTAAAAAATACTTGCTTTCATCACGAACCTTGGATGTAATTCCTCCGAGTAATATATTCAAAAACATGGACTCTCCCTCCTGCGACTTAATAAATTGTAGAGCAAAGACTTTGATCTTCAGCTCCCGAAAGGAGACATCAAGTAAACAAACAGTCGACATATCTTCAAGAGAGAAAGATGATAAAACTAAAATGCATTCCGGTGAAATTGATGATGTTTTCATATCACTAATAAATTGGTTGTTGATGTGATCTTCTTTGTTTAAAGGAGGAGTGGGTGGGTTAAGATGCAGTATATGTTGCACATGGTCTTTCAATGGTCATCTTTTACATACCAGATGTCGGATTTTATCCTTTGAATGATAGATAAGTTCTTGCCATTTATTTGTGACATGCTGAGATCCACGATGCTATAATGGAACGGACGAAATATTGCTCTAAAACTACTTTTCGATTAGTTTTGCCACATTGGCTACTTGCCATGCAATACAAGAAAAGTTTCCTCCAAAAATTTACAAAAACTACATGTTGGACATTTCTTGTAGGAATTAGAACATTTTGTATTTGCAAGTGTTTGCATTAATCACAATTGGAAAATTTCTCTGTAAAACAGGGCTTGAAAATGTCCCGCAGTGCCGGCAGGAAACTTTTCAAAAAATTACTCGCAAGAAATATTTTTGTAACTCGCAGGAAGTTTATCGAAAATGAGTAGATGCATCAATTTACATAAGTCATAATACATTATGATTTGTGTTCTATTGAGTAAGCAAGACCGTAAGGAATTTGCAGACAATCGCAATGTGAAAATGCTTGTTATAAATAGTTACGAGTGAAAATTTTCGCAGAGAATGCTAATTTTTAAAGTTGCTGCTAGCAAGTGAAACATTTTATCCAGGCCTGCTGGAAAAGTGAAAACATGCAATTGTCGAAGATATTATGCATAAATAAAAATGCTCTGAATATATTTTTAGTATTTCAATCATGAGAGTATCAAAACATTTTCTACATAAAAATCTTCACTTGATATGATTTAAACGACCCAATAACTTACCAACGCATAATCAAGAAAGTCCACAAACAAACAGAACATCCATTGAGTAAATATCTCACTGGAACGAAGTAAAGAGCAAAAATCTTCAGGTTTGTACTTCTCAAAATGCGATGGTAATTTAAAATCGGCATGACGTAGTTCAAGATCATACGGCAATGACGTAATCGTATCAGAATAACAAATCATATTCACAGCTTTGACACAGACATCATGAAACCTAGAGGTGATCTCAGATGGTGTTGCTTCAGCAGGTAAAGGTTCATATGGAGATATACACCACAACACAGGAAAATCTTGTGGGTCCAATGTCCGCCAAAATAAATAATAATTATTACAGCTAACGCGTACGGCATCAGCGTTGTCATTACTGTTTTTGACTGTACGTCTAAAAAAACAAAGATGATTACGTATGACGTAACATTACACAAATGTTTGACAGGTAGGAGATACGACGATGGACAACAGCAGTAGGCGGAGATAGATGAGAAGTCACAAAAGGCAACAAAAAATAAACTGCAATACTGTTTTTACCTGAGTGTAGGAATTAAACAACGACGATTATTCTTCTGAGATTTTTTGACAAACTCGATATAGTCCAAAGCAAACCTTATTGCACATTGTCGTAAGAACATCAAACAACAACTTAATAATTGATTTAATCCTATAGAAATAAAACGTCCATAGTTTATGAGGTCTGTCTACAAAACAAGCGTTCAAAACATTGAAGAGATTACTGACTGCACACAAAAATACAACAATAACAATTATTGTAGCAATACAAGAACTATGAAAATATATTTTTAGCGAGAGCGATTGAGGACAATAATTAGTTTAAGAATCGTGGAATTATGGATAAGTTATGGAAAATATCACCAAAGGTGTTCCACCTTGATTTTTATCATTGAATTCGGGGGAATCCAAAGACAAAAGCAAGTCGTCAAATATTTGATAATAACGATCTCCACACATTCTACAAATTAATAAAGACATAAAGAAAATGCAGTTTCTAGCAAAAAACAACATTTTCAAGCATATTAGTTAGGAATGATAACATCTTAATTGGTGTCTGAACTGGCGTTTTTTCTTTATATCAAATTGTCTAGGAGGGACAAATTGTATAGAAGTGATGACACTTTGGTTGGTATCTGCATTGGCGTTTTTTTTCTCATCAAATTGTCATATGAATGGTGACACCTTGGTTGATATCTACAGTAGCATCTTAAAGGTGTCGAAATATAAATGCTCTAAAAAATGAATAAGGACACAGTACCGTAATACAGAATGATATAACTAATATAACCTTAATGATCCATAAACAATAGCCATGATTAAATATTGTAGGTTATCCAATATCGCTCCAGCTGTTGTTTGAGACATTGATTTATCACTGGTAATGAAACGAATTATATAAATTTTAAGGATTAATAACGGTTCCATAAAGAAATACAACTATCACCTGTTATTGATACGCCAAACACAAAGGCCGCGAGCTGTGTTAACAAGAATCTTCAGTAAGCCCTGATCGGCAGCCTTTAGTAAGAAATTCTCAACAGTGTGAATCAGTTTCACAAGGACTTGAGAAAGAAACTTAAATATTTCTGGCGAGTCAATTGAGCCTTCCATCATGGCCAACAGCGGTATTCCAGCAAGAACGTTTATTTTCCTGGTAATTTCACTGCCCCGTTTTATAGCAACAATAAAATGACTAATGACAAAAGAAAATAACATAAATTTAAAGCTGTTTCCTATAAGTAAGTCTACATTAACTTACGTTTCCTTGATGTAAACTGGCTGTTGAAAAAATAAACGGAAGCAGGCTTCGGCCACATCTTGAGTGATGGGATATAAGTGTAGCTGCACGGCTAACAAATGAAAACCTTGTATTTGTTGAAATGACTCCAGCATATTTAGAGATCCGCGTTCCAGCATTTTACAAAGGATCTGCCAAAAATTATTAAATAAATGTGAATGATACTGAATAATTAAGTAATAAAATTATTAAACTTCCGTATTTATTTTTTATGATCCATAATAAGATATAATAATATATAACTCTGTTGTACGGTAAACCAAAAAAAGCTGCCCTTTCGGTTATTTATTATGCACCAAAAACTTTACAATAGCCCATAGGAGCAAAACAGACCTGTTTGAAAATATTTCAAAAAAGACCAAAACAAAGTTTGTAGTATCTAGTCAGTGCCAGAAGGCAATCATGGTAAATGTGCCAGAAGGCAATCATGGTAAATGTGCCAGAAGGCAATCATGGTAAATGTGCCAGACAGCAATAATGCTAACTGTGACAGCGCAATAGTTAAGAAATAAATGTTTACTGTGTGCATAAAAATCTGAATCCCTCAACATTCACAAAGCTTTGAACAATTTCTGAATAAGCGTTCAATAAGGAAAGCAGGGATTGTACCTGTATCGATACAGCTCGTACCCTGGCCAAAGGATAGTTGACGAAACATAAAAAATATTCAAACTTTAAAATATCACTCAATACTCCTTCAATAGCAATGTCCGTCATATTGACCAGCATACAATTGATCAATTCTAAAAGTCCACTTCTTAGTTCATCCAACTTGGAATGTTCTTGCAACTCCGAGCGCTGTCGTTTTAAATATCTGTAAGTTGTCATGGTTGGAGGAACGGAAAACTCGTTCTCTTCAACAATAAAATCATCACCAGAGTTCGTGGCCTGGGACGACATTGATTTCGACGAAGAAACGTCACCCCTAGATAAAACGACGCCTAAATTTAATTGCATGCTGTTAAGCGCTACGTAATAGTTTATCATTTTTGGATTACAACGATTCCTACAAGACCTACAGAGCAAATATTGTTCTTCTACAAAGAATTATGTGCCTCAAAGTTATACCTAAGATTGCAATAAACAAGGGTAACTTAAGAATTCGTTAACAGAAAGCACCAACAAGCTAAAGAATGATCGCCGAATTTCTTAACTAACAGTGATGACACTTTCTTACCTAATATTTATTTAAATATCTCCTCAAATACTTACGCTAGTTTCAATTGATCTTGATGAGTATTATCTGTTTCAATGACGTTTTCATTCTCCAAACTTTCGTCAGAAATTTTTGGCATATGTCCAACTGTGATCATTATATTACTTGCATCTATTTCAGATACATTTGTGAGCTTATCTCTTGAGCTGAAAATACACGTTGTTTCATCCACAGATTGGGCAGACAACAATGTTTCAGAACGAGATCTTTCAATATCCTGCTCTTCTTTTTTCCCTTCAACTTCTCCTCCTTCTTTTTCTTCAGGAAGTAGCTCTTTATCGTCTACAACAATATGTAGATACATGTGAACCCTTACGAAAACATTGTTGCCATCAGTTACGGACAAATCAAATCACTTCATCAATCATCAACACATTAATTTCCTATACAATTTTCTAATTGCAGCATCTTGTCGTCAACAAATCTTCAAATTGCAGGCAGTAAATGACACTTACCAGCAAGAATTGCGATGGGTGAAAGGTACAGATTTCCTGGAGCATGAACAACCAATGTTTCATAGGTCGGGTGAATGGCCACAAGGAACTCACAAATACGTTTTAAAACTTGTGGATTTGGGGGACAACCGAAGAGATTCTGAATGATTTTCAGATGAAGATTTGTAGTGAGGGACGAGAAGGCCAACTTCTCAGCCTGAATTTCCTATGTTGTATACGGAGAACGAATTAAAAAACAAAAGCAACTTTCGTAACTCAAAATTAGAAAATTAGTTGTGAAATGGGAAATTATAATACTTTATTATATACGAAGTTCAAAATGTTTTTACTCACCTGACAACCAAGTAATAGTGCACCTAACGCATCAGCTGTTTCAAATTGACGAATGTTGAAAGCGGAATATGGATGATTAAATCTTGTAAGAGTTTCCAAAGCATGTAAGATCATGTGCCATGACTCGGGAGCATCAGACTTTCGATACCAAATCCGCCAGTTTAGAAGAAACTCACGAAGAATTTCAAAGTTTTTTATCACTGCTGTCGTGTTAAAATTGACAAAGTAAGGTTTGTCGCTAACACCTGTCTCTCTTAAAACTTCTCCATCGCAAGCAGCCTTCATAAACACCTAAAACAATTGTGCTATTGTCAAAAATAGTGATGAACACAAACGTTATTGGAGAGACGCTGTCACCAATTCATGTCAAGGAATAACAAAATAAGCGAGTTCAACAAACGTGTTACCAAGATGAAATAATAGGAAATAAGATTTTGTTTTGAATGGTTAGCAAAAGGAAGTTTTGAAAAATGTACGTTGACAAATGCAAAAGTGGACATACGTACATTGACAAAGTGACTTCCAGCCATGCAACGTGGTGTAAGCAAAACTTTAAGGATCATTTTGTAAGCAAGAAAAGAATCCAAATCTTTGGCATGACTAACATCTCCTTTTCCTAATGTCAAGAAAACGGAAAGCGCGTCCGCCTGTGCTTTCTCGTCAGCGGACTTTTCGACCGTCTGAAAAACAAAGATTTTTCATTCTAAGTTGAGCAATGTGAAATAATTCGGTAAGGCAATGCAAACCTACTTTTGCAAAGAGAAATAAGAGAACACTAATGCCACCAATTTTTTCGATAGTTTCTTTAAACTGTTGACGGTGACATACGGAAGCTTGAGCACTATAAATGACGTCAATTGTCTGGCAGTTATCAGTGATTGATGTATTTCCTGTCCAACTTGTATCTTCAAGTTTATATTCCAAAAAATTGTCAGGATGAGATGGAGAGAAAACCAACAATAACTGCTTTCTAAGTGATGCTTTGATCTCGTTCCATCGCTGTTCATCAACTAGCACAGGTTGACCATGTGGACCACAAACGAAGAACTGCGCATGACATTCGGGTAATCTTTCTAGACATTTTATGTCTAAGTGATGGCTAAACAATAAAAAATCAATAAAGAAAACATTCTAGTTATCTGTGCACCACACATAAAAACCTACTTAAAATCTTGTGATGTTGCTTCAGATAAGCGGAATTCTAAAGCCTGGCAATTTGCTCCAAGAAGGTTCAGAAATGCAGCTTCATCCAGTTCAACAGTTTTTCGTTTATCGCTGTGTTTTGATGAGTTATGAAGTTTAGAAATAAGAGCTGTCAGCCCACCTTCATCTCTATGTAATTCCCCTGAAATAATAAATCTTTGTTTTATCTGGAAAAACTGATACACAGCACGATTACGTCATACAAAGTATGAGGAAAGGGCGATTATTAAAACGAAGAGCGACAATCAAACGAAGAAGAAAGACAAACAAACGAAGAAGAACGACTATATGACGAAGAAAAACTACAGACATAAATGGAAACGATTTAATGACAAAGAAATAGGATGAGATGAACTATAGAAACGAAAAACAATAACTATAAAAAGACTCAAATTTATTTAACGCCTAATTGTTGGCACCCTCCGTACATAGTATGAAAAGAGTTGCTTTTCCGGGAAAAAATTAATCACTTTCTTTCAGGAAGGAAAAATGAATCTGGTTAAAAGAGAAAGAAGTCTTACCAATAAACAAGGCAACATTTCCAAGCTTCAGATATGGCCGAAGATTACGCTTGCCAGAACTTATGTTCGTATGATCTCCACCAGAGCTCCGCTGACCAATCCACAACGTTGGCGGATCAACCTTGCGCGCAGGAATTGTGGGATAGCGATATTCTTTTGTTGTTTCGGAAGCTCCGTCAATCAAAAATGTCATCTTTCAGAAGTATAAAAATAATTATCGTTAGTTGCACGATTAACAGACAAATATAACTAAATATTGCCTTGGAAAAGCGTTGCTAAGACGAATGATAACTGTAGTCTGGGAACTGATAACATAAGCATATGTTATTAATTGTTATTCACCCAGGCAGACATGCTCTTCAAGATATTAATCAGATTTTTCCCTGCAAAAAAATCTCTATATATAAATATACCTTCTGTAATTTAAGTTACTCACCAAGCCACCGTTGACATCACCCTCCTGACCAGCTTGAACTGATATAACAACGTGAGTCCAATCACAAGCCTTAAATGGGAATTGAACAGGCAAGATGTCTCGGCTAATACTCGCGTCAGTTACAGTATCATCATACGACCATCTATTGAGAATATACACCGTGAATATTTTAAATGCGCATGCTCGAGATATGAATAAAAGCGAACGTAAAATACAAAATATGTTGGAGTACTATTATACCTGCATATTAATGAAGATTTTTTGAAGTCAAACCATACTTCAAACCAAGCAATTGAGGTACCGAAAGATGCAATATGAACAATATTATCAAGCTCATCTTGAAGATAATCCGTCAAAAGATTCTTTTCTTCTTTGTGACTTCCACGCGTGATCTTCACGTGACTGTTCTCAGAACATCTCCCGTCATCAATCTTCAACCAGAAAGCCAAACTAAAACTACCAACGGGCCATGGGATATGCTGACTGACGTTTAACGAAAACACATTCACTTTCCAAGGAGGACAAAGAAGATCGATAGTCTGACTAGTTTTAAATTTTTTTGATTTTGAAATTTTCAATGAAGCTATCGCAGGACGCTGAGTAGTAAGGTCAATCTCTTTGTATTTCTTCTCGTCAAACACCATTGTTCTCGCAGGAAATACGAATGAATTCAACGGACCATGTGAAGCAATCGATAACATAGTTATTTGATTTAATGCCTTCATCAGTAGACCCTGCATAATCAACAAAATCATCAATAATCTAAAACACTAATTAATGAACATAGTTAGAGAGTCAAACGTACCATTCCCTCTGTTTTTACTGATGTTCAATTTTCCATACAACATCTTTCGTATAATAAATTTTACTTACCCAAGACGGATTGTCAATTTTCAGAAAGTTCAATAATGTCGTCAAGTCGTTACAGCGAATTTCGTGACCAGCCAACGTGACAATTAGTTCGAGAACGGTCTTCTGTACAACTGTCAAGATATGTTTATAAAATGACTTGAGTCAAATGGGGATGCTAAGGAACTAGTAGGGATTTGGTTACGATATCATAGAACAATGGGTTAGGGATAATGAATGTTATCCATCATAAGAAAGAATTTAAAACAACTTACCTGTAATTCTGGCATCTTTGGAGGTCATGCAACGAGTGAAAGTCTTAAGGACAAGACTGAGAAAGCCCTGAATTTAATATAATTGACTTTAATAATTAAGAAATAAGCGATGTTTACTGCGTTTGCACGGGCTTATGTAAAACGAGAAGATCCGAGGACATTATTATTGAACATGAATTATCATTACTGAATAAATTCATATTCTTGAAAATAAATTAATATTATTGAATATTATTGAAAATTATTAAATTTAATCTTTCAGTCTGTTTACATTGAGATCTCTACCTTTTCACTTAAGATTTGTCGATTTCTGCCGGAATAAGATGCCAATTCACTGAGTCCTTCTAATATGAACAAAACTAGTGGTCTATCTTTTCTATAAATAAACATTTTATTTACACTAAAGATCATCAAACAACATAACTCACTATTTATATAAAACAAAGTAAGCAAGGATTGTTACGTACGCAATATTCTCTATATCTTCGTCGATAAATTGTATAAGTTGCTCACATAGGTTTGGATGTATGATAAACCGCTGTACAACAGTATTGCGTTGCCTTGGCCTATCACGCATTCTTCTTGACTTCATTACAACACAAGGTCCAATCCCCTTGTTTGATGAATTACTCTGACCAATCTCTAACTCAGTGTCTGCATCGTAACCTGGTTCCAAGTCTTTGGCCACCATCATGGCACACTGCTTTGTACTTACCATTTGAAAAGCATCATTGTCACTTTCACTGTCCCCGGCACAGATAAAGTCAAACACGATTCTTTCTGTGCTCTTTGTTTCCTTACTCGTTGATTCGTCCACGCCCACCGCCCCGATAGAAAGGTTCAAAAGAGCTTGACAAAAAGTTTTCCCAGCAATTTCTTTTAAAAGTTTATCTTTCTGAATCAAACGTTGGATGATGCGCAAATGTTCGTTGATTTGAAGACAAAGCTAGAAAACATAGCAATAATATAAAAAAAATACTTCATGAAGATTATTATTATATTATACCAACCTGGACACCATCAACAAGTTCAAAAGCAAACTCCAGACCAACAGCCATTGCTGATTCCATAAGCTTAACACATGAAAGGACATGTCCCTTTAACTCGGATTGTGTCTTCGCTTTGTACAGAAATTCTTTAACGAGTTTTAAAATTGTGACAACGGAAGCAGGACCACCATATTTCAAGAAACCCTCGCGAAATAAAACACTTTGTTTCAAAACATGAAAACAAGCTGCCCAAAGTTGATATACTTGCCGACATACGCAAGGCAAGCTTAAAGTGTTTCGAATTTTCCGCTCAAAGTCATTGAGCTCGACATAATCTGGAGTATGAAGCATAGGTTGAAGCATGAACATGGCCCTAAGAAATAATCTGATAACTATCAAATTGTCTTCAGGTTTGATGTAGAATGTTTTTGTAGATGATCTTTTACCATCAGCTGTTTCCGTTTCTTCATTGGGTGTAACAGCAAGCATCTTCAAGACCTCCAAACACAATTGATGAAGTGATGGATCACCCAGGAAATTAACAACACACTCAATAGCTAAGGGGTTCATAAACTCAACCCGAAAACGTTCCTTCTCCAAAAGGTCAAGAATAGTGTTCAGACATATCTTAATTGATTCTTCGGATGAAGCCAAATCTCGATCTGCGCCCACAATCCTACTCACCTTTCTCCCGCTATCAAATTCAGATGGCGTTCCATATCCAGAATCGTAGGGATTACGGAGATTGCTAACAGCTACATTTTGACAAATTTCTTTGAAGGAGTTCGTCCTTTTCTTTTCGTTAATGGTAAGCAGATAAGGAAAAAATACTTTTACAAACAAAGCATGTTTAAGATTGGCGATTGCTATTTTTGACAAAGAGCGTAAGTATTTTAATGTCTTCAAAACAATTTCCACGTCACTTGTGGTCACAATGGACGCCAATCGGTCAAAACATGGCCAATTATCAATTGAACGATAATTTTCGTTTGTCAAAAACACATCATCAGTGGAGTTGGAGTAGGAATCAATTTTTCGTCGCGACTGACCTTTCGCGTTGAGATTATCTTGAAGCATGATCTTGCCAAACAGACGCAATGCAAGATTTTGAACGTCCGGCGACCTCTCTGGCAATCTACGTATGAAAAAGAAATATGAATTAAATAATATTTAAAAACCAGATGAAAAGCAGAACATATCACATCAACTTTATCACGAAGGTCGTTTTCATAAAACCCCAAAACTCTAAATTGTGACAAAAGACAGGACGCATGAGACAAAACGCAACTATGTATGCCCAGCCGTGGGTCGTAAGGCAAAATAAACGCCCATCGTCTAGCAATGAAATACCTACACGTTGCTTGGAAAATGTATAACTCATTGTTAAAAGACATATATGATATTACATTGGAAAATTTGGCGCTATGTACAGAGAGTAGTTCATCGCCTACGCAAAAAAATATAACAACAACAAGAACTAGGGATCCAAGGACAGTGCAATGTTTCTTAGAAAAAATGTTTCTAATCATGGCAAATAAAATTTGTTTCAAGAAAGCTTAGTATCGAGCCTTGGCGATTCAAAAAATGCTAAGTTAAAATTCATTTCGAAAAGTGCTTATCAAAGGCTAAGTAGTTTGTTTTTTGACAAATAGCTACAACTTGCTCAAAGATTGCGTAAACTTTCGCGCTAATTTCAACGACTTAAATAATAAGGCACCGAGCAGTAAAATGCAACGATGTTCGATTCGTACAATTTGCATCAGTTGATGAACAAGTCCAGTTTTCAGCAAGTTTGCGTGAATGAAAATTCATTTCGTATTTGCACTTTCATAGCAATAAATTCTCTCTTAATAATCGCTGAAAAACTGATAATAAATCTCTAAAAAATTACTAAACATAAAATTAGCCCCCCGGAAGGTTTACACTATGACTGCCTGCCTGACTGACTGACTGACTGACTGACTGACTGACTGTGTGTGAATTTTCGCCACTCACCACAATACTAAAAAGTTCCCATGGAAACTTTGCACTAAAAACGAACCTGTGAAGTATGAAAATAGATGTAGACGAGATATTCATACAACGACACATTCCACAACGGGCAAAAATATTCAAACAAACCATCTCTAGTTCCTCAATCAAACTTTCTTTAAACACAGTCAATATCGCCAAAGCAAGTTGAACAACATTACAGTCTAAGTTCGAATGAAGAGAACAATGAATGTTTACTGTTGCTTCAACTTGAGCCCAATCTTCATCCGTACTTGAATCAACAGTTTGATTAAGGCTACCACTTGAAGTAATTTGTGAAGGTTGATAGGAGAAAATAGAGAAAGATCGTCGATCAGTCTTGCTTTTTCTCAAGGCAGCCATAGCCCGTTTGACAGACGTTATAAGACGTCCTGTTCCTTTTAAAACATACACAGCTTGCTTTTTGAGCAAGCTTTCAAGCTCAAAATCCATATTTCCATCTTTCGTAACTATATTCAATGATGCCCCAACGAATTTTATAAAATCACATCCTTTGTTGTTCAAAAACACTTGAACTTTGCTGTTCAGTTTCCTTTTCAAATCAGAATTTGAAACGTTTTCTCTAGGCAGACAACTTGTCATCAGGATCAAGACAAACCGTAGAATAGAGTACATCAAAAATATTCCAAAACCCAAAATCGAACCCCGATTTTCGTATTCTCTAAGTCCCCCTCCATACCATGGATTTGTTTGAAGATTTGCCAGGATTTTCAAAAGTTTTTCAACAAAGTCACTCAATTCAGTCCTACCAGCCAAGATGTCACAGAATTTCATTCCCCAGAGTAAACTCCAAAGCATACACAAAACGGCAAACATGGCCACAAGTTTAGCATTTCTACACCAAAAGCATTCAAAGATACCTTCATTTAAAGTCACTGTATCAGCAATGTCAAATGGTTCGGAGAATACTTGCAACAATGATGTTAGTTTCTCAATAATATTAACCGTGCATTCAGCCATTGATAGGGCACAACTTTTGTTGTTGAGTTTGCACAACACATCGAGTAATAGCATAAACAAAGACATAACACCAAGTCCTTTATCAGCACTGAATATTAAGGTTTCATAAAGATGTGGCAAAACACTTTGACCGGATGTCAGGTCTTTGAACAGCACAGCTAGCTTCTTTAGAATTTCCACTGCTATCAAAAAAACAGACATTGCTATCACATGAAAGTGAAAGTTATGAATGATTTAGTGGTAAATGAACATACTATCATTGTCGTCCATGTGACATGTTGCAGAAAAAACACAAGGTATTAGCGACACAAGGAGGTTTGATACTTCTGCATTACCATTATCAACCTAAAATACACCATCAAAACTAATTCTTGTTTCATACAAAATATGGCTCATCCCTAGATATGAAATTACTATACAACTAAAAACATAGACTTACATGATCAGCAAGAGAGTATATAGCTAAAAGCAAATGATAACCAGTGCCTTGGATGAGAAAATTCACAAAGGCAAAGTCATCCTCCAAAATCTCACATTGATGATTGATAACCTTGAGAAATTCATGACACAGGAGATTGCTTATGCTAGATAATTCATTTCTAGTAAAGACAAAAATGATTATTACTTAAATAGTTGATTTTGTAAAATTACAATAAACTGTAAAATACATAATTGCAGTTAAACCTCTCGTAAAGAGACACCTTTGGGACCACAACTTGGTGTCTACTTAAAAGAGGAGTCTGCTTATGAGAGGTTAAAGTGCAATGGTTACGGGAGATGTTAACTACCAAGAAGTGCCTATAAGTATTGGTTCCACTGCATAATACACATTAAATGATGGTAAATACAGTTGAATTAAGGCCAGTTCATATAGTGTGGCAATGGTGCATACAAGTTAGAAATTTAGCCCCAATATATGTATTTCATTTCTGGCAAGGTAGCACTTCTAGTGCATACTCCATAGCAGTCTTGAATCAAACAATTCCAATAACACTTCCTGTACCAGTATTTAATGTCAACATGGCTGGTCCACTTGAGAAATTTGTGACTATATTGGCACAACTGGACATCAAAATCTTGTTGAAATAAGCAACACTTGGCAGTCAGTCGCCCCCCCCCCCTCTCCCATAAACATCCACCAGAATAACTCCAGGACAGATTATGGAAGCCATTAATTAAAAATTTATAGCTATTTTGCATAGAGCATGCTGTAACCGACAAAAGTAAAGCTACTACCTATCAAAAGAAGTTAGTCTCTCATCAGTAGCTTGAAAGATTTGGACTGTATCTGAAAACTTTTTGAGCGCCGTTTCTTTTTTCTAGAAACGGAAAACCTCAAAATAATGGTAGAACACAATATTACAATTAACATAAAATGACTTTCGTATAGGGTCACGTAGTTAGAACTTAGAAAGATAACTTCTTTCGAGATTCAAGACTTTCCAACAACCTTTAGGTCTGTAATCGTCGAATACTCTTCCCAGAGGACTTTCAACTGTGTAAAAGATTTCTGTTTTTCGTTTAAGTTCATCTTGAAAAAATTCACGACGCATCTCAATCAACAAACACTTTTCATCATACACAAATGATCAATGCATCAAGCGCTCTTGTTAAACATTCCTCATTTACAGAAACGAACAAGAAACTTCAACCAGCAAATGTTTTATACAATCCACGACTGTTTACTCCGACTTCTGTAGACTGTAAGTAAAAAATTTTTTCACATAATTAAGGGTAAATTGAAGTCTTTGAATGGGCTTCTTTGTTTGGTAGTCTTTCACTCTTTAGTTTCCAGATTCAAAGAACTTTAGATTTCAAACAATTTATGACTAATTATCATACCCACCCACTGATCTCTTAATTATACTTCGGCTTGTTATTACCCCTAAAACAACATATTTCGGCTCATTATACATTAAAAACAACAGAATATTCAAAATTTGCAGCCAAATATTTTTTTATAAATTCATTTATTCAATAGCAGTTCATAAATACTTTATAATAAATAAATATTGACCCTATATGATACAACACAATTAAAATGAGAAATCCAATCAGGAAATTCTATTGAGATTTTTTCCTATTGAAAATCATTATTTAAACATACTTGTAATGTCTTATATTATAGGTTGGAAGGTTGGAAGGTGCGAAGTTGTTGGTTTCGGTTATAATTCACGATAAATTAAATTGCGTTGCATTTTGTATACAAAATCATCGATGTACTCTAATGTAAACGATCATCAATAACTATACAGTGAGAGTTGACGACGGTACGATTTCTTTAAACACATTTTCCAAAATCGTATTGGACTCATCCAAACCAACAGGTTTATTGCTCAAACTCCACACGCGACGGTGATTTTCAATTATACCTAAAAGTCTGGTGGAGAGTGGAATTAATGTAAGTATGGATTTCACGAATAAACAATCTCGAAAATACGGGATTAGAAAATACTTTATGATAGTTAATCACAGTGTGCATCATTTCGCTGTGTCTACACCAAGGACGACGCACTCTCGTATGACGTCATAAAATGCCATAATCGATAGTTAATTGACAAGTTACATGATATAGACCGGTCAAAGATTCATTCATCAAAAATAGAACTGGAGTGTTGGTATTTTTGAGAGAGAAGACTTCCTTCTTTGTGAAATGTTGTTAAAATTAACGTCTTTATAAATTTTAATGTAGCGTCGTCATCATAATTGTCATGAAGCGTCATGCGAGAATTCAATTTTTCCAAACTAGCGTCCTTGTCAACAATTATTATATAGACTACCGTTTCATGACTGTTGCAAAAGGTCATAGTTACCTATTAGCGAGATCCGTTCGATTGATGCTTGGTAAACGGGAGATTACAGTAAAACCAGAAAGAGAACTGTTGTCTGATTTAGCAACCATCAAAGCACGACCCATCCTAAAACAAACAATGAAAACATTCTAAACAAAAACAGTGTTTTCAAGGAACAAGACGAAATTCTAATGCGTTTGTTGCAAACCTGCAAGCGTAGATGGCCATGTCTAGGTTTAAATGAAGCACTTTTGTAATCGTCGAAGATCGCGGGCATTTCATCTGAGCTAAAGATAAGGAGGCTTGACTCTTGCGTAAACAACGAGTAACGGTCTGTAATGTTTTTTTAAATAACTTTCTTAATGAATGAAATATTTCATTATGTTCTCAATGATATCACCATAAAAAAACAAACAAAGTCTGTAATCATTACTCATGAAACGTTTCAGTAAATAAGCACAATGTCCCCATGTCCATGTCAATGTCCCCATGTCCATGTCCCATGTCCATGTCAATGTCCCCATGTCAATGTCCCCATGTCAATGTCCCAATGTCAATGTCCCCATGTCCATGTCCCCATGTCAATGTCCCCATGTCTATCTCCCCATGTCAATGTCCCCATGTCTATGTCCCCATGTCATTGTCTCCATGTCCATGTCCCCATGTCTATGTCCCCATGTCCATGTCTCCATGTCCCCATGTCTATGTCCCCATGTCTCCATGTCAATGTCTCCATGTCTCCATGTTAATGTCTCCATGTCTCCATGTTAATGTCTCCATGTCTACATGTTAATGTCTCCATGTCTCCATGTTAATGTCTCCATGTCAATGTCTCCATGTCTCCATGTCAATGTCTCCATGTCTCCATGTTAATGTCTCCATGTCAATGTCTCCATGTCTCCATGTTAATGTCTCCATGTCAATGTCTCCATGTCTCCATGTTAATGTCTCCATGTCAATGTCTCCATGTCTCCATGTTAATGTCTCCATGTCAATGTCTCCATGTCTCCATGTCAATATCTCCATGTCTCCATGTCCATGTACATGTCCATGTCTTCCTGTCAATGACTCCATGACGATGTCATTCACATATTTCAACTCGTCTGGTAAGAACCTAAAAAGAACATGTTTGTCTAAATACCTGTAAACGATCAATGTCCATCATACTAATATCGACATTGTTAGGAAAGAGAAACAGCTTGAGAAGCTGACTGGCGTCCTCGGCTTTATGGCGTGGAGGAATATGACTTTCGGAGTGAATTTTCACTGAACTGGGCTCAAGTAACTGGTGCACTTGGCATAAACTTTTTAAAATGTCACCCATGACTCCAGCATCATCTTGAAAAACGTGCAAATCCAAAACTTTGCTAATCGACGATGTTACACTCTCCTTCATGAGAAAACAATTTAAACAAATCAGGTTACACAAAATATTCAACAATGACTTCGCAAACACTGTGACACAAAAACACATTACAACGCTCGACAAACACTCAAGTTAAAAATAACTGAATATTCAACTTAACAGAACCGAAAATTATTGTCAAAACACTTTAATGTTCAAGTTACGAGAATAAAAACATTGTAGTTGAGAGAACAAAATATTCTTGCAAAGAAAAACAAAGAAACTAAAACATAGTTACAACCATAAAAAATAGGTTCAGATAGTGGCATTAGGCCGAATCCTTTTGTAAAGGCATTCTCATTCCAAGACTACCCAGGACTGAATGTTCTAATTTACCAACGTTTCTATTGATCAAAAATGTCAATGTCTGTCACAGTATAACTGAATTGTTTTAGCGTCATAAGTAAAATGATTCAAACTCTCAACTTAGAATATTACATAAGTACACAAAAAACATGTTAAAAAAGATTGAGCTACAATTCCATGTAATGTTCAATATCATTATAACAGCTTGAGTCAACTTACATAAAGCGTAAACACCAGGAAAATAAGTGAACAAACCTGCTTCATTTTAGAGTTCCAAGCCAATGTACCGCCAGTAGCTAGAGCGGGAAAGCTGACTTCAAGTGGGGTCACGTGCCCATATCCTGACCAATCAGTAACGAGAACACCCAAAGCGTTGTAATGTACAGCAGTTTGAACAGCATCATCTATCAAGTCGAAGCTATCGGCTCCAACCAAACTATTCAAAAAGGAAAGACGACTCAGTATAAAAATGCTCAAAAATACCTCTAAGAAATATCTTTAATGCATGCTCACCTTGCCCAGCTCATTGTACCGGGGCAAATATAGTATGGAATGCTGAAACGATAAAAACGCAAATTTCGAACGTTATTTTGCTCGTAGAGGAATTCGTGTGTCAAATCCTTACTTACCCTGAATCAGAACATAATTTACTAAACACTCCAAAATCATATGACGACTGAAAAAAAGCAGATTAGAATAACATAATTTCAAATAAAAAAAAAGGATTACATCATGTATCGTGAGGTTTTTATATATGAATCAAAGATACCGTGGTTTGTTTAGATATGAATAATGTAAAACTAATTTTAACTAATTACTCACATTTCCACCATACTCCATAGCAATAACGCCATAAGGCAAGATATTTCCATTCTTGATGTACTCGTGAAAAGAATTCGACCACATCAGACAAACCTTTCTCTGTTTCGTATAATGATCATAAATCTCTTGAACGCGATTCATTAAAGAATTGTGATCTGCGTCCTGGAATGAAAAACAGGAAATTGCCATGATTGTTTTTATCAATCAATAAGAGTACAGAATGTTAGACAAAAAATTGTATTCATGATTGAAATTCCTACTTTGTCATTTATAACTGCATCATTTACTTCTCCAAACCCAATATGAACAAACCTGTGGAGATGAACATAAATCATAAATTATCTTTAAATACTTTGCAAAACAATCAATCATGTTCAAATTACCTTGACTGTGGAAATGAAGAAGATATGAAAGAATTAAATTTCTTCAATCCAATGTTTTTTTCCTCACACAAATAAAGATCCGTACAAGGCACTAATTCCAGGTATCTCTTGCGACAATATCGCTCCAATTGAAATAATTCGCTATATAAGCAGAAAGGTTCACAAAAAATAGATTTGAAAATTTTGAAGCAGTGTTATATGAACCGCGATCGTCGACTATAACTCTGTTGTCCCTCAAGTAAATCTATCTTCTAACCAGATACCTTTCAATTTACCTCGACAAAATAATTGTGTAAAATGAAGATGAAAAATGAAACGATAGTTAAATCAAGTGCTTTCACAGTCACGAAACAAATCCGGATATTTTAAATACTAACTCTAAACCGAAGGAAATATATTACTTTAAATAAAAAAAAAACTCTGAAGATGTTCAATTAAAAAATTTTATAACTTATTCACAAAGGAAAAACAGGAGGCTTAGTTTTTTTATGATATTATTACATCTTCATGTGAAATACGTAACGACATATTTATGCTAAGTTTCTTCTCTGGTTGTAGATGAGTAGCAATTTTAGTCATTCTACAGGTCATTTAAAACACTTTAATGTGGATGAGTAGCAATTTTAGTCATTCTACAGGTCATTTAAAACACTTTAATGTGGATGAGTAGCAATTTTAGTCATTCTACAGGTCATTTAAAACACTTTAATGTGGATGAGTAGCAATTTTAGTCATTCTACAGGTCATTTAAAACACTTTAATGTAATACAAATCATGCAACGGCCAAGACGAAATATTACCCCTGAGAATAAGGAAAGTTATACTTTCCAGACTTTTCCTTTAAGTGCAGGTCATGTTCGACACAAAGCATTATCTGTGAATGAACAAATTTAGCTACAGAAAAAAATCGCTTGAGAGAAAAACAAATCATTTCATATGCAATAAAATTTGGCAATATATTTAGTATTTAACCTGATTATACTTCATGTTGGCCAAAATATCAACGAGAAAGAAAAGGGATTCCTTCATGAAAAAATTATAGAATCAAACAAAATTCTTTCATAAACATATCAAAAAGAACCAAAATCCAGTAGTTAAACACACCAAAGTAAGAGCCCTTCCATGACTACAATCAACCAAATAAGCTCTGTATTTCAAGTCTGGCCAATCATATACCTAAAGAATAAAAGCATCAGTATTCGTGACTGTCGAATTGAAAAGATGTCAGGACTTTGTAGTTCCTGTGATGTAATATCTAATACCTGCATACGTGGTATACCAACACCTTTAAACATTCTAAACAGTTGTAATAACGTATTGATGCTGTACCAAAGACCGGCATGATCGCTACCACACAAGTTAATCTATAAGAGAGGATACAGTTGCCCGTGCTTGTCAGGTGGTCAGCGGTTGTTCAAACAAAATGTTTACCTTATGAGAAGAAATATTGATAGAATAGCTTTCAGGTTTCATAAATAATAATGGAGATATAGAACATGTTATGCATCCTGGTACCAACTCCGTGTACGCGTTGTCCGCAACGCACAATGTCCGAACTGAAACACCAAGCCTTTGGAATATCTCGTCAACTGCTCGCCACATGTCGTGAATAATGTGAGGATCTGCAATAGATAATGCTATAAGTTCAATCTCTCGATAACATTACCTTTTCTTTCCTGCAATACCTCAAGTCTTCCGCGAATTCTGTCAATAACCTGACACTAAAGATGACCTTACCCTCCACCCACTCGGTCAATATCCTGACACTAAAGATGACCTTACCCTCCACCCACTCGGTCAATATCCTGACACTAAAGATGATCTTACTTTCCCCTCTCTCAGTCAATATCCTGACACTAAAGATGATCTTACCTTCCCCTCTCTCAGTCAATATCCTGACACTAAAGATGATCTTACCTTCCCCTCTCTCAGTCAATATCCTGTCACTAAAGATGATCTTACCTTCCCCCCTCTCAGTCAATATCCTGACACTAAGGTAAGCTTCAGAATGAAAACGGCTTCCTTTGATCAATGTTAACTTTTGTGGATAAGGCCATAAAAGACTCAGGTCTATTTCGTGTGAATTATCAGTCTCTTCTATTCTGATGTCCGATTTACCTTCAGCAACGCCATTTGTACTGCTTACAATCGAATCATCTGTGAGAAGTAAAAAAGCATTCTGTAACTTCTTGTTTCCAATGCCAACAAAATAAAATGAATACTTTATGAAGAGAAATCATTTCAAACAACCAAAGCTATAAGTGTACATCCAAAATCGTGGACTACTATATTTTTCGAAATAACCTTTAATACCACTGTGAATAAAAGTCCTGGGCCTAGCAATAGTATATGAACCATTTCGCTAGGACAAAAAAAGAACTTAATACATAGTGCAAGAAATTTTGTGTTTGGAAAATAAGAATTAATTTATATTTGAATAATGATAGCAGTTTTTTTGGGTGAAAACAAATGACCGACGTTAAATTAAAGAATATTATATAACAACCTGATCCGTTTAATAAACCGTTTGTCACTGCATCTTCTTTCTTTTCATTCGTATCGTTGATCGACTCAGGCGGATTAAGCAACAATTGCTTGAGTTCAGAATCTTCGGGCGCAAAATCAACTGGCGTTTTACCTTTGTTAGAGCTAGAAAGGATTCCAATCAATGACGAAATTGTTAGAATACAAAAGAAGGATATAGATAGACAACAAGGTCGCAACAAATGAATAATAAGGGTAAGCAATATAAAGATCTAACAACATAAAGTCCACAGTACTGAGGAGCACAATTAACATTGCAGTACAAGGATGATGTAGGAATACGGAAGTACATGAAACAACATATCAGTACAAGGATGATGTAGGAATACGGAAGTACATGAAACAACATATCAGTACAAGGATGATGTAGGAATACGGAAGTACATGAAACAACATATCAGTACAAGGATAATGTAGGAGTTTACAAAGAAATGTGGCAGAACTAGCTGCAAGCGTTGGTCTTGTCATGATAATCTTCAAAAGTTACACAAATGTTCTATCATTAGTATGGACTTGCTTATTGTAGTGGCTTACACTCAATCATGAAAGAGACACAGTAAGTTTGTAGCTACACGATAAAACTTACCCATGCAAAATACAAATATCACTTTTTGCACCGTAACTTAACAAAAGTTCAACAATATCTTTATCTCTACGTTTGACAGCATCAAAGAGAGCTGTTGAACCTTCACTGTTCACAGCATTAACGTCAGCATTGTGTTCTAAAGCAAATAGTGAGGTTGTTCATGATCAATTTGTTTCTTCCTGTAGAGACCAGGAGCGAATCCACGGTAAGTCAGAATACATTATTACAAATGAATTTTTAATTCAAAATACTTTTCAGAAAATCCTAAGGGTAATTTAAATTACGTATGAGGAAAGTAGGAAGTTTGGATGACAGAACAGAATGGAAACAGTTCTTTCAACGCCAAGACAGTTCACAATTGACACAACTTCTTTCTTTCTCCGTCGAGAACTGTAATTTTATCTTTAACGGTCAAGTTTATCAACAGATTGATGGTGTGGCTATGGGTATCTGCTTTGGCCCTCTATTTGCAAACATTTTTATGTCCTTTAACGAGAACTCATGGCTTCACAACTGTCCCACCACTTTCAACCACCAACATCCTAACATTTCCTTTACATCTGAACTTAAAAAAGACGGCACAATACCTTTTCTTCAAGTAAAAATAACTCGCTCAAACGGCAAGTTTTCCACCTCTGTTTATTGTAAACATCGTAAACATACTTTCACTGGTCTCTTCACCAATTTCCATAATTTCAATCTCATTCAATACAAAAGTTCTTTAATCTCCTGTTTACTTCACAGAAGTTTCGACCTCTGTTCCAGCTATGAACATTTTCATACTGAACTAGAAGTTGTTAGAAAACTGTTCACATATTTGACAATCATGTTCACCGCTTCCTCAACAATATATTTGAACCCAAAGATCCTATTCACATTGCTCTTAAGAAGTCATGTACTTCTGTTTCCCTTTGACCGGTTTACACTCTCTTCAGATTTGCACTCAAATAACTCGACTCTGCAATGCTGCCTTTCCTCATGTCATATTAACGTTCGCTTTGTCTTTCGCTCCTCCAAACGTCTCTCCTCTTTCTTTCCTTTTAAGGATAGGGTTCCCAAGTTTCTGAGATCTGGTGTTGTACACTCATTTAAGGTGTCGATGCTGTTCCGCGTCGTATGTGGGTCAAACCACACGTCGTTTGCACACCAGAATATTGGAGCACTTGGGAATTTCTCCCTTAACAGGGTAACCTAGCTTCCTATTGTCCACCACCATAAGCAATTCTTTCTCATACAAGAAACACATTTCACCGACTCTGCCCATTTCAATGACGTCTCAATATTCTCTTCGTCCTCTTACAATTATAACATTATGATTCATGAAAGTCCTCTCTCAACATCCAAGGCAACTAAATCCCTTTTCACCTTCTCCAATGTTGCCCCTTCATTAACGTTGCCCTTTACATTCTGTCCTGTTATCCAAGCTTACCTTATATGTAATTCAACAACCTGTAAAAATCTGCTTAAATTTAAAATCTCGTGTTGATATCTTTTATTTTATCTGAAGGTTCTTAAGTGAAAGATGAAATGTCATTAATGAAAAAACCTTTTATTTTTATTTCTAATTTATTGTCGTAATGGCTTTATTAAAAGTTGGGCTATTATGTTCATAACTTAAAGATTCAATAGAACTTACTAATCAACAAGATTCTTGTTTCAGTATTTTGAATTTAAATGAGCTGCAATAATGTATTCTGACCTTCACTAGATCTGACACTGGCTAGGGCACACCTAACATAAGTCATATGCAGTGTGCGAATTAACGGTGTGCAATGTGCAATTTGCACATCGTTTTAGCTAAAATGAAAACAATTGCACATCACTTTTTCAAACGATGTGCAAAAATAAGCGGTTTTAACAAAAAACACTGTCGTAAATCATATGAATTTGTTCACGTTTAAAAATATTAATTTTAGCAATTAGCGCTATATAATAATTAACGTAATATCGATTTGATTATGCCTCTAAAGAAACACTTTTGTCAAAAAAATTGCACATCGTTTTTTCTGAACTAATTCGCACACTGCATATATATTGATGCTTCAAAAAGCTTTTATTTGATGCAAACTTATGGACAAGCAAAGTTATAGATATTTTTGAGCTGTTTTCGATTAATGTATGAATGGCTATTGACCCTCTCAAAATTTGATATGATTCCAGTTTTCAGAAATATAATTTAACAATAAAACAAAACTTACGACATAAAAGTTTAACAGCATCATAACCACCAAATGTTGCCGCCCAATGTATAGCACGGTTATTCGATTCTGTTCCATCATTGGCATTAGAGCTCACGCCAGCAAACAGAAGCCTTTCCAATTTGGTGATCCTAAAAAAGAATAGTTCCATAAAACTTGTCTCGTAGCAAAAGATTTAAATGTATGAAATAGGCAACGTGTTGAGCAAAGTTACAGTAGTACACAGTTCATTGTGAAACTTATTTTAATCTGGAGTAGTAGCTGTTAATTGATCATCATGATTGCCACTTTCATTAGTGTCTCTGTGATTATGGTCAATATAAAATTTACAGAGTTGCACAAACTGCACATACGCATTATAGCCAAGCCAAGGAATGTTGTATACATCCCACATATACATATCCAGCATCCATTCTAGGAAAGCCTATCGTCTTGAGTGTTGTACACCCCCACACACACACACACACATAAACTGCTAAATCCAGTCTATCTCAAAATTCATAAATGGATTGTAAAAGCTTACTGGTTATGAGCAGCAGCTTCTAATAACTGTTCATTATAAATCCTGAGTATTCTCTCATCTGAACAATATTCAAATGGAGATGCACCTTCCTTGTTCAGTCGTGTTGGATCTGCTCCAGCAGAAAGTAATGCCCTTGTGATATCTGCATTGCTAAGCTAGTATAACATGATAATTATAATGTCAAAAAAGTATATAATGGTAGATATAAAGGAGACATTGATATATTTGATTCATTATTCAAAGCAATTCAGATCTGAATGTTGTAGCCATGCATGAAGATAGCAAGATGTGGGTGCAGATGATACCATCAAAATCTTTAACATAAAATTCCTTCAGTGAAATATTCAATTAGTTGCCAAATGACAAGCAATGTGAAGTACCATACTTCTGTTCAAACATTCAAATGTAGTTTGAACTCACTGTCAGAGTACGGCCCTGTTTGTTACTGACTCAACATTGATGTGGAACAACTAACTTAAATAAAATCTTGAAAAAAATGATACATAGATAGAATGGTGAATGGAAGAGTTCTCAAAAGAGAGCTGTTTAAAAAGATTTCTCCTGCCGAAATACATGATAATTTTAGACTTTTACATGTATAAACAGCTCTTTTAATAACTTTACCATTCAAAATGTTACATAAAACATGTATTTTAAAATTATATTTGGAAGTTTATTCTTTAGAATTTAAAATACCTTAGTGGCCAAGTGTAAAGCAGTTCCTGCATCATCATCAACATAATTAAGCATAACGCGTAAGATGTCATAAGGATTGTCCTCATAATCTTCATCCCATTTTCTGATACGAAAATCTTCTCCTGCACCATCATCTTCAACTTCATCTTCGAAAAACCCATTTTCAAATCTACCTGGAAAATTCCAACTTGATAGTAAAACCCTCATATATTACAACAAATTCTCATAAATCAAAATATGTTGCTGATTTAGAAATAAGCTGATGTCAAATTCAAAAGACGCTCGTGTACATTTTGATATTGCACACTAAGTTGTAAAGCGACTTCCTCTGCTAGAATTTACAAACTTGGTCACTTTGATAAGGATATCTTTGAAGATAACTGCAGTCAGAATGTAAATCTATATTTAATTTAATGTTTTTTTTCACAGCAACACTAACTACAGCACACAGAAAAGCTTACAAACATTTAAGCACTTGACAGTTGTACAATACAGTGGTTTCGCGTCATGCTAGATTTATGAACTATGACCAATTATCAGGTATTTCACACAAATATTTTTTTGCACTTACTGTAGTCGAAACCATTGTCTCAAATGCCTACTTACATTGTGGGAAAATCGATAATAGTAATTTATAATAAACTTCAGTTGAGTGCACATGTGAAATTCAATGGATTACATACATACGCATTGTCAAATTGCCAATTTACCTTTAAAAAATCAAAAATTACATGAATTATATTGCAAAACTTACTTTCTGCTGCAGTCGAAAGAATACCGCGAACAATATCAGTCCTTCCCAGCAGGATGGCAGACTTTAGATTGGAGTAACTCTCCGCAATAAGGCTTTCTTCACTCATCATCCTTCTCCACTAACTTTATTATTTAATAAATAGACTACAATCATCGGGAAGTAGATCATATAAGCATTCCTGATCTTAGGTGATTATTGCCACGTAGAAAAATAAAGATCACACCCACGATGTAGACATTCTAGATTCTACTGAATATATCCGAAAGACCGAAGTCTTGAATTCAATGCATGAATGCTTTTTGCTGTGAAATACAAACATCGTTTCCAGGCCCTCGTTCGGAGAGGCCGAAGGAGTAACAGGTTAAGAGTCACTTTAACATTTCCAATAAAAAAATTATTTTTATTTGTTATCTTTTTTTACTTTAGCCAAGTGCACATATGCCATATTTTAATAGGAAATTTCTAAATTTTTTCATGAACAAAATTAAACATGACAACTAGTTTAACCATGATATTACTGTTAGAAAATAGCCAGTAACTTATAGTATAATTTAAAATGAAAAATATACTCTAGTGTTGTGTGTTTGTCATTTGTGGAAGACAATTTACCTCTTCATCAAAGCTGCTCATCATCATAAAAATAAGCACCCATATTTCAAACTTAAAGAAAAGCTCAGCAAGGGTAACATCCTCCCACATCCATGTATGTAAATGTACAAGTGGTAACATCCTCATATGTACATATATGTACAAGTACATCAAGGGGTAACATCCTCTCATGTACAAATATCAATTCAATCACATTTGTTTTCCGACCATATTCTCATCTTCCTCACATAATTTACATATCCAGCTACCTGAAAGTTCAAAATACAAATATTTTAAAATATAGGGAAAAATACTCAAAACCTTGGCAGACTTGATGCATACCTTCCGGTGGAGTTGACATTGGAGGATTTAAACAATACATGTGGTAGCCTCTGTCACAATCATCACAGAACAATAACTGATCCTTAAAAAGTGATTGAAATTACTTTTAGGCACCATTTAAATACTGGAAGATGCCTATCCTTCTCCAGGCTTTCAGACAATAATAGTTATAGTATACAGGTAATGCAAATGATACATACATCATTATCTGAGGTGCCACAAAAGGTGCATGATTTACATTCAATGCATTGCCAACGATATTGTTTTACTTTAGCTGTGAGCTTTGCAGTAAATTGTAAGCAGGTTGGGTGACCTAAAAAGTATGAAAAATCACGCACAGCTTTCGCCAGATAGACACACAACATTTCATAAAGTTCATCGTTGACTTACCACATCTACCACAGTCTGCACAAGACAATAATTCCTCAGACAATAATGTCTTTCTGTTTTTTGTGGCATCACCAAGGCAAAAATCACAGTAATCATTAGGATTTGCTATACCACTTTTTGTCTCTTTTGTAACTGCTAATGTCGTAGTAATTACTGATGGTTGAGAGCTAACCTCAACACTTGGTGATCCTGGTAATCCAGTTACAAGAGGGTTTACCTCCATTGTTTCACTAGAAGATCCATCTTGATCGTGGTTGTAATGTGTGTAATGATATTTTAGACCCGGACCATTCTTGTAACGTTTACCACAAACTAACATGAAGATCAACAGCAAATGTGGAGGACATAATTAAAATCAGATCAGCTGTAAAGCATTCAAGTGAGAACTTACTCTCACAAACATATGGTTTTTGCCTTTCTTCATATGACATTTTTGCTAAATCTTCTTTTGTGTAGTTTTTTATCTTGAATTCTTTGTCGTCTTTGATCAACTGATGAAAGAAAGACAAACATGTTTAGAGCATCAATTGTCAAAAGGTGATGTTCACATTTTGAATTATCAAAAATCTTTGCCACTTGTCAAAAAGTGAATTAACCTAAAATCATCAGTGTATTTACTACACAGTAATTTGAATGCTTACACTTTTCTTCATTAATCGTCCACTTTTTCCTGTCCTCTTAAAGCTTGACTCTTCATCATCATCTGACTCTTCTTCACTCTCCTCCTCGCTCTCATCAACGGCTTCCATTTCATATGCTTCCCCGTTCTCCTCAACATTACCATGTCCAATATCCTGGTTATTCCCAGTCCTAAGTTGACCAACAGGGACACCACCATCAAACGTTGCTGTTTATTAAAAAATACACGATGGATAAAAACTTCATCATGGAAATGGATCCATGCTGAATGATTGTAACATGTTGCAATGTATATAGCAGTAATTATCTACATTTTTAAATGGGAAGATCATTCAACATAGCTCTTGCCTAATGTTTCTTATTTTATTTCCCACTCAATCAAAAATTTTCAGTACAAACCTTGGGAACGACAGTCTTCGACAGCAACTGATTCGCCTACATCTTCATTCGGCTCAGTACAAGGTTTACGCTTCCATCGTCGACCAGGGTAAGTGAAGAGCTGATATGGATATGCAGCAGCTTTCCTAGATAGTCTACTACGCCATAAATAGCAACTTACTTGAGCTACACCAGTTTGAGAGTCGAGAAATGGACTTCTTTGTTTTCTTTCGAAACTAAGACGTGAGTTGTAGGCCGTGGTTTGTTCCAAAGCGTCCTTGTAACGAACACTTAAATGAACCAAAACATTAAACATAATGTATGTACACAAAGCACAATAAAAGACTGGTCATATGGTAAGCCGTTTACGACTTTATCACCTACCTACTTATTCCCAATTTGGCCGCCATGTTTGTCCGTGTGAAAGAAGACAAGAAAGAAGAGAACATCTTTTCACGCCCCCCCCCTTACTACCACTGACAAAAGAAATCAGTCACAATGATCGCAATTGAACTCACTTCAAACTTCTTCATTTAAATTATACTAATAGGATCATTATCGTTACACGAATTTAAAATTGTTACTTTCGAATCAAGTAATTGACAAAGATACTTGGAAAACTTTTCTTTAAGAAATCCACGTTCTGTGTTGCTGTGCTCACCCAAGACCACATGTGTTCCATTTGAAACTGCATCCAACAAATCATGATGAGACATCTCACCAGTTAAAAACATATCCGCTTTAACGCCTTTCAGCACGCTGCCGCCTGATCCAGCACAAATAGCAACAGTTTTTATGTACTGATTAGCAGACACTGATCTTGCAAAACGAATACTGTCCAATTTCAAAAAGTTCTTAATTCTCTGAAGAATCTCATCTACAAATACTGTATCTTCTAAACTGCACAAGCGGCCAATGCCAGCACCTTTCATGTACCACTACAATAAAAAGGTACGATAGAGTATGTAAGCAAATAAACATATACAAAATTTCTTATAAGGTATAAAGAAAATTACATTATTAATTGCTGTAGAGTCATCAATTGTTAGGCACTTCAGTGGCTTTACACTTCCTTTTCCCAAGCCACTGGCCAACCAGTCATTTACACCATCTCTCATCACGTCAAAAACTGTATGTGGAGAATATATTGCAATTTTATTTTCAATTGCCTTCACAACGATGCGTTCTTTCCATGATGCTCTAGTTAACCTTTTCAAAGGGTTAAATATTGGTGGGTGATAAGACAAAATCATATCAATTTTCTTATCAAGGGCATCATCTATTATTACTTCTGTCACATCATTGGTTAAAAGGATTCTGCTGACCATGTGACTGCTATTTGATGGCTCCACAAGAAGTCCAACATTGTCCCATTTCTCGGCCAATGACAAAGGGGCATGCTTTTCAAGTCTTTCAACAATTTCTGCTAGTTCCATTCCTCTTTTTGTAGTGCTATATTTCCTACCATTTTTGAGAAATATTGTTGTTACATAGGAGGCTTTCCAATTTCTTTGTAGATTCATTAAATCTAAAAGTGAACATCTTTATTATAAAAGCACTAAAGGGGCTCGTGATTTACAAAATTAACACGAATGTTCAATATATAACTTTCAATAATTCTTTTAACTGGCCTTTACACATAAAATACCTTTAAGGCTTGATTTGTAGAACATGGAACATAAAACCGTCATGCACCATGAGTTCATTAACCTTTCCACCAAAAGTAGTATTTGCCAGTATATCTAAGAAAACAGCCTTAATTTCAATGATACATCACAAGCATATCTTCAAATTCATCTCAAAATTAATTTCTGTTTCCTGCGCACGGCCTGTGGCACAGGTTGAATGTTTGTGCTGACTCAGCATTTTCATTTGTTTATTTTGTATTACAAATAAGGAAGTTGTGCCACGTTTTGCCTTGGAACATTTAGTTGGACATTAGGTTGTTTTGACGAGTAACGAAAGGGAAAAATAGGATGGAAGTAAGAAAGACTTAGTTTGTAAATATTTTGACGTCGACTCTATCGTCATTTTGACAGAAAAAGTCGCATTTGCGTCTTCTTTGACATCAATTTTGCAATGACAAATTTGGCATTTGCCACGTCGTACCACAATCCTGCTTCTTGTAGTTCCAGATATTTGCATGCATTTATAAGTCTCTTAATTCTCTAGAATCATGTAACCTCCAATGATGATTATGGGAAATTGCTATTCGATAAAGATTTGTTAACGGCAATTGACTTTACCGAAAGTCAGAGACGACTGGACTTGCTAGTATCACCATCTAATCTTGGAGACAACTTTAACATGAGACCTCTTTCTGAAAATGATTACGAGAAAGGTTAGAATGTTTTATTGATATTTTCTCAAGTTGTCAAACTCACCTATTACTTGATTTATATAGGTTATATTGATCTTTTAGCTCAGCTAACCTCAGTGGGCAACATACACAAAGAAAAATACTTAAGTAAGATTTTGACACAGATTCTGTAGAAATCAGCATATTGTTTGTGGAATGCATTCTTTAATGAACAACTTTGGTTTAGAAAGGTTTCGTGAGATGAAAGAATGCCCCAACACATACTACATTGTTGTAATTGAGGATACTGCTATCAAAAAGATAGTTGCAGCTGCATCTCTTGTTTTGGAACAGAAATTCATTCATGAAATTGCCTTGGTAACATGCAATTCATAACTTATTTCAGACTTATGACAAGTGTTATAGTTAAAAATCATTACCTTTTTCATGAACAGAGAGGTCGCATTGAAGAAGTTGTAGTTCATAGTGCATATAGAGGAAAGCATTTTGGAAAACTGTAAGTTTATTGGAATTTTAGTACAAAGTACTTACCTATAAGTAGGTTTTGAAATTTCCTTAATTAGACAAATGATGAATTCTAATTAATCTGAATTTAGATTTATTATTTTTTTCATGTTTTCTACTTTGTTTATACTTTGAAGTAATTCTAAACCCTGAATATATATTTAAGTAGTGAAGCATGTGATGGACGTAAGTTACCTCAGGAATACTTGTGATCAACAATATTTTTTCCATAGGTTAGTTGAATGTGTAACACTATTAGCAAAAGATCTCGGATGCTACAAAATCAGCTTGGACTGTAAGGAACCACTACTGTCCTTTTATAAAAAATTTGGATATAAGGATGAGGGTGTTCATTATTTAGTCAACAGAGTATATAATTAGAGGGTTTATATTAACACTATAAAAATAAATGGATTAATGTAATTATATAACAAATTGTAAATTCTTAAAATAATGATAAATACATTCCATTGTTGGTAATGAATAATCAATTATTTTTCATTTTCATAATAAGCAATCAAAGTTTTTTTGTCAATATATATTATTTGCTTCTTTTGCTTGTCCAATTTTCCTTTATTTGTGCGTCAACAATCCTTTGAGCAGGGCCATGTTCTTCCATCAAATCCAGGAGTCGATGGAACTCCTGAAATTTCTCAGCATCACTTTCAGTACCTGTGAAAGCTCTTCTTTCTAGGAACAAACCAAGACGCTCTCGATGCTGAAGCCTTATTGGTCTCATCCAGTCAGGCTTTTCAATACCAGTCACCTCCCTCACTTTTCTTGCAATGAACTAAGATATCAGACATAGAAAGAAACTTGTTACAAAACTCATTTTACAATTAAAAGCAATTCAAAACACTAAAATCAGTTACAATCATCAAGTAATACTAATACGTAACAATACATTTTCACTAATATTAACATATGTAGTTATAACCAGAATAACTCAGACACTCACCTTAATGTGTTCAAAATCAGTGATGCCAATTCGAGGAAGAGAGGAAGCATGGACTGTTATAAGCTTTCGTCCATTTACACCATTGGATAAAAAACAATCCTGTTGCAAGGAGTAAACGTTGTATTCCATGTAGAATACTAAAACACAAGACAATAGACTATGTGCACTCCGTATAAAGTAAACATTATTTAATCTAAAAGTTTTGACACGGGTTAAATGTCATCATTAGATCAAATAATGTTTACTTTATACGGAGTGTCAATTGTCTTGTGTTTTCCTAAAATACTCTTTGACAGTCGTACTAACGTATAATACTATTATTGAATGTATCTCATATCAACGATGGCAGTTACTGGCACACACACACACCCTATATTGAGGAAATCCTAGATATTCAATCCAGTCTGCCACATCTTTAGGTGTCCATTCCAGACAGGCAGGAATTCCTTCACAGTCAAAAGAAGGTGAAAATCTCTTTTTAAAATCATTTTCGTTCTTTTCCTTGTCAGAGGCCATTATTCGTTGCCACAACAACGAACCACCTGGTTACCAGTCCTTTAAACATTTACAGCGTCATTCCCTCTCTTTTCACAGTTTTTTTTTATTCAAAATCCTTTGCTCGCTTATAAATTCCTAGAACTTAGAAACTACGATATTTACATAAACTGCTGTTAAAAAAATATTATACAGAAAGTAATACCACTAAATCACCGCAGAAGCAATTGTCAAAGAATGAGCTAAGTTTAAATAAAGATGCGACAACAGAAAAGATTTTATCATATTTCAAAATGTTCAATCGGAATCATCACCAAATATGCCTTCACCGCTATCATCACCCTGAAAAATAAAAATAAATAAAATGAGAAATTAAGACATCCTTTTTTTACACGGTGCTGGAATCAAAACAATGTAAAAACAGTGTTCCTTTCGCGGAGCAAACCGAGGAAATAAAGGATGAAAATAGTGCTTTTTCCATTTACAGAACAAATAAACTATTAAACAGCCCTTCTTCCCAGTACAGACAAACAAGTAGAAGCAATAAGCAATTGAAAACAGTGAAAGAAACAGCCGAGCAGAGAGAATAAAAAAACTTACAGAATCCTCTCCTTTACTAGATTCTTCTTTCTTTTCATTATTTTCTTGTTCCTCATCGTCGTCATTATCATCGTCATCGTCATCTTGTTCGACGTTATCGGCACCGTGTTCATCACCAGATTGTTCTTCTTCTTCTACTCCACCTTCATCATCATCTTCCTCGTTCTCCGCAGTGACATTTTCAAGTTGCATTAGACGCGAATTCTAGTTAATCAACAAGTTTCATTGAGGCAAACCACAAAGAAGCCCAACATATTCAAACAAAATATATACTTACTTGCGTTTGTTGTTCTTGCTCAGTCAATTCTCTATGTTTCACGAATAATTTAGACACAGTCGACTTTACGCCTCCAGCTCCACCCCTAGTTCTTCGTTTACTGAGACGAACCCTAGTAAGGTTTGTGGCAGAAAGATGAGTAAAAAAATGCACACTTTTTATGTCTAACAATAAGGCTGAGAGTGACAGGATTTCACATTGTTTACCTCTACCTCAAGTTGTAAGATTTTTACTCTTCTCTAGGAGAGTCTCATTGCTATATACAAAGTCTTACCTTGTCACTAGCTCATCATAAAACACGCCATCATCACGAAATACAAAAACGTAATTCTCCTAAAGGAAGACATGTGAAGATCAATAAAAATAACCAATTGATTTTACACCATTGAAGTGTGACGGATGAACCTCGTATCCTTTAGATGCTTTATTCTTAACGTTCCAGTTATATTCCCTCGCCATTTTATAATGATATCTATATAAAACGAAAGTATAAATGTTGACGCATCAATCGTGAAATAAATCACCAAAACATAATCAAATGTTCGACAGTAAGCACAAGCCTCATTATTTGAACTAATCAGATTATATGGAGTCGATCATTCCGTATTGAGACAGGAAAGATTTGTGAAGTTATCGCTCTGTATGTATGGTGAAGATGGACATCAATTTTGGAGACGGAGGATGGGGTATATTTTACTTCTTTAGTAAGAAAGAGAAAATGAAACTAACACATCTTCCTCCGTATACTCTCGTTCTTCATCCTGGTCACGTTTCCGCTTTCGTAAGGTCTCTTTTTCAGGTAAGAAATATGCAACGAACTGGTCACCTTGAACATCCACCATACCACTACAACACAAATACATTCATCAGAATAAGATGGCGCGTTTGAACTTCACGGAGGCCATGACGAACCGAATCATAGCCTGACACATGTCCTCGGCTTTTGCTGGCTCATGACCGCCCGTGGAGCAGGATCTGTATCAAAGATAACGTGGGCACATGGCTGAGACCACATCTAGCAAATATATATAAATATTTGTGTGTAGTAATAGCACGATGTATAACAAAGACGTCACATGAAGACATATTTTGATAGTAGATAAAAATCATTACGTTTACCTGAAAGTCTGGAAAAACGGGCAAGACATCGAGAGGTTTGATATTTCTTTTGCTTGGATGACGATAGATCTACAAAACAACAAGTGCTCTTCCCGTTTCATGAAAATTTTCAAAAATATGAGTGGTGAACAATAACTAAAAAAACCCATTCACTTTCTCGGTAAAGATGGAAAAAAGTTTGAGATAGCTACCGGTCTCTTTGCAGACTCAAATGTTCCAGAAATAGCTTCAACTTGACTTTCACGATCCTGAAATTTTATCAAAATTGTTAAAATAAACCAAGACACAAAATAGCAAGCCAGTTAAAATATAATTCGATATGTTGATTGAAATCAGTAAAAACAAAGATGAGACCTGTCTAAGAGTTAGACTAGATACTGTATACTGATGTTAGTTCACACAATGTAAGATGATTAATGTTGTCTCCAACACGATCCATTAAAAACTTGTATGATCTACCTTGTACAAATCTGTTCCCTGAAACTTCTTCTTCATGCTGTAGCCAACTCTGGAAGATAAAAAATAAAACTGAAGACAGCATTTCTTTTCAGATGAATTGACAATGAATTATGACACATACTTTGTTTCCATTTGGTCATTGCTCGTTTGAAAACGATTATATTCAGTAGAAATGTACTCTGTTTTTCGAAGCCATGATACTGTTTTGTTGTGTTGTCGAGACCTGATTTAAGACAAGATACCAGTAATAAGAAGGTGCAGGGATTACCACAGACTTTGGTTAGAGAGGGAACAGGGTGTGTAAGGATTACCACAAAGTTACAAACTTTGGTTAGAGAGAGTGAAGGGGTGTAAGGATTATTACATCATTTGGTTAGAGAGTGCAGGGGAGCAAGGATTACCACAAACATTGGTGAGAAAGGGTGTATGGGGTGTAAGGATTACTACAAGCTTTAGTTAGAGAGGGTGTAGGGGTGCAAGGATCGCCACAATCTTTGGTTAAAGAGGTTTCAGGGGGTGCAAGGACTACCACAAGGTTTTGTTAAAGAGGGGGTAGGGGTAGCAAAGATTATCACAAGCTTTTTCTAAAGAGGGTGTAGGTAAGGTAAGTCTAGAGAATGCAAAGGGTTCATATATTCCAACCTACCCCAACTTTGCATTAAAAATTATGCATATTTACCGCTTCTGATCGGTTAAGCCAATTGGATCTTCTTCTAACAATTTTTCATCAATTGGATGAAGAGTTGCTTATAACAACAGAGGAAAGATAAAAAAACACAATACTAGAAGTAATTTCAATATTAAATCAATTGCACCTTCGGGGTTTATGGTGTACGTATCAGGATCAATGAGATCAATATTCACACCAAGATCAACCTCTGTTAACAACTCATGCTTGTAATTTTTCTCCAAAGATGTTGGCTTATATTGCACAAACCTACAGAGCAAAAATCAAATAAATAACTTTTTACATTTACAGCGTTGAAGTAATCACGGAATAATTCAACTTTTATATGCCAAAGACATTTCTCTAATGTGAAATGTATATCATAGGTTGTAAACAAGGTGTATCTAAAAATCAACACTTCATAATAAGAAAATATCTGCAATGTTTTTCAATACAAAACATGTTTGGCCTTAGAACTTTATGAAGCTTGTAATTATGACTATTAGCCTTCCAGCTGTATGAACAAAAGCCATTGTAAATTCCCAGTAGCAAAAATTCAAAGTGGGTGCCATTTTTTTGATATACCCCGGGTTGTAACATGTTTAGCCTAAAATAAACATGGTAGATATTCAGCTTATTAATTGCTAAACATTTTATTACCTGTTGGCTTCAAATGGATATGCAATAAACTTGGCATCAAAGGGTATATCAGGCAAATGATTATTATACTTCACTCTGCATACAAAGTCTGGTCTGTTTTAATAAGATGAGATTATTGTTAATGAGTAAATCCTCATGTTCTAAACCATTCTGTATATACTATAAAAGAGACTGAGCAACTATAAATAATCTTAAAAAAATAAAAAATACCTGGATTGTGACCCAGACCTGCAATTACAAAAGTACCATAAAATTGGTCAGTCAATATTAGTATAAAACGCTTGAAATTCCATTTGATGCATTTGATCATCTTTACCTTCTTCCTTCATCGGGACGGCGTTTTTCCTGAGAATGTATTGTAGGAGGCATTTTTAAATGCTCTCAAATAACAATTAACCAAAACTAATTCGTCGCCATGTTCTTTTTTATACAAACAAAGAAGCTCTTTTCCATACACCAAATGGTTTTGTAGTTGTAGACGTACAGACCGCGCAAACAGAAGACTGGAACTAATAAACGTAACTTCTATTTATTCCTGATTTATTCACACATTACTCCCTCCCATTCTCTCCGCTCCAAAAAAAACAACGCAAAAAACGTAAGGTTTTTAGTGAAATATTTGGCATTAATATATTGTTTTTTGTTAACTAAGTAAACAACGAAGAGAAGGCTTCCTGAAGGGCTCTCTCGCACGCAATCTCTTCTCCATAACCGCCAGCACGTTCCAAAACTTTGGCAGCACGAATATTGGATAAATATCTAAGATGTTATGAGGAAATTTTTAAAATAACTATGCAACAGAAATTACAGCTAAAATTGATAGTTGTTCCACGTGAATTTAGAATTTAACGACTAATGAAACAAAGCCACAATTTTTACACTAAAATCTTGCCACACTTGAACTTCAGTTGTTATTACATTTGTTTCCATAGTAGCACAATAGGCATACTTTACCCTTTGTTCCTAAGAATGGAAGTTTTGGGAGGAATGGGTCCGTAGTTTTCAACGACCAACGGGGTATATGTATAACAAGGTGCTGTTTCTTTTATCACCAAGGGAACATGTTCTTCTTTGTTCTTAAAATGAAATATTTTTAACATTAAACAATAGATGATTTACAGCTGATTATGTTACAGAAGGTCTCTTACAAGTTTGAATACATGTGACTCTGCCGCTTTGAAAAACAGTGATGGTTTCTTTTCAATTTTGTGACTAGCTATTATTTCGTCGACCGACTTTGTGGAGCTTATCTGAATGGCGGTAAGATTAACATCAACATATCTTGCAGTTAGTTGAACTTGTTTTAGAAGTTAGAGAATGAAATGAAAATACCAGGTCATCAATCAAAGCTTCTTTTTCTTTCTTTTTCGACATTTTTTCATCTTTCATGGCATTTTCAAACTGCGATCGTCGTTGCTCGCTCTCTTTGTCCTCTGCTTCAATTTGAGATTTCAATAACTCTTCATCGCGACTCTGAAGCGATACAGAAGTTTTGCAATGGGAAAAAACGTCACGGAAAGTAAATAATACTACATACATGTTTTACTGAATTCTTCTTGATCAAGATTTCGTTTTCTTTCTTGTACTGTTCAATTTTTCGATTTGTTTCATCAACATCGATGTTGTTTGCTAGATTCCATACTATAATAATGGAAAATAAGTACTTTGTTTTTACCTTCTCCACAATCACTGAAAATATCTGGATGTTTTATGTTATCAAAGCAGTATCTTGCAGGTGATAATTTCTATAAATATGTCACTGATAAATCAAAGATATTTTATAATGCTAACGTTCATCCAAAAATCGAACGGGATCAACAACTGAAATCAAAGATTACCAATCGTTTCAACTTCCTCAAGATAATCATTGTAGACACGAAGAGGATCAGCTTCCTTTGAAAAGTCATCTTCCCTTTTGTTGAAACTAAAATGTTAAAACAGTCAAAAAACAACTGTCCTCTTGCATCGGTCTTCTGCCTAGAGAATACAAACAATTACATCTTTACTATTCTTTTTCTTATATCAACTTCCTTTTCCACGATCAGATCTTCAAACTGCTGTACTCGAAAGTCGCTTCTTCGTAATGGAGTACTGCATTCAGGGCATGCAGCTGAAGGCCGAGTAAAAAGTACATCAACACAGTTCAGACAACTGTCAAGGCAAAGAAAAACAACTCATTTTCACATGACTTCTACACAATAGCCAAAAACAATAACATGCAATATTTGAGCTACTTCAACACACGCTGAACTATTGGCAATTACGGAGTAGTACATACAGTTTATGGCCACAAACGTTGACCAAAAGCTTTAATTTAGGATTTCTATATTTACTAGTCTTGCATTTTGGACACTGCTGGTCTAAATCCATCACAGTTGAATCATCGCAGTAGTCGCTATGAACAATGAAGCGAACTCTTAGCTTATTTACTGTTCAGTGCTTATCATGTAAGGTCGTCCGCCATTTTGCTTTGACGCGATATACTTTAAGTAGGCAAAATGACGTTAGTTTCAATACTTATTGTTACAAGGGACATTTGCTCAAAGCCTGTACAGCTCTGTTACTAGTTTTCAGTTTTAATAGCAAAAACCTGCGTTTTAATTTGCACAATGAAAAGAATAAAATATTGGGAAAAAATGTTGAATTTTAGAAAAAATGCTTGGCATCCTTTTGGAGAAGAAACTATCATGTGGAGATCAATGTCTTGGCTTTGTGCAAACCGCAAAGTTAATCAATTCCCACCTGAGGTCCTACTCTCCTTGCAATCATGAACATTTTACATCATGGTGATCTTGAATAATGACATATATTTCTCAAATGATTTAATTACCAGTCTATTTATTTCCAATCTTCAACCGTTCAGCGCATAACAATGACTTTCATGTCACAGTTAGTGCAATATTTTGACAACAATAGACTGAAAATACTAACATTTTACTTTTCAGTTGCATCATAGTCAGTCTTTATACAAATTAAGCAATTTTGCGATAGGTAGTAAATACAACTAAACAACTGAAACAAGCAAGTATTGTATGTGTTTGAAAGATTTATGCACAATTGCCAAAAAAATTGTCCATAAAGTCTATATAAAATAAGTTCTTTTCAACGTACACACGTTAAAAAGTTGTTGTTGATGGTAATAGCCAATTTTTTCCAGAATCGATAAAAATGTCATTGTTTTGTATGTATGAACGGTGTCAAGATAAGTTATAACGTTAAGTTATCACAGCCGTGTAAAAGTCATGCAATCGACTTAAGCAGCTAGTATGCATGGTGAAACATGTTTCAAAGGTATGTAAACTGGTGAAATGTAGTTGAACTAGTCAAACGTTCCATGGTAAATCAACCATTCAAAGTAGTTCAATTCAATAGCATGTTAACTGATCAAAAGTCATGTCAAAGTAGTTCAATTCAATAGCATGTTAACTGATCAAAAGTCATGTCAAAGTAGTTCAATTCAATAGCATGTTAACTGATCAAAAGTCATGTCAAAGTAGTTCAATAGTAAGTAAACTGTGAACAGATCAAAAATAGTTCAATAGTAAATCAGCTTGTCAAACGTAGTTCATTAGCATGTTATCTGGTCAAATGGTCAAACGTAGTTCAAAAACTGTTCAAAAGTAACTCTGTTGGTCTGTTGTAACTGTGTAAAATCGTTGGTTTGTTGCAACTGTCAAAGATCGTTGATCTGTTGCAAATGTCAAAGAGCATTGGTCTGTTGTAACTGTGTAAGATCGTTGGTCTATCGCTGTGAAAGATCGCTGGTCTGTAACTTTGTAAGATTGTTGGTCTGTAACTGTGTAAGATCGTCTGTAACTGTGTAAGGTAGTAGGTCAGTTGTAACTGTGTAAGATAGTCTGTAACTGTGTAGGGTTGTTGGTCAGTTGTAACTGTGTAAGATTGTTGGTCAGTTGTAACTGTGTAAGATCAGTAACTGTGTAAGATTGTTGGTCAGTTGTAACTGTGTAAGATAGTTGGTCTGTTACTGTTTAAGATTGTTGGTCTGTAACTGTGTAAGGTAGTTGGTCTGTAGCTGTGTAAGATTGTTGGTCTGTAACTGAGTAAGATCGTCTGTAACTGTGTAAGTTAGTTGGTCAGTTGTAACTGTGTAAGATAGTCTGTAACTGTGTAGGATTGTTGATCAGTTGTAACTGTGTAAGGTAGCTGGTCTGTTACTGTTTAAGATAGTTGGTCTGTTACTGTTTAATATAGTTGGTCTGTAACTGTTTAAGATAGTTGGTCTGTAACTGTGTAAGATTGTTGGTCTGTAACTGTGTAAGATAGTTGGTCTGTAACTGTGTAAAGTAGTTGGTCTGTAACTATGTAAGTTTGTTGGTCTGTAACTGTATAAGATTGTTGGTCTGTAACTGTGTAGGGTTGTTGATCAGTTGTAACTGTGTAAGGTAGTTGGTCTGTTACTGTTTAAGATAGTTGGTCTGTTACTGTTTAAGATAGTCGGTCTGTAACTGTGTAAGATCGTCTGTAACTGTGTAAGATCGTCTGTAACTGTGTAAGGTAGTTGGTCAGTTGTAACTGTGTAAGGTATCTGGTCTGTAACTGTGTAAGATAGTCTGTAACTGTGTAGGGTTGTTGGTCAGTTGTAACTGTGTAAGGTAGTTGGTCTGTAACTGTGTAAGATAGTCTGTAACTGTGTAGGATTGTTGGTCAGTTGTAACTGTGTAAGGTAGTTGGTCTGTAACTGTACAAGATAGTCTGTAACTGTGTAGGATAGTTGGTCTGTAACTGTGTAAGATAGTCTGTAACTGTGTAGGATTGTTGGTCAGTAACTGTGTAAGGTAGTTGGTCTGTAACTGTATAAGATAGTCTGTAACTGTGTAGGATAGTTGGTCTGTAACTGTGTAAGATAGTCTGTAACTGTGTAGGATTGTTGGTCAGTTGTAACTGTGTAAGGTAGTTGGTCTGTAACTGTATAAGATAGTCTGTAACTGTTTAAGATAGTTGGTCTGTAACTGTGTAAGATAGTCTGTAACTGTGTAGGATTGTTGGTCAGTTGTAAATGTGTAAGGTAATTGGTCTGTCACTGTTTAAGATAGTTGGTCTGTAACTGTTTAAGATAGTTGGTCTGTAACTGTTTAAGATAGTTGGTCTGTAACTGTGTAAGATTGTTGGTCTGTAACTGTGTAAGATTGTTGGTCTGTAACTGTGTAAGGTAGTTTGTCTGTAACTGTGTAAGATTGTTGGTCTGTAACTGTGTAAGGTAGTTTGTCTGTAACTGTGTATGATCGTTGGTCTGTAACTGTGTAAGATTGTTGGTCTGTAACTGTGTAAGGTAGTTTGTCTGTAACTGTGTAAGATTGTTGGTCTGTAACTGTGTAAGGTAGTTTGTCTGTAACTGTGTAAGGTAGTTTGTCTGTAACTGTGTAAGATTGTTGGTCTGTAACTGTGTAAGGTAGTTTGTCTGTAACTGTGTAAGATTGTTGGTCTGTAACTGTGTAAGGTAGTTTGTCTGTAACTGTGTAAGATTGTTGGTCTGTAACTGTGTAAGATTGTTCGTCTGTAACTGTGTAAGATCGTTGATTTGTAACTGTGTAAGATTGTTGGACTGTAACTGTGTAAGGTAGTTTGTTTGTAACTGTGTAAGATCGTTGGTCAGTTGTAACTGTGTAAGATCGTTGGTCTATAACTCTGTAAGGTAGTTTGTCTGTATCTGTGTAAGATAGTTGGTCTGTAACTGTTTAAGATAGTTGGTCTGTAACTGTGTAAGATAGTTGGTCTGTAACTGTGTAAGATTGTTGGTCTGTAACTGTGTAAGATAGTTTGTCTGTAACTGTGTAAGATTGTTGGTCTGTAACTGTGTAAGATAGTTGGTCTGTAACTGTGTAAGATTGTTGGTCTGTAACTGTGTAAGATAGTTGGTCTGTAACTGTGTAAGATTGTTGGTCTGTAACTGTGTAAAGTAGTTTGTCTGTAACTGTGTAAGATTGTTGGTCTGTAACTGTGTAAGATCGTTTGTCTGTAACTGTGTAAAGTAGTTGGTCTGTAACTGTGTAAGGTAGTTTGTTTGTAACTGTGTAAGATCGTTGGTCAGTTGTAACTGTGTAAGATCGTTGGTCTATAACTCTGTAAGATAGTTTGTCTGTATCTGTGTAAGATAGTTGGTCTGTAGCTGTGAACGAATATTTGGTCTGTAACTTATTAAGATAGTAAGATAATTAGCAACTGTGTAAGTTAGTAACTGTGTTGTACAAGATAGTAACTGTGTAAGATAGTTATTCATGCCTTTGTACGTTTTCGTCAACGTTCTTCATATTTATTGTCACTCCCTCCCCCGCCCTCGATATAAAATCGATTCTGTGGTTTAGACCATTATGAACAATGACAATGCCGTGCACAAATCTTTCAAGTTTATACAGCTATTACAGCCCTGTAACGTTACCAAAATTTGTATAATTGCTTATATTGCCCACTTCATGTTGTTAACGCCAGTCTAAAGTTAGTCAGTTTCACAATTTTCACCAATGATCTCATTACCCCTCTTGTTATGCCATATTTCTATTCAATGGTAATATCCTTTGTTTATTTTAACCATGTTCATCCAAAATATGAAAATGCTTTAACACAAGTTGCGTAAGCTCATTCATATAGAAAAATACTTATCTTACGGCTGTAAACGTTAAAAAATCAATCAGAGTTTCCTGTTGTGAGCTAAACTTCACGTTTGACGTGCATGCCACAGATAAATTACCTGAAAAGAAACCAGATACTTCTCTCACAAGACTTGATACGAAAGACAGTATAGTCTAAGTAGATCCTACCAGAGTTTGACTTACGGGTTTTTTAATTTTTTCATAGTAAGTATTTTTAATTTTTCTTTGAAATTAGAATGATCCACAACAGAGATTTCATTCAAACCGTTCTTTCTTCACAGAAGCCACACGATTTGGTTCCTAAAAAATATGAGATAGTAATAAATTTCATCACAAGTCAGTAGTGCTGCATTTTTTTCTTTCTTAATTCCAGCAAAGTATCATAGTATTTACTCTACCTGAAACTGCTACCATGACTTACCTGCATTTAGACAAGAGATCAAGTCTATCACAATAGAATTTAAAAGCAAAGAGTTTCGCTCTTGTGATTGGTGAAAACATTTCATACTCTACGTTCATTAGTAAGCTGTTCCTTTAATAGTATGGAGAAAACTCATTGCATGATACTCCTGGAACTGTACATTCACTCAACCTTAGAAATCAATGAACTGAATCAACAAAAACAGACTATTTTTCACACTTACTACGTAAGCAGAGCCATCATATGCCGACTATAGAAAAGCAGATCCGACAATATAAGCTGAAAACGCTGATATTTTCTTTAAGCTACGACAGCCATTGGGCTCATCAAATAGTCATTTTCCCTCAAACAAGTGTTTGCCTCGGTGTTTGAAACAAAATGTCATCATATTATGACATTTTAACAAATAACTGCACACGCCATGCAGAAACAATGCACGCTTGACTGAAAGTCATGATTTAGCGTTCCGCTCGGTTGATCAACCTCAAAAGAAATCCCATGCGTTACAACTGTCACCAGTTTTCCATGTTTCACTGGTTGATGGAAGAAAAAAAAACATACTTCTAATATGGACATCTTTGGATTATTTGTTTCGAAAAACAGATTCTGAGTTTGACATTTTTAGGCAACGGGGTAGCACAAAACCTCAAGTTATTTGCTACGCATTTTTTCTCACAATTCTTTCAGAATTCTCTAAGGAAAAAAGTCCGATCTATACCGAAAATCATTCAAACAAAGGCGTGAAAAATATATTATCACCTTTAAAGTTAAAAATTTAATTACCTCGTAGACAGGGCTTTCCCGACAACCATGGATTTTGATCAACGTAATTGTGTTAGTTGTAGTCGAACGACATTTATAAGGTACAATTCATTGTTCCTATAGTTCAAATAGTGAAATAAACAGGAATCCACTATAGTAATCACATGCTTAATAAGACATGCAGGACGGAAAAAAAATTCAATGGAGTGGCCCAATTGTTTGTTCACTGATTTTTATGTCGGTTTTATAGCCCTAACCTTCCCGGCCCCTCCTTTGGCCAACAAATGTCAATCGTAATTTTGTCAACTAACTTAAGATTTCGATCCGAAATTGTCTTAAGTATTCATCAATCTAAATAAAGTAAATCTAAATCAAATTTACCATAGAATATTCGAACTTTCGTTGTAGCAGGGGTTAAATTAACTATACTTTAATTACCGGCTGGGAGATCCGGATAGGCCTGCGATCTCGGGCCCTTTTTGAGACATAGGGAAAATATTTTTCATCTGAACCTTCCAGCCGGTAAATAACAGGTACATACTTTATGTTACTTTAATTATACTAGACAAAGGCAAAACATTGCTTTATTAGAATTTCATGCAGCCATTTTTAAGATTGTTAATGAAACGATTTTTGCGAAGTTGGATGAATTTTGAATTGAAAATGGACTTCATGAGATAAATGACTGCATTAAAGTCCAAACGTAAAATAACTATTCTTGCATTCACACCATTTCAAAATGTTTCAATGTATTAGAAGTTTTCTTTTAAAATCATCCATCATCCATAACATGCAAATGTCGATGTTTACAGGCTCTTCATTTGTTTTTTTTTCTACTGAGCATTATTGTTAAAAAGTGCACGATACTAAAACCATTGTCGATCAACTACAATTATTAATAGTATAATCAAATCACAATCCAGTGTTGAGAGAATCAGCGATCAGCTACTCAATACTGGATGAAGATTGATTCGGATAATAAAGAGTAACGAAAGTAAAATTGGACATGTTCTCAATCATATTAAATGGATTAAACAGATCCATTGTCAAAGATTATGGCTACCTAACGGGATCATATATATATATATAAATATCAAAACGTTGACGGATGACAATAATGCTAAGTAAAAACTGGACAATTTCAATGATATCATGGTCGTCAGTGCCATGAGCTAGTCATCACGCATCCTCGCATCATGAGCCCAGGAGATAGTTAAATACTATTTACAGGACATTGCAATATAGGCCTTATGACGTACAACGTACATCCCAATATATCCAACGTTACCACCAGATAACCATCTCTACCACACCGTCTCAAGAAAGTCTCAAAAATCTCCAAGGAGAGATAGGATCATATCCTCAAGATAAACATCGTTCAAATATCATACTTCGCTCCTCAGTTCCAAGAAATACACATCGTGCTCCACCGTATCCCGAATGTAAACATGGCACCAGTATATCGTAAAATAGTCTACGTTTATTTACAGCGTCTACCGTAATGTTTCAAAGTTCTAAATCATTCGCAACCCTCGATGCAATGTTCTTGAAGTTGATAGAACTACCAGATATACGTTTAAATCGTACGCCATTCAACGATAACCTAGGTAGCTTACAAACTTCCATTTCCCATTGCACATGGTTCATTTCCACTGGACTGCCGTGAACACAAATTAAAAGAAATTTCTCTCGCTGTTCATAATCACAGCGATTATCGTCTAGAACTCGTTTGATTTCGTCCATCATCGTGAGCGGATCCTTCGAGCTTGTCGTCTTCATACTCCACGTAAAACGCAGCGCCCGCGGTTTTTCGTTACCTACTTCATTTAGTCCCCTGTGAATAAAAACACAAAGCTTGGCATAAAAACCTTTTCCAGCCCGCAAGGCAGCCTTGTGCCATGCGGGCCAATAATAACTGAACGCTCGCTACACGTAATCCCACAAAAACGTTTCGTCACGAACTTTCTAGAGTTAACGTACTGAAGAATTTTATTATTCAATGCAAGAAATGAATGCAACAGTGAACAAACACAAATTTTCGGTCAGCTCGAGTTTTATCGCCACAATGCTTCCACTTAAACAAAAAAACAAGTTCCGCGATAAAATATCACCGTCCACGAAGGAATTTTATGAAGGAAATAAATAACACATGGATACACCATTTTTCGAAATCGCTGACACCCCCCTGTGCTTGTGACGTACTGCTGCCGTTGCACTCATTCAGTGGATGAAAAAATTTCGCTCTGAAGTGCAATAAAATATATTAAAATGTACGAAGAGGTAGTTGGTCGAGGTGTCGCGTAATATTTTCTGAAGTTTAAATCATTTAATACTTTTTTAGATGGTAGATTTCTTCAACGCAATGTTGAGTTGCATTTTTGTTAGATGAGGTTTGCTTTTTTAATGTTAGTGGCTTTTGCACTCCTCAATCCATATCTACCTCTTCGAGTACACACGAAACCACATTTCGAGGGATGAAACTTCGATTAACAAAAATATGCATCAACAAAAAACTAGCTCTGAATCATGTTCAAAACTCCCACTTCACGAGCTTCGTGTGTACTCTCATGAACTATCACATCATAAACTATCATATCATCTACTATCCACACACATCCACGCTCATTCCTTTCCAGCCACATTTAAGAGTTATTTGATGATTGGTTTAAGTAATCACTGATATTTAAAAAGCATTAGTAACAAGAGCATAAAAAACTATGATTACACCAAGAAGTTATATTAGTTAGAATTTCACTACAATGATAGTTTAAATCACAGACTAACACAAATAATCTGTTTTCACGAAGAGAGCTGTGATTTGAAGACTTAAGTTTGAGTAATTATGCGAATACTTATATTATCAAAGCGATTAATTAGCAATGATTAGCATTGATTAGTACAATCACAAGATATTACTTACGAATTTTGGGTGGCTTTTCTCATATACTCATTCCTTCAGAAGCGACATAACAACAACCAAATTAAAATAAAACAAACCTTCTATTAAACCGAACGAACCTTCGACTAAACCGTGACGTCAGTTTACTTAGCAACGAGGTTCGTGTAGGGCTAGTAGGCTCGTTGGGCAGGCCACTTTCGGGCCCATTCTCCTGATGATGTTTCTTACGCGTCTGTCCACTATGGAATGTACTGCGTTGTGGAGTTTGACGATTTCCAAACCTACTGTTATTTGTGCCAGCGGGCTCATTGCCGCGGTTGCCCGGGGCCGAACTAAAAGGCAATAAAATACATTTATATTCACAAGAATTTTCTTACATTATAACAGCGGATACACTTCAATGTACTAACTCGTACCCAGGTCTCAATCGATCACTGTCTCTCGTGACTGCAACCGGAGGTAATGATCTTCGAACTGGACCCATTCGATTTGATATAGATGCGGCGTTTTTCTGTCTCGAAGGCGGAGGACCACTTTTCGCACTGAACAGAGAAAATCGGCACATTTCATTAATACGCATATTAATAAACTGAATAAAAATATGAACCTTGATTTGCTTCCATTGGTATGTGAAGTGACGGAAGGCGGTTGGTTCTCACTCATACTAGTGCCAGACTTCTCCTGGATTGTATTCGTTTTCCTCTCTTGATTATTTCGTCGAATCTTCTCAGGCGGTAAACTGTATTGCTATTAAAATGAATAAATTAACGGATGAGAAAAAATTTACCATCTCAAATTACGATTATCAACAGCGTACCCTTCCTCCTTTTATCCTCCGCGTTCCCCTATCGGGAATTTCGTCTTTGTTGGGATTGGAGGCTTGACCCAGGATATCCCTTTCATTGTGTACAGGCATCTCGTCCTTCTTTATTTCTCCTTTATCAGATGGATGACCCACTTTGCCATCACCAGAATTGTTGGGTCTAGTCACACAGTAATAAAACCCTTATCAAAAACGCTACATTGTCTAACTAACTAATACAAAGAGGTTTTCTCATTTCCCGAACTGACAATAGCATTATAGCAATGAACACTAATCATTCGCTATTTAGATTAACGATTTCTCTTGTCTATTGTACGTCATTGTTTATTGAACCGTCATTGTCTATTGTACGTCATTGTTTATTGAACCGTCATTGTCTATTGTACGTCATTGTTTATTGAGCCGTCATTGTCTATTGTACGTCATTGTTTATTGAACCGTCATTGTTTATTGTACGTCATTGTTTATTGAACCGTCATTGTCTATTGTACGTCATTGTTTATTGAGCCGTCATTGTCTATTGTACGTACGTCATTGTTTATTGAACCGTCATTGTTTATTGAACCGTCATTGTCTATTGTACGTCATTGTTTATTGAGCCGTCATCAATCATACACAATGATCCTATACGTAGAAAACGACCAAAATTATACGGTTTCAATCCTTTATTTCCACTCCTCAAAGTTCAATTCATTTTGTTAAACTATCTTTTGTGTTACCTGGTATACACAAGAGATTTATGCGGAGCTCTATCTCCCTGGGAATGCCTCCGCACCAGATCCCTATCACGTTTCCCAGCATGCCTATCGGTCTTCGTTCGCCCAGTACTGCCCGGCCTCATAGGAGGATCACGGGGAGGCGTGTTCAGTTTATTTGGTGGCAAGATGAGATCATTTGAAGTTATCTAATTTAAAACAATTACAATCATACATACGTTGTCAACCATATAATACATAAATAAAGGTGTAAAGCGAAAGAAATCGCTATGGTAATCTAAGAACTACATTTAATAGAAACCTAACAAAATAGAACTATGAATAAGATCCGTACGCGGTTTAAAAATCGGTAATAGTAAGAACCGGAAAATTAGCTAATAGCTATTCTTTCTTAGCACAGGAAACTTTCGGTTTATGAAAAAGATTTGCATAAACGGGAATTTATGTACACAAACAGGAATTATGTGGCGGGTTAAAAAATTTTCCGTGCAATGTTCTCACGAGCACGAAATATGAATTTCAGGAAGGAAGAAATGACTTTTTCCTTAACCGCAAATCACCATTCGACGTATATTGAAGTCATAAATTGGAAGTGGAATTAACTAGGTAACTGGTTCACTGGACCAATACAACTTAATTACACAAACAACTGTTTTTGAAGCTAAGAAATTCAAAGCAAATTTTAAAAGACATTTTAAGGCAGCCAAACTCACTGAAAGATTTGGACGTTTCTCGTCAAGTAGTAGATACGTCGCCATGACTTCATCGTAGCGATTGTTGAGAAGTGATGTTCTTATTTCGTCTTTCGTAAAGTTCATTTGCCTCATGATATCTGAAACAAACGAGATAACATGAGAAACAGTCTCATTACAATTCTCAATAACAAAAGATAGTTTCCGCTTGGGAATAACCGATAAGCCTAAGGTCTTCTCTAGACGATAAAAATACCTAAACGTTTCTCGTCGGTAAAATCAGGTGAAGGTTGAATATAAGGTTTGAGAGGCTCCTCTTCGTGACCAATATTCATCCATTTGTCAGCCATGATTTGCTAAACAAGACATTTGTAAGATAGCTTTTGTGTACTCAATTTTAGCAACGGAACGCAAGCCCGAAATAATACAAACCTCTAGACGAGCTCTTTTCAATGGGTTTAAAACTAAAAATTTCTTTAATAAGTTTTCACAATCTGAAAAGTTTGAATAACAATGCTTTTTCAATAAACTATTTTGATTAAAACTGGGTTAACTTAAGGTAAATTTGCAAGAATAATTACTACATTTTCAAATGTCTTACACAGATCAAAGTATAAACTCAATAATATATTGAACTCATTGATTTTTGCAAATATACCTGTAGACATATAAAAAGGTATCCTATATTTCCCACGCAAAACTCTTTCACGCAACTCCTACAAAAATTAAAAATATCCCATTAAGTACAACAAAACCTATATCTATCCACAATCTTACAAACCTTCAGGTTCTGTCCATCAAATGGTAGAGAACCACTGACAAGAGTGTATAAGATGACTCCTAAACTCCAAACATCCACCTCTGGCCCATCATATTTCTTTCCTTGGAACAATTCTGGTGCAGCATAAGGTGGACTACCACAAAATGTGTCCAGTTTGTTACCAGGGGTAAACTCATTACTGAAGCCAAAATCTGCAATCTTTATGTTCATATTTGAATCAAGGAGTAAGTTTTCTGCCTGAAAAAAACATTGGATAAAATTAATTTACAATCGGAGAAAAACAGATGAAAAGCATGCGTATGATTTGAAGGAATTGCAAGGAGAAAAGCTACAAGGAAAGTTCTGACTATTCTTGATATAAAAGAACTTCTGCTGTATTTTGAAGTCAAAGCCTTGAGTGTTTCTCATATCTTTCATCTATGCAAATATTAAACTACTATATACAATAAGAAAGCTCCACCTTTAAATCTCTATGTATGACATGTTTTTGATGACAATACTGAACTGCAGATACAATCTAAGGTAGATTAAAAATATGAGTTAAACATATGTTACAATAATTTTAAAATCATCACAAATTTGATCAACACAGAAGTTTGATACATACCTGTCGAAATTTTACCCTTGCTTCCTTCTCCCTCATGCGTCCATGGGCAACAAGATAATCAAAAACTTCTCCTAAACAAGAGGAAACAAAAATCATGTATGAAGGATATATACCAATCAATTTTCAACATAATTGCCTGCAAACTCCAAATGACTCATGTTGACAAATTAACAATGCATACAAATTCAAATAATTTGTCAAAAGTTTGAAAAGGAGTAATTTCTCACAAGGCAATTCATTGCCTTAGATCAATTTTCAGTGCATGTGTTGCTATATATTATTTCCAACAATAGTCACAAAATAGTCCAGCATAGATTGGCTTCTGGCCAACAAGATGACTGAACTGACTAAATAAATGAATAGACTTAAAATGGACTTTAAAATAGACTGCAATGACTTTAATCTAGAAAATTAATTTCATCTTGTTTAAAATCCTTACAAATAAACAATTCATAATTTCTTCTAATAAAAGAGTAAAAAAAATATAAAAATAATAACCTCCACTGGCATACTCCATCACCAAGTATAAAGTCTTGTCTGTCTCGATGACTTCATAAAGTTTTACTATTTTATAAGAACAAAGTTATTATAGCTATACAAAGACCAGTACTAAAGAAGTTCTTTCAACAAGATAAAATAGGGCAATATCATCGAGTTGACTTGACTATAGATGAAAGGGGCAATTCAATGATACAAGAAGAGAAGTACTCATGAATAAATGTGAGGGACATCTACTGATGTGAGGGACATCTACTGATGCAAGGAACATTTAAGGATACAAAAACAAAGATACTGACCTATATTAGGATGATCCAAAAACTTCATTATACGAACCTCACGAAAAAGCTGAAAAAAAAATTTAGCGTGTCACAAACATGCAAACATTTCACCAATGCCAATTCAATAACATAATTTTGTCAAATCATATGATAAAAAGATGGAAGTTAGTCTTTCATGATCACATGAACAAAATAATTGCCAGGATGTCTGCAATTATTAATTTTACGAACATTTTACAAATAATTTAAGAGGTACTATAAATCTAAGCAGGGAGTGAGTTGAAGAAACCTGTTTAATTTATGACTTATCATTATTAAGTAATTATAATGTATTTACAATAGTAAAAATTTTATGGCAGTTTTTAAATTTTCACAAATATTGCCAAAAAAACATTGAGGGACAAGAGAGACAACACTGCATAAATTTGCCTCAATTTGACGATTTCTTTTGCAGTCTAGTTGTATGAGTGCTAAATCTGACAAGATGGCTTTTTTGACATCCATTTGATAAATGGGTGATGTAATTGGGAAATTCTAGCCTCATTATAATGTCATATTATTTCAGCATGGATTAGAAACAAAATGATTTGAATAATGAGATGAAAAATTTTGAAACAAAAAATACAGCATACACGAGTAAAGACAGTGAATATAAATTTGACAGCATTTCAACACATGTCCAAAAAAGGTTGAAAAACCTTAACACCCAGCAGTACTCCTGATTCCCTAATCTTTTAAAGTGATTTTTACATTCATGTAGAAATTAAGAGTTGCGAATTTGCAACATTTTTGGCAAACTCAATTTTAAAGCAAGGGATTATTTTATCATTCAATTCCTCATTTAAAGCATTTCATTGCATTGTTTGTCAAAAGAATGTTTTATTCAACTCAACCACAAAGCTTTGAGAGTTTCCTGTGCATTATTTGGACGACCACTCGTGTTGACTATAATTACGGGCAAGAAGAAACGTTCGTATCATTTATTAAAAAATTACTGCAAGAAAATCGAATAGTCAGAAAAAGGAATTTAAAAATTATGTGGTTACACGCCTGGTAAAATTATCTGAATAACCCCGTGAAACATACAGCAACTTGATGTCAAATTTACGCTGAAGTAGAAGATGAGACACGATCTCTCATTTAACACCTCGATGAACAAGCTTTCTAGAATTCTTACTCCGTCTTGCTTGTTTTTTACACAGTATACATAGCTTTAAAACTAACCTTTTGTAGACTGCTCGGATTCAACTGTGTTTTATCAATTATTTTGATAGCGACCTAAATGAATATGATAAAATATGAAGCACGAAATTTATAGTTGAAATTCTGCGGAGATGATCAATTTTTGAAATTTCGTTTTGAAATATTTTTTTCTGAATTTCAACATATTTACGTGCATAACGTTATATAATAGGTATACGATAATCATTCAGGAACTCAAACTCGAAACACACCTCTTTCTCTGTCGGTATGTGTTTGGCGAGCTTAACTTTGGCAAAATTTCCCTTTCCAATGGTTTTCAACAGTTTGTAGTTCCCAATATGTATGTCATCATTGCCAGCACCAGCGCGACTACGGGAACGATTTGACGACAAGGATCTTGGCTCTTCCTGCCAAAGAAAGAACATCGATAAAAGCACCATTTTATGGTATAATACAGTCCGAACTATAGCAGATAGAAAGAAAACTTCACCTTTATTAGCGGTGCGCCACCTTCGTTTACAGTTGGCAATTCCCGAGTTGTGGACATCTTTTTATGTTTTAAGAAACCAAGTAAACAGTTAAGAGTTTTAGCAAATAGAATTCCAGACGACCTTAAAATTTCCCTTCATCAATTTTATGAAATCTTCTCAAGATAATGAAGACTCTATTCACTACTCTCGTTCAAATTTGGCGTCCTTTCACAAGTGGTAAGTTTTGATGCCACATTGAACGCTACAATGAAGGCTTCTGTTAACAACTATAAAATCCTTAATATTGTACATATACACTATCCAATGAATTAGAAAACCCGAAGTAACACTTTCTTTGCTGGTGCTTTTAATCGCGACGAAATAAGGCCAGATTTTTTTACACACAACAAAATTCAACTGCTTTGATACTTCGATCGCTTCTACGGCAATTGTTGCCCTCCCGAAACATTGAAGTTTTCTAATTGGACAAAAGTAGGTCACGTGAAGAGTTGTATGGCTCCACGGCATACCGGAATAATATAATATATATATATATTGCCTAGGAAATATTTGATTGGCTTCAAACGCGATTTCAAAGTTTCTGCTTTTATTACTATTATTATTGAACAAATAAAAAATCTTACTACACGAACGTTAATGTCTTCCTACGGGCAAGACATTCACTATCACTTTTCCCTTTAGAATGTTTTAAGAAACATTGCGACTGTGACGTTGTCATTATCGGTGTTTAATATAAGAAGTGTTAACTGGGGGTACTTCTTAACAATGATGATATTTCGGACCGAACGTGAGAGTTTATCATTCATCGATGATAAAATTTTAATTCGATGAAGCTTGAAATGATACTTTGACAAATCCTCAAAGATTAGCTCTAATTACTGAAGTGTATGCTATAAAGACAATTTCGTATGAGCAACCACATCGTCACATACAGCAACACTCATCAATGTCTGGGCATCATAACAATAATGATTTTAGTTTTAAAAGCCACCTGTGACGTAGCCCAGTCTTCACCTTTTGGTTGGTTCAACCCCCCTTGAACGAAACAAATGTCGATTTCAACATCACCTAAAGCTATAGTCATGAGCCAAATAAATTGCAACAAACACAATCACGTAATGCACTCGGACATTTTCCCGATGTAGCTCCCAATAAAAACGTCTAATGAAGGAGTTTATTGATGTTTATCAATTGATCAGTGGTCGACAAACTTATTGGAGTGCGCTGATCTTAATGGCGCGCGTTAATTCTAAGAAAACTGAACACAACATTAGTTTAAATTATCTATCGTTTTAACCATTCACCAATGGAAAAACCACCCACAAAAATGACAATAAACTCAGTACACCTTGCGAAACATGTAAGGTAATTTTGCATAAATTTGGAGCGATATTTCGAAGAATTTCCGCTCCCAAAACCGCACGTATTTCCCATAAGATCTCCTATTACAAACACATGCATTAATATTTTCAAGCAAATATGACGCAAAACAAATTCGGACTTCGAGACTATTCGTCTTGGACTAAAGAGAAGGAAAAATGGGCGATTAGCTATTCAAATTTGGCGTGGAATTTGATGGAAGATGAGAAAGGCAACGCATAAATTTCCAGTAACTTAGTTGCACATCAATATCTACATAAAGTCGCAAACTGGAATTGTTATTATACGAGATAATATGAATTATCAAGTAACATATGTCTTGTGTGATCTTCGCACTTTGTTGGACAATTTAAGCAATTGTCTCATGAACCTGAAAAATTCAGGTGACTCAACGGGATCACAAAGTGCGAAGATCATATCTACAATTAATTTCAAACACCGCACTGTATAAAACATTCTTTCATGTCTTGTGTCCTACTGTGCACCTATCCTTCAGAATCTGATCGCTTAAGCTGTAATCCGTAATCTTGCCTCTATGTAAAGCGATGTGTCATCCAAGAACGTTCTAGCAATTCCTTGTAAAAACTATTAAACCACAGGATGCGCGAACTTTAAGTATCCTTGCTCCTTAGAAAAGTACAAGACACCGCGGAAATGACCCCCCAGAGATCATTATATTTTATTATGACCTCGTCGAAAGTGTTTGATTGCGTTACTATGTGCGATGTTACGTGTGTCAAACTACTTAAATAGCATAAACAAATAGAGGCACAGTCTGGCACGGTTGGATATCAAATAATAATTCGATTTCTCCTGAGCTGGCTTGCTTGCGAGGGACGTTAATGAAATCTTTTTTAGAGGTGCGATGAATTCAATAAAAATATTTTGGTTTAAAAGAGCAGACTGAACGACTTCATTCACGGCCAGGGGCGTATTTAACTTATGTCTAAATCAAATATAACAATACGTTAAACGGGGAACATCTTCATTTTTAAAGAAAAAGTGGGCAGGTCTATTCACCTCTGCTTCCGACGCCCTGTTTCCTGACCCAAGGTACATAAAATCTTCACATAATTTAGTTACAAAGCATGAGATACCAAAACACGTCGTTCATTTTACACCCAACTATTCACCTACACTTCAAATAACGTACATGACATTTAAGACACGAGACAAGCCGTTTCTTATCCGTCCTTACGTCGACAAGCCAGGTCATGTTCACGCATATGTCCTGGATCGCGTGTCGTTTTAGCTCGTGTTTCTTAAATGAATGGACTTCTATTACAGAATCCTATAATAGGATAGTTCAAATACAACAAAGATTTCTAACACAGATGCCTTCATTATGAGAGCCATCCTATTCTTGTTCCTGGTTCGAAATAATGAGTTTTGTGTGACCAGTAAAACTCCATGACCTTTAAAAAACCCACCCCTACCTTCCACTAAAAAGTGCTCTTTAGCTACCTAATGGTTATAAACATATCTGTCATCAAACAAATAGTTTTCCTCCATCCTGTGAGATCTGGTTTCGAGGTGCATGCGCAAATCACGTGGATGCCGACAGTGGACATTACACAAGTCACATACAACTGGTTCGGCAAATGGTTGAGTCGAGCTGCAAGTTGAAAAAAAATAGATATACTGAAACAAGTTCGAACGTGATCATCATGAGCAGCTACTTGTCAAATCATTTGTTTGTTTAATGTCAATGTAAAGCCTTAAAGCGGCAGTGACATAATTTTTTGTTGTCTTAATTCTTGACTTTCTTTTCAACATTAAAGTTTGTATCTTTAAAACTTATATATTATAATAAATCATTAGAGATTGGTCATTTCTTGATATTTTCTGATCTACGTATCATAAAATAGTGTTTATTTTCGCTGCTACTTTACTATTTCATTCAAAATGTTTGATTGTTGTGGAATTGATCAAAAACATGATATAGAGCACTTTTTTTCAACAACAAAGTAAAAAATATATAATCAGTAGGGAAAGCTTCAATGCTAAAGAGCTAAGTAACTAAATATGAAAATATCACTGTTGAAAAGAAAGTGCATTTCAGTTATATGAATTCTAACATTCTAACATTCATAGTCACTTACACTTTTACAATAAATAAACAAATTGAGCGAGGTTTTAAACATTACGCATACAAAACATGGTACCAAGCGATTCTACTACCATCACTTACCCTCCAGCAAGAGGTCTTAGATTTTCCACATTTTGCCTACGCTGTTGTATGTAATCCGGGATCTCTTCATCAAAAGACTCAGTGATGTCCAAAGGATAATGAAACGGATATAGCAAAGTAGCATCATCATCCAATTCACCAGGATTGTAAGGCGATAAGAGATCTTGAGGATCGACACGATTCCATTGATACATTTTGATGTAAGGAGATATTTGACGATCATCGCGAGGAGTGAGAAGCAATCTGAAAAAATACACACGACATTTTGTGGTTAGCCTGAAGACAGTCTACACGTACGAATCGCGTACTCTTTTTTTTGCTCTGTTTGAATTGTATGTTTAAAAGTAGACTGAAACAGTTATTACAACTTGGGATTCCGAATAATGTCGCGATTCCAAAAAACGGATCGTGCGAACACATATAAAGTGAGCCTCCGACATCGGATCTGTATGTCTGAAAAAATCGGATGGAAACAGAGCTTGCTCTATTTTCATCTGACAACATCAAAGGAATGTCTGCTCCCACGACAATAATTATCTAAACGAATATGAATATCAACAAAATCATTGGAAACCTGAACAAGCAATCAAATCATGTAAACGGGCCTTTAAAGAAATTTTTCAGCATGGGTAGTCAACTCCACCAAATGTCCGAGTTCATAGTCATGGCAAGACCAACGGATCTACTGGTACCAACTTTGGAATAAATAACTCACTTAGTCATATATTCTTAGATAAATCGTGTACGCATGCGTTGTCGTATAGCGTGGCAGGAGCCAAAATCTCCAACCGAAACATAACATGCGACGCTATCGCAATTCGGTCCAACTGTCTCGGGGTATATGAAATTACGGCACATTAGATTCACAAAATTTTTTCCTAAATCTGTGAACATCTTGACGTGTGAAAACTTTGATTGCCTTTTAAAAGCAGATAAAACGATTTTGATAACACCCTCCCTTATAATCAGACAAACCACAAACTAAAATCCTTCTAAACTTACTCCAAAAGCGTAGCTCTCGTTTTCCTTTGAATTTTTTGTATAGCATTTTTCCCCCATTGAGAGATCTGTTCTTTCGAAGCGACTGCCAGGTTAATGGCGGAACGGCAAGCATTGATCTATAAAGATGAGTTTGATGCAAAGGATTTGAGTATTGGGGATAGAGTTGTTGAATATAGGAGTATTGAAGTAGGGGGGTTGGGAATAGAGTTGTTCATTAAGTGTTGAAGTAGGAGAGTTGGGAATAAAGGTGTTGAGTAAGTATTGAAGTAGGAGAGTTGGGAATAAAGGTGTTGAGTAAGTATTGAAGTAGGAGAGTTGGGAATAAATGTGTTGAGTAAGTGTTGAAGTAGGGGAGTTGGGAATAAAGGTGTTGAGTTAGAATAGAGTTTGTTGAAGTTGAGTCATTATTGGTCGAAGAAAATTACACATAAAACCTTACTTTGACAACATCGTCTTGCTTGAAAGCAAAATCGAACTGCAGCTCTATGTCGTGATCCGGAAGCAATGCCTCTCCAGTCGATGGATCAAATCCGAGACCAACTATGGCTCCAGTATAACGATCTTTTTTTTCGTTTGTCCTGAACTCAGCACATGGAGTAAACACCAGTGAAATAAGAGCAGACAAGCCATGAATATTTGGCATTAATGTTGTATCTCTAAAAATACACAATGGTGATTGAAAAACTACCTTTAATGAACTACCTATGATTTTGTCTGACAAATTCAAACAAATTATTTGCTTGTATCAACGAATGAAGGTTAATTATCATTTGTCTTTTGTTATGATTTCATCGTGAGATTGACTTCCCTGTGATTTTGATTTTTTATTTACTGAAAGTGGGGGTGGTGGTGGCAAATAGTACGCGAGGGTTTATTTTATTTTAGATACATGAGAAGTGGGGATTATTGGAATTGGAGGGGAGGAGGCTAAAATGTAAAGGCAGTACTTGAGCATTTCTTCAACAAGCAAATGTTATCATTGGTTACTTATGACAAACTACATATCATTTCCACTTTATTTGATACTATTTGATTTGCACTGTAGCGTCAATACGCCAGACTTTCTTTAAAACAAAACAAAAGTTTCGATTCAGCATTATTATACAACTGCCGCCAAGTTACCTTCCAAGCATTACGGTGCCTGAAGTGTTTATTCCAATGTTGGCAGCAACAAGAAAACGTTCGTGCTTATCTTGAGGCTCCTCGTTCAACACAATACTATTTACAGAATCTCTCTCAATCCTTGCCGCCCTAAAACAGCATAAACGCACTGATATAAAATATAAATTGGAGATTGCTGATTGATGGAAGGAGACTGTTGATGGTTACAGAAGTATTTTGATTGATTATTGCAGGGACTATTGATGGATTATTGAAGACTATTGATTGATTATTGAAGACGGTTGATTGATTATTGAAGACGGTTGATTGATTATTGAAGACTATTGATGGATAATTGAAGACTGTTGATGGATTAAATGAGATTGCTCCTGGAATATAGGAGATTAATGTTGGGTAAAAGGAGATTGATCATTGATTATAGGGGATTGATAATGCATGATACAATAGATATCAAACCTTTACCTTAATCTTCCAATGCAGGTCATGCTGTAAAAGCTCATCTCGTATGGACTGAACGGTCCACTGAGGTTTACCTGCGTATAAAAAAGAACATTGATATGATATTAAGTGAATTGAACAAATTTTAATTGAACAAGAGTTGAACAATTAAAGATGAACAACACTGTTACCAAGTTTCAGCGAGAGATACAAGATCCTAAGTTGTGCTAACGATTGCCACAAAGCTACCTTAGTAATCTTTCCATCGTCTGGTTTGTAATTTCCAGTTAAATGAGCTTCAGTAGAACTAGTATCTGATTCAACCCAGCCAGTTGGATCATAACCCTCGTTCGCTCCAGTTCCCACATTATTTAAAAGCTTCACTCGAGCGACAGCTTCCTCGTGGGTACGCTGAAATGAAGAAAAAAGCTCGGAGTTTATCCGAAACTCGTTTACATGTTCTGGAAAATACGGTAGGATATACGACGATACAGCATTTAATAAAAATCAGCACAAAAAGTTTCAGGTTTTATGATCTGTTGGGCAGTCGTTTCAAAGCAATTGAATATATGAATGCCCCCCTCCTTTCTATCAATATAAAACTGTTGCTCTCTTTATGCTTTATGAAAAAAACTGCTGACCAGTACTTACAACGGAGTCATGTGATTCTTCAGTAAAATTTGCAAAACCTTCGCCAATCAACACTTGATGAATGTGAACATCATCTTCCGAGGACACAGTGTCAATGAGATCAACACGAAATACGCCATGGAGTCGAGAAAAGACCTAAACACCAAGAATATGGAAGACAGGTATTGTTTTCAAAATAATTATTTCAAAAATCATGCTGTCGTGAACAGAAAAGACCTTATCCATGTTTTAAATTACTTAATAGGTAGCAAGCAGGAAGCGATTAATTGGCCTTTAATTTAACGATAAAAACGGTCTTTTTAATGACAAATAACAATTATACATATGTTACAATATCAATTTATACCTTTGCTACCAACTTCTTGTCCCATTTGACAAATGACAATTACAAATATGTTAGAATATCAATTTATACCTTTGCTACCAACTTCTTGTCCCATATGACAAATGACAATTACACATATGTTAGAATATCAATTTATACCTTTGCTACCAACTTCTTGTCCCATATGACAAATGACAATTACACATATGTTAGAATATCAATTTATACCTTTGCTACCAACTTCTTGTCCCATATGACAAATGACAATTACACATATGTTAGAATATCAATTTATACCTTTGCTACCAACTTCTTGTCCCATGTATGTTAGAATATCAATTTATACCTTTGCTACCAACTTCTTGTCCCAAGTAAGTTCGATAAATCTCTGATTAGCCTCTTCATCCCAAGCACCAAACGATGGACGAACGCAAATCAAACGACATTCAAATGCCTAAAGAGCATTGAAATATCGCAGATAATAAGCAACTTGAGATATCGTTTCCAAACAATAATGTACCCGAGATATTTTTCATATACAGAGACATCCTTCTAGAATATCTTTTGCACATTAAAGTCTTTCTGAAAAATTTTCCTACAAAATACAGTCAGTATACCTAACCTATCCTTTACACAATACAACCAAAAGAAAAAGATATCCTCTACAGAAGTACATCGGAAATGAGACATATCTTTCACAAATCACAATCTACCTAACCTATCTTTAACTTAACAAAAAATTTATTTATAACATCCTACAACATCTTCTGAGATACTAAAGTTAACATGACTCGTTCTTCGCATACTACAGTATACCACCAATGATATTTTACAACTTTAAAACAAAACCTTTATATTATTCCAATTAATACAAACCAGAAAAGGCAACCTCGTGTGCTCCTCACGAATCTTCCTCAGATGTTGGGTAGATACATTTGCTGTGTTGCCGTAATCGACGTAGAATACTTTAGCAATGGAACGGTTGAAAGACACAACCTTCGCTCTGTAATAGCGTCCATCTTCGTCATATAAAGCCAAGCATAATGTTCCCATGGGACAAGGTAATGATAGAAACTGCAATTAAATAACTTCAACAGTTACGTTCAATCACTTACAAAACTACGAGAGATGACAGGAAAAGGGAAGAAAAAAATTATACAAAAATAAAATAGGAAAATGGATAAAAAATGAGAGCAATACTGACCTCGTGTTGAGTACCAGTATAATTGTTGATATCCTCCATGAGTTGAGAAAGTTTTGCTGCGTACTTCCCATCTCCTGGCTGAGCCCAAAAATGTCCAGCATCAATGACCTATAAATAAATACAACAATCGTTATCGATGGATAGCTCATGCATAAATACAATAATCGTCATCGATGGATAGCTCATGCATAAATACAATAATCGTCATCGATGGATAGCTCATGCATAAATACAATAATCGTCATCGATGGATAGCTCATGCATAAATACAATAATCGTCATCGATGGATAGCTCATGCATAAATACAATAATCGTCATCGATGGATAGCTCATGCATAAATACAATAATCGTCATCGATGGATAGCTCATGCATAAATACAATAATCGTCATCGATGGATAGCTCATGCATAAATACAATAATCGTCATCGATGGATAACTCATGCATAAATACAATAATCGTTATCGATGGATAGCTCATGCATAAATACAATAATCGTCATCGATGGATAGCTCATGCATAAATATAATAATCGTCATCGATGGATAGCTCATGCATAAATACAACAATCGTCATCGATGGATAGCTCATGCATAAATACAATAATCGTCATCGATGGATAGCTCATGCATAAATATAATAATCGTCATCGATGGATAGCTCATGCATAAATACAACAATCGTCATCGATGGATAGCTCATGCATAAATACAATAATCGTCATCGATGGATAGCTCATGCATAAATATAATAATCGTCATCGATGGATAGCTCATGCATAAATACAATAATCGTCATCGATGGATAGCTCATGCATAAATACAATAATCGTCATCGATGGATAGCTCATGCATAAATATAATAATCGTCATCGATGGATAGCTCATGCATAAATACAATAATCGTCATCGATGGATAGCTCATGCATAAATACAATAATCGTCATCGATGGATAGCTCATGCATAAATATAATAATCGTCATCGATGGATAGCTCATGCATAAATACAATAATCGTCATCGATGGATAGCTCATGCATAAATATAATAATCGTCATCGATGGATAGCTCATGCATAAATACAATAATCGTCATCGATGGATAGCTCATGCATAAATACAATAATCGTCATCGATGGATAGCACATGCAGAAGGAAAACGAAAATTCGGGTACAATTTGTTACCTCCGATATGTAAATATCCATGAAACCAACTTCGGGCAACTCCAGCTACATAAAAATGAAGCAAGGAATTTTTTGAAATATAGATAAGATTCAGAAAGGGAAGACTATCAACATAAGTAAGTTATCCATATTCTGTAAAGTAAAAAACACAATTTAGGAGTTTACAGGTAACTACTTCATGTAAATGCTGCAGGAATGTAAATACATCATAACTAAGATGTACAAACGCTAGTTTTTAATGGCTATTGACAAAAACAAATGCAAAGGAAGTTTAGCAGTAAGTTTTTGCCAGGTAATTAAAATGTGTTCCCTTGAAATGAAATACTTTGATTATTCTTACAGAGAACTTAAATTACACATATAACCAATGGCCATTTCACATACTAGTGGTATTTAGAGCATTTAATGAAACCTTTCAAATATTATGTGAAAGTCGCAATGTCTGGACGCGTGCGGAACTGTATTCTGAGGTTGAGCAAAGTTTATGAAATAAATCATGAATAATAATTTATTCTCTTACCTTCTGAAGTTCGTTTTTCTTCTTGGTAGTTTTACCAGAATCCTTGACCGACGCCATTATCCTATCAGTGCGTAATGCTCTTGAATTATGGATCTCCATTTTTGCAGCGGACTTCGCCACAATTCGTTTTTGATCTTCCGTGGCGACCCATAGAGTAAGATGCATTTGAAGATGTCTTGGAGAAAAACCGTCAAATATGAGACAGTAAGTTACTAATGACAAACAGCCACAACGAATGTAGTATTTACCTCATCTTAAGAGCAAGATATACAGCTGGTAACACGGTATCTTGGACATCCTGTCTTTCAAATTCAACGTACGCTCTACATTGATCAAGATATTATAAAAATTTCTCGATAAACACATTAACAAAAACGTGTCAATAAGATGAATGCATAAGACAGCATGAAGTGGTGAAAACATCAGTGCATTTATATCAAAATAATTTCCGCAGCAAGATTGAAATATGTGCATAATGTAAAGATTTACTTATATGTAAGTTATTATACAAATATCATCGCTTAGTTCACTGTGGAAAGTTAGACTGTTTTCTCATAACTTCATGTAATTTTTAGGTGGCTAAATAAGATAATTTATAAAAATATTTTGTGCACAGAAATCAGCTTTGATTGACGTGATACTATTTAGAAATCGTGGACGAAACATGTATTTATACAGAGAAATCACCTTTAAACAGAAAAACTTTGTATGCTGTTTCATACCATGTAAAATATTTTCACAGGAAAGGCTCTTTTATAACAAAATTTCACCTTCTACTCTCTGTATACACGTTCTTTGCTCTCCCACATTTTTCTAGCAACTTTGCAATTGCCGAGCTGTAGTAATGTCCGTGGATAGGCAAACTCTTTAACTATATGTGAGATTATTCATTTTTCAAAAAGTAACACATATTATATTTAATTCTAATTAAAAAGTGGCAAGGCAGCAATACAGTTTGCTGTTTTAACTAAAAGATCTTCTTAAACAAGAATGGAATACTTTCTTTTTAACAAAGTTTAACTATTGAACTTTTATGATACGAAATAAATGATCATAAATTATCTAAATTACATTTCAAAAAAAGTTCAATAGCTCAAGAAATAAGCACGTCGTTGTTCAAAAGAAAGTCCATAACAGTTTTAGGAGATCTTTTATGTAAGAAAATATAAGGTTTAGTGTCATAAACACACTTTAAGAAACATATAAACATATAAACATATAAACATATAAACATAAAAACAAACAGCCAACCATAATTGTCGTGAATGGATCATGACCAGACATCGTTTTTCTGGAGTCACGTTCGTCAATTTCACCAGAAAGAAAATAATTTGGATAGAAACTGCCACAAATGACAACCTTAACACAATGGTCGTTGAAAAAAATAATTAATAACAATGGAATTTGAAAGCTATAGGGAAACATGAAGCTTTTACAATCAGAAGGATATAGTAACCTTCAAAATGAGTTCATCATGAGAGGTAGAATCTTGCCGTCTAAAATGCAAAGAAGCATTCATAATACAAATACATAAACTCCCCTCCACTGGATACCTTAAAAATACTAGACAAAAGATTCTAACAAAAACCCTGACAGGGGGGGGAGGAGTTGCCTCTTATATAATCATAATACAGAATACGAATAGACAGATTATATTTATTGATTTTTGTACAAACGCTTCACGTCATAGATTTTCCATTCAGTTAAAGCAGAAAGTAGAAGCAAATAACCACTGGATATATTCAAAATGATGGACAGATCATTATAAAAAATTTCCATAGGAAACTGCTTCGCTTCTTGTACAGTCGTATGAATAACGTAAAGCATTCACAAAATAGAAAGGGTGTTTTGTACGTTGGTATTTTGTGAAAATAATCTTCAACTTTATTTCAAATGAAAACAAAACATACCTGTGATGTACGTCACGACTTGTCTCAATGTTGACCTTTGCTAGGCGTTCTGTCAATTCATTGACAACTTTTTCAACCTGTAGAAATATTGTACGGAGTGCCCGATCAAAATACCCAAGAAAAAGAAACACAAGAAAAAGATGAACAAATTTCTCTGACGTTCATCAAACCTCTAGGATCTTTTTATGTTCAATTAAATTCTCCTTACACCATTTTCTTTCACCCTGTTGTTAGCATGAAGAAAAATGAAGGAAAGCAAGACAAAGCGGTTGTAGATAATCCTCGCTTGTCTTACCGTTCTCCCAAAAGCACCTGTCTGTTTGTGTCTTTTCCACGTCTAAACACAAAATGATGAAATTGCTGTATAAAATGGAACTAAGCTAAGACAGTGTAAGTATAGCTAAGGTGGTCTAAGTATAACTAAGTATGGCTTAGGTGACCTACGTAGGGCTAAGTATGGTTAAGATTGCGTAGGTATTACGTGTGTTCTCTTATAACAAAATACTGATACACTTCAGGAAAGGTCAGATAAAGTAACTAATGGATTAAGAGAATGTTTTAATCATAGATAATCAAAGTACACAGTAGTTAAAATTCCAGGAAATGTCTGAAATTTTGGTACGTGGCAGTTACGTAGCCAGCCCGCTTATACAGTCCTGCTTTCCATATAAAATTTCTCTGTTCACTCACTGCAAAAACAAAAGGGTTTCTAATAAATTAAATAATGGTAATGTTCAGAAATTTATGAAGCAAGAGTATAACATGCAGGCTGACTTAGCCATTGTTACTAGGTGAAAATTGTTTCAACTATACGTTTTTTAATCAAGTTCTTTGGTGATGAAACGGGAGTTCGTTCATTGTTTTTTACAGTAAATGAACATAGCAACATTTGCAAAACGGGAAAAACACGGATGGCTCATTGACAACAAATGAAATCAATAAAAACATTTGTCATACTTTGTAGGCATTGAGAGCAGCGAGACAGTCACTTTTGGTTCTGTTAGACCAAAACATTTTCTTTCTGTAAAAGAAATGTAATGAAGCACTCATTGAAAAATTCGTTGTCATTAATTTTTTTGAAATACTACCCTTCAACAAATAATATTACCTTGAACAAAGTATGTCATTAAAATTACGTCATTTTATGAGCGCACCGTTAGTTGACAAAAAAACATGGATGCATTTATCACAGTCAGTATACATGAGAAATTTTGGTTACAAATGTCAGCGGATGAGCGCAGGCTCGTAATTCTCAGCGGGAGGGAGGTACTACGTTCATTAATTTTTTGAAATGTTACCTGTATGAGTGAAACTCCTGGTTTATTTTCTGAACAAAAAATGTCTTCTGACTTAGACATGCCCCTAAGATAGATTTGTTGTTGGAATTTTTGACAATAATCTTTATATTCACAAAATGATGTGATATGCACAAAAATGTAGCAACGCTCACGAACCAATAACGATGGCCTCCTCCAAGACACCGAACACGTGACCAAGAACGAGTAATTTTCCAACACGAACATCACATGGCATTTTACCTAGTACCCAGCCCATAAATGTTAACTCTCCGTCGTATTTATTGATTACACCACTGCGCATTTTAATGGTTAACGCACCGAGCTAATAAGGTAAACAAAACAACACAATGATGAATTTCCATTTATCCTCAAGACTTCATAAACCTAAAGTCTACATTAAAATATTGTGTAAGCTGTGTTTCTTTCCTTTTTGTTATTGAATTACGTACGTTCATACAATTGATATGTGTAGTACGTAGATTGATATGTGTAGTACGTAGATTGATATGTGTAGTACGTAGATTGATATGTGTAGTACGTAGATTGATATGTGTAGTACGTAGATTGATATGTGTAGTACGTAGATTGATATGTGTAGTACGTAGATTGATATGTGTAGTACGCAGATCGCGCATCCCCAAATAAATTTGAAACAGCAAAAAAAATAGGTTGCCATGTTCAACTCTCCTACTTTGTCAAATTATCAAATGTACATTAATTGTCGTGGAAAAGTGTGTAGATGTGTTCGTCACAATGCTTTAAAAGAGCTGTTACGCGTCAGAGAGCAATAGTTGGAAAAAAATTGCGCTCTGTTTAACATGCGCTTGTTTCTGACTGTGCTGGTTTGAATATTGTCTCTCAAGATCAATGGCTCGTGCTGAGGACTAGTGTAAGCTTCTTCTTTTCATGCAATTTACACTACCCGTCTACTGTTGCAAATATCCCTTCTTTCTAACAAATCTTGAGTAGGACTGTTCAACGTCTCGATAACGTACACTGACCTCTTTAAGTATCAGAATTGTTTTCTCGATATCTCGAACATCGGGTGGTTGCAAAGCCAGTGAAAGAATGGATTTCGGAGATCCAAGATCTAGTAGTTTTACTCTCAACACAACTTGTTCCAAAGGAGCACGCTGAAATGAAGGAGAATGATGAATTAAAATACCATAATTAATGGAAAGTGTATCAATCAATAGTTGCCAAGCCTTAGAAGGGTTCAAAATAACATGATGGATTAATCTAGATGTCGCAAATTTTAGACTTATTGCTATAAAATAGTCCAGCAAAAAACTATACAAATATTTCACTTCATTAGGATAAATTCAATAGTTTTTTATTGTGGTAAGTGCACAACAAATATGTAGCAAGTTAAATTTAGCAGAATGTCATAGCAACTAACTACCGACGTGTTAACAACGAGTTACCATTACCTACATATATTTATGATTTACGTTTACTTTAGTGTCTATGTGTCTACTTTATGTAAGTTATTCCAAAACAAAGTTCTCTCATAACAAATTCAGCTGAATATCAGTTCAACACGACAGCCACAACTTAGCTAACAACAAGTTACCTTTACCCAAGCTACCTAATGTTAATTATGGTTGCATTGATAAAAAATGCACTGGAAATCAAACATTCTACATAAATTAGCCTTAAAGCTCAATATAAGCCTTCGAGGGTTTAGAAATACGTAAAAACAATGCAAAATGTTAAGTGTCACATCCAATGTTAAACAGTAACTAACCTTAAATTCTGGAACGGAGTACGGCTCCATACATCGCTCATAAAATTCTTTCGTCACCATTCTGAAGCATTTCCCTGGCGAAACACGACCAGCACGTCCTAAAAAAAAAATTGATTTAGATCCCATCAATATTATATCTGTAAACACAGTTCCTCCTTATACCATCAAAACGTGTCAAAAAAGATTCGTAATTTCAAAATGTGGCCAGTGTTTATCGCGCAACACTATTAAAGTACGCCAAAGTTGACCATTAGATATGAAATTTCTATAAGCTGCGCATGCGCGCCGTTACAGTGAGAGTGGATTGAAGAACACAATACAACGTTAGGAGAAAAAACGATCGTCCCCTTGAACATGGAGGGGACGGGAGGGAGAGTCGGAAAACGGATAAGAAATAGCTTGCAAGTAATTCTTTCACCTTTTCGTTGCGTGGCAGAAGCTTTCGATGCCCATTGCATTCGTAAACTCTGGTAATTCGTATCGGCATCACACACGAGACATTTGACAAGGCAAAAATCAATCACTACAAAAGAAAAATCGATTTTTAAACTTCACGATAAACACAGCAACAGACGATAGCAAACAATTACAGCAAATTGTGTAGATTTTCTGGCAATGAATTACCATATTTGATGTCAGGAACTGTAATCGAGCTTTCAGCTATGTTCGTGGATAAAATAACCTATAAAAAGGAACGTTTGCTGGAAAAAAATCTGTGTTTTAACCGAGAGAAACAAAAAAATTTTTTTGAAAATATTTAAAGCGCAAAAATTTCTATGAAAAACCCCAAAATTTCACAAGCACGAAAATGCCAACTTAACTCTGTATATAACGTTCTACTAAATACGTGCTGTACATAACGTTCTACTAAATACGTGCTGTACATAACGTTCTACTAAATACGTGCTGTATATAACGTTCTACTAAATACGTGCTGTACATAACGTTCTACTAAATACGTGCTACTAAAACCACCGACATGGTACGAATTTTATCTGTTTCAATTCAACTTTAACACAGATTTAGGCCCAGAAGCAAGATTGACCGGATTTAAATCCAATTTAGCAGTATTTCTTTCACTGGTACTCTCCATCTCACTTGATTAACGATGGCGTCCTTTCTCTCCAAAATATTGCCTCTTCTCTCACTCTTCATTAGCTAACAATCCTATATTCCTACCAAATACAACGTCGAATGTTTGCTAACCTTTCTAGCCTTAGGATCTCCGTTTTTAGGCATTGATGGATCACGAAATATCCGCTTTTGCTCTTCATTCGTGATTTGGGAGTGGAGAGGCAATATCCACAAACTTGAAAACAGAAATTAAGTCACTCAGCAAACAGAAAATTAAAATGTCTCTAAACACCATAATAAAAAAATCAGTAAAGTGTCCAGAGAATTTCAAAGGCAGACAAAAGGCAACAGACATTTCATGTTATACAACGTGATAGAGTATTTATGAATTGACTATATTCAACACTCAACTATTTATGAATTGACTATATTCAACAATCAACTATTTATGAATTGACTATATTCAACACTCAACTATTTATGAATTGACTATATTCAACACTCAACTATTTATGAATTGACTATATTCAACAATCAACTATTTATGAATTGACTATATTCAACACTCAACTATTTATAAATTGACTATATTCAACACTCAACTATTTATAAATTGACTATATTCAACACTCAACTATTTATGAATTGACTATATTCAACACTCAACTATTTATGAATTGACTATATTCAACACTCAACTATTTATGAATTGACTATATTCAACACTCAACTATTTATGAATTGACTATATTCAACACTCAACTATTTATGAATTGACTATATTCAACACTCAACTATTTATAAATTGACTATATTCAACACTCAACTATTTATGAATTGACTATATTCAACACTCAACTATTTATAAATTGACTATATTCAACACTCAACTATTTATGAATTGACTATATTCAACACTCAACTATTTATGAATTGACTATATTCAACACTCAACTATTTATGAATTGACTATATTCAACACTCAACTATTTATGAATTGACTATATTCAACACTCAACTATTTATAAATTGACTATATTCAACACTCAACTATTTATGAATTGACTATATTCAACACTCAACTATTTATGAATTGACTATATTCAACACTCAACTATTTATAAATTGACTATATTCAACACTCAACTATTTATAAATTGACTATATTCAACACTCAACTATTTATGAATTGACTATATTCAACACTCAACTATTTATAAATTGACTATATTCAACACTCAACTATTTATAAATTGACTATATTCAACACTCAACTATTTATGAATTGACTATATTCAACACTCAACTATTTATGAATTGACTATATTCAACACTCAACTATTTATAAATTGACTATATTCAACACTCAACTATTTATAAATTGACTATATTCAACACTCAACTATTTATGAATTGACTATATTCAACACTCAACTATTTATGAATTGACTATATTCAACACTCAACTATTTATAAATTGACTATATTCAACACTCAACTATTTATAAATTGACTATATTCAACACTCAACTATTTATGAATTGACTATATTCAACACTAAACTATTTATAAATTGACTATATTCAACACTCAACTATTTATGAATTGACTATATTCAACAACACTCAATTATTTATGAATTGACTATATTCAACACTCAACTATTTATGAATTGACTATATTCAACACTCAACTATTTATGAATTGACTATATTCAACACTCAACTATTTATGAATTGACTATACTGCAAATAAGCAAAAAGCTTTAGAGTATAGACTGACTCGCTATAAACACTTTACATTGACTTTATAAAAGACTAAAACAATTCTGCTGACTTCAGACTATTTTTACAATTCCAGAAAAGACTACTAATAGCTACATGTTACACAATTTGAAACAAAAAACACATAAAAATTTGCGAAGAAACAATGGTCAAATGCACAATGTGTTACATCATACATCATAAATGCATGAACTTACTATCTTCCATGGCAAACATCAGATAATATTCTTTGCATATTTTTAATGTATTCCACACCTAAGAAAAAAGTTAAAAGAGTTGAAAAGCACTGACAATATAAATGACAGTAGTATAGTCACCCTTACCAAAGTAAGGATGCTGACTTTACCTGGCAAAAATACTAAAACACTTCCTCTTTCCGCAGCAAAGTCCTCATTACTGACACCTGGCTTGTTGATTTCCCATGCATCAAGCAAATAAATGAGACATGACGCAGTATGATACTGGCTTTCCTCGATAGTTGGTTCCCCAATGTCTAAAATTGGCATACCATCCTGAAACATATATGAAAATATCAATATCCTTCTAAAACATAAGGAAGGGGTACATTGAAATGTGTATGAAGTTCATATGCAATCTTCCATCATCTTATTCATCCACAATTGCAAGCTATACCCAAACACTCACCTTTCTAACAATATTAGAAATTTCCTCAAGGTAGTATTCATGAATAGGAAAAGACTTTCCTTCAACAGAGACGACTGGAGCACCATGCAACTTTCCATTAATTGGTAAGGAGAAGTAACGTGAAAAGATCTCACTATCAAGAGTAGCAGACATTAGAACCACTTTAACATGCTTTGAGTTTGTGCGCAACAACTTTCTAACAACAAGAAGTGCAAAGTCCATGTCTTGATCACGTTCGTGAACCTATAGAGGAATTGACAGTGCACAAACAAAGATAAACAAAGTTATACATTCAAATCACATGCTTTGCATGATGAACAAAAATATTCAAATTTTGAACACAATATATTTCAATAGTTATACCTCATCCAATATAACATGGGTATATTCATTAAGAGATTTTGCAGCAATCAACTTTTGTAACAGCACTCCCGTTGTGACATATGATATCCTTGTATCATCACTAGACATCCTATCTCTTCCTACTTGATAACCCACAATACCCCCAACATCCCATGATCGTTCTTGACAGACACGTTTCGCAATGCTTATAGCAGCAATTCGACGTGGTTGAGTCACCACAATGTTACAATAACGCTTTTGTTTCATATAATGGTCCAAAATGTATTGTGGTACTTGTGTTGTCTTTCCTGAGCCAGTAGCACCTTGAACAACTGTAACAGAATGGACATCAATTGTACTAAGGACTTCATTAGAATACTTAGTTATAGGCAAGTCTGCAGAATACTCATGATCAAATGAATAATTTTCAAGCATGTGCTCATCTTCATCAACTTTCAATGGAAGAGGATTGGGAAGATTTAGATCAATGTTCTCCAGGCCACCATTCAGCTCCGGGAAGTCCTTCTCGGTTGGTAAATTTGGTTCAAGACCTTTGCTAAAAAATACATAAAAATTCTGTCATTCGATCAAATAACTTAAAGGGGAGATAATTTGCAACTAAAAACATGAGCGTTACTCTGATCTTGACTTTAATATTGTTGTTTTGACATGAAATATTAACGTCATCAGCTGAACTTACTTATTTGGATCTTCAATTTTTGTTAATTTGAAGTTGATAAAACTTTCTCGACTAACATGACTAAAATCTCGAGGCTGTGTTGCCTTGACCTTGGGACATGACTCAATGACTGGTTTTGGTGCAGACAAATCGAAAAAATCGCGAACCAGTGACGAGCTTGAATCCTGTAACTTGTTTGATTCTGCACGCCACATGGCGAAATCGTGTCATTAGGAATATTTTAAACCAGTTTTACCAGCAATTCCTACCGTTTATTTAATGCAAATTCGCAAAATGACAAATCTAGACAAAGTTCAAATCACTGAAGTCAAACCACTGTTCTTTCTTCGCGAAACATTTATCTTTCTAACACCTAAAATCCCGTGAAATCCCGCGAAATCGCTAAGAGTCTTCGTTGTTCGCCCATGATTCAATGCGTTACTTCCATTTGCGTTCAAGAGTTGAGTACGAGAATTTTTTCATGTTTCAGTGTCTGAATAGAGGCGTGGAATTTGCACCTTAAAAGTTTTCCTTGAAAAAAACAATGTGTTTGCATGTTTTTGCAACGTGTTTGCATGTTTCGGAGACAATGTTCATTCGTATAAAAATGTCTACATTTATGTCTATCTTTATATGTTTACCTTTGTGTGTCTACCTTTATGTCTACCTTTATGTCTACTTTTGTATCTACCGTCATTACATGGGAGAGATGTTAAATGAAATTGGTCAATTTTCCCGCTATAAGCCCGCTCATAGTTTTTTTTCTTAACTTCATTCGGAAAAGTTTATTAATCAGTTTGTAATTTCAATTATGTGATAAACCAACAATTTCTCCTGAAAAAGAAAAGAAAAGTTTGTTTTATTTATCAAGCAAATAAGTACAGACGAAAAACAATAGTTCCTTGTTTCTTATATGATATATATCGTATTAGAAATTTATTGCAACGAGAATTATTGCTTACAAATGATGCTTTACGATACATAGATTACCATAATGAGCAAAAAAAAATATGTTTGCTCTAGTTTTAAAATATCAATGGTTACAGCCAGCTGGAAACGTATTTGTCAGTATTTTCCTATGAATGGGTTAGGTTTGACTAAAATTAAAACTAAAATTTTACAATGATAAACTTGTTCATTTCATTCAGTAACGATTTGCTATTTGAATGGGACCAAATCAAATTGCCTACATGAAGTGTATAAAAGTTTATTTATCATGTAGTTTTATCTTCCCAAGATCTTCCGCAAGATTTTTCATATAATCTTCGGCTTCAAGCGTTAACTTGTGCTTGCTTCCAATCTGTGATCTGTAAGCTATATTTTATAAGAACAAAAAGCAATAGAAATATATTATTCTCCTGCTTTGCTCTTTTACAAAACATCTCATATCATTGATAATAAAATATATCTTAAAGCTGTAATAGCTTACCCTGCGTCGTTTCCCTTATGATTTTGTACGATTCATTTTTAATAGTCCATAATATAGCATCTGGAATCTAGTAAAATTGAAAGATACATCATTCTAGGACGAGTCAACTTCTTTAAAAGTGTATGGTACTGGTACATTTTGAAATTTTTTAAAACTTCGATGAAAGAATGGTCTTTGTTAATTTCACAAACATTTTGTTGATAAAACCAAAAGAACACTTTTTAGAAAATGTTATAGTTCAATCGTGGTCTGTACTCACGATCTCTGTTAAAAAGCATGGAATTCTGAAATATCATAGAGAACTATAGTCACATTCAAAATACAAATTTTATATACCGTTCGTGTTAAAATGATCTTGATTAGAAAGCATAGAATTCTCGCCGAGAACCATGCATTGAAGATTTATAATAGCAATTCTAGTTAATGCTTTTATAACTATATCATCAGGATAGAAAATTCCCGTGCCAACTAGGGGGAATCGTGAAAATTGATGTAAAAAAAAAAAACATATCCAAAAGAAAAATGCACAAACTTGCCTCAATCTTCATGTTGTCATTCTCGTTTTTCAACAATAATTGATGTTCATCATCCTAAAATTGTACAAAAAGATTCTGTCATTCTGTTTAAAAAACAAACGAAACCTTATATATAAACTCACTAGTAATCTGAAGCTTAAATTTGCTTTTTCTGTAGCTCGTCGTCGTTTCCATTTGGAAATAGTTGTAGCAATTGTTAAAACATTTGAAAATGATGACGACAATAAATCATGACGATTTGTAGCAACGTTCAGCTATTTGAATAAAACAAAGGCAAGTTAACTATTGAAGTTTAAGAAACAAGAAAAAATAACTGTAATGAAAACTAAAACATGAGCATAAAAAGAACAAACTTGTACGTTATAAGGAAAGACAAAACGTAATAATTCATACAGTTTTAGAATGAACATAATTTAAGACAAACGACATGAGATTTAATATCGATACCTTCTCGTTCTCGTCCTCCTTCTTATTTACACTATCGTTTTCAGGTTTTGACGGCACATCTGAAATATCATCAGCCATTGTATCTGTCATATTTGAACTGATCATAGCAACATTAGAGCCGTTTTTCAAGTCGTTAGAAACTTCATCATTGGACGTTGATCTGTGTAATAGGGACAAAGTTACCACACCGCATGAACGACATCATAAAGTTACTTTCCTACTTTTTCACCACGATCCAATCTTCGTCCAGTTCTTCTTTGTCTTGTGCGATTCCATCGTTATAGCTCTGCCCTTCACGACAGGATTCCCTGGTCATACTTTCAACTCGTCTGACACGATCGCCATCCGATTTAGGCCGATTTATAGACAAAGACGATTGAGACATATCAACCCTATTTCCTTTGTACGTGAAAAAAGATTTGCTGCAATTGACATTAAAGTGTGAAATTAATTGAGATCTTGTTGCTATGGTAACAAATATGACGCGATAGAAACGCTTATGACGACAAAATTTTGGAGGGAAGAAGGAGCATCTACGTAAAATGAGTCGAATCTTGGGCGGTGTTTATCCAATAAGTTTAACAGGACAAACACGAAAACGTTCTTTTTCGCTTAAAATAGTGAAACTGGTAATATCAAGTAGATATTTAATGATTGCAAGAATATGGTAGAATTATTTACATGTGCAACAAGTACTTCCATCAAATCTACACAAGTTAAACAATAATATAAAAATCGCTTCATTGATGTAAGCTTTATCCTAATGCGATTATAATTCATTGTGAACTTCTTTACCTTCTACTGCTAGCAATGTTCTTTAACACCAAATGAATTCATGTATATTTTGATGTATAAATAACTGAGACCAATGACCGGTTACGGTTTATTTTTCATCAAGTTTGAGTTTTTCACGTTAAGAGAAGAAAAGCCTAAATCAAACCACGACGTTTTTTATAATCCTCTAAATTTAGAGATCTCCGAGGGACGTTAGGTTTGCTGTGGTTTGTTGCCTTTGGTGTAGCTGATGCAGGTCGATTATCTGCTTGAAAAAAAAAGAACACTAATTCAATAAAATAAGAGATAATTTGCTAAAATATGTCGAGTTTCAAAGACTATTGTTGAAGAATCTTCATAGTTTTTGAGGGAGGTGAGAAAAAGAAAGACAGGGATAGACACCCCCCCCCCTTGAGTTATCCTAAGCCTACCAAAGTAAGAAGTTCAAACCAATTTGTAAACAAACTTCATTGAAGTACTTAAGTACTCGTTTACTTCACCTGGCAATGGAAAATCAAGCTCAATTTTTACTTCAAAGTTATGTGCATTGAATAAATCCTCGTTATCAGTCGTTAAGGATGGTCGTCTGCTGTTTGGATCCTTTTTCGAGTCAGAATCTTCAATCTAAAATACATAATCAGCACCAAAATGTCGTTAATTGTATAAACAACATATATGGTATGCTCGAGATAAGAAAACATGACAAAACAAACCTGATCTCCAGCCATGGGTGTTTGACTGAGCTAAAATATAACGTACATCATAATAAAATTGAAGTTTAAATTAAAACGAATTGTTTAACTTCAAAGAGCCTTTGATGCCAATTGCTAAAGCCTTTCAAAACTACATTTCTAGAAAGTACCAGCATTGTAAATACAGTCGTTCTAATATGAATATTGAGATTTATCATGTACATATTCAGACTTACTCCAGGAATTTGCAATTGAACATTATCAGTTGCCGCTTCCTCTTGTAGACGACGAATTTGTTCAGGTGTAAATCCCGAAAGGCCTTTATTAATCTGAAGGAATTATAAACATAAAAAACCTCAGGCACAATAGGTAGTTGAGTTATTACTACGACGAAACAAAAAGATGAAGAATTTTAACTTCATAGCAAGATTATATATATTTGAGTTGTAACCTTTGCAACAAGTTGTGGTAGCGTCTTCCTCCTTGTGAAAGGATCGTCTTTTTTCTCTTCCGTCTTCGCCTCTTCCTGAAGATTAATTGGCATTAAAAAATGGTGAATAACTTTAAAATATATATCAACAATAGACATCATCAAAAACAAAGCTGACCACTATCGCTTTCTCGGCTTCTACAATGTTCTTTTTTCTGTTCCTTTCATTGATATAGCTGTAACACGCGAACAAATATATTTCATTCAACAAGTCAACTTTATTGAAATTGATATTTTATTTGCTAAGTAATAACTATTTTGACAAACCTGATTGCACTAAGACCTCTGCTTCTCATTTTATCTAACTCCTGCGCTCTTTCTTCGAGTTCCTCCAATTCATTTTGTAGTGTTTGAGATTCATCCAAGTTTCCTTGTTGTTCTGCGATTTCCTTTAAAGAAAATTTCTCACATTGCTAGTTGATTCAAGATCATTTGAATTGAAGCGAATAGTTTGAACTCGGTTGTATCGTTACGATGTAGATCGTCCAGGTTAGTGGAGTCCTGAGAAAGACTGTTGTTGATGAATAAAGTTTCTACAACACCAACACCAACAGTCCTTGTCAAGATTGCACTAGCCTGGACGATCAACATCTACAAACATTTGGATTACAATTTACTTTGCTAAAAAATTATAACCATATCATAAACTAATGATTTATCCTGAAAACTTCAATACCTACGTAGTTACCTTGGATCGAAGCAATTGGTTTTTCCTCATGGCGTAATTAAACGGTGATTTTCTGAACTTAGTTTTCTCGGCAACGATCTATAAAGTTGATGGCGCAAATCTTGGAAATATTACAAGCAATTTATGAAGAAAGATCGCGAAGCTTTGAATGTCTCATGTTTTATAGATGTTGACATATAACAATGAAAAAAATGTGATTATGTCAAGGGGGGAAGTACCTACTGATCTTATTCGTGTCCCTTTATAGATGACCATGTCAGGGGGGAGGTACCTACTGATCTTAATCATATCCCTTTACAGATGACCATGTCAGGGGGAGTATACTTACTGATTCCCTTCAAAGATGGTTCAAAAATTAACTTACTTTGTCAACATCATTATCCTGATAACTATAATTCTTGCTGTTTTGTAACTCCAGTTGTTTTTCTTCAATTTCTTCCAAGGTTGGGAGAGGAATATCATTGGTTTGCATCTATCAATATTAAAGTTAAATTAATGTTCCAAACATATAAACTCTACATTATTTCAGTACCTCTGAGACCCATCGAGTGAATTCTGTGTCCGTAAAACTCTGATTGGAAACAAACTCGAGACGAAACACTCTCTCCTGTTTACCATGCCTAAATGAAGTAAACTGAGCTACACTAAAATCATTTTACTCATAGTACAATTTCAGTAGTTCAACAAAGCCATACTTTAGTTTCAAGCCTTTGTTTGTTCTTGTATTACCCAGGTGGTAGACTTTTGCTGTCTCCACAACACCTAAGATTTGAGCAACCTGAGAAAAATAAAATATAGTGTGCAATTTCACCATTAAGAGCCATTTAGCAACCATGCTGTAACCATTTGTAACTCTGTATTAACCATTGTGGTCCTAGATTAAATCATACATACTCTATAAACTGATCGACCATCATTTTGACCAATGCCAATTCGTACAAAGCAACCTTTCACTAATGTCTCAAAAAATGGCATATGTACCCATCTAAATCAGATGAATGAATGATTAAAAATCAATACTTGTGCATATATTCAACAATCTTAAATGCATACTTTTCCATTTTGTGGCGTGATAAACGAATCTTTTCAACATCTTCCAAACTGCACATTTTCTCGTCACTATCCTCCAACATTCTAAAACAACAAAATATAACAAATGACCTATTGCTGCTTTGTTGATGAAAACAAGAGTGAAATACACCAATTTTACTTGTAAGCACATAATTTACAAGAAAAGTTAAACATTGCCCCTGTAACTTATGTAATAACATTTCTTTAAAAGCCATCAACAAGCCAACTATTGATGGCTTGTCAATACTTACTCTCCTTCACTTTCTTCCTCTGATGCAGCAGGTTGCTCCGCATTTTCATCTTGTTCATCTTCTGCATCATCATCAGAACTATAAACCTCATGTGTTCGCCATGGCTCTTTCTTCTCAAGCAAAGCCTTCTCCTTTTTCTCATGCCGTTTTTGTTTGAGTTCATTAAAAGCTTTTACTTTCTTCTCTTCCATTGCTTTCTTTCGTCCACTACGGTTAAAAGCAATTCCACCTACTACACCATCAATTGTTGTTTTCTCTTTCTCACGTTTACTCTTCTCTTTCTTTTTAGCAAGTTTGAGTTTTTGCTCAATTTCTTGTCGTTTCTTTATTGCTTCTCGACGCTCCAAACGATTAAATATCTCCTGCTCTCGTTCTTTCTCACTCATTTTGTCAAGCCTCTCTCGATCAGCTTCATCACCAATACAGTTCTCGTCCAAACCATCATCAAACTTATTATTTGCCTCAGATGCTAGAGAGCCAGAATCTGAATCTAAAACCAAAAAGTTTTGAAAAACATTATCTGGTTAATTTGGAAAATATTTTATATGACAGATGCTTGAAATAATAATTTTAATGAAACTAAAACAATCTTTACCATTACTGATAGCCATTTTTACACAAATCATATTTTAAAGACATCAAAATGAAAGTAGATAAACATACCATCATCAGACTCAGAACTAGAATCACTTGCTTCACCAGATTCCGAAGCTGGTTTCTTTGGCTTCTTTCCACCATTTTTCTTTGTTTTTACTTTTGTTGGTTTTTCGTCAATTGTCCACTGAAAATCAGAGGGTAGAAAACACTAAGTTATAAAACAGCTTAGTTTCTCTTCATTCATTTTGCTGTATATAAAAATATTCAAACAACTATTCATTGTTGCAGAGTAACACATTGTATAAATCTACAATAAAAACCTCATCATCACTGCCTTCTGATGATTCACTGTCAGATTCTGTGTTTTGCTTTGTTGGTGGAGATGATTCTTGCTGTGTACGAGCTCTTTTTGCAAGTGAAAGCAATTCCTTGATTGATTATTAAATATAAACAAGTTATTACTGCTGTCGATTCATGATTTGCAATGTTTTGAATTTATACATTTATATTATTTAATTTACAAAGCGATGGTAATTTCCTAAAGATACTTTTATTTACTAGATGACACATCCATGATGTATGTATGTTGTAAACACAACACGAAACACACTCTACCTCTTCTAAATTTTCTTCGCTGTCATCGTCGTCACTTTCAGATTCTACAACAACTCTTTTTCGCTTCTTTTTCGGCTCTGAATCCTTCTTCTTTGCAGACATTTTGAGCGAACAGCAAGGCAACCTTGTTTCTTAGGAAATGTAGCTTTGCCAGTGTGCTTCGCTTCTCGCAAAGCGTTATGGGAAAACATTACGTACTTTTTAAAATATGAACATATTCTTTGTGTTTTAAGTGAAAATATATGTGTTTGTAAAAATATCGAATATTAATTACATTTATAAAATGTCTATAACAAAATTTCGCTTCGGAAACAAAAAAAGATTAATATTTTGAGTTCTGGTACTTTTGGTTCTTCTCATGTTTTTATGTTCTAACATGGTGGACGTCGGTGCGCTAATCTCATTGGCTAAGACTTGCGATTCATTTCCGCTTTCTCATTACTTCATTTCGATGAATCAGGAGACTGGGGAATACCCTTCATGCTATATCAATTGTCAAAGAGTTTCGTTTTTAAATTTTTTTTCAATGGATTTGTTGAATCAAAGCATCAAAGAAAATGTTTTTCCTAACTCTAAGGACGACGAGATGATGACGAGAATTGATTCATCGTCTGCTATAAAAGACAAAAAACAAGGGATTTTGCTCATTGACATAAACGATGAACGAATACAGGTGTTTAACATACTTGTTTTACCTTTATTTGTGTGCTATCATTGAAATGGTAAAGTGTTCTCTAATTATTTAGCTTCAGAGCAAAGCTGATTTAGCTAGAAAGCTCGGATGTAAAGAGGACGAGATGATAAAAGTTGTATCTATCTTTGGTAACACTGGAGATGGCAAATCACACACTTTGAATCATGCATTTTTTCAAGGCGAAGAAGTTTTTGCAACTTCAACATCACAAACATCTTGCACAATTGGTGTTTGGGCAGCATATGATGAGCAAGATAGGTTGATGATAGTTGATACAGAAGGATTATTGAGTACTTCAAACAACTCCAACCAGCGTAAACGTTTGCTAATGAAAATACTAGCGATTTCAGATGTTATCATATATCGCTCAAAAGCGGAGAGACTTCATTCTGATATGTTTACTTTTCTTGCTGATGCTTCAAAGGCATATTTGAAGCACTTTTCACCAGAGCTGAAAGCAGCCATTGGTAGAGGGCAATTAAATTTACCCTTGTGTTCACTTGGGCCAGCTGTGGTTATTTTTCATGAAACTCATTACACTGACTTCCTTGGTGCTAAAAGCAGTAAACCTGGTAGTGTTGTAAAAACATTTTTTTCTCTTTTGAGCACTTCAAATGTCATTTTTAACCATTTTAAATTATTGCATTAGGAGAAAGCATCTCTGCTGATGAAATTCTAAGACAAAGATTTGAAGATGTTGGCCGCAATCCAGAGGCTTTCAGTTCCATAAAATATGTGGGCACGAAGACAAATCATAACTGTCCAACAGATTTTCAAGAATTACACAAGGCTGTAGTTGAACTGGCAAATGATAATTCTGTTCGATCAAGAAGATCACTTGCTGTTGTGTACAATGTTTTATGTGTAAGAAGTTATGTTGCAATAATGATTACAAACCTTTTTTCTTTCCAAATTCTAACACAGTAATATATAATCTACATAGACAAAAATTTTATCCATTTTCAAGATTTGTTAAAAAAACTCTTCAGTTTTGCATTTATTATTTTAGCATCTAAATGAAAAATTCAAAGGTGAAATAGAAAGTGTTGTTCCCGACACCTTTCCAGATTCCTATTTTACATGTTTGACACGCTGTCAATGCTGTCAGTAAGTGTTCAGTGGTGCTGAGCTTTGTGTTTTATGAAGTAAATATGTTACTTCATATATCATTTTATAGCAATTTTTCTTATATTATAGTGTACGATGTGAAGGAACAATGAACCACATTCAGGACGGGACACCACACCACTCAAAGAAGAGCTGTTTTTACAAAATGCAATATGATAACAAATATTACACATGTAAGGTAATTGATACTATGATATTACATACTTGTTACCAGGTCTTTTGAGAGAAACTCTGGGGTCAAAGGGTAAATTTCTCCATGGGATTTCATCATTTTAAATAAATGCAGTTGAGATGCATAAAGTACATCAAAGCAATGTAAGTTTTAGTAACAAACTTTAAACAAATAATATCAAAGTACCTCAGAAGTCAAACTAACGAGAATTGTTTGAAATTTCGGAGCTCGCACATTGGGAGGGAGGCTTCATGTTTGGTAGCCTGAGGCAATATACTCCTCCCTCTCAGTTTCCAAACTGTCGCTGTTTTTAATTGAATGTAAAGTTTTCTTTGTGTGTAGGCATGCCACCAACGTGGAAAGGAGAATCTTGTGATGAGCAAAACATATGCGTCATGTGATGATTCTCTTAGCGGATTGGCAAATTATGCTTGGTCAGGGTATGTCTATAAATGTATTTCAAACATTTTGAGGTAGAAAAAATGTACAATCACAGGTCTAATGTTGAAGGTATGTTATTGAGTGTCCAGAATGTGGCGTCATCTATAGAAGTCGTCAATATTGGTATGGAAATAACGATCCAGAAAAGACCGTCCTTCGAACACATATAAAACACGTTTGGCAAGGTGTAAGTAATTGACTGTGAAATATGAGTGACTTCTGTTGCTCTGCTCCCTACGAAGAGAGCAGTTGAACTAGTGAATCTGATTGAAATATTGACGTTTTTTTTTGAAATCAAGGAACATTTTGGTGGAGTCAATCATACAGGTCGTCGTGTAGTGGATGCTCTAAATTTTGTTAAACAAACCGTTGGCGCTGTGAGCCAAACTCCTACAACATTTGTTAAAGATCTTGTGTCAGATGCAATTGCACCTAAATACTGGGTACCCAACTCTGAAATCAAGGTGACCAACAAAGTTGCGGTTGTCAAGATTTCCCTGCAATGTCAACCAACTGACAAGAAAATTTATCTTCCTTAGGAATGTCACGCTTGTCGACATGTTTTTGCCGCATCTGAAAGTAAACATCATTGTCGTGCCTGTGGCCATGGTTTTTGTTACAATTGTTCTGACTTTAGTCGACCGGTGCCTGGTAGAGGATGGGGTAACGCACCTGTAAAGGTTTGCAAGAAGTGCTTTGACGACACACACGAGGAATGTCAAAGATCGGAGAATGATGAAAATTTGGTGATGAAGGATGCAAGGTAACATTCAAACTCATCAGTTTAATGTGTGATAATGACCTCATTAAATTGTATTTTAATACATAGCGCTTTGAATGACTGTCTTGATGAAGAAGATGAGAAAGATGATCTGCGCACACGCAAGTTTGGAGAGGTGATTCAATATTCCGCAAGTGCAATCGTACAGGTCATAGAACGTCCGTGCGAGTTGATAAAGGATGTTGTTCGTCCATCTTATTGGATAGCAGATATCGATATTGTATCTTGCGCGTGTTGCAAGTACACTTTTCAAAGGTTTGACTCGAAACATCATTGTCGCGCCTGCGGTCAAGGTGTTTGCGGTCAGTGCTCAACGAAAAAGCGCGCCGTTCCAAATCGCGGATGGGGGTACCCTGTGCGAGTTTGTGATACTTGTATAGCTATGTCAGTTTAAAGAACAAGTGTACAGTCGCACAATAAGACAAGTGCAGCAGGGCCAATTCGCTGTGCACCATGTGCTGTGTATAGTAAAGTAGACTACTGTGATACTGTCTTAGGTTAGCCATTTCACAATTCTAATTGATCAAAGAAGAAGACATTGATTGGCTGCCATTATGATAGAGTGGCATAAAACTTTCAATGGAGTGGCCCTGCTGTATATTCCTCATTCTATGGTACTCTTATGGCTAAAGCATATGAAATCTCCACGAGATTATTTTTGTTTTAATAAATAAGAAATATTTACGAGTCCCTGCATGTTCCTGGGAAATAACTTTATTCATTACGTCAATGTCCCTGCATGTTTATTCATTATAAAAATGTCCCTGCATGTTTCTGGGAAATGACTTTATTCATTAAGCCAAGAGTGCATATGTCACAACTTCTTTTTGTGCTCAATCCATTCTGCTACTTTATGATGAGAATGAAAAGCTTATTCAAAAAAGAAAAACAGTTAAATTGTGTATCTGTTATAATGTTTTATAAAATCGAGACTAAAACAGGATGAGGATGATTTAAGCTTCAATATTTTATGAGAAGATGGAAACAGATGTTTGGCGACGTTAATGAGACTTCTACGTGATCTTATTCAACGATAATTCGAGAAGAATAGGCAGCACTTGACACGCTATCGGTAAAGAATAAACCGACCTTTCAATAGTAAACACAAATCAATCCAACGCCATTTCTTCTTGAAGTGAAGAAGACAAGAAAAGAGGCATCTTTACGTTGAAGATAGGGCAGAAAAAAGAAATATAGAGTTTTAAGGTAACGCAATTTGCCACATTTATAGCAATGGATAGAGGTCAGCCATGAATTTGCTATTTGTCACAAAGAACACAGGTGCAAAAATTAGCCATCTATCACTCAATTGCACCATATCGACATGCTGAATAATTTTATTTGTTCCACATATCTTATATTCCGCTATTCCCTACAGTAAGTGGCAAATATTTCTAAAATCATCCATTGTGTTGTTTAGCAAACAAAAGACAACCTCCGAAGCTCTGACGTGTACTGAGATATTTTCTGGTTATTAATAGTAAATTAGCAAAATTACTTGAATGAAAATTACGTCGCATTCAAAGGAAATGTACGATAGTTTACAGTCACGAATGATTGCGGCGAATGTTTAACAAATTTCACCATATCTCCTAACAAAAATTTTATGCATTCATTGGTGTGCTGAGAAACTGAAAATTTACCTCAGATAAACATATGTTTTTATCATGAACTCGCCCACACGGAAAAACAAAAAAATAGCAAAAGACAAATCGATTCCGCTCCATCGTTTGCTTCTAAAGTTAATACAAAGCATAACAATGAAGCATCGATTCCTCTAGTACAAATAATATCTTCATTTTAAGTCACACATACAAAGTTCAAAAATTAAAAAAATTTTAGATGGATGGAGAGGATAAAATTTCTCCCGAGCCACATCCAGACTGGACCAACAGGACTACACAAAACATTTTGGGATGGACGTGGTACGCTCACATATATAGTTTTGCCGTCATTTTCATCATCATCGCTCTTATCTGTCTCCATATGATCATTTTCAAATCATGCTCAAATCAACATAAATGTTTCGTAAAATCCTTCATGCTATCCTCAATCACTATCCTTTGTACAACTCGAGCAGTGATGCTATTGTCTCATCCGTATTTTTCAAACGAAGACAGAAGTTTATGGCAGCGAATAGCAGGCTCTCTCAACTGGAGTCTGGGTTCTACCAGCTTTACGTCATCGTTGGGAACATTACTCTACATCATTGCAGTTTCAACGCGAATAACTTCAAAGCATAGTCAACCACAATTGGGTCGTTTTGTTTGTGGAGTTACCATCTCGAACTTTGCATTCTTCGTCACATCCGACTTGACAACAATTGTGTCAACGGACGTAGGAAGAATCATGAAAACTGTGTGTCAAATCACGTTTGCCTTTTGGGGGTTGTTGGTCTCGTTTGGCTTTGCTGTGTTGACATACAGATTAAGAAGAAACGGCAAAGCAACTTTCGAGCAACGAAAGAACAACGCAACGATGAAAAAACACGGGAAGAGGTTGAAAACACTAGTTGTTTTACTCGCAATTCTTTCCGGGATGGCAGCAGTAATCTTCATTCTAAGAATATCTAACGCCATTATTGGTGTCATCATGGATAAATTCATTGAAACTTACACATGGTTCATCATGCAGACGAGTATCAGGATCCTTGAAATAACGAGCGCAATTGTTATTCTCCTTGTTTTCCATAAAGACAGCAAAAAGGGAAAGAATTGTGCTGACGACGGAGATAGGACTAAGCATTGAAAGTTGAAGAAATAAGACAATGAAAGACCTCGGCATTTATGAGGAAGACAAGTTGGACAAAAGTGAAGTTATAGGTAAAAAAAGATCAAAGTTCACCAATTTGTTTCAGCGTTTAGCTTGAGAACATAGCACAGTGAGAAGTGAATAAAAAACGTAAGTTGAAGGAGAGAAAGAATAGTGAGATGAATTCGAGAACGTGTAGAGAGGTGCACCTGCATCTTGTTTGAGATTTCAGTTTTCATGTTAAAATCTTGTGTATTATCTCGTACAATTTATTTAATCCATGTACTTTATGTGTAAAGGTTACCTCAACCAATACAAAAATTAATTTAGCAAAGGCAATACATAAATTGATGGCTGGGATAACTATATACAATTATACACAATTCTCCACGTAGATCTAGTTTGCGTCGCTTAAATATATTATTGTGTAAATCAAAGATAATCATGTTAATATTTTTACATTGAGTAAAAAGTATGAATTACGTAGAAAGATGTAAATAGAGCATTTAATATCATAATTTTGCCGCCACCAAAGTGTGAAACGTTCTTCGGTAAAATAAATGTAATTGTAGCGCATTAGTAATTGTTATAAAGATGAGAAAAATTACAATATATGATCACGTGGAACACCACTATCTTGTACGTCATTCAATCCACTTGACACAACAGATAGGCGCCTCTCCGTATTCACAGAGCTAGAACTCCAATCCCTTTCTACATAACTAATCGTAGGCACTGAAGAAGTGAAACTAGCATTGTTTTCCTTTCTCCGCAATCCTAAAGAAAATTTGCTTAAGAAATTCTTATTCCAACAACGACAACATATCAACATTGTGATCGCCAATCCAACTTCCTTAAATCCTTCTCGAAATGGCTTTGACATGAATCCGAACAAAATTGGATTCACCACAGCGTTTGAAAAGGCAAGCATATGAACTGCAACTCGATATGAATTGATAGGACTCTTCTCATCCATAGTACCTGGAGAAGAATCCCGTATCTCAACAATTTCAAATGGAGTCCACTGAATGACGAAGAATACAATGACAACAAATAACATTCTCAAGATCTCCTTTCTCATACGAGACGTCATTGCTATGTCCACGGTAGAGTTGACTTCTAAACGGCTCTCAAGTTCACGTAGTTTTTTATGAGCCTTCCAATAAGTAACGGTCACCATCCCCAAAGGTAAAATATACAAAAGAAAAAAACAGGGTATAAAATACCCCCAAAAGAATGGTGCACGAGTTTTATCTGTAGTATGAAATTGAAAACAGACGATCTCGCCATCTATAGTCCGTTCCTCGCTAAGATACACATGTGGAATTACAATGAGAGCAGAAAACAACCAAATGAACAAAACGATTCGCGATTTGCACTTTTTGAAATAGTCGTATTTCATGGGATAACAAATGGCGACATATCTTTCAAGACTAATAGCAGATAAAGTTAAAATAGACGCTGCGTAGAAGAAATACAAGGAAGTTCGTTGCATTTTACAGCCGTAATCCCCAAATACATAGGTAGCCGAGAAAGTAGCAACGGCTTCGAACGGCGTCAGCAATGCAAGAAGTAGATCCGAAATAACAAGATTGATAAGAAAGGCATGTGTCAAAGTTCGAAGTTCCGGTTTGGTACGAAGTATCCACAATGCAAGCGAGTTACCAAATACTGCGAGCAAAAATAACAAAATATAAACAATAAGAGCGAGTACGTGTGACCAATACGGCAAACGATCTGTTTCTTTTTGCTCTTCAATTCCCGTAGTATTATTCATTGCGATATTTTGTAGTGATTTCTTCAAATTACAACTCAGAGACTGCAATGAGTATATTTGCCATTAAATAAACATAAAATAAAGTCGTTTGAAGTTTCAGGAATGTTATTTCGTAATTATAAAGCACAGGCATTCACACGTACAAGCCACAATCTATGATTAACAAAATGATGTCTAAACAAATCTTTCGCTACCTTCTTATTCACTTATCATAAACCAACTCTGTTTTAAAACGTCTTGCATGGCAATCTTCGAGTATCATCTTTCATTATTTTTGAACAAAGCGTTGCCTCAGTTGAAGCAGCACGAGATTCAAATGCCTTTCATTCTTTATGGCATACAATCCAACGCTCTTTCTTGAAATTAATGTGATGCACTTTGACTACATAGACATGAATATTGCCAGACTAAACAAACACGGTGAAGGGCAAAATGGTTTAATGACTGGTCACTATGCAACAAGAGAGGGTTCGCTTTGTGATGATATATTGGCTACGATATCCTTCGAAGAATAAAGAATGCTCGGAATTTTTTCCCTTCATTTAATTAAAAAAAAAAATTGAAGGCCTCAAAACAAAACTTTATTGCTTTCAATTATGTCGTAAAAATACACCTGAATAAATGAAATCATTCACAAAAAAGTTCAAAGTAAAGTTTCTATGATTGTACGTATATCTTCATATCAAGATTGTTTGAAATTGGATGGAATATATATCGTTGTAATCATACTAAACATACACCACTCACAAACTTTTAAAAGATGTTCGAAGAAAACAAACGTAGTCCTACAAAGAACTGCAAAAAAGGCAAAAACAAACTTCTCACTAAACGTCAATGAACATTGCATCAAGAAAGAAGTGTTGCAAGCATTGCCCTTTGATGAAAACAAAGATTTCATCAATATAAGTCCCAGAAGTTTGAAATATCCGACTTAGGCATCACACACGAGCATCGATCGTCATGAATTCACACAAAGAAAAACAGAACAAAAGAACACAAGGGAAGACCACAACCACGAAAAACAGTCATTTTAGCGAAACTCTTTCCAGAATCTCAGTCCATAATACTGCAAAGTCAACCGTAGCCTGAGAAAGGAGTTGAGAGCTTGTCGACATCTGCGTCATTACGACACAGTTGTTTCATAGTTCATAAAATCTCTAAACTTGAAATACAACAGGCAAGTGCATATAAAGATGCATCGATTGCGAGCTTACATGAGCACATTAGTAAGCTTTCCACAGTATGCATGACTCCATTTACAAACTATACAAATCCTACCGGTAAAATATCTTTTTATCGAAACAGGATGGTGACACAATGAATCAAATCCTTGGTCTTACTTCAACGTTAGTCTTATATCCGCCTTCTTTGCGGCTACAGTAGGTGTTTCAGGGGTATCACCACCATCAGATAACTCCGCTACAGCCTATATATAATATATTGGGATTATGGCGCCCATCGAGATGAAACAGTAATGTTTCATTCATGCATTAAATATACGACCTCTTGATTGGACGCTAGATGCTTCTTTTTATTTCCAATTATATCTTCTCCTGCAGATTCCTGAAAACATTACAATAAGGTTTTAATAACTGCAATCACTTTATAAAAAGCAACACTCGCGTATCCCTAAGACACAACAATAAACTTAAAATCACAGAATGGATGTGCCCAAAATTTGAATTCAATAATTTAACTACTCCTAAAAATTTCACACATGGACAAAAGAGTCAATTACGTCAATAAATTAAAATGGAGATAAGCGTGTCTGGAGGAAAAATTTGGTTTCAGCCAAAAATTGTTTAGCTAAGGGTAGACTATCAGGTTGTATAGTTAAATTCAATGATTCTGCAATACTCTGAGTCAAGTGTGAGGACTTAACCCTCCAAAAAAACTAGATCACAAATGACAACAATAGTTAAATACTTACATCCGTAGTCGATTCTCTTGAGCGTTTTAATCCTGTGGTCATTAAAACGCCGTTTGATTTATTCTAAAATGTCCATATAACACTATGATTATCCATGTAACACCATGATTATCCAGCTATTTCAACGTAATGATGCTATAAACGTCATCTCATGTTGGGATGACGTCATTTTTTTGTCTTCACTATAGATATCAGAATATTTTTGGTTTACGCTACAGCAGACGTAGCACCTTATGAGAAGTCAGGCAAAATGCATCGTGCAATCAAAAATTTTAAGTTTTTAGTTCATTTAATACAACGTTTTACATAAGTTCATTTTAAGTTTTAGCTACACAACGGTTGTTTTCATAACCACATATAGTTGTCATTCATAATTGCAAGTTTTCTTACGCACCCCAAAGAAAACATTCATATTCTCACTGTCTTGGACGTAGAGCTTTCTTATTTATAGATACGTACTACATTGCTACGTAGACCTTTCTTATTTATAGATACGTACTACATTGCTACGTAGAGCTTTCTTATTTATAGATACGTACTACATTGCTACGTAGACTTTTCTTATTTATAGATACGTACTACATTGCTACGTAGACTTTCTTATTTATAGATACGTACTACATTGCTACGTAGACCTTTCTTATTTATAGATACGTACTACATTGCTACGTAGACTTTTCATATTTATAGATACGTACTACATTGCTACGTAGACCTTTCATTTATAGATACGTACTACATTGCTACGTAGACTTTTCTTATTTATAGATACGTACTACATTGCTACGTAGACTTTTCATATTTATAGATACGTACTACATTGCTACGTAGACCTTTCTTATTTATAGATACGTACTACATTGCTACGTAGACTTTTCTTATTTATAGATACGTACTACATTGCTACGTAGACTTTCTTATTTATAGATACGTACTACATTGCTACGTAGACTTTTCTTATTTATAGATACGTACTACATTGCTACGTAGACTTTTCATATTTATAGATACGTACTACATTGCTACGTAGACCTTTCTTATTTATAGATACGTACTACATTGCTACGTAGACTTTCATATTTATAGATACGTACTACATTGCTACGTAGACTTTCATATTTATAGATACGTACTACATTGCTACGTAGAGCTTTCTTATTTATAGATACGTACTACATTGCTACGTAGAGCTTTCTTATTTATAGATACGTACTACATTGCTACGTAGAGCTTTCTTATTTATAGATACGTACTACATTGCTACGTAGAGCTTTCTTATTTATAGATACGTACTACATTGCTACGTAGAGCTTTCATATTTATAGATACGTACTACATTGCTACGTAGACCTTTCATATTTATAGATACGTACTACATTGCTGGATCAAATAAGACATTCATCAGCATACATACCTCACTTAATGAACCGTCTATAATATCATTATCCGGCATGTTGCGAGATATACCGTTGCTTGATGATCCATTACCTATAGTACATTGTGTAAAATAAACACCTTTTATCCATCTCTATCATTTAAAATACGCAAATGGCGTAAATTGCCTGTAGATTTGTGTTCATTATTCGTTTTTGTGTTTTCCTTCTCAACGTGAATGTTGGCGTTCTCCAAGGAATTCTAATGGAATAAAAACGATGTGGTTAGAAAATGACGATGTTTTAATCAAGAAAAGAAGGCAGGAAGTAACGAAAGAAATAATCTAACGTTCGCCAGCAAGGAACTTTTCTTTTTCGATTTTAAAACACTCGAAGGAAGGTAGTCGGACAATTGTTTTCTGCATGAAAGAGAAAAACTAGAGAATGAGATGACGGTAGATTAAAATTCAAGATAAAGTAATCATCGATGATTTACTTTTTGACGTATTTCACTTCAGTTTTCATTCCTTCTTTGAAAATTTCAGTTGAAACAGCACGAATGTGAACTGATGAAATAAAAAGAATATATAATGTATATGTGAGTACATGCAGGTACATAGGTATATGGCATACATATGTACTTACATCCTGTGTCTCCAAGCTATCACCATAGTAAAATGGTGACTCCTGCACTTGGGACACAGGATGTAAGTACATATGTATACATACGCTATACAAAACGATTAAATCAACAAAATGCTAAAAATTCACAATACCATATAGACAGAGTAAATGGTGAAAATAATAATTAGTTTTTTTTTGGAAGTTGATCTTTACACACCATTCCATCGTAGAAAAATCAATCACCGTCTGATAATACATATACCATAAACATTTTGTTGTGGACAACTTATACCGCAAGAGTTTAGAATGTACCTGTGTTTGTAAAATATTGAATGTCGTACGTAAGATCTAACGTCGCGTTCTCTACAACAGAAACAAAATTTATGAAATAAAACGCGTGCGTTGATTGGTTAATAGCTGAGTTTGCATTAATAGGTGCAAACCGATCTGAGCTCAATCGATTAAATCCATTAAAGAAAATTTGCAAATCAATCATCAATACAAGTTAGAGGAAAAATTAAAACATTTGTTTTTCATTTGTCTGTTTCGCATTATTGTTATTTCATAAAAGAAATAAAAGATGTTTTCCGTGAATAAATCAGCGTGTACAAACACTGTGAACATCTTGTACTTCTTAAATGACGAGGAAAATGAACAAAAGCTTCTTTCCCAATAATCGATACAACCGCCACAACAGTTATTGGACTTATAGAGGTGCAGCTAAGAAAATTACAATATTTTTGTCGACAGAAATAGGATTATTCCTAGATATTTTCTTTGCTTTGAAAATATTTCAAGCTACACCAGTAATTCTATGTGAATTTCTAAGAAAGTAATTACTATTTATTACTGAAATACTGGCTTCAAGGTTTGTCACACAACGATATTCATAAAATTATCTTCTTCATTCTTGACTGCTAACCTGTTTTTTCTAACGCCAATCCAACAAACCATCGACTTATGCAGATATTTTCTTCACAATTCAAAGGTGGATAATGTTTTGGATTAACATGAGCCAGTTCAACGTAAGGTTTATTCTCAAGTTGACTGACCAATAATCGTATTTTAGATTCAACCAAACCAACCCTAAAAAAGGCGCATCTGAAATTCGACAACAAAAATATTTGATGTGGGAGAAAAAAGAGCAGCATGTTATAACCATTGTATGTGATCTTCTTCAGAAGTGGATATAGCACTCAACACGATGTAATGTCTATAAAAATAATTGCATTACGACAAAAACTAAATGCAGTACGTGAAATACAATAGATGATTGAATTGTCCAAGTCAAAATCTACGTCATTCACAGGCTTACTTGTACTTAGTAAAAAAATTAGGCGGCGTGAATAGAGCATGCCAATCTGTTTTGCCAAGGTATATACGTTGAACGGTCTCCAAGCCTAGACAAAATATATTTGCTTAATGGAGCTGGGAAGGGCAAGAGAGACAGGGAAGGGGAAAAGGGTAAGAAAGACAGGAAGGGGGGAAAGGGAAGAAAGACAGGGAAGGGAGGAGGCGTGAATTGACATCACAATAAAACAAAAATATGAATATCTGTGTTGAAGTTATAAGTGATTCACTTGAGAAAAATATTATTACCATCTTCGAATTCACTTTGCATAATCTTCTTGGTGGATGGCGATACATTATATGTTGAGTTTTGTTGTGGATATGCAGGGGTAATGATGGGCATCAAGTGGTAGGCATCTGATGGAGTTATCTACAACATTTGTAACATTAATAAATTAAGTTATTTAAGTGAATAGACTGTTTGAATTGGTAGAAATAAACATAGCAATCTGACAGTTTCGATTCTTTTGGGAAATTAAACATACTCTAGGGTCCCAGACAGGGAATCCAAGTTTATTTTCTGTAGCTAGTTCTTTTAACAAAACAGGATTTGGCCATTTCCTGAAAAGATTGCGAGGAAAATTTCTTGTTCAATAACAATCATTACAAAGATCATTCATTTGCAGGAAAACTTAAAACATGAAGATAGATTAATCAAACCATTTTGAAAAAACCAAAAAGAGCTTTTCCACCAATGTTGAGGGTGCTGCATTAGGATAAAGTTGACAAGTTCTTGCTACCAACATGGCCCATGATACACCACCAAGAAAACCAAGAACATTTGAATAAACACCATGATCTAAACCATAATACATGGATGTTTTCAATTCCAACGTGAATTGCGGATTTACTTCCACTTTTGACATGGCAAAGTAAATACTTCCTTGTTCAAACATTTAATCAAAGAATGCAAAACTCCAGTTGAAACTTTACTTACTTTTAGCCCAGAGTTTGATGACCCTAAGTGTGAGCTTGAATGACTCGTGCTTTGGTACCAATCTAAGAATTTCATCTGTAACCCTGCAACCTGAGAGAGAAATTAAACTTTTAAAGTAATGGAGAAGTTAATGAATGTCAATGGATATTAATAATTGAATACCATTTAAACTTTTTACACATTTTGGGTCAAGATTCTTGAGAAGGCTTTCATCCAGTAAATCGAGATTATCAGGAACTTGAGGAAGTGCAAGTCTTGCAAACAACAAATCCATCTAAATATTCATGACTACTGTTTCAGGTACCATTACAAAACCATAGATCTTTCTTTCATAGAGTTCACAAGAACTTACTTCAATTCCACAAAATTCCATTTTGATAACAGGAACAAAAGCTTCCTTGATTGCCTAACACGATAATTGTTATCAATGACATGAAGTGATTTAGTCTTATTCAAAAAAAAAAAATCACCCTGAGTTCTTTGACTTCCTCATTTTCTTTGAGTATTTCATAAAAAGTATTGAAGAAATCATCTCTGTCAATATGTCGTGGAGCCACCAACAATGTATCTATGTCAGCACCTGCATTTACAAATTTCACATTTCATACAATGTTCAGTATGTTCAACATCACATTTCATATTTTGATTGGGAAACATTTCTGACTAACATTCAATATGCCAACTCTTACGTCAAGGAATCTGTAATATTAATTTGACTAATCCTTTGCTCTGCTGTCAAAAGGATTATGTCTTTAAATTGTTTACTTTTAAATTATGTCTTTAAATTGTGCATGTTTTAAGCATCACCTCCCAGTTCAGGGGTGATGTCATTTTCCTCTTTCTTTATAATATATAGAAATGAATTGTTGGTTTCATTAAAGCAGACGTGATAACTGATGAGAAGTTTCCTGAAATGCATCGTGTCATTAAATTTTACAGCTATCTTGAGAAATGCTTCACAGCTATCTTGAGAGATGTTTTAGAGCTATCTTCAAAGATGTTTCATAGCTATGTTGAGAGATGTTTTAGAGCTATCTTGAGAGATGTTTTAGAGCTATCTTGAGAGATGTTTCATAGCTATCTAGAGAGATGTTTTAGAGCTATCTTGAAAGATGTTTCATAGCTATGTTGAGAGATGTTTCATAGCTATCTTCAGAGATGTTTTAGAGCTATCTTGAAAGATGTTTCATAGCTATGATGAGAGATGTTTTAGAGCTATCTTGAGAGATGTTTTAGAGCTATCTTGAGAGATGCATAGCTATCTAGAGAGATGTTTTAGAGCTATATTGAAAGATGTTTCCTATCTTGAAAGATGTTTTAGAGCTATCTTGAAAGATGTCATATGTTGAGAGATGTTTAAAGCTATCTTGAGAGATGTTTTAGAGCATCTTCAAAGATATAGCTTTGAGAGATGTTTTAGAGCTATCTTGAAAGATGTTTTATAGCTATGTTGAGAGATGTTTTAGAGCTATCTTGAAAGATGTTTCATGGCTATGTTGAGAGATAGCTATCTTAATTAGAACTACACAATTCTCATTCACCAAAACAAACACTATTCAGAGTAATATTGAAGTTTGCAAATACAATCAAGTCTATGCTCAAATAATTATAGAAGACAATGCCCACTTAAATTAAATTCTTATACATATCAACCAACAGCAGAGATATGCGGGGGTGAAATGCAATTTTAAGAATTACACAATACACACCTCTGAGAAAACAAACACAATATATATCTACACTACATAAAATATTTATCATACAATGCCTTATACAATGCCCTAAAAGCAGTGTGCGAATTAGTTCAGAAAAAATGATGTGCAATTTTTTTTGACAAAAGTGTTTCTTTAGAGGCATAATCAACTCGATATTACGTTAATTTTTATATAGCGCTAATTGCTGAATTAATATTTCTAAACGTGAACAAATTCATATGATTTACGACAGTGTTTTTTGTTAAAACCGTTGATTTTTGCACATCGTTTGAAAAAGTGATGTGCAATTGATTTCATTTTAGCTAAAACGATGTGCAAATTGCACATTGCACACCGTTAATTCCACACTGCCTATGAGCAAACAATTAAACTCTGAACATGAATAAATAAGCATAGAAAACATAAACAATCAGACATATCAAAAATGTCGAACAGGCTACTCCTAAAAAGTCAATGTAGTCTGAGCTGTATTCTCATATTAATTACTCTGCACATATTAATACTGGTGTTGTCAAGAACATATCGAAATAAATTATACTACATACCTTTAGTATGAACACCCAATCGATAGGAACCAAAGGTGAAGATCTTTCCACCAACTTGGTCTATTAAATTTTCAGGAATATTCTAAACCAAATATTGAATGTGTTTTCATAAAAAATGCATGATACTAAATCAAGCCAAAAGGGACGCATACCTTTTCTCTACTTAATTGTTTTATCCATTCTTTTACAATCTGATTCAGTTTAGCCAAAACAACCATCCTTAAATAGAAGTGTTCATAAGACTTTGCTAAAGAACTCTTTGATGCTAATTGCATAAAAACTCAGTCGCTGATTAGATGAAAACTCATTGATGCTAATTAGATAACCATGTAAAAAATCAACCAGTTATTTTAATCAAGACCCCCCAGTAACAAAAATCCATTGTCCATTATATTCTCAGCCTTATGTAATATTTACTCAATACAATAACTTATTTCTACAAGACATAGCTGACAAAGACCTTTAACCTTTTCCAACAATATGTGTAATAAATTATGTGTACTATCCACACAAAAAAGCAAAAATGGCCATAACACCAACCTATGTTGAAGGTCTTCTTCACTCTCAAAGACACCATACTCTGTAAGCACATTTTTTAAATTTTTCGTTTGTTGTAAATCCTGTAAATGGAGATATTTTACGACTAAATGGATTGAATTTTGAATTTTAAACACCCAATGATTCTTTAATCTTTGATTAAGGTAGAAAGATTAGTCACTATAACTTTAAGGATTCAATACCTCGGGTTTTGGTTGTGTAAGACTTATTGCCGATGTAACGCCAATGGGTTTAGTCGTCAGTCTATCAAATTGTAATAAATTTACATAAGATTCACACGTCCAAATTTCTAGAAGTCAAATCATAACAAGATATATGAAGCCTTTGGCTTACTTACGTCGACATACTTGCATATAAAAAACATTAGAACCCTAAGAATTTAAACAAATTCAACTCCTCATTTCTACCGTCTGTGCCTTTAAAATACTAAAACATGGCGCCTTCTTCGTAAACCGGATTCGTGCCCAGCCTCCATGAACCGCGCACGATACTTATTCAAAAATGCTACTCTTTTGAAAGTAACTTCTACTTCAACAGAATATTCTAATCCCCAGAATTACCTCAAACATTATTCCCACTTTTTAGATCGTCTAAGATTTTTTGTGACTTCAAAGCAGGGCAGGATTAACCATATGGCAGAAGGGGCGTACGCCCACGAGCCTCCGTGCATTATTCAGTTCTAATACTTTTTGTCGCATCTTCTGATCAATCTGACGGTAAAGATGACACAACTAAAGATGACAACGATGTCACAACGTGGATTCATTGGAATTGTGCATGTATTTAGTCTCAAGATCTCGAACTGTTCTGGAGATCTGTCGTTTTCCAAACGTTCAAGGTTTGTATTCACAGATGGAGTATTGTGAAAAGACTACTCTAACAAAGTTATTTTATCGAGGAGGAATAACACAAGGACCAGCAGATAATGTGGCGGCTTCTCCGTGAGATTGAGGAAGGATTAGTTCCCGTTCCATTCACTAGTAGAAACTTTCGATTGTTTTATGTACTAACTGTATGTATGTCTAACTAAACATGAAAAAAAATGTGAACAATTTTCGTTTAGCTCAATAAATATAAATACAGACTTATTAGTTGCTATTTTTCTCTAATTTTTTGCCAATAGGGTATGATTCAAGTAAACGCGTTCCGACATTTTTGGTTTTCTATTATTGAATAGCATTGTCATAAAGAAAGTTATCCTTCTCGAAATATGTATTTTTCAATATAATGATAGTCATGCTTGAAAACTTCCACTCAAAGCTTCCACTTGAAAAAATGAAGATCGTGAAGATAAACAAGCATTAAAGTGACGAAGAATTTATAGCTACTGTCTTTTAATGTCATATACTTTGTATACATAGATGTCTACATCCGGAGAACAGTATCCAATGCTCAGCACAGCATCTTCTTGGACATCCTTTTATCTCTCCAAATCCCATGTCACACGGTTAAGAAGCAACATCACTTAAGATAAGCTTGACGCTGAAAAGGGTCAAGGGAGAAATCAAAATGGCTGTGATGATGGAGATGAGTATCCTGATTTGATGCCTATTTCTTTCGGTTACGTTGCGAGAAATTCAAGATTTTGGAATGAATTTGAGGTGTTGCAAATGCTTGGAAAAGAAGGCTTTGCTTCATTTGTCAAGGTAACTTGTAATTACATACATTGTTTAAATAGACGGTAATTCGGTCATGTGAAGGAAACTTTGTACGTGATTTGGAAATGCGTTATATACGCTTAGATACGTAATAAATCGGCCGGCTGTCTTTATCTATGCGATCAAAAGAATTCCTTTGAATCCGAAAAGTGTGCTATTTAATCGCACACTTACTCGGGAAGAGAAGTTACTTTCTAGATTGAATCATGAAAATATCGTAAGGTAAAAAGAAATCCACTATCAAAAATGAAACAAAATTTTATAACATAAGGGTTGAAAGCGAGGTTCAATTTAGACGAAACAATTTGCTCGGTTTGTTAAATATTATCTTTGTAGAAACTATTATAAAAAAAGTAGATAATCCCTTTTTTCCATGAAGCCCATGGATGCTTTCGTTCGTGATGAGAGAGTTATATTGTATAAGAAGGCTCTCGTTCATCACGAGAGAATTATGAGAATGTTACATTGTAAAAGGTAATAAGGGAAAAGCGTATAAACATGCTTAGAGTAGGCTTAAATTATCAGTCAAAAAGGCAGAAGTTGTTTGCAGTATCCTTGGATGTTCTAGTTTCTTTTATGAGAAGAATTCTTGTAAAGAAAAAAGACAAATTTTAAAAACAAAAAATCCAGTTTTCGGTCCATGCCTCCCGATACCCCGAGATAGTTGAGCACTAGAGCGTCGCATGTTAATTAAGGGAACCAGATAATTCTTGTTTGCCATGAAGCCCTTGGATGGTTTGCTCGGGATACATGAGAAACATCAAATGAGAGAGTTAAATCAGAAAGATATAAACCAATAAAAATTGTATAAAACATGTTGGAGGTTGTCTTAAATTATACGTGTTAGAAAAAGGCACAGTGTCAGAAGAAGTTAATAAACCATTTTTTTCATAAAATAAACCAAGAACGTTACTTGGTTTATTTTATGAGAAAAAATAAACAAAAAGATAAAATTCGAAAGCAAAAAACCCCGTTTTCGGTCCATGCTTCCCGATACCTTCTTAAGCGTAAGGCACTAGACGCCGCATGTTAACGTTTCGGTAGGAGATTTCGGCCCCTCCACGCTATCCCACTTGGGAGATGCAATAGCAAGCTTCCGCCCATCAGACCCCGAGATCACCTGCGATAGGCTTTGCTCGGGGTACGCAGGGAGAGTGCGGTCGCTACCGAAGTGTGGGCTCCTAAGCCACTGCATACTATATCGCACCCAGCTTCCACTGCTAGTTGACATCTACTATATGAAGTTTTAGCTTTATATATATATATATACATAAATTCTAAGGCTTAGGAAGTTGTGGTATTATTAAAGTCACTACTGCGCATGCCCAGATTATTTCTTTGATAATTTGCGACTAAGTGAGCTAATTGCCACAAATGTAGCGCAAGTACATAAGTTAGTCGTTACCATGACTATGAACAATTAGTCGAGTGGACTGCGCATGCTCGAGCGCATGCGCACATCATTTCTCTATTAAAGTGTTTCTAAGTTTGCTATTCACTTCAAAATCGGTGCTAGTAGATGCAGTTGGTCGTTGCCATGACCATGAATTTGTGCAGCTGGTTAAGTCGACTGCCTATGCTCTAGCAGACTGCGCACGCGCACATGATTTCTCTATTAAATTGTTATGAAGCATGCCATTTGCATCAAAATCGGTGCTAGTAGATGCAGTTAGTCGTTGCCATTGTGAACTTAAAAAATTGTTAAGTCCGACTGCGCATGCTCAAGCTGACTGCGTACGCTTAAGCAGACTGCGCATGCGCAGATGATATATCTGAAAATTTGTGACTGAGGGAGCTAATTACTCTATATAAATTGTATATGTTTCTGCCATGCTGTTTGTCTTCTTAAGCTTGTTAAATACAAACAATATAAAAAAAAACAATATTCCATCGTTCATAATGATCATATAATGATTTAAACACTATTTCAGACTAAATTTCAGCCAAGTTCAAAATGATCATGTTTATCATAACAACCATAACCATAATAACCCTAATGTTCATCCATGAAAAATCTCTCATGATTATTTTCCATTGCTGTGTAAAAATATGAAAACAGACTTTACAGCAGACTCAAAAAACAAAACAGCATAAATTTTATCGCTTGTGAAAAATAGGTACGCAATAAGTAGATAGGTAAGCACACGTTCTCGTCTTCTAGTTAGCAGTTTCTTAAAACTCATTAAAAGATAAGCATAAAATGTCAGAAAAAAGAGAAAATTTTTTTCATTGCATTTCATCTTTCACTAAAGATAACCATAAAATGTCAGAAAAAAGAGAAACTTTCTTTCATTGCATTTTATCTTCCACTAAAGATAAGCATAAAATGTCAGAAAAAAGAGAAACTTTCTTTCATTGCATTTTATCTTCCACTAAAGATAAGCATAAAATGTCAGAAAAAAGAGAAACTTTCTTTCATTACATTTTATCTTCCACTAAAGATAAGCATAAAATGTCAGAAAAAAGAGAAACTTTCTTTCATTGCATTTTATCTTTCACTAAAGATAAGCATAAAATGTTAGAAAAAAGAGAAACTTTCTTTCATTGCATTTTATCTTTCACTAAAGATAAGCATAAAATGTCAGAAAAAAGAGAAACTTTCTTTCATTGCATTTTATCTTTCACTAAAGATAAGCATAAAATGTCAGAAAAAAGAGAAACTTTCTTTCATTGCATTTTATCTTTCTAATAGATAGAAGTTGTATCAAAGGGGGAAATATCACGACAATATTTTGAATTTGAAGTGTCAATACGTGATGTGTGTGCATAAATAATTGACAACAGGAAACCCACAAAATATAAATATTTTTCTCAACTCATATGCATCCTTAATTGACAACAGTAATATCTTATGACGTAAGCTTTCCCTCAACTCATAAGGAACTTTAAGCATATCAAAGTTAAGATCATCATCACTTCCTCAAAAATATGTCCCCCCTCCCTCCCATACAATTTCAGAAACTACTGCACAATGTAGAATGAATAGACACCCTAATTGAGGTTACTTAGTAACCATATTGAATGATCATGGAAACGGCGCGCGTGGACTAAGAACGAGATTCCATACAGCGCATGGTATTTATGTCCACCATCTCCAGCGCATTCATTTTTCACATGACGCGTTACAGAAAAAAAAATGGTTAAAATTTTTTTTGCCTTTCTAAACGTTGTCATGAAGTGGATCAAGATAGAGATCAACTCATGGATCAAGATAGAGATCAACTCATGGATCATATTGAGCTTAGTAACCATATTGAATGATCATGGAAACAGCGCGCGTGGACTAAGAACGAGATTCCATACAGCGCATGGTATTTATGTCCACCATCTCCAGCGCATTCATTTTTCACATGACGCGTTACAGAAAAAAAAATGGTTAAAATTTTTTTTGCCTTTCTAAACGTTGTCATGAAGTGGATCAAGATAGAGATCAACTCATGGATCAAGATAGAGATCAACTCTCCGTGATAACGATTGATCTTTCATGCAAAGTCTCGTAAGCATTATCCTAAACTCCCAGCCTTTACATCGTGCAAGTAAAACATTTGATATGAGATGAGTATGGAAAGTTTACTGTGGATCAATAAATTTATCTATGTCATTCAGGTTAAAAAATTTGATTTCAACATAACTGCTTGGCTAATGAAAAAATACAAAATAAAATTACTTGGTCAACTAATTGACTTACATAATGATGACGATAACGAAAACATGATCACGCTAAAGACCGCAACTATAAGAATAATAAAAATACTACAATAATCACGTGACATGCAGGGCTTACAAATACAAGGGTCAATGCAAGCGTAGTTTACAAATTGAAAATTACAAAGGACTAAATTAAATTGACAATGCCATAAATAGAAGCAAATCGATCGCTAAACCACACAACATATGGCAGTTCAGCAGCATGGATGTGCAGGCTCATTACTCAGAGTTATTTTTGAAAGAACTAGCAAAATAATGATGTCGCATATACTATTAGCTACGATAATTTTGACGACGACATAAATCCTTTATCCGTTGCATGAAGACACCTTAACCGTTTAACCGAGAAATCTCACGTGATAAAAACACAGAGCATATGAACGATGAACTACACATTATCTTTAGTAAATAATAAACCAAATACGTTTAAATGCAAGCAATATTTTCGTAGTAAATGATAGGTCACGTCATTCCACAAGAAAAATAAACCTCAAATTAATCCATTTTTCCATAAAAGACTTTTCACTTGTTACTCTCTAATGAACAATTAAAATCAATCATGGGCCAGCAGCCTTGAACTATAATTAGCAGAAATGGCAGAAAGTACAAAATAAATAATGGGGTAATGGAGGCTTTAATATACAATATATCATCCACTATGGATATGACACTTTTCATCTCGACAATTCTCAACTACACTTTTTTCTTAAAATATCCTTTGATAAGTCCTACGATAGCCTGTGTTGTTTTTTTTTACTTCTGTATGTTTTCGCTTATTTTACACCTGTAATTAAATTGACAATTGTACTCAATACATTAAAAATAAAAACGAAAACTCTCTCTAATGAAAACGTGGACTTTAACGATTACAATGAGCAATTTTTTCAAAAATACACACGACAAAAGCACGACTTTTTCACTACAGACTGGGTGTGAGGTCATTTTGAGTCGTGACAAACCCATGACATTGGTAAGGGGCGCAATACCAAAAACATGGATACTTTGGCCGTTACAAAAATTGATCACTTTTGAAAAATGATAAAAATTTTTTTTGGATGACATGTGTAAATCACAATTCATGCTAAATATAAAATATAAAAAATCCAGGGGAGAGAAACAATTTTGTGACATCAGCAAATTACAAGATAGTCTGAAGAGAAAGCAGAGACATTTTACATGTTGCAGCTGTTTCAAAAATCTTCCATCTGCATCGGAATGTCCACTCAGAAAACATATTAATTCATAATTAATTACGCTGGGCTGAGGTTAGGCGTGACCGAACATATTTATTAATACTTCAATTTTCTTTGACAAAATACACTTCAATCTTTTTACAGTTTCTATCAAACGATTAAATAAATAGAAAAATATACCACGCATTTAATTGCTTCACATGGAGTCCTTCAACTACAAGAATAATTTGACTTAATTGAACAGAGTATGAAGGGAAACATTTGTAAACGATTAAGTCGACCACTGAAGCATTGTGGGATGCCTGCATGTTAATGAGTCAGAGAGTAAAAAGCCTTTTCAATTTGAACGGAAGATGAATCGTTTGGCTGCGACGCAAACAACACTCCTCTTTTGAATTCAACCATTTTGCGTCAGTTATCAAATTGAATAGTGGTAAATCACCAACACGATTCTGTTTACCACCATGAAAATGATCCAAATATTCAAAAGCCAATTTCTGTAGATTACATCTGTTTTTTATTGCTGACAATTAGCGCTCGAATGGGTAGTATTTGGACTGTGGGAGTGCTGGCTTTCTTTAGTGTTTCTTAACCATCAAAGTTCATTTTATAACCATTTCAAGTTCGACGAAATAATGCCAAAGTTTGGAGGCGTAGCTGCGCAAGCAGCTGTAAGGTGAGCAGAGAATACATCTCACTCTTCTGCATGTTGTAAATATATGTGTGTACAAAACGATGACCCCTTTCATTTGAAAAACATAAAATTTTATCAAAACAGCGGACAGCCGTTATTTAACTACCCACGCAATACAGAACATGCTACTAACGAACAAAAGGTTTGAAAAGATGTCTTTTCATACGTCTTTCTGCCATGTTCAAAAAAATAAATAATAAATTAAATGCGTCAAGGAAAATGTGAGCATTTCTTGGGGGTAAATGAACGGCAATTTTGGCGTTTTTTGGCAAACGTTTAATTACATAAATAGAGACAAGACATGCACAAGAAGAAATTGTGAAAAAATGAAAAATGCCGTCCGTACATATCACTCATTGAGAAGGAACAAAAACTGTATTGTGGTTTCTTGTTCCAACTTAAAGGACAAAAGATCAAAGCATTTTTGCATAACATTCTCAAACTCAAAAACACAATAAAATAATGAAGAAACACTTCAGGCTGCTTCAATACAAAGCGCGAAGCTTTCAAAAGCGTGTGCATGGGCGTTGCGTTTCGCTACAAACAAAGTCAAAACAAAATAAGTAGAACAGCGTAAAAAATGAATGCAGGACAAATAAAAAAAATTCGTCTTTGCATTGTATTTCGAGTTTTTCTTGAAAATAAATACCAAATGAATCCTGATAAAAGTGTTTTGAATTGCAGCAAATAGCATCACATCCAAACTCAAATAAAAAATGCAAACTTAATTTTAAAGCTTTCTCAAGTTCATGATAAAAAAGGCAGATCATACACGTTAAAGTCGTAAGTAGTAACAATATTGTCTCAACGTTAAGACTTTTGCTTCTATAAAAAATCATAATTGCATGGAAATCTATTTTGCCAGTCCATGCAACGTTAGATATACAAAATCCATGTCTGATATTGACAAGAATACCGAGACAGATGGCAAAAAGACTTCTGCCCATATTTGTCGTGGCGATTCTCATTACGCAACTTGTTGCATCGCAAAACACTTCTTCCACCACATCTTTAAAGTTTTCGAAACAACCTGTGTCTCATTAGGACTCACGAGTAACAATATGTACCTAGAGAAAATCATCACAAAACACAAAATAAAAGCGAATAAAAGCCTTGAATATCAGCAATCGTCGTTAATCGCTTTGGGCAGACGAAACCATCTGCCGTTTTTTGAGGAATATCGTCCAAAGTTTTTACAATGAGTACACACATCCAAGGTGGCAAAAATGCAGATGTTTAATTATCATATGACACCGCGTACATATAAACACATGTATACAAATATTAGCATCCGCTTGTTGTCATTACTTAGCTGAAAATGCGCTAATTGATAGCATTCTACAACTTACACCTCCTTTGAGCAAGAATAAACTGCCAGTTATAGGGCGATGTAGAGGGACACAGTCAACAATGAACTTCTTGTCGATTATACAAAATCAACAAAACCGGGATGTTATTATTTATGAATGGAAAAGCAAAGCAAATATTTTGAAAAATAAGAAGCTGTTTGCACAAGAATATTTACTAACGTATGCTATATGAGAACGGAGAAAACTTTTTAATTTAAACCACTGCATAGCATTCAAAAAGACACTTTGACGCAACAACAATCACGATAAGATTTGAAGTATAAAAATGTCGCCACACTGAAATTCGGGTTTTATTAAAGAATTTTTCCAAATAGGTTTGTCGCATTATAAGGGTAACTTACGCCCGATTCTTTAAAAATATAAGTAAGGCAAGCCCTTGGCATCAGACAAAGCTTTGTACCAAAAATGCTTTGGAATTTTGAGTGACTACTTTATCATTACTAGATAATTTGAAGCCTCATTTGGCCAAGAACAACTTACTTTAAGTTTGGCAGCACTTCCTACAGTAACGTATAACTAGTGCTCTCTCATGTCGAGTGGGAATGAGTGTATCTATAAGAAAGAATTTTATTTCATGATCTATGGGTAATGGCCATCAATGGTAATGGGATATTATATAGCAGATAAATTATTGAAATTTTGAGAGTACATAAACGACAGATTTAAAAAACACACAACCGATGTCCAAAACTCCTGAAACAAGGAAAAAGCTTGAGTCAAATTCTTGCCGTGTATATTAACTGATACAGCGCGCCGAGTATTAAATGATCTTCCTCGAGAGTGAAAGAATTATTTTATTTTATTTTGAAAGTGCAATCTTTGTGAATGACTTGATGTTCTATATAAGTGTTTACAGTCAAAGTTTGAACAATGCTCACACGAATAAATCAAGAGACAAAATTACTTAATTAACAGATGCATAAAAACCCTTCGGGCAAGAACATTTTTATGTAATTCATATAAAATTTGTACAACATATAAAAACACTTTAATTATCTGATCACAATCCACGTTTTCATCAACAATATTCATCAAGTAGCTGGTGTGGAAAAAAAAGGAAATAATTTTTCGACCTGAATACTGAAAGTAGCTATTCAGTAAACGGAAAATCGTACCAAGTGTCCAACCATAATACTTTCCATACAAAGCACCAAGGGTAACCAAAACGCTTTGCAATTTACCAATCACAAGAGAGATCTCCTTGTTAGACGCATATTTAGCCAACCTCAATTCCCATCATGCTCACGGGCCGTATAGATACATTATTATGTGACAGGTGTTTTACACTGCATTTGCAATTTCTAATATGTTTACAACTCTTATTGTCATGGAGTTTTCATATATCACGTCTCATGGACGCGACGTTCATTTTCCTTCAAGTTATTACATTCTTGTGCGATAGTCATCACCAATTCACAGCTCGAGAGACGAGCTGGGATAGAGCTATCCCGTAAAAAAAAAAGTTAGACGACAATCGGAAACGAGAAAGACCAAAGAAATCGTTTGTGTTTTTACAACTCAAATGTCTTCTTCAATTTGCTGACAGGCGCGGAGTACAAACTGACGTAAAAATATCTTCAAAAACTATGCAAGCGGCACAAGTCTTGAAAACTCATCGCGAAGCCGTCGAGTCTCGAAGAGAAGAAGATTACCGCGAAGAGAACGAAGAAAATCTTAACAACGAATTCGATGCTGAAGAAGATGAAGTATTAATTCAAGTACCAAAATACTTACAGGGAGTTCCATTAGTGGACGCTCATAGTGAAAATTCTGATGAGGTATTATAAATAATTGTATACACATGATAAAACATTATGAAGTTTCTAGCCGATGTGCGTGGAACGGAAATATGAACAGTCATTACAAATTTCAAACATATAAATGGTGTAAAAAAAGCGTATCGTTCGATAGCAAAAACAATCGTTTTTTCTTAATAAAAATTCAAGTCACAAAGAATCATGAAATAGTATGATGGAGATCCTCTTCATCAAGAAACAAATTTGTGGTTTCAAAGAATCCTTTAAATGTACTTCCTTTAAGACAAAATGCTTGAAGCTTTTATCGCGAACATCAAAACAGCAAAGCACTTAGTTAAAGAAAGCACTATCCTTGTCTTTAGCGTAAAGATATAGGTAAAACGTTGATTTAACGGCTCATTTCTCTGGCAAAATAACTACCGCGTTATGGACGAAAATTTTAAATTAGGAGGAAATTGACAAGTTAATTTTAGTGACTGGTACAACGCAGGTTATCCAAAGTCACTATTCTAGCTCAGCGTCAAAAATGTAATCGACAGCGTTAAAAAAGTAATAATGCGTACTTGTATTATAAAAGGAAACGGTTGTACTGAAACGAACAAATTTTCATGTGAGCGGCAGTCCAGATGTTGATGTATGTACAAATGTGTACAAACATGTACTTGAGATATAACTGAACCAAAATTTGTTGCAGGAAAATTATTTCATTATTCTAGTGGAAATACCAAAATTTGAGATCAGTATAAAAAAAAGTAGCGATTATCAAGAATTGATTGCTTTAACATCGCTACAAAAGTATAAACTTGTTGCCGCTAGCAAAGTATGAAGAACTGAATTTTCAGACAATATAGCAGCAAATAAAAAAATTATTTTCCCAAAGACGACGAGCAGTTTTTACCAATGAAGTATTTTGAGATGAACACAGGCTGAAGGATTGCTTATCCAGAGATCTATCTCACGTCAGAAATTGATAAAGTTTTTCCCACACTCTGTATAAACCATCCGAAAGTTAAAAATGATTTAAATGTTTTTATTCAGATGACAAAAAACCTTAGACCAGACTACTAGAGATGAGCTTGCAGAAATGTTAAAGAAAATTTTATGCCGAACAAAAACGACCAAGTTCATTAAAACAAAAACTAATATCAAATAGAATATGAACATGAAACTATACTATGAACACGAGAAACGTCGAATTGTAAAACGAACGAACAATATGAACATGAAACTATACTATGAACACGAGAAACGTCGAATTGTAAAACGAACGAACAATATGAACATGAAACTATACTATGAACACGAGAAACGTCGAAGTGTAAAACGAACGAACAATATGAACATGAAACTATACTATGAACACGAGAAACGTCGAAGTGTAAAACGAACGAACAATATGAAATGCTGAATGTATTAATTACAAGTCGTGAAAACAAAATACAAGAACACTATAAAATGTGCTTGTTAGAGCACAAAAGAAATTTTGGAGCCCATTTTTCGGTTGAAATTCCATGCATCTATACGATACTGGTGATATTTGCGGTCGTAAAGATCGTTCTGCCATTAGACTTATTGATATTTAATGAAATATTTATCTCTTTAACGAATGACTTGCTGAGCACATAATGCGCATAAGTTTAATTATTCATGTAGTATATACAAATATATATACTTCGTTTTATTATCCATAAAATATTCGCTAGCTAAGACGTATTTTAACAACCATGATTCTCGACAGAGATTCTCAAAGTTTTTCAAATATTACAAATGTTTAACTCAGATTCTGACATAGTATAAATCCGACTGAAGAGAGGATGTAGAAACTTATATAATTAATACATCCATGTGTATTTGACTAAATATAAGCAGCATGAGTGACAGGTACCTGTCCGAAAGCTTTAGTGAAAATATTTTAGTAAAAGGACATTATAAAAGGCGTCACGCTAGTCTCATTTTCAAAGTACTTCACATTTACAAGAAAAAAATCCCAACTCAATACATTAATAATAGTCCATAATGCAAATGATACCGTTGACATCACATACACGTGATATTCGCTTGCAGAATTTTTAGACTTCAAATAAAATCTTTCGGCAAATTAAATCAAAAAGCTTGAAATGTGATATCACGAGGTATATATTAAGAATGATAGACAGAAAATAGCCACTAGCGCGATTTAAGCACTTAATTTCAATTGTAGACCTATATAGTCATTCAGAAGAATCTGGCAGGAATTCTTCAGGTGAACAGATTTTCTTCCTCGAAATCCTGTTATCTCTTTGGACCACGAAATAAACTTAGAAAATTCACGTGTTACATCATTACACATCAGTATCCTTTTCATAGACTTATCCTCTTTTTTTTTTTTGGGGGGGGGAGACTCAACCCTGCCTGAAAACACAGGGTGAGATGAAAATGTTGGGGAAAGATTCAACTCTGTCTGAAAACACAGGGTGAGATGAAAATGTTGGGGAAGATTCAACTCTGTCTGAAAACACAGAGTGAGATGAAAATGTTGGGGGAGATTAAACTCCGCCTGAAAACACAGGGTGAGATGAAAATGTTGGGGAGATTCAACTCTGCCTGAAACACAGGGTGAGATGAAAATGTTGGGGAAGATTCAACTCCGCCTGAAAACACAGGGTGAGATGAAAATGTTGGGGAAGATTCAACTCTGTCTGAAAACACAGAGTGACATGAAAATATTGGGGGGGGGAAGATTGAACTCCACCTGAAAACACAGAGTGAGATGAAAATGTTGGGGGGGGGGGAAAGATTCAACTTCGCCTGAAAACACAGGGTGAGATGAAAATGTTAGAGGAGTGAGTAAAACTAAATAGAAATTTTAGCAAGGAGTGTAGAAAACAGTTTTCTCAGCATGGATTATGGGAAACAATTTTCTTAGCATGGATTATTGGAAACAGTTTTCTCAGCATGGATTATTGGAAACAGTTTTCTCAGCATGGATTATTGGAAATAGTTTTCTCAGCATGGATTATTGGAAATAGTTTCTCAGCATGGATTATGGGAAACAATTTTCTTAGCATGGATTATTAGAAACAGTTTTCTCAGCATGGATTATGGGAAACAATTTTCTTAGCATGGATTATTAGAAACAGTTTTCTCAGCATGGATTATGGGAAACAATTTTCTTAGCATGGATTATGGAAACAATTTTCTCAGCATGGATTATAGGAAACAATTTTCTTAGCATGGATTGTATCAAACAGTTCTTTTAGCATTTTGAAAAATAAAATTGTGGATATTCTGTCGACACATTGTATTTGTTCTTCTTTAACGTACAATTATAGAATATTCGAATTTGTAATTTTAATAACGATTTTAACCAACTGTATCTTTTTGGCGTTAAATAGACCACCCAAGATCTCAGAGTAAGTCATATTCATTAATTACTAGTTATTTAGCTTCAATTATTTAATATTTTGTCCACGTTTAGGTACGTTTTTGCGATCATTTACACGATAGAAATGCTTCTAAAAGTAGTCGCCAAAGGTTTTGTGTTTCAGAAATACGCATACCTAAGAAATTCGTGGAATTGGCTGGATTTTATTTGCGTTATGATAGGGTAAGCAAGCTCAATCATATTGATTGATTAAAGGAAACTTCTAGAGAGTAAAACATATTTCTCCATTATGTTTTTTTTAGCTATCTAACTTTTATACCGTCAATCTCAAACATTTCCGTAGTTCGAACATTTCGAGCTTTGAGAGCTCTTCGAACAATATCAGCAGTAAAAGGTAGCAATGACGAAGTAAATTGTAAGGTCTAAAAACTTTCATATGGACCAGTGTTTGATGACATTGATTCATTCATTCATTTCAGGTTTAAAAGCAATGGTGAACACTTTAATGAAATCCATTAAAATGCTTTCGGACGTGATGATCCTTACAGGGTTTTTCATCTGCGTTTTTGCTTTGATTGGTCTTCAGCTTTTTAAAGGAACGCTACGAAATAAATGCATAAAGCATGGATTCACCATGGAGAATGGAGACGACTGGCATCTGTATGTTAATAATTCAAGTAAGAAAACGACAAGAAAAGAAACTTTCTTTTAGATTATGCTTTCACTCTCCAAGCCTACAACAAGTCAAATTTTTTTGTTCCAGGTAACTGGTTAATTAACAATGACTTCCCTTTTGTCTGTGGAAACAGTTCTTATGCCGGGTAAGTCATATCTCACTCAATGTAATGTATTATGATAGTTACGTTGAGAAAGCAAGCAATTTAATTCGCCCAAAGCCTTGAGCTAAAACAGTTCAGTTGCGGTAGTTGCAGTTCGAACACATTCAAAGAAAAAGAAATAAAGAAAATTTTGGTTTGACTAAAGGTTTGACTGAGATGAAATTTTTGCCTGGATTTAACAGAAAACTTGAAAAAGATACAAGTCAAACAACAGAAGAACTAGAAAAGAAAAAAAATCAAATGCCCGTTTTCTGACGTAGGAATCAATGATTCTTATATGACGTAGGAATCAATGATTCTTATATGACGTAGGAATCGAAAATTCTTATATGACGTAGGAATCAAAGATTCTTATTTTCTTATCCCGTCCAGAATTTTGTAGAATTTCTTTAATGGCAACTTCCTTCATTCTCACCACATTTAACTAAACTTTGTGAAAAACAAAGGAAAAGGTGAAAATCATGAGTAAAAATTAAAGACTACTAACTAGATTCATCAAAGTAAAAGAGCGTTGTAAAATAATTCTACTTGCCATCTTAAACTATGACGTTTCTTTTCATTTTAGTCACTGTCCAAAAAATTACACGTGTATCAAAGATGTTGGTGAAAATCCTCCAAAATCACTGACTCCTTTCATCTCCTTCGATAATTTCCTCTGGTCGCTGTTGACTTCACTACAGCTTGTTACGCTTGATTCTTGGGAGTTTGTATATAACTCGGTAGGATATGATGATTATAAAATACAGTGTTACCATAGCAGAGTAACAGTGAAGCAGCCAGCATAAAATACAGTGTTACCATAGCAGAGTAACAGTGAAGTAGCCAGCATAAAATACAGTGTTACCATAGCAGAGTAACAGTGAAGTAGCCAGCATAAAATACAGTGTTACCATAGCAGAGTAACAGTGAAGTAGCCAGCATAAAAGTTTGGTCGTGCCTATATGTTAATACAATACGAAAAATAAAAAACCATCGTTTCTTTTTAAGGTTATTGGTGCTAATGGACAGATGTACGTTCTTTACTTTCTCTTTGTTGTTCTCTTGGGTCCATTCTATCTCATCAACTTAGTTCTCGCTGTCGTTTCATTATCCTACGAGATCGAGTCGGCAGCTTTACAAGATGAAGAAAAAATGAAGGAAAATTATGCAGCATTAAAGAGAAGCGCGTCCACTTATGACTTTGATTGTAAAGAAATGCCCGAACCATTATATTTAGACGATATACCTCAGCGTCCTGACGCTCACGTGACTCACACAACAGAACACAAGCCTTGAGTCGCAGCCCGACACCACCTACGTCACACAACGCACTAGATTTATTCGAGCATCAGGATCAAAGAATATCAGGCTGTTGTTCTGGGTTTCGGGCTCACATCAATAAGATTGTTGAAAGCTCTTTATTTGAAGGATTCATCACTACCTGTATTTTATTAAATACTTTGTGTATGGCACTAGAACATCATGGGATGAACGAAACATTCGCCGAAGTTTTGGAGATATGTAATCTGGTAAATATCTAGCTTGATGAAATTGTCTATTGTATCCTTGGTCATTCACATGCAATCATAATTCACCATAATTTCCTAACAATACAATTCTGATTAATTCTTTATAAAATTTATTCGTTGCAAAATGGCATAAGAATCTTGACACTTTTTTTCCAATATTTTTCCAAAGACATTCACGATAGTCTTCATCTTGGAAATGATCCTGAAACTTATAGCGCTTGGCATCAAGAAATATGTTTCTATTGCGTGGAATTTGTTCGATGGTGTGATCGTATTAATGAGTATAGTTGACATGTCATTGGAATATTCAAATGCAAGTAGCGGTGCAGGTGGTGCATTGAGTGTACTAAGAACTTTTCGATTGGTAAGTTTACCATTTTGAGTTCATCTTTAAACAGACCTTAGTACCAGAGGCGTAACAAGAAAGTTAATTTGGAGGGTGGGGTGTATATTCATATATTCAGTTGTGCCCGATTGATTTCTTATGAATATGAATTGGCTTTCAAAACAATTCAGTCAGGCACAACTTAATGTATGAATGTACACACACAACCCTCTTTCAATGAACTCTCTAGCTACGCCTCTGCTTCATACAATTCATAGCTTCACCATTGCTATACTTTAGCATAATAGAGACGACATTCTTATCATTGGTTGTGAATCCGATAGTATCTACCATTGCAAATCCCAAATCACCCGACGTGATTATAAATTACTGGTGCACACATTGACATAAAAAAGAAACATTCAATTTCTTTACCAGACTGCTGTAAAATGTTCTCTAAGTTTTTCTCTTCAACCACTAATGTCATTTTAGCTTCGGGTGTTGAAGTTGGCAAAATCCTGGAAAACAATGGGTAATCTTTTGGCCACGATTGGTAAAAGTGTGAGGGCTGTAGGCAACATAACAGTAATACTATTGATTCTAATGTTCATATTTGCTGTCGTCGGTATGCAAGTATTTAGTTCTTCATATACGACTAAAAAATTCGAAGGTCGCGTACCACGATGGAATTTTAAAGATTTTCCTCGATCATTCATGATGGTGTTCCGAATAATCTGTGGTAAATGGATCGAACCATGTTGGGATGTGATGCATGCATCGCATTTAGTGTCGTTTATATATGTTATCCTTGTATTTATCCTTGGACAATGGATTGTGTTGAATCTGTTTCTGGCCTTGCTTCTTAGCTCGTTCGGGGGGGATTCGTTGGAGGAGGTGAGACAAATCGTTGAATAAACAATAAATTCCAAACTCTTGGATAAGCAAATGCTATTTCCTGATTAGGCAGTAATTTTAATCCTAGCTTCCTAACTTCGATAAGTAATCCATCCCTTCTTGAAGACTCTTCGTAATCCTAATCCCAGAAAGAGTAACAACTTAAGTACGTCGATCTTTCAAGTGTGGATTTAATCGGGGCACTGATGTCTGTACTTATTATAGGAAAAGGAAAAGCAAACTAAGCAAAAAAAGAAAAAGAGTTTACTCGAAATATTCAGACGTAAGAAAAAGCGTAAGATAACACCAAACGCATCTAATCAAGATCTTGACAAATCAGATGAAGATATCAAAAAAGCAAAAGAAACTGAAGCAGGGTTAAATTTGTCCAATGGAGGTGACACAGGAAATGGAAATGGACTAAGAAAAGGTAGGTGGATCATTATATGATCAGAGTATGGTTTCATGGGATAGCACTAAGAAAATGTAGGTAAATTATCAGATGATCAAAGTATGGTTTAATGTGATAGCACTAAGAGGAGGTAGTTTCTTTACAAAGAAGTGACAATCACCACATTATTAGCGAAAGAAAAGAAAGTGGGTGATTTTCTATTCTACGCTTAGACGAGAATGCGTGTAGTGACACGGAAAGTCTTGTCAACGTCACAAGAATTGATGGTGAAATGTCTCAGCCTTCGTTTCCTCTCAGTGTTGTTGTCGATGAAGCACTAGCACGCGCCAAAAACGTCCCCTATAATCCACAGAATGAACCCAAAGAGTATCTTAACGTTGCAAACAGAAACGGAGCACATGCTGTTCCAAATGGAAATTCCCATAAAGGTAAACTACATATTAAAATATGTCTGTTTCAGAGGAAATATAGTCAACAGCCAGCGAATGTATATGGAAATATCATGTTTTAACAAACAAGTTTGTTATGTGATGGCGAAGTTGGATGTTTACAAGTAGATCTAGGATGAGCCAGTTTTTGCATTAAGTCAGATTATTAGTTAACATAAACAACTTCCACAATACAAACATACAATATGTTACACGCTGTTCTCAATTTTAGAGTCAAATTTGAATCTTGACCTACAAATGTTAGGATTCAATCCAACTTTGGTAAATCTGAATGGCGATAAACGGGAATCCATGCAGAGTCCAATGGGTATTATGAGAAAAGGACGAACCAGCTCAACAAGAAGTGGCAGACGACCCACAATGATAGTTATTGGCGAAGACGGCGCACCAGTCGCCCCAAACTGTTATCCAACATTTTGTTACGATAATGGAACGTGTTTCGCGTGTTGCAAATGCTACAGAACTTCAAAGACACGAAAACTATGGACAACCGTACGAACCAAGATTAATTTCTTCGTAGAGCACAAATACTTTGAATCGTTCATCTTGTTCTTGATTGTCGTCAGTAGTTTATCATTGGTAGGTGACCGTAACTTTCCCATATTTTTGTCACAAAGACATTTTTATATTAAGGGTAGCTATGTCTTTTAAATAAGCAAAAAATACAACAGCATGCAGCTGTAGTTCTTTTATATCTGAAGGAGTATGTAAAATGATCTGGAGAGCTAATAACAATTCACTTAAAACATTTGTTTCTTGATCATAGGCATTCGAAGACGTCCATCTTAAAAAACGCCCAACGCTAAGAAAGATTCTGCATTATTCAAACTACTTCTTTGCCGTTGCCTTCGCTCTCGAATTTCTACTTAAGCTCATTGGCTATGGTGTAGTTGGATATTTTACAAGCTTTTGGAATCTGCTTGACGTCTCTATTGTCGCCGTAAGTATAGTTTTCATCGGTATGGTTGATGTTGCAATTTATAGCAGACCAATGTTTTTCGACTTTGTTATCGTTCAGATATCAATTGCAACGTTATTTGGTAATGAGAACCTAAAAGCACTTCGTTCATTGAGAGCCCTCAGGCCACTTCGCGCTGTCTCAAAGTTTGAAGGCATGAAGGTATGGGATTGTTATAGCAACTGCAGAAGCACTTTGCATTATGTCAAGCGCTCTTCGACTAAAAAATGCAATTGTCCACAGAAAGAGAAGGAAGAGGCCCTTCTCCAGTACTGTGTTCAAAAGTAAATAAGCCAATGCATCAAATCTTGTAGCACATAATACTCGAATTAGCAAAGTAGACTTAAATAGGCTACATACAAAATTGCTCAAAATGCAGAAATCAAAAACAGTTTCGTAGTCAATAACAGTATATGTGTAAGCTTCTAATAAGGACTATGAATGTTATGTCATGATTTTTTACACATTTTACACGAGTACTTCAAATGTTCCCTCGTGCACCGTTTTTATCATGATGTAAACACATCAATTGCTCTCTTGTGTACCGTTTTGATCATAATGTAAGTATATCAAATGCTCACTCACGTACCGCCTTTAACAAAAAATAAGCGTAAGCGCCTGAGCCAGAAAGTGCTGAATGCGATGAAAGTACAAACCAATCTTATTCATTACTAATTATTACAGGTTGTGCTCAACTCGCTTGTTCTATCACTACCAGCCATAGGAAATGTTGTTTTAGTCTGTTTGGTGTTCTGGTTAATATTTTCGATAATGGGCGTTCAGTTCTTTGGCGGAAAGTTCTACAAATGCGTAAACGAGGAAAGCGGAGAAAGGTATCCGCCTAGTGTGGTTCCAATGAAAGAAAATTGCACAGGCACTAACAGACGATGGATCAATTCCAAAATTCATTTCGATAACGCTCTTGCTGGTTTTCTTGCTTTGTTTCAAGTGGTACGTTTTTCTTTTACTTTCTTTATCATGAAAACTAATCGATGGATAATGGGTGATATCGATGGATAATGGATGATATCGATGGATAATGGATGTTTTCTTTACGGGTGCTCTAATTTGACTGTGGATGTCACCGTGTGCCATGACAGAGTTTTTTTAAATTTTTTTGCTCTTGCTTAATTGCTAGGTATACTAATATTTCGAAGGCAAATTGACAACACACATGCACTCCCTAAGTAAATTCCTCCCTGATAGATTGGTGTAAAAAAAACATGAGGATAGTAGAAACGTTTGATAGAGAATGATTAACGTAACTACAGAACTCGTTTAGATACTAAATGAATGAAATCCTTTGCAATGATAGGCCACCTTAGAAGGTTACATGGAAGTGATTTTTGACTCTGTGGATGCAACAGAGGTATGTAAAAAAAACGTACTGAAGATAACAATACGAAAAACTGCTCCCGGTTTCGTAATCTCAGCTTCTCTCTTATAGAAAAATCATCAGCCAAAGACAGAAGCAAAATATGAAATGAATTTCTTCTATGTTGTGTTCATCACATTGGGTTCTTTCTTCATTTTGAATCTATTTATCGGTGTTATTATCGAAAACTTTAGTAAACTCAAGCAACAGGTAAAAACAAATAAACATAATAATCACATTTTTATATATTCATTTAAGAGAACTTTTAAAATGACAACGGACTTTTTAAAACAATTGATATCTCTTTTCAATCTTTTGTTTTTGTTAAGTCCGTATTGTATAAATAATCCCTGCAAGTTTATAAATACCTTTCAGTTTCCTGACAATTTTTGGATGAAATATTTATGTAAAATTTATACCATTAGCACTTCAAAATGACAGGAGCTAAGTCGGTTGAACTAGCTTATCAGCAAGTTTTCTTGACAATTCTTGTTATAAATTAAAATGACTTCAATATCTTGAGAACAAAGACATAAATAAACCGTATTAAAATGTCTGCTGTCATTTTAAGAGTTCTCTTAAATAAAAGTAAAATTTAAATAAGTACAAACATAGTTTTACTGGCACTGTAATACCTTGTGCCGATGATTTTCAGTACGAAGACAATGATGCAATGGGGATATTTTTGACACCAAACCAAAGAATTTGGGTGAACACAGTTAGTAGAACATACATGAAAAAACCAAGAAAACAGCCTAAGAGACCAAAGGTAAATAAAAACAAACAATAAAAATAAACAACAGGCAACAATAGCGAGACCTCTCATCCAAAAACCTGATCAAAACTTTTTCAGGCTGAATGGAGGGGAAAAGTATATGATTTCGTTCAAAGTCGGTCGTTCGAGTTCGTTATAATGGCAATAATAATACTCAATATTCTCACAATGATGGGCGAGCACCATGGGCAGTCGGAGAAATTTACTGAGGGATTGACATATCTCAACTATATATTCACAGGACTATTTGTCATTGAAGCCATACTGCGCGTGATTGCTCTAATGTCTGACTACTTCAGGTCAGGATGGAACCTTTTCGATTTCACCATTGTCATGTTTTCAATAACAGGTATGAAGTTGTCACTCTTCATTCAGCGTGTAGTCATGGAAAGGGTTTTATTATAAGATTGCAAGACTACAAGTATACTTCCATTCAATAAGAAAGGAAATTTACAGAATTTTTTAACGAAATAAATAAAGCAAGGTGATTAACTCAAAAAATAAAGATGTTTAGGAAGACGGCTAAACGTTACGTTGGAATTGATGTTTTCATTAAAAAATTTTGTCTTAAAAGATTGATTTGTGGTCTTGATAAAAGTCCAAAAACTCAAAAAGTCTTTATATTTAGAAATTGTACTGGAATCATACAAGATTAATATGCCTTTTTCACCGGGATTACTACGAGTAGTGAGAGTATTTCGGTTGGCAAGATTGCTGCGCTTCTTCGAGAGTGCAAGAGGAATTCGTAGCCTACTATTCGCTCTTTTGAAATCACTCCCAGGTCTCGCAAATATTGGGTGTCTTCTTTTTCTGTTCATGTTCATCTACGCTTGTATTGGTATGTCGTTATGGGGAAATGTCAAACAGACGGGATACCTTGATGACGTCGTCAACTTCAAAACGTTCTTTTCCAGTCTTTTGCTGTTGTTTCGCATTGCGACTGCAGCTGGTTGGAACACAATACTCGAGCCAATGATGATTCAACCACCAGATTGTGACGACGAATTTGATGGCATTCCAAATGGTAACTGTGGTGATCCTTTGCTAGCGGTAGTATACTTTGTTAGCTACATTCTTTTGATCTTTCTTGTGACTGTGAACATGTACATAGCGGTCATATTGGAGAACTTTAACGAAGCTCAACAACAAGATGAAATAGGGTTATGTGAGGAAGACATGGACGCCTTTATAACTATTTGGGAAATATACGATCCCGAGGCAACCCAATTTATCCACTACCGAGACCTAACTCATTTTCTAGATGCTTTGGATCCACCATTAAAGATTGCAAAGCCAAACGAACAAGAAGCAGCTCGGCTTGATATTGCAATACGACAGGGCAACATGATACATTGTCTTGATTTAATGCTAGCATTGGTGAGAAAAGTTATCGGTAATATGGAGGAACTCACGGAGGATGATAAAGAGAACATGTATGAAAACTTCGAAGATCGTTTTCAGTCATCATTTCCACAACGTAAAACAACAACGATATTGTGCACGATCAATGAACGGTACATACGTGAGACCGCGGCTACTATTACATTGCAACGTGCCTTTCGCAAATGGCAGTGCAATAACCAGACAAAATGGGAAAAAGAGAAATTTCACAAACACTCGATGGAAGAAAAGATCGATAAAAATTATGTATGGGAGGAAGAACAAATCAATGATAACTGTTCGATGTCATGTGTTACTCGAGCTCGTACAGCATCGAGTCCTCAGAAAAAGGCTCCGCTAGCGGTACAGGAGACCTTTGATAGTCCTGTACCACAATCCAAGAAAGATAAAAGGAACAATAACTACACAAGGGAAACAGTATGCTTTAACGATCCTAATGCAACAACCGACGAGCAGAGGTATTTCAATAAAGATGATAACAAACACAAGCAACAATCATCAGAATCAGTAGTCTAGAGGTCTGGGAAGACTAAATTTAATTTCAATCCTGCTACACACAGGTCACAATATTGCTTATTTCCATCAGCAGCGTAAATGGAAACTTGCTCTTGAAGTTTTTATCATGAGCCATTTCCCCATAACATCGACATTAATTCATGGTTGCATAAACCATAAGATATTCATGAGCAAAGATCGGTAAAATGTCTTAACAGACAACCATAAAGATGACAGCAGACTTATTTATGATCATGTAACACATTAATCATTTTCAAATTATCATCCTACTGGTTTTCTAGACAGGCCATAGGCGTATTATATCTTTAGAGGAGAGATGTTTTAAAAAGTTTTATAAATTGTATAAATGTTAATCTGAAATATGCCGGTGCATATTTTTCTAGAATTGACCAAACATAAGCCGGCACAATTACATAAATATAAAATAACTAAGATAATCTCAATTGGTTCATAAAATCAATCATAAGATAAATTTTACCATAAATATTGTAAACATGCTACAATTACATCAGTCAGTGCAAATAGTTAGAGAAGAAACATGCCCAATTTCATTTTAATTAAAAATCCATGTTTACATAAATGTAAACTATGAAGCCTTGTGGGTATGCACCATCCATCCATGTGTACCCAAAACAAACCCTTCCTATCCCTCCTGCATGCAGGCTATTCTTGTCAATGCCAGTATATTCCAAAACGAAAGTATAAATTTCCAAAGTATAAATTTCCGAACAAACATTATCTATTCATTATTCAAACAATAGTGACTAACAATGAACATCCAATATAAAATTAAACAATTAATTAACAACTACTCACTCAGTACGTTTCTTTGTAAGCTCAGGGCTGATTTCCATCAATTTTAGCAGCTGAAAATATCATATTCGACTATTAAACCATTATTCAACAGAGCGACAAAAAACTCATAATCCCGCTATTTTTTGACAAACATCGTGTAGTGTGCTGCGGTGCTGCCCACTGTGTATTTGGTCAGCGTATATTCCTCAATTGTTGATGGTACTTTACTTTAAGAAACATGAGACGCTCGAGTGCTCAACTTTCTCGGGGTATCGGGAGGCATGGTCGTAAACAGGATTTTAGCTTCTGTCAGGAACAAAAAGAAATGACCAGTGTACTGCAAAGGATATACTATCCTGCCAGAAAGAGCATAGTACTTGGTACATGGTACAATTGTATGTACTTAGGACTATTTTTAAAAAATGCTTCAATTTAATTTTGTGATATCACCTAGCCTATAATCAGTGCTCTGTCACAAATTCTACCACTGTGCAAAAATGGTTTCATACTTCACCTTCTTCATCATCAGAAACCAAGCTGGCAAAGACATTGAAAGAAAAAATTAAGGTACGCTCATTAAGGTATGCTCATAAAGGTGCTGCTCACCAATAATCACTTATATATCCTTATGTGTACACATATTGTCATTGCAATCAACAATAACCATGCATGACCATCGAAAGTACAAATAATTACTCAATTATGTGTTCACATATTGCAATTATAAGCACAAACTACAGTAAAAAACTGCAAAACTAGGGGTAAAGTAATTCTGTTTATTAATCACCATAATATGCTCTATAAGAAATGAACAAAGTGTATATATCTTTAGTTATCAGGACCCATAACTGTAGCAGAGTACATGCAAACTGTTTTATCAAATTCATCAGAGGTGCTGAGGTTTTTTATTGGACAAAGTCATGCAAAGAACGTTTTGTTTTTCGAACAAATTGTATTTCTTCTTAGAGTTATTACATGAGGAAAGACATTTTTGGTGAAAATGGGGATTTTACTACATCCCCTGAAATTAGTCAAATGTTTGGCGAGGTAATATTATCACCAAGGCTAGTTCTATTTGTTTATTTCCAATAAATTCTATAAACGATCCATGTTGTCTCATATTTTTATGATCAGTTGATTGGTGTCTGGTTCTATGAAAGATGGATAAATTATGGATCTCCTGAAAAGCTCAAGTTTGTGGAACTCGGTCCAGGACGTGGAACACTTGTTTCAGACATCTTAAGGGTAAAGGTTATAACACACATTCTCTAGAGTACCTATTTTTATTTTTATTACTTTGCTTTCTTGTAAAGGTTTTTAAAAAATTAGGTAACATATGCAAAGCTTTAAGTTTGCATTTGGTTGAGATCAGTCCAGCTATGAGAGACATGCAAAGATCTTTATTATGCAATAGAGTGTCCATTGAAGATGACCCTCAGGTAACTAATAATTGGAACTATTATATGAAGTATTTCAATCATGGTTTGTAGTTAGTATATATTTACATTTATTCTAGAGTATTTCAACACGAACTGAACAGGGCGTTCCTATAACCTGGCATCATGTTGTACAGGATATTCCAAAAGGTTGTTTGCAGTTTCTTTTCATAATTTTTAAGCATGCAATCATAGATATGATCCAAATATTTTAAGAGATCATTGATCGTATTGCTATTATAGTCATGGAACATAGCCCTTTACAAGAAGCTTCGGATCGGTTGAACGAATCTTGACAGTCACCGTGACTTTTGAATTGTGCCAAAATCTTTTAGAGGGGAAACAGCTGCGATTTCAACTGAGCAATCAATGGAGTAAAACTTTAATTCAGAGATAACAAAGTTTCATGATTGTGTAGTACATATAATCATCTTTTTAACACGTTGCAAAAGTCACTATTGGGCTTTGTACAACGGCCCCGAAGACATTGACGATAGCATGAAAAATGAGCGCTTACGTAGCTGTTATTTCCTTGGAATGCTAATTTTGCAATGATTAAATTAGGTTTTTCATTTTATCTGGCTAACGAGTTCTTTGATGCCCTTCCAATCCACCAATTTAAAGTAAGTACAACATCACGTCCAATTTTACCGTACTTATGATTATTGAACTGTGAACCGTTTTCAGCTGACAAAGTATGGATGGCGAGAGATTCTTGTGGGTATTGATAAGGATATGGATGGGTAATGTATGACAATTAAGGAAAATAGTATTTTAAAATTAGCATTTCTATAGAGAGGATCAGCGTTTTTGTAAGATAAAGAAATCATTCTCTTCCGTTATCTTTTCGTGAGAGACTTTTCTCTAATTACAGACAAGATCGCTTGAAATTTTTTCTCGCCCCAAACCCCACTCCAGCTATGGTGTTTATACCCGAAGATGCACCGGCCGATTTCCTCGAGGTTCGACCTCAAGCTAATGTGATTGCTGAACACATGGCGCAAAACATGCAAAACTACGGAGGATGCTCCCTTCTAGTGGACTATGGTGATTACTCATTTCAAAGAAATACACTTAGGGTATGTAAAACTTAATTTTGACTTAGAGAAACCCCTTATCAACCTCTGTAGTAAAATGTAAAGGAGTAATTATAGAACACCTTCTCACATGTACGTATTTGCATTAAGCATAACACTATGATATGTGATAGATAAACCCTGTTGTAATAAAAAAAACATGTCCAGCCGACAAAAAGTAGTGTACGGGAAAAACACCGTCCATGCATTTAGTAGCTAGATACTAAAGGTTGATTTTGTGTCTGGGTTTTCTGTAAGTGTATCAATGTACTACTTTAAGATGTGTTATGCTATTGTTTTTTAATATTAGTGCGTTCATTGAATTACCCAATTTAATTTCGTTAAAGGCATTTAAAAAGCATCAGTTGACGGACCCCCTGAAGGATATTGGTAATGCCGACCTAACATCAAATGTTAACTTCTCACATTTGCAAAAAGTGTTTATGAACTATGGAGGTGTGTAAAAAAGTGTTTATGAACTATGGAGGTGTGTAAAAAAGTGTTTATGAACTATGGAGGTGTGTAAAAGTGTTTATGAACTATGGAGGTGTGTAAAAGTGTTTATGAACTATGGAGGTGTGTAAAAAAGTGTTTATGAACTATGGAGGTGTGTAAAAGAGTATTTATGAACTATGGAAGTGTGTAAAAGTGTTTATGAACTATGGAGGGGTGTAAAAGTGTTTATGAACTATGGAAGTGTGTTTTAGATGAGTCAATACTTCTGGTCGCAGTCACATGGCTCAGTTAGGTATTTTTTGTCATTTTTATGCAGTTTCAACATTTGGACCAGTTACACAGCGTCATTTTTTGAAGGAAATGGGAATTGACGTGAGAAAACAGGTTTGAGACGATGGCGTTCATTGAATTGTGACGAGACATAATTTTGGTATTTTTTTTTGTCTTTTAGGTACTGCTTAAAAAGGCGACATCAGAACAGACGATCAATATAAACACATCATATCAAATGTTGACCGATGATAGAGAGATGGGAAATTGTTTCAAATTCTTCGCCGCTATATCAGAAAATGACAAACCGTCTGGATTCTAAAGTCCTTATGATATGATAACACTTTCCTACATCTGAAACGTGCAAACGTATACGACAAATGGCGTAGCCATTCCGCGAGTTTTAGTCATACTATGTAATTTTCACATCGTCATCATTATTCATTTTTTTATAAATCTACATTTCCGCGGTGAATGAACTCAATGCAATTTGCATTGTATGACTATAAATAAGCGGCTGGCTATATCTCGAAAATAAAAGATGAAAATTTAACTACATAAGCTAGCATGAGAGTGGAAAACACAGGAGCAGGGGAGAGGGGCTCCAGCTCACTAAAAAATCTTAGTAAAGTGAAGAGTCTTCAATTGAGGGCGCTGTGGTGATCACGGATTTACTTTAACATTATTTTAATTTGCTATTGTTATTGTAAACATATTATACTGTTTACACAGGAATGATAAAGTATTAACAAGATTTTGAAATAACCGAATGATTGACTAGAGTATGTTTCACTGTATTACACCGCAACAACTGCGTGCTTTAGTCAACAAAAATACGCCAACAAGAAATAGTATATTGAAGACTAAAGTAGATGATATTCTTTATGGTTATATACTTCGTTGATCATGTTTCGTTGTAGAACATGAGATAAAGTCAATTTTCTTAAATTCAGTAAAACTTCACGTTAAGAGTTAAATCGTGGAACTTCGACAGTTCAATTATATAACCGAGGTTTAATTATATCAAACTCTAATATGGAACTTCAGCTAACTGTATCCCAATCACAAAAATTTCTAGGTCTACAAGTTTCGTCTAACTCTCAACGGTTTTTACAACACCTAAATATGTTTATTTTTAGATAAAACTGAAATTATAAACTCGACTTTTGGACGAAACTCGACGGGGGTGTGTGTGTCGCATGATTAATTCTTTTGTTTGGATAAAGCGTCTACACAAACGTAATCATATTTTAGAGTTCATTCATTTATGAAAACAAACCAGTTGCGAGCACAACAAGAAAAAATCAACCACACATAGTTCTATGAAAAACACGAATTTTGCAACGCGTTGCTTCACCTGTGAAGATTGCTATTTTGTACAAACATACGAAACTACCTAAAGATGGTGTCATGCTGAGTGAAATGAAAGGTCATCACTTAAAAAACATCAAAATCTCAGCAAGATACCACATTCAGGCACGTATGATCTTCAAATTACGCAGTCATTTCATAATATCACGATTTTCTAGACTGGTACAGACGAGTGGTCATGCTTTTGCGTCTGTCGGAGAAAGCGACGATAGAAACGAACATATAACAGTAACATAAAGGTACAACAGTGCAGTAATTACTAACAGCTGGAGAATATCGAACCTTTCACATATACAGAAAAGTCAATGCAAGACAATGTACAAATCTTTCGCCACGAAAGCGTAAAAGGTTGTTGTGTGAGTCAGTGCAAGAGAGTTAAAGTTTCATTTGAGGGAGGAACTGTTTTGATTCAACAAGAAATTCCAACTGTCTATCACAAAAGAAAAAATGTTAAGAAGCTTGCAGCCAGTGATTATTATGTTTCATTTATTACTGGATATCACGGTCTGTTATCCACTTGAAGGTATGAAAACAAAGTAGTCAAAAATATAAATCTATTTTCATGAAAGATAAACAGAGCAAGACACAGTTCTGTAGAAATTATCAAGCTATCTAACGGCATATTCAGAAATGATCATATCTTTTTCTCCTTTACTATACGCATTAAGAAAAGGCACATATTTTTACGTCATATAGTCGGAGACCTCCAACCAACTTGTAAGCATAAAGAACGTCTTTACGAGAGTGATGGAATGATAATCGTTGAGAAAAATCTCAAAGAAAAATTATCATGCTCGTGGATAATTCACGTCCCGCGTGGATCATTCGTAAATCTGGAATTTTCAAAATTGCACGTTCATGATTTCTGTGCAGGAATCTGTCAATGCAACTATTTAAGAGTTGAAGTACATTCCAGGATTGGCAACCGAAGAAAGCATGGCAAATATTGTAACGAAAGAGCACCTCCTCCAGAACTAGTCTTTGAAGCTCGCAAAGTTCGCATGCATTTGAACGTAATGCCTGGTGGGATAGCAAACAAGACCAGTTTTATAATGAAGTATGCAATCAGATCACTAAAGTTTTCTAATCCTAAGAGAAAAATTTACTCCATCGTATGGAAAACAAATCCAGACGCCGAAGTAAAAACATCAACCTGAATATGTTGCTAACAAGAGCACAAGCGGTTCATCAATCAGAGAGTAGCAAAAATCTGTCAATTACTTCTCAACATCCTAAAACTATAGACACACAAAGTTTAAAGAAACTGCATAAAGAAACATTTGATATCCGCGCAAAGAAAGAAATACCAAATCAAAAAACGACGAATGCCATGAGGACGACCGAGCCAACAAAGATTCCTGAGTCAAGTAAACTTGTTATCCTATTGGCCATTGCTATTCCAGTCGTTGTAATTTTCATATTCGTCGTATTACTTATTGCCTACTATTTTCACAAGGCTGACATGAAAGAAAAGGAGAGCAGGTAAAAAAAGAGATTTTAGGATGATAAAGATAGGGGTATAAAATACAAAAACAAATTCATAAGATTTTGGTAGGTAAAGGTTTAAATAAAATGAGATACTTGACAGTGTACCTTATCTGGTATTATCATCATTTAGGGAGGATATGCGAAAAAGTGGTAGTATACTTAACGACTTAATCATGAACACTAGTATCACATTAACTCCGATGTTTTCCTTGGGAAAAGCAAGAAAGGAATCGTCAGCAAGGAAAGAAAGGTAAGCACATGGTTTATTAGTAAAAATAAATTTACAATACTTTCCACGCATATTTTACGTCATGAACACTTGACTGACGACAGTAAAAACGGTCAGGGATACTTTCATTAAATAGTAGTTATAAGTCAAGTTTTGGGCAAGAAATTTGCAAGTAGAGTGCTCAATGTAATATTAAAAAAGTGCACTTTCCTAAAAGTTAAGAATACTGTCATTGCATGTGTTTGCATGAAAATAAACACGGCATTAATACAGATTGGTGTAAACTGAGATGATTATGAGCAAAGACCGTATAGTGTTGTATATATATTGAATATACCTTCCTTTTTTACTTATTTTAAGTGTCTGTTCGTCTATACGCCTGTAATTTTACCTTCACAATATTACGAAAACATTTTTAGAGCAAACAAACTTTATGACGATATGCTAGAGAATTGGCGAATTATGCACGACGATAAAAAGAAGCGAGAAAAGGCGAGAGAAGAAAGGTAAAAGAAAATCATATTGCATTATCAGGAACTATTCGTATTTGGGGAGGGAGGGGGTGATCCACAAATTCGTTCTACATAGCCACTCACCTCATCTTCATATCAATCGGTTGTGACAAACTGTCATTTATACAGTATTAATACATGGGTGTCATACAAGAAGCAGAAACAACGAAGAAACATCAAAGAGGAGACACAAAACAACAACGAAGCGTTCGCAATGTTAGTCAGCAGCGCCATAAATGTCACGACAAAAGCTGGTCATACATCCCAGGAGATTAAGACTGTAGACAAACCGGAGATTGAAGATATTCCCGAGAAAATAGAAGAGAAGCCAAGAACAAACAGGTAAGAGACACTCGAAGCAAAATTAGGTCATCAAGACAAAACATTTTAAATTTTGAACATTATTAAGAGCGACCGGATCACATATATACTTCACGGATTAAGAATTCGATTATACTACGGTGCATTTTCACTGCAAAATATATTCACTTTTCTTTTCGTAGTCATTGCAATTACAGACTCTTATTCACAAATTCAGTCATTTTGTGTTGGCATTCGTTGCCACCCAATTCTCGTTTTGAGACAACTCACTTGCCTAGTTTCTAATGTTCTATGATTTTACTCATAGCGAGAAACAGAGGTAATAAAATACGTAAAATATGCGTTTAAGGAGAATTTGGTGGTTTATACGAATGTAAACAAGACTCGCCCTGCACAAGTTTTTAACAAATAAGTGAAATCATACCGTATAAGCACGTCAACAGTGTCTTTCCTTCATGATGATTTCTTCTTCAGCACTTTCCTTAAAGGAGACTCGACTGGTAATGATTACAATCGCGGATCCAAAGTATTCTCATGGAACGATATCACAATGAAAACACCAGTAGACAAAACTAATGAAGTTGAACAGCAAAATATGAGTGAAACAGAATTGAAAACCTGGGATAGTTGGGGGTAAGATGTGAAAAATGTTTTATCCCAATGGGGTAGTTCGAGGTAGAAAAGACTTTGCATTACACATGGGGTATACGAGTAAAATATATTGTTCAATATCTGTAGGTCTGATCATGTTCCCGCCATTATTGTAAGCCAGCCGAGTGTTGATACTGAAGACGAAGAATCAGAGCCTGGTGATACAGAAAGGTCTCAGAATTTACTTTTAAAACTTCCCATGTTAACTTTAATCTTATTGGTAAATATTTGATAACAACAGGTTGATAAAAGAGAAAAAACGCAGTTCGAATGACAAAACAAGTGAGGAAGACAAGAACTCCAAACAAAAACTTCGTTAGTATTTTCACAAAATCTATGATCAATTACTTTTCGACCGAAGTCAACTATTAAATGCCAAATTATCAATAGTTCCGATCAAGTGAAGGAAATTTTAAGAGGAAGTTATTCTGATGAAGTGGAAGAATGGTTTCAAAAGCCAAAGAAAAGCTCTTCACAAGGTAAAAGACCCAAAGTGTGTCCCTTTTGTAACTTCTGAGAAATCCAAACTCTACTAGTGAAACTTGTGATTCATGGAAAATTTTAAATACTTCCCATTTACAATCGTTTATTCACATCTATAGGAAGCTTAAATTACTAAAAAGGCGACTCAAACGTGAAATACGAGGCAATGAAGATTGATGATGACATTGACTAGCTGCATGTTGACAAAAGCCATTCCATTGAAAAAGCCCAGTGTTTAAAGCAACTTTGATCTTTCAAAACATCAAACAGTAAAATAATACTATACCGATTATTTTGATCATCACGTGTCGACGCAAGTAGGCCAATCAACGTCCACGGACTTAGGAATAAAAAATAACAGTTGACGATTCGTTGGTAAACAAACATTGTGCACAAAAATTTAACACTAGCCAATGAATGTTGATTTTAGTAAGGTGGAAACACCACAGTAAGGTGGATAGAAATGGTACAAGGTTGAAACAGTACGGTATTGTTTAGCTGTATTTTTTAATTAAAACCAAGAAATTTTCTTCAGGAAACTTTTTAGAAATAAAGAGTTATATTATTGACTGCACGATGTAGAAATACATCTTACCATGACATCAAGCTCTAATATGTCAGTTTCTTTATTCATAATTGTCGATAAATTCGGTTGGGTTCTACCAAAATCACCGTGAACAAATTCTTTTATATATCTGAATATGTAAGACTTCTCATCAAGGATCCGTACAATATAAACTATTCAATGACAATTTTAAACAATTTAAAGTCTTAAAAAGATAAATGTGAAAGGATACGTTCCTGCTTCTGTACAAAGATAAAGATAAAAATGGTTCTTGTCAATATATTCAGTCGACATGGTCAAAATTTTCCGCTGACGGTCAGCTAAAGGTCGCCTAAAAAATTAGAGTTTTGACTAAACTATACTAATATAAATAGGTTCTTCAACTTCCTCAATCAGACAAAAATGATGAGCACAATTGTCTTGCTTTTTAGATTCATCATTTCTATAGTGTAATGACCTTTATTTTATATCGTGGTACTTCGTTGTACTTCATGATACTTCATTGTACTTCATTGCACTTTAAACCAATCACAAACCCTGATCATATAAGTAAATACTATGCGAATCCCTTACTTCCCTCTATTGTGATAAAATTTTATGAAACTATTACCTGTGTAATACTCTTAATGGAGTCTTTTGGTTGAGCATAATGTCCTGATAAATATAAAATTGTACATGTATTGCAGAATTTTGCATTTATACTGGTATGGCTAACCGTGCACATGTTCAACTGTCCATACACGTTGTATCACTATCCTTGCATGTCGTGTGTATCACTGTCTGCATATGTCTATCAATGACTGTATGTATAAATGTAACACCGTCTGTACATGTATATAACTTTCTGTACATGTCTATCACTGACTGTATTTATAAATGTAACACCGTCAATATATGAGTAGCACTGTCTGTACATGTGTATCACCGTCTGTACATGTGTATCACCGTCTGTACTTGTGTATCACCGTCTGTACATGTGTATCACTGTCTGTACATGTGTATCACCGTCTGTACATGTGTATAACTGTCTGTACGTGTCTATCACTGTCTGTATATGTGTATCACTGTCTGTACATGTGTATAACTGTCTGTATAATCTGACTGTATGTATATGTATCACTGTATCTGTACATGTGTATCACTGTCTGTCTATCACTGTGTATGTATCTCTGTACATGTATCACCGTCTGTACATGTGTATCACTGTCTGTACATGTGTATCACCGTCTGTACATGTGTATAACTGTCTGTACATGTGTATCACTGTCTGTACGTGTCTATCACTGTGTAAAAAATCACCTTGTTATCATTCAACGAAAACAGTTCTTCTTCTGTAACACCCTCAGACACGTACACTAAAGCCCTTGTTTCAAATAAAAAGTATTTTAAACTAAGTACACATGGTAATCACAGCGATAAATTATCTTTCATCTACCTATATGTTTTTGTTTTACTTTTTTCCGCCTCCTTCAATTTCCCACATTCTTCCCTAATAAATGTTATCACCACGAAATCGTAAATTTCATTCAAGTCAGTTTTTAAAATCGTTTATTTTTACCTGGATATCTTTTGAAGATCTCTGATTTTGATATCATCTGTAGAGGAATTAACTTTCATCTGTAATTTCTTTATTTGCTCGAGATTTTGAGCGATTTTACGAGGGTTAATCAATTCCAAAATAAAAGGGCGACCTAGAGATGAATGCGAGCCACTGAGAATCAAGCGTTTTGGACCTGGGAGCAAAATGTTTCATAAACCTACCTTTGCCGAGCATGCGCACATCTACATCTTCACGTCCAGCAGAGGAAAATTTTGAATCTAAATCAAAATACAGCAAATTTCCTGTTTTAACAATAAGTATTAAACGTTGAAACACTCTCTTCTATGTAAAAGTGATAATAATTAATGAGTTTACTGATTGAAAAACTGACATAAATTGGTTTAGTTTAATATCTTGTCAAAATAAAAAATATACCATCAGACAAAAACACTTTCTCTATTTCTGCTGCAATCAACTCCTAAACAATTGAAAAATAAAACAAACTTTTAATGCCCAAATTTCAACTGGTACTAAACTAGAGATCCAAGGATAGTGCAAAGTTTCAAACAAAACACTGCATTTTGACTCATAATTTAACCATAAAATGCTTCAAACAATTTTAGATTCATATATCATGAGGCAAACAACCATTGACTTTGTAAATAAAAACATAAGCTACAGTTTAAATAACAACTTGTTGTTTTGTTGTCTTGTTGTGCAAGGTTTACGTAAGCTGCAGTTTAAATAACAACTTGTTGTTTTGTTGTCTTGTTGTGAAAGGTTTACGTAAGCTACAGTTTAAATAACTACTTGTTGTTTTGTTGTCTTGTTGTGCAAGGTTTACGTAAGCTGCAGTTTAAATAACTACTTGTTGTTTTGTTGTCTTGTTGTGAAAGGTTTACGTAAGCTGCAGTTTAAATAACTACTTGTTGTTTTGTTGTCTTGTTGTGCAAGGTTTACTTAAGCTACAGTTTAAATAACTACATGTTGTTTTGTTGTCTTGTTGTGCAAGGTTTACGTAAGCTGCAGTTTAAATAACTACTTGTTGTTTTGTTGTCTTGTTGTGAAAGGTTTACGTAAGCTACAGTTTAAATAACGACTTGCTGTTTTGTTGTCTTGTTGTGCAAGGTTTACGTAAGCTACAGTTTAAATAACAACTTGTTGTTTTGTTGTCTTGTTGTGCAAGGTTTACGTAAGCTACATTTAAATAACAATTTGTTGTTTTGTTGTCTTGTTGTGCAAGGTTTACGTAAGCTACAGTTTAAAAAACAACTTGTTGTTTTGTTGTCTTGTTGTGCAAGGTTTACGTAAGCTGCAGTTTAAATAACAACTTGTTGTTTTGTTGTCTTGTTGTGCAAGGTTTACTTATACGTAAACAATTTTGCAAAGAGTAATGTCTATGTAGATTGGTCCCAGACTATTAGAAATACCATCTGAGCATACACAGTCCACTTGACCGAGTGCTTTCACAGTCATGGCAACAAAAAACTGGATCAACGAGCACTACTTTAGCAGTAAATGTACGCTTGATTGCAAATTATTAAAAAATTATATGCGCATGCATGTTAAATAATGAAATCAAACGAAAATTGCCGAGCAGCCTTATGTGCGCAATATCACATAGAGAAAAGCATCAAAATTATCATGAAAAAAATTTTCTGTTCCAGAAGCGAATGTTTGCAAATGGTGGTAGCATAAAATATGTAATTGCCTATGAAATGAAAAGTTCTACCTTTACTTAGTCTTACTGTACAATATCATAGCCTCTAATATTGCTATTTTAATCGTCTACAGTACGTAACACCATTCAAGAATTTCTTTCAGGAGCTAAAAAATTTTTTGGGTAGGGGTGCGCACCCTCTTCACCCTGCAGAAAGTCCGCCCCTTGTCTTGGCAACATACCTCTACTGAATTTTCTGTCATTCTTTGCCCATTTACAATCCATGGCGACTGAGATAGGAACCGAGAATACTTATTATAGCGACCTGTTAAATAAAGAATGTTCATATCACACTGTCATCATTATCATGGAGGTATGCCCTACAAAAATTAGGAGATATTTGATATCAAATTGTCATAAATTTTAAAATTACTCAAATCTTAGACATTTTCATATAAAACTTTCGGAAAGTCCATTAATAAGGTGAAAATTGTGTGGGGAAAGAGGTGTAATTTTCCAGTGCTGAAAGTAATTATGTTTTCTATAATGTAATTTGTAACTGTAAGTAATAACAAAAATTAGGAATAAAAGGTAACGATAACTGCCTACATTTACGTCATCAACACTATCATTGTTACTTTTTATCTTTGTCCAGATTAAGCATACGGCAGAAGTGACCTTAGTCACTTTTGGTGGTTTCACCCAATTTTATAAACGTCTCATTCTTTTTATGGATTACTTAAGTACACATTTAACGTAATTTTCCGCAATATTTTTGGCCTTCTCCGATATTTAGAACACAACAACACAATGGGTTGTGAATTTGAAAATTTTTTTGTCAAAGTTTCAACTTGAGGTTGCAGCAAATGTTATGCTGCCGTTATTTATGAGAAGGGAAGTAACTTTGACAGGCTGTTCGTAACTAGTTACAAAAATTGTTAAGAAACTTAGTAACAATAACTGGTTACTTTTACCAACTGTAACTTGTTACAGTAGGTAGTTCCTTTTCAGAGGATATAACTGTAACTTGTTACAGTACGTGGTTCCTTTTCTGAGGATATAACTGTAACTTGTTACAGTACATAGTTCCTTTTCTGAGGATATAACTGCAACTTGTTACAGTAGCTAGTTCCTTTTCTGAGGATATAACTGTAACCAGTTACAAGAAATAAGTCACTTTTAGAGCAATAGTATTTTCTCTGGGGCACCTGCCTTATTTCAAACCCCTAACGTCATGATGTGAATCATGTGATAAAAGTTTGATTCTTGGGATTCTACATGTTTTTAAATAATTGCCATTTCTTATTTTAATGCAGTAATAAAATATTTTTACAGTTTTTAACAGATGTTGTACTAGGGCAACAGCTAATCCTCTATGATCAATATTATTTCAGTAAAAAGCAATCAGAATGTAAGCCTAAATAACATATAAATTGATAACCTCATAAAAAATGTCTCTACTCTCCATCATATAAGAATAGTTCATGACATGTCATACCTGCAAGGTACACAGGAGCATTTGTGCATTCCACTTTGGCAATTCTACATGGAATTTGGATTGCCTGAGGAGGGCAATTGCCAATTCTAAAGCAATTAAATTTATGTTACGCAAAAGAAAACACAGATATCTGCTAAACAACATCATGCTAAAACTCACTCTCTAAACTGCTGACAGGTTTCAATATTCTCAATGCACTTAGTAAGCTGCATAGCTGTAACAAATGGTTCACTTGCTATCACCTTGTTCATAGAAAGGTAAAAATAGAAATTCACAAGAATAAAAGTTTGAAAGAATGCAACATCACCACAAGTATACAAAAAAATAAGAAAGAACATTATTATAGTTGTCTTGATAACAAAGATGTGTCATAATATACCAGTAGAAATGATGTTTACAAAAATCAAAACTGAATTTAATCATACTTTTTTTCTTTTTCTCGGATGGCATTTCAACACTCTTTTCCCTGACACTCTACAAGAATAAAAACACTTGATTTATTGGATAATGCTTCTACAAGAATAAAAAAACACTTGATTTATTGGATAATGCTTCTACAAGAATAAAAAACACTTGATTTATTGGATAATGCTTCCATACATTCATTATCATTGGGCACAAGTACTCACAAAAAGTCAAGTTCTTTCATTGCTTCAGAATGATCAAGTATAACAGATATCGAGAACGGACTCTAACAATCAAAATATGGTTATGAAAATCAGATGAAATTATAAAAAGGCAGTAAATATACACCTTAATTGGGATTTTGTTCATGAATCATCACATCATTGTAAACCAAACATTCATTAATTAGCTAATACATGAATGTCATTCACAAAAGTCTGCTTTTGAAACGAAGAACATCCCGACATACTTTCTTATAGAACTCAACATCCAAGTTTAACTCCATCTGAGGTCCATAGACAAATTTTATACAATCTTTCAGTCGAAGTGTATCTTGAAGGGAGACTTGTTCTGGATAAATTGAACTAAAAAACATCAAGTACAACTTTAAGAGCTGACAACTTTTATCCCTGTTCTGGCATATTAAATAGTATAGCATGATTAACAAAGTTGACTGACTACCTGAAATTTTCTTTCAGATGCATCCACAATGAATGCTAGGACAAAACAATAGAATTAAAAGGGTAGTCTTGTCATTAGTTGGTATCAACAGAGCTAATGGGCAATGAGATGTTTAATGGTATTGACTTGCTGTTGTTGATCTCAAATTATCAAAGTAGCTGTTGTCTTTAAACCTTACATGGCGAAAAGTAAGCACCAAAGGATATGTGATTGCTGTGGTGAAATTGAAAAATTCATGATCAGATGACTTGACAAGATCACATATCTGAAATGTATAAAAAATGAATAAAAAAGACTTTAAGTAACATAGAATTTTTCCAACATTGACAATCAGATGTACCTTTGTAATAAGTGCATGTGATGTAGATGGTTGTAGAAGTCCAAGACATAAGATGCAAATAAAATCCCAAGAATTTTCAACATCTTTTTTTATAAATAATCCACTATAGGTATCTTCAACATAATTTACAATTTCCTAAGAACCCAAATATCAACAAAAAGAAGAGTAAACACGTTGAACAGAAAAAGAGACTTTGAGCAAATGAAAAACTTTAATAACTAATGCTATTCTTCAATGTATGGAGACACAGATGTACTAAAGATACATACATTATATGGTTTGGCATAAAAAGCAGCAGAAGAGTCCCGTTTTCCGATGTATCTCAGAATACATCGTGCACAACATTGCAACTCCTTCAAATTTTTAACAACCTCTGATAATTTAGAAATTTCTATGGACATGACGAAAGAATAAAACACAACTATTTTTTCATTAAAATTGCTTTGCACGAGAATTTGTCAACTCCATTGCATTGCTCCATTGGTCGATGAAACCTATAGAAACTTCATGTAAAGATAAAAATAACAGACAAAATTTCGAATACATTTTGTTATACATTATAAATTCAATATACATATTTACATGAATATAAAACAGTTATTTGAGGGTTAAAATAAAAAACGACAAAAGGAGTGATGTAGCCAGCCTGCAATGTTTTGGTCATGATATGAAAATTTCAGAACATTTTCAATATTCATTTATTTAGAAATTTCTTATTTCCACAATGAGCAAATTGTGAAAATAAAAAAATTTAAATGGCAAAACTAGATGAGCAGGCTGCCTATGTCACTGGAGAAAAGCAGCTAAAAACTTTTATTTTCATTACTTTTAACATCATTTTGCCATAGTTCAACTGTTGTTCTACCAGTGTCTTTTACAGAATCACAAATTTTTATTTCTTTTTTTGGTGTTTCCAAAAATGAATCAAAAGTAGTTGATATTTTTCTTTTGGAAAATAAAACATCTTTTAATTTCTGGCTCTCCACATTTGAGTTCATGTTAGCAGCAAATTGAAAACGTTCCAACCTTTCGCTTTCCTCAAAGATTTCCTTAAATTAAAATTAAGAAAATATTTAACAATGTTTATCACCAAAAAAAATAACCATTAAATTTAACTGACATTTGCAATTGTTGATAACTGTTCACTTGCTCCAGTAACCCTTTGTACATACTCTTCAGCACCTGAAAAAATTAATTCCAATGCATATTTTTACAGACAAATCATATTATGACAATGTTATAGAAATGTATATGTTTGTGATATAGTACAAACTCTACCAGCCATGTCTAATTTCATCTCAATATCTTCATATACAAGTTCTTGCTTTTCATTTACAATGCATTCCTATACAAAGAGAACAAAATCACATTTTCTTGAGTTTCAATCACTAGTGCATTGTTACAAAAGAAAGGTTATTTTAACTGAGACTGGGGTATTGAATGGTGTGCATATGGTAAAAGGAAATGCAAGTCAGGCCTCTTTTCCGTAACAATCTACGTACGAAGCAGTTAAAATAAAATAATTGCAATTCTTTTTTGAAGGTTGCAATCACAAAAGGATCATTACAGTTACAAAGAAAGTCTACAAAGAAATTTCTGACTTGATCTAAAACTAAAACAATCCTAAACAAAATTATTCTGGACATATCCCTTAGAAAAAGCCAGAAAGAAATCATGCAACAAACACTTTAATGTCCATGTATTATCCAAACAATAACAATCAAAATTTGACCTTACCAAATGTGAAATTTCATCATCATGTTTCACTTTCATAAATTCCTTTATCATCTTGGGGTATGTTTTGCGTTTCTTTATTGTTAAACGAAGAAAGTCTTCACTTTTCGAGCACATATCATTCACTTGCATTGCTCGTTCTTTATCAACTACCTCTGAAAGGTTCACATAACACATTTTAAAAGTAATCACATGTACATCATGCCATGCAATATGGATGAAATACAGGGATGATAAATTTTTTAAGCTTGTAAAATAGGTGTTTATATTTTCGTCACAACATAGAAATTTTGCAATCTTAGAAGTAATATTTTATTTCAGTGATTGCTCAGTTCAAACCTTATATTTTTCCTTTTTATGAATTTTTTAACTGTTTAAAAAAATTTGCTATCCATGCTTCATGCAACCTGCCCCAGAAATACATATCTATATCATAGAAAGATTTGAAAAAGATCACTAGCTGTAAGCATGAAGACTTGTGCTCATTATCACAATTCACAAATGATATTTACGACAATAATCAAACTGTATTACCTTGTTCCACTTTATTGCTTGGAGAATTTGATTCGGCAACATTTTCACGAAGAGCAAGTTCGACCGTCAGTTCATAATTCTGTAAATTCGCGAGGATGATTTGCCACAATCAGTTTTCACAATATGTACACATAGGTCCATAACAGTATAATGATTTCAAAAACGACTATCTCACCTTGCACAATGCATTTATAAAGGTGGTTTCTGATTCTTCGTTGCCCCATTCATTCTTTTTGGCATTATTCGTTAATTCTTCTTTGATAATTTTTTGTAAACTTTGCAGTAATTTCGGATTTACCTTTATTTTATGATTTTCCGCCATTACAAACAACAAATAACTAGCGGCTACTGCGCATGTGCATGTATCGCAACATCGTACCAGTTTAGCATCTTCACCACTGATTATCTTGACTGGAAAGAAAATGGGCCAAACTATGGAGGTATGAAACCACTCTTTTATTTCGTTTGTAATTCAACAATCTACCTTAATATACTTTTCTTAAAGGAAGAAAAAGGTCTTCCACATGATTCTGACGAAGAAGAGAGCTCTGAAGAAAGCGAAGATGATCAATTTTTTGATAACAGGTAGCTCACTATTTCTCTCAACTTCTCTCAGTTCTCTGGCTCCAGAACCATTTCATCCACACTTCGAGCCAACATTTTGACGTGCATCAATGTGAAACAAGCGTCCAAATGCAGTTTGTAAACTCTGTAATTCATAAACATATTTTACTTATCATAATAAAGTTAAGATATACTTGCTATTGTGCTATCTTGTGAATGCACAAATTAAGCAATATATCTCCTCAATGGCGGATAAGGTTGTTTTAACGATTTCCAAAAAGAAACTTCTTACAAATATGGAAAATCTAATTCATATACATTCGAGGCATTGCAAAAACTGTTACAATGATCAGGTTTCCATAACTAGTGGACCTGACCATGTTAATAGTTAATGTCCTGTTGTTCCATGGGTTAAGACAAAAGCATGGCTTGAAATAGCTGCGGTTATGAATCAGCAAAATAATTTAATGTCAGCAGAGATCATTACTGTGGTTTTATTTCTATGGAGAAAAGTTGTTCATTTTTCCAGGTAAGTTGACCATAATATTTTATAAAAAGTAGAAGAGTAAAGCTTAACATGAATATTATTACACTGTTTTTGATCTTAGTTATATTTTCCTTTCTGTACAAGTTGAATATCACAACATCATCATAATTGTTAATACAGGCCTGAGAACTACATAATTATCTTTACTGTTAACTCTTTGTTAGGTTACTGTGATATCGTTCACATCAATAAAGCAAAATGAAAATGGATTCATATCTAAATGTGAATGACATCTGTTTTAGCAAAGTTGACTGGCGTGTCAAAGGCAATCTTTTGAGAGGAAAAGACTTTCCCATTTCCCAAGATGGCAATTGCCCAAGATGTCAAAGCAACATACTTGTTTTTGTTATCTTAGATGAGTATGTTCTCACTGTTATGAGTAACTTTTACTACAAATTCTTTCTTAAAGTTATTACTACAGAAAACCATGCATGATTTTATTGTTTTCATGTTGAAATAAAAGAATTGATAATTTTAGGTTGTTTCCTATGGGTGACATGCCGGATATTTTTTATCATTTATTGAGAAAAGGAAAGGCAGTTTTATGGTCAAGTCAAGACAATAACTTGTGGAAAGTGAGCTACAATTTTTTGTCGTGATTAGTAAACTGCGTTACTTGTGATTTTATAGCAATTTTAATCAATATGTGTCATGTATATGGTAATTTTAATCAAAGTTTTATGTTCTAACATCATCATTACAGAAGGCACCCACTTTTATGTGTCGAGGCTCTTGTCCATTAGATCCATTGGCTGCTGGATTTAATATTAATTGGGACATTGTTAATTTGACTAAACTTCTTAAAGGCTTACTAAAATTGGTAAGTGATTATTATAATTTAATTTGTGAGTTGTGACAATGGGGAAAATTAAGCCTACCCTATATATTGTACATTTGAAAAAGTCACACATCTTACAACTTTATTACAATTTTTGAAAAGAATTTTGCAAAAGCACGGAAAAAACTTCAAGAAAATGGCACTAAAGGTATTTTGTAAACTGCCAAAATTATATGTTGCACCTTAAACTACCATAAAAAGCATGTTTTTTCATCTACAAGTAAACTTAGTGTTTAAATATCACCTTTCTTTTTCACATGCAGATGAAAATGGTAAGAAGCTGGTTTTGAGTTTGCAACTTGGGATGATAGGGAAAGTAATGTTTATGCAAAATAAGAGTAATTTGTTGCATGGAAACTGGCATAGGTATGGAATAGGGTTGAAACATTTCCAAGGAAGGTAATAAAGCTATTTTTATTCTTAATAATAATACTATCTTCCAAAATATTATCAATTGCACATGGCTTTCCCAATAATGGCATGGAAAGTACATCTGACTGAGTGCGAGCAAATTTTTATAATAGGAGTTACAAAGTCAGGATCTCTTAAAGACATGGAAGAAAAGCCAAAAAATGAAACCAAGTTTGCAGAGGGGAAAGAAACAAAGCAAACCATTAAGGAACAGCTTTCGAAAACTGATACAAAATCTTTGGTCAGCATCGTGACAACGTCCTCAAGTACCATCAAAATCACTTCAGCAACATCATCTACTTTAGCTGCAACCAGTTATCCAATTTCAAAAGATGGTTCCTGCCCACATTGCGGGTCAAATGCTGTGCGATACATCATCTTGGTGAAGGACTCTGCTAAAGATGCAAAACTACCACCAACGTTGGAAAAACTGCTGCAGCTACAAAAAGCTTTCAAAATGGCTAAAGGTGAAAGCACAGACTGATCTTCTGGAACTTCACTGTCATTTTTATGTCTTGTGTGGGCTTTTTCTTTTGGATACTCAGCTGCAGTTGGTTTTAGGTTCGCATATTCACCAAAATCGCGCGCATGGCACTTTGTCTTTGCATAAAACATACCAAAGCCGTGCTCCGGATTTTTTTAAGGTTTTTCCATCCAATTTCTTTGGATTGTAAAATACTTACCCTGTATAACTTATGTATTCACGTCGATGATGCGCAAAAGGGATCGACTAAAATTTAAAAATATTCCTTCATTTTAAATTGATGCACGCGTGTTTGAAACTAAAGCGCGACTGTAGTAAAATGTAATTTTACAGTATACATTCAAATATTACTATATCAATTATTTAGAGACTTTTTGGTGGATTTAAGCGTATGAAGCTGATTTTAACATGCATTTTCTTCCCCCTTTGTTTTATCTAGGCGCCAACGATCCACCTTCATTTCAATGTTGCTCGTGTTTGTATGGATTCAACTTAGATTGGTCCAAAACAAATCTCAAAAAGATCTTTAACCTTGAAGAGAGTACACAATCAAACACATATGTGCAAAGTACAACTGCTGGAGTTGTGCAAACAGCGCAGTCGCAGTATCCATCTTACCCCGCGTGAGTAAATAAAATTTCTGGAAACGCTGCTACCATGACCACCATTATCCCTAATTTAATTTCCTGTTTAGATCAAACTATGTCCCGTATAGTCCAACTGTACCATCTGCCATAGCTTACCCCTCATCCTATGGCTATCCCTCTGTGATGCCAGCACACCCTGCAGTGAGTGGTATCATACACCAACCTTACGTTACTCAATATCAAGGATTACAACAACCTTATCAAGCGGGAATGCCACCCCTTGCTTATGGACAACCCGTTGGACCAATGATCGGTCCACAAAATCAATTTGGACATCAGTACGGTGACGTTTACGGTGGAAGACCTCGTCTTCGTGTTCCCACTTACGGTCAACGTGGGACAGGTGGAGGAAAATGGAAAAGTGACACAAACGAACATGGACAGGTTTGTCGTCAACATAAACCATTTCTTGTTTACGTTGATGTTACATGAAGTAGAGGTGTCATACATTCATGATGGATAGAGTGTTTTTTGTTTGCTTTGCAGACCGTGGGAGAAGGTGACTGGCATACAAGTGTGGATGATTATAATTCTGAGACAGCGTCTAAATTTGAAAAGTTATTGGATAAGATAGACGTTAACGACGATGAAAAACCGCCCGGTGAAGATACTCAAGCAGAGTTCGAAATCGTGCGGTTACCTTCCAAAGACAAACCTAAGGACGACAAAGATAGTAATGCCACTGTAGACTTGAGTACCACCAAAAATCTTGCCAAAGATAAATGCTTGACTTGAGTACCACCATGACAAAGATAGTAATGGCACTGTAGACTTGAGTACCAACAAAGAAATCTTGCAGGATGACAAAGATAGTAATGCCACTGTAGACTTGAGTACCACCAAAGAAATCTTGCAGGATGACAAAGATAGTAATGCCACTGTAGACTTGAGTACCAGCAAAGAAATCTTGCAGGATGACAAAGATAGTAATGCCACTGTAGACTTGAGTACCAGCAAAGAAATCTTGCAGGATGACAAAGATAGTAATGCCACTGTAGACTTGAGTACCACCAAAGAAATCTTGCAGGATGACAAAGATAGTAATGCCACTGTAGACTTGAGTACCACCAGAGAAATTTTGCATTGCGAAACTAAAAAACTCAATGGAGACCTAATTCGAAATGCCGAAGTTTTTGATAACACTCAATCCACTACCGTTTTATCTTCGTCTACGAAACCCATTGAAAGCTCTGAAGCTGGCAAAATTTCTCAAGACGTTTCTCAGAATGACAACGAGAGAAGTGTCGCGTCCAATGAAATTCGTCATTTGCTCCAAGAAACGACAGACAAGATCGATTACTCGTCCAAAGACTTAGCAGTTTCCAAGAATGAGAACGACAAACTTTTGGCGCCCCATGGTCCTGTTCATTCATCAGGAGTGACGGCTGATAAAACTTTTAAAGGTGTTGATGTTTCTCGGAATGAGAACGAGACAAGTCTGATTATGACTAATGAACTTTCTCATTTGCCCGAAGATACAACGGACAATGAGAAGAGACATTTTAGCATTTCTGAGAATGAATACGAGACACGTCTGACTCTGGGGTTCCATGAATCTGTTCAATTACCAGAGGAGACGAAGAAAAATACCACAGCCGATAAAATTGCTGAAAATGTCGACGTTTCTCACGAGAATGAGATATGTCAAATGTCCAATAAACTTTCTCAAATGCCTAAAGAAACGAAGTGCAATGACGAGGCAAACGAAACTCATGAGGATTTTGACGTTTCTAACACAACAGAGCAATGCACTGCTCAATCTCGACCAAAATCATCTCGAGGCAGAAAGCGAGCAAGCACTGGTGTAAGTCGTAAAAGGTTACCACGAAATGCCAAGGCAAAGAAAATAGATGATAATGTTGAAGATGCTCCTTTTAATAATGATGAATCCATAAATAATAATGGCAGGAAGGAAGGAAAAAGTGCGGAAGAAACATCAGAGAGTAAACCTGTCATCAACGACATAATCAAAGATAATATTGAGGATGATAGTGGATCAAAAAGAGTAACTCGTGCTCGAACACTCCGACTAAAAAAATAAACTGAGTTCACATTGAAAATAGTTGTAAATCATGAAAAGAAAGATGTTAGGTCGTCCGAGAAAGATGTTAGGTTGTCCGAGAACGATGTGTCATCAATTTAAGCTATAATTTGTAAGGCACTAACTTTAAGGGAAAACTAAACAATATTTTTAAAGTTTGTTCAATACATTATGTTAACTTGTTAACAGTTGCTATTTCAAACAGTCACAAAAAGATACATAATCCATATTTATAGTTCTTTCACATTATTCATATTATTTTCTGGCATCAATCTCCCTTGGGTTTTCTGTATTTAGTTCCAAAGATGGGAAGCAGCCCAGTTTAGCTCTTAATGATGGAATGCATACTATTCTTTTGGCCTTTTATAAAACAGTACCTACCTTGGAGTAGAGCTCTTGCATTTATCTTGGACTAATCATTCAATAGTCATCATGAGAACTGGCAGTGTTTCCAGGACAGTTGGTTAACAAATCTTCATTGTCTACAATAGCAAAAAATATTCATTGCCAATTTTTTTCACTAATTGTTTTTAGTGAAATGGACTAAATTGTAGAATTGGACTGAAGGTAAATATGTAGTGGATTGTTTAAGAACTATATTGTTGTGAAACAGTATCAACTAACCTGTGTATGATGTACCACACCATATGCAATAGAAGTGAGTACTTCTCAAATAATCTGTAAGAATTGCCAATTTCTCGGAATTCTAGATAAAAGTAAAATAATGCTTGATGAACAGCAATGCTATCAAAAGAATTCAACTTCAGAAAAGTATTTCTGTGTCAAACAATAAAATTACTTCTATTTCCTCTACATTTGCCTCTTCACATTCCTCTTGCTCATCGTCATCAGTTTCTTGGGGTATTTGTGGCCAAAACCAAATTTCTTTGCACTCAAGTTTCTTTAAGTTCAAATTAATATGTTAGTACGAGTACTTCAATAGAAACATATGTATTGAAAGCTCAATAAAATACTTTGATAAAAATCCGGAGATACTTTTATATTCTTTCAAACATATGTACATATATTAATAGCTTACCTTTGCCTTATCTAATTGCTCACAAGCCTTTTGGCTTTTAAAAAGATCCTTCTCCACTTGCTTATTTGAAAATTTCTCTTTTTGTGTCTCACGGAACAGCGCGCGTTGCTTTTCTTCCAGTTTTTGACGTTTCTCTTGTGCAACCTCAAAACATTTCTTTTTTCTTTTCAATTCCATTTCCCGACCCAAACCTCCTCTACCTTTTAATCAACAAATTACTATTAAAAAAAAGAATATGTCAGTAATAAGTATCGTCTCACCTCACCTTCCTTGATAGACAGTGGTATGGGTTCTGTTCTACCTTCCCCTAAGAAAGACAAAACAAGTCTAAACTACAGCATCATGTATACTATGTACTAAAGTTTATGATATTTCGCTTTTACCCTGTTTTCCGAGTCCTTTTCCTTCCTGGAAACCCATTTTCTGAAGCAGAGCAAAACCTATGTTTGATCTACCAATAGCATTAGACAGTGCTTCTTCTCTACGCTCTTTTTCCCGTTGTTTTAAAGGTTTTATTCTATTTTCTGCTTCTTTTTGTTTTCTCTTGGCTTCCCTCTTGTATTGCCTTGCAGCAACTCCAAATGAAAGGCCGGGCCTGTTATCTTCGAGACCTAAAAGAAATGCATCTGACATATAATCTTCTTCGTCGTCGTCCGCCATGATGCTTGTTGTTTTTTGGAATACCGCTTACGACTTGATTGCGGGCATTTCACAATTAATTAAATTAAACCATGATACCATAATGCACAATTTACTCGTTGATTGGTTCATTATGATTAGGAATATTCTCAGTGCAGTTTTGTAGTTATAAAGTTCATAAGGAGCCAGACGCTCAGTGGAAGGGCTTGCAGTGGATCAGTGTCTGTTAATCACAGGTGACGTCTCTTAACAAAATCTTTTGTGCGAAAAAATTTGCACCATTTGTCATGATATTATTTACAGAGCACATGATACTGCTTTCAGTGCTGAATTCTGTCCTTCCGCAGAAAATTTTTCATTAGGTCAAGGTTAAGTTTATACAATGTACATAATAATATCCGATGTTTAATCGGCTTGCTTTCCTTTCTATTTTTTTTGCCTCCTCAAATTGCCAAGGAAAATGAAATCACGAGTTTAACGTTTGACATAACATTTCCTTTGGATGGTTTTGGAAACGTAAACCAACACAATGCAAATCCAACACTTTTCCACAAACAAAGGACATATGACCAAATATCCCATTTCTGTTTACGTCTTCACAAATTCTCGCACTGGACAGGAAGAAATGATACCTACACATTAAATTCTTCATGAAGTGCTTACTTGATTCACAGACAGATCATATTTTTCACCTTGTATGCTGCATTGTTCAGCGTTCGATGATCTTACAGACGTCGCACCGACTCCCTACTGAAATTGAGAGTATTTTTAACGCGTGCTTTAGTCTGATCGGGTGAAAATTAAAGGTAAGCCATATCGTTTTGAAAGTCTTTTTACTTTCCCCCCCTTAATCAAGTGCAAAATTATCAATGAAGAATACTTTCTATTTGAAAATCTGGTCTTGTTGCCGGCCTGCTTTGCCAAAAATTGTGGTCACGTTGTCGGTATTTTTAGAGCAGTGTGACATTAGCATAACATGCGTTTATTTCTACACTGTGACTGCGCGCTTCATTATTGTAATGAATCATATGAAAGAATTATTTATACATAATTCAAAGTTATTATGCTCTATCTGAACAGTTGAAATTGAGCAGTCATGTTTTTTATACATTTTTATTTGATATTTAGATATAACTTATAGATTTAGAAGGAGGCTTCTCTGCTTTGAAATATATTTATTATTTTGAAACTTTCAAAGCTTTTATTGTTTATTGAATGTCAATTTATTACATATTTTGATGATGTATTTCGACATAGAAATCAAACTAAAATATGTCAAAAAAGCTGTTTGTAATAAAAATACATAACGTTTTTGAAAACATACATGAGGCTATATTGACAAAATTTTACTCTGAGTTATATGTTTTGTCATGCGCAAATTGATCTATGAAATTACGACTTTTAACTGCGCTGTCGTAGCGTTTTCCGTGATTTTGTTGATTGCTAAACATTCTTTTCGTGCAAATTTCCTGCCAAAGGTTAGCTTTAGATTTTTGGGCTTACTCGGGCTTGCTGCGATGCTCAATTTTATATGTGCATGGGCAGCCAGCCAGGCCAGGCCGTGATCCAAGCCAGGCCTTTAAAGACCACAGATATGTATATTAAACGATGTAATATGCATATCAGTGTTAAAGACGCGTTCCGCAAATTAAAATTATTATGACGTAATGACCAAAGTTCGTTTGTTAATTCACGTGCCGTTAAAATGAACGAGTCAGGTGATGCAATGAGGTTTTTTTGAAGAATGATCTGTCAAAATACTTTTTCCATCAAATAACTGGCGGAAAAGAACATTAATGGAATTTAGTTACAGGTAAACACAAAGACCTTAATCGAACTCATAACACAAATACGTTCGAGGTAACATTTCATTTCGTTGCTGATTGTTGATAATTCAAATATTTTTCTTGCATAATGAGATTCAATAGAAAATAAATTTTGTCGTTCACACATCAACTAGTAAGTATCATATTACATTTAGGACCCTTAACAAACCTTTACTTAGCTCTTACTTAGAAATGCTTCTTTTGACTGGCCTCATTTGTTCGTCTATAAAAAGAATGAAACAGAAAATGTTGTCAATATTCGTCTATTCGTGGATTTTCCCTGAGGTAGTTTGAACTTTTTCGTGCAGTAAGGTAGTTTGAAAGTAGAGGATACGGTAGATAAAAAAGAGATCATGGAGGTAAATGATTCGCTGTGCCGACCCTTGTGAGATGCAAAGCCGAAAGATGGAAGAGAGAGTTAAACTTTCGATATATATTTACTGTTTTTATTTGAATACGACGAACACAATAGGATTCCTCATCCTTGTGAATGGTATTTTCCTTATATAATGTTCAGAAATTTAAAAAGTATACGTCGAAGATATTGAATTTTTCAATTCTATTTACAATATAAATAATGTCAGCATCGTTTACGTTGATAAAAGTGTTGACACAGCAGGTTGTACGATGCCAATGTTCTTTTTATAGATAATACAAAGTTTGTACATGCCAAAACTTGTTCTATATTGTAGACTACTTTGCTTAATCGTTTGATAAAAAGGTTTAAAGTTTGTTAGTGCAATGTGCTTTTGTAATCGCACGTATTTTTTTGGGAGGTCACATTTTAGTACAATATTTATGTGGCAAAGATTATGTCGCTTAAAGTGTTACATCCAAATACGGTCTTCACAAAGTCAACAATTTACATATATAATGACAAACAAAACAAGTCTTTGGATCTTTCGAATGACGAGCTAACTAATCAATGTAGCTACAACGTTACAAGTTGTTGTATTCAGAGTGTATTCCTATCGTAAAAACAACAAAATCCTGTATGATTATGCAACCTCTTAACTTCACGTTATTTTTTTGCAATTCCAATTTTAATGACTCAATAATCATATTCATGACAAGCTTGCACGAGAGCTATTAGCCCACACGAAGTGACTGTAAATGAACGGCATCCATATTTTCTGAAAATACTTGTTGATTTTGATACTCGGATTGATATGAATGTATATTTTTCGTTTAGTTTTTTCCATGAATGGAGGAAGATGGAGCAGAAGATTTTCAGCAAACGTTAGATGTTCCGCTCACCTTCAATGCAATGAACGTTGAACTAAATGAAGATCCTTGGCAACCTTTACAAAGCGAAAAAAACTCACATTTAGGTTAGTGTAAATGAATAAATATATTCGCTTATCGACAAAAAATACCTTGGGTAATATTGTCCATTTATTTGACCACACCTAACACCTACTTTTCATTTAGATTCCTCTTTCACGGTCATCTCAAGAAGACGAAGTGATATTTCAAATAGTCACGTGTCAAACGGTGACGTTTATGAGAGAGAATGTGTGGAGGTTTCCGACGATGGCAATGAACCTAATCAAATACTTACCTATAATAGACGTTTTTACATTCTTTTTGTGTTTTCGCTGACTGCATTTGCACAGTACTGTGCATGGAACGCTTTTGGACCAATATCTGGAACAGTCAAAGCCGTATTTGGTTGGGGAAATGCAGAAATTGCTCTTCTTGCAAGTTTGGATCCAATTACCTATATTCTTACTATGGTTTTCTTCTCGTGGCTAATGGATGTCAAAGGTTTGTCGCCTGCATGGCTAATCTATTACATAAAGGATGAAAGGAGATAATTGTTATGTTCGCTTTTCTCATTAAAGTGCGCATGACAATACGGTGAACTGATGATCTCAATGTTCAGCCTTTGCTTTTGACTCTGAACATAAAATCTGTCTGCATTTTGCTTTCGAGCGTTGATAAATGCTAAGAAATGTTCTAAAACTTTGACAGGTCTTCGTGTTTCATTGGTTCTGTCTGTCTTTCTGATGTTAGCTGGAACAGGTTTACGTTGCGTAACCCGTAACCATGACACTGCTATCTGGTATAGTGTTTTTTCACCGTTTTGCAAACAATTCGTCTTGAACATTCCTAATGTTAATTATATCCATCTTATGTAGGACAATGACTACTGGACAATTTTTAAATGGTCTTGCTGGCCCAGTCACACAAGCTGCTCCACCCTTATTGTCTTCAGCATGGTTTCCACGGAACGAGAGAACAACTGCGACTGCGATATCTGCATTATGCGGTTCTCTCGGTGTTGCAATGTCCTTTGTTATAGGTCCAAACGTGGTAGGAAGGGTTGATATTTTACACAATGAGCCTATGCCTTTGCGCTTTTCATCTTCCAATCACAGGTATTCTATTATTACGAACAGGTATAGCAGATTCATTGAGATAATTATGTTCAAATGACATTTTTAGTTTCCTGTCACCAAATCTAAACAAGACAATTCCTCTCTCAGGTACGCTGCAAAATACGAATTTAACATGCAGCCTTCTCAATTGTCTTCAAACTCACACGAAATGCATCACTCTTTCTTCAGAAACATTATACAAAGATGCAGTTAATTACTGGTCCATGGACGAGTTACTAAAACCGTCGAATCAAACATCGATCGAAAATATGTATCTCGTAAACGACGGTAAAAGCAATCAAAAGGGCTTCGCTCACGGATCGATTCTCGTGCCAGGACAAGTTGGCAAAGCTGTCGCTTTAAATGGCAAAGGTTTTGTAGATCTCGGTGACTTCGCCAATACATGTCCAGGAAACCCATATTCGTGTAAACAAGGTTTTACAGTTTCTTTCTGGCTGTCATATTCATCTACGAACGATATACAATATTTCCTGGGTACTAGCGGTACGGACGTCAGACAGCCAGGATTTGTCATATATCATGATGCATTTAGGAATGTCAGTCATGCTGTGGCGGTCAGTGTTCGCACCGGCAAAGCATTATGGACGACGCACATGAATGTTCCCTCTCGTACATGGACCCACGTGTTATTCAGTTGGAGTGCACGTGACGGCTTGACTGTGTATACAAACGGTACTTTGGCAAGTAGAACTATTTATTCGTCTACTACAGACTCATTACGCAACACACATACATCCTTCACACTTGGACGGCCAAATAATGAATATCAATTTTCTTGGGCGGCCTATGACGAACTTGCAGTGTGGCATCTAGTTTTCACCGAGAATGAAGCCAAAACAATTTATGCAAGAGGTTCTGGAATTAATTTTGCTGAAAAAATTAATGAAGACGACGTAAATAATGACCGAAAGCGTTTTCTACAAAAACGTGAAGATGAAATTATGATGCTTCTTTATATCGGTAGGTATAAATTGTGTCTTGCTACGTCTTCAATTGTCTTATTTTGAAAGATAAACAGACTGCCAAATAACCATCACACAAAGTTCGTCTTTCCAATTTTAATAAGTTTCCATTCTGGTGTTACAGAAAAATTACCCATTGAAAATAATTAACATTGTCCATTATCATTTTTTATCAATTTCCTTTAGAATTTGGAGTGGTTGCAATTCTATTCATCTGTACATTTTGCTATTTCCCCGATAAACCGCCAAGTCCACCCAGTCTTTCCTCGGCCACGCAAAGAGAAAATTTCAAAGATGGCTTTCGTCAACTTCTACGTCACAAACAATTTTGGACTCTTTCCATGATATACGGAATAACTACAGGTTAAAAAATGTTTACTGTTTTACTTTCCTGTGACCTCACACAATTGTTGCTTTAGTAGTGTCTTTTACGATCAACATATTCTCTAGGGGTTTACAGCGGTTGGTCAGCGGTGTTAGCGTTAAATCTTGAAGGCTTTGGAATTGATCAGGTATGCTTTATGTTAAATTACTTTCAACCAGGCAAATGTCATGTAGATAAAGGCAAACATCGCTCCTCGATCTCTGAGCTACACAAACAATCTTTCTCAGGAAACTCACACTTTTCTTAATGATGACACTGCACACATATAAGTTGAGCGACACTTTTCTTAATGATGTCACTGCACACATATAAGTTGAGCGACACTTTTCTTAATGATGTCACTGCACACATATAACTTGAGCGACACTTTTCTTAATGATGTCACTGCACACATATAACTTGAGCGACACTTTTCTTAATGATGTCACTGCACACATATAACTTGAGCGACACTTTTCTTAATGATGTCACTGCACACATATAACTTGAGCCACAATATTTTAACTCTAGTCTGATGACGAATTTGCAATAAATTCGAAATTAACTCTTTGAATAATGTCTTGTTTCTGTTTTCTCAACGAATATTACTCTTTTTTAAAACGTTTGTAGAATGAAGCCGGATGGATCGGATTTTGGACGACAATTGCCGGAATTTTTGCAGGAGTTTTGTTAGCAAGGTAAGCGAGAGAATACTAGATGTAATGTACCAAAAAATTACTCCTTGGTAAACTCCAAGCTCACACAATTTTTTAAATTTAGATTTTCGGATTTCTTCGGAGGTCGAATCAAAAGTCTGTTATTGTTTCTCTTCGTTTGTTCAGCCGTGGCTTTTCTTCTTTTCTCTCTGCTATGTCTTGAGATAATCCCTTTTTCTAAAGGTACCTACTACGTGGACATGTTTCACTTATGTTTATTCTATAATTCTTGTTAGTTAACGAAAAACAATGACTACTTTTTCCAGGATTGATCTTTTCATCCAGTATCATCGGTGGTTTTAGTATCAGTGGCACCATACCATTATTCTACGAACTCACAGTTGAGTGCACCTACCCTATAGCGGAAGGAGTCACCACCGGCATTCTTACTCTTATCAATAATCTGTGCACTGTCATATTTCTGGTCGTCACAATGATCCCAGGAATAGGTAACTGATGTGATCTTCGACGTAAAATATCAATGTTATCCGTTGACTGAGTATCATTTCACTTGATTGAACGATTATCATAAATTCACAACGATTGATTGAACGGATTATCATAAATTCACAGCGATTGAACGGATTATCATAAATCCATAGCGAGGTTATATCCCTTCATGAGTGTTTCATCTAGGAATCTGAACTCACAAACCCAAGATATAACTCAACATTAACTGCACATGTAATTAAAATAGTACTCCCATCTCTTTTTACCTAGACTTAGCTTATTTAAATGAGAATTTTATCAACTCTTTAAAATGACTCTCTTCGTTTAATAACGCAGGAACGATATGGATGAATTGGACGTTATGTGCCTCATGCGCGGGTTGTATTCCCATATTGTGTTTATTCCAAGAGCAATACGGCAGACTGGTTGTGGATACGGGTATTGCAACGACGAACTTAAATAACGACGAACCACAAGATGATAATTTTAAATCGATAGCAAGAGTTGATAAATTTATGAATGAGTTTTACAAATCTAAAGAATCTAAACTATGAACAGAGGTTATAAAACTACAAGAAGAATCAAACATGAAATAATTAATGACGCGCGACCTGCTTACGGAGTTAGGATGATTGAAACTTAGAAGTAATTTATTTGAACCCGAAGTAATTTATTTTTACACTAACAGAATGGTTTTACATAAATTTATTGCTCCAGGACATGCACTAAAGTACTTCTATACAAATTATTTATTTAGTATTGCATGTCTACCATAACAAAAAATTCATGGGACTTTCACCGTACGTGGAAACAAATTCTTATCGCCATTTTTATTGAGTTAAAATACGTAGATTGATATGAAGATGATGACAAAATACAACTACTGTCAAATTTACGATCTTTGTACAAGTTATATTTGAATAAATCTTATCACTACAGTAATAAACATCTATACAATACTGCAATGAAAACAGGGATATGGGCAAGCAACATCAGAAGATTGAGCCGAAATGGTGAGAATCTGTGATGGTTGAGATGTAAATGATGAAGAATATGTACCGAAATTTACATAGCATGTTTTCATGGTTAAAAAGTCTGCACACTGTGGCTACACAGTTTTCGTTGTCCATAATGGACACAAGAAATCCTACAAATTACGTACTTCATCTAGGAGAACTTGCTTATCTATGCACGGCTATAGAAACAATGGAAACTTAAAGAGAAAACTTTTGAGTTTACATCATATCCACGATTAAGCACAGACATTGTTTGGGAAATCACTAAGATTGTTCATTTATATAATACACACGATGTCCTTTGATACTGAAATGTACAACACAAGATGCAATGTTTTGGATGGCAAAGATACAAACGATAGGACATTGCTCACATGTCAATGTCACATATATTTTTTCTTCATCATGAGATGTCCGCGTCCTGTTCAACTAACACCGTAGACTTTCTGAATTTTGTCGAGGTTTAAAAATCTTAAAATGTTCTATGTAATGATCACGAGCGATTCTCAAGAGCGTCTATATTTCGTTATCTTTTCAACGTGTTTCCATATCTCACAGACAACTTCACATTACTTTAATAAATCTTTGGTTCATAAATAATATCAGTTTACGTATGCCCAGTTCAATCGTCGATCACAATAGGTTCAACGACACGTGATGAAGCAATACCGCTAAGTTTCCCTGTATCACCCTGAATCCCTGTCTGTTCCTTAGGACTAGCACCAGTCTTCATTGCAGGCAATACACCGCCAATGGGTTTCCTATCTTTTCCGCTGTCTGTTGCTTCGATTTTTACTTCTATGGCCTTCTTTTCATCACTCACGAAGTGATCAGATTTTGTCGGAGTTTTATCTTTCATTTTGTGTTGCCTTCTTGTCGTATACATGATCTCCTTGACCTCAAGAGAGCATTTAACCTCTACCCAAGGCTTTCTCGGCAAACGACGTCTAACAGTGTCCTCGATGTTCTTTCGAGCTGACCTGATGGGACATTTATGAACATTAATGAACAATGTACACAATGACAATATGAAGAACAGACTCAACGAATCGATTACATCAGATTAAAAACCGATTAAACTATAATTTGTAATAAAAGCATTTAACCAGACTCACCTCATTGCCTTGGTTGCACTAAAAACAAATTCTTCAGGTGGATCAATAAACTGAGGTTGTCTTGTTGGAGATAGTCTACCACGTGATTTATTTTGTCCATTTATCACCGAATGATTATTTATTGCGTTAGATGTTAATTTTTGGTTTACGTTAACCCCCATGGCAGAACTGCCACCACCCTGCTTAGACGGTGATTTGTTATGAGACATGTTAACAGGAAGAGAGCTGGAAGCCTGGGGATTAACTTTCAAACCTGCAGAATTATAGGACGTCACCGTGTGCTCAGCATAAGGAGCCATCTTAGTGATTCCAGGACCCATACCCGGGTTGACGTCGCAGTAAGCGGGATACGATTTCTGTTTTGGTGGACCAGTGACAGGCCCTGATTGGTGGGAGACGTGATGAACAGTTTGAAGATGATGAGAAAGACTCGCTAGAAAAATCATAAACTAAATAAGTCGAAGAAAAAAATTTAAACTTTTCCTATCAACGTACTCATATAACATTCCCCCCCCCCCAAAAAAATCATTTTATGAACAGCGTTGCCCTACCTAGACATTCATATCATGCATCAATAAGAATATTCCCACCATTATGTATCGAGAACGTGTGAATGGAAATGAAGCTTCATTACACATAATAAATATACGCGCGTTGATTGGCAGACATGCAACTATACGCGAATTTCTTTCATTGCACAATAAAGTTTGTTTCAATACCTTGATTGTGAAGAACTTTTCCGCAATGTTTACATTCGCAGCCTTTCTTACCAAGTGGTGAATTACTGACAAATCGTTTGGCTGATGGACCTGCACGAAATGAATAAAATTTTTGTGCAAAGAGAAACATATCTTCCATAGCTCAAACGACCAAACAAAGGAAACCCTATGTAATCCATCTTAGTACTTTAACATACCATCCAAACCATTTTGATGTGTGTTGCTACTCTCCAGAGATCTCTTACGTGATAACATATGTCTAGAAGAATGGGCAGGACGTGGTTCGACAACTTCACCTCCATTCCCTTGTGATAAGTACAATCGAGGAGAATGTATCATCTTACGCGTTGGTGACGTAATTGGTGTAGGATAGACTGTAGACGTGGACTTGGATCTAGTCTTAGTCACGTGGGTTGACGTTATTGTAAGATCATTATTCGATTGTTGTTTGGGCGGACTTGCTTTTAACACTTCCACTATGTTCTGTAGAGATTTCCGTTTTTTGATTTTTCTTTCATTCATAATTTTTTCGACTACTTCGCAAGAAATACGTTTCATACCTGCAAATTTTTTTAAAAGAAGTGAAACTTTTTTGTGTAAAAAACAGAAATGAAAATGAAACCTGAATCAAACGATCACGTGAACCGTCATCATACTCACATGCTTGTCTGACGTCATTAATTTCAATGGGTGCCTTAAATACTCGCGCCAAGTGAGGAAACTTAAGAAAATCCTTGCACAAATACCGCGAGATCCTTGTGAGTGGTAAAGCCCTCATATAGAAAGCTGTTTTAGGTTTTGCATTCTGCGGGCTGCGAGGTCGCAAAGAGTGACAGGCTGAGAGATGACGCGTCAGGTTGGCCTCCGTATTGAATGTCTAAACAAATACAAAGTCTGAATATACAAAATGCACTATCTATGTCATAGTAGTATTGAAAGATTCACCATCAATGTACCTTATCGCATCCATTAACAACACATTTGTACGGTTTATGGGTCAACATGTGATTGGAAAGAAGCGCTTTAGAAACATTTAGAAACAAAATATTGAAAATGATCTTGAAATTATTTTACTACAGAAATTGAAAATCAAATCATATTCATTGTAATGCTTTCACACCTGCTCGGTTAAATGACCTTCCACAAAGACGACAAGTATAACGAACATCCTCGCCGACTTTTCGACTTGAAAATCCATCTACGGAGAAAAATACAAACGTAAATAAATGCTTAAATATGTGCACACGAATACAATTTAAACAATAAGTCAATGACCTCGAAAAATATGAAAATCAAAAAAACATTTCTGGTAAAAAAAACTATGTGTATGGAGCAATTTGCCGAAAGAAGTTCCTTAACTCATTTCAGTTCAAAATTTTACTCATTGAAAAGAAGTATTCACAGTAAATAAATACTTCATGCAAATATTAATATGTAGTTTCAATTGCTACAGTTGCTTTCCCAGTTCTTGTGATCTTCACAAGTTATTTCAATATGTGGAAACATATAAACATACGAATGATCATTGTGGAACCAGAAATAGCTCTTGTTATCAATGTAGTCGTGAATAAAAAATATTTAAACATGTGCTACATACCAGGCTTCTTTAGTCCACCATATTTCTTCCAATATACCCAACAAACAGAGCAAACATAATGCCGATATTGTGTGTTGGGAGGTGACCATGGAAACCAGTGAGTTGACGAATTTGCTGAAAAAAATATTACATTCAGTTAGATTAACTAATTATAAGGTCAATTCCATCTGAGTAAAAGCAAACACTAATACTCTTTGAAAGTCATTGGAAGTAGTTTTAACCAGTGCTGTAGAAGTGGGGCACTTGGGGTAGGAGCCCCCCTTCTACCTTTGAAATGGGTAATTTTTCATTATTTCATGGCTTCAGCTTCATCAAGAGAGCCCCCCCATTCTCATAAATTTAGTTCTACAGCACTGGTTTCAACCAATCAGCATTCTCCTGCAATACTGACCATAACAGCTCTCACAACAGTAGCCAGGACTGGGTGGTTTAGTAATCACACCAGGAGGTGGGTAAGGTATTGAATTGACAGATTCTTTATCTCCTGAACCTGTGACACAAGTCGTCCCAGGGCTGGGAAAAATACAACAACATTTAGAAGATAAAAATCTTTAATACAACTGCATGTCATCATAATGCAATTTAAATACAAGTGACAATGATTCTGGCAAAAAAAAACCAACTAATACATAGGTTCATAAACTTACGGATTGACACAAGAATTTGTTTCAAGTCAGATTCTTTATCAAGACATTTCATTCTTTTCTACAAAACATTAATGTCCAATGAGGGCACCAAATATATTCAAGCTTTTTTGCACAAATTGAATGTTAAAATGAAATCCAAACAAGCAATCTTTGCGTGGTTCTTTATACCTGTCTAACATATCTATCCGTAGTTTTCCACATATAATAATATTCAATGATGCTTGCAATGCTCTTCCATGGTAGCTGAAAGATGAAAAATGGTTCCAAAAATTCTACTTGAGGTGTGAAACAGAATCAAAACAATTCAGAACTAACAAAATCTTTTTGAATGTCCCTAAAATCTTTTCCATATTTATTGATGGCTTCCTCAAAGAGCCCGGCTTCACCTGGAAAAATAATTCAAAATTAGAGAAAAATTGTGAAGTACAACATGTTGATGCCACAAATCTCTTCATAAAAATATAAATTTTTACCTGCAGACCATTCCTCCATTTCATCTCGACATAAAATAGGTCCACCAGATGGTACTAAACAGCCAACTGCTAGACTCAAATCATACTTGCTCTTGTGTAAAACGTTAAGTGCATGAAACTAAAGGAGAATTCAAAAATGAAACTTAACAAAGTATCATTTTTCCTTGATTGGGAAAAAAATTACTGGTCAGACATACTTTTTAATGCCCACCCACAACCCGCCATCCCATCACAACCCCTGATGCAAATAAAATATGGGGACATGTCATCTTCCCATCAACAACAATTGAGACTACACAGTGAGATAAGAAGAAGTGATGTGGGTATCTGTCATTTCCCCATCATCACCACTGGTGACCCTAGTACAATGAGATGTGAGGGTAGTGCAAGTTGTCATGGCTTGACCCTCCTAAATACCATGTTAGAAAAAAAAACACTTGTATTGATTCTAGTTTTCAAGCCCATGTCACTTTAATGGAATTCCTAAAAGTCAGGCTTGCAGGAGATACTGGAACTAGTGTTTGAGAATGTAGTTTTTATGAATAAGTTGACAAATACCTGTGTAATATCCCTTGATGCAGCTGCAGCACTCATATGCAAACTAGGTTGTTTTACTGAACTACTACAGTCTAGTGCCCGAGCAAATGTACCAACAGACCTGAAAGAAAAATATGAATAAGCTTTTTACTTTAAATCATTATAGAATGGATAATGGTTTCCCACCTTGAAACAACAAGAAATTGATCAACTTCACGGTCTGAAAGCTCATGTTCTGCAGACCAAACAAGTGTTTCCAAAGTGACAAATCTCTTGTATCAGTCGTGGCTAAAAATACAAGAATTCAAATGTCAAAGAGACACAAGGTTTTCTTTCAACATTGAATAAAGGCCTAAAAGAAATATTGTAATTGTTCCTCTAAACCAGTTATTTTAGCTAAAATTAACAAATGATGCTAGATCCAAACAAAATTTTCTTCCAAACAGAAATGCAAAATGTCGGATCATAAAATGCTTGGACCGGAATCATTTGAGCAATCGCTCTTCTGTTGTTATATGCTAAACTGGAATGGTATAGAAGTAGAAGAACTCACTGTCAATAAGCTTTGGTAATATGATTGGTTGATAATTTGATCCAATTCCAACTTCACCCTTATCAGCAAGCAATGCCTTCTGTTGTGGATCGTACACCAAGCAATAATAAAACCAATCCTGACATGAATAAATAAATACTTAATCAGAGAATAAAAAATGAGCAAAGATTTTTTAAAAGATTATTCAAACCTCTTTTTGAGTATACTGGGGAAGGATTTCTGTCTCACAGTAAAGAGTAACTAGACATTTCCCTCTGTGTAAATAATAAAAAATACAAGTTTAGTCCAGCAACTTTAACTCAAGCACGTACAGAAATTCAAACAACAATAGAACAATTTTATATCTAATAATTTAATTGGAATAAACCTACCTTATTTGACTGGCATTAATTGTCTCGTATTGCCTTGAAAGGAACAACTCTCGATGAGACAGTTGATGTATTTTTGTATCATCTAGTTCCCCCTCCCCCATATCAATTTCTGCATCCTCCTCTGCTGCAGCTTAGGGATGAATTTAGAAGCAACTTGTAAACAACTTAACTTAATGTCAAAAATTATAAAAATGAAATATAGTTGACACCCACCAGCATGTCGGTCAGCTTGGGCTATTAAAGGTGTAGATAAATCTCTTCTTCGATAAAAACATTGAACTTTTGCCTCTATTTGACCATTTCCCAATTTTGTCAACTCCTCGATCCTTCTAATTTGGTAGGGATAAACTGGGGCAGTTTCAACATAAACATAATCTAAAAAGAGAGAGAATTCTAAAAGCTATAACAAGTGAAGAAGTCTTGGAAATCCAGCTCAGTTCCAACCCAGACATAGAGTAAGGTACTTATGGTCTTCGCTTCTAGTACCAAACTCAACAAATAATACTAATGTTATTCTATTGAAAATCATGAAATAATGGACCAAAAACCAATCAATGACTCCAAAGTCAAATGTTAACGACTACACATGCGCGCTAACTATTCATTGCTAACGTAAAATTAAAGCACAAAAATCCCACCAAAAAAACAACTTTTTCTATAGTACACTAATGTATTTTTTTAAATGTGACTATGGTGAACTGAAAAATGGTGTACGAGGATGTCACATTGAAAGTTCGGCGTTTTGACTCAGAATGAAGTCCAGTTCCATTCCGAGTCATATGTGGTGGGGGGTCAAAACTTTTTTGCCATCGAGCAAATCTTATATGAAATCTTTTTTTTTTTATTTACCCTCGCAAATGGCATAATTATCACGAAGATACTTTTTTTCTAAACATGTGTATAATGAAAAGGACTTCTATGAAATTGATAGGTTGCGGGTCGACGAGTCGTCAGGCCTTGAGAGTTTGACAATTTCATCATTGAACTTAAAACTTACCCCCAACGCGATATATTCGTGAATTTAAACTAGACGACATTCTCGTGTTGTTGATTTGTTTACGTTGGTAAGCACATCAAATAATGTACAAGAAGTGGATCAAGTGCAGGGCATTTTATCGCTTTTAGCAGGAACATACACCACACTCTTTACGACTCGGTGGCCATTATTGTTCATCTCTACCACACAGACACACACACACAAGCGCGACCACGCTACCCGATTAATCTTCGGGTAACTTCGGGACACCTCGGGAAATGGACCGCCTCCAAACATCATTTCTGCTATTGTACCTTTTACAACAATGGGAAATTATTGCTCATATGAGCAAAAATAGTAATATCTGATATCTCAATAACTAATAATCATGTTACATTTTTTGAGAAAAAAGTTCAATTTATCGAGAAATTATATTTTATGTACGATAATAAATTTCATTTATCACGTGACATTAAAATAGAATATTCCGTATACATCCGGCAAAATACGAAGATCGTTCACACCAAAAAGTGATACATGAATTATTCATTTCTTTTCAAATAGTTTATGATGACAACAAATTAACGGTGCGATAAACTGTGTGACTAGCGTTGAAAAAGGCACCCTAATGTACTTTGGGATGAAGAACGTCAACATATTGTCTTAATGAAACACATTTTCATTTACGAGATTGAAAGTTTTGGTGGGGTTTTTGTCGGGAGACCGGTTGGCAGCAAATGTGGGGAGGCCTTTTAGAAACGGAGGGGCTTTAATGACATTTGAATATATTAACAATGCAACAATGTTTTTAAGATACGCAACGCCACCAAACAACACATATTTCTGCGCATACTTTAAGGCGTCTTATGTCCATCTTCATATTCGATGCCATCATTAGCATTATCATGTTCTGAAGAAAAACATAAAAATGGAAATTCGTTTCAAAGACTTAAATTAGGTCGTCATCAACGACGCCTTTGTGATGACGACTTTAGACCAAGCCGGTTTCGATAATCCAGTTTGACCTGTTTTGTCAATCACTCGCAGCTAGATAGATAAGTAATAAAGGCTATGACGTAAGAGTGTGAATAACGATCGTTTGTTTCACGAAGGGTCAACTCGCACACATAATTCCTCAGGCAGTATTGTTCCAATCTCATTTGGTTTGTTTTTTGTTTTAATTTCTTAGATACCTCTATGTCAGCCAAGACTCATTTGTTGGTCTTCATGTATAAATGACGTTTGATGAAAGCTAATACCTTATAAGGTCAACAGATTAATGCAGAGAGGCTGACAAAAAATCATCACAGCATCTCATTCCAACAATGTCATTTGGGACATTAAAAATCAGACACATAGGACCTCAAATGTTTCAGCATAATATATGAATACAAAACATCATTATATTTGATAAATTAGCTTAATTATTATAACTACAATGAAATTTGCTAACAGCAACATGAACCTCAGGAAAATCACATCAGTCAATCGCCAGGCTCGGATACATCCCCAAGTGATGTTCTATGCTCAGAGTCGGACATGGAATAACGCTCGTGATCATCATCTGTCCCAGAATGTCTCGAAATATCGCTATCGCATTCACTATTGATGATGTCACTGTTTTTGTTTACTAGGCTGTTTATAAGATGCTCATCAACTCCTACATCTCGCAAGATCTGTGTGTACTTCTTTTGCGCTTTTCTTTTGGCATTCTCTTGTGATTCTCGTTCAAACAACAACGGCCTTTGTTCAACACGTCGTTTCATTTCACCAAGCTCTCGTTCATATTCTTCCTGTCGTCCGCGATCACTCTCTCTGTAAAACAAAATCAACATGTAATAATTTGTGGGGAGAGGATCACATGTTGAAGGCTTGAAAGTTAGATCAGACGAAGGGAGATAATGATTTACCTAAAAGTTTTTAACTTTTCTTTACTGTTTTTCTTCAGTTGCGAAGAATGATCATATACCATTGATTTTATTTGAACTTGAGAACGGAGTTGTTTTTCTCGATTTTGGTTTGCCTTTCTGTAGCGTCGAATTTCATTACTTTTCTGTTTCTCCACCTCGAGACTTCTCTTAACGGCCTCATCACGAAGTCGAACGGATTCTGTGATTCTGATGGAAATAAATTGTCATCAAAAGCTTAATTTTGTTCAATGGGTACATATATGTATAGTTAATCAAATTTTATCATATGCTTCACCTTGTTCATTGGGTGTATACATGTACAGTTAATCAAATGTTATCATACGCTTCAGCTGGTTCAATGGGTACATATATGTACAGTAAATCAAATGTTATCACACGCTTCAACATGTTTACAGTGGGTACATATATGTATAGTTAATCAAATGTTATCATACGCTTCAGCTGGTTCAATGGGTACATATATGTACAGTTAATCAAATGTTATCATATGATTTACATTGTTCAATGGGTACATATATGTATAGTTAATCAAAGTTATCATACGCTTCACCATGTTAGAATGTGTAGCTACATATATGTACATAAGTGGTTATGATGATGATGAATGAGATATAAAGACGGTATATGTAAGTGTTAACTCGAAATTAAGGAATACGTGATCATGACATCTGTATGTAGCGAAAGTATTTGTGTCAGCCTGAAAGATACAACGTTATCTTTTTGCATTTATCGTTGACAGTAACCCTTTGATCATGTTGCTTTTGTCAAAATATATTGCTTATATCTTTGAGACTGTCATAAACCATCCCTTGTTTGAATGTTTTCAATCTTAATATTATTTCATTAACTAAAATATCAAAAGAAATACATTTGGTCCTAGTAATTTTCCAGGGTTTTTCATGTCTATAGGTCATGATTGTAACCTGACTCAATGGCCCTGAGAATTTAGTTTACGTTTTAACATGATTACACGTGTAATGAAGGAAGTTAAATTAACAAAACCCGACAAATTAAAAGAAATATTTAATGTGACTTACCCAAAAGGTAAAGTATCTTGGGATGATGACAATCTAGCACTGGACGGTCTAACCTTTCTCGCCTCTTTTTCAATTCCAAAATTCCTTTCACTAATACTGTGACGTAAGTTCTCCATAGAATTGGCTCGCCCCAGACTATTACTCCTAGCACGAGGGATATGAGCTGTTTTCAAATGAAAAGGTTCTACAACAGTCGGCTGTCGTTCCTTCTTGCGTTTCCTCAATTCTTTTCAAACTCCCAATGCAACGCATCAAAGTCGGGCACTTCAACATTGATGTTTGGACGAAACAGCAGCTTTGGTTCGCGAGACTTGCGACATTTTTGTCGCGATTTGGCTGCATTTGTAAGGTTTTTACGCGCCTCCATGCTCGGAGGTAGTCGTGAGGCAGCGAGGAGATCGGCAGCGCGAAGTTTCTTACGTATCTTACGATATTCATCTTGCTCGATTAACCTGTCGGCAAGACTTAAATCATTTTCATGTTTTGGAGGAGGCTGAGCTTTAAATACTTGTTTTGATTCCTCCTTTTCTTTCTTCTTCAACATCTTTAGACGGTCTTCTTCTTTCTGGCGTCTCTTCATCTCTTCTCGTCTTATAAAGGTAAATGGTTTTTCTGTAGCTTTTAATAGAGCCTTGTTGATATCACGAACGCGTTGACTCCTTCGTTGATTCTTTTCTATAATCTCCTCATACAAGGGTAGGAAAGTTGTCGCAGGAACAGGCTGTGCACGAAATTTCTTCTTCAATTCAGCTTCCTCTGCAGACTTTTTAAGACTCAAATTTTCCTCAAGCACTTGCATGGATCTTGTCTTCTTCTTTTCTGTTCGTGCTTCTCTTAAAGTCATTGCAAATGGTTTTGGTATGGTGATTGATGGAGTCCATTCCTTAAAAAGCATTAAAAAAGTCTTGCATTCAGGGGAAAATTGTTAAAATTCAAATGGCAATAATAAAAAGTAATTTTCAAATTCTAGCTAAGTTTCTACCTTTTGTTTGTCTGTCTTTGCAAGATTCATTGACTCCAAGGTTTCATTATCATTAGCTGTATAATCCTGAATTGAGAAGTCTTGCCATAAATGTTCAACCATATCCATATTCTGAGATCTTTTAGGATAGAGAGAAGTGGAAAATTCTTCTGAAGTAGTGCGGCTTTCATTTTCTTCTACTGTATTTTCCTCTTTGTCATCCTCTTCTGCATCATCATCAGAATTAACAGAATTTTTATCTGAAATACAAATTTATACAACATTGGTAAATTGACACACAAGAAAAATTGATAGGATTGCCATAGATAAATGAGTATCTTAAATTCAATTCATTTTATTAAGTCTACATACAATTAAGTCTACGTACCTGTGAATTGAGTATTTGTCAAATATGACATGTCTTTGACAAAATCATGTGATGATTTGATTGGGTACTTGTTTTCGTAATCAAAACTATCATGAATCATCTTTTCTTTTTCTGCTGTTGAAGTGTCATTTCTTTTTTTGTACTCCTTTAATCCAACTCCTTGATGAAAACCTTCCCATTGAAAATTAGTTTGTTTCCTCAACTCATTGTAATATTTTGTTTCCAGCAACTTTAATGTATTTCTATGTTCCTCTCTCAGTTTAATTAGGTTTTTATAAAACTGCTCTTCGTTCACAGCACCTGCATCGAAATCCTCTATAAGTTTATAACGTTTGCTCTTAAATTGACGATTGCGCTTCTGGCTCTTGATTGCTTCGCCATTTGAACCTTCATCTTTGAATGAAGAAGAATGTGAAATAGTGTCTGCTTCGTTTTCTCGTTCATACTGAACGACAAATAAGAACTCTAGGAGCCGTGTAGATAAAATTTGTGCTTGACAACGGTTCAAGCGTTACTTGTCGCCATGTTGATTTCAAACTTTAGATGGAAAATTGTACAAAAACAAAATGGAAGCACTGATTCGGAACAAAATCAATCATTACGGGAGGGGAAGCAGCAAAATTATTAAATTTCAATCAGTTTATTCCAGTATTTTTGGTATGTGCTTCAGCTGGTCATTTTAGCAGTTACTGCGGACGCGTTTCTTATAGGAAAATTTAACAGTTGTGAATTGTTTCGAAAAATTTGTTTAACTTAAAATTCCAAAAGTATATAGTAAGCCAGATGTTGCTGTCTGATACTTATTTATTTATTTTTTCTATGATCGATTCAGCAGGATTAATATTTCTTGTCGTGTTTTTCGTATCCTTCATACAAATAGAATAAATATATTTGTGTAAAATACTGTGTTTCAAGATTTGAATACTCGTTTGTCATTCAGCATATCCTTAACTTCAAATTAAAGATAATTAATTTATCAGATTTAGAATGCGATTATATTAATGCGACAGTTTGCTGCGACAGACTAAACAAGGTAGGAATCAACATATCATAAAATGTTTCCTTGTTATTGTAATTGTAGTTTTTACTTTACGTCGTAAATTTTAAATTTTACGACTTTACTCGCTTATTAAAATTAAAATCTTTTATAGTTCATCATTCCTGAAATTGTGGCTATGCTTTGCCTTACTGCCATATTTTTCGTTCATTTTCATTGGATATATTTCTTGCTGACATTGCCATTGTCATTATGGCTTGTTTACAGGTAAGAATAAATTATGCTAAATATTCCAGATTATTACAAACTAACGATTTGTGGTTACTTTATGTGATTTTAATGGTTCAAGGTACCTAAATAAACCTGCAGGGAATATGGGTATTTATGATCCTGCTGAAATTCACAACAGAAGTGAGCTGAAAGGTTTTCTTAAGGAAGCAATGGTGAAATTAGGATTTCATCTTATATCATTCTTTATCTATTTGTACAGGTAGGGATGCTATGTCATTGTCAAGTCCAGTTTTCAATATTCAATATCAGTTAGTCTCTATTTTTTTGCAGCGTTATATCTGTGCTCATTTCAAAGAAAAATAAATCTTAATGTGCTTTGGTTCCTGGCATTAGAAATCAAAATGTTTGGAAATAAATATGGATTGAAAATCAAGGGCAGCAGAAGCTTGATAATTAAGGGGGAGCCTTAATTCATATTTCATACTGTATAATCTGTAATAACTATTGATTTCAATGGAAACTAATAAAGTAAAACATCCATATATGAATGCTGCCCTCCCCACCTAATTATTAATCTTTTGCCTCCCACTTTAAAATGTTATGTATATATTCTAAATGTGGTTGTGCACTACACAAATCATAAATCTTGCACTGACAACGCTATGTTTTGGATTGTAAAATATTCTTCAATAAAAAAACCTGAAACCTTGTTAAAATTTGCTACTTTTGCTTAACCAATCAAATTCACGCAAACAAATTGCGCGAACATAAGGAAGCGCGCGAAATACTTGAACATGAGTAAACATTCACATTTCCACTAAGCACATATTTGGCTACGACAGGAAAATGAAAGTATTTCACAGTATTTGAACTTCTTAACGAAGAATCCACCACGCTTTGCGATGAATTTTCTCCGCAGCTTACACGAACGGCGAATAATTCAGTCGTATTCCCCAAAGCCCAGGAGTAAGTATCGTGTCCAGAGTAATGACATTTTCTATAGTGAATAAGAGTGAACGCCTCCCTGGACGTAAAATCGTGTTTTTCTCATTTGTATCGTAGATGTAAGAATAGACTTTGTCATTCAAGCATTGAAATGCCACAAAGATGACCAACACTACGTAAAAGGTTTAGATTCGGAGGTATATTTTAAACAATTTTTTGATACAGAAACGAGATCTTAAAACAATGGCGTGAAAATTTGAAATTCACTTAATCACGATCGATTTTGAACAAAATTCGCTGTATTTATGAATGAACTGACGTAGTGCTACAAAACTGTTCTTTAGAGAGATGTACCACCATTTGCTTGCAGTTTCAATCAATGTAAGTTTCCATCAATGTATCCAGTCTATTTGGATGATATGGATCTATAGCCTTTTTATGACAATGAAGCTGTTCCCTAACCTTTTTATGGTAAATTTTGTCTAGCTCTTGTGTATGGTCATATGTTATCAGTTGCTGATGAAGAAGGTGGTGTGTGTCTGTATGATACAAGAAAACATGGTCCTTCGGCCAGACTTAAAGGTAAATTTAGACATTCAGTCCATATTGGGCATCCAAAACTGAACCAAACTTTTTATATTTATGTTAACATTTTTAGGTTGGGTTGCCCACAGCAATGCAATATTTGATGTTGCTTGGGTTGGCAATGAAGCCAAACTAGTAAGTTTAAAAATTATTTTCAATTTAATTGTTCTTTCATCCAATGTCATTTCGTTTTGTCAGGTGACTGCATCAGGTGATCAAACAGCCCAATTGTGGGATATTCATGGAAATGCAAGACTTGGAATTTTTAAAGGACACAGTTGCAGCTTAAAAGCTGTTGATTTTCAGTGCCATAATCAATGTAAGAACATGCTGCAAGATTTGAATATTACAATATCAACATTTCATACTGAAGGTTTCCTCTAACTTGCCATTAATCAACATTTTATACAGCTGTATTTGCCACTGGTGCTAGAGATGGAAATGTTATGGTTTGGGACATGCGTTGCAACAAACGTTGTGGTTATCACAAACCTGTCAACACAATACATAACTGTCACACCATATCTTCAACAGTGAGTGGTACACCTCCAAGGATTAGGCGACGTGGCAGACGACCTTCTAGTGTTGTAAAACCAGTAAGTTCAAATATTCATGATTATAAAAATGAATGTTGTTCTCTGACATTTAATTCTTTTAGGATTCACAACAAAGTGTGACATCTGTCATATTTCAAGATTACAACACACTCATCTCAGCTGGGGCAATGGATGGAACTGTTAAAGTTTGGGATTTAAGAAAGAACTATTCAAATCTAGAAAAGGCTCCATTACCTTGTCAAGCCTTTCCTTGCCCACAAAAAAGCCATCGAAAACATGGTGAGAACTTTGTGTTGAAAAATATATGAAACATGATGTTTTCTCTATTTTAGAACTGTTGTTTGTATACATCTCTAGGCTTTTCATCATTAACATTGGACTCAACAAAGTCAAGACTTTTTGCTAACTGCACCAATGATGTAATCTACATGTATGACTGTTACATTTCAAAAAGAGCCCTTAGCAAAATTCAGAGGCCACAGTAATGTGACATTTTATGTCAAGTCTTCAGTGAGTCCAGATGATCAATATCTTTTAAGTGGCTCAGGTGATTATGATGGATATATATGGAAGATTGATGATCCTCAAGCTGCACCATTCCACTTATTGGGTCACACAAATGAAGTCACCAGCGTGGCATGGTGCCCTGGAAACCAAAGCAAGGTAACCATGTCAACCAGTTTCTAGTGCTCATTATTTTAACTAACAATTTCAAGTCCTTTGTACAGGTTGTAACTTGCTCAGATGACACAAGTTTTTACATATGGTGAGTATAATAATTTTTACTGACATATTTTAGTGTTGTAGAATTAACCTTTTTAAGTCTGGCACATTTGACAAATTTTCAAACAGGAACGTCAACTATGCTGAAAGAAAAAATGGGAATTTTGTAGGATGGTGTGAACAAGTTTCACCATCAGAAACTGAAGGTGAGAGTAAACACTAAGAAAATATATAATTATTTCTGTAACATTTTGAACACTTCTCAAAATTAATAGACTTTACTTCTATTTCCCATCTACAGATGGTATACCCGGAAGCAGTGATAGTGGTTCCCCTGTTTCATCAAAAAATAACTCAACAAGCACATTAACATCACTTTCTCTCCCATCACCAACAACAACCAAATGCAGTAGTCCACAACAGCTGCTCTATAAGTGGTTACAGACAAGTGAAGTTACAGTCCCAAACAGAGTGACCAAATCAAGCTCAATTGTTGAGCAGATGAATAGTGTTCATTCAAATGGTAATAAACGATCAAGGGAAGTTGACAATGATCTGACTTTAAGTAAGCATGTCTGCATGTGGGATGAAGTTGAGAAAATTGGAAAAAGTGCATCAAATGATCCAAAAACATCAAACAGCGTTTCCAGCAAAATTGAAACACAAGTAGAAAAAGCTGAGTCAGACATTATGGATAAAGAGAATAAAGTTCCCAATGCAAACATCATAGTAGGGAGTCAGCCTTTGAAAGAAACCAAGATGGAGACCTCTTTACCACTACCGGTACATAGAAACATTGGTTCATGTTTATCATCAACAAGTGGCCTGTTAAACTCAATTTCACAAATGAGCCCAACAAACAGTCTTTTAAAAGAAACAACAGTTGCATCAGAAAAAAAGAAGTTCACACATCCAATAAGAAAATCCAACTGGTTACGAGATATGGGGGTTAAAAAGAAAAGTGTGAAAACAAGAAACGTTGTGCCATCAAAGTTGGAAAATATTTCAACCAATGTAGTGAGTAGACACTGTAGAATGGTCTATTTTGGACTTAGGCTTATTGCTAGCAAGCCAGTCAACCAACTATTGATATGAAATTCCTTCCATAGGATAGGGTTGCTGTTTTGACGAATACCAGATCAATCACAAACTATTTTACTCCAATGAATCATAATTCATCAAATTAACTGAGGTTAGTAAGTTTTTTTGATGAAGTAAGAAAAACTTTTATCAAATTTTATTTTTAACAGTTTAATTAAAAGTGACAGTACAAAATTGTTCCAACCTTTCACCTTTGAAATGAATCCATGTTTTTAATGTCAAGCTACAAAAGAAAAGATACATAGTAATTTAGGATTCATGAAGACAAAATTTTCATACATTAATAAAATAAATATATTACTTTGCATTCAAAATCTGCTGGCTCATATCCAAATACTTTGGCAAAAAAACAGAATTCTCCCTCCAAGGTTGCTATAATGTTTTCACTTTTTCTAAAACCATGCTGTTCACCTAAACATATTTCATGGATAAAAATTATGATAATTTTCTGAAAAGAACAAAGAAGCATAGATTACCTTTGTAAAGAACATAGCAACAAGCAATTCCCTTTTCTTTAATTGCATTAAACATCATTTCTGCTTGGTTAGGTAGCACAATCTAGAAAGAAAATTATCTGACGTACAGCTTGTTCCTGATAATGATGTCAACATACAAGATGCACTTACTGTGAACCCTTAAAGATAACCCACCATGATAGTAAACAAATACAAACTTGACCTGTCCATTACCTTGTCTTCATCCCCTTGGAAAAAGATCATTGGACATTTAAGCCTGTTGACATGACTGATTGGTGATCTTTCTTTGTACAATTCAATACTCTCTGGATATGGACCAACAATAGTATCCATGTATCGACTTTCAAATTTGTGTGTATCCTTTACAAGAGCCTCAACATCAGACACACCATACATGCTGGCACCAGCTTGAAATACCTCAGGCCGTAATGTAAGACATGCTAATGATGTGTAACCACCAGCTGATCCCCCATCAATACAGAGTTTGTTACGGTCTGCAACTTTCATTGTCTCAGCAACATACAATGCACCATTGCAACAGTCTTCAACATCAACTTTGCCCCAACTTATGAAAAAGATTTTAATAATTGGCAACATAACTGGAAACATTGTCTAGTTTGTTACTATATTGTAAAAAATGCATAAAACAAATAAGTCCATCATCTTTGATAAAATATATTCTGTGGAACTGAGTGAACATTCTCTTACTTGCCATAAAGTTCCTTTCTGTAATGCATGCCATATCCAGTGCTTCCTCTATAGTTCATGTCCAATACAGCAATACCACGACTTGTGAAGAACTGCTTATTTAAATCAAAGACTGGTGATGTAGAAGATGTGGGTCCTCCATGAACTTTGACTAAAAGTGGTGGCAGAGATCCTGTAGGTGCTGCATAATCTTTGTTCTACATAAATCAGTTGATAAATTGAACAAAAAAGTTGCTCAAGAATGAATAAGAGCAGTGAAATCAATCTGTCCATATTGACAGAAACTTTAACAACACTTACTTTAGGTAAATACAAGTAACCATGAGAGACTTTGTTATCCTCCGTTGGAAAAGTTATTGCTTTAGGTATGCTAATGTACCCTTCATCCAATTGAAAACTCTTTGTAACATCCTTAATTATGACAACTTTCTTTGTATCCATGTCTACCTCAAGGATGACATATGATTTTATTGTGCTGCCAGCTACACAATAAAGCTTTTGGCCATTTGCTGAGAAATAAGGGTAAATATGAGATACGAAGCCTGTGTTGACAACTTCCATCTTTTCCACTTCAGCATTTACAATGCCCAGTTCCTATTATACAAAAATAAATTAATACTAAAACATTACTATTCTAAAACAAATATTTAAACCTACTCCACCACAGACTACTGCAAATAATTTAGGATTCTTTGGATGTGGTACATAACTGCATAAACCAAATCTCCACTGTGGCAATCCAATTTCTTTATCAACAGGAAATATGTTACGCTCATCATTTGTGCTAAAAATATACTCGTACACATTCCACCAGTCTGATCTGTCTGAAATGAAATAAAGTGAATCATCTGCACTCCATCTTGGATACATTATGCTGACACTTTCGTTGTATGATATCTGGCAAAATATAAATAAGTTTAAGAAAATGAAGAAGATAAAGTTATTTATGTAATACAGTTGTGTGCATAACTTCCACATCATGCTTGACATCAGTCACCTGTTGAGATGGTCCCTCTATACTCTTCCCATTAGTGCTTAACTGTGCAATATAGAGTCCTGTTGTATCCCATGGCTAAAAATATGTGAAGAATAAGTTATATAAAAACATTGACGTAGATAACATAGGAGATAGAAATGCAACATAAAGTATAAGAGGCATACACTATAATGGAAACTTTATCACCAAATTTATACCACAAGCTGTTTTTAGCAAAATTATTATACCATATTTGGATGACTCCACTGGACCCATGCCAACATTCCAGTAGATGAAGTACGAGGAGAAGAATAGAAGTCCTCACCTTTCACCTGAAATAAAAAGTCTTATGGTTTGATGTTGATTTAATCTGAATTGATCAAAAAAGATTTTCGTTCAATTACTAAAACAAATTCTTCTTTAGCTTCCGGATCAATGGAGACAATTGTGTTGCATGCTTCTTTTGCCCCTTGGTCCTCAATAATTCCATGATCTTCACGCACACAGATTATTGTGTTAGAGAATGGACACATCTCACCGTCTGCATATCTGCATCACATACAGAATTTATGTCTTCACACATTTTCAAAGATTGCTTGAGCACATTTTAAAGATTACCTTAATCCTTTACCACCACTTGAGACTTGTAGTGGAGGTGATGATGAAGACTGTTGCATGTACATCTTCTGATCACTGAAGTTTGAAAAGTATACATTTCCCTTGGAAACAAAACAAGAACCACCTCCATATTCATGTACAGTTGTCCGTGCATTGAAACCTTCTGGAGTCCATGAAACAATTTCTTTATGCTTTTCACTCCAAGAACAGACAACAATACGGCCTTTCTCATTTGGACGTAGCTCTGTCCAGAACACTACCTCTGTTTTGTGAAAACACTAGAATTTACCTCATAATATCAGTTTACAATAAGGAACAACCAATGCTAAGAAATTATTTGCAGCCTAGTCAAAACATAGCAATGGTATTGCATAGTCATTGTGCAGTGTTGTTAAACCATAGTAATGGTATTATAAAATTGAAGTGCAATCTTGTCAAGGAAAGTAGTCAAAGCTCAGTACCAGTATCACTAGTTTCCCAGACTGGGAATTTTGTAAATTGTGCACCTGAATCTCAGGTGCACAATGCAAACTTTGCAGTCTGGTAACTTCCTCGTGTAGCATGGTCAAATCACAGCATTGATACATATTTTGAAGATCATTCAAGAGCTTCATTAAGCTGCATCAGTGACAAGATATGATCCTCGTCAGCATCTCACAAATTTGTGTACTACAAATCTCTACAATAGCTACACCAAAGGGATAAACATCTCCAAAAAAACTGGGGTATTCTACATTCTGGGACAGACTTTTATAGTGTCTTTATTTTGTAGAAAAGAACACAATTTTAGATCAACTTTGATCATCCTCTATCATTTTCTGAACCGACTTTTTGCACATATTATATAAAAGCTCAGGTGGGAGTGTGAGGCGTGTTGTCACACACCCTTGAATATTTCCACTTACACCAACAAATTGTCACAAAATAAAGTAGTGTAATCACTGTAATGAAACATTTTCCAGGATATTTGGTGCCAATACAACCATGTATTCTTTCCAGACAAGTCTTATGAACTCACCCTCATTATTATCGTTCAAACACGTTTGGAGAAAGGAAAAGCGAGATTTCGAAAGTCCTCCTTCAGCTATGACCACTTCAGCAGTTATTGGACTGGACCACGCTCCATAATCAGCAATTTTTACCTTATGACTCTTATCAGCCATTTTTAGCTCGAAATTAATTAAGAGTAAAGGTTGCTCAAGCTGTTTTTCGCAGTGGCTATGCTTGGACACATCGGACCATGTCCGTAACGACAACGAAAGCAGAATCGCTGAATGCGAACGTAAAATGTAACCTAATCGCAGGTGACAACTGACCTGTATAAATTTAGGCTCAAAATAATTGCAACATGGCTTCGTTTCAAGTCAACGGAGGAGAAGAAATGACTTCAGGACAGGATGCGCAATCCGCTCTTTTGGAGTTGGATAAAGGTATTTGTTTTGAAATAATTATCGATATTAATTCGAAGTGACTTATTCATTGTTTTCATTAATCCCCAGGTTTGAGAGCGTCCAAGGTCGGAGAGCAATGCGAGGCTATTGTGAAGTTTCCTTCGCTATTTGAACGGTTCCCATTTCCTATTCTTATAAATTCTGCTTTCCTTAAACTATCAGATGTTTTTCGTTGTGGGTAAGTTCGCGGTACTTGCTTTGAAGAAGGAGAATTGCACAACAAGACTTGCGATATTGTTTTTATTTAGGAGCAATTTTCAAAGACTTTGCGTGCTCAAGGTGACGCAGCAAAGTGAAAAACATCTTGACAAAATAATGAGCACTGAGGAGTTTCTTCGTCGCATCTTCTCGGTGATGCACAGCAATGATCCTGTAGCGCGAGCCATTACTCTTCGGTGATAACCTTGTCTCTAATTTTTGATAATAATGAATGAGAATGACTGACTGTACCCTTTTTACTCGTTTGAGCACCGCGGCGCTCTTCAAAAATTTGACAACAAATAAACACTTTTTACAATGTTTTTGAAAGAACAAAAATTCTGAGGTTGATTTAAATTTTGGTTATTTTGTATTAGTGTCTTGAACAATTTTGATGGTGTGTCATTAATCACGCATTAGAAAATAATGAATGGGGCGCTCATTTGAGGGCGGAGCTCAAAATAATGACTGCAAATGCAACGCTCATTCAAGGATGTGCGCACTCAGGGATGGTGCCCAAACAAGTTAATACTGGAAATCAGTCTTGCTGTGCAAATATTTCTGTGCCTAATGCTTACTTTAACAATACTGAAGATGACTTATGTTTGCATGCAGGAGTAAATTTGCAGGTTGCTACTCTCCTCGTAACGCTCTCTTGTAAATATTTAGTGTTCTAGGAAGCATTGCTTTAATTATTTCAGAGCAGAAAAATGTCCATCACAGGTAATGATGATGTCTGTCTTCAGAATAAATTACAAACTAATCAAACTACTCAACATTGGAAATTGTTTTTTTTATCATTGCAGTATTCAAACAAGTCTAGATTCCCATGATCACGTAGAAGTAGATGCTGCAATTTATGCGACTCGAAAGTTCAGTGCTAAATCGCAGTAAGTTATTTCAGAGGAATATGTGTTCAACTTGTTTCGTTACTAATGTGTAAAGCTTTTTAATTCTTACTGTCAGAACGTTCTCTGTGAGTGTCTGTGATAAGCTCATTGAACTAATTGAAGGTATAATTTATATAACAAAAGAGAATCTTGACTACAATGATGTGTTGGTCATGTGATCTACATTGTTTTTATTTAAGGGCTAGCAACACCAATTAACATGAAACTTAAGCTGGTCCCTATCTTCCAGTACATGTATCATGATACAGAATCATCTATGAAGGTCCTCACTTTTCTTTTTTTTTCTCAAAACTTCTTTTCCCAATTGTTATAAACTAGTCAACATTTGTCTAGGCTTGGCAACTATGTACCTCTTTATTGACTACATATTCATCAGATATGTTTGTAACATCAATTCTTCATTCTGTAACTTTTCTTTCTGCTGCATCACTTTTCAACATCTCTGCCCAGGTACTTGAAACATTTTACAATTTTGATTCTTTTAACTTAATCCACGACAAAATACATACCCGTCTTACTTTAGATTGAGCTATTGCTACGATATATTGTGCAAGATCCTCGTCGTCACATTAAGAGACAAGCTCTTCTTGATGCTAATATCTTAGCAAAAAAATCACCCCACACATGGGAGAGAAAACATGTTCAAGTAATGACAAATATGAATGTGACTCCATTATATACAACTTAATAGAGCCATATTACAAGGAATTGCGGTAAAACGTTTTTTATTTTATGACGTTTCGTCTTTAACGTAAGACATCTTCATATACAATCATATACATATTTACACGAGGCTGATAAGCAAGATACTTATATATTGACAGGGTATTATTAGATTACATTATAATTCAACATATACGTCTGTTCTAATAGACCAAACATGTTTTATTTAGTTTAAAAAATGTCTGTGTTCCATAGATGATTTGCGAGTTTTTATCCAAAACTCCTTACGACGATTTAAGAACTGGTGTCTTGTACGTGTTGGTGACGTTATCATTATCCGTTGCTATTGGTATCCTTGACAACGACATCGGTGTGCCTTTAACCTTCCTTTCTTCGTTTCATTCATTTTTGTCTGTGGAATGTTGTTATTCTATGGTCAACAAAACGTTTTAGTGTTGGAGACGATCTGCAATCAAAGCTGTGGCGAATCTTTAATGGTTAATGCACTCAGTAATGAAGTCTTTCTACATATAGCTCTCACAAGATTGAAAAATGGTAAGAATGGCCGTATATGAATCATCGCAGGCTAAACCATATTGTGGACGATAAGAGTGACGAGTTCTTTGTTTTTGATCATCAATTTTAGATGAAATGAATCGCGAGTTATGCGAACAGGCTGTGATTAATTTGGAAACGACAATTGTTGAATGTTGTTTAGTGGAGGAGAATAACGCGTTAAAGGTACCATTGCGTTAGTGAATTGTAAAAATATTTCATCTGCTCATGAAACGACGAACATTTAGAATTATAGTTTCTTAATCATTAATTAACACTTCACAACGAATGGAACTTTGAAGTAACTCATCAGCACATATAACTGACAAATCGAGTTCTCGGAATCTCGTTCAGAGGCATGACGTCACTGGTTGCGTAAATCTGACATTGAAAATATGGAAGATATATATATTTATGTCATTTACGAAAAAATTCCAATTCCTATTGTGATATATTGGTAATGTTATTGACTCTTTTTGCTTACTGAACAGATATCTTTGGTGAGCGTAAACCGTCTCATATCCCAAGATGCAACATGGTCGTCAAACTTTGCTGAAACCTTTGTGGGTCTGTTGACCTCGAGCTCCAGCACTATATGCTTGCAAATAGCGAAAGGTCTCGTCTCCATGGCGACACAGGCACCATCATGTCTGGACAAAGTCAAGTCGGAACTTTATAAACATTTTGTATTTATTTGCCAACTTGAGGTTGGCGACGATAGCCCTAAGGCTCGCGAATTTCAAAGTCTTTTGGTACGTGCTATTGGCGGTTACCGCGTTTATCGCTTTCATTGACATTAATGGCTTTCTTCTAAAGTTCTTTGGGAAACTTCTACATTTTTTACTCACGTTGACATTGCTAATTTCTGGAACTTTATAGGTGGCCATAGCAACGCTGGTATTTCAAGCACATCAGCAAACTTTTGAGGGTCTCATGAATCAACAAGAGATGAAGTTAATGATACTTCAGAATTTATCAAAACTTGAGGCGTCGACAAGATATTGGACTATGTACAGAGTAGCAAAACAGGCTTTTAGACAGGTACTCGTGTATTTCAATGGTCCTAGGTATAGTTGGAGTAAATGTATTCAAAGTTATTTTAATCAGGATCACATGCTTCTTTTATTTTTCAAGGGTTTTCATTCGCTTTCTCAAAGTATTTTCTCAAATCTTACATCAATGGTGGCGTCGGTCCATCTTCATTGCTGGCTGAAAGCTCTTGCTAGCTTTAGTCTTGCTGAGTCGCATCTAAGTGAAGCAAAGGAGACGTTGTCTCAGATAACAGAAAAAATATCACAGGCCATAAGTACTTTCCAAAAAGGCCTAGTCTCACTAAAGGTAGGTTTCTTATTACAACATTTAATATGAAGAAATAAGATTCATTGCTTTTGCCTTTCTTTTGTTTAGGCTGCAGTGACTGCAGTACATCAACTGGAATTTCAACAAGAGTACATCTCATTACGCTTACAAACATTGCAGACACATTCATTCCTTTTAGCCATTTGTGCCAGCATTCGTTCCTGTCCTCCATCTGCGGTCGCACAGTCTATTGTCATGACAACAAAACATGATGTTTACACTCAGAGTCGACAAAACATACAGGTAAAGGTTTAAAATAGTGGTTTCTTTGCTTATGTTCTGCCCCACCGGAGAAGTTGATCACCATGTAGAAGTTGACCATTGTGTAGCAGTTGACCATTGTGTAGAAGTTGACCATTGTGTAGAAGTTGACCATTGTGTAGAAGTTGACCATTGTGTAGAAGTTGATCATTGTGTAGAAGTTGACCATTGTGTAGAAGTTGATCATTGTGTAGAAGTTGACCGTCATGTAGAAGTTGATCATTGTGTAGAAGTTGATCATTGTGTAGAAGTTGACCATTGTGTAGAAGTTGACCATTGTGTAGCAGTTGACCATTGTGTAGAAGTTGACCATTGTGTAGAAATTGATCATTGTGTAGAAGTTGACCATTGTGTAGAAGTTGATCATTGTGTAGAAGTTGACCATTGTGTAGAAGTTGACCATTGTGTAGAAGTTGACCATCAGAAGTTGATCATTGTGTAGAAGTTGACCATTGTGTAGAAGTTGACCATTGTGTAGAAGTTGATCATTGTGTAGAAGTTGACCATCATGTAGAAGTTGATCATTGTGTAGAAGTTGATCATTGTGTAGAAGTTGACCATTGAAGTTGATCATTGAGAAGTTGACCATTGTGTAGCAGTTGACCATTGTGTAGCAGCTGACCATTGTGTAGCAGCTGACCATTGTGTAGAAGTTGATCATTGTGTAGAAGTTGACCGTCATGTAGAAGTTGACCATTGTGTAGAAATTGACCGTCATGTAGACCGTCGTGACCATCATATTGATGTTTTATCAATTTTAGATGAACGAATGTCGTGACAATTTTTTTTCCCTTGCTTCATCTTATGGGAAACTTTATCGAAAATCCTATGATGCTGACCCGGTTACACTAAACAATATTGAAACGTATCCTTTACGAGGCGATGAAAGCGCAAAATATTTTTTGGAAGGAATTTGTATGACCGACTAATTTTTTTGTATGTATGTTCACCCTAAATGATCAATAGAAAAGCTAAATATTCCAAACAATCCTCAATGAAAGAGTGGTACTTAGATGACGCAAACCCTGTGGATCTGTGACTTTTTCATTTCAACGGTGTTTTGTGTCAAATTTTCCTCAACTGTGATATTTTAACTCAGTCATCAGCAGAGTTGTCTGTTATTTGCATGTGCAATAGATCTTTTGATGAATCGCTTAGCTCTTGACAGGTAAATTTTCTGTAACTTCCGACTTTAAAACATAGCGAATATTTTATGACCTCGTGCACTCAAGACTTCAATGAACATGTTTTTAGGAATTCACCAAATTTCACTAAATCACAAGACAGGAAAACAGGCAACAAACTCGAAGCAAAATGTCAACTAATCTTAGAGGAATTGCATGTACGTTTTGCGACGTAATACCGTTGAATGAATAAATAAAAATGAACGTTGATTTTGTTCACCATAGCGCCTTTTCAACGACTTAAAGAACGAACGCATTTCGCACAAAGTAAGTGACGATTTCTAGAATGACATTGAGGAAAATAAATCATCTACTTTACTCTACAGGACTTGCTTGTTTCTAGGAAATAGAGTTTCTACGTAAGATGTCCGTGTGTATTCTCGGAATTCCAATGAAACCCCCACGTTTTTTCTTCGATCGTCTACAATCTACAATGATTAAGGTAAGTAAATGTTCCAATATGGAAAATACAATGATGTGAAACTAAAGTGTCCATCTTCATTTGTATCAAAATTAGTTCTAAATGCATTCTTTGCACATTGTTGTTTGTTCAGTTGGCCGTGTCGCCATCACAACCAATAAATAACGAACCTTACAGTACATCAGTGGATACTCAATTGGCGTTGAAGGTAGAAGGAGTCATATGTCATGGAAAAAATACGCAGGTATTCAGGAAGATCAAGAGTGTCACGTTGACAGTTGACATTACCCCTGAAGAAAGAAAGGATTTGTTGGATATCAAGGTATACGATTTTGTCTTTTCACATTTATTCAAAGCGAAGAGCTCCTCGGTCGACAATTCCTAAATGTTTAAATTATTCGGAGCTTATCATTTTTGTCTGGTTATCTCATTATTTTTCAACAATTTCTAACTAGACATGATTTAAGATTATCTTTCTTTCTATCAACAGCAAACCTCAGGTAAAGCTGATTCACTGAAACAGATTGTTGAGCCGCACAACGATTACTTTAATACACAGTTCCTTCTTGAGTTTCCTCTCGCTAATCTTTACACAGTCAAAGTAGCCGTGGCTGTCCTTGATGACCGAGGGTATAACTGGGAGACTGGTCCTGAAAGTAGTTTAACTGTAAAAGCATTGGAGATTCCTAGCCGAATTCACAGAAGATGAAAATGTTTCGTAACGTTTGAAGCAGATCTCTCGAAATCCAGAGATAAGAATCGAGAAAGAGTTATATAGCGATGAAAATTCTCATACCCTGACATATACGACTTACGAATGGCGAAACTTGTCCTATGCAAACGAGTAGATCAAAAATGTGCGTATTTTCACGTTCTGTGTGATAGAGAAATTACACCGAGTCCACATTCCTACATGTCATTAGTTGAAATGAAATGTCTTGTAGTGTACATAATACTTAGAATCAAAGCAAATTATATTACGACTAAACTTCTTTGAATAATTCAATGAATGATTGAATGTCTTTGCTAAGTAATGATAGCCTAGACTGTATGTACCCCAAAGACATTCTTGTGTAGATTCACATTGATTATTGCAAGAAAATCAAATGAATTGCACGAATTGTGACAGCTGAAACGTAAAATATCCTCGTCCTTTGACCACAACTTCGTGTCTTTGCTTTTTCACAAGTATCTTCCCTACACATAGACACCATGTAAATGAAGAAACGTCAACGATAAGAAATACGTGTTATCGTTTCCAGGCAACATTCCATCATACGTCATAGTATCACCCCATGACGTATATTTAGCGTGAAAATTTCATCGCCTTATGGATTATTCTAATTTGAAGTGAATTTCTAAAGACGCTTACTGATAAGGTAATACATGACGAAAATGAGCGGATTCACAAGAACACTATTGTGTGTGTGATAATAAAAGATGATTAAGAACATTGTAACTATTATAGATAAATGGGGGTAAATTAACATTAATAGTCAAATCTAAACAAGCGTTTTCTGCAAGATTGTTCGAATGTTTGTTTATAACTTCATACGTTATATGATACATGTTTGAGTGGACGGGTATTCTCCAATCGCTTCTCGATATGATTGAATGATATGATATGGAAAATTACATCGATCATTTCAGCTGTTGAACGTAGATATTGGTAGATATATAAAATTTCATATACAAAACGCGAAATGAACACGTTTGAATAAAATTATGCATATATAAATTTGACTAGCGACATTAAGGATTACACAAGTTCTTAGTTTGTTTCAAATTAACATTGAAACAACCCTTGTTTCTCCATCAAAAAAAATGAAACAGATCAAAAATTATCACTCCACTACAATACGAATTTCATTTAATCGACAAAGATTAAACGCTCATAAAATCTTACAAAGAGTTACTCATACGTTCCGCTACAATTATAAGCATCAATGGAAATAAAAATAAATACGGCTTTATACATAAAATAAATTAACATTTCACTTACAAATTTCTTTAAATAATAAAATTTTATCAAGTAGAACAAAGTACTTCAACTAAACCGGACAGCCAGACATCACCACCGTCACTATCTGCATTTTCGAACTCGTTGTCATTAGAATCAGACAACCAAAAATCACCCGGAAACTCTCGCGATAATTCATCTAAAAGCTCCTTTAACTCGCTAGAAAATTCTTCATCCAAATCGGATAAACTAGCAGGAGAATTTTCCGTGATTGTCGAGTCGTTCGTTACAGTTCTCGCAGCGCACTTTGTCGAACTATTTAATGACAAAGCATTTTCGTTGTTGAAGGTATGACATTCTGCATCTTTTTGTTCAATTTTCCTTCTTTTTCTTAATACTTCGTCGCGTTCCATTCGTTCGCGATTCAATTTTCTAACGGTGCATTCTAACACTGCATCAAGATACATGTCAGGATCACGTTTTCGTTTGTTTTCTCTCTGTTTATTCGCGACTGACTGTACTAGAATGTGGACGTCCGGGATTTCCATATTTTAATATAAAAAATTTCGCTATTGTAAAAATGCTTTTGAATGCAAATATCGCGTCTATTTACTTTGCTTGGAAAATGTTTCAATCTCCGCGGTCGCAATAAGTCCCCTGTAACACTCGATTATAAACAGATAAAATATATTCCGTGATTTTAATGAACGACAGGTATTTTTGAATGAACGTCAAATGTATGTGAATATTTCCAAACGTGAATAGCGAAAGTGTATGAATTCCAGGAACAACAAGATTTCTGTCGACTCTTCAATTCTGAAGAAAGCACGTCAACTGTATTTAACTTGCGTTGAAATGTAGCCAAATTTTCGTCGTCTTCAACGCTTCAATCGTAGATAAAACTTCCTCAACAAATTCACTCAAAATTACTCAATGCGATGTATGATCACTTTATCCTCTCTTTGCCATCACATTGCTACCCCAACAATGTTAGACAAACGTATTCTACTTTATTTGAAAATCAAAGCTGTTTAGAAGAGTAAATTGCAAGATTATTCGGAAATGGAACAATGGTATACCGATAAATAACTCGTTGACGAAGTGTAAATTGTAATAACGAAGAATGACTACATCCGCTTTAAAAAACACCGATTTACGACAACACAAAGCTAGCCAATCACAGGTGAATATGCATAAATAAATACTAAACACCAACGCACAAGTTTTCGTCAACCGCAGGTCATGTTTCAAGACAAGTCGCAAGAACGCGCGCACGGTTTCTTTAGTTCATAGCGATAATTGCGTTTTTCAAGTCGTAAAATTATAATGAGTTACGCATAACGCTGGCAATTATAAAATTCCCATTTTAAAAATCTGCATTCACATATCTACTGCGCTAATGATATTATTCTGGGGAATAAGAATTATTTTCTTCGTTTCTGTCGAACAATACAGCGCATGAAATATATGATCATGTCAAACATAAACTATGATAATATTACGGCATACAAATATAAGAATCGAAAAATTATTTTCATAAATAGATGGAAATAATAGAGATGAAACTTCAATAAACAAAGATAGCGCGCTCTTATAAAGGGCAATTGTCTTTAATGGCCCACATGGTACTTATACTACGTACTATTGGAAAGGGTACTTGTGGATCCATCACTTGATACTTTGTGATCCTAAAATCACATATATAGTCCAAGTTTTCGAAAGGAACAACAATCGATAGTATCATAGTTCTTGTTGCTTCAGTCAACGCAGAGAACAAAACTATCATTCATTCCCCCTCAAGCCGTAAGGTAGACTCAACGTAGTCTCACAACTGAATGAGGAGGAGAAGGATAGATGATGGTGATAAAACATGGACATAAGGGGATGAAAGTAGGATATTAACTAATCCTGCATTTCTTCCGGTATGTCATGGGGATTTATAATACCCGGTACCGTCAACTGAATTTGTCGTTTAACATCCTGTGCCTTCTTCAGTTCAGCTTCGCGTTCCAGTAAAAACAGATCAGAGGTGTCCTCACCGCGGAATTCCTGAAATAATCAATGAAAAAGACCATTCGTAAGCACATTTGCCTCATGTTTTTCTTCTTGATAACAATAATACCTTGATTTGAACTAAGAAGTCTCTCAAATGTTCCTTAAATGCCGGTATGTCCTGATTTAACGTGAAGAAACCTTCCACCAAAATACGTAATTGATCACTAGGATAACACACACAATTATTTTATAAGTTCGCCTACCAGACAGCAACACAAAATAAAAAAAGATATTGATGATAAAACTCACCCGTTTAAATGAGGAAAAGCCTGTTTGAGAAGATTCGACACAAACTGTTGAACGTATTCCTAAAAAGGAAATCATTAGTGGAGATAGATGAGAAGAAAATGTAAAACATTGTAGATTTACAGCAACAAAAGTATAACTAATCCTACTATAGAGTGGTATAAATCATATAAACATACGTGGTTGTTAGAGACACCGGGATGATGTGCAGGATCATAAAGTGGAGCCACAATCTTTCCAGCTTCCAGTAAATGAAACATGTGTGAAAGAATAGTGGCATGATGGTTAAGACCTAAATATCAAAAATATAACAATAGATCAATCATTACAGGCGATCGTTAAGACGAATGACTTGGCCCACTCCTTCTGGCCGATTTCCAAGTAATAACGAATGTAATAGCGATGAATACAGTTATAAAAAGAAAAACTTAGTAGAAAAACAAAATTTATAAAAAAAAAACATTAGGAAACATAATGTCCTCTACAACGAGATCTTTGATTCGAAAATGCGCAAGACTCGGAAACATTCGTATTTTTAAACGCGAATTTCGAACAATTTTAAGTATTTAATGCATATATTTTTTAAATATTTTTCAATATTATTGTGAACCAGACTTTACCTGCAGTATGAGAGGTATCAGTGACAACAGAGAATATATGTTGTAAAATCATTGTATAGTAAGTTTGATAAAAGTTCTGCGATGACGTATCACTTTTCTCGACATTTTTCAACAAAGTATACAAGATTTCTAATCCTGTATCCGCAACATTTCGCATTGTGTGTTTAAAGGCCCAGACAATGGAGTCAAGGACAAGTTTGAATTGTTCTGCAGGTATTTTCAACAAAGCTAAAAGAGAACAATATAAATGTGCTTGAAGATATCTATATGGTCATAAGTAAAAAAGAAATACACAACTATAAAATGTGGCTGAGGTGCAAAACGAGGTTGCGTCATAATAGATGTAAGAGACAATCTAAATTCTAACTTCTATCTCGTTGAAACAACATTCACAATCATATGATCAAAAAATATTTCATATTAAAACTCTTCCCAGACACATTCCTACCTGTAAAACAATGTTCAACAACAGCTTTAAGTAGTAGAAAGAAATTCGTTCGATGTTCGGGCCATTCCTCCATATCCTAAAAAAATTATTGGAAAATTAAAATAATCAAATCATTTTAAAGAATGGCGAGTTTTAAAAATCTTTGTAGTCTTTAGTGAAATGAAGCTCTTGCTTTTTACAGTTGATGACTGCACATACACACAAGGATACATAGCTACATGTAAAAATTTTGATCCATTGTGATCCATCTACGTACCTTGTTTATCATTTCCAACGTACAGCCAAAAAGAGCTTCTAATATTTGCGGTATCTGGTCTGTAACGAAATTCTGAAAGAAAATTGTTATTTAGTTGTATAGATGACGTCTTTTGACTAGTATTTTGGCAAGGAGTTTAAACTCAAAAAACAACAATACAATACGAAAACAAGTGCTGTTTAGATAAATATAATCATTCATAAAAAAATACAACTACAACTGCCGGGAAAATATGCACCAACAACAGAATCCGCTAACGTAAAACAAAGATATGGAGACCCAAACTCGCTAAGGTCCCAGGGTCCCAGAAAACCTTAAAGCGGTCCGGACTCGTTGACAATATTGAACTTATAAGTGATAAATTTAAGTTTAAATAAATAATTAAATGTGTATACTTAGTAATATTATAAAACATAGAATATCAAGAGATCCATCGAAAAATATATGATCAAGTTAAAAGTTTAGCCTTATCACAGCACACTTCATATTTAAATGCGAAAAAGATCCTTTGTGTTCAGTATTCCATTTTTTTCTTTAAAAATATTAGTCAAAGTCCAAATTATACGGCACGAGATTCTTTATTCCAATTCAGCTACTAGGCGCGCAACTAGACGTTTATTACTTCTCAACTTGAGTGTATTTTTCAGAAAAAAATATTCTAAAATTTCTGCTTCTACATCTACAACACACCATTGACGCCGGACCATTAAATGCGCATGGCAGAACTCTTACCCCAAGCTTATTCGTCATCATTGCCATGGTGTTCAATACTTCCGGTTCCCGAGCGGCAGGTAGATTGCGTTGATAATCACCAAGCACAGCCTCCAGTAATGGTGGGATGAAATTATCACACACGAGTTTAGCGTCATTCGACTTACTAACCCATGTCGAGATTAACCGCAATGTCTCCGTTTTCACGCCACGCATCCCCCGTATTAATGGTTGCTTGGTAACCAAAGGTCCATTAGCGGCTACAGCCGATGAAATGTTCTCGCTAAGACATCGATAAACGTTTAACATGTCAAGATAAATACGACCAAGTTGCGTGACGAAAGCATGACCAATAGCCTTGCAACCGTGAACATTTGTCTTTAAAATATTACTAAGTTGTTTTACAGTTTCCATGTTCTTCAAGGTGTCCACATTCTACAGGATAAATACAATTTTAGCATCACGTGTCGATAAACGTGACAGTACACGTGCCAACACACGTGCCAAGGTCTTATGGCTAAATTAGCGCGTGTGGGTAAAACGCGTAACGAAACAACCTTCAAAGCCCAAAAGGTATTTTTCATCGTTTCCGTACTTTCGCTCGCTTCGTTTCAACAGTTCCTGGTTTTACTATGTACCAATGAAAATCCAAGTCCTACCTTTGTCGCATCTTTTATGATAGTGTCCCAAACATGATTCGGTAAAGACATGTATTTCTCAATAAGTCTTTCCTGAACAACTGCGTCCTAATACGGGAAAAAACACACACACAAAACTAAAGTCTATGAAAATAAAACATAAGAAATCTCCTATGAAATGAGTACACATACCAACTGGGAACTTATCATGTAGCCGACAGCTTCATAGAATGTATGAATCTATGTATAAGAAATGTTATTATAGCCAAATATTGTTAAATTTAGAACATTTAATGTTATTGTTGTCACATAATGACAACTAACCTGTTGAGGCTGTAAATCACATATAATGGATTGAATAGTGTTGAGTATTTCCTCAATAAAAGGCATTACTTCACCCACTTGCACCTGAGAGAGAAAGAAAAAACATTTCCATTACAGGAAAAGCAAGAAATTCACCATTTACTCCATAGTTAAACTAACCTACCACCCAGTTGGAAATTATAAAACCTAAATGGTGTCCTCTTACCATCTTCACCTCTTGAGTTCGTCGATGTATAACAATTTCTTTTGTAAAATAACCATTTTTCTATGATCCCAGTTCAAAATCGATAAAAACATATATCAACTTCATGCAAGAATCACTAACCTACCCTAGCAGTACCGTTGGACAAGTAAAGCTACAGTTACTTAAAGTGGTCTTATTCAATAAGATTGGCATTAAAGTGAAATCATTCTTCCTAAAGGAATTTAAGAAGTGTCGTAGTCAGTAATGAAACCAGCGCGCAAATTTACTCTTGCAAAGCAATCTTTTCTCCGATCACTAACTACAAAAACATTTTATTTCTAAAGAAATGAATAATGATATTTTTCTGAATTTCAAAAAGCAAAACTTGCGTGCCGGCTACATCACTGGTCACACTTCTTTACAAGCAGTGTAAAATTACCTGGACAAAATGACGTCGACATTTCTGTGCAATCTTTATGAAAGTGTCACAGGCCATATCTTGAACACCATCATGTGTTTCTGTAGAAATGAAGTATGTAGACGCCTTAAAATGAATCTAATTCAAGACAATACTTCGTCATTGTTTCTCGTAACAATAAACTCAAACATACCGTGCACAAACTCAAACATACCGTGCATAAACTCAAACATACCGTGCATAAACTCAAACATACCGTGCACAAACTCAAACATACCGTGCACAAACTCAAACATACCGTGCATAAACTCAAATAATTTATTTACAACAGTTTTGAGGAACTTCCAATGAGCTCTAGAATGAAAACACAAATGGACATTTTCAAAAATTAGAAAGAATCACTTAAAAATTTCGCAGTACATCCCATGCGAGATTATCTACCAAGTCTCAAACAGAATTAATCGAAAAGGAAACTTCGTCTACATTAAACAACAGGTACGAACCTTAAAAATCGTGGATATTGACCAACTATGTACATTATATTCGACGCGATTATTGCTTTATTATCCTTCCCTCGTTTGATCTCGCACAGTCCAAGTAAATCCTGGGAGGAAGGCAAAAAACTAGCTGATATTCATTTTAAAAAACCCATTATAGTTTATTGCAGTATGTTGCTGTGTATACCTTGATTACAGTAACTAGAAATCTCTTCTCGTCTTCTTCGTGCATGGCGCCACTGATGGAGCCTATGGCCCAGCATAGCTACAAGAAAAAAAATTTATAATGGAAATTAGTTAAATAGTAAACAGCTAAACTTATTGACAGAATCGGTGAAAATATCGAACGAGGTTAATAGTAAATATATATTTACAGTGTTCAAATTTTTCCATGACCATTCAGAACCATCTACTTGTGCCTGTAGTTTCTCAGTCATGTGGACTTCAGTGTCTTGATAGTCCAAGTGAGTAAGATATACTATAAAAAAGGAGAAAAAAAAACTCGATTTTAGATGAAACTTTACAAGCCACAAAAGAGGTAAAATACAAAATTTTCAGGCAGTAAACAAAGGTAGAAAACGAGGCAATAATTTATAAAGAAAATGAGTTACATTACCCAAGGTTTCTCTCATATTCTTATAAAGATTGATGGCATCCGTATCTTTCATAAATTCACGTACGACTTCACCTTGATCGTTCTCGACAACAAGAACTTCCTCCGGTTTTGCCATCCTTGATATCATCGTTATTCGAACCTGATTAAACGAAACATAAAGTTTTGTTTAAAACAGTTTTAAATCATATGTAAAAAGCTAAAAATACTATCAATTTATAAAATGGTCAATGGTTAAACAAGTAGACCTTTGACAACACTTGTAAATAGATCTGCCTTCTTGGAGGCACATTCTGCTGTTGCAATGAGCCAATGAGCAAAGGACTGTGAGACGATGAAAATGGACTTTCTCGGTACAAATCTCCAGCTAAATTATTCCAATATTCAAGACATATCTTGAATATTTCAATTTCTTCTACTTCTGATATCAAGACTAAGTAATGGAGAGACTAAATAACAAAGACAGAAGAAATGTGAAAAAAAACCATAGAAAACATAAAGTACATAGCATATATACTATACCTCTAACAATGTTGTATGAAGATCAACCTGAAATAGAAGTACATCTTGCATTAGTGTTGACACCCATTATTTCCCAGAAAGGAAGTAGAAACTTTAACTCTCATTATTTCCCAGACAGTGTACAAGGAAGATTGTTCCTTTAACTCTCCAGAGTGTACAGAGGAACATTGATCCTATATCTCTACAGAGGAACATTACTCCTATACCTCTCGACAGTGTACAGAGGTACATTGTTCCTGTAACTCTCCAGAGTGTACAGAGGAACATTGCTCCTATATCTCTCCAGAGTGTACAGAGGAACATTGCTCCTATATCTCTGTACAGAGGAACATTGCTCCTAGAGTGTACAGAGGAACATTGCTCCTATACCTCTCCAGAGTGTACAGAGGAACATTGCTCCTATACCTCTCCAGAGTGTACAGAGGAACATTGCTCCTATACCTCTCCAGAGTGTACAGAAGAACATTGCTCCTATACCTTTCAAAGTGTACAGAGGAACATTGTTCCTATACCTCTCCAGAGTGTACAGAGGAACATTGCTCCAATACCTCCCAAGAGTGTACAGAGGAGTAACACTTCTTTGGACAACATATGTAAAAGGCAAGCAACCATTCCTTGCACTTCCCCCTGCCCAACCCAAAAAAAACTTCTAAATCAATTCCAACCCAAATCTCTTTGATAAATAACATCATATAAAATTAGGTTATTCTGTTTAATACCTTTGCCTCTACAAGTTGCCCATGTTCCTTTAAAAAACTGCAGAGAAATAAACTTAAATTTTGGATGAATTTCTGCTCGTCATCTCGACCATTTGTGTATGCCTCTTTGATATTTGTCGACAATGGCAACATCTAAATTACAACCAGCAAATAAGAATTTTGTGGTTATGTCAGTTGTCACCCAATACAATATAAAGCCCAGTTTAAATACCTGCTTCAATTGAGTCATTGTCAGTGTATATAGTTGTAAAAACTGATCATCATATTGTGAATGAATAATAGCAGCTAAGAAGAACCAAAAATTCATAAAGATCATATTCAAATGGAAACATTAACAGATATCTTAGAGGTTTCAAAATCTAAATAATCAAAAGTTGACAAACAAAGGCAAGAAATTATTTGGCTGTAACTGACAGTCTTTTTATCCCTTTGTAATGTTTCTTTGGACGAGAAGAAAAGTAATGCGTGCAAGAAAGTAAAATGGCAGGCCAAATTCAACTTATTGTCAGATTCTTTTGAAGCCCTAAATGTTTACGAGCAAAACTTACCAATCTCTGTCAGACATTTCAAAGTTACATTTCGAAACATTGGAACATTAAGGAACTACAATAAATATTTGAAAGTTGACCAAGTGGACAAAAGCATTAAATGGTGAATTTAAAGTTTAAAAAAGGAATACCTTGTATATCATAGTTGTTATGAGTTTGGTTTCAAATATATAGCCTAGTGGAATCCAGTTTAGAAATTTTAGTAGTGTTTGCAAGGTTGCTTCAACCAAAGGTACATTCTGAGAATTTTCCTAAAGTAAGAAATTGGATGTAATATGGATGAAACAAGTGAAAAAGTATTTAATGCAAGCTCCCATTACCATTACAAACTGACAAAGTGTAAAAATCTGTGAGAATTCACTGCACATTGAGTCCTTGAGATGTTTAGCTTTTGTCTGAGTAATTTGACCACTTGAGAAATCAAAAACCTCTTCGCTGCAGAAAAAATATCATTTTTTCAATCAAAAACAAAAGTTTTAAAAACAACACACATCACTTTACCTTAAAAGTTTTAGTATTTTCATATTATTTTCACAAATAGTTTCATTCGCTTTACTGGCACCAACAATATCGCTGATAAAAGTTGGCCAATTTTTTGGCCATTCATGCTTTAAGATCTAAATGAAAAAAAGTTGTGAAAATTCATGTAGTTTTTACAACAAGGATTGATAATAATACATTTCATTGGAACAAGACTAGCACAATTGTTAGTCATTATAAGTTAAACATCAAACTAAACAGTTATATATCTTTACACAATGAACAACTAATAATTATGATATCTAAGGTAAAGACATAAGGTATCACATGATCATAAATGTTTCCCCTGGACAATATTGATATTCAGATTATTGCCTTGCTTAAGTTGTAAAGATATCTTAAATGTACAATTGCAAGCAAGCAAACAATGTATAACTTTAAAGCTGTCTTTATACCAAAACTGACAATGTCTACTCAATTAATAACTAATAGAATAGTAAGTTGAAGGATAGATTTCAAAAGGGTAGAATGTGGCATAAGTCAAAATGTATTGTAGCATCTGCTATTTTGATACTTATTTCAATTTTTATTATGTTACCATTCTTTGGAAATTCATAATCAAAATCATTGTTTTGTAGATATTTTTAATGTAGGGACAATTAATAGACTGGGTATGTATATCATAACTAGAATAAATGATGTGAAAAAAAAACATCAATTGTACAATAGTTCTAATGAAGGATGTGATAACAAAATAGTATAAAACAGTATTTAGCGCATGATTCAACCTATGACATTATCATGTCGAAAATGAAATTTCGTGAGATATATTTTGTTCACGTAAAAAGTTAAACTGCACATTTTTTCAAGTAATTTGAGCCCTGGATAACCATAGTTAAGAATATCATAAAGCACTTTATACACAACATGTTTAAAATTTGACTAACTATACGATGACTACAACAGTTGTGAGTACATAATTATTAACTACATCATGTCATGGTTTTAAAGAAAATTTAACAATGTTATGTTTAAATTTACACAACAAAAATTCTGTATCATCATTCAAATAGTGTCCAGACAAATTTTTGTTATGTCTGAGCTTCACAAAATTATCATCTGCACCTGTCACTTTTGTTTAAACTATTTTTAATTTTTTTTCCTATTGTTGACTTCTATCAAAGAAAAATATCTGACTAAAGGGAAGATAGAGAGGAGTCCACATTGGACATTAAATCCAGTATAATGTGGATGTATTTTATTTATTATGATGACAACTACTGAGCAATGTGAATTCAGCAATAAAAATTCTACTTAGAATCTGTTTAATTAATTGCCTCTCACCTCAACCAAAATCATGTTCAATTTTCCAACATAAGACTTGTCTTTCTATAAAATAAACAGTGAATGACATAACAGTGACTTTTCATCTATCTTTAACAAATGCAGAGCATTCAAGCCTATTTCCAAAACCTAAGAGGAAAATCTTTTAGTAGTCATAGAAATATATATTAATATATTTATATATCACAAAACAAAAAGATACCTCAATTTGGTTGTCAGCTGTCATGGAGTTCTTTATGACCAATCCAACAATGTATTTCTTTATCCCTAAGAAAAAAATGGCAGTAAGCATTTGAGTATTTAGTACGGAAGTTGATAAAATTTACAGCATACTTTTATATGGGGATAATCGTTGTTGTGACCTTACCCTCACATTGCTCTCTAGGTAAAATCTTCCATCGAGTTTTAATCACGACTTCCAAGACTTGCAGAGCGAAAAACTACGTGCAAATAAAAGAATGCAGTTAAAGTCCATAGCAAAGCAATGAAATACTGTTATTCAATAATAACCTTGGTTTGTAAACTTTTCGAATATTCAAGTATGCTGTCAACTCTTGTCCATGCATCTGGATGCTGTTTTAGCTGTGTGAGTACTTGATTTGCCGCTTTTTGCTGGAACATAAGATAGCAGTTTCCTCAGACCATTTATGAACAACTTATTGACGACAAATCATTTTACAGCTAACAGTATAGCAAGAAAAATCTCATACCTCTGCGCCGTCGCTGCTGTAGAAACAGAACACAACATTGTCAAGAAGGTTTATGTCAAGTTTTTGACTAAAATCCAGCAAAGAAGACGCTTGTTCGATACTAGTCATTGCAACAGGCATTGATGACGATTTAGTTTCGTTAAAGACAAGTTTTTAAGAGTGTATATTCAGTGAGAACGTTATCCACCATAACAAAACTCTTCCAACGTCTCAAGGTTAGGATTGAGGTTGATCCAGTTCATACCGCTTTCGCCCGGTTCTCCGGTCAAACCAGTTTTCCCAGACACCGCTTCACGCGTTGGCACGAAAATCTTCACCTATTTTAAAGATGAAACAGGGATGTATTTCGTGTTAATGTGGACCTTTTAGCCAGATTAAGAAACTATGCTATTCATTATAGCCAAAATGCGCGTACAGATCTTTGGCATGGATTCAAACTTGCCGCTGTCTCAGCAGTCGGTTTATTTCAAGAGAATCAAGACTTCCTGATTCAAAACTATATTCTCTCAACATACATGCACGGGATTTCCCCAAATGTGATATAGGAAGTATTGGGACTGGTAGGGAGCAATTAGGAAGAAGCAAATCCCTCAGTTAAATTATTTAGTCATAAGTCATTCACGTAGTTTTTTTCTGAAATCTCCAAAGCCAAAACTGAAGTGTGCCCTATTTCATCACTAAAGTGTTGTGCTTTTGGACCCTTCCTTAAATGAGGCGGTGTCATATTGATCCATAACCGTTAATTGGTCATTGGACACACCTTTTGAAAAATTTGCAAAGGAATCGTTCTACGAAATCCTTCTCAGTGGCATAATTGTATAAAAGGAATTCTTCCTAATTTCATTCTGCTCATAGCATTAATAATTTCTTTCTCCCTTTCCTTGGTGGAATATATTTTTCCGTACAATATAAAATATAAGTCAGCGACAGGAAACTCGGCTTACTTGAACACAGTAGGAAAAAGAAAACCAATTGACGATATTTTGCATTGACATTCTTACGACCCGTAATGCTTCTCTTGCAAATTTCATTTTTACAATATGAGAACTGCAGTATATGAAACTCCAATGATTTTAAAAATGAAATAAATGCAAATATGAATGCTTCATTGGAACATGGAGAACACAATCCTGTACGTTTACTGACTACCTACGTTTTGATTAACACAACTGACAATGAAGAGAGAACAACAGTTGTCAAATAAATATTATCTTTTATTAAACTTTTTCTGTGTCATTCGATTTACAAATCATTGTGAAAAATTGATAAGCCAATATCTACACATTTATCATGTACACTGCCGGATACGAAAAACCAGTTTGCTGGAAACGTATTCCCCATGCCCAATGCCAGTGTACTTCTAAACATCTACATGGAGGTTAATGTAGAGATCTTGGACTTCATCCCACAACCGCTGTTTTCATTTAAGTATGGCAGGACCATGTCTTTTTAGATTTTAGCTTCTGAATGGTGAATCGTCATTATTCGAGTTGATTTCACTAATAATTGACGCCATGTGTGTGGACCTGATAAAAATACACAAGCAAAACACATCCAACCATTCCAGAGACAACCAATTTTCTTTATCTCAACCTTCTCGCACTCCTTCGGAGATTAATCCGTCTAATGAGCTATCGTAATCTGAGAGAGCCACCACAGCAGCTTTAGAAAGCGATCCAATTGGAGCAATGGACCATGAATAGCTACAGTTTCTGTTTTCAGTTCGGCAATGCAAGTCTGGAAAAAAACGCAAGCTCGCCTTCCTTATAATTAAATATTTATATTACCAAAATTCCCTGGCCAACCTTTGCTTCTTCCATCTCAATTTCTACAAGAGTGCATGTCAAATACAAAAAAAGCAACAAAATAACACATCGTCACTTCCCTTACGTCTTCGCTTCTTATCACCTAGTCACAGAATGGTTGACAATAAACACGTTACCTCAACTTCTAAGCACTTGTGAGTTATTTATTGATTCCTCGCCTCGATCTGCAAGTGTGTTAACACTCCTAAAATACCACTCACCATTTCCTTGATTGGCGTCTTCTTACCTAAAATCCATCCCCTATTCTACACATTAATCTCATACATTTCACATTACCTCGTTACCAAAGCACGAGCAAGACAACGCATGCCTTTGCACCCATTATCTCTTGCCAAGTTCTCTTGCCACCAAGACCAGAGAATAACTCACCACACCACATGACAAGTTACTTTACAACGCTAGGAAAGTTACACGTCTGAAGTTGCAAGAACATTCACAAAGAACACTCCTCTTTTCATGTTAATTAGATCATTAATTAATCGAAAATCATGGAATGGTAAAAAGATCCGCGTTGACCCAAATGATCACACGTTTTATTAAGCAAGTTTACCTCTTCATTCTTCAAATTGATGTCATCCCCACCTTTCTAATTCAATGCTACACTCAATCGTGACATAATATAAAGTAATGAAATCTTGCTTGAGAAAAGTACGATCTACAATCAAATCTTCATAAACTTCCCTCAATAAAGTACTTGGTTAAGGTCTTTATCTTTTTCATCTCAAAACGCAGAATTGCAGACGTCCGACGTATTTTCTCAGACGTCTTAGTTTCAGGATTTGATGCGAACAACTGACGTCAGACGTATTTCCAAGAACGTCAAAATTCTAGGACTTGTTGCAACCAAAGTCATCTCCCGAGACCCAACATCTACTTCAACCATCAAGGATAAGGAACACCGCGCCTGCAAAAGATGTGGACAACCCACCCAAGCAATTTCATTTACATACCACGCATGAGTTACTTTTGGCATAACTTCCCAAAATATAACCATCGATACGCCAATTTGTATTGGTTCGGAAAGAGAATAGTGCCCGCAAAATGCCACTTGAACGCCCGTGAGCCTCAGACCTTAATTTTCGCCATATACGTAGACCACAGGGACAAGACACCAGAGATCAATGAAGTGAAAACTGCATACGCAACAGACCTGGAACCTTTCTTGCAGTATTCAGGTATATCTATCTGGACATATTAAAGCCAACAAGCTACACAACAAAATTCAAATAACTCATACCTACTTCATGATTTTTAAGCTTCTTTAATAGCCACCATTTGATATTATAGAAAAGTGACAATACATTTGAGACTTTAATTCAGAGTAGTCTTCAGCCTTTCAAATACTTCCTTCCTCCACCATTCAGAGTAGTCTTCAGCCTTTAGTCTTTCAAATACTTCCTTCCTCCACCTATCTAGTCTCCACACATATGACAAGATAAAGCAGAAATTTAACAAACAAGCACAAGACCTTTTTATCACCTTACTTCACCAACCACATCCACCAAAGTTCACCTATTTTCAAAGTGAAAGCTTACTGTTACTATCTTTCTAAACTTACAAATGTTTAAGTCACATCTTCAGATCTTCCTATCTTTTGCAAGAAATGAGTAAAAACCAAAGGGACGAAAACACCATATCTTATACCAGTGAAAAGTTATATATAAAACGTCCAGGTAACTTGATGTTCCAATACACAAGATGGAGCAAGAAGTTTTCATCAAACACAGGAACAACAACATAAAAACTTGATGGGAAGTTTCGTCACTACCATAACCTTCCAAGAGAATTCAATAACCAGGACTTGTTACATAACCAGGATTTGATGCAAGTATTCAACCAGGCCTGCTTGAGTTGTTTGTTTCTTTTTGAATATAGAAGCTTTATGCTTGCTCTATCTTAAAATGCATTTTATTATAGCATGTGTGAGACAAAAGACACAGGTACATTCACACAACAAACATTTGTAGAGCATGATAAACTGCCTAAGTGACTGTACTCCTTCCCTCTAGTTTTTAACACTTTACCATTGCTAAGTAGAGCAAGAAGGGTTGCAACACAGACACCAACTGCAATCTATTTACATAAGGTACAATGAGCATCCTGGAAAGAACACAGAAAGAATTACACATGGGCAACAAGTTTACACTAATGTAAATGAAGACAGGACCTTACTTGTCATTACAAGTTTTATTGCAAATCACCAGTCACAAAAGAAGTTTAATCTAGGAATAATGAGAAACCCAAACACAAAAGAACAATTGCTAAATCCTAGTAATACCTATTCATCCTTTCAATTAGCCACATGATACAACTCAGAACTTCTCTGACCATTTAAATTCTTTTAAGATGTATACTTGGTAATGTAATTCCCTCACATCTTCTAAAATAACAGTAATGTCAACTTATCACCCCCACCCCTTTACATTTACATACAGGTGTCATGACAACATTAACTGCACTTTATTTCTGATCATTTGCTAACTGTGGCACCATTACAATTAAATCGATTTACACATTCTGACATATTGATGCAATCAGCAATATTAACAATGATATCATTTAAATTCTCAGCTCTCTCACCTTTTCATTAGTTGATGCACACAAAACTTCAATGGCACTCACAATTGTTTTACCATAATTAATGTACATTACAGACACAACTCTCATAAAAATATTTTTACCTACACAGACACTAAATCATTGTTTCCCTGCAAAATATATATTCAAAAGAATGCACTATCACCATACAAAACACAATTATTGGATCATACCAAACACCATGTACTTCCAAGCAAATATTCTCAAGATTCAATGCATTCATACATTCACATCAAACTTTTGCTGCAAGCTTCACAGGTTTCACATCTTTTCAGATAAAATTTCACATTTTTTGGATAGACAATAGTGAATATTTTTTAGCAAGCTTTCCTTCCTAAATGAGAACTCAAGCATTGCCCTTCCCTTTAACTCAAAGAGAATACACAAACATGACAATGAAATTTTGCTTATGTTGATATAATGTATCATACCAGATGTCATATAATTTCATTCAATTCTGTTGCACAGGCAGAACTTTCATGACACTAATACATTTTCTGATGTATTTCCAAATGGATTTGAAAGACATTACTGGATGTTTATGCAGTACTCTCAACAAGCCATTTCTTCCTAAATCAAAACAAGCATTTTCCTCCCAAAATACAAAAAGCATGCACAATTACTCCATTCATCTTCATACTAATAGTTAACAAGTATCAAAGTGAATTGATAACATACCAAACATGTGGCATAACCCAAGGATACTCATGTCATAAACCTTAAAATGGATAGTTCACACACAAACAAACAAACACACCATGTCCACATCATATTGCAATAAACAAATGGATTTAAGTAACAAATAACTTTATTCATCCAAGAGATCTTTCAAAATGAGTGGATGTAATAATCCTACACAAGAAACAAATTCAGGGTTTGGAGTGAGGAACTTAACAGAAGAAAAATTCTGTTGACTTACAATGACATTAACCGAAATACCGTACCATAACCCTGCTTACACATATTACCACAAATGCTTCAAATGGCAATTGAGTCATTTCAATGCTATGCAAATGCAATTATGTAAGTTATCAAAGCACATACATAGAATATTGCAACAAGAAATTAATGCTAGAAGTGTGTTGTATGAATTGTTTGCCCTGGTTTTAATGTTCTCTCCTGTCTTTAGGAAATCTCCGTTGTGAAGTTATCACCAATCATGTAAGACAGAAACATTCCCATGCACCCATCCCATTATGAGTATCACTACAGAAATAGGAAAAACATTGTTTAACCAACAAATCTGGTCTGAAGTCATAAAGATCAAATTGAACCGAAACAATAGTGAAGTCTGTGGCACAAAGGCAAGAAGACTCTGCAGAAGCCATTGGTTGATAAAATGATTCCATTCATGTCTTTTGCCATAAGAACTTTACTTCCTAAAAAGATTTCATTAAATGAAATTTTTTTTGATTCCTTGCTTTCATTTTAACGATCATACCTCACCATATTGCTAATTATTTCATTACAACATTAAACTATAGAAGCCTATCAATTCTACTGCCAGCAACGAAATTCAAGGCTAAAACTAACATACATACCATGTGTATGATCAATGAGGATCACATTAACTCACACATCCCAACTCCCAATGGGATCCACCACTTACATGATGCCAATATGAAGGCACCTGTATGAGAAATCAAAATGTCTTGAAGATAGTCAAAAAGCTAAATATTCACTTGGGATATTATTCTGACAAGCTTCTTTGGAAAACCTGTAATTTAATATGTTATACTGTAAGACAAAAAAGCAAGCACCATTTAAAGTAATCTTGGGGTGAGGTCCATGCACAGCAACCACATAACTTGAGTGGTTTAACCAAGCAACTTCAGAGAAATGAAATGAACATGATCACCTTTAATTCAACATGAAAAATATATTAAAAATTTATTAATTTTATCTAAAACATTTGTCTCTAAAATGAGTCGTTCATGTAAAATAAATACATTCACACTGCACAATACTTTCGTGGTAATGGGGGAACCATTCACAAAATGAATAATCACACACGGATATCATTTCGCACATCAACATGTTCCTTCCTAAAAATATAACGCATCAAACTTTTCTACCAAAGAAATAGGCCGTTTAAACATTTCTGCTCTGCAATTAACCAAATATGAAGGGCTTTTTTCTTCCTTAGAGGAATGAACATCATCACTCCTACTTTGCCCAAATGTTTCCTTAAAGCTAGGCAATACACAACAATTTGATTTATTTAATTCCTCTTGTCTCTGTTTGATCTTTTTGGTGTTACTAAGTTCAGAGAGGAAAGAATTAATACCTAGTAAATTATCGATCTCTTCGTTGTCTTGCTTATCTGACATTAACCAACCGTTGGGACCTCTTTGCCATTCATACTTCTCTACAAATTTTCTTTTCTTCGTTCTCCGCCTCGAACGTTCAATAATTTCATCGTTTAGTCTCTGAACTGTTTGTTGAAGCAAAGCTTCTCTGTACATGTCTGGCCGACGTCGCTTCACCGCGCGTTTCTTGTTTATAGCCGACTCTAAGAATAACATCATGTCCGTCTCAGATAAATGCTCATCAGGAGTTCGTTTGATTTGACTCTGACACATTTTACGCTTCATATATATATCAAATAAAAAGATCTTCGCTTTGTTTAATATCCCACGCCGCGTCAAGATGTCGTCGTTGTCGAGTCACGTTTGAGCTGAATTTACGATTATTTTTAGTTCCACTTGCGCTGAGTGACTTAAAGAAATACTGTAGTAATCTAGAAAAGAAAATGATGCTTTCTTGAAGGCTGAAAGTGATTTGATCCAATTGCTACGAATCAACAGAGTTAAAAGCCAACGAAACCAATCTGATTCCCGTCTTGTCTTCAATAGGCAGCTCCAATAACTTCCTAACAAATACAGAAAAGATTACACCTTTTCAAAAGTTTAAGAAAAAGGTCAAACCTTATTCATCATAAATATAAATTCAACTTAAAATAAGTGTAAAAAGATTCTACACATACACGTATTCTTTCGTTTACAAGCAACAACAACAATCGCCACCCACCAATTCCACACGTCTACACAATGGCTATGACGCACATTAATTGCAAACAGTCGAACTTGACGTACAAGATAAACAGGTTGGTTTCAAAAATTAACCAATCGCAAACAAGAGATAAAAGTGTATCCATGACATCATTGTTTAAAAATTGCAAGCGCAACCTGATTGGTTCGCAATGTCGTTTGTCACCATTTGTCACACTTTGTCAGAGTATTCCGCTGAGGGAGTGGCAAAGTGGCAACGTCAAATAACATATTTGCATAAATTGGCATAAATAATAAATTTTGTGATGTCTTGTAAATGAATATTTTCGATGTATAGTAAAATTTCATAATTAGTCTGCCGATGCTAAACCTCAAATTTACATGCCATTGGTATACAATAACAAAAAACAAATTATAAATAAACTTTATCTATAGTGGGAAAGTCCCACTCATTACTCATACAGCTATTAAAGAAGTTTCTTTGTCATCCAAACATGACGTGAATTCCTATTTTCACTTTGCTGTGTAAGTGGAGGTAGGGGTGGAGGTAGGGGTGGAGGTAGGGGTGGAGGTAGGGGTGGAAGTGGGTGTGTTGGTAAAATTTCACGTTTTAAGTCTTTTAAAGTATCTTGGGTATTTTTATGAATGAAAGTCAATTTTTCCCCATCTTCAACAATTTTCTCTTGTTTTTGTACCTAAATTTAGAAAGTGTCAAACCAAATTCAATAGAAATCTGTTCATCAATTTTAATAAAATGATGTTACATTACTTGTGACATCATAGAATACTTTGAAACTTTGGTTTCTGCAGATATTGGGGCAGACAAAGAGTAACCAAGGTGCTCATATAAGGACTGTTTGTCATGAGTAGAAAGATGAATCTGTTCATAACCTAACCTAAGAGAAAACACATAAAGAAATGTTGTACAGAAGACAAGGGAAAATTGAAAATAGTAAATGAATAATGTGTAATGAATAGAAGAAATATTCAAATATTCTACTTGAGAGCAAAATCCTCTGTATGGCTCATTATCATTTTCCCCAAGCCACAACCTCGCAAGCTCTTTTCAACTACAACTGAATTATGAAAAACAAAATCAGTATTGAAATGACTAGGGGTAAACAGTATAAGTCTTCAATAAGGTGGGAAGGGGTGAGTTATGGGTGTTGATCATTAGATGCTACACATAAACTAGCATAAGTATTGTATTGACATGAATTTCATCAAAAGAAGTAATGTTCCACATTTGTTTGCAAAACCAGTGAAGTGCACCAGCAAACCTTACATAAGTTCATATGATAAATCAGACATGAAGTAAACCATCACTGAGCACCTGACTCAACCAACACTGACTTTGGTTTCTCCAATACTTTTGACAAACGACTAAAACCAACAACTTTTTGGTCATTCATAGATACTTTCAGTAAGACCAATGAACATGGTAGAGTATCTAATGAGTACCCAATCACATGACACCTAGGATATATATAATGTTATGGGAAAAATGAGTTGTGAGAAACTTATACTTTTCTGACTTGTTTCACAAAGAATTGCTAAACCTTGATTCCAGGGATCTTGGCCATTCGGAATTAAGAAGCTGTGCAGTTTCTATTATCAGTTCTTGAACATTATGGAGCATAACCATTTTAAAACTATAATCCATTGGATGTGAAATTTACTTATTCGAGTTCGAACTTTAAATTTAAATTGTGATAATTTATGCAACGCATGCATATTCAAATGTTTCTCTATGTAATGGTAATTATTTGTATCTTCGACTCTTAAAGGTACAATTACAAAGGAGGCGTCTAATTTGCAGGGACATAATGCAAAATTTATCAAGGCCAGAGCCACTTTCTGCAAAAGACAAAGGGTATGAAAAACTGAATTTCTTTATAAAATCATTTTAAATAATATGTCATGCTATGTGTTGTTTCCAACAGGTCGTTTGCTTTTGATACAGTAAATCGTCGTATGCCTATGATTTTGACACGTGTCATCGATTCTACGAGTAAACTGGCTTCAAAACTGACAGAGAAAAACGATAATGTAAGACAATGGATGAATTATCACATAATTTCAACCTTGCATGTTACACATTGCCCAACTAAACAATTAATTTAAAAATTAGCACATATTGCAGAAGCCTCTCATCTATTCTAACTGCTATTTAGCGAATAACTCAATTAAGGTCAAGATTTTAATGGTGTTTAAAAATGTATCAAATTATATGTCAGACTCAAATTTGTATCTAATTTCACAACACAAACCAACCACAAAATCAACAACTAAATCTGAGGCACAGAAGTTTTGAAAATGTGACACTTTTCCAGGTTAAAGCAGACAATGTGAAAGAAATTATAAGTAAACTTTCCGGTCTGAAATATGAAATGGAAACAAATAAACCTTTGAAAATTCTGAATGATGATGAAGATGATGTAAAAATGTGGAATGAGTATTTACAAGAAACAAAATCATTGGTTCCAGGAAAAGATTTAGCCTTTTACACTGGAGCATGGCTTCTTTGCGAATGCTATATGTACAGAAGAATATACCAGGCATTCACTTCAAGGTGAAATGATGAGAAATTTGCATTTTTAAGAACATAAGTAATATATATTTTGAACAGTTTGTTTGGAAATCTGTTTTAGCTCAATGTTTAAGACCCATGACCCATTCAGTGATCAGAAAAGAGAATCATTTTTCAGTACAATAGATTCTGTAAAATCTCTGTCTGAGTATATCATCCAATGTTCCACCACGCTAGGGAAGAATCCAGACAATGAGGCTATAAAGTTGGAATTTGAAACACTGCTACAGGTGAGTAATTTCAGAGGTAAAAAGGTCAAACTCAATGCATTCTTCTGCTGAGTTTCGAGTTCAATCCCTAGTCAAGTAAAATTGGCCTGCAAATGTGGAATGAGTTCGTTGACTCTCAACTAAAGCTGGCTGGTTTTCTCCAGGTGCTCCAGACGTTGTTGGGAGGGGGGGGGACTATAGGAAGCAGAGCCCTCTAGTGAGGTTATTCTGCATAAACTAAATTTTAAAACTAAAACTATTTAACAAGCCATAAATGGACAGTTGCATGCATTAATGTTCAATTGATTTTATTTCATTCATATTAGTTCTCATTGTGGGCAAACAAGTGTGACCTGTCAGTGTCAGGGGGGGTTGTAATGGACAGTCAGCATACTGGTATGGCTGAGCAACTTAAAATACTGAAAACTTGGATCTTAGTTGATAATTCCTCAGAGGTTTGGGAACTCCTTGGAACAATAGATCGCAGCATTAACCATGAGATCCACATAGACTTTGTGCTTGATAATGCTGGTTTTGAAGTATTTGCAGATCTTTGCTTGGCTGAGTTTTTGCTTTCGTTAAACATTGCAAAAACCATTTTCTTTCATGTCAAAAATATCCCTTGGTTTGTATCGGATGCATCAGCAAAAGATATTGAGTGGTTGGTGGCGCAAATGCAGCAATCAGAAAATGACTACGTCTCTCAGCTTGGTAAGAAATGGAAATCACGATTTGAGGAGGGATCTTTCCAAATGAAAAAGCACAAATATTGGACCCTGGCTCATGATTATAGTGAAATGAAAACCAATGCTCCAGAACTGTATGCTGAACTAAGTAAAGCAAAGTTGGTATTTTTTAAAGGTGATCTGAATTATCGTAAACTTGTTGGTGATCGCAAGTGGCCTCATACCACACCTTTTGCAAAGGCATTATGGGGTTTTTGTCCCGCACCATTGTGCTCATTGCGCACATTGAAAGCAGATGTTGTAGTTGGTTTAAAACCTGGACAAGATAGAGAGGCTGAAGCCAAAGATAAACAATGGATGGTTAATGGTACACATGCTGTAATACAATACCAACATTCTCTATAAAATGTTTGGTTAAGTTAGTCAACAACATTATAAAATAATTTTCATCAAAACTTGTGTGATTACATACATTTTATATATGACAATATGGCTATATTTACTTTGATAATTCACTTCCCATATTTTTCAACAAGTTTTTCAATTTCACAAATACTTTTCAATGCATCAGCAAGCTGATTATCATCCATTTCAAAATGCATCGTATTCTATAATTAGAAGAGAAGAAAATGAAATAAATAAAAAATGATGCTTGTAATAACATTGTGGCTGGTTTTACACTATTGTTAAACTGGGAACAAGATGACAGGCCTATTTCAAAAAAAACAGGGTCTAGTTGTCCCTAAATGCAATTTAAGCTAACTTCTAATTTTACCCTTTGGCCAAAGATAAATTAAATGTTAATTAAAAATGACTATAATGTTCATTAGTAAACAACCATGTACGTTGCTCCCACAATGGTTGAGTAATTTTACCTCTTCATTTGTAGGACTTTGAAACTTCATTTCAACAATAGCCACAGGAGTGTTTATTTGACTGACATGACGAGCTTGACTTTTAAAGTCAATTCTCCAACTTAAGTCCTTTAATTTATTATTCCAACGACTCTTGTTCACCATAATCTCGTGAATTTTGGCCTTTTGAGACTTCCAAAACTTCACTATTGAAGCAGACTGTTCTTCTGTTATGGCACCTTGCCTTCGTTTCCTTTGTGAAGTCAAAAAGGCATCGAGTTGGTTAAAATCCATGTCTGCAGCGACGATACTTTTCAATAAACTATCGTACTTCTTCAATAATGCATCAAAATCATCTTGCTCAAGGTCAGGAAAGAGTTCTTCTTTAAGAAATTCGTCTGTTATGTCATGTTCAGCAAAATAACTTCTTCGTGCAAGACCATTAAGTAATCCCACAAAATTCTTATCAGCAGCAGCCATATTGTTGAATAGTGATATTCTCCCCTCCCAAAACAATAAATAAATATATCTCAGGCAGGGGGGGCTTATATTCTGTGTTCCATTGAGGCTGTGCAATGGCACCTCCAAGAATGAGTGTATGCAAGTCATTTAGTTCACTATTTAAAGGCTCTTCATTAAAATTTGGAAAGTCGTGGGTTAGTAACCAACATAGAAGAGGATTGTATGATGTTATTATAGTTGGTGGAGGTATGGTTGGGTCTGCACTGGCTTGTGCTCTAGGTGGGTTAGAAGAAATCAACAATTCTGCATGAATCTTCAACTGTTGATTAAAATAAACATGTATCTGTAGGTAGTGATTCCAAACTTCAGGACAAGAAAATCCTTGTTCTAGAAGCAGGAGACAAAGTCAAATTGGAGGAAAACTTAGGGTTATACAGTAATCGAGTCAGCACAATCAGCCCTGGCTCACAGAACTTACTTGAGAGTAAATTTAATAATACTCAATTGTGTTTCATCATTGATTATTATTCATGGAAAATGATTTTGATGAACCTATCTCAAAACATTTACTTTGAATTCCTATAAATGCAATTCATATCTATTTTTCATCTTTTTAGACATAGGAGCATGGAAACATATTGAAAATATGAGGGCAAAATCATTTAGGAGGATGCAGGTTTGCAGTTGTATTTTTCTTCTTCTTAGCTCTAACACCATGCATTGACAATCAAGCTTTCGTCTTGCATAAAAGGTTTGGGATGCCTGTGGTGATGGTTATGTGACATTTGAAGGATCTGATGATTTACAGCATGAAGTTGTCATGGGTCATGTTGTTGAAAATAATGTTCTTGTCAAAGCATTGGAGTTACAGTTAGAGGAACTAAAATCTAAAATTGATGTTCTATATAAAACAAAGTTGAAAGAAATACAAATTCCCTGGGATAATGAGAATTGCAACTGGATTGAAATTGCTTTAGAAGATGGGCAAACATTGTCAACAAGACTTCTGGTTAGATTGTTCACGTTCCCAAACAATTTTTTGACAAATTTTATTAATATTAAATAGTAACCTGTTAGGTGGGGGCAGATGGTCATAATTCATTCACCAGAAAACAAGCAGATGTTGAATGCATCACATATGACTACAAACAAAATGGTGTTGTTGCAACTCTTGGTATCTCAGAGGTACATATTCTTTGTTGGATTAAGCTCATCTTACTTCAATAGTTTTGTTGAAACTATGACATTTGTTACATTCATGTTGGCACATTTCACCATGTTTTGTCAAACATAACATGCTTTCTTTCAAACATAGACAACAGATAACAATGTTGCATGGCAGAGATTTCTTCCAAATGGACCAATTGCTCTGCTTCCCGTAGGTGATAATACATGAAAATGGATTGAATTCATGAATAAAATATGGTCCAGTGAAGATTTTGGGCACTGAAGTAATAGGTTATTATGTGATTTCACAGCTTACTACAAACAAAAGCTCTCTTGTTTGGTCGACAACTACTGAGGAGGCTATGAAATTGGTCAGTTTACCAGAAAGACAGTTTGTGGAAACCTTGAATGAAGCATTGGTAAAATGATTTTTTACTTTTTCTATTCATTTGGATGGAGAAGAGTGTTACTTTTTTTGAAACAATGTTTTTCCAATGCCACAAATCACTGAATGTCTTTAGACAGGAGATTTAGAAAATAATTCAATATCACGAATGGCATCCCACTTGATGCACAATGCTATATCAACAATCCAACCAGGTTGGCCCCCTTTCATTTTGCTTTTGATTGTGGACATTTTGGATACATTAGTATCATTGGGAATATTTTTTCTCAGATTATCTTGGCTTACAGATGCCTCCAAAAATTGAATATGTGGAAGAGAATAGCCTTGCATCCTTTCCTCTCGGGCTTAATCAAGCGTCTTACTATGTAAAACACAGATTAGCATTGATTGGGTGAGAGCCAAGAGTCACCTATCTTTTCACCTATCCTCTGTTACCTTTATGAATAACAGTATGTTTTTATTTTGTTTTTGTTTATGGGACCTTGTCTTACAGGGATGCTGCCCACAGAATTCACCCACTTGCAGGACAAGGAGTTAATCTTGGATTCAGTGATGTGCAGTGTTTGGTGAAAGAATTGAGACTTGCAGCTGTTGATGGGCAAGATATTGGTGAGTTACATGTCGTCTGTTAAGGCAAATGTTTAGAATCTGGGAGTATTGGACAAGTTTTAAATACGTTAATCATTCATGTTAGTGAAGCCCTGAAAAAGAGATTTGGTGGTTGTAGTGACCGACATTTTGACAGACCGTCCACTCCACCATTCTTAATCTATAGCAACGTTGAACCAGATTTGACTTAGATTTAAAAATCGTTCATTGATAAAGGATCGTTGGAACATCTTTTAAAATACGAAACTGCTCGACAAAGAGAAGTTACATTAATGATGGCAGCGACGCACGGGTTGAACTCTTTGTTTTCGACCTCATTCATCCCTTTGGTCGTGCTTCGTAATCTTGGATTTCAATTGACGAACGCTCTGAACCCACTTAAAGTATGTATGCGTGAATTTCGTTCGGACTATTTTTATATGATCCCTTGATGAATTTTTACATTCTCTTTTTAGAAACAAATTGTTCAGTATGCTATGAAATGAAAAAAGTGTTGAAAAAATGTAAATAATTCCTTATTGAAAGAAATTATGGACACTTAGTTTCCTGTTGAACTAGAAGCAGTCTTTGTTTAATAATAATTTTTATTCAATATTATTCGCGAATTTGAAAAATGTTAACTATTTATTCCATCAAAACAAACGTGGCATTTGGCAAACGTGGAATATTTCGCACCAGATATGTGGACCAAGTTAGGAGACAAAGATCTAGTGGTACAGTTTCAAAACTTCTGTGGCCTAAAGTGGAAAAACAACGATGAATTTGTGAACTACAGTCAAGATTCAAAAGAAACTTCGCCCAACGTGAAAGAAACTAAGCCATTGAATGAAAAATGGAATTCACAGAACAGTTTACTATTTGAATATAATATTTTAATTCACACATTGTTCCATTTATGTTCTGCTCTGGGTGATGAACAGGTTTTAATAAGTTTGCTCTCCTTTGTGTTGTGGAATGTTGACGAAAAGGCTTTCATAAGGGTGTACTTGTCATTGGCTATATCATTATATCTTGGCCAATATGCAAAAGATACATTCCTTGAATCACGACCACTTTCACCTCCTGTCATAAGAGTGCCACAAAAATATGTTGATGAATATTCCATGCCATCAACTCATGCCATGATTGGAGTGGTGATGCCATTTTCTCTAGTTTACTTCACAACACAAAGATATCAGGTACTTCTTATGGAAATTCAATGATTGTATACAGCCTCAAAAAACCAATGTAAGAAAATTCTCACTATTTCTCCTAGGAAAACATCCACTATGTTTTCATTATAACAGCAATCTACTCCAGTTTGGTTGCTGCAAGTAGGGTATATCTTGGTATGCATTATGTAAAGGTATGTATTAACTTTCTAAAGTTATTCTTCATAAGAAGAAAAAAACAACTTAAAATAAAACCTTTATTCATATTGGCTAGGATGTTCTCTATGGTATGCTGTTTGAAATTATTATCATGATAATAGTGCTTCCGCCTCTCAAAGATATGCCAATAGAGGAATGGTGTCGTACATCACCAAACACATTATCCATTGCAGTTTTGGCTCCAGTTTTATTGCTAAAACTGTACCCCACGTCAAGCGAATTGTCATACAACACCTTTTCAGACACTGCGCTAGTTCTTGGTGCTGTTACAGGAGCATTCATTGGAATGCGCTATTCAGCAGATAATGACAAAATCATGCTTGAATTTATTGGCAAGAGTAAAGAAATGTCACTTGTAACTCTGTTAACATATTATATTGGAAGGTTCGCCATTGGAACAACAATATTGGCCATCACACGTGTAATGTCAAAATGGATGGTCACAAGAGGTCTTTCCATGATGCTACCAAAACAGATGACTGAGAAACATTTGGATTACAGACGTCATGTTGAAATACCACATAAGGTTATCACATATTGTTTGGTGTCAATTAGTGGAATCTGTCTAGCCCCAAAGATCTTCAAAAAATTTGGGTTATGATGAACTTTATGCCACATGCATGGTTTATATGAATAGTTTCATGTTCATCATAACATATTGCATAATTGCCTATGCATGTTAAATAAAAATGTCTGATATTGATAGAGTTACCTTCATTATAATTCATAGGTTTTAGGAGGTTTCATCATTTACTTGTAAAGCCTTAAGACTCCCAGCCCAGCTAGTCCTGTAATTAAATAAAACAATAAAATGTGAAAACATGATTTTGAAAACAATAAAACTTCAACGTGACAAAATAGCTAGTATCTTCAAATGAAAGAGTAGAGTGACACCTACCAGCTGATGCAACTCCAATGACGGACCTTGCAGCTTTAGTTCGTCCTAATACGCCTCTTTGGTACAATAAATAAGAACTACAAGCGAAGCACATTCCAGCACCTATAAGCTTACACGGTAAGCAATCTGGTAGGTCATGCTGGTCAACAATTCTTTGACGTTTTAGTGCGTTGTCCTTCGAGTTACTTTCAACCATCTTGTCGCGGTCGAAACTGAGAGAGAAATAGAATCCGCAATTCAGATTTCAGGTCCCAAAAATATGCCACCCCCCACCACCACCACACCCCCCCGACAGCGCCGTCCGAAACAGTTTATTTCCTAAACATAGAAGCTCTTGAGGTTTGATAGTCTTCCAAAACTTGGACACAATCCTTTGGCATCGTTTACTGTTGGGAACAAAAATTTTATTTTAAAAACCTGCTGTAAGACGATACATACTTTTAAAATGCCTGACGCTAAAAACGCTGGGAAAACAACAAATGGAAACCGTGTGGCCTATAAGGACAAAGAAAAACCGACAGAAATAAGATTTACAAATATAAATGCAGCAAAAGGTTTGGTGTGCTTATATCTAACATGAATATTGCTGCAATACATGGAAAAATTCTAATTTGTTTATGATTGTTGTTGAATTGATTGATGGATTCTAGCTGTTGCGTCCGCCATTCGGACAAGCCTGGGTCCAAAAGGAATGGATAAAATGGTAAAAAAGAGTGAATTTAACAAGTTTTTGACAATAGCATATATTTATATTGTATTAAGAATGCACTTGGGTTTTGCAACACTAGTATACACTATACACAGAAATATGCAATCCACACACTTTTATTAACTTAGCAACTCCACCTTTGCAGTAAACTGCCCAGTTTGTTCAAGATTGTTAGAAGTTGGTTCTATTTATTCACATTAGATACAAAGTGGAAATGGTGATGTGACTATTACAAATGATGGAGCAACAATTTTGAAACAAATGCAAGTCTTTCACCCAGCAGCAAAAATGGTAATAAAATTGTCTAGTTGTGACTGATTAGCAATTTGTAGTTTATATTAGCTGTTGGAAATATTTTAAATTGTTGTTATTGATGATTTAGTTGGTTGAGTTGTCCAAAGCTCAAGATGTTGAAGCTGGTGATGGAACTACCACTGTTGTTGTTATTGCTGGGAGCTTACTGGATGCTGCTGCTCGCTTGCTTGAAAAAGGTGACGTCCAATATTGTGTATCAAATTTTGAATCTGAAACCAATGATCATTATCAAATCTTTATATTTCATAGGTATTCATCCAATGATTATATCAGATGCATTTGGTGTAGCATGTGAAAAAGGGGTTGAAATATTACAAAATATCGCTATCCCTGTTGAGTTAAATGATAGGGAATCTCTGCTCAAAAGTGCTTCAACATCATTGAGTTCAAAGGTGATGGTTTTCATCTTTCATGACAAAAAGTCAATTATTTTGCTCTTATAAGTTGTTAATCTTTCTACAGGTGGTATCTCAATATTCAAATCTTCTTGCTCCAATATCTGTGGATGCAGTGCTAAAAGTGATTGATCCTAAGACTGCTAGCAATGTAAATCTTAAAGACATAAGAGTTGTAACAAAATTAGGGTATGCCAATGATGATGATCTGGACATGCTGTGGACGCATGTAAAAATGTTATAAATATTTTAGAGGTACAGTTGAAGATACTGAAATGATTGATGGTCTAGTTTTGGAACAAAAGATATCACATTTAGCTGGTGGGGTGACTACGATGGAGAAAGCGAAAATTGGTCTTATTCAGTTTTGTTTATCAGCTCCTAAAACTGATGTATGCTCTTTCAGCTATTCTATTTTTTCTATTCATCTTGGGGATTCCACATCAATATTGCTGTATATTTAGATGGATAATCAAGTTATTGTATCAGATTATACACAAATGGATCGTGTGTTACGTGAAGAAAGGCAGTACATCCTAGATTTATGTAAAAAGATTAAAAAAACTGGATGTAATGTCTTACTGATTCAAAAGTCTATATTGAGGTGAATGGGAATTGTTTTTAGTCACTCATTTTAGTCCTGTGAATGCATTTTCTCTTAAATTTCTCTCTATTTTCTCCTTAACTTCTTCCTAGAGATGCAATTAATGACTTGGCCTTGCATTTCTTGACAAAAATGAAGATAATGGTTGTACGATATAGAGCGAGATGAAGTTGAATTTATATGCAAGGTACAACAATCACAATTTAAAACCTCTGCTTTCTGTGCGTTTTTGTGGTAGTTTTTCTTAGTTTCTGTGAAATTAATAATTTCTCAGAGTCTTGGATGTAGACCTGCAGCAAGCGTGGATCACTTTACATCTGATATCTTAGCATCGGCAGAACTTGTTGAAGAAGTTTCCACTGGTGCTGCTAAAGTAGTTAAGGTCAGAACTATTTTATATTTGACCTTTGAACTTAACGTGTTGTGTCGCTGATGCTAAAAGTTCATTTGCCTCAGGTTACTGGTATATCAAATCCTGGTAAGACTGTTAGTATATTAGTACGTGGTTCAAATAAGTTGGTTCTTGAAGAGGCTGAACGTTCGCTGCATGATGCATTATGTGTGGTCCGTTGTCTTGTTAAAAACAGGTATGGATATCATTAAAATTTCTTTAAAGAGTGCGTGTAGTCAATAGTAAGTATTGTAAGTTGACTCATTTGGTCTTTATTCAGAGCTTTGATAGCTGGCGGTGGAGCACCTGAAACTGAACTCTCGCTTAATCTCGCACAATATGCAAATACACTCTCTGGCATGGATTCCTACTGTGTTCGTGCATATTCTGAAGCTCTAGAGGTTGTTCCTTACACTTTGGCAGAGAATGCCGGACTCAATCCCATTGCTACTGTTACTGAACTGAGAAATAAGCATGCGCAAGGGGAAAAGAACGCTGGCATTAATGTTCGTAAGGTATGGAACAGACTATATTTTAATTTGGTCTTTGATGACTGGTGTCATGCTAGCGTTTTATTGTTTTCAGGGAACCATAACAAACATAATTGATGAGAATGTACTACAACCATTATTGGTTTCAATGAGTGCCCTTACTCTTGCCTCAGAGACTGTTCGAAGCATTCTTAAAATAGATGATATTGTGAGTAGATGATTTTTTCTCGCCCATTTCAAAGGTATCTTATTAACTGCTACTGTGTTTGCTTTTTATTAGGTTAATACGCGATAACATCGGGATCTACTGGATGCCCTATCGTTTTCATATAATAAATTACATCGTTAATGTTTATGAAAGTGAATAAATCAAGTAGTGGAAAGGGATGTTTTTGATGCTGTTTGTTTTAAATTAAATTTGAAAAGCGATGAAAACTTTTAATGACTGACTCGCTGCTAACAGCGCAACTCTAAACTACTGTTAGAGAAACTAGTTGTAGAAACTACTGTTAATGATTTTCTCAGTATATTTGCACCACATTAAACATGTTTAACCTGCATCTCGTTCTATTTTCTTGACAAGAACTACAATTTCATAAGATATAGAACAAAACATAATCGGAAAAATGATGGAATCATCAGATGATGGTTTTGAAATAAAACCGAAATTTACACATGTAATTGCCTTGTTTTATAACTTGAATTTAAGTTTATAAGATGTCTTTTCTTGGATTATGTTTTATTTTAAACCGTTCTATTTTGAAAACTACATTTATGAGAATGAAAATTTAATTTCTGTTGGAACTGGAATAGTTAAAAGTAACTTCGAAGCTCATCTTCTCTTCTGAGATAAAAGGATATGCACAAGACTCAACATATCCAGGTGATGGTCACACCCACATCCTTTTTGGCCATTTTTTGCCAATTCCTAAAATCCACAAAAAACTTCATCACTTAGAATTACATTATTTGTGAACGCAACGACTTCGTAAAAGATCGAACACGTGTTCGTGTTCAAAGAAAGGAAAAGCAAAATGGCAAATTCAGCAAAGGTACAGAACTGTGCATTTATTATCGATTTCTTTTTTTAAAACTTTTTAACCTGAGGAGTTTTTCAATAGGCAACAGAATTTAAAGAAAAAGGCAACAAGGCACTACAAGCTGGAAATCTAGAAGAAGCGATTCAACATTACACCGAAGCGATCAAACTTGACCCAAATAATCACGTATTTTACAGCAATAGATCTGCAGCGAACGCAAAATATGGCTGTTACGACGAGGCCTTAGCTGACGCTAAAAAAACTGTTGAGCTAAAACCTGACTGGGTTAAGGTTAGCATGCTATCGCCCAAGCGTTCATCACCAAACTGATATTGATATTCACTCACTTTTATAATACAAGATAGATACGCTCATACATCATTGATATTGAATTATGACTATACAGGGCTACTCTCGGCTTGGGGCAGCGCATGCATTTCTCTCAAATGCTGATGAGGCTGAGAAAGCCTATCGCAAAGGACTAGAAATTGATCCAAATAATGAACAACTCAAGAATGAATTGGATGCTTTAGACAAGAAATTCTCTGGTTTGTTGTTAATGAGTTTTCATCATGGGCATGTTACTGATTTTCTGACACATAATATTGTCTTTTTTAGGTCCTGGAAAAAGTGCTCCACTGAATAGTCCATTTAACAGTCCAGATCTTATACCAAGACTTGCTGCAAATCCCGTAACAGCTGGTTATTTACAAGATCCAAGTTATATGCGTATACTTCATGAACTAAAAACAGACTCCAAAGCTGTGGCAAAGTAAGTCTTCAAATTTTGTGTTGTGAATATGGTGTGTGAATTGTTTAATATTTCAATGCCTTGACAGGTATTTGCAAGATCCTCGGGTTATGAAGACACTGGAAGTTGCTCTTGGTATTACACTTACAAAAGCTGAGGAACCTCCACCTAGTGGTATAAGTGTTAAATAATTTGCTATCATAACAAAAGTACGATTTTAAATTTCTATTCATTCTTTCCTAGAAAGTAAACCATCAACAAAAAAAGAGGAGAAAACTGAAGAGGTGAAAGAGGAAGCCATGGATGTCAGTGTCAGTCAAAGTCAAAAGGATGTAAGGGACAATTATATTTTAAAGTTAATGTTTATGAGGCCTGCAATATAGAGATTACTTCATGTTTTGCAGGCTTTAAAAGAAAAGGAACTGGGGAATGCTGCTTATAAACAGAAGGACCTTGATACTGCAATTGAACATTATACCAAAGGATATGAATTAGATCCAACCAATGTAGCTCTATTAACTAATCGTGCAGGTATTAGTGGATTGTTCAATAGGTGAATTTGTTCTTCATTTTAACATGTTTTTCATTTCTAACTATCATAACTGTAGCTGCATACTTTGAGAAGGATGAATATCAAAAATGTATCGAAGACTGTGAAATGGCTGTAGAAGAAGGAAGAAAACATAATGCTGCATTCAAGATAATTGCACGGTATTTTGTATTAGTGATTCATTGTATCATCAGTGAGGAATGTTGTAGACATTACATGTAAAGTATGTTGTTGCTCTAAATGCAGAGCTTTAGAAAGGATTGGAAATACTTACCTCAAATTAAACAAATTAGAAGAAGCGATAAAGTACTATGAAAGATCGTTGACTGAATCCAGGTCAGATGCACTTGTGAAGAAAGTAAATCAGGTATGGCAAAGACATTTATGATTAAACCATGATTTGTTTTATAATAATCAATTTTATCTTAAGCTTAAAAAAGATATAAAAGAGAAGGAAAAGTTGGCATACATCAACCCTGAAATTGCTGAACAAGAAAAACTGAAGGGAAATGAACTCTTTAAAGGAGGTTATATATGATGCTTATTTTGTTTGAAGTGCACCAAATATTTTTAGTTTGTTTTTCCATTTTGTGATCAGGTAAATTTCCAGAGGCAATGAAACATTACACTGAAGCTATCAAAAGAAATCCAAGTGATGCAAAATTATACAGCAATAGAGCCGCTTGTTATCAAAAATTGGCTGAAGTTCGACTTGCGTTGAAGGTGGGCATTTGCTTATAGCAACTACAATTCAGATGTATAAATGATGTTAATTTGTTCATAGGACTGTGATGAATGCATTAAATTGGATCCAAATTTCGGTATGAAGTCTCTTCACATAGAAAATAATATTATCTCTAGAAACTCATCAAATTATTTATTAGTCAAGGGATACACACGCAAGGGAGCATGCCATTTTGCTATGAAGGAATTTAGCAAGGCCATTGATGCATACAACAAGGCACTGGAAATTGATAAAGACAATAAGGTGACATGAAGTGCATTTACCTCAATCAGTCCTTTTCTTAACTTACAAAGCTCCAATATTTTAAAAAAATTCAGGAAGCCAAAGATGGACTGCAAAGCTGTTACATAAACTCAACAACTCCTTCCTCTGATCCAGAGGAAGTTAAAAGAAGAGCAATGGCTGATCCTGAAGTTCAGGTGAAGTATTCGTGAAAAATATCTAATACCATCTTTGAGTTGGTACTTATTAGAAGAATGATGTTGTAGAAGATTTTCCTCCATCTTCATTATTTTTTTCTTATTATAGGACATTCTTCGTGATCCAGCAATGAGGTTAATACTTGAGCAAATGACTGAGAACCCTGGTGCAATACAAGAGTAAGTACTTGAAATTAATTACTGTTTCATTGATAAGTTGTTATGTGAACTTTTCTTTCATTTGCAGTCATTTGAAGAATCCTGAAATTGCCAGAAAGATACAGAAACTCATGGAAGTGGGTGTTTTGCAAATGCGATGATGGCCAATAAAACGGAAATTCATGATCTCAAGGATAGTTTTTAGTCAATATGTCCTAAGTTCCTCCATAAACAATTTGATTTAATATCGAATTTCATAAATGTCTCCATATTTGCTCTTTTAATGCTACTGTAATTGCTATGCAAAATATTTGTTGAATAAAATCTTGACCGTGCTTTGCAAAAGAAGTTATCAAACTATAAGAAATAGCTTATAATTGCACACGTTCAAATATTTATTAAATGATTGATATCTTAAAGTGACCTGAGTCAAAATACCACTAACTTCGGACCACGCATTGAGATCCTGGGTCAGCACCAGCTTTCACAGCAAACAGCCCATTACACTGCTTGAATGGAGATATTAACAAGCTATTAGATAAGCAACAAGCCAATCAAAGCAGCTCTTGAATTAAAAATTCCTTCCAAGAAACTTATGCTTATTGCCTAAAAACTATCAAAAACTAGGAGAAATAATTACCTCTGTGTAAGAGTTATAATGGTTTCCTCACGGCAGGTTTTTGTGATGGAATTTACCACTGTGTCTAGAAAAATTCTGAATCATTTAATATCAATGTCACAACCTGCCCCAAACAGAAAAACAATCAACATTTTCAAATTTCCATTATTTTTACAAACAATTTTTTTACATCATAAAATTCTGTTTAACATCATGATTTCAACAACACAATAGTAAATAATTAAGACATTTTCCCCTATAAACTAAACAGAAGAGGGTTTGCATTCCCGATGCACTCAGTCACAAAAACATTGCATAATACAGGGGGTGTAATGTAAGGAAGATATTATGAATATCTGAAAAATCCCATGTTATCAAATGCATACATTACAATAACAAATTGAACCATAATTGTAATGAAAACGAACCTTCCTGCACCACAAATTTGGTCAGATGGAGCAGAAACTGTCATCATCATGACTCAGGTATAGGGAATTTGTTTCACACAAATTTTAGCAAGATGTTCCCTTCTTTAGTTTCATATTTTCTTGTAAAAGTATTCTGTTCTCCTCCTTCAACTTTTTTAATTCGTTTTCCAACGTTTGGGTTTCTGTTTCTTTTTTGAGTTCCACTATTCTTTCTTCCTCATTCCTCCTAAAACTAATGAGTTTTTCTTTTTCCAAATTGTCTAAATGGCTTTCTAAGTTTTTGACTTTGCTCATAAGTTCACATTTAGACAAACAATTTAGATTGTCACGGTGCACTTTGCGATAGGCTTTTTCAAAATCATTTAAAAAAAACTCGTGATTAAAGATGTCTAAGTCCATATCTATTTCAGAACCACTTTCCTCATCAGCACTTGACAAGGATGATGACGGTGATAAGTTTAAAATAGGTTCAATCTTTTCTCTGTCTTCCATTAAAAACTGTGTGGTATTTGAAGGCGCGACCCTGTGTTTTCTTTGTCTCATGAATTCATTTATATACTTTCTGTTTTCTTTTGAACGCGGTTTCCAGCGGCGCGTTTTCTTTCGTTTGGAAATACTTAAGTTTTCGCCTAAACACGTTTCTGACATTTTGAAACAAGTAAGCGAAGCTAAATGCATTAAACCGAACTGAAATACCTTTTACCACAAGGAATAAAGGTTTAAGTGACAAAAGACGGTTGTTAACCACCGACTCTTCTCGCGATGAAAATTTATACGTATACTGTATCGACGATGATGGTTTCAAGCGTACAATCTAAGAGAAAATTATATCCCTCAGCTATTAATAATGATAGGTACTACCTTTTAGTATCTAAGGAAACTTTTAACAATTTCTTTTCTTCTAGCAGCAGAAACTTCTTCTATAACACCACCAACAGACACGACTCGATGAAAACGGCATTGAAATATTAACGATAATGCGAAGCAACGTTTCAGCAACGTTCACGGGTACTTTATGTCGTCATCAGAGAGGTAGAACCATATAAGGGTAGAAACTCCTTATATAGTCAACAATCACACCATTGACACATCCCATGATATCACTTTGTTATACTCGATGTTTTCCCGGTTTATGTCAAATACGTGAACGTTGATAGTAAAACTTCCTCCTTCAATAATTACTGTAGTGTTTAAAATAGTTCAAAGTCCAAAAGGGAAAATGAAATGTATTTCATTTTCGATCGAACTTCTGATTTCCATGTCACACTCTAACTGGTCAAACGGCGTTTATTATTTGACGGAGTTTTCCGAAAAACGAATTTCTCCGAGCTTATTTGAGCTTATATCTTCCGTCCCCCCCGGTTATTATAAGTTGTGTGTTCTTTCACAATGGTTTTACAAATTTCATTCATTAAAATCATAAATAATATGATGCGAGGGTCTGTGATCTGCTGTGATTATTTCGCCTTTGTAAATATGTATGATATCACAAAGACGTCAGTAACAGATTCAAGAGATGTATCGATAAACAAGAAGTGAAAGCAAGTTGTAATCACTGTGATATACTGTCATTATCACTTCGATTTTCTCAACTTTCCAGTCAAAGAATTCCTCAAATGGCAAATATTCAACTACTTTTGTTTACTGTGTGATGTGGCTGTTGCGTAGACGCAAAGATGCGTTTTCTTATTTTCTTATTCTATGCTTATTGTTTGGCTTAATCCTCACTGCCATCAATCTGCATCAACTCACGGAAGAAAGAGAAAGAACAACACAAGAAGAAATAAAACGAGAGAAATATGTTGCTTGGATTTATGCAGATCAAGTGAGAATTTTTCGTTTATTCTGTTTGCCGACAATTTTTTTTCAATGCAGTTCGTATTTGTTGAATGCAGATTGAAACTGGTTATTTGGATCATGTAATTGACATCATGCATCAAATGGGGTACGTATATAGTACAACACAGGTTGATGATTGGGGGCTCCTGTGGTCACACAACTACCCATTCATAGATCTGGAACATCAAATGAAAAATCTAAAACCTTATCAAATGGTAAATGGATGTTAGATTACAAAGTTATCAGGTGCGAGGATGAATGATGAAAAAGTAATTATTGTATTATCTGTATTTTGTCAGGTGAATCACTTTGCAGGCTCTGGCTATATCACAAACAAGGCAAGTTTAGTGCAAATACCTCTTCCCACAATACCACTGGCTTTTCAAATACCAAAAGATAAAGTTGCTTTTATTAAAGAGGTATGATGTTTGTTGTTTTACATAAATAATATTTAAGCTTCTGATTATTGACTATGATTGTAGACAAGGAAACATCCTGAAAAGTTATGGGTGGTAAAGAGTAATAGCCATCGTGGTATTTCATTGAAGAAACCCAATGGTGAGTCAATAAGAATCCTAATTTTTTTGAAATCTGTCTGCGCATATATACATCTTAACTCAAATCCAACCAGCAAATCTTAATCCCTTTGATAATCCTAATTCTTATCCTCTCAATAGAGATTGAACTTGATGTGACCAAAAGTAACAGTTTTGTCCAACAATTTATTTCAAATCCTTTGCTCATTAACAATAGGCATGTGCCCTATTTTTTATATATGAGATTTATTTATGTAAGTAAACATGACAGAAAAATGTTTAATTTCTATTATGTGTTATACTCAGAATGTTTGATATTGGTGTTTATGCTGTGATGACATCAGTGAATCCTCTAAGAGCTTATATTTTCACTGCTGATGTATTAATCAGGTAATGAGGGCAACCTTATATTTGTGTTTCAAACTTCAATTCCATGTAATCATTGAATTAATCTTTTAGGTTTTGTACAAAAGATTATCATCCTTTTGATAGTAAAGACTTAAAGAAGTATGTTGTTGGTGATGATTACACTCCACCAAGAGAGGTGATCCAGTTTATTAATTTTGAGAATTAGCTTCTTTTTGTTTGCAATAAGCTATTTATCACAGAGCAAAAAGTTTGGAGATAAGATTACTCTTATCGTTTCTCTAGATTCCAGATTTTAAAGATATTTATTTGAAAGGAAGATTTTCTCGGTTACAGACTCTGAGGCTCTATCTTAGAAAGCAAGGTATTAATACCAATACCAGCCTGCTCATGTAAACCTACTAGAAATTGATTATTTTACAGAGACTGAAACTGAATAGCAACAGTAAATGGCTGAACTGGTCGTGCTACTAATTATTACTAAAAATTGACTTTTTCATCATTCTCTCTCAGGCAAAGATGATACCAAAATGTGGAATAGCATTATAAGAACTATTTCAGAGGTAACAGCAAAGTTATATTGTTTAAATTGTGGTGTTTGTTGGTTATAATTATTCACATTATTAAATATTTTAGGTGTATAGATTGAAAGAACCAAACTTCATTGCAGCTACTTCAAAGTATAAATCAACAAGGTATACTGCATATCAGACAACTGATTTGTTAAAAATCATAATCATTAAAATGTGTGTTGTAATCTTTCATTACAAAGGAACTTTTTTGAGCTTGTAAGATTTGATTTTGTATTGGATGATGAGTTGAAAGCTTGGTTGTTGGAGGTAAGAACATAATATGAAAAACAGAGATTAGGATTACTGTGAATAGGATTATTTATTATTCATGTTCATTGCTAGGTGAACATGTCGCCTAATCTATCCTCTGCTGCTCATTCTCATAATAAACTTATGTACGAAAAGGTGAGCGTCGTTTGAACAAGGCTTAAAGACAATTTATGTCATTAAATAATGTATGAAATAAGTTTTATCAAAACCTTTTAGGTCATTTTCAATTTGTTCACGTTGACTGGAGTTGGTGGTTTCACAAGGAAGAAAACGAGATAGGTTATTCTTATGGACATTAGTTGTTTCTTGTGGTGTACAAAACACGCACGTTTTCTCGTACTATTCAAATATTTTTGTGTTAACTCCCTTCTAAAAAAATAAATGTTAGTAATCTTAAAGTAACAGTGAACGACGAAACTTGCAGATTGGCTACGCTGTTGTTTGTTTCTCGTTGCTTTACGATCATTTTTGCTTGTTTTTGTATATAGAACAGCTACAGATTTGGAGATTGATGTCAGTGACGAAGATATTCAAGTGAACCCTATTTGTGTTAGTGACAAATGCCTTATATCCTGTTCCATCGAGGTACAGTTAAAACGTAATCTGCATGTTAAATAAATATACATAATTGCTACAGACTTCGATTACCTTTTGTTTTTCTGTAGTGTGAACTGTGTCACACTTGTTTAGATGTAGATGAAGCAGAGTTTTTGAAAAAAGCGTATCTAGAACACGTTCATAAGAGGGCTTATAAACGAGTGTATCCAGCGTCAATGGTAAATCTACTTCATACTAATAATATCATGCATCTTCCTTTCTTCAACTCATTGTAGATGAGCTTTATTTACCCTTGTTCTTTATTTGTTTATCTGTTGTTATTTACTGCTTCTCTGATGACGTCAACCCGTTTAGACTTTAGATACAGCCAAGATGCTTGCCAAAGATATAACGTCGTTGAAGAATCTCAGCAAGGCAAACCGTTTAATGCATACTTGGTATGCAAACAAATGTTTACAAGACACATCTTGGTGCTCGTAGAAGTATAAACTCTTTAGAGGTCAATTGAAGAAGCAACCATACACTCTATACCTCAGTTGTCACTGCAAAACAGTGAAAACAACTTAACTTTAGGCGCTGCGTGGCGTATATACCAATTTCGATGAACTTTGTTTTTTGCTTGCATTTAAAGATGCAACAAACAATTCACTTGAAAAAGTTGATGTTGGATTCTGTATAAGTGAAATATTAAATTTTTAGCCATCTTTATTGAATTAAGTTTTTTTTCCTTCGCAGGTTAAACAATGGTAATAACTTATACAATCCAATAACATTCGTTATCATGTGCAAATGCAATGATTAGCGGGTGATAGAGCGCTTGCAAACGTAAAAGAGCAGTCAAGTCTATGTTTGCCTCTAGTTAACATTATCCTTTAAAGAACATTCGTATTCGCATTTTCCACTTGCTAACATGTACTAAAGAACAGCCATATCCATATTTACCACTTGCTAACATTATCTCACTAGTTAACATCCATTAAAGAACATATATATTCACTTTCGTCACATGCTTGTATCTTCATTAAAGAACAGTCATATCCATATTTACCACTTGCTAACATTATCCGCAAAAAACGCACTCATATCCTCTTGCTACTTGCTAACAGTGTCCATTAAAGAACAGTCTTGTCATTGTATCCACAAACACAGAAAACGGAAGAATTGTACTTCATAAATTCCGCGCATTGATGCAAACTTGTTCCCGGATCTCCATTCCTCATGCAAAATTCTCCGTATGAATAAAATCCTCCTGATTTGAGCGTAGGAAAATTGTCTCGAAATATACCGTGAGCACTTGAGAAATACGAGTTTCCCCTGTGAACAAATCGTGAAGTGAGCAGTAGAGCTACAGTCGGACGAAAATTTTCGTCTTCAAGTTCTCGCATCATGGTTCGAGCAGGCTCGTAGAAATCCGGACGCTGATCAGCCATAGCCACTGGTTGATTCAGAAATCCAGCGCGTACTCCAAACGAGTCACCACTGACCAGCAATACAAGGGCTCTAGTTCTTCTTACAGTCCCATCCATAAACAAACGATCATGCCCAACACCGCCAACAATTGTAACATTTTCACCAAATGTCTCACGAACTCCTAAAAATAGTACATGGATTATGAATAGTAATATCAAATCTTCTCTCCAGCATAACATCACCAAGGTTGACTTTAACTATTACCTGCAGCAACGCAAGAAATCATATCTCTGCTCTGAGGTAAGGCCAGTACTATGGCTAATTTGATAGGATAACGTACGCTGAACCTAAATAATCTTGACCAATCACGGCGATGATATCTCAAATGTCTCATATGTACCGTGTGATACCTTACGCCCTCTACTTCCGGGAAAGATATGACCACGTGACCTCGCTTCCTATGCACCGGTCCGGTGGAAAAATCATCAGGTGTCTGATAAATTAATTTTTCCGTAGTACAACCTAAGAGCTGACAGTTTTCAGGAAGTTCATCGAACAAATGCCGTACGGATTTTACGAGCTGTCTATCGTGATTACGTCTACGAGATTTATCCCTTCGCGAGAGCCAAATATCTTCATAGGAAAACAGGAAAACGACTCTTGGTTTTGAGTAGAGACTCAAAGAAAATTTTTTCGCGTGGTCATGTTCAATGTGACGATTCGACAAAAAGAATGTACTGCAACATACACGCCTGCGCAGTATTGAAATTGCCACGTGATACCATAGACGGTTAACCTGCGCACATGTGATCAGCACTCGGGCTGGTAAAGTATTCAAGATTTCGAACACCAGCTCAGGAATACAGGCAAAACCCGTGGTTTTCTTCCTACCCCTACTAGTGCCTTCTTCCATAAGAAGCCATCTGCTACAACCGATGCTTCAACTTTTACTTTGACATCATAATTATCGAACAGACATCAAATGAAGGCGATTAAACTTCTGTGACATCATAATTATCAGTCAGGCGTTTGTAGCGTGTGTTAATAAAATGTTCATGGAATGACGATTAAACTTCTAATGTGACATCATAATTATCATAATTCTCACTATGCAGTTCATGGAATGTTAATGAATAAAACAAAACATAAAGACAATAAACGTTGTCTTTTTCACCTTTTTAAGGTGAAGTATTATTTGTTTACGTTCGTTAACCCCATACGATTTAGGATTTTCATTATGAAAAATTTTGGAAATAGAGTACAACAAAAGCCGTAGTATTCAATAAATTTCTCATTATTAACGATGTCCATAGACAAAAATTTTGTTTTATTCCTCCCCCCCCCTTGTGAAATTATTGATTTTTTCCATGTACACACCCCTACCCTGCTATACACTCATCCATACGACATAACGAATTAGGCTGTTGATCTCTAACCGTTCTGGATTGCTGAGATTCAATCCCTTCCACATCATCTGAGCAGACAAATATGCACACGTGACCCCATATGTTCCTCACTTTCCACCACAGCTGGTCGTATCAGGTGAAATGTTATGATTGAAAAACTTCACGATATCGTTCGCCCGTTTTAAAGATAAAGATTTCACTCTTTTTACTAAATCTTCAGCGGAGCTGTCCAAAAAGAAATAACAGATGTAAGCAAAGCCAGTTCTGAGTCAAAATGTTGAGGAACGTTGGGGGATTATAACTGTAAGTCTAGGTAAAGATAATTCATCCATAGCTCGTTGATCTGATATTTTGCTGTTTTTAAATTGCAAGAATTTAACGAGCAATTAATGGTATTTGAATGGTCACGAAAATTGACACGAAAAGTGAAACATAAAAGTAGTTAGGTAGGAGTAATTTGTAGGACACTCTTAATAAAAATTCTTCATGTATGCCGACAACAGACATAACGATAAGATGAAAAACTGGCACCTCTTGCACGTTTCCTATTAAAATACTTCGAATGTACTTGCCTATTAATAATGTCTTTAAGAGTCTTGACACTGTAACAAAGACTAATTGCTGTAACGTAGCTTATTCGAGGAACAGAACTTAGAAACTTGACAATCTACATGAGAGGAAAAGTTGTCTAGATGGTGGAATTATGACTATAGTGAGTGACAGGATACAATAATTCTGTCACTGCCAAATAAGGTGTTTCGTTTTGCATGCATAGCCTTTAATTGTCATGTTATCTTTAAATAAAATTAGTCAAGAATAGAATCTAACATTAACAATTACGAACTCAAAACTTGCGAACTATGGAATGAACCAGTACCGACTATATGTGTGAACGTAAAAAACTTTTGAAAAAAAAACAAACCTGTTTCTTCTCTTCATTTAAACATACAGGATAAATGATTGCATGATTTTTCTTTTCCTCGGTTTGAGCTAGCGATACGAGAATGTCGGAAGTAGTTTCTACAGACAAAAACATTTTAGACTTATAAACCCATTGACTGAGGTTATATTATGTATGAACGGAAAGTACGTTATCATACATTGGGGGTCATCTATTGATAATACATGGCATTAAAGTATATCATACCGTTATCCTCGCTGAACAATACTCTGATGTGGGCTTGAGCCAAACACGCCAAAACACGATCGAAATGTTTACTACGGTTTCTGCGCAATTTACATCATGTTTTAGTCACGTGTTAATTGCAAAGATGAAACAATACTAGTCGCAACGTACTCGCACTTCACATGAATTTCAGTACCAGTCTTCACGCGGTCTTTCTCGATGACAATGCAAGAACGGTCGTACAAATCACAAAGCTCGCGAACTCTTGCTGTTAGTTTGTCATAGTTGCGATGGTTAGATATATCTGAAACCCATGAACAAATAAAAACAATAAAACGACTGTTATGAAGAGAACTAAATTAGATAACAGGAGTGTAAAAAAGGAAACAACAGTCACTGAGATTACATTTTGTTTTTACTAATGTCAGCTAATGTTGTCGACCTGTTCATATGTTTGTAGGTAAGGTATGCTAGTAGAGCAAAAGAACCATGTAACGTTATGTAAATGAGTATTTACACATTTATGATATGAAAAGGGAGTGGGGTGGTTTTTTCTCGCATAACCATTCTATTTGTTCACGTTTCACCTCCAAGCATTCAATACATAACGAAAGCTAACTAGAAATGTTTATGTCAGTAAACTCAGTATAATATTGAGTTTACATACCCGAGACAAGCTTTCGTTCTACAGCCATACGAGTACTGACAATGTAATCACATCCAGAAATTCGAGAGACGACTGGGTTGATGTTGTGCTTACGACGTAGAAAAGATATAACCTGTGGTAAATAAGGACAATAATCAATTTCTACATTTCTACATTTCAGAAAGATGTTGAATTAGTATTACGCCAACCTGACAGTTTGAAGCTTCTTTGGAATCAACTAAAATCGTCAGTGTATTTTTTGTCGGCTGTGTGGTCTAAAGATACACACACGGAGAGATTTGAAATGAAAAAAAAGTGAAGAAGAAAAACTTACATGTCCGATCAATCTTGTTTTCCTACGATCATACATAAAAAATATTTCAAAAAAATAGAAGCAACGACTTACAGTGAATAGCGAGCCAGAACCACTGACGTCATCAACGACGTCATTAGTTGAGTTCAATCTAGTTAGTTTAGAATCACCGGATGTATTTTCAGAAAGATCAGAATACTTGTCTGTGGGTATAGGAATCATGGATAATGGAGGATATACAGGTGATACATTCGCTGTCTTCCCAGTAACTTTCTCTTCGTTCGACATCGTAGGTTGTGAACTCCATTTTGACTTGCATTGCGTGGCCTGATTTCCGTTCTGTCTATTTACAACTGGGACATTTTCATCAAGAGTGCAGTTCATTTTCATCAATTGTAAGTTGGTACTAGATGTTAATGCTGACTTCGACAAATTCTGATTACAAATATTTGTTCTTTTAGTTTGTGGGATTTTCGGCAAAACTGTCTTATTTTGATTTTTAGTTTCACGTCTTTTGCTTAATCCGATTTCTTTACGTTCAGTATAATCTGCTTTGGTGATGTGACAGTCTGAAGATAAGTTAGTCGCAATCTTGTCATCAGACGTGGAAAAACATTCCAAACCACTAATTTCCTTTAAAAATAATTCATCATCAGATTCATTGAAATCATTAAGAATATTATCGATATTCATTCTAGATTCTTCAATTTCAGTCTCCTTTACAATTGGGGTCACTATCTTACCCGCACACACGGGCACAGTTCTTAATGGTCGTTTGAATGTGAAGTCTTTCGTCGTCGAGCTACATGATTCCTTACAGAGAATTGATGATATTTTTTGTTCATGGTTCGTATCAATATTTGAAGTTTTTGATTGTTTTGTATTCGTCGAGTCAAATGAAATTCGACTTTGATTTCTATTTGTTGTAATATTACATGTGGAGGGTATTTTTTTACTTTCGCAGAGCTTCGAGACACCATTGCACAAATTTTGAGTCACTGAACAACTGACATGTGCGTTTTCTTTTTCAAAATCTTCACAATTCCTGCACTCTTTATTCTCCATCGTACTTCCAACGTTCACACTAAAAGAGCAATTATTTCTTGAGTCATTCCTGTCGACAACATGATCAACACAAAGATTTCTTTCATTATTGTTCATATTTTGTGTTGCTGGAGTAGCGCAGTAACTATCAGTCAAGACTCGCTTTCTTCCTCGGCGTATCTTCCTCATTACAATTTGACTTTGCTCTGGTGACGCATATGTAGAGTCGATGATATTGGCAGCGTCGTTTCTGTCAGATTCAACAGATTCCGTAGAGTCATCAGAACAGAAATTATCGTCATGGGGCGTGGTTGGAGTAAGTTGACGGGATGACCGACTATCATAAACCATTTTATATCTGAATAGATCGATAGATAGATAGATATTCTGTTTAATAAAAGTATATGCAGCCATAAAGATGACTTACATGAAACTGAAGTTTCTACTGCTATTTTAAAGCTGATGAAGTATATATTAAAATATTAATATTCAGATTTAAGATCTTGATCTATTGGTACGATATTTTGGGTGGGTGAATTGTTTTACACTTCTTAAGTCGTAACTAGCTTTTGAATTGTAATAAGATCTGAAGTTTGTGATTAACATTTCTAATTAACTCAGTCACAGAGTTTATAACAAAGATTTCCTCCTGGTGTGTATATGCCCAATTCATCTTCATAAGACAATTGACGATAATCATGTATATTTCGTTAGTAAGATTATGATTGTGACCAAACAGAAAACTTTCAACTAATTTTTACCCAAAGAGGCAGTTGCAAGCCCTGATGCCAAACATCACATAAAAATTTCTTTATCACTTTACCTGTTCTTGTAACGATGAAACGCCGGTGATTGAAAACGCAGTTCTTTTCGATGTGGAGTAAGTAGGGATGCACGATAAATATCCATCATGTCACGAGGTTTATCGCTTTGGGCATTCTTCATAATGGGACTTCTCTGGGTCAGTTGACTGCGATCATCAACAAAACTCTCTTCCATCTTGTCAAGATCTTCTTCATCCTCCGAGGATTCTTGATCCACGTTCAACTCGTCTGCAGATACCTCAGCTTCGATGTCAAGAAAGTCGTCAACCAATGGACGTGCTTTCTAAATGGTAAAAAAAAAACAATGAGGACTTTAAAAAACAATATATCAATGACTGGGCATGGGACCATGATATTTCAGTCACCTATTTGCTTAAATTCATTCAAATAAATCGTTTAGAAGACATAGAAGTTGCTGCTATAAATATATAGTAAAATGTAGCAAACATTAGGGATAAAAATGGCATGGTCATTTAATATCATGAGAAAAACAATACCTTTAATTTGCTCTCTTTCAAACATCTATTGTCCGATAGCTCTCTCTTATGTTCAGCTAAAAAAAGAGTTGATTGTGTAAGCGTGAAAAATAGGTGTATTCTTCTAGAGAAATATACAACCTTTTTTTGCCTGTTCAAATTCATCACGATCATCTTCGTCATGAAACGATAAAGTAGGAAATATCCTGATGCCATGTCGCTTTGATCTATTTGACTTCTTTCCTTGCACGATACTTGTATCTCCAGTTTCAGCGCCTTTGTTCTCGCGTTCAGTTCCAACGTGGCTATTTTTGATGTCAACATTGGAGTTGTCAACAGTGTCATCGTCACTTTCCACAATCTTATGTCGACGAGATGATGGACGTGTTTTCCCCCGTCGTTTCAAAACAAGCAGTGGTGAAATATTTTGAGGTTCATTCCTGCATTCAATGACAGAAAGTTCGTCTTCATCTACATCATCAGCATTGAAGATATTGTGTGAATTTCTTCCAGTTAAATGACTGCCTAGAAAACAACAGGATCTTCATAAATTTCTCATTTCAATCTATACATTAAGCTTTGTTTTAAATTTTCATCAAGAAAAACCTTTTCCTTCGTTAAAAAGACGTCTAGGAGTAGTCATTTTCGTACATTCATTAGCCAATTCATCGATGGCAACTTCTTTTACTAAATCCTTCAAACATCCTCCACTGTCACAATTTTTAGTTTGATTGCAACCTTCACCAATATTGCGCTTTTTTTCTTCAGCTAAAGAAAGAGTTTTCTTGATTCCGCGACAATTTTTGCAGTCATTGATTGAACCTTGACTATCAACGATAGGTGCGGTTTTTTTTTCAAAATTTTTACAGTTTCGACATCCTTCATTGTCCATCGTAATATCAACGTCCTTTTTAAATGAGCTCTTCACCGGTCCTTCTTCGCTAAGATTGCACATTCCTAATGTTGGTTTTAATTTTAACGCATTGCTTCTGCGACTCAAGTTTTTCTGAAAGGAACTTTTTAAAGACTTTCCACTTAACGACACAGATAGCTCATTGCCGCCGTTCATTCGTTCGGGACTGGGTGCAATTACGTCATCATCAGAATCATGAACCATGTCAGACTCATCTGCCTCCAATGCTGCCATCTTCATGGATGATTTTGCCAAATGAGCATTAGACTTCGTACAAGACGACAATTGTATTTTATTTAATGAAGTTGTAATGGTTTTCTTGACTGGTTCAATGTTTACATGTGTCGTGATGTTCTGCTCGATAAAAGGTCTTCTTTTCTTCATGATATCATTATAGTTCGCTGTTTTATCATCTAATGATGATTGACCTGATGAAAGGCATTGAACCGTTTTTCGTCCTCGAGATTGTTCGTCGACTTCTGATCCTTCTTCGTCAAACAAACATGGCGTCTGAGGAAAGTCTGCCTTTCTGCGCAGAACCTTGGATGTTGCAAGTCTACTCGAAGGAGGTTTACTAGGTTCTGAAGAGCTGTTGTCAAAGACACCGTCATCTTCACTGTCAAACAAACGAGGAGTTTCAAGTTGACAAATTTTTGATTTCGAAAGTGATTGGTCTTCAGCTGTTCCAACAGCAGCAAAAACTGAGGCTTGGGTTTTTATTATCCTTATTCTTGCTTTTCCAATCTACAATATTATCATCATTATTATCATTAAACAAAGAAGACGTCACAGAATTTACGACGACCGTGTCGTCTTTCCTCGATTGGGGAGCCTGGGTAGAACTCATATCCTTCAAGTAATGCACGAGAATGTCGTCAAAAAGATCATCGTCGTCAAATAAACAAGGCGTCTTAACTACATTTTTTAATTTGGAACTTTCACAATCCTCGTTATAATCATCGACTACACACGGAGATTTTATATCAGAGAGAACTCTATCGATCTCATCATCATCATCGGCAAAGAACGAGTTAGCCAGATTCTGATGAAAATCAAACTCGACATTCTCACTATGCTTCTTAGGTAACAAAGCATCGTTACACACAACCAATCCCGAGCCAAAAACACCAGAATCAGATGTACTACTGCTACGAGCCAAATTATTCCTAAGACTCCCACCATCAAAAGATTTTTCATCACCAGGATCCTTTCGTGTACTCAGGTATCCTTCATCTTTCATTTCCTTGCTACACGTCGTATTATTTGTTACACATATCGTACTTTCATTCTTTCCAAATATTCTCTGCGCACTCTCTTCATTAAAATGGCTTCCATCACTGTTCTTGCTGCAGGTATCAACTTCAACTTCAAATTTGACAAAATCAGGAGCAGCTTTCCCAAGATATGACTTCGCATCATCGTCCTCTCCAAGATCATTGCACTTGTTTGATGCTGATGGATCCATGAACATACTAGGCAAGAAATCGCTATCAGAGTCCGTGTCCTGTGTCATACTATTCAATTCATTAAGATCCATCAAAGTTTCCAATGACGGGGCATCGGGAAGGACTTTAGAATGACAAATATCAATGGTCCCCTGTCGTCGGTTTTTGCTTTCATTTCTTCGCTGGGAGCTAGGAATATCAAAAAGCTCGGACAAATCATCACAGGAATCATAAGCAATATCGTATGAACCAGCATTAGATTTCAAGTGATCCCATTGTGAGTGTATCGATCGTGAATAAGTCTTTTTAATGCTTTGTTCTTGGTCTTTACCATTACAATCGACGTATGCTTGTTTAACGTCGTCTTCAAAATCATCATCCAAAGCCAAATCATAATCCATTGATTTTCTTTTTCTTGATGCAATCTTACTGCCAAGAGTACCAGTGATAACATCGTATGTTTCTTTCGGTTTTCTCTTGTAGTTTTTATCTTTGCTTAAAGTCACCTCCTTACCAATTTCATCGCCAGGACAATTATAAGAAGCATCTACCTCAACTTCATCATATTTCGTGCCTTCATCCTCGATCATGTCATGATCTCGTGCGTGACACGTTTCCTCCTCACCAGGCTTTTCAACATCCTCAGAGTTAAAGAAAGTCTTCATTTCCAATTCATAACTGTCTTCGTTATCTCCAATGTCACGGCGAAAATCGCAAAATTCCAAAATTTCCGCGAAATATCTCGAGCGCTTCGAGTGGCTAACGAAATGCACGTGCTGTAGAGGAGTTTGCCAGGCCGTCCACTCGGTCAGGGAAAGCGTTAAGTCAGACCGCTGATCTGAGCATGGCTTTTCACGCAGGCGCCGAGGTTTGGCAGGTGTTAAACCAGCCTCATGATTCAATAGTTTGAAGTTATTATTCCAGTAGTGAAGTTCATCAGAAGACAAATAACCGTTCGTTTTGGCAAAAGAGGTGAATAGACTCTTGGTGTGAGCACCAGAATCCTGCCTCGTTTTATTCAAAGATTTTCTATATGAAAAAAAAAGGAGGGAAAAAATTCGTAAATATTTTAAAAAGTAAAAGACATTTCATCGAAATGAAAACAAAGGAAAATTGATAGAAAAAAAAGGGGGGTGGAAAAATACCTTTTGGTCTTTGGTGATTTAATTTGATCTACTGACATAAACATCTTTCGGCAAACTGGTTGAATGTCCCTGGGAATCATTCGTGGATTTTCCATATATAAATCAAGAGTTCGAGCGGAAGACAAAATTGTTTTGTGGATATTCGACTTGTTACGCTGACTGCGTTGATAGATCTAAACATACAATAAAAATAAATGAAACAACGACGAAGAAAATTAATTGCATTAGTAATTTTGAAATTGGGAATTTGGTCTAACCACTGGCAAAGCGGTTTTTAACATAGAAACTAGATCCCTTCATTCTACTAAACAGTTTTTGTCGGAATTTGATCTTTCCTCTGCAGCAGTTTATACATGGAAACTCCTCCCTGCTATCCTTACATGGTCCACCACCCCCCGTGCAACACAGTTTACAGGGAATTCCTCCTGCTATGCTTACATGGTCCACCGCAACACAGTTTACACATGGGAACTTCCTGCTTCCTTGCATGGTCCACCACCCCTGGTCACAGCTTACCTGGGAACTCCTCCCCTATCCTGCATGGTCCACCACCCCTGCCACAGTTTACACATGCCTTGCTATCCCATGGTGAAGCACTTGCAACAAAGCAAACAATGGAACCTCCCTCTATCCTTGCTGGTCTTCACCACCACACGTTGCTACACAGGGAATTCCTTCCTGCCATGCTTGCGTTACTGGCAAGTAAACGAAATAAACAAAAAAAAAGATTATTTTTCTTAGCGTGATTCACAAAACCTGGTCCTCTTTCCCTTCTGAGACGAGCACAACTATCCTTCCGTCACGTTTTCTCCCAGTACGACCCATGCGTTGTACTAGACGTATTGGTGAAGCACTTGCATCAAAGCAAACAATGAGATCCACCTCACCAATGTCTAAACCTTCTTCCCCAACACACGTTGCTACAAGGGTGTTGTAATTTCCTTGCCTAAATTGACGAATCACCTAGGAGATTGAAATGGAAACAAGTGAACATTAATGAACATTAATGAGCATTAATGAACAGTAAAATGTAATCCAAGTCATAAGTTCACACTGCTATTATATAGATATCAAGATGTTCCGACTTCCACAGCGACTCACGGGAATTTAATCCATTATAATGATTGGATAAACCATGGATATGGATAAACCATGGATAAAGTGGATAGACATTAGATAAAGTAGGATGGACGTTGGATAGACATTAGATAAAGTAGGATGAACGTTGGATAGACATTAGATAAAGTAGGATGAACGTTGATAGACGTTAGATAAAGTAGGATGAACGTTGATAGACATTAGATAAAGTAGGATGAACGTTGGATAAAAAATATTTCAACAAATACCTCAAGTTGTTCTTTTTGTGTCAAACCTTTGGAGCTGTTTCCTTTACTTTGTTGACCAATAAAACTCATCACCCGTACAAGCGGTTTATGTTTGGAAAGCATGTGAGATATATCTTCAACACTGTCGCGGAACTGCGAGAAAATCATCACGCGGGATTCTTTGAGAGCATTTTTTCCGCCTTCAAGCTGCGTATCCCACCCTTGAAAGTGTGCCAACACAATATCCTTGAGTTTTGTCAACTTTGGGTGGCCAATAAGCGATGAAGACTTTGATACGTCATCTGCTCCTATTTGCCTTTTCAGGTCATCAAGAATCGCAACAAAATCAGGATTTCTCATGATCTCTGCCTTTGCTCTTGATATTCCCTTACTACCATCAACTATCCCTAAAGATGAGAATAAAACATTAGCATTTTCCTATGAATCTAATTGGAAGCAATTACCACAACAGTAATTCTATTCAATGAGTTCAATTACAAGCAATTACCTTTAATGAATTTATAAAATGGCAGTAAGCCATGTTGAAGCAAAAGATCATAGGCATGATAAAGACTTATTGCAACAGCAAAGTCACCTTCAATTGGCCCAGCCTGTTGTTGGGGCTACACCAAATAAGAAATTTATATATTGAAATTTCAGACATTCATTTGAGATAAATCATATCACGAATGAAATACCTGTTGACCTGCAGCACGTTCTTTCCTAAAATTTTCACGAGCAGCAAGTAATATACATTTGTTTACTCTTTTGGCATCCTTTACCCACAAAACCTTGCGTGTCACCAAACGACTGACCACAATATTCAGCACCTATGAATTGGCATTGAACATCATCTTAAAGCAGATGTATTTGTATAATAAAAAACACCATTTGTTGAGTCCAGGAAAAAATATCTCCTTACTCTAAGAAATTTTGTTTGAAAAAATTCCAGCTCTTCCCCTAGTTGGACAACAATTTTCTCCACTTGTCTTGCATGTGTATAAGGTTTTATATCAATTGAATCTTCAGACCTCAGTTCAATGTGGGAAATCAACAAGTTCGTAATAACTTGTTGCACAGCCTACACAGATGAAACATTAGTAAATTCACAACTTTCATGAAATTATCAAATTCATTATAAGAATATTGCATTGTGTAAATGTAGATTCCCCATTGTCCAATAAGTCCACAAAGATAAAACTTAAGCCATCCTATGCATACAATCATCACAATACCCAATGACACTTGACTATACTACATATCAAGGTATCCCAAGCAATACCACCCTTAATGTATCCCAAGCCAACACAAACAACTTATCATGCACCTTGATTCCATCACCAGGTGTAGCACTCAATGCCAAAACACGAAAATTCATAGTGAAACCAGAAACCTCTCGTACAACCTGAGAACATATTTATAAAGATTGTTATTGGTTGGACATTTAAAGTAATTGTGTGAACCGAGGAAATACAAACCTGACAATATGAATGATTACCAAGCGCTTTATGTGCTTCATCAAATACAAGACAAACAACATCCTTAGCACAACATGAACCTCGACTAAGGTCATTCTGAAGTACTTGTGGTGTTAGAAAAAACACTCTTTTCTCTTTCCAACATTGCTTTCTTTTTATTGGAGGCATGTTTCCTAGTATCAAAAAAATTGAAAAAGGCATCATTTCAGAAAACTACAGCAATTGCTTATCTCACATAATCCTGCATTTTTGGATAAATTTAACAAATTTGTATACATAGGAGTTTTACTAGAAGTTGACAAATGGCAAATTTACATTAAATTGCCAAAATTTCCATACGCTACTGCAATAATTAATCATTGTTTAGGTACCAGCTAAAACATTTTTTGAAAATATGCCTGATCTTTTAAAATTAGAGAAAGTTTGAACCCTGTGTATATTTCATTTTTCAGCCCCTGGGGGCATAAAACTAAAGCTGTGTGTATAATATGACCTTAGTAATGTTGAATGAAATGCAATGCAAATAGATGTAAAATATTGAGGGTAAACAAGTGAGAGCTAACCAGTCATTTCTGCTGTATCTTTATGTGGTATACCCATAATGTTATAGCAAGCATCTATTTGTTGTGCAACAAGAGGTTTGGTTGGAGCCATAAATGCTATCTTTCCTTGGGGATACCATCTGTAGAAATTGTACATCACAACAGCAGCAATGAAAGTCTTCCCTAGTCCCGTAGGCAAAGTTACCAAGGTGTTGTTGAAAAGAGCTTTCTGGACGATGTTAAACTGGTAATCACGTATAGGATAATTGGTTGGATAAACCCAGGTAGATCCTGCGCTACAGTCAAAACCAGGGATGACGTCATGACTATTATGGCTTGTATTTAAAGCAGAAAACGAAACATTGCCTGCATCTGAATCATTTGTGGACTTTTCATTCTCCTCCGCCGTTCGAGTAACAGCGAGTAACTCATTTTCATCATCTTCGTCATCAATAAGCATCAAATTATCAATATTTCTGTCAGTTTCTGAGTTTGCAGAAGTTTTCTCTGAATTCGTGTTACTCCATGTTTCAAAAAGACTTTTCGAATTTTGTTGTACTTTAGCACTTGCATGATTCCAGGCTTGAAACAATGTTTTTTGGCCCTTTTGGCTTCCTTGCTTTTTCATTTCTACAAAATATAACTAAAAACGTCATTTTAACACGAATATACCAAGGAAGGTCAAAAAAATTAGCCGATTTCTCTTCATTTTTGATTGCCACTGTTCATTCAACTTCGCCATATTATTTTTAAGTTACGAAACTTCGCGCCACTGCCAACAGTGTTGCCGCGGTATCGCGACTCCCGCGTGATAATCCGCGAGGCTCGAGATGGTAAAGCAACACATTTATCCTTACTCCCCCTCCCTTCCGAGAATCAAAGACGTTCAAATGTTGTTATTTTCGGTTATAAGTTATTACTATTTAATGTAAATAAAACACTTAGCAATAACAACTAGACACAAAAATGCTAGCTTTTGATTTTTGACAGTATTTCAGCAGGTATCCCAGTGTTACAAAAATCCTGTTTCCAAAGAAATTCTTCATGATATGCAATATCATCTTGGCTACAATCTTCAGAGCATGTATACACAGCTAAAGTTCCCCAATCAATACTTGCTTCAAGAGAATCCACCTTCAAATGATTTAACAACTGCGGCAAAACCTTAAAAAATCAATAAAAACGTCTTGCATCACCTTATTCATATCCTTGAACCTTAGCAAAGAATTTTCTAAATATTATTTTGTACGAAGAGTTTTGCCATTAGCTAAATGGTTTAAATGTTTTATTGTTTACCTGAATTAAATTAAATACCTGAAATTCAAATGTCCTTTTTGCTCCACAAACACAGTTGGGTATGTCACTTTCATTCGGTTTATTCAAATTTGAAACCCAAAGAGGAGTTCCATGCCGTTCATATCGAAGCACCTGAAATTAGTATGTATAAAACTACAATGCCATGTGGATATGATTTTGAACTAAAGACAATAACAAAGATATAATTTGTAAGAAATATTGTTCTCTAGCATTGAAATGACCTGTTCTGGTTGAATATGAATCCTTTCCCTGAATTCCAAGTAGGTTTTGTCCTCAACAACATCATTGATTTTTCGACTTTCTTTCTCCAATGATTTCCAATCTTTATCCAAGCCACTGTATTCTTCCATAACATACATATTTTCATTACTTAAACTCAATTCTTCACAATTTCTCTCCAACTCATCAATGTTTTCAAGCTCGTTAACAAGCTCATTTTCTGGCTCACTGACAAGCTCGTATTCAGGAAAAAGAAGACTAGGTACATTTCTACATGAAACTGAAAAATTATATACAAATATCAGCACATGATGTACTAGTGATAATATGCAAGATTCAATGTCTTCATTAGACATGCCTATTTCATCTTTGCATTCAGAACCACACATTTTCTTGTGACCACTTTTCCAATCAAAAGACTGATGTTGCTTGCTACAATATTGTACTTTGTGACACTTTCCACACACTTTGCTACCGGGGCAACCACAAACTTTGCACAGTTTTGTCCAAGTATTTTCCATTTTCAACTTTTCTTTATGGCTTTCGCCTACTTTCTCATGTGAAACATCGTTAGGAGGATAAAAAATATTCTCACGTGGTAAGCCACATCTGAAAACAGCAAAACTATTGTTATCATTCCTTAACTGATAACATTTACCATTTTGACAGCAAAAGATGAAAATAGTGCGATGATAATTCGAACTTGTCACATCATCAGAAGGGACATAAACTTGAAGCAAAAATATCATGGGATTTTTGCAGTTCTTGCAGTTGATATTTTCTGGTTGTCCTGTCAACGATAGCCACGCTGGTTTCCCACCAACTTTACTTGGAAAAAATGAACTGGACAATACTAAAACGTCTTCTACTTGCTCAACAAATGCAATTTCCACATCTGTATGAAGTAAATCGTGCTTGATACTCATGGCAGACGAAATTATTTCTGATCTTACAATATCTAATAGTAATGGCTCCTTGCACTTGGATAATCTTTTTCTGGAACAGGGGGGGACTTGGGAAGGCACCATTATGATGCACTGGGGACTAGGACACATTTTGTGCTTTTTAAAGGGGGGTGTACCAGGGTGGACGGTGGACGGTAGCCCAACAACCACCACAATTTGAAGTACACGAACATAAATAAAAGCACACGAACATAAATAGAAGTACACGAACACAAATATTACCATTTGCGTTCAACTGGTAAGTGTTCCGATACTAAACAATATCGAACGTCCATGAACTTTTCTCGCAAAGAATGGATGAAAACTTTTTAACTAGTTCATTGTAGCACTGATAGGTGTTTGAAACTTCAAGTAGAGGACTAATAGTATGCGCAACAGGACGACGGGATAAACCATTTAAGTCGGTGAATGTGATCTCCAACTTCATTTCTGGCAGAACCACAGTTGCTTCAGTAGCGAACTGAAGAAATGCAATGACGTTAATTCCAAGAGATTTAATGAATTTGGTCAAGTGGTCTAACCAGTGCTGTAGAAGTGTGGGGGGGGGGCACTTGGGGTAGGAGCCCCCCTTCTACCTTTGAAATGGGTAATTTTTCATAATTTCATGGCTTCAGCTTCGTCAAGAGAGCCCCCTATCTGATAAATTTATTTCTACAGCACTGGGTCTAACATTACATGCTCGTTGTCATTTTGCAGACATGCATCAAGCATTTTAATGACTTTCCTCTGTGTATGCTTTTCTTCATCATAAAACGTTTAAATGTTTGAAGTATTCTGGAATTCTGCATCTTCGATCTCCAACGATTTTATTATCGGATTCCAGCAGTTGCAATTACTTGGCAGTATCGGATTCCAGGGTTAAGAAACTACTCGGTCATACATCACTAAAGAGCATTTTTTAATCTTGAAATAGTTTGACGTAAATAATATTAAATAACTATGTTGAGTAAATCTACTTCGTTCAGTAGCTATATACTTGCAGGCAACCAACATGTACGAATTTTAAAAATGAATGCCGCAGTGTTTTGGGAGATATACCCATAGGCCGAGAAATGAAAAAGGAACGCGAATATTCATGATAGCTACAACAAATAATGTTATGATAATTGCTTGGCCCAAAAAGTTGACACTGTTTTTTTTTCTCCAAAACAAAACGAAATGGGAGGGAAAATCGGTGGATCCGGTAAAAAACCCTCTAATAAAAGAAAAGATGTCGCTAATGTTGTCGAAACGTCAGTCAACAACAACAAAAACAGTCCTTCTCAGGACTATACCAACCTGGACGATCTACATTTACAAACATGTAACGATACTCCCGGGTTCAAACCATTTACTTTATTGAGCTTTTTGTTGAGATTGAACTTTTGACGGTAGATAGTTTGAGATTGAGCTTTTTGTTGAGATTGAACTCTTCATGGTAGATAGTTTGGGATAGAGCTTTTCGTTATCTAACGCTTGAAAAACTTCGTTCGAATACCGAAATAAATATGAAAACAAGACCTGTCCAAGTTTCCACATCATTGCTTAGAATTCAATCATGTTTAGAAAATGAGTTGATGTAACTAAATTTCTCACGTACAATTCACCACGATACGATAACCTTTGGCGTAATTTTAATTATAATTATAGTTTATCGCATAATTTTGATTGTAATAATCAGATAACCCAACATTCTGATTATAATTATCGATTATTTTCATTATAATTATCGATAGCCGATAATTTGATTATAATGCCGTCATTGCAAAGCCATACGGCTTCAATTTATCATTCCCATCGTCGTGCAAGGTGTAGTTAGGTCCTGGGTTCGAATATCTTCGTATCAGTCTGTTTGCTCGTCAAGTCTCTATGCTTCAGGGTCGATTTCTTTCAACATAGTTTCAACAACCCGAACGAGGTACGTGAACGTTATACTTAGATTGCAAACACCTCCAAAAAGCTCTATATCCATTTGTGTTCGTGTACTTCTATTTTTGTTCGTGTGCTTCTATTTGTTCTCGTGTATTGTACTTGTGGGCCACCGTAGGGGTGTCATGGGATAATACCATTGTAAGTTGATTATTAGCCATGGAAATCAAAGGCACGTAGGGATTGGCTGGCAGAGATATGGATACCTTGCAGTTCATTTCCGTTTAGATAACGTCACAACGACGAAGTTGTCTTTGTTGTTTATGTTAAAGTCCATGTATAGAGTGTAGATACGAAGAGCATATTATTTTATAGTATTTCTGTTTTCCTCGGATTTGGGTGCGAGGAACTTGTGTAGCTACCCTGGCCTCATCTGAAGAGGAGCATTTTGAAGGTGGCTCGTCTCCCCCGCCACGTAAAAAGGCTCGAAAAACAGTGAATTTGGAGTCTGAAATGCATCGGAGACGGACTCAATTTGTGGGAGATGTTGATGTCGAAGAATGTGATTCCAGCTCGAATGGGGAGCTACTTACAGTATCAAAGCACAAGAAACCATCAAATCAAATCAAACAGAAAGCGTTTACAACATTTGAAGTGGATTCAGTACGATTAATTGGTCAACATTTACGTGGGCTTGGATTGCAGTATGTTTTTAGATTTAAATGTCCTCACACATATATGGCTCAAATTCGCTATCTTAAATTTTGATTCATCTGTATTTTGGTGTCAGGTTTTAACGAAATGCTCATGATTTTACTCCTTGTTTATTTAGCAAATCGGCTGATATGTTGATGCAAGAGTCGGGGTGTAGGCTTGAACATGAATCGGCTGTTAAATTTAGGGAGAGCATTCTTTCTGGCGATTGGGATAGAGTATGTTTTTACCTGTTTACCTGGTATCTTTTGGTTTCGCGATTATGCCCTCTTTAGACAAAAAATCTCCCGTCTTTTGTCAGGCTGAATCATTTTTAAAAGAAGTGAAGCCATTCTTAGGGACATCTGAGGAACTAGTAAAGGTTAGTTATTATGATTAAGTGTAGCTATTAATATGCAATATAATTAAATGACGTCGTTATTTCTTACAGAAAGTAAAACTTCTTATTCTTGAGCAAAAATTTCTGGAATTAATCGAAAGTGGTAAATCTGTTGATGCATTAAAATGTCTGCGTCAGGAGATAACACCGCTTCGAAATAGCAAGGAAAAAGTCCACCGTCTAACTGGGTATGAGATTTTGGATATGATTGGTTCTTAACTATGTTTGGTGAATCTTTGCTTTGGTTCATCTGATTAAATATGTTGGGATTAGCTAATCTAGCTTAGTATTTCTCTTATCAGTATTCAGCATTAAAATAAAGTGCTGACTTACTTGTGTTTTCTTAATCTTTGAAATTAGTATTTGTTAAGCTGCTTATTTGTTGGCAAATTCAGATTACTAATGTGTGCAAATAATGAAGAATTATATCGAAAATCAAAGTGGCATGGTAAAGGTCAGCATTCAAGGCAACGTTTGATGGAAAAGATACAAGGTAAGTTGATGCTCTATTTAAATTTATGTAGGTACATTGTGTGTAAGTATGTGGGTAAAAGGATATATTTGTATGTGGTTAAGAGGATATATTGTTATGTGGGCAAGGGGATGTATGTGTGGGTAAGGGGGTGTATATGTGGGTAACGGGATATATTGGTGTGTGGATATTTGAGTTTGTTGGTATATGGGAATATGGTTATGTGGATATTTAGTTATGTGAGTGTATGGGTATGTATATGTTTTTATGAAGTATGTTTGTGTTTAATATAATATCTTTTGAAATAAATGATCAAACCCAGGAGTATCGTTACATGTTTGTAGATGTAGATTGTCCAGGTTAGTAAAGTCCTAAGAAGGACTGTTGTAGTTGTTGACTGACGTTTCAACAACCTTAGCAGTAGTCATCTTCAGAATCAAAGCAGGAGTAAATGTCAGGTTAGCCGTATTATTTATTTGGTTCTTACGTCATTTTATTGTTTGTACAGGAAATGTGTGGGTGTCAATTGGGCAATGTCATTGTGGATTAGTGTAAAGTGTTTAATTGCTCTTTGTGAATAAGTTGTTTGTAAGCAAGCAATTACCAGCAATTACTACTAACATGTAATAATAGCTTTTGCTTGTGCTAATGTGTTTATTCTTTAGAATTACTTCCTTCTTCCATCATGCTTCCACCTCGAAGACTGTATACCCTACTTTGTCAAGCACAGGAATTACAAAGAAATCAATGCCTTTACCATAATTCAGAGTTTGAGAATCATCCTACCTCATTCTCACTCCTTACTGACCATACATGCACCAGGTATTTCATTTGAATAGTTCTTAATAGTTCTCAGTTTTACTTGGATTGTAATAATTAGATAGCTACATTATATGATTAGTCTTTGATTTGATTTCTTGTCGTGTCTTTCTTTAGAAGACAGTTTCCCTGTGAGACCAAGCACATTTTGACAGAGCATTGTGATGAGGTGTGACAGTTGTTGCTCTATATTTGTTTTGAGTCAAAGGACTCTGTTTTTTTTTGTTGTAATGACATGTTATGTCAGTGTTTGAATGTGCATATGAAGTGTTTTTTAATTATAGGTTTTATTCCTACGGTTTTCTCATGATGGTCACAAGCTAGCCTCAGCCTCAAAAGACAACACTGTCATAATTTGGGAAATCACGGTTTGATGCCAATAATAATCTCTAAACAAATTTTCAATCCATTATTTTGCATACAACTACCTAATGTATAACTGTTGCATGTCATGGGAATGTTTAGAAAGATAATGTGAAAAAATTACGTGTTTTGGATGGTCATGAACTGGGAGCATACTACATATCCTGGAGTCCAAATGATCAGCATCTCATTGTATGTGGGGCTGAAAACTGTAATGAACTCTGTATATGGGATATTGAGGTAGATAATATAGCTCATTGAGATACATACAATGATAATATGATTCAAATAGCAAATGGTTGTTCTTATTGTATGTCATAGTTTAGTACATGCCTTGCTAAGTTTGTTACTCAAAATTTATTTTATTTTTTATTTTTTGTTACATGAATTGATATTACTTGGTCTAATTAACTCTAATTAACTCTAATTAACTGAACATTAGCGGTAGGAGTTCATGAAAGTGCGCAGAAATTACAGCATATTGCTTAATTTATGATAAATGTTTCTTACGTGATGAATATTTTCAATGAGTGCACAAATTTGACGTAGTTTGTTGATTTTATGATTTCAGACTGGAGTTTTACGATGTCGAGCAACACAAGCCACGGAAGATAGTTTGACAGTTTGTTCGTGGAATCCTGATGGTAAACGACTGTATACAGGAGGAATGAGAGGACAATTCTTTCAATGCGTAAGTCTGAGAACATTGATTTTGTATCATTGTTTCTGTAGCTCGTTGCACCAACTCCCAGGGCGTTAGTAACACGAAGCCATGATAGTGCTGCTCACTTGGTGAATGCCCAAATTGCCTTTTAAGAGGTTTGCCTGGTTCCCATTGTGCAACCAGTCCTGTTACAGGAGAGGCTGACCCATTCCCCGGATTAGAAAATACTCATTTCGATAATAACCTTAGTACGACGTGTTTTTGATTTTAAAGGACTTAGATGGCAACGTGTTGGAACAATGGGAAGGTATTCGTGTTCGTAGTCTTCACTGTTTAAAAGATGGAAAGACTGTTTTAGCTGCTGATAGTCACAACAGAATTAGGAGTTATAACTTTGAAGATTTCTCCGATAGAAATTTGTAAGTGAAATGATTGTTATCCATAGTAACCATTATAATCCATATCCATCCACGATTTATATCGTTTACATTATCCTTATTAATAGCATATTATCCGTCTTTTGACGTGTGACGTCATCAGCACGCGTGAAGCTTGTATTTTATCAATGTATAACATGAATAAGAGCGGTGTTTTTTCTCACTCTTAGAATTCAGGAAGATCATCCTATTATATCGTTCGCTGTTTCGGAGAATGATCGATTTATTTTAATAAATGTTGGCACCCAGGTATGGCCATCTTTAGTTTTTGTAACTACTCGTTTCTTTTACAAATGTTGTGGTGAGAGCGTAAAATCTTTATTCAAATGAACACATGATGACATAGAATCTATACAAATGAATACATGATAACATACAATTTCTATGAATGAGCACAAGATAACATACAATTTCTATAAATGAGCAAAAGATAACATACAATTTCTACAAATGAGCACAAGATAACATACAATTTCAATGAATGAGCAAAAGATAACATACAATTTCTATAAATGAGTAAAAGATAACATACAATTTCTATAAATGAGCAAAAGATAACATACAATTTCTATACATGAGCAAAAGGTAACATACAATTTCTATGAATGAGCAAAAGATAACATACAATTTCTATAAATGAGCAAAAGATAACATACAATTTCTATAAATGAGCAAAAGGTAACATACAATTTCTATGAATGAGCAAAAGATAACATACAATTTCTATAAATGAGCAAAAGATAACATACAATTTCTATAAATGAGCAAAAGATAACATACAATTTCTATAAATGAGCAAAAGATAACATACAATTTCTACAAATGAGCACAAGATAACATACAATTTCTATAAATGAGCAAAAGGTAACATACAATTTCTATAAATGAGCAAAAGATAACATACAATTTCTATAAATGAGCAAAAGATAACATACAATTTCTACAAATGAGCACAAGATAACATACAATTTCAATGAATGAGCAAAAGATAACATACAATTTCTATAAATGAGTAAAAGATAACATACAATTTCTATAAATGAGCAAAAGATAACATACAATTTCTATAAATGAGCAAAAGGTAACATACAATTTCTATAAATGAGCAAAAGATAACATACAATTTCTATAAATAAGCGAATGATAACATACTATTTCCATAAATGAGCAAAAGATAACATACAATTTCTATAAATGAGCACAAGATAACATGCAATTTCTGAATGAGCACAAGATAACATACAATCTATGAATGAGCATAAGATAACATACAATCTGTATGAATGAGCACAAGATAACATACAATTTCTATGAAAGATCACAAGAAAGCTTACAATCTCTATGAATGAGCACAAGATAACATACAATTTCTATGAAAGATCACAAGAAAGCTTGCAATCTCTATGAATGACTACATAATGATAATTCATGATAACAGTCAAATTTACTGCTACAACATCTCCTTTTTTTTTAGGGCCTGCATCTGTGGGACATTAAAGATCGAGTTCTAATACGAAGATATCAGGGGTTGAGCCACGGTTTCTGTGTTATATACTCGTGTTTTGGTGGCTTCAATCAGGACTTCATTGCAAGTGGCAGTGAAGGTGAGTTAGCATTAACCTGTGAGGAGTTGTCTGTTAAACATTTTATGGTCGTTTTTTGTAAAATCAACCTCAATTGTACTCAAATTTTAAAATATTTTATTCTTCCAATGAATGTTGAAAAGATATTAAAGTCGGTTGAACTTGTGAGAGAAACTTCTCGTTGAAATATTTTCTTGTGATTTCGTTCAGATCATCAGGTCTATGTTTGGCATATTAAACACCCAGAACCAATTATGGTTCTCAGTGGTCACACAAAGACTGTCAACTGTGTCCACTGGAATCCAAAGGTTCCCAGCATGCTTGCGTCAGGTAGCGACGACGGCACAGTAAGAATATGGGGGCCCGGTGAGAATCTAGAAACAAGTAAGTTTACGTAACATCCATTCATATTGAAAATTTTACCTTTTAGACGTGTGTTAATTTTTACTATTATTATCCTTCTGCAGACAATTCCAGTGTCAGCACAGCTGTATAACGTATTATTGTAAATAGGCGGTATATAATCAGGTATATATATTATATTGTTGTCATATTAGTTATATTATTGAAATTTGATTTGCATGGTACGGAACTTTATGTCGATGTTACCACGGTACTGTGAGTCAGCAGTCTGAATGTCAGACGTTTAAGCTATGAACGGTGCTTCACGTAATGTTCACATATGGGTATAAGTTTCACATGAAATGAAATTGATTTTTAATTATATTTATATATGGGTGAAAGATTAAAGTCTGTTAATATACATAAAAGAATGAATAAAAACCATAGAACGGACGAAAGCAAATAATTGAATAAAAGCATGCATGCTTATGCTTGCATTTGGAACATCAGATAACTAAAAAAGCATAACATGGCAAAGATTGGAATTAAAGAAAATAATCGCTGTCTCTTTTCTTTGTTCACTTTCTTTTTCGTTGGAGCGACATTTCTTTCTTCAATTTCCATGATTGCTTTTCTTGCTCCTTCCCATGCTCCTTCTCCATTCAAGCGATATTGTGGAGGCGAACACGGCCCAAAGTAGCAGCGAATAGCCAACATGGGATCGGTGATGAGTGTTCTTAACCAACGAGGTTTACATCCTATCATGTTTGCCAAACTGTTACAGTATGGTATGTAGTAGACCTGAAAGAAATGAAATGATATAGTTAGAAATCTTAGGCTTCCCATGGATATTCCATAACTCGATGTTTTCATCCTACTATTTTACCATTGTGACGTGTTTTTCAGCATGATACGATTCGTGCGCTCTCCTTTCGAAACTTTCAGCTATATCTTTCTCCATTTCTGTTTGGTTGGGTAACTTTACAAGACCTTTGAATACACGAGTAGCAAGTCTTGCTTGCATTTCTGCAACAGGGAACATACATCCAACTGGTTGTAGACATCCAATAAACGCAATACTCGGATTTTCCTCCACTCGAAACATGTGCTTGTAGAGGCGAGGAGCATTAAACTCAAAATCTACCATGGTTTCATCCAAAAATGGAAACGTGTACTTGTAACCCGTTGCTAAGATGATGACGTCAATATCCGTAGCAACTGTGCCATCCACAAATGTAATATCTGGTAAAAGATTGTATCAGACATGTGGCAAAAATTCAGTTGCAAATTTTTTAACAAAACACTCAGTTTGTTTACAGAAAAAGAATATCTACCGCATAAAAGGTTTGTTCTACCTATCTTGTTCAATAGTGTTTACCTTTCTCGTCAATTTCGAAAATGTCGGGTTTTATAATGACAGCCCCGCTGAGTATCTTGTACGGCAGGGAATCGTTGACTATGGGAGGTTGCTGAAGATAGCTGTTGCTAGGCAGCAATCCAAAGTCCTCGTGATCAAAGTAAGTGTTGGCGATTTTGGTGCAAATCCAGTCAAGGAGTGGACGAGGTAAATCAAAAAAGAAACGCCGCTGTAGAAACTGATCGCTTGGCATTCCATATGCTTGTAGCCGTGAGGTTATCCAAGAGCCTCGTCTTGTACTCAGATATACTTTTTCAGCTACATGACTTAACTCGGTTGCTATAGCTGCAGCAGAGTCTCCAATACCTGTCAGACAAAGCAATATGCATTCATTTGCAACAGTATAGGTTGCTTAACATACCAAATGGCATATTTCACCAAACGGTTACATACCAACAACTAGAACACTTTTTCCCTCATAGCTTCTTGCTTCTTTGAATAACTGACTGTGGATGATTTCACCTTTAAATTTTTCATCGCCAGGTAATTTAGGAACATTTGGATTCCAATGATGGCCGGAGCACACGAGCACTGCGTCAAACTCGAGCGTTTGTCTTTCGACATTTTTTTCGGTCCTTTTTTCAATTGTAACGTGCCATCGGTCTTCTTTTGAATCTTGATGGCGGCTGATCCCCACAATTTTGCTATTGAACACCACGTGTTTGCGTAGTTCGAAGTTTTCTGCATACATTTCAAGGTAGCGCCTTGCCAGAGAGTGGGGGAGAAAGAGTGGATAGTCCTTTGGAATTGGGAAGTCGCTGAAAGAAAAAGAAAACGTGAAAAAATGTATAGATTACAAGGATACTTTAGATGACATAGGGGTAACACCAATCTAAATGGTATTTTATCTTTCTATAGATATGAAAGTAAGGCAAAACCTACAAGTTAACATCGAATTAAAAACGTTAGCATCCAAATAGTTTATTTGAGTCAAGACAACCTGAAAGATGACATTTCTTTACTTGTGACCATTACACAAGAATTATAAACACTGGCATGATCTTCTTCAGAGGCTGCGTATCGCCATAGTCCACCTATATCAGATCCTTTTTCAAAGCATACAGGATCAAGTCCTTCATCAAGGCATGCTTTGATGGATGTCAAACCACAAGGCCCTGCTCCGATAATTGCTACTTTCATTTTAAATCAAAACGACGTTGTGAGACCGTTTAGCCAAGCTAGTTCTTATATATGGTAACGCTGTGTCGTGTTTTTAAAAAAATGGAGCTGATAAGATTGGTATTAAAACGCCCATAAACACGTGCAATGCGTGGCAGATTAAGATTATAGTTAATTTTGTTTTCAACTTTTTATAAATCGTTTTGACGGTTTGGTTGTTTTCAATACATAGCCAATACAACAATTGCAGGGTTTTTTAAAACTTTTGTATCGTTGAGGCGTGATGCTCTGGTCTAGCATTCAATTTTCATCTATCGTATAGCAAGTTTATGTCGACGTAGGATTAGAAATGCTATAAGAAAGAACAGCATACGACTTAATCGTATGTTAATTCTTGTATCTACATCTATAGAATAGGCAAAAAAAAGTTAGTTTGTATGTTGCAACTTTGGTTATAGTTCACTTCAAGCTTCACATAAAAATTTTAGTGGAGCTCACACTTTAGGGGGGTTAAGTTTCAGTTTTTCGAAAAGTGGGTACTCGAATTTGTATGTAGTATTATGTGTTTTGTTACAAATTAGTAAATGTCGATCGCCCATGTTAGTATAGTCCTGAGAAGGACTGTTTTTGTTGTTGTTGACTGACGTTTCGACAACCTTAGCGGTAGTCATCTTCAGAGTCAAATGAGGAGTAAAGGTCAGGTTAGCCGTATTTGTTATCTGGTTCTTACGTCATTGTATTGTGTGTACAGGAAATGTGTATTGTCATTGTGAATTAGTGGGAAGTGAAGTATTTTTATTTTTAGTTGTGATGTGTGATTTAGGTGTGATGTTTTTAGTTGTAATGTGTGGGTGTCAATTGTGTATTGTCATTGTGAATTAATGTGAAGTGTAATGTTTTTAGTTGATCGTTTGTTTGTATTGTGAATAAGTCGTTTGCAAGGTGCCGGTAATTGCTGCGATCTGTTCAGGGGGTTTGTTCCAAGTTGGTATACCAACTTTCTAATGTAAGCCGTTCTCTATAGTCAGTACTGTAAGTAATGGATTTTGCCGAGTCCCAGTCAATGTTGTGCTTTGCGATTCAGTGATGTTCGGCAATGTGATTAGTTTTGTCTTGTTTCTTAGTAGCTCGTTTGTGCTCAGTAAGTCTTATGTTTAAGTTCCTGCCAGTTTCCCCGATATAGGAGGCGTGGCAGTCGGAGTAGTTTATTTTGTAAACTGCGCCTTGTCGTTGGTTGGGTTGTTCTTTGTCCTTTATGTTCATTAGTACTTGTCGTAACGTTGTGATTGGTTTATGTGCGACACGTATGTTGTATGGTCGTAAGATACGCGAGATAGTCTCAGACGTACCTTTGATGTAAGGTATCGTTGCTGTTGTCACCGAGTTCTTCGTTTCGTTTGGTTCGTTGGGTTTGTAAGTGTTGCGTTTGATAAAGTCAGAGTTATAGTTGCTTTTGTCAAAAACACGTTTGAGATAGTTGTTTTCGTTGTGTAGAGCGTCCGGTGAATCACATATGATTTGTGCACGTCTTGTTAATGTTCTGATTGTGGTGGCTTTGTGTGATGTAGGGTTGTAAGATGATTGGTCTAGCAGTCGGTCAGTATGTGTTGGCTTGCGATAAACTGTTGTTCGAAGTTTTTGATTGTCATGTTTTACCAAACAGTCGAGAAAAGGAAGAGTTCCGTTTTCTTCGACATCTTTGGTAAATTGTATGTAAGTATACCAACCTGGACGATCGACATTTACAAACATGTAACGATACTCCCGGGTTCAAACCATTTACTTTATTATGTGTTTTGTAATACCCACTCGACGGATTATTAGAGTTCGGATATTCGTCATTGTTAAGTTATCATCACAGTACCCACATTTTTCGATGATTAATGATCCATTACCAAAAGGTGTAGTACCCATTGATTGTTTTTATATACAGAAAAGTGGAATCATACCATAAATTAGGCAAGGGCCTGGGCCCAAGTTAATGTGAACTTATTTATGTATATAGATGGTATATGAAATTGCAATTCTCACAATAACTGCTAAGATCTTATCAGCAGAAAATGCTGTTTCACAAAACTTCCAGCGTATTGCATCGGACGTGCTTTCGTGGAAAATTTTATGGATTACCGGTAAAATAGACTGAGTCTTCTTCGAGTTGAATTGCTGTTGTTATCAGCTGTGTCGAGCATTATTGATATTTGCATTTCTTCATTTCTCAGAGACAAAATCTTATTGGTCTGCCAAGGACAACAAATAGACAACTATCTTGTACGTATCATTACTAAACTAGTATTTATTGCTAACGTAATTTTGATGTTCAGTCTGTTTTTAGTGTTGTACTATAATCCAAGGCAACCATGTAGAGTTCGTAATTACAACTTAAACACTTTGAGGTATTGGGATGATTAATTTTTGGGAAAAAATACACCTTATTTTTATTAACTATCAGTTCTTACTCATTTTTAACGCAAAAATCATTCCCAATCCAGGTAATGTAATGTTAAAGGTTTAAAAACGTGAATTTTGTATTTAGAGGTAATATTAATGCAGTGGCATCATTCAAGGCATTTCATACCTCTGCTATAATAGGTAGGTGTCATTTTTACGTATTGGTTTCTTTTGGCTGATTTATGGTCTATGGAAAAGTAAGTCTACTTTTGCCAGATATCTGTTGTTTACCAACTCAACTCACCAAGTTTACTGATCATGATCTACTGAACAAGAAGCATAAATTCTTTTATGTAGTCTGCTTGTGAGGCCAAGAGTTATTCAAAATTCCACCTTGATGTTTAAAATTATTATATTTTTTACTAGGTGAAGATTTAAGAACAGTAAAAACACCGCCATTTCCTGATTCTGTAACGGAGGGAGACATAAGATGGGAGAAAGGTTGCTTTTTGTTGCTAAACATTTATTAGTGAATGATTGTTTACTTTGAAACTTTATTTCATCAGAGGAAGGTGAAGCCATTGAGGAGGATGAAGTAATTGGAGAAATTGAGACTGACAAGGTATGTGAGAAAATTTAAAGATATCGTATGGAAGGTTATCATAACCGACTTTGCCTTTTCATACATGTCATTAACAGACTGCTTTACCAGTCACCTCTCCTGTTGCTGGTGTAATCAAAAAGTTCCTTGTTGATGATGGAAGCACAGTTGAAAAAGGACAAGATTTATTAGTTGTTGATGCTTCAGGTTATACAAATTTTTTGTTTGTATATTATGATCAGTGGAAATTGTCGTGCTAGAACAAATGCGAGTGGTATTCTTTCATTAGGTGAAGGTGGGCTTACTACTTCTAAAGTTGCAGATGAAACCGAGCAATCCAAGGTGGAAACACCACCAGAACCTCTTCAACCCAAAGTGGAAACATCTGAACGTACTGCTGAAAAAGTTGTTCCAAGGGAGATACCTTCAGCACCTCCTCCTGGTTTTATAATTATTTTCACTTCTATAAATTTCTTATTAATTTATACTCTCAGATTCTCAAATAACTAGACATAGGTACTTTTAAGCAACTTTGATTGTTTTTCAGTAACTTAAGTGTCTCATGTATGTCATAGTTCCAGAGATCCCTAAAGAACCCTTAAAGATTGTTACTCCCACTCCCCCACCTCTGCCTCAGTCTCCTCCCTCAACTGAAGCTGATAAAGGTATCCCTGGCACTGCCACTGGAGGAAACAGAAATGAAACACGGGTATGTATCTTTGATGGAATTAGTTTCAGACACAGAGAGAGACATTTTAATAAAATCAGAAATGTTATACAAGGTGAAAATGACACGTATGAGATTAAGAATTGCGGGAAGATTGAAGGAAGCTCAAAATACTACAGCCATGTTGACAACATTTAATGAAGTCGATATGAGGTAAAAAAATACTATATGTTGTGTATTCTAGGTACAGACTAGTACACCTGTGGATCCTGGATTGGTCTTTACATTCTATAGTTTATTAATGGATACGTTACCTGTTTAATGCATTGACTTTAGTATATATTTTTATTACACCACCTTACAATGGCAAATGGTTAAATCACATTTCATTAATCATGTCATTAAGGGTTTAATATATTATCGCTTTCCAACCAATCATGGCATAAATCATTTCCCTGTGGAATATCCTATTAAAGCAGTCACAACATGGTGTTTCTCTGTTCAAAATTGTGAATTACCACAATTGAAGGTAGTATGGTGATTTGTCCTTTACAATCCACTTGTTTGTGTTTCAGCAACATCATGGAGATGCGTGCGCAGCATAAAGAGGCTTTCTTCAAGAAACACAACGTAAAGCTTGGATTTATGTCTGCATTCATCAAGGCATCTGCGCATGCGTTGCAAGAGCTGCCTGTTGTGAATGCAGGTATCCAAAACATCCTAGATCCCCTATATCGTTTCAATATTTCGCTTGTGTCCATTTTCATCTTGATTGAATTTCTGAGTAACTCGCCATTCACATATGCTCATAGTCGCTCACTATCCACATATGTTCATAGTCGTTCACTATCCAAATATGTTCATAGTCGTTCACTATCCACATATGTTCATAGTCGTTCACTATCCACATATGTTCATAGTCGTTCACTATCCACATATGTTCATACAATATCATTTAATGCATTCACAAATTAAAATTAAAGTGTTGATGATCAATTTCATGCCAAAAATTTGAAACTTAAAATTTCTGTTTTAGTGATTGATGATGATGATAATCAGATCATCTATAGAGATTATATCGACATAAGCGTGGCTGTTGCTACACCTAAGGTATATTTTGTTGTATTTTTATTATTCTCTTATTGTGAGGTACGTAAACAACTGTCTTGGTTGCTTCAGGGTTTAGTTGTTCCTGTAATTCGTAACGTTGAAACCATGAACTTTGCCGATATCGAGAAGACAATTAATGCTCTTGGTGAAAAGGTGAAGTCGTTTGTTGATATTGTGACAAGTTTATTGTTTTGAATTTTTGATGACTTCTTATTGGAATGACGTGCTCAGTCGTACTGTTGTTTTGACTTGAGTTGTTATGAAATAATTATGCGACAAATTTATGTCACGATAAGTCGCACTGTGTACGTAACACACAAAGATGTTCTTTTACTTGAATCTCCAGGCCCGAGATGGTAGTCTAGCTATAGAAGACATGGACGGTGGTACATTCACCATTTCAAATGGTGGAGTATTTGGATCTCTTATGGGTACACCAATCATTAACCCTCCTCAATCTGCTATATTGGGTATACATGCAATCAACGATAGACCAGTAGCGTTAAATGGAAAGGTAAGTAATCGCCTTAACTGAAGGATGTATGTGCTGTGTGAATCCGAAGGCATTCTTTTAAAATTTATACATCATCCTTGGATCTATAGTTTACAGTTCATATTGACCTTGACCGCTTCAACAGTTCATATTAACCGTGAACAGTTCATATTGACCTTGACCTCTTCAACAGTTCATATTGACCTTGACCGCTTCAACAGTTCATATTGACGTTGACTTCTTCAACAGTTTAGATTTGACATTTAGCGAGTAGACATATGCCTCGTTCTGGCGTTTACATGACATTCATAACATACGTCATTGCTGACTTATTATGTATGATTCAAAGAGGGCTGAACCCTCTCTGAACACGCGAAAGCCTATTGTTTCAGCAATTTTATTATATTTAGGTTGAAATCCGCCCGATGATGTACCTTGCATTGACTTACGACCATCGTTTGATCGATGGTAGGGAAGCTGTGACATTTTTACGAAAAATTAAGACAACTGTGGAAGATCCCAGAAAAATATTACTGGATCTTTAACTTATAACGAGAGAGTAGCATAGTTACATTGCAAAATGTTTTAAACGATTTTTTTAAGTTGTCAAATTTCATACAATGATTTCACTGTGCAGTTAACAAACGTCCAATGATTTCACTGTGCAGTTAACAAACATCCGGGATCTTTGATAAAGTCATACAATGATTTCACTGTGCAGTTAACAAACATCCGGGATCTTTGATAAAGTCACACAATGATTTCACTGTGCAGTTAACAAACATCCGGGATCTTTGATAAAGTCACACAATGATTTCACTGTGCAGTTAACAAACATCCGGGATCTTTGATAAAGTCATACAATGATTTCACTGTGCAGTTAAAAAAACATCCGGGATCTTTGATAAAGTCACACAATGATTTCACTGTGCAGTTAACAAACATCCGGGATCTTTGATAAAGTCAGCAAGTACGCAAGCAGGTGTCTCTTGCTCTCTTGACTTTTGTTTGCCAAAGCTACCAAAGCTAATGCAGTAATTTTAAAGATTTTTTCCCAATTGTTTGTGAGCTCGGAGATTAATGCAATTATACCGTTGATGGAGTAATTGAGTAGAAAAAGTACTCGTAAAAAATTTTTGTGTTGCATTATCAAAAATGTCTCACTAAGACGCACGATTCATTTATCCAGACTGCAGACTGTGGTGAAAAATAGGGGTGACTCCGCCAGTGAACTGTATTAACAACTGGAACGATAACTTCTCTAGTTTTATCCCATGATTGGTTGAAACCAAATGGCATCTAAAATTTGCCAACTCCTCACTGAAATAATACATGTTTGTTTTTGCTTCTTGGCAGTAGAAGAACGGTAGAAAAAAAATTTACTGTCGTATTTTTGGACACACTTTGTGCCAAGCTGTTTTAATTGCGTCGTACTAAGTGTATTCCACAGCGAGATATTTTCGAAGAAAAACATCTGCAAGAATCGAGAACCATTTATCAACAAACTAAAACTAGACGGAACTGCAAAAAAATAGATAAAACGTATTTGAAAATTATAGCTTTTTATACAACTTTTCCGTGTATGATTTTATGCTTTCACGTTTAAAAAAAGTTTCAATAGTATATTTTTGTTTGATAACAGACGATGTCTCCTTGTTTTTAACACAGTTTACTGAATAAACGTTCAAGTTAATATTACAGTACACTCAGTCGTTACGACATCGAATTTGAGCACTCATTAACAAAAGACTGGTAACTAGGGTTTGTCTCTGTCGATTGGTTGGTAACATCTATGACTCAAACGAATTTCATTGTATGATTAACCATGACAGTGATGATTTATGATGATACGCGGTGGTCACATTACAACCAAAAATCTTTTTATCAGCAGTTAAAAAACTCATTAAGCATGCTAATGTAAAACGGTGTGATTTCCAACCTGGCATCAATAATAGTGTGAAGATCTTTGATAAAATGTGCGATGGTTTATGTTGTTGTCCTTCGTTTGTATATTCGATTTTTGTCTTTTTTGGTTTTGTCCTTGAAGGTGAGCGTGTTTGGTAAGAAGTAGAAATTCATATGAAACCAGTTATGCGTAATTTGAACAACAGTAACTAAATAAATATCTAGCCTTTGTAAGAACAACTTCACTTAATTTTATTTATACCATGATTTGTTACTACTGAAAGGAATGTTTTGCCACTAAGAATTTGGGGAATGTTAGCTGTGTTTGCACCTATCAGATGCCATTATTTTGCTGTTTAAGATAATAAATATGGACGACAGTATTTCACATACATTTTTATTGGATTGCTTGTTGTCAAAAGTATTTATTATTACAACAATTGATTTGGCTAGACTGCAGTTTAGCGGACACCCGAAGCGCTTATATGCGGAGCGCGGGCTCATATATGCTTAGGATTATAGGGTTAGGGTTTGTATCAGCGTCCAAGGTGTCCGCTAAACTGCAGTAGTCCAGTTGATTTTATGAATTACTCTGTTATCAATAACGCGGTCAGCCTGCAAGTAACTTGCAGCTAGTTTTAGGTCTGCTATGAAGTTTTAATCACATCATTATTCATTTCTTTGGAAATGTATTATTCTTTCAATAAGTGAATACGTAGAAATAGAATGGTTTGTGTTCAAAGCAAGTAGCAGGGTATTTTTATATGGCGGATAAAAAAAAAACAATTGATCATGCGCAAGCTGAAACTAGCTTATTTGCTTGTAATAAAAACAGAAAACTTTTCTTTTCAACTATCTTCATTTCAAAGAAAGATGAGAATAAAGAACTAAGTACCATCTCACCCAGCCGGGATTTTATATGAAATAGTCATATTTAAACCAATCAGAATTCGAAAAAAATGTAACCATAATGTCGTCGAAATCAGCAAATGAAATCGCTTTTCATTGAAAATACGTAGGATCTTATTCTAATTACAGAAAAATGCTATTTTAATTACAAGAAACGACTATCAAGCGAATGCTGAGAGACATTTTGTTCAAAAATATTCCAAAATAGGTGGCAGAAGTCTATTTTGGAATACATCATCTTTTGTAAAACTTCTTTCCTAAACTAGAGAGCGAGGGAACTCTCTAGCTTAGTTAGAATATTACAAATATGTAATACAACATTTATGCACATATTTTCGTGTTAGTGTGTTAAAATGTGATTTCGCTCTAGTTATAACTTAAAACTTTTTCATACTTAGCTATTACTCAAAATCTTCAATTGATCATCTGCAAACACTGATTGAAGAACTGAAGTCAAAGATTTTGCCCTTCTACTAATTAGTCTACAAGTAAAAATAATTGGCTACACTTACCGTATGGAGCGTCAATTAACCATTGTACTTTACGTCGTTCTAAAAGAGACACAAGCAACAAAATTGTTAGATTTGATGAATGATAAAAACACTTACAAGCCTGACTTCCACTTCTTGTATCTTCTCGTCCTCCGCATCTGAAAAATACTAAGCAACAAGTTAGTGGTATGAAACACAAACAAAAACACAAACAAAAAGGCAAACAAACATACAAACAAACACATACCGCAGTTTTAATCTGGAACTGTTGCCACGTAAGCATAACTGTAAGAATATCAGTAAGATACTGAGAAACTGTCAAATTTCATGTATTTCAAAAAACCAGTGTTTGCAGAAGATCTGTAAAGATTTTTGTCTAAACTCGTACTTTATCAGACATTTCAAATAACTTTATCGCAAAATGTTTGTGTTCGCTATGTTTTAACTGCTATGAAGACACTGTTATAACATCCCTCAATGTAACAACAGCGGCAATCACAGCTTAGTAAACGAATAAATATTTAACGTTTCTTGACTGCAGGGCAGTCATTTCAAATTCGAATTGACGAAATATAATTGAAAGATTTTGCAATACTCTGCCAACGTACTGCAATGTCTTTTTGTAACTTTGCTACTTTAATAAATCAATTGTAAACAAGCATGTTAACTGGTTTGTGCTAACCTCTATGTCATTACTTAGTTAATGGTAAAGAAGTGCCAGTCCGTTAACATGCTGGCAACACATCCCCAGGGCTAAATCTCCCATATATACAAGTTCACTTCGAAGTATAAAATGAAAGCGTCATTTCATAGAGATATAATTCTCCACTGGCCAGTCCGGAAGAATTGATATCGAAGGTTAGGAAGGATGTTTACTGTCGAGGGATAATCTGTTCCTTCCACTTGCAGCATCTTGACGAATTCTTTATAGTCTAGAAATAAAGAACAAATGAGTTGTGGAAATATCATCGTATTAACGTAAAATAGGTTCATCTAAGAATATAAAAAATATATAAATATATCAAATATTTAAGTATTTATGCTAAACGTCGTACCTTTTGTTTTGATTATCTGTTTTTATTTTTCCACAGTTTGTTGCCATTTTTCCTCTTTATCTTCTTCGATTCTTAAATGCTCATTTACTTTATTATGGTATTCACCTATTTAAATTATTTGGTTTAAAACTGAAGTTCTGAATTAATGATTGTATTTGAAAGCATGAACGCCCAAAGTATGGTTTTGATGTCTATAGAGCAGTTTTCGTGCAATGCCAAATTACGCTTGGAGATGTAGTCGTTTGTCTGACCTGTTGTGCAAACACTCATTGTAGTACCGCAATACTAACCACGACAAGCAGGCAATTTTAAATAAAACAATATAGATAAATATAACAGACTAATCAATCTGACGATGTCTTTGGAATAAAGACGAAATATAACACAATCTGTTGTCTATAACTCTTGTATCACCTTGAATATCAAAAAAACGAGATTTATTATACCACAGTAAAATACTTAAGTTCACAAAGTGTACTACGGCACCAGCAAAGTAACGATAAAGAATTGAACAAAGACAAATTAGCTTTGAAGCAAGACTAAGCACCAACCGAATGATGAACGAAAGAAAACTACTGTTTTTTTTTCTTTTTAAAGTCTCGCGACAATAAAAAACCTAAAGTTCCCTTCTCATACTTTTTTTTTACCAAGAGAAAGCGGGCATTGACGACCCCAGTTTTCAACGACAGACCGTTGGGCATTACAATCTTAAATGCTTTACAAATACCTTCTTTTATTAAAACGCTTTCAAATTCTTCCGTTTTACTACAACATTAACCTTACCACGACTTGCACGACACCTTCATAATCACAATTTAAGTATTACCACCACGATTCCCTGTTCCGACATCAAGATCTTCCCAGCGATCCATCAATTATCCACCTATTTTTGAGATTGACACAGAACTAGCCGATCTCTTCAAAATACACCAAGCCTGTATCATTTGCCCTAAAGTTTCCCAAACTTTTCAGCAACACAGAGAAATCTTGACTTGTACTGTTAGACATCCTCACTCGACAAATATCAATCAGAAAACAGCATGCAGGTTAGTTGTTCTAAAATATTTAACTCTGCCACACCTATATGATCAGAATCATCAGACTTTATTAATGATTCGATGTGCAATCGAAAACAATACACACAAAAAATGACGAATCTTAAGAGCGAAAGATATTGTCTCACTAATTCAATTTGGAAACACATTCATACGAGGGGGTGTGAATTGTGGAGCCATTCCACTGGGCGTGAGAGAACAATGAAATTGTTAAAAGCATTTAGCATGACAGCCATACCGCAGCATGCATATCAAAGGCAAAGGCTTGAATAAGGTAAATAGGTCGTGTGCAACCATTCTCCTGGGGAGTAAAAGAACAATAGAATGTTTTCCATTTTGCATTGTATTTAAGGAAACCTTTGTTAAAATCATCCAACATGTCCGCTATGACGTTGCTCGCACACCAAGAATTGGTAAAACTCGACTCATTTAGTGAGAATGCACAAATTGAAATGAAAGATCTTTGATTATTTCGAAATCTGTAGTACACTGTTTATAACATTACGTCCAGTATAGAAAGCTCAACCATCTTCATTAATTGGCGTCAACCGAGAGGGGATAGGTGAACCATATTCATAGATTCTGCTATGCGAGGCTGATTTCTTTTGAAAGTGACATTTTCAAATGAAATTAGCCAAGTAAAGCAAAGTATTTTCAATTCATTTAATAATTTAAAAATTCTGATTTCGGAACTTTGGTTACCATCATGGTTACCCATGGTTACCAAACTTACCACCATAGAGATTTTAAATATAATCTCTATGGTAACCACCATAGTAACCACTGATCGCGCGAACTTCAACAAAACAAGATGGACGATGCGTCTCTTCAAAAACTTGGTGTTTCTCCGGGAAAACTTAGTCCCAAGTTCAAGAAAGATATCACCGAGTACTCTGTTGTAGTTGGCAGCTGTGTAAAAAGTCTAAAAGTTAGCCCTCTAACAAGTGATAGTAATGCATGTTATTCAATTTCAGTAAGTTTGTGAAAATCTCGACACTTGTTTCAGACTTTTAGTAGTTTGTTGTTTATGTCATTTACGTTTTATTCATCTATAATAACGGTGATTGATACGGTGTGTGGTCTTTTTGAATTTCATACTATTTTGAAACTTGTATGTAGGATTCAAATGGCGGCAAAACAGTCGCATTAGCCGAAGGAAAACTGAATTGTATAAAAATCGAAGTGACTTCGGAAGATGGTACAAATAAGATTTACATTATTAATGCAACGCGTTTGTCATCGAGTGATGCATCACTATCTGGAATTATATTATCACATGGAACGTTATCACCACCGTTTGACGCAAATTGTACCTCGTATTCAACAATTACCCCTTACCATACCACAACTATAGAAATTTCACCCAACAGTCATGATAAGGATGTAGTCATTAATATCCGTGATCATGTTGATGGTAAAACAGTCCAGTTAAATTATGGTGAAACAAATGTGTTCATTGATGTTTCATCACCTGATAAAACTCAATGCAAAACCTATCACTTACGGATTGAACGAAGAAAAATCCCTTGGAACATTTTAACAGTAGATGAGGGTGCTAATCTTAACTTAAAATGCCCTATTTGTCTGGTTCTACTTCACTGTCCAAAGTCAATTGCTGAGACATGTCCGAAGCATGTATTTTGTCAAAAATGCATAGTTGAGGTAACTAGGACCAAAAAACAAAATCCTCTTAATGGGTTGGAGTTAAATGGTGCATGGCTTGGCGATGAGCCAGACTGTGAAGAAAAATTGAAAGGTGTTAAAGTTTGTTGTGTGTATGCTCATTATGGATGCAAGGACAAATTGAATTTGATTGACCTTGGATGTCACATGATGCAATGCAATTATAGATTGTGTTTAATTGACAAGACAGGTGAACTTGTTTGCTTTAAAGATAAAGAAGAAAAGATGAAGGTTTGTGATGATAAAACAGAAAAACATTTTATTGTCACAGGGCTGAATAAAGCAGATCTATTGAAAATGTAAAAATATTGATATTATCTATTCAACACCAACTTCAACTCTTTATCTCTTTTTATACTTGGCATTGTTTTTCTCCAAAACAATACTCATGTTTTCCTTCTCCATTAGCTTGTTCCATGTCTTCTATCCTCATTTTCTCTTGCTCTTGACCAATGTAGTTTCCTTAAAAAGTGCCAACTGTTCCAATGTTTCCTTCAGTCCTAATGTATTCATTGCTGCTAAATTTCTTCATCAAAAATGCACCACATATTGCTCTCTTGGTTCATCTCAGAATTGTTATGCAATTTTCCATAAAGTACCATCTCTCATTTCTAAATAACAATGCTAATGAGGTCATGAATAAATCCAAATTTTTTACAGAGTACAACTTACTCCTGTCCTGAATGTAATTTGACAATAAGATCCAGTGATGTAGAAATTCACAGAACTTTCCTTTGCTGTGCCAAGCTGGAAGATAGGAGCCTTCCACAAGTTACCACAAGGTTATGGGAGAAAAAACTACAACTAGAGACAAGTGATTCAGTGAAGGAAATCATTGATAAAGCTGTGCATGAAGAGAAATTGTATCTTCAAAGTATAAATTTATTTGGTAGGTTCAATTTATACATAATTACCTATGACCATCATGACTATCTGCTCAAAACCAAAATATACCTATTGTATCAAATTACAACAGGTCAAAGACAACACAGTGACGTCACTGTACCATCGCCAATAAACCATCTAAAACATGCTTGTGAACACTATGCCACTGCAGTTAAGCTTGAACCAAAAAATTCAGAGTGGCATTTTAAACTTGCGCAAATTTTGGAAGAAATGCACTATGCTGAGCATTACTATGGTGTTAAGTTGGAGGTATAGTGTGACTTAATGTGTTAATTGTTCTGGTATTTTTTGATTTCAGTTGATTGTTTATACGTTTGCTTTCGTTTGTATTCCGTTAAGTCAGTCAGAAACTGCAAGTCCTGCGATCGACTTTAACCAGCAATCACGCGATAGCAGTAAAGAGGATGATATTCAGGCAATCTGTGAGCAAAGAGGTTTTGGAAGAAACCCACCTCTTGCAATGCAACTGAAAGCCATTGACCAGGAGTATCATTATCTCATAGAAAGTCAACAATCGGAGCGTTGTGAATATGTTCAGAAGTTATATGCATGGAAATCAAAACAAGCAACTCAGGTTGGTATTGTAACTGCGGTAACTATGATATCAGTTTCTTTTGTTAAATTTAGTTGTAAAATGTTGAACAACCCAAGTTTTTATCTTAGGATTGTTTTGGCATTTACCGGCCCCATTTTAGTCATGCTTTGCAAATTTTGAAGGAAAATCATTTCTGTAGAAATCTGTTGTTCATATTCATAATGTACCTAACATTTTGAAAATATTGAGTGGGTAACACCGCTGACAACAACGTTAATATGAAATTAATTTGCCAGGATGGTAAATTTGCTCAACATGCATCTGACGAAGAAGGAACTTTAGGAAAAGCCTATATTAAGTATTGTGATGCGTCATCGTTGGATTCAGATAACTATCTTTATCACTTTCATGTCGGAAGGTTTCTATTACTGCAAGACAAGATAGATGAAGGGCGCAAACGACTACAAATTGCTGTAGGTTTAAAACCTACCAATATTCAATCCAGGTTAGCTCGATGATACCAAGGGATCATAGCTGATGTGCAGGAATGAATCACTCTACAGTGGAGATTTATGGGTAAATCCTAATTTGTCGTTTTAGATTGTATCTAGGCCTGGGGTTAATGCTGCAAAGAGATAGCAGAGGACTAGAAGGGATAAAATATGTCCACGAAGGATTGGAACATTTACTGTACAATTTAACAAAACAAGCAGAATCTCCTTTTGACGTTATCACAAACGAACTTTTTTCAACTGATCTTATAAAGATCACAAACATTCAATGTCTACAAGCTTTTCTTATGCTTGGAGAAAAGATTGCGCAGTCGAAAGATTCACTTCCCAGTCATTTTTTTCATCCAGAAGAAGTATTTCGAACAGTTGCCTCCTTTGCTGTGGAAGCGTTATGCTTAGTAAAATACCAGGGTGAGTTGTATCATCAGATCGAGCGTATTCTCTTTAAGGCTCATTCTGATTTCATACAAACGATGGTAAATCAAAAAGGAAGGAATGATACTAAAATCGACGATTCTTTGATTGCCAACCACTGTGATCGTTTATCCTCGTTTTTGAAAGTTCTGTCTTCACCAACTGATTACGTCATGTCGAAATTAAATGAAAAGGTGGGTGATGAAATCAAGCAACGTATTTTTATCGACTTTATATGGCAACTTTTTTCTTTAGACTTGTCAACAGGCTCTCATTCTTCGACCGCGTAACAGTCGAGCTCTTTACATGCTTGGTGATGTGTTGTTGTCTCTCTACGATAATGACGTGCACAGCAACAGTAACAACAACAACAACAACAATGTATTGTTGGCCGACGCAGAAAGATGTTACCGTGCCAGCATGGAGCTGGAAGGAAAGGGGAGTAGTGGAAAAGAAGTACCGTTATTGATTGAAGAACAGCAATGGTGGAAAGATAGACAGCGGTCTTCGAAAGATAAAGAAATAGAAACAAAGAAAGGTGTTACAAAAGAAAGTAAAAGAGTCTCTCCTACAAAACGAATGACAGACAAACAACGTGGTGAGTATTTGAGCATGCGCAGAGTGTTTGTTTCCTTGTCTTCTTCCAAATTTTTAAAATTACTTTATAAAGTCAGACTTTTTGACAAGTTGTGACAAGTCTCTGTCATATATATTTAATTGGACAGGATGGATAAAAAAGAATGTCCTTAATTTTATTGTTTCTTTGACAATATTATCAAAAAAGTAAATAAACGAATCTATTTTCTAATTCAATTAAAGAGAGCTAAGGTATCCCCTAAAGATCTCTCTCTCTTTTATATAACTTGTATAAGATCGGTTATGGATTATGGAGTAGTTAGTTTTTACAATTCCTTACCAAACTACTTAAAAAACGAATTCCAACGTGTAGAAAAAAGAGTGATATCAATAATATGTCCTTATAATAGTTATAAAATTGGGCTGAAAAAGCTAGATATGTCACCAATAGAATTACACCATGAAGATTTATGTAAACGTTATTTCCAGACAATTGAAACAAATGAACGCCATAAATTAAGAAATTTACTGCCAAACAAAAATAACTGTAAATATAGCCTGAGAAGTAAACATAAATATATAGTTCCGCTTGCTCGCACCAACAGAGCGAAGAACTCGTTCATCCTGTCCTTGTGTACATAAAGTTACACAAAGTGGCCAGGTATGGAGTTTTCTTTGTCTCTGTTGGTGTTAGCGAGTACCATTTTTAGATACTTATTTTTAGATTTTTAGATACTTATTTTTAGATACTTATTTGCTATTATAATTTTACTAATGTAGATATTTGCAATTCAGCCGCAAGGCTGCAATTAATATTTTAATAAACTACCTACCTACCTACCTACCTACCCATTTTGAAGAAATTCAACTTTTTTGTGTTTAAAAGCGTGATTAATAAAGCTCTTCTGCCATACAATAAATTTTGCTTTCAGAAACAAATTTATATTCCTGGGGGAGGGTGCTGGGGGTAAAGACTTAATTTTTCTTATGTCAGAAGAGCTTGTCGCGTATTATTCAACTGTCGAACAGTATAAAAGATGTGTATATTGTCTGTATTATTTTGCTACATTAAGCTAATAAAGTTTCATCAGTAAAGCCTTCAACAACGACCACAGCAACAAAAGCTCGACCTGTACAACAGCCTTCTACTAAATCGAAGATGTCAAGTAAAGCGAACTTGAAAACACCAAAACCATCCACCACAAAACAGCATGGTAAGTTAACATAAACTTCTTATTGTCACGTTGTTTGCATGTGATTTTATATTGCAACATGCATAATGTTAACAACCTCGTCTGTTGCTCAATTGCTTGTTTTATAATACCATTGTTTAGGTCGTGTTGCTTATAATACCATTGCTAAGGACCTAAGACAGAGTTACATTTCAGACTTATGTACATTTACAGTTTGATGATATTTTGAAAATATTCGAGTGGAATTTACATGTTTCATTGACTCATTCAAGGTCGATGGAACGTTCTGTTCTTCAACATAAAAACTGCTTTCTGTTAAGTGTTGAATCAATAAACAGTTTACTGTATAAGCCTACAAGTTTTACATCAGCCAAACAGGGCCATAGGAAAATTGAACATAGACGGGGTTCGTATTCATATATGGATGTTATAATCCGTAGAAAACAATGGATTATTGATCTGTCTACGGCCCTGAAGCCAAACATATGTTTTTAACTCTTGAAAAACGTTGCTATTCCTATTGAGAAGAAACACGTTTCTCCTTCGCCAAAAGTAAAAACAAATACACTTTTCGACAAAATTAGACGTTTATTTTGCTGCATAGCATCGTCTTCATCGAAATCCACCTCAGGGAGTCGAACTGCTTGCCGCACATGTAGTCATTCAAGGGTAGAGAGTGGTTCTGACTCTCTCACATCATCCCCGCCTCCTAAAACGTCACATGTCACTTCTCCTGAGGCATTCACGGGTCCAACTAATCCCAAGTCGTATCACCCTCGACTCGGGTTGGCACGTGTCCTAAAGAGGCAAGGCTCGGATCTTGACGCTGCCCGAAGACTTTACGAAGAATGCATTGTGATGACACCTAGCCTTCATGACGTTTATATTGAACTCGGAGAAATTCTGACTAAAACGGATCCTGCTGGAGCAGTTGACGTTTATTCGAAATATCCGTTTCCCGAGACACTAAGCTATGATGACGCATACCTTCATGGTGAAATTACTCGATTGCTCATGAAAGAAGAGGCTTACGACGATTCACGACTTGTTACGAGTATGATTGCTTTAGGAAAAGTTATGGGTTTTTCTGTTTTAGAAAAATACGTGGCTATTCTTGACGGTAAGATAAAGTACAGTAAGTTATTGATGCGAATTTATGCTGAGGTAAATGGAAAGAGCGTGAATGATCCTGACTTACAAGGGTTTTTTAAATTGAAATGCTGGGTTTGAAATTATACAATTGTAAAAAAACGTTTTCTTGGAGAGTTTAGTCGATAAATTATCGTCTATAAACAACGGTCAAGTGATGTGAAATACATGAAACATTTATCACCCACTATAGCTGTTAAATGGTTTTTCTGATTATTTCAGTTCTTTATCGTAACTGTAGTGAGAAGGTGATGCAAGCTTTAAAAATAAAACACAGTAGCAAAATGTTCTCCTCCTTCCTTCTTTTCTTCACTTATTATTTTTTCTATTGTTTCATTGTTTTCTCTACAAGTTCATACTCCAGTTCAAAATTACGAAACTCGAGCAACTCGTTTCTCTCTCGTAAATTCTTCAAAAGGTTTTCCTGTGTGAATAGTTTCTCCTCCAATATCTTAATGTGTGAACGCATTTTCGTCTTGTCCATTTCAAGCAACGTCATCTTTCCTTCGAACTGTTTTTTCTCGTGTATCCAATGGCAATCATCATGTTGAATGACACCAGAATAATTGGTCTTTGGTAAATGCATTTCCTCTTGCGTTGTTTTACACATCATCCATTGCTTTTGTTCCACGTTTGAATCAAAATTATTTCTGAATTTTTCCATTTCCTGTATTTCTATACAAAACAAATCTACTTTCATTTCGCTAACTTTTATCGGAGGACTAGGTTCGAAACCCTGTGATTGGCCATCTTGTACAGTGCTGACGTCATTCACTGCTTTTTGTCTGTTGTGTTGTAATACACCTGTTCCCCCCAACTCTTCTCGGATTGTTTTTAATTCTAACTCTAGTTGAAGATTTTTGGCGATCTCCGCTGTCCACTCGTCTTTTAAAACTTTCACTTGCTCTTTTTCCTCGATAATTTTATCATCGCTTGATTTTAGAGCGAGCTTCAAAGATTTATTTTCTTCGTAGACTTCATCAACCATTTTCTGCAGTTGACGTCGACGCTCTTCGATACAGCAAACTTGGTTTTCAAGCACCTCTTTCTCACGTATGTGTTGTAAAAGCTCCTCTTGCTGCTGAACGTGCAGTGCTTCCGCTTGCTCACGACGCTCCTCTGAATTCTCCACAAAAGCCGAGAGTTTTTCAATTTGTGTACGCAAATCACTAATTTCCTTCCGGCTCTCCAAAAATCCCACTGATTCGGGCTGGATTTCGACCAACATGCTTTCTTTATTCTCTGCGTTTCTGTATTCAGTACTTAAAAAGTGCTCCATTCCATTCTCATTTACCTTATGATTCCCATTATATGCATAAGTATCTTTCAATCCATTTATATACTCTTGCTTAGTCTGAGGTTTTTTATCTTTATCGCTTTTCATTTTTACAACGATCTCATTGTATCCCTCATCTTCCCATCCGGGTACGTGGGAAATGTAAGGCGTGCTATCGTGGTATTGTGCTTTGGATTTCGTTTTTTCTTTCTTTCGTATGGCTGGCTTGCTCATTTCTTTGCTTAAATTGAAGTGAGTTGAAATCAGAGCTTGTACTTGTTATTTCACTATAGATTAACGGTGCTCCCTATATCTTCAGTTATTTGATAATTTATATAATGGAATGAATCTTATACATAATCCGATTCTTGCTTTAATTAAAAAAAACAGGTTGTATGTTTGCCTTTTTTTACGTTCATTCGACCAATCAAAGGCCTTGAATCTTTTCCCCTTTTCTATCTTAAGTGTTGACGTCAGGTGAAATCATGACTTTATTGACCAACTGAATTTTACCTGCCTTCTGAGACAATTACAATCTTTGTGACTGTAAAACTGGAATTCTGCAACAAATATATTATCATTAGTAATTATTTCTGTGAAATGTACAAAAGCTTATTGTAAAGTTAGGCTGCCATCTCGTACGTGTTGTCTTCATGTATAGATCTAATTCCTTGTACTGCTTTTTGAATTTTCGTGGTTGGTTAAAAAGATAAAATTAAGCCTTTCGAAATAACTGCATTGAAACTCAAATTTCAATTCATCTGATAATTTCTGTATGACGATTCTTCACTAATAAGAACTGGTCACGGCTGAAAATACTTTGATGAAAAAAAAAGCAAGCTTTGTGATTGTTTGTTTGCGTGATTGATCTCAATTATTCCATATAAAATTTAGAGATTTTGCACTAAGTAAAATGCTTTGTAAAATATAATGAAAACATGTCATATACCTTCTCAAGAGTGCAGCTGTTTGTGTTGTCTTGCGTTTTGTGCAGTTGTGTTCAACATAAAGTTTTTTTTGCTGTGTGTTTAACCTGTTGTTTTCTTTCGTGAAGACATTAACACGAAAATTGCCTTTGCAACAGGTCATTGTGAGACGCTTCAACAGTTTTTATGTATTACCTCAAATATTAACCTTATTTAACAACGAAGTTTAGAGTAGAGTTTTAGAAAAAATTCGGTTGAGAAAGTTAGTTGGAGACCACTATTTTAATTTGAGGGTGGTTTTACAAGCTGTCCGCCAACATTTATACAATAAATATTATTGTTACACATGTATGTATATAAACTTACTAATTATCGCTATTAAAATTGTAAATATTCAAAGCTAATCTCGACATCATGATGTACTTATGTATTTAATCAAGTTTAATAGAAAACGAGACGCCACAAGAACAGCCCATCTCTGCTCGTGGATTATTGATAATACGAAAGGAGGATCGTATCAATTCTTCTGCGTAGTCAATCTCCGATCCCTTTAAAATATCCAATGATATTTCATCTACCACCACCTTGGCACCGTTCTTTTCAATCACCCTACACAATAATAAAAACATAGTACAGCAATGAGAAAAACGAAAGAGAAAAATATACTATGTTTTCCATGACTAGTTGACTACCGATCGTCATCCTTAATATTTTCATCTAGTTCAAACTTGTATTGAAAACCAGAACATCCTCCGCCTTCTACACTCACTCGCAGATATTTATCGTTAGCACCAATCTGATGCAGTCGCTAAATAATTTAGAAAGAAAGACGATGATGACGAATATTTATTCCTGAGCGTTAAAGAAAATCTTTGTACCTTAACACAGCTGTCACTGAGAATAAGATCTTCTTCTTTATGACTTATAGTGCTTGCTGCCGTGCCTCGATGAAAAACATTAAAAATGTACTTAAAACCAGAGTTCTTTGTACAGGTTTTGGTCAATATTCTCGTATACAAAAATCTTGTTAAAGCGTAATGCGCCGCCATGTTGTTTATCTCCCCAACCCCCACCATTCTCTGTGTCCTCAGACAGTGCTTCCGTTACAACATTGTAAATTTCTTTATTTTACGATGACGGGTTTTCACAATATTTACCAATTTGTTTGGTATTTGAATAACAAAGGTAAATTTCTATTCAATGTTTTGATTTTAAAATCATTATCTAACCAATTGTATCAAATGTCACTCTCCTCAAATCCACCTCCACCGGTTCAAGATTTTCAATCTCCACCATGCTTTGTGCACCCAGGCACCCAGGTCGCCCGACCATATTTTGTCTTCAAACATCGATGGAAGTATATTCTCGGCAGCATTTGTAGGGTACTCGAGGAGTCGATACCTTTTTTGCTTCTGTCGCTGCGTACTCTTCAATGCTTACTTGATTTGTACTTTCACAAAATGGTTCATTTCTAAGGGCGTCATCATTACTTATGATAACTACAATTCGACTTCGATCTGTGACAGCCGTCCTGAAACGAAACATTAATATGCTTCCATGTTTGTAGAAGTTGATCATCCAGTTTGGTGGAGTCTCGAGATGGACTGTTGGTGACTGGTGTTGATGTTTGACTGACACCAATTAACTGTCCTGTTCAGGACTGGACGATCTACCTCTACAAACATGTAATGATACTCCTGGGTTCAAACCATTTACTTTAATATGCATTCAATGATCTCTGCTTGCTGTGAAAACTTGCTAATGGTCTTAAAAGTTTAATATTCTCGTGTGGCAGATTACCAAGTAGTCTTAGCCTACAGGTCCGGGGTTTCGAGGGGCGCGTACTGTTTATGCTAACCTGGACTAGCTAAATGGGTACAAGCATACGTGGATACAAGCATACGTAAGAAATACTTTTTATTCGTAAGTTTATATTATGTTATTTCGGATGAACAGTTTACGTGGAAATAATAGAATGTGTCTTTTTATTGTACCAATGACTTTAATTAACCTTTTAATGATCGTAATGTTCATTAATAGGACGTTGATATAAAACCAAACTAACTTTATCACCCTGTATTCATCATCAATACACATATGGGTGTGCGTGAGTGTATGCATATTATAGATATAAATTTTTGCGTGTCTCAACATAATCTGCACACATTTTGCTAAAGACGCACATCAACAGAAAACATGAAGTTAGTTTCCACAATGACTGTCGATGTATCCACATGTATTAAAATTTCCTCCAATGTTTTATAAATTCTACACACTGGCATGGAGGAACTGCATGTCCAATGTTATCATTGAAATCCCCTGCGAAATTCATTGCTGGGATGTCGTGACTTTGACCAGACTAGTGAATGTAAACATTTATAGATTTTCTTTTTGGAAATCGAAACTCAACTTTACAAAATGGAAACATATCAAAATGGCGGCCGAACCTGAAAGAAGTTATACTCAAGACCAATTAGAAAGCGAAGAAGTTACGAAGAAAGATATTTTGTCTTTCCTTCAGGCGAATGCATCGAAAGCGGTATGCATTCAGTGACATTCTCAAGTATAAAAATAGATTGTTGTATTCAATGTTTAACGCTATTTTTATTGGTGGCTTATAACAGTTTCTGAAAGGCAACAAATTGAACGGAAAGCTGAACAATGTTGCCAAGTCGTTTAAGAAAGACCAAGCCATTAACCTCTACAATAAAATGTTTGAAACAAAGGTAAACATTTGGGTCTATTCTGCATGGTTGCTATGGTCGTCATGATCAAGAAGTCGTACCGTCCCACAATCCTGTCGGTCCCATCCTTGTATTGTCGTATGAAGTGTCAGCACCAGCTAGTGCGCAATGGAGATTCTGAATGTAATTTATTTTTCTTTCAGTCATTTAAGAGTGATGCAGATGAAGATGATGAACCGGTAGTTGAAGTCACAAAGAAGCCAACTGTAAAGAAGGCAAGCGAGAAAGAAGCAGCAGTCATTGAAGTAGGTCTTGTTTTCTCATTAGTCATTAGCAAAACAATGTTGCTGATCATCCCCTTGCTTATGTACTCATATACCTATCAATCCATCACTTATCTATTAATCCATCCATGTACCCAACCGATGTATCCATATTCCCTCATTAACATCCTAAATCATGTCATTTGGATTTCTTGTGTAGAAACCAAAATTTGTGAAGAAAGTTCTCAAGAAAGCCAGCAAGCCTGATCAAATCCCAAGGAAAGGTGATCTTGTGAGCTGTTTTTACACAGGCAAACTACAAGATGGCACTGTGTTTGATACAAATATTGGAAAAGGTTTGGAAGACTTTTTGTTATTGACTATTCATCAATATCTTTCATAATAGCCTTTGTATGTATTATTACTTTGGTAAGGTTCAAAAAAAAGAGGTGGCAGTTATGTGCCATTAAAATTCAAAGTTGGAACAGGTCAGGTGATTAGAGGCTGGGATGAAGCTCTCATGACAATGGGATTGGAAGAAAAAGCAGAGTTGACCATTCAACCTGAGTGGGCATATGGAAGAAAAGGTCTACCTGAACACAAGTATCTTTTTCCAGAAATTTAGCTAAATAGACTGATTTTAATCATTTGATTTCTTCATTTCTTCAGCATCTCTTCATCCTTTTCTTTTTTATTATTTTGTGTATCGAACATTGACCAGTTGGTTGATTGAATATAATTTTCCTTAAGCAGTCCACTAGGATACCACCAAATGCAACTTTGATATTTGAAGTTGAGCTGGCAAACATAGAATAAAATAAATTACATTGTCAAATGAATATCATCTGAGGTACTGTGAGGTTTTTTCATTTAACATTTAAATTAAATTTTGTACAGTATGAGTTGTAAGAAATGGTTATTGGACACTCGTGCATAAAATAAGCACATTGGCGAGGTTTTTTCGTTAGTGTTGGAATTTTTCGTTTACAAGAAGAGACCAAGCGTTTTGACGCATTATGGGCTAAAAAACTCTTTATGTGTTTAATGCATGCTAATGACGTTTTCTTCTTTTCTTTGGAAATTAGAAAACCAAAGCAAAACTTAAAGAAGGAAAAATGCTTCGTAATTTCATTCCCAAGACCGCTACATAGTGTTGTCTGCGAGTGGACCCATAAGGATGAGGCGAAGTAACATTCAATGGCGTTGTGTCATTTTTTCTGTGAATTCAGTATTCGTGATTTCAATATGCCTGTGGAAACTGATTTTTTATGTTTAAAGTGTTCATTCAATTACAATCATGTGAACAAATCAGAGGAAAACTTAAAGGTCAATTTCGAAACATTGGTCGAATTTTTCAGTTGAACTTTGAACCCCAAAAACGTTCCTTTGAAAACTAGTTGAAATTGTACGTTTATCTTAAATTTATTCCTACACATGACTATGTACAGGAGAGGATATTGTTCCTCTACTGTACGAATGTATTTTTCAATTTTTTGTATTTTGTTAGTTTGTCATGATGATTTAAATTGTTTTTCTTTGTTTTTTGCAATTCGAGTTTATTCATCTACTTCGATTATTGAGTTCACAATGTCTAACATTACTTATTCTTTAAGTTTAAAAAGCAGAGCTGGAAAAAGTTGGGAGATTTTAGACGTAAAGTTTCGGAACAGCAGCTGTGCTGGGCTTTCCCATCAAGTGATTTGTCAACACTTGCCAACACTTGCCAACACACAAAATAGAAACCTATTTTTATCTTTCCTTAGATCGTTACGGAAATCGGCATTAAATTTTTTGTTTCTCTGCGTAGCCATTGATATTTGATTGATTTGACTCAAGAGTTGAGTTAAATTGACGTAAGACAACGAGACAGAAGTGATTTCCCCATAAAAACCACTATACAAATATTTTTTGCGCAAGAATATTTCAACATTTGATTGCATGTTCAGCACATTTTTTATTTTCTAAATGGCCTAAGTTTCATCATAGTTTACCATTAAGACTGTCCTCTTGTCGTTGAGTAAGATATCAAATAAGATTTACTTATGCTCTAGAAACTTCACGTTTTGAATGAAATTAAAAATTTATTACTTCGCCATTATTTGCATCCCTACCAATATTTGTGGGCAAATTGCAATATTTTGTGATGAATCGTTATTGCAATGTAATCCACGTATTTCGTAATACATGGAAATGCCATGTTTGCAGCTCGTGGTCTTGATGACCCGTACTCATCCCGTACTCCTATGGATCGAACATATTTTCAAAGCAAACGGAAACCGGTAGTCCGAATCACAAGTGGCTAATATTTCAGTGCCATAATTGTTATCGTGGGAACGCGTATAAGATATTCACAATCTTTGAAAAACATTCCTCTGTTTTTATAATATCTTATATTTGATTTAACCCCGCTTGAAACGTTTTTTTTTGTTAAAAAGTCGACGCAAAGTTCAATTTTCTGTTTGAAGTCCAGTTTGTGTTTGCTTTTGTACGTAATTATTTATTCACAGCTTGAATGAACATGCGTTAGGTCATGAGACTGGCAACTGGTTTTTAGACAGCTACGTCATCTTTATTACATCACGCCTTAGTGATCTAGTGAGTAAAATACGATTGTATTCGCGTATTGTGATATTTATCAGACGATAGCTTGAGTAACGAGTGCGCGTAAAGAAGAATACGGAAATTCTTTCATTTTCGAATAGTATAAGTAAGTTTTTGAAATAAGTTGAGGGAAATGGTAATGGGTGGATTAAAGGTACCGTCGTTCTTAAGACGAAAGTCGAACTCAAATCAACGACTCGAAAATATGGAGTCTCGTGAATCACTTTCATCAAGCAAGAAGATGGAAGAAGCTCCTCCTGCTAATGACAATAAACCTGAAGTCACGGCAAGTATTGCTATTCCCGAGAAGAAAAGTGGTCGACGTATTCGCACAACGTCAGCTTGTGGTAGTAGTAGCGTTCATTCATGTCATTCCGATTCAACGCCCCGTTCAAAGCGCTTCCCAAACTTTTCAGCCGGTTCAAGCTTCTCAGGTGACTCCATCGTTCATCATCTTGATAAACTGAGTGAACGTGATCAAGTTTGGTTCCAAGCCTATAGATTTGGAGGACGTTGAAGAACTTTGTTCGACGTCCATCACTAACACGGAAGCAACCTCGTGCTGTAGGGAAAGGACAAGTTTGTAAAAATGTACTTTATTTGCGACGAATGAATTCCGATTGATGTTTAGATTTACTGAAGTTTTTTTTAAAGTAGTTTTAGCAGATGATCAAGGAACAGAAGTTCGTAGTAAAATTTCGAATACGTAGTAATAGCGAGCATCTGCTTCCCGCCAACGCCAGACGATTTATCCTCATTTAAATAATATTACTGAAAATATGTTTTGGCTATGTTGCAATTAACGAAATCATCGACAAGAAAATTATTGTGAGGAAAATCTCGCTGATGTTACGTTAGTTATTGTAACGAAAAAGTGCATTGTGCCAGATTGAAAAGCAATATTAATTTTTCGTGTTATTTGATTGAAAGAAATCATTGTTCATATTATAAGTTGTTCCTTGGCTACTATCACACTTTAACAGGAAATACTAAATCGTCAGATAACTTTCACTTTCATATTATTTACAACTAATACCTTGCTCAGAAATAAGAAGCTTAACATGCGTAGTTTGTTTGAATATGTAATCATTAAGGCGTTGTTACACGGTATCAACGCCCACGCGTTTCTCTTTTTAATTACAGATTTGTTCTTATAAATGAAAGTTTTTCTGTGGGTTGTATTTATTGTCATGAAGTTTATGTCTATATTGCTCAAAATTTGGAGAAAAATATTTTGTGTACATTTGGGTTTTTCCAATTTGACACACTAGTATTTCCTTGAACTGTGTTGTGGTTTATTGTAATTTCCGACGGGCTAATTTACATCGGACATTACTAGCGTGCTTTATGCGCATGTGTATAATTTGCATAAATTGCGTGTCTGCATAACTATTTGCGTAATTGTATTAATGCAATACTATTTGCGTAATTGCATTATTGTTCACTTTGTGCAATCAAAGTGAACATAATGTGTGAGAACTTATTTTTTGTACGATGTATAAATGTGTACATATTGCTTTATCTAATGTAAAGAATTTGATTTGTCATCTGAGATTGGTGTAATAAAGATCAAATGGTTTTATTGCAACATTTAATGTAAATAACATGTTATCAGAAGATAATTATTTAATTTGATGAAAATGTGTTTATTTGTGTCTCTCAACAAACGCAGAAAATAGAAATTATTTGGTGTAGTCGACTTCTTTATGTTGTCACATGATAATGCTTGACTACAGGATATTGAATGTCTCAGCTCACGACAGATTGTTCTGAAAATTGTTCACATTTTCAAATGCCTTAAAAGGTATTCGATTGGGCAGACTGTTTCCGAGGAATGTCGGAATCGCATTGTTTTGAAAATTTTAGGAAGGTGAAAAAAATAAAAAATGTCATATTGAGACTACTCAAAATTAGCAGCTAAAAAAATGTTTGTCCTGGTTGTTTCAAGTGCTGCTCGCGATCCCCGTTAATGTTTTCCAATAATTTGTACTGAAAATGTTGATTATTAAATATATTGAAAGTGTTGCTAAGAACTTTCAAGGACTCTCGCGTATACGACAACATTGAACTCTGTATTATCATTATTTAAATTCTTTTGGAAAAGCAGCGATGTTGAACACCTAAGAAAACATGCATACCATCCAAAATATGCACAAGAAGTAGAATAGAGCGTCTGGTACGAGCAAAAAAACTTTTGTCAAGGACTCCATGTAATTTGAAGAAAAATACGAAAAACATTGAACTTTGTCTTAACTAAGGGACCGTGCCAGACAGTAATACGACTAAAGTTCAGCGAACGTCGAGAATGATTGTTAAATTGTCTCCCTATTATAATTACAGAAATAATCATATATTCCCTGAATGTTCTGAAACGTCATACACGAGTAAAGAAACGCGATTTAATTTTCTCGTCAGATTTGATTCCTTTTTCGACAATCGTACGAAAAGGGATAGCAGTTCCTTTCAAAGTATTTAAAACTATGGAGATTAAACACACAATGGTAATGATCGTGGTACACATAACACAACCCTAGGGGGGAGGGGGGGGGAGGGGTAGACAAATGTGGTAAGCATCACCATTTGGATAAGTAAACACCTTATGACCTTAGTTGTCATGAAACAATACAGGGTACAGCCGGATCCCGGGTTTACACTGTGATTACGGTTTAGTAGCATACACAGTGACAAAAATGATAAACATAGCTCTTTGTTAGTTTGGCGTTGGGTATTGGTGATATAGCTGTAAAAGGAAGTTATGACTACTTGTTTCTGTGAGAAGCGGAGATACGTAAAACAGTAAAAGGTTCTTCGCCCTCCTTTTTAAAACAAGGCACCATAGTCGAGAACGATGCCTATAAAAGATGCTCCATTTGGTGTTGTGTTTTTTTTTTGTTTTCACACTTGAAATATACTTCCGCAATAAATTTTAGCACTTGCTGCACGACACTCTATCAAACAGTGATGAACTTTCCGCATTTTAAGCAAATACAGTCCTTTCGTCTTTCCGTGGGAACGGTGGTTTTGCAAAATTACATTTTCCATTAAGAGTGAAAAGATTAAGCAAAGGTTTTTCCGGACCATCTAAGTCAGTTTATTTAACTCGCCTTTTTTGCATTATCTTGTCATTTGGTTTATACAGTTTATAAAGTTTTGAAGGAATTCAAATTGTATTTGTTTAAGAGGTGCACCTGTAGAGGTGTCTGCTTGGGAACGTTGAGAAATCGATTTTATATTGCTTATTACACCAAGTAGTGCATGGCGCTTTATTAAAGATGTCGGTCGGCATTGGACGATGTTGGAAAATGAAAAATTTACGAAGACGAGAATTGCTTACTTGCAAGTCTATCTTCATATTATCTAAGCAATGGAGTAAGGTAGTGAATTGTTGATATTAAAATAATTTCTCATTTAAATGTAACTTCGACTAAGCAGAGTTGTTACCGCTTGTGAATGTAAATTAGAGTTCCTTACCATATACCAGTTGTGACTTGTGATCAAATTTTGGCTTAAGGACGTTTTCTAACCTTCAGGTCCTTCCGCATAACCATGCAAGATATTGTAGCATTACCAAGCATCAAGGAAAGGAAAAAAAGCGAATTGCAACATACAATTTAAACTACAAATATGGTCTTCCTCACAAAGATTCAAATATACCCACTATTGAGTTTAGTGCAGTGAAAAATGAGACGAAAAAGGCATGTGGCCTCTAGTCCTCTTCATGTTTTGTATGTGGGGATTGACTATTAGTAATGTTGTTTATAGATACAGTAGAACCTGTATTAAGCTGCACTGTATTGAGCAGTCACCCTGTGTTAAGCAGTCATATGACAAAGTCCCGAAACTTTCATAATATATAATAAGTGACCTTTGTTAAATGGTCACCTCTATTAAACGGACGCGGTCACCTTTTCCAATGTCCCAAACTTAATTTTTGATTGTTTGAAACTTAAGCAGTCAGGTTAAGTAAATACACCCCATAATAAAATATATAATTAAATATTTTTTCTGTAACATTTCACTTATATTGTATACATGTCTTTATAGTTTATTTATCTTCCGTAATGACTCATAAGAGCCAACAATATTTTCTGTTTGTATGGACAAATTGCACCACCAATTTGAATTTTCTTACACCCTTCAGCCATTGACAAGAAAACGTATCTCCAAGAAAGGAATATACGCATGGAATTTATGAGTTAGAACCACCTTCTCTGTTGACATGTTTGCCGTTTATAATTTTTCAGCAGTTTGAGCTGTGACATTTTTATGTGTACTATTTTTAATTTCTATTTCAAACTAAGAAAAAATTGCTTTATATAGTGTTGTTTATTTAGTATAAATGCTAAGGAACAATATCGATTGGTTCAACTTTGGTTGTATGAAATATTACACGTAGCCTGTCTGGTGATTTTCCTAAAGAACTGTATTAAGCAGTAAACCTGTATTAAACGGTCACACAAGAAATCCCCGAGTGTGACCGCTTAATACAGGTTCTATTGTAATTATAAACTTAATAAGATGTTTCTTTTCTAGGAGAAAAGATTTCGTCTATACAAGTTGAATTTGATGGCATGGCATCATGAGTTTTGGCTGAAACAAAACGAGAAATTTAATCAGGTTTATTTTATTGATTAATCTGTGAGCATTATTTTTGAGTTAATTCAGGACTGAGTTAAAAATGAACAGGAGAAGAAAGAGTACCTACAGAGAAGAAAGGATCACCGTAAAATAACAGAAGGTCTGTTTTTAAAAATGCTACTGTTTGACTTTCAGAGGTTACATTTTTATTATGCTAAATAAAAAATTCTTTGTTGTATTACTAAAGGAAGTTTTTATTTCCTATATTTTGTTGAAGTTTGGGATATCAAACCTTTATTGAAATGTATTTTGGACATTAACCAAAGAAGAATATCATAAAGTTTGATTACATTTAGGAAAAGAAAGTGCTGATGACCTGTCAATTTTCTATAAAAATTTCCTTGATAGGAATTTTTATGTACATTTTGCATATCAAAGGTTTGTTCTTGAATAATTGTTTTACTTTTATTACTGATTCTACCTTGTTTATACTATGCACAAATATTTTGCTTTTAAATGTGTAGAGAATGGTACAAAAAAAATGCTTGGCTGTTTTGGTTTGGTCTTTTAGTTGGAATAGAAAAATTACAGAATAAATTGTTGTCTAAGGCCTCTACCAAAAGTTAAGACAAATTGCTAATGAAATTTCCCTTATTTTTTGTGTAATAAGATTTGAAATATTTATTTATTCTGCACATCCCCAGTTTATTGATGAATAGAGGTGAAATTTTTGTACAAGGCAGTAAGAGAAATTCTTATATAGATCACAAAGTCATAAAACAGTATTCCTATAACAAATTACAAATTTCAATATTTAGTTTTGTATTTACCCTAAATGAAAATAATAAGTAAGCTCCATTCCCTTTATTGCTGTATGCCAGATTGCTTATTGTTATCTAATAGTACAAAATTAAAGCACTAAAGTCATGCCAATATTTTTAAAAAGACTTTAATAATGGGTCATAATTGTTTATTAATTACTTAATATATCATCTATTAAGTACCTCTGTCAAATTCAGTTTGTTTGTTCATACTTGAAACAGTCTTGTGCAACTCAGCAAGACGCAACTCAAATGATTTTACAATGAACTTGGGATCATCCAAACAGTTCTTGTCTGATTGAACAGCAATTGAGAACTGCCCTGCATAACTATACAGGCCGACTCCAATACCTACTAAATCTCGCTGGGGGGGTGTAAAGAACATCTGTGTCACCTTGTTGCCCGCAATGCTAAACTCATGTTGAGGTCCAGGTACGTTTGACAACACAGAGGAGTGCTTGTTTGCTATTGGCTTAGTCCAAAGATTTGTGATCACCTCAGGAAAATATTCCATAGTAAGATTTCCACCAACAGAAAAAACAAAAGCTTCACCAGAATGTTTGATTAAGTCCATTTGTCGTTTTGTTTCATCAAGGCTTTCTAATGCATCCTCCTTACTGACGGGAAGACTAAGAGAAACAATGGCAAAATTGTTTTCCAATGCAAAAGGTTGATCACCAGAACGGACATCAACTGGTACTGAAACTGTGACATCTGGAGGATGCGAAATACCATGAGCTTTGAAATAATCGTGGAAACTCATTGAAACACAGGACATAAGAACATCATTCACTGTAGTACCAGTGTAATTCTTTATGTTTTTCACCTGTTGTAAGCTGATTGGCTGACTCCAAGCCATTTTCTTTTGACCAATTGGACATTTACCATGTATGATGGAGTTATCTTGAGGGTAGAGAAGTTTCTCCAAAAGTATCTTTGCACCACACAGCAAGCCATTAAGTAACATCAGGTTTCTATGCACACTTGAGAATTTAACTAATTTCTTTTCAAGTATTGTTTCATCAGGAAACTCTGCTAGCAAGAATCTTGTCAAAGAAATGCCATCAGCTACACCATGATGACAACGAAAAAATATTATGGCTTCATTGCTTTCCTCATATGTCTTAGGAATGACAACAAAATGCCAGGGGGGTTGTTCAAAGCTAATTTCTTCTCCACTCATTGTTGAGAAGAGTGATTGCATTTCTTCATGTGAATTTGGAGTTGCACCTTGATATTGATATACATGGTGCTTCAAATCAAATGTGTCACACTCTCGTAAGAAATACTGAAATACACCACAATGGATATAATTTTTAAGTCTAGAGTAAGTTTTATGACCTTTCTTGTCTACCTTTAAAAGGCATCTTTGAAGGATTGTTTGCAATCCACTAACCAACTGTGGTATATTGTCGCACTTAACTACTATAGCTGAGTTGATGATCATTCTGTTGCCTTTATTGTCCTGTAACCACAATGAATCCTGGCCACTCATTGCAATCCAACCATGTACATGATATGACCATTTTTTCTCAAAAAGCCGTAAAACATTATACACAAGGAGAGCAGGGAAGAGGATCGTTATTATACAGAACATGATAAAGGTACAAGCCAGACATTTAATCAAATACCAACAGCACTTGAAACATTGTCTAGCCAGTTTTGACAAAACTTTCCCCAGCTGCTGCAGTTGCATAGAACGGGCAGGGTCTTTAACATTTTCTGTCTTTGTTGGCTTGAGAACTTCATAATTTTCAACTTTGTCGACGGTATTTTGTCGTCGCACGACAACCATAGTGATAACTGCGAACGGCAGACGCTACGTTAACCTAACTATTCTGTAGTTTGTGGTATTTTGTCGAAATGATGAATTGAGGTCATGGTGGTTCATTATTAAATTTTTGTTCAGCTGTCAGCGACTATTTTGTCGCTATCTTATTGGCTGAAATCGTCAAAATCTGTTCAATTTTTTTCAATATTCCAAAGTCCATTATTTCTATTATGCACGATTGCACGTGTTTTTATTGCAAGTTAAGTTGATAGTTGATATACTATATACGGTTTGTCGGATCGGCTTATTGATTTTCCCGTGCCTTAGATAAGGAAAATATTATCATCTGGAATTCATGAATTACTGATATGAAATGGGTTCGTTATGTTAGCTGTTGGATGTTATTTTATTAAAAGGTCAATATGTCATGTGCTTCAGGTTACAATATGTCATGTGCTTCAGGTTGGTCACCTTTTGAGAGCAAAGATATGACATCATTTTACTTGAGAAATCACAAAAGAATTTGTGTGCGATAAAAGTGTGGAAGTTATTGCTGATTGGACGTAAATTGTAGTTTTATCTTTGTCCTTCGACGTTGCATTCAACTTTTGTTGTCACTCGTTTGTGTTAATGCGATGAGCTTTCGTGCCTTTTGGATTATCTCCAAGGACAGTAAAGGACAAGGGCATTTGCTTCTCTCCAGGTTTGCTCTTATTTTTGTTTGGAAGTGATATTACGTATTTAAGATGTTTATATAAGCAGAAAGTCCAACGATACATGTCAATTTCATTTGTGAGTAAAAGTAAAATGTGAGAATTGTTAAAAGTTGATGGTTCTCGTGACCTCATCAGCACTAGTTTTGTCTCGTGACTGGACTTTGAACATTGTCACTTCTATGTTGAAATATTTCTACAGAAAATATCCAACTGTGGAGAGAAGATGGCATTTGATCAATAATATTGCAACAGTCAATAATTTACCTGATGATGACAGCATCATAGAATGTGTTTTTGAGAAGTTACAGATAGGACGTTCAACCTTACAGGTATAACTTCTCTTTGCCATTTTAAAAGATAATGTATGGCTCATCTTTGGCTATATCACTCTTAAGCCCTTAAAAACCTTTAGCTACCCTTACTCACTAACCCCTTAAAATATCTCCATGAAGGACTGAATAAAATGCATTGCTATGCTTTTGTACTCAGTTCATTGAAAAATTTGATGGCTGTAAAGACAGCAAAAAAGAACCGGTAATGAAGTTGAATGTTGATAGTAAAGAACTTTGGCCTTTGATTGTTTTGCAAAAGGTTTGCCAATTGTTGATATCTCCACTTTGCTGTCAAAATTTAATCTTATAAAGATTTTATTACTCTTAGTCTGAGCTTATACTGATGTGCCTTTGTCTTGCGGGAAAAAAAGAGATTTCCAAGGACACTTCACTGGTGAAAATGTATGTTCAGAATTAAGTTTTATTGAGGTGCCATATAAGTTAACATTGTTATCAAATGCTACATTGTCAGACCTGCAATATCAATTGGCTATTCATTGTTGCAAAATATTATGGAGTTTTTGGAGCTGGTGCCATTTCATAGCAAGGATGAGGTAATAAACATCAAACTAGTGTTTATTTTGAATAGTTTCTGGAATAGTTATAAAGACATTACTTTATATGCTTTTTTTCTTTAGTTTTCCACTCACATTCAAGATCTTGCTATGGTTTTGCAAATTTTGATGCCTTTTGGAACGCCATCAGATGTAAACCTTAACCTGATGAAGAGTTTCTTGCTTGAAAAGGGTATCAAGTGTTCTCAAAAATACAGAGTTAGTGTGCGCATTAAGATCTTTGTCAACGTTCTTCTCTTCATTGTTTTACAAAGTTAATGTTTAATGTAGCTCTCAGGTTGGCGACCTTTAGCATCTGCAAAGACCAAAAATCTCATTCAACTGAATGTGAAAGAACAGTACAAGGCTATGATATACAATGATAAAAAAAGAGCAATGTATAGAGATCAGTGTTCAGTTGACGGATCAGTGTCATGCAAGGTAGTAGTGACCATGAATGTGTAATCTTTTTATGAATTTAAAGCCATGTTATTGATTTGTCACCATACTAATAATTTTAATCTTAATATTAGAGTAATCTTAAGTGGTTCATAATTGTTTACACATTATTCAGGCTGATGTTGATGCTGTTTCTGAGATTAACATGACCTTAACACATTTGTCAAATATTCATATGGCCTTTCATCCATGCCTCCAATCATTGGAAGTTGCATCTAATGCTAGAGAGGACTCTGTTGGAAAGGTGGTCAACTTTTACAATATGCCTGATACTGAGATAATTTCGAGGAATGTACATTTTACTCCACCTCCGGACTCTTTCCCTCTTGTTAATATCTATGGTGATTGTGTTCCACCAGTGAGTGGATGCTATGAAATACGTTCTGAGGTAGGTTGAGAACGGTGTAATGTTACAATATCAGATATCAGCACAAGGATCTGTTGATTTTTCAGCATGATGTGTGCATTCATATAGTCAATGTACAATGAATAGCCTTATTTTAAAAAATATTATTATATATTAATGTATATACCTATATTATATGTATGATATAATATATGGTAATGTAAGGTAATATCAGCTAAAAAGACTAAATGACAGTGAAAACAACTGATAACTTCCTTCCTTATTGTATATAATCACTGCAAGCACATTAATGCATTCTCCTAGGAAATTTGCAGCCCTTCTGATAGATGAGGATGGATGTGCTCCTGATCAACACACTGTATGCATCCCATATCTTTAATCTTCTGTTTTAGAGTGAAGTGAAATGCATTCGTATAAAACTTAATCTACATAAACAGATGAAGAATTTGTTTGAATACTTTGAAGTCCATGTTCCTTTTTTTGACTGGTATGATGACAAAAATTCTTATTCATTTGCAAAAATTAGCTATTTTTGATGATGAATAGTTGTTATAGAGTATTTTTTGACTTGTTAAGAATATTTGTTTGTTTTCAGTGGTTTGATACATAAGTGGGACTTTGACTATACTGTTGGAACTGTTCTTGTTTCACCTGACAAGAAAAGATTAATATGGAGTGTGGGTTGGTGGAGTCTGCCTTTTTTATTTTTGTTTTTAAAATTGTCAATACATTTTACATGATTTGTGAATATTTTTTTGTCCTTTGATAGGTCAAAAATTTCCCAAGACTTTAAAAATTGATCTACATGGTAGAGTTTTGCTGTCGTCTCCAGCTTCGCCAGAGTCATCAAGTGATACTGTTGAGGGAGATCCTTTCTGCTCTGGTCCTATTACATATATTCAGGTAATTTTTTTAACTTGTTTAATTTTTGTGTGCTTGTTTAATTCTCAATAAACATTGCATAAAATTTTATTTAAGAGCAACGAAACATTGATAATTGGGGGGCTATTATTCATATATGCATGTTTTACTTAATTAGTTTCTATTGAAATAAATTGTGTTTATGGATTACATTATATGAATATATGAATATAGCCCCCACCCCCCTCCCCTCCTAAATTATCAATGTTTCGCTGCCACTGATTTTATTTCATCTAGTTGTTATTTAAGTCAACTAATAACACATTCAGTGGGATTGATATTGATCGAAAATCAGTCAGACTTAATCCAAGTGGCTCACCAAAAGTCACTGTAGGTAAGCGTAGTAAAAATTGAGTCTGCTTTAATAAAGTTGTCTAGAGAAGATATTTGCTTGAAACATCAGTTTGGATTTTTAGTCAAAGATTTGGTTTCATGTGATTACAAGATCTGGAACACTTATGGTGATGCTCGAATTGCATTTCCTCCTACTCTGTGATGGTATTGTAAGACTATTATTATATTATAATAAATTATTCACTCAAAAGTTTTAATATTAATTGTCATAAAACTGCATACATATACTAAATACACTGCTCTTAAGTCGTGACATCTCCCCCCCCCGTTTATCGCACCTTTGCCTGTGCATAATATAATTAGTGACCCCCTCTCTTTAATTATAAATTCTCTTGACGACGCAACCGCAAATGAGCGCGTCACAATTATTGGCAAAATAAATGCCGTGTGTGATAATGAACAAAAATGGCTGCAATAATAGCGAAAGAAAATGCGACAAAAAAAGATGGGAAAGACAAAAAAAACTCCGTCGATTCGATGACAATAAACTTTATTCCGGAAACACAACGTTACTCAAAGCCCACAAATATGGAGGAGTTTATTTGGACGTATTTTGAAGGCATAAATGGCATAAATCGACGAATTATTGCGGAAGAACGAAAAGTTGTTGCACAGAATCGTAACACTTGGTCTAGTTTGCCCGTTGAAGACCGCGATAAGCTATTAAACGATCGCTTTATTTCAAATGATACACGAAAGAAATACAACACGAGTGAGGATTATTGGAAAGAGAAGACTCCATGGCAAATAGACGACTCATCACAACACAAAGAACAGTTTGAAGCCATGTCAATAAATGTGAGTATGTTTGCAATAATTAATGCATATTGTGCTCAATTTTTATTGAAACTATAGGGGAATTGTTCAAGCAGATTTCGACAAGCATAAGATTACGTTCCACGTGTGTTTTTATATTTTCATTTTCCATTACTGAAAAATTTAAAGTCCTGTATACTTACGAAATACATAGAGTGAAGTGAAGGATTAAAATATGCTGTAATCACCGCTTTCTGATATTAAGTTTAAACATCATTGCAATTGTTGCACAATTTTATTTGTCTGTGTAGGAAATTATTTGTGTCCATATTTGCTTACCCTAGTTTTCAACATGAATATTTGTTTCATTTTTTTAAAGTAAAAATTTCTTTGTCCACTTAAAATTTTTTCAATCTACACGCTCGAATAAAACTTGTTCATTTATGAGCTATAGTAAACGCATAATACGTACGTAAGAGAAAACAAAACTTTGCAACGGGAGGTTTTCTTTTATGAAAAACCTGTTTTTCTAAATAAATATTATATCTGAAATTCTAACGATTTTTATTTTCTTTAGGATTCATTTTCAAGACCTTTTCAGTGGGCTACCAAGGTAAAGACTGTGTGTATTTCTAAGTAACTTTTACCTAATAGTGTCTAATTCTTACATGACTATTCATTCTTTCTCACAGAGCCAACGAAATCTTAAGTTTCCTGCCGTCAGACGTAATGTGGCAAGTCAAATTTCTAAAGTACCACCTTCGACTGAGGGCAAAGAGATTGCCATGGATGATGTGACTTTAAAAAAGATGAACAATGTTGAAGCTAGTTTGAAAGAGAAGCAAATGAAGACTGCAAATGAAAATATAGTCCCAACAAATTCAGATGACTTGAATAGCATTGAATTAAAAACTAAGGGAAAGAGCTCTCCAATTAAAAAGAATGAGAACATTGTAGTTGAAGTAGACAAAGAAGAGTTTTCATCCAGTCAGGTAAACAACTATTCACCGACAGCATTATTTATTAATGTTTAATGAAATTCTGTTCATTTTTACAGCCAAATGATAAGGGTGTTGAATTGAAAGAAGGATCCAATTTATTTGAGTTTCTTCAAAGCTGGAATCCATAATTATATCTAATTCCTAAACCTTCACATTGAAATTTGTAGAAAATATCTGCTCTTAGAACTGAACTCATCTTGATTACAAAGTTTATTTTCGATTGGGAAATATATAAAATTCTAAACGTTTCAAAAGTTTTATGCCGTGTAGTGGTTTCACTTTCACATGCTGTTTCATTTCCCCCGTCGTACCACGCGAGAAGTTACACGCGTTGAGTGTCTCTTGCGTGTCGTGAATTCAATATGGACAACGATGAACAAGCACAAGCTTACGAACAAGATGCAGAATCTAAACAGCGATATGCGAATGGTTTAGGCATAACTTCGGCTGTTTCGTCAATATACGGCGGTGCCAAGAAGATAGGTTCGTTTGTTGTTCCACAAACACCAGAATTATGGCCAAATATGGAGAAGATAGATGATATGGTACAAACAGTTACAATCGCCGGGTATTCGTTGATTTCTTTTGGGTTGATCGGTAGTGTGTACTTTGCGTTAAAAACGACTCGGGAACTTTCACAATGGAAAACATGGTTAAATTATAGGAAGTTCCGAAAGCGTTGAATGACTTGAGTGTTACAGTGTTCTAATCGGCGACTGATGAAATATTTTCAATGGTCGAATATAAAGAAATGGACGAACGTTCATAATGGCATTATGTCATACACAGAAACAAAAATTTTGTACATATAGTTTGTTGTACACTTGAACGTACTTTATTTACCATAAGTATTGTGATCGTATTTGAATTAAATAATAAAATATTAATAATTTTCTCAATATCAATTAAAACTTTTAACAGCATTTTATCTACAGAAACTAAAATATTACAATAAGTACACAGGCAAGATCGACTACATGATGACAAACCATCAATAATATTTGCAGACAAGTGCCCATAGCACCGTGCACAGCAAAAGTATACTATAAGAACATCTAAAACTAAAAGAATTAGATTTATTGTCTTCAGTTGAGAGTACATTATCATTGTCTTTATTAGAACACCCAAGCCAGTTGGGACCGATTGGCTTGGGGTAACCAGGATACATTTTATAATAATATGTATCAAACTGATAGTATTCTTTTCCTTTAAAGAAATATGTGTTGCCTTTTGGCGTGTGTAAGGCTGCATCTATATTATCTGGTAATCCAGACCAAACATCTTTGATCAGTTTAGGATAATCCTTTAACAGTTTCCGTTTTCTTTCGTCGTACTTCCAGAATTTACCTCCTTTGAAGAAATATGTTTCTCTGCTTCTTGTCAGCGACATAACAGCATCCATTTCACGAAGTTCCGCAGTTAGACCGTATTCTTCGATAAACTTTGGACCACTGATCCATCTCTTTCCTTCGTATTCATAGTAACTAGAAAAATGATAGCAAAAACGTAAACATAAAGTAATATTCACGGACGGCAGATTGTCAATCAACTGAGGCGGTTGCTATCTTTATCCTAACATTGAGCCACATTTCTTCACATTAGAAACCGAAGTTATTGGTGCTTGTACCTAAGTTATTGGTATAAAAGCATTTGTTATCTTTTCTATCATAACATATACCTACGTTATCCACATTTCTTACCTATACTTGGTGAAGAAGATTGTGTGACCATCGGGTCTTGTATAAGCAGCTCTCACTTTACTGTTTAATTCGTGCCATCTTTTACGAATAGTTCGTGGTCCTTTAGATTTCTCGCCGTTAATGTTGAATATGTAAAAATCAAATTCCTTATACGCAAAGATCTTGTTTTGTCGTGTATCGTAGAATATTGTATCAAAAGAAAATTGGCATTCTTTTCGTGGTGGAAATGGCAAAATAACAAGAGGTTCATGCTTACGTCCTTGAGATTTACCTAAAACACACAAACCATACGTTATTGGTTAAAGGATAAATATTTTGACTAATTAATGTATGCAAGCCAAGTAGGATACTAAGATTCGAGAGATCAAGTTAACATACTTGATTTTCCAAGATATTTTATGGAAATGGTTTTTTGTTGAAATGGGATTTCAGGATTAAGTACCTACCGTACAAAAATCGTATGCCACGTTTATCGTCTTTACTCAGATCAATATTTCCCATCCTGCCCGCAGTGTACCATGGGTACATTACTGCCTCGACATCATTACTGTGTTCTAGTCCCAGACTGTGTCCAAACTCGTGTGTCGTCACCCATATGAAGTTTGTGGAATCTTCTTCGGTGAGAGAAAATTTCTCGTCAAGATCAAAATGAGCATCGCCAGCGATACCTGAGAAGCATGAAATTTATAAAAATCGACAAAATGATTTGACAGTAAAGGTAGTAAAAATGGTGAAATTTAAGGCTTAAGTTGATGTAACAACTGACAAACAGAGCTTATGCTTTCTCCACATCTATGAAGTGCTTACCGAAGTTGCTACCCGGATAGAACGCATGCGCGAGTGTCCTTCCACGACCATCAAACTTGTAATCATCACCGTGTTCACCGGATGCAAATTTAATCATAATATCAGCTTCACCATCTTCCAGCTCAGTGAAAGTGAGATCAGCAACACGAGACCATTTTTGAAAGGCTGCTTTAATTGTTTTCTGTATCAACTCAGGTGATAACTTGGTGTCGCCCTCATAAGGATCATTCACGATACGATACGTCAAATCCTACAAAAACATACCGCGTAGAAAAACATTATTTATAATTTTCTACAAACACAAAACATTACACATTTCATGTAAGTTTGATGCTACACTAACATTCAAAATATTGCTTGAACATTGAAGTGTTATTTACAATCGAAGTCATTAGAAATCTCAAATAAATGGATAATGAATTCAATTCCAATTGCTGATCTCCGTTTCTTCTTCTATCCAACAAAATAAAACTCTTCGTGTCTTGATGTCACATTACCTTGTTCTTCCATTTGGTTCCTTCCGTGACATATCGACGTCGTCGTTTCTTGTGGTAATAAATGGGATCTTTCTCACCACATCTGGGAGAATTCATTAACTTTAAGGTTTCCTCGTCAAATTTGCCTGTCTGTTTTAAACCAGCAAATTCCTGGAACTTAATCAGGTTTTTAGTAATATCTCTGGCTTCTTGTGCATCACCAGTGGAAGTGGATTCTGATATGTAGCCAAACGTTTTTAAATAATTCTGTAAGATAAGAGAAACATTCGTGTAGATGTGTTTCAAGTTTGCCAACTGCAAATTAACACAAACGAGTGAGTTTTTATAACACTTAGTGTAAGAAAGTAAATGGTTTGAACCCGGGAATATCGTAACATGTTTGTGGATGAAGATCGTCCAGGTTGGTAGAGTTGTAAGGACTGTTGGTCTTGATGTAGACTGACGTTTCGACAACCCTATCTGAAGATGACTACCGCTAAGGTGGTCGAAACATCAGTCTACATCAATACCAACAGTCCTTCTCAGGACTCACCTGGACGATCTTAATCGACAAACATGTTACTTAGAGTAAGGCTAAGGTTTTTGTATCAAAAACATTCACTAAAAAAGTCGGTCCCAAAACATATCACACCTCCCAATTTCTTTATGATATGTGCGCCCTCGTTCTCTGTCTAGGTATAACAAAAGCGAGGTCGCAAAAGTTACTTCTATTACTTGATAATAATTGCGCAAAACTTGTACTGAAATATTTTTTAAAAAATTAACACCGTCATCACATTTAGTAATGCATTTAAATCAAACATAACTTGAGTACAACTTCCTGCCATTGCCCTTATCTCGCAGGATGTGAGTCAATATCATGCGGATTTTCGCAACCGGATTGTCGTGCATTTCAGAAAGTGAGACGTCAAAAAATTCAAAGTCAAAATGAAAAGGAAAAAACATGTTTCTGCTACAAGGAAAAAGGCAACTCTTATGAACTAGCAATTTCATTGAGCGATATGAGAAACCTGACGTCACTACCATCGCGAGCATGTCCGTCTCTCAAACTTGCGGTTGTCCAAACGAATTGCAAACTAATGCAAAAGCATGAAAATCATGTAATAACGCATCATTTATCCATTCACAATGACCGCAATTTCATGATGAGCACCGCGCCCAATAATGACAGAACAAGACGTTCACAGACTCAGCACACATGAGAATGATCTATTATTCAATACGGAAGAGCATGCTGGGTTAATTTGGCAGACAATAGAAAACAAATGTCGACATTGAAGGACCATGATCACCCAACTATATAACCGCTAACAGTGCTCACAGCTAGAACCTCACTAATTACGATGATATACGTGTACAGATCTGAAATTGGTAGGATATTAGATTTCTTATTTAAGACAAATAACCTTTTATGAACAGGACGAACACCTTTCAATTAAACTTCCTGGTCAATTGCTAGTGACATGTATATATCTTATGGACTAAACGGAATTAAATTACATGGAGACGCTCAAACGAATATTCCAATTATTATATTATAAAGAATAGAGCACTGAGCACTCGTATATAAAACATTAGCTAAGTCTTATGGCCTTGCTTATCCTACGTATATTGAACACTCAAATACAAAAAATATCACTATTGTTCATTAATAATTTACTAATACCATAGTACTCTGAAACACATTATTCTCGTGTTGGATATAATGGTGAATTACAACCATATAAAGACAATACGACATGATCGAAAATCATTCATTGGTGTGTTGAAGGATGTGTGGATTAGGTTACAGAAAAAATAGTATTGTTTGATGAAAACAAGTGCATTTTACATTATCGATTTAATTTGTATCTATAATAAATATAGCTGTTCATAAACAAACCCAAGCGAATCTTCTACAATGTTATGAATAACAAAAGCAAACAGCGGGGGAATAACCGTTCAATCCAATCGCTGTTGAGCAATATTTTAGTTTTAAGGCGTGTATTCATTTCTAAATAAAGAACGATTAAAAATTCATGTACGTCCCTCTTATCAAAGTGTTTGACGGCGAAGTAAAGGACCACCTGACGAAAATATCTGTGTCAGCACATGAATGTTTGAAGTCTCGATAATTTTGTTCTTCGCTTGTAGTAAATATTCGCCTATTCTTTGAGGAGAGGATAATATAGGTGTGCAAGTGATATTAGGAACGAATTAGGTTTTCTCGAGTCTTAGGTACGGGAGTCCAATGGATTTAGAACTTATATTGATAATCATGCTCCTTCCTTGCCCGGATATATAAGTTTCTATCATCTTTGTTTCGTTAGTAAATGCTCTAAAGACATGTATCATATATATATACAATGATGATATTAAGATGTATTTTCTGTTGCTTTTGTATCGTGAACACATTGGAAATTAAAAAAAATATTTGCATATACGTTGTACGTGAGAGGACAAAAGACGAGATGATAGATCCTGTTTCTATATTTCATCATGTCAAAAGGCAAACAATGCTAAATAAATATTCTTGCACACGAATATAAAGGATTGTATGTAAATATGATTTCCTTAATTTCTTAACAACAAAATTTTAGCGAAAAATTACACTCTAACACTTTATTCCCATATAGTGGGTGTTTTTCTTTTCAATACGATCATTTATCATTGAAGTTTTGCCAACTTTAGGCAACCTGCCCCCATAGCTTCCACACATACAGGATTCAAAGTTAGCACTACTAATGATGAATTACTTTGAAGTAAAACATTAGTTGAACTAAAGCAAAGGAACGATGTACGAAGTTCTACCACTGTGTCTTTCAATTGCAGACCAGATTAATTTGCTACATTCTGTGTATTATAGCATAGTACATGTCTTAAATGAACTTAAGAACTTATCAATGAGAGTTACATAGCAATACAGATCGATCGCACAAGAGCAAAATTTTCACAATATTGCGTTTAAGTAATACTTATAAAAACACTCCGTACATACAATTGCATTTCTTCCATTGATTTCACCGGTTGCTTTGCTTTCCATGAAGATGTTATCCAAAATCGTGTGGTAAAACACTGAAATCAAAACGATACGCAGAAGCATTTCTCGTAGAAGTCTGACAAGCGGTCAGTAATATTGATTTGTTATGTTGAAAATGCGAAACAATGTTTCGAGTCCATATGTCGTAAAATATCGTTTTCGTTGAAACTTGCTTGCTGCCAACCAACAAACTTTATTATTTACTTCGATAATGGTGCGTGTTGACGAATCGTGTCTTGGAAGACTATTTGGAGAGTAACTCGATACCTCTTCAAAATGAGCCGGACGCTGTCGTCTACAACATGACAGCATAAATAATTTACTTGGTCGATTTTCTGTAGTTTTAACATTTGCTCTTATGACGTCATGATGGCATCTTGATTTTAACCTATAATAACAGAAATGTAAGATAAACGAAAGCAGATTATAATTTTTAAGTTGCGGCCACCAGGCAAGCGTCAGGATGTGTTTGCATGGCAACCTTTCACTAAATTTCGAAATTCAGTTTTTGTTTAATAATTATAAGGTCTCCATTTAATAAATTCGAACTATGTGAACAACTTTTAAGTATCTTTTTTGCAAAAGGCTTTCATGATTTTCGTTTTCGGAAATAGTTTTATCAAAGAGCTGATCTCGACAATCAAAAGTCTTTTTACATGGCACGTTGCATTTTCCTTTTTCCTCTTTGTGCAATCCTCTTCATAGCTTTTTAGTGATTTTAACATCTCGTCATAATAAGCAATTATTCCTCTTATGTCTTTAAGGATTTTTACTGTTCATTTAAATATAATCCTGTGTGAAGTGAGTGACAGATGAAGGTTGGTAATGCATCTTTAAGAGATCACGTTGATCAATCTCAGCTCTCTTGTTTCGTACGAAACATGAAAAACTTTTTACCTGCACAGCGCAAGTAATTTTACACAGCAGACGGGTAAAAATGCAATTATTTTCTTTATCAGAGGGATGGTACAGAGTAAGATGGTACATAGTGAGAGAGTCTTCATGATAAATTTTATAATTTTATACATGATATTTCTTTTTTTTTTAATTAGTTATTTTCTTTAAGTAACTGATACAAATCATCATCTTCCGATTCCCTCGCTAAGGCGATAAAAGCTAGGAGAGAAGTAAATAAGTACTTTATCTTTAATTTCATATGAAAACAAATGGTGGTTTGATGTGATCAGGAGTTTTCTGTCAATCAAGTGTAGTTCTTTTATGGCACCGTGTGAATAAAAGTCAGAGCAAAGATAAGGCATATCATTGCCATGTTTTATATAAAGTATATGATCGAGGATGTTTAAGCTTGTCAATGGATGTTGAATAAGTTAAATATTCAAGTGTTTGACTTCAATGCTGTTTTCTATGATATATAATTTAGATATTAGGGCATTCGACGCATGATTATTAAGAAAAATGACAAGAGAATATAATCAGTTTAATGACAGTCCTCAGCGACTTAATCTTAACCAAACACGATCGGTCTGTATGATCATCCGGCTGTCTAGAGTATTACTCAGAAACAATGCATTTTCTTGCCAAATGAAGCCAAACAATAATTTCACTGTGTGAGAAAAGTATTAAACACACAGTATTTTCACATACCCGCCAACGTATGTTGTAGACTCTAAAAGGTTGTGACTTTAGTAGACCATTATTAACGCAGCCAAGTGAAGTTATTCAGGTGTGAGAAGAGACCAACATAACGACCCCCACTTTTGGCAGACTATCGCCAATTGTGTTTACGCTCTTGTATGTGAATACCTTCGCTTGAAATCATTTACTTGATTTCTTTTTAGGAATCCTTATATTTTTTTCATAAGTTTGCCAAATCATTTATCCATCAGTAAAAATGGACCTACAAATGCATTTCAAATTTGGGCATCTGTTCTAATATTAGAAGTTCTTGGAGTAAAGACAATGAAGTTTAAGACCTATGTCAAAGTGCTTAAGACCGTATATATAATTACATCTGTAGGCTGAAGCTGATCCTCAAATTTTTTTCAATTCAATGCATTATACGATCAAAAATATACTTTGGTATAATATAACATCAAAACAATTTTATTTCATGTAAAATTCATACGTCAAAATAATACTTAGACAAGATTCATAATCAAAACAATACCTAAGGGAAACTATGTAGCCATATTAACAGTCTAGCTAAAATATATCATCAAAACAAAAGTTAAAATAATTCATCAAACAATATTTAGATAAGAAAATATAGCCAAAAAAACATCGTAAAAATATATTGGCAAAATAATACACTGGTTGTAAAACTGAACAATTGCTCGAATTGGTATTTCATATAAAAGTATAAGTACACACTTCCACTTTCTGTTACTGCTACTTTACTATAATATGTTTTAACTTATAGTAAAATAATACATTATCTTTAATTCCTTAAGTAATTTTGTTTAACCATGTTGAAATGTCCTACAATCGTCACTCATATACAATTGTTACATCTACATTTGGAGCTCCTTTCATAAACTCTTCCCTGGATAGGAAGAATCTAGACAGCTTACGGTCTTACGTAACCAAAGCCGAGAATCAGTGTGTCTTGGAATAGACTTAGTGTTGGTACTATCGAAAGAAAACTGCTAATCAGCTACTCCAAAATGAAAATTGGAAAGTAAAGTAAAGTGGATTGCAGCGAAAAGTGTTAATGACATGTTAAAACTGTGGATCAGAAAAAAATCCCAAATGAACTGTGGGAGAGTGTCAACACTGCCTTGGGGAAATTGTCACCTGATAAATGAAAAATCTCGATAGATAGCATGGCGAGAGGGAGATCTACTAAATACTAAACTCACATTACACACTCCTGTATTTGGTCATAAAGATAATTTTTGACCATCAGTGAAGTTAATTATCAACAGAATTATTTTGATATAAGTCGGAAGCTTGCTCGTTGTGACGTATGTCAGTGCAATTTCAACATCTTGACGGAAAAAGAGACAAACAGTAGTTTTGCCGGCAAAAATTTGAATTTAAAACGTTCAAAGAATGTTAGCTATGTTGTAGTAGTCAGCCAAATGTACACCACCATTGAATTGTCTTAATGGTCTAATTTGTGGTCAAAATTATATTTTAAATTATGTAATCTATCAGACGGCAGCATGAAAAATTCAACTCAGCAGGTTATAATAGGTACTCATTGCATGCAAACGTGGCGATCAAGAAACTGCAAAGAAGATATCAGCCACTGGGCGTCTACCTACCACATACCATTCCACCGCTGTTTGTGATACAGTGTTGATGTTTTAAATTTTAAAGGCTACTTTGAATCTGGGTTTGATATTCATGTTGATTTTTTCAGGTGAAGTTGAACCCCAAGATATGCCATTCAATGGAGGATTTCCTACATTCATCTCCTTACCTCATAAATACGTCTATACGGTCATACGTGTCGGGTTTTATTTTTAGAACTTTCGAGAATTTGATGGAAATCTACAAGGGTGGTTATTCTACGTGCAAGGCTATGACATCGCGTAAACGACATCTTGCTAGATATTTTGACGTAAATAATGTTTATAGAAGTAAGGGATCGTCTATTGAGAGGATTTGGTAAATACTTAAATTAGCTAATAATAATTTATCATTTTAAACATTATTACTTGATAGAAATGGCTAATTATCACTGTTTGTTATTGTGTAGCCCGAATTTGGGGTAGCTAGCCTTATATTTTCGTTTCTTATGACGTACTTCCGTAATACGTGTCAACCGTCGTGTCAGTGTCAATGTCAACAGACTCAGCTTGATATCATCCTGTTTTGATGTTCTCTATATAGTTTTTTTCATGTTTATAAATTACGGAGAAGTATTAAGCAATCCAAATTTCGAAATGGACATCAAATTCAATCGATTCTCGGCAAAACTTTTCGAAATTCCCTTAGATCATGGGCAGTAGGTTGTTTGAATTGTGTATACTTGCTTCCGTTAGATGCATGTGACCTCGTCCAACCTTTTCCTAACTGAATGATGTTGTCTGTACATATGTTGTATTTTGCTTTTGGTTCGTCGCCAGATTGTCTTTCGAAACCTTGAACAATGGACAAACCTATTACAGTTTCTAATGCCAAAAAAAAACATGGGTTTATTTTAAAAGTTTACCATAAAAGGCAAAAATTCTTCGCCGAAATTCGGTCACGAAAACTAGTCTCTCACATGACTTGGGTTAGAAATTGAAATTGAATGGAATCAAAATACTTGCGGAATTAAGACTGTGAATACAACGCTACAATCAAATAAATGTTATCATAAGCTGTCTAAACCAAACGACTAAAGTATCCCCTTTTTTTTATAAAGCCATACATGACTTCCCAATTTTCATGTTTATTCTTGGTAATGCTATTGCACTAAAAACTTTCTTTATTTTCATCACATTTTTGTTGGTTCCTTGAAAGTAATTTTAAACATTATTGCAAATGTCGGTCAGCATTAATTATATCTCTTTTATTGCAACACAAAGCTCTTTTTGAGGAAAACGGTCGAGTGAAGCTACAAACAAACGTATAGCGCGTCATAACCTGCGGAAGAACAATACTAGCCATCGACAATACCCGTCCTTTTTGACGTACACTGAAATTATATGTTAATTTAACAAAGACAAATTACGGAGGTTGATAGACATGCTGTCAGACGGAAGTGGTACCACCTTGACCTCGATTGTGCTATATAAAGGTGAATCATTCCCCTCAATGATACCATAACACAATCGCTACAATATCGGCTACAAGCTTGTCAACCGTCGAAAATCAGCCTATTTGTTAGAACAAGACAAGTAAGTATTTGGTGTATTGCCTCGATGACATGAATTAAGTGAAGTGTAAATATTTTAGTTTTGCTTTCATCTAAGTTATGCTGCAAATAAAATGCACTTAAAAATGAGTATAGTGCATACAAATTTTTGGTGAAGATTTCTGCTGCTTCCGCAATATCTCAGCTAACTAAAGTTGACCTGTAAACTTTATTCCTTCTATGGGAATATTTGAAAGGTTCGATATATCAGTTCAAGTCGAGCCTTACTTTGAGGCAAAAGGGTTAGCTGTTAAAATTTTTAGAGAGAATTATCTCGACATTGCTTAAAATATCAAAATGTCCAATTAAGACAGAAGTATCACCATTTTTGTATAATTTTGTTAAATATGTAACATCAAAATTAGCTACTCGTATGTAATTATTTAATGGTAAGGTTGCAAGTATGTGATCAATAAGCGTTCAGTTTATTCATAAATAATTCTAACAAGTCGCTTTCTTTAATAGTTCAAAACTATCGGAAATCGTTAACGGCATCCTAGAGGAAAATATTCATTGTCTTCATGTCCAGTTCACAGCAAATCTGTCGAGTTATTCTCGGCTCACTGTTCATTTTAACTACACTGGAATCTGTTTGTTTGTTACCGGCTTCATCAGGAGTCGGTGGAAAGGCACAAAATGATGTCTTGGTAAGAAATGACGCTTTCATACAAATATTTTTAATTTTATGAAAATATCATCTGAGAACTGTTTCTGCAATTTTATCTATTTGATCTTAAAATCTCCCAGAATTGTTTTGCAAGTAGGCAAATATTTAAAACCACGAAACCACAAAGCTGACTTGTTATATTGAATTCATATCCGCCAAAATACGAAAGTTCCGTTTTGATGGGAAATATAACTTATCCTAAGATGCTTTTGTTTTTGGCGTTAGTTTTGACAAAATGAAAATTGAAAAGTGATTGCAACATTTATGCCATTATTTTCACCTGCATTTATGAATACATATAATAAGCCTATCCCAATTTTTTTTATGCTATTTTTATTCTTCTTGGTTTGATTTTGTGCGTATTTCCTCCATACGGAATTAAGGTTCCCCGCGTTGGCACAATAGCAAATTTTTAACCATGTTTACCACAAAAGATCTTGCAAAACACAAGGACCTGACCGCTACGCTGGCAAAATAACAGGATATTTAAACTTGTAACTTATTAATAAATACTAATTAAACCTTTTTCATCTGCATCTGTTGATTTCGACTTTAAAAGTTTGGAGAAAGTAACAAAAATAGTTATTTGATCAAGCGTTTAGATGGTTGATACAAAACCTTCAGCCTGAAATTGATATATCTATGTATTGTTATGGATAACCAGTGTCATTCTAGGGATAACCACCAATTTCATGCTAAAGATGACTATTTCCATTTTTAGAGTTTCATGATGAGGTATGGGTATCTGGAACCGAAGAGCCCGATTTTAGGGGAATTTCGTACTGAAGCAGAAATGATACGTGGTATCAAGCAGATGCAGGAGTTTGCAGGTCTTAAAGGCACCGGCGTTATAGACGAAGAGACTGTAAAGTTGATCAGCACTCCTCGATGTAGTTTACCTGACGTTGGACCGGGTGACAGAATGAGACGGAGAAAGAGATATGCTCTTCATGATACAATATGGCGTAAAACTGTAAGATATCTTTTAATGATTTGTATGCGATTTTTTTTATTGTAAAGTGAGCTGTTTTTCAACACAATACAAATTTATAACGAAAATGAATTTTTTTTTGCAGGATTTGACATACAAAGTGACGAACAAACCCAAGACGGAGCTCTCTATGGATGAGGTCCTCGCTACCGTACGTAAGGCCTTCGATCTGTGGTCAGCTGTTTCACCACTTAAGTTTACAGACTTATCCTCGCCTCATGCCAACCGTGAAGTTGATATCGAGATGAGTTTTGAAAAAGACAGTCATGGTGACGGTTATCCGTTTGATGGCCGAGGTGACAGGATCGCACATGCCTTTTATCCTCTAAATAACAAAGGTAAGTCTTCTAACCAACAATGGATATTTCTTTTATGAGGAATTATACGATAGTCTGTTAATCTCCTCGATAGGTACAGATGGTGACGTACATTTCGATGATGACGAACATTGGACTCTAAACAAACCTGGCGATGAGAGCACAGATTTCTTTTGGACAGCAGTACACGAGATCGGTCATGCCCTTGGTATTCAACATTCGTGGTATCGATCGGCCATTATGTATCCTTACTACACTGGTTTCAAACCAAATTTGAAACTGAGTGAAGATGACGTCATGGCCATACAGGCCAAATATGGTATGAATATAAGTTTTAAATCAAACGTGATTTCCGTAAAATAAATTATTTGAACTTTTTTATTTGCTTTCGCTTGTAGGAAGAAAACCGACAACCCCGTCCACGCTTCCTTCTTCGTCCAAATCCTCTGGTCCCAGTCCTTGCGACAAAACATTCAACGCGGTCGTTCACAGTGGTGATGGAAACACCTATTTCTTCAGAAATCATATCTTTTGGACGCTTGACAAATTCAACAGATCTCTTGGCGGAGGAAGGAATATTGTCGATTTTTGGCCAAATCTTCGTCGACGAGTACATGCTGCGTATACTCGAAGAGACGGCAAGACTGTGTTCTTTAAGGGGAAAAGGTAGGAGAAGTCTTGTTTTTATCAATTCTGATTTCAGTGTTAGTAATAAAAGGATTTCAAATACTATGATTTGATTCATTTTCTTTTTGTGTGACAATCAAGCTCGTCTCGTGTTTTCTGTCATTTATATTACGTGTTAGTTTCAAATTTTCTGATTTTTTGTTTCAGATTTTGGGTGTATGAAGGCATGAAACATGTAGAAGGGCCAAAAGATATTAAAGAATATGGTCTTCCCATTCATTTGAAACGAATTGATGCTGCCTTTACATGGGGTGCAAATGGACATACATATTTCTTCAAGGGCCACAGATATTGGCGATATAACGAGAAAATGAAGAGAATAGATCCTGGTTATCCTAGAGATATATCTAAATCTTGGGGATCTGTGTCCTACCCAGTGGACGCTGCGATGACGGGGGGTGATGGGAACACGTACTTTTTTAAAGGAGAACAATTTCAAAAATTTGACCTCAGAAAATACAGTCTTTCCGAACCACAGAAGACTGGTGACTATTTCTTCAGGTGTAACGATGTTGAAACACTTCCAACAACAGGACCGTACGTCGAAGATGTACTCAAAACGAACAATGATGATGATGTTAATAGTGGCAATGATGTTTATAATGATGGCAACACTGGTGTGAGAACAACATTAGGTCTGCCTCTAATTTTATTGGTAACAATTTCGGTTTCATTCTTTAATCTTTGATGAAGAATTCTACTGAATCAGTGGAGTTATATTGTAGGCAAAGCCGTACCTAAACCACTACAAATAAATTTTTGATGATGTGAACGTGAACAATTATGTTGTAAATATGATTTACTGTACATTTCTGTCATTATAAATTATGAAAAATTGAACAACAAGTATTATTTATTAGTAATATTTATGTCAGGTGTGTAAATATGTATTTAAGTATTTATTTTTTCATTAAAAGAAAGATAGCAGCTAATACTTATAAAGGTGTAATTATGTGTGACTTGAAAAATCAATAGGAACACAGTACGTAGAAAAATATGGGGAAAATAATCAATACATACAAACGTACGAAAATCTTTGATCTTTTGAGCCTGGTTCACACTTGTGAAGTAATTTCCGACATGTTTTAGTTTTGCAATTTTAATTTCTGACACTATTTTTCTCCTTAGAAATCTATTTAAAACCAAATTTATGTGTTGGCGACGCCACTGGTATTACAAAGAGAATATTTATTCTTATTTGCTTGAATAAAAGGAAAACAGGAGAAGTGTTTTAAAACTGTACTGGATAAATAATTTAGGAATATTCAGCCGTATGTAATTTCAGAATATGTGATTTCAGCCGTATGTGATTTCTGTAATTGTCAGAATTTTTGAAGGGGTTCTGCGAAAGACATAAATTTTTCATCTTGATACTCTTCCTGTCTTTCTTTCGCGTTATCGCCCTAAAGGAAAAAATAATTTGAAAGGAAACAACAGTAAAAAGATAAAGAGTTTATTATTCACTAAGGAGCGATTGCACACACCTTTATTTTATTGAGTTGGCGAAATTTTATTTTTTATATCTTTCCATTCGATAAAAAAAGTGTAAACTCATGTAAAATTTTAATTTTAAATTTTGTGATCATGTGTTAAAATTTCCGGTACTTTTGACATAATTAAGTACATAACTTCCGTTAGGCTTATTTTGCAAATGGAATAAGCAGGGTCATATGGGGTGTGTAGGTATTTCGTCTTTAGTCCACGCAAATATCCTTCAATGTAGCTACAACACTGGGCTTAATTCAACATACCGCTGTCAAGCATAACACACATTTGTTATTATCGTTAAACTACAATGCCGAATGCATTATTTTGTGTGTATAAAGTCACACTTTGTTGTGTATTGTTTGCTATAACTAAATGTGGCCCTCTTCGTGATCGAAGGAACATTGGCAAAAGCAAGGTCGATCATTTTGTGAGTAAATATTTCATGATTGCAATGTGTCGAATTGTTGTGACGTTTACTTTGTTTTACAATACGTAAAATTAGTTTGAATAAACTATTCCTATTTATAAGAATAACGTTGCAGTTCAATTCTGTTAGTGAAAGCTCGTATTAACTAAGTACAAGTTCCAGATCTACGAGCATATCATCAAGACTTTAGCACTTATATCTCTGCCTTAAATGTGTGACAAATATTGTTCTTCTATGTGCGAAAATATTTTTCGCACATAGAACGCATAACATCCAACGAGTCAAAGGCCAACATCAATGATAACTTTGGTGTTTATTGTAACGTGATTAAACGTCATTTATTTGTGACATTTGACATTTGAGAGGGGAATTATGGAAAGTGCATTTATAGATTGTGCGGGTTTCTTTCGAAGCAATCGTTCCGCCAAGATGATTACAGCCAACCCCTTTGACTGTATTGTTCAAACTGGAAGCATATCTGAGTCTCTAAAATTGCTAATTCTAATGAAGGAAGAAAAATGAAAATTTTTGGAAAACCATGTAGTATGTCATTGGATTACGAGGATAGACTATTTATGATAGGTCTCAGGCTTATGCGAAAATCATATGCTGTAATATAACTTGTATATGTTAGCACTTAGGAACACAGTTTCAAACTTTTTCAAAGCTACATTATAGTTTTATTTTTTCACTTCCCTTTAATATCTTCACTTCTACACCCTTATAAACTGTGGCTACACCGGTTAAAGCGTCTGTATAGCTTTCCATCTCATCCGTAATTTTAACTAGCTTGCATGGGCTGGCTGCAATGAAATTGTTGACATTGAATATCTTTCTCAGTCAATTTGATGTTGGAAAAATGTTGATGATGGTGTTTTCTGCACTTCGCAGCGTTACCTAACAGATAAAGGTTATCTACGTAGACCTGACTCGCGAGCCGCTTTTTCGCGCACGGGAAAAGTGATGAAGAATGCCATAAAAATGTTTCAAGCATTTGCTGGCATTCCAGAAACTGGAGAAGTTGATAATAAAACAATTGAAATGATGTTGATGCCGAGGTGTGGAATGCCAGACTTTAAAGAATCCAATAACACAAAAAAGCGACGAAAAAGATATTCTATACAAGGAAGCAAATGGCGCAAAAAAGTGAGTTGCGGATAGCCGTTGCACATACGCGGCTAGCCACTGTGTTTTAAACAGTTCTTGCCTGTAATTCTTCATTTTATTTGTGTAGTAATAAGAGAAGCTCTGTTTCTTCATACATCATGCGTTCTCTTGCTGTAGGAACTGACTTACATGATTGTGGAGGATGGACCATCAAATGCAATCTCTATACGTGAAGTAGAAGAACAAGTGATTAAAGCTTTTCAAAAATGGGAGAACGTATCCACTTTGAAATTCACGAAGGACAAAGATCCAAATTCAGATATCATTGTGAAGTTCCGATCCGGAGAGCATGGTGATGGTTATCCATTTGATGGACCTGGTGGCACTCTGGCTCATGGATTTTACCCACTAAACAACGAAGGTTTTGCTGGTGATGTTCACTTTGATGATGACGAAACTTGGATTCTGAAAGAGGAAGAAACGGGAACAGACTTTTTTTGGACCGCGTTACACGAAATTGGACATGCTTTGGGTCTTGAACATTCAAGGTCAAGAAATGCAATCATGTATCCATTTTATACTGGTTTTAAAGAAAACCTGGAGTTAGACGCCGATGACATTGAAGGAATTCAGTTTCTTTATGGTAAGTACACCAAGCACGTGACGATGCTTTTACTGCTTTTTGCGCATGCTTAATGTTAATGTTAATGATGCTAGGGAAACGTCGAAAATAAATGTTACTTGAGAAACAATTTCATTCAAACTTTCATTGTTTTCTAGGAGTACCTAAAATCAAAGTAGAAACGGTCGCTCCAACGGAGCCTAGGACCACCATATCTACTGGTGTACCAAACGTATGCACAATAGAGAAATTTGATGCTGTCTTTGCCAACAACGAGAAATATGTATACTTTTTTTCTGGTAAGTATTTCTGGATATCACCGGAGTCTGGTGGACATGTTGAACCGATCGCCATCAAAGATGACTGGAAAGAATTACCTGAAGATGGAATTGATGCAGCATACTATTCTAATGAAAAAACGACTTTTTTCAAGAACAATTTGTAAGTGTTCAATGAGTTTACTTTCGTGAAGGTGATCAGAAAATACGAAAACGTAGAGGAACTAGAAGTAAAATAAGGAAATCGTTTCTCGATCAAAACATTGTAATGTTTATTAAATATTCTTTTCTTTTGCCTCAAGTTTGTGTCGGAGCCACAGCTCAGTCTTACAGTCAACAGGATATAATCAAAAATTTCGATTTGTTGTAAAAAATAATCGAAATGTATAAATACAGCAAAAGGGATTTCGTCATTCCTTTCTGTGTTCTGATTGGTTAAAATCTAAAACAATCTGTTACATGAATTTATCCACTCTTCACCAGAGGATTTGACCTGTTTTTCTATAATATGACATACAAGACTCGTGACGTTTTATTGCCTGACTCATTCGTGATGTTTGTTGCTTCATTACAGATGTTGGATATACAACGGTACTAAACTTCTTGCTGGTCCAATTGATATTTCGAAGCAGTACAGAAATTTGGGGACGAACGTGCAAAGTATTGATGCTGCTTTTGTTTGGAGAGCAAACGGGATGACGTATCTTTTCTCTGGTGATAATTACTGGCGTTATAACGAAGCTTTTGATACCATTGACTTGGGATATCCCATCAAGATCAATGTTTCATGGGTTGGTGTTCCAAATGAACTAGATTCAGCTCTAACATTGACAAATGGAAGTACTTATTTCTTTAAAGGAAGGGGATTTTGGGAATTTGATAATCTGAAAATGAGAACTATAGACGAAAAACCTTCAACAATCAACGATTCTTGGATCAAATGTTCATTGGATAAAAATGCACATTCTGGCTTTTCATATATTTCACCACATCGCGTTTTAATCCTTTGGATGATAAATACCATAGTTTTGCTACTTCATGTATTTTGAAGTGTTCATAACGTTAAATTATAGCTGCTCTACTCAGTTTAAAACACTACTATTCGAGCCAGCTGCTTTCAAAGTGTTTTGAAATGTAAATATGACTGAGAATGAGTCGTTTAAATTATTTTTTTAAGGCTGGATCCGCGACTGTTTTCTTTGTCTATTGTCATCTCGTTATCACAACGTCCAACGTTTTAATCTGGTCCTTTTAATAATAATTAATATGTTAATATCAATGATTCTCTTGTGTAAATAGTATAATCACCAACTAAACAATGATTTTATTTATTTTCACAGTTAGTAATTAATGAGGATAATAAATGTAACAAACAATACGAGTTTTCTTGTCTCTATAACTTGTTTTAGTTTCCAACTCAACTTTATAAATCATCGAATTCGTACCTAGTCTCTGGCAAAAAAATGTGTTCCTCTGGTGTATGAAAACGAGTAGTGTCGGTGACTATACTACATCCAAAATGGCCACAATACTTTATTCGACGTGGCAAAACGAAGGGGAAATCTTAAATTATTGAACTAATGGTTTGTTTCCCTCGTCATGGGTCTTTGTAAATGTCCGAAGAAGAAAGTAACCAATCTGTTTTGCTTTGAACATCGAGTTAACGTTTGCGAATATTGTCTTGTTACCGACCATACTCGGGTGAGTAACTTATGTTTGTTATTAATGGCTGAGCGATGAACTTCTTTCATGTTTATTGAACCATCAATCATTTTCCTACGAATGTGTTTTTCTTTAGTGTATAGTGAAGTCTTATCTTCATTGGTTACAAGATAGTGATTATAATCCAATATGTACTTTGTGTAATGGCGATCTGTCAGTGGGAGAAACAGTGAGATTGACCTGCTATGGTAGGAAAAAGTCGAACATTTACTGTTCATAATTTTGCTTGAAACAATTTTCCATTTTTTTCATATGTATATAGATGTCTTTCATTGGGAGTGTCTCAATAACTTTGCTTTAAGTTTACCTTCAAATACTGCTCCAGCTGGATATACTTGCCCAAATTGTAAGGTTCGTTGATCATCTCAATTACAAAATGTAATATTTAATTTAGCAGGAAATAAAACAATATCCTGTTCTCTGTAGGCATGCATTTTTCCCCCAAATAATCTTGTCTCACCTGTTGCTGAAGCATTGAAGATGAAACTAATTAATGCCAGTTGGGCTAAAACTGGTCTTGGAATACCTGTGGTGAGTAAATGACGACCTGATGATTAATCTTTGAAGCATTAGCTTGTTGGTAAGGGTTACTTATGGGTTGGTTGGAACCCAGTGTACAGGAAGGGAAATCAACTGGTTTGTAAGGACTTAAAGGAGTAAGTTGGAGATACTAGGGAATTGCCAGAGAATGTCAGGCAGTTGTCAAGGGGCATTGGGTAATTGGTCTAGTTTCTAAATAAATCATAATAAAGCATGTGTTTTTGTTTCTCTAGGCTCCTACTATACAAGATGAGATTGCTGTGCAAAACATTGTCAACCACAGAGGTTTATATTCAGTTTTGAAATAAGGTTCTTTCATAATTTATAAATATTTCATCATCTTCAATTTTAGGTTTAAATGAACGAGAAAAAGATACAATAGCAACAAAGAAAGAAATGACAATGACAATGACATCAACACCAATGTATGAAAGAGAGGCTCCAACCCCTGTATTTACACCTCAGCAACATATTGTTGACATTCGATCAGACACAAAGAAAAATGATGAGCTGTGTGTTTCACCACAGCCCACCTATGCTGGAACTGAAAAACATCCTTCAGGTAGTTGCCATAATTATCATTCATGGTTGTGAGTTTAACAATTATCCTCAGCTCATATAAAATATTGCTATCCATAGGTACTGTATCAAGAAAGATTTTTGACGCTCGTGAGCCAGATTTTAAAATCTCAAACACAAAAGATCACGATGATGACAAATACAAAAGACGAAGTGCTGTCCAATGGCTCACGCTGTGGTTTGGGTAAGAATTTTCATTCATTTATGTATAAAGCTATGATAATCAAGGTGCAACGTTTACACAGCAAAAACGTCATCTGCGATAAAATATGCGGCTGACTGTTTTTATGTTGAGTGACGTAGTACACTGACGTCAGCGAAACAAAATTTGCATGTGATATTTGAGATTGTTAGTTTTCAACCATTGATGATACGTAGTGTTTGTTGGCGCTAAAAATTGTTGCCAATGGCGTTACGCAACACTTAGCTGAGGTCTTTATCGTTCGTAGATTACGAAATCAAAGTCGAGCTGTTAAAGAAGATTCTAACAGTCCGTTAAAAAGAATTACAATTCTTGTTTTCTTATGCATTTTTGTTGCCATTACGCTGATTGTTATGATGACTAGAGCAAGGAGAAATTTGGTTAATAATGATCCCTTATTGGATCCTTTAGCGAACCCAAATATTCGTATTAAAAATAGTTGAATCAATTCGAGTTATGAAAAATTTACTTCGATATAAGCGGATTTTCTGGGGTTGCAAGAGCTGCTTCTCCTTTGATTTATGTTTTTTAACATCACTAAACATATAGTTTACCCCTCAAAAAAAATTCAATGCAACCCTCACTATGTATAGCCATACATAAAAAGTCTTGCTGAACTGAAGAGTTTTTTTGTTTATACTTTCTTCGCTACCTAAAGAGATTTACGTAACTGCTATAGAATCCTCTCTTTGGTTCTATAGTGTTTTATGTTACGTCATTTTCTTATGACTTCACTCTATCAAACTTCATGACATTACCCCGGCAAGAAAATATGAAAATCCGTTTATACTTGTTGTAATGTTGGTATCATTTACTACATTGTACTGAATCTTAAACCTCGACGTCAACAACAGCGGGAATAGCAAATGCCAACTGCATATTAACTTCATCTTGCAAACTATGTTTACAGCACGCCGATAAGAATCTCATTTCATTTAACATGTGATTTATTTTATAGTAAAATAAACATTAGAATTGTTTTGAAAGGTTTTATCTATCTACTGTTTAGCTTAATGCCATCTAAATGTATTCACATATCGGCTATGTCGTCGTTTTGCTTGCGATTTGTTCTCGGAAACTTCGCGTAGAAGCCTAAAACGAAATTCACGAAAGCCTTCAACATGTGTAAATATTTTTGTCTGGTGTGACTTAATACACCGTATTCCTTCTTAGTGGCGTTATTAATAATATATACAAGTAATTTCTTGTATGGTGATATTGTGTTGTACATTGCGGTGTTTTACTGGTAATTTTTTATGGTGATCTTGTGTTGTGCATTGCGGTGTTTTGATGGTAATTTATTGTATGGTGATATTGTGTTGTACATTGCGGTGTTTTACTGGTAATTTTTTATGGTGATCTTGTGTTGTGCATTGCGGTGTTTTGATGGTAATTTATTGTATGGTGAACTTGTGTTGTACATTGTGGTGTTTTGATGGTAATTTTATGGTGATCTTGTGTTGTACATTGTGGTGTTTTGATGGTAATTTATTGTATGTTGAACTTGTGTTGTACATTGTGGTGTTTTGCTGGTAATCGAATCTTAATTTTGCATAAAAATGCAGTTCGCATGACTGTGTTAGAAGTTGGTGATTAAAACTGCTTGGTCACTTTAATGTGGCATTATCATTTATATTGTGTCTACCAGACCATACAGCAAGTTGTTGCTGGGCTTACCCTCGCCATGCAGAATGTTTAGTTTACCCTCATCATCCGGGTAGTTATTGTTAGGTTTACCCATATACTCGTTACCTTTTTAATAATTTGATTGTTTTCATTCGATCGCGTAATTCTCTTTTCTGTATCGAATCATTGCAAGGTCTAGTGATATTCTTATGATGAATAAAACCGAATTCCAAACTAGAATAAAGCGAATTTCAATTAAGCAAACATTTGTAAAATAACGTTTCAATAAGGAATAACTGTTACCAAGTGACACAGCTGATATATGCTTTGCGACACATTTCATAGCTAAACAGTTATAGATAAAGGCTAGGATGGCCAATTGAAACGAAATCCAATTACACATCTTAAAAATCAACGAAAAGATATTTGTTAGCAAATCACATTCTTCAAAAATATAATCATATTTTGTTTTCTTGTATTAATACCAGTATTGTGAAGGTGAACTTTTGTGTGGTATATTCTGGCATTTCTAGTACTAAATACGCGACGAAGTCGTTAAGTAGAGCAACTGATAAGAACATTCCCAATGACAGTGATATCGCTAGATAGACTTCTTTCTTTTTGACATGAAGTTTACTACAACGAAACTGCAAAATAGAAAATCAAAATGCATTGCTATAAAAAGATGGCACCTAACTGCGGTGGTTGCTTAAACCATAAATTTTACGAGTTTCTTTTTCCCAATGCATTTCACAACAATGTGTAAATATATGTTTGTAAATGATGATCGTCCAGGTTAATAAAGTCCTGAGAAGGACTGTTTTTGTTGTTGTTCAAAGATTTCATCATTTGACTCTGAGGATGACTACCGCTGAGGTTGTCGAAACGTCAGTCAACAACAACAAAAACAGTCCTTCTCAGGACTTTATTAACCTGGACGATCATCGTTTACAAACATGTAACGATACTCTCGGGTTCAAACCATTTACTTTGTTTGTTAATTTTGATGGTACGGCCTTTGGTTGTTAAAAACTGTACGATACCCGTCTCATATTCCTTACCATGGATCTGCAGGTGGTGTTCTGGCTGTATTCTAGTACATCCCGATAGAAATATCGTTTTTTCTTCATACACACTACTTTAAAGTTCGATTGCAGAAGTTGCGAGCCTGTATTATGACGTCATTAATTACGTAAAATCGAACACTTCGAATATTTGCGTAATGAAGAAAACAGGAGAAACCCTCGTCCTATTTCACGCGATCATTTTTTTTAATAAGTCCAAAAATGAAAATTTCTATGTACAAATATCTACAAATGTACGTCAACTGGAGAATGCGACCATCTGCAAGTCAACAGTTTCTTACAAATTTATTTATTTTGCGCCCTTTTCTTACTCGGAATAAACTATTACTAAACTTATCGATATCGTTGCCTCGCAAGAAGAATGTTTTGCTGTTTTTCCAGCTAAAAGCGGCGTCTACAGGACTACGAACATCACGCCAGACAGAAGTTCGCTTAGGATAGCCTTTATCAATAACTTTGTTCTTTTCGTTATATCTCCAATATTTTTTACCACGGAAGAAATAAACTCTGTTGTTGCCATCCCACACCATTGCTGCACCAATTCGACGAAGTCGTACGTTTCTGGCGTTCTTTATAAATCGTTGAATATCTAAAGGACCTTGAAGTTTTCGGAAGTTCTTGTTATAGATCCAAAACCTTAAAATGCAAAATGGGATATTGTTGTCGTTTATCCTTTTTACATAATTACTTCCTCTGTGTACCGTACTCACTGATTATATCTGAAGAAAACTAATGAACCATCACTACGTGCATAAGCTGCATCTATATTTCCTGCTAAACCACGAAATACAGATGAGATTCTCTCGCGTTGTCCTGCGCGTTTTGCATCATCCATTCTCCATAAATATGCACCCAAAAACAAATATGTTGTACAACTTTCTTTGTGGTAGACGACTGCGTCGAGTCGGCTGTTGTAACATACAGAGGAAACCACAGGCTTAAATTTTCCGTTTGTTGAACATGAAGTTGCTTGTACACGAGTTCCTAAATGATAATATATGATAAATGATTGCATCTCATAAGACCGTGCAATTAATTTTATTTTTCTTTCCTCAAAAGTTCTTTCCATCTAAAATGAAAATTTAATTCGCTTCTCACCATAAATGCTTTGAATGCCATTGATGTCATCCTGCTTGAGTTTTACATTCGCTCTGTATCCTTCAAACCATGGCCACATAATGGCGTCCCGTCTTTCTGAGTGCTCTAGACCAATGGCATGTCCAATCTCGTGTAAGGAAGTCCACATAAAGTCAGTGGTCCCTTGCTGACCATTTAAGGACCATATCTCGTCGTCATCAAAATGAATGTCACCTGACAAACCTTAAATGCAGAGAAACGTTGAGTGTTGATCTTACGATCTTGGTTTTCGCTAAGTGGATTTTTCTTTGAGTAGATAAAAAGCAGCCTCAACCAGTTAGACGGAGGCCAGATTTTACTTCCTTAGCAAAGGTGGTAGGTAGAAGATATTACTGACAAGATTGTCGGATTTCAATCATTTATAAATAATCAAACATCGTGCAAATTACCTGTGTTAGTTATTCCAGGATAGAAAGCGTGAGCAAGTGTTCCTCCTTCACCATCAAATAAATATGGATCGCCGTGGTATCTTTTACCAAACTTTACAATAATGTCAACATTTAGGTTCTTGTTTGCCAATCTTCTGAAATTTAACTGAGATGCCGACTGCCACATATTAAATGCTCTTACCAAAGTTCTTTCTACGTCTCTTTTTGACATCCTTATGCTGCTTGACGGATAGTTTTGTAAACTCCAAGTTATGGTCTGTGAAAGTTAAACTCATGATTTAAATCTTTAAAATAATACTGTGAAGTTTTAACAACCTCTTTTTACCCTCTTTTTCCAAGAAGATCCTTGTTTTACGTAGCGCTTCTTTCTGCGCATGTCTCTAAAGGAGGACACTTGTATCGCTCTAGCGGCCATACCAACAACATTACCACTGTTAGACCCTCTAGGGGTGAAGTCTTGTGAACCACATCGAGGTCCAGTCAGTTTTTTTCTGGTTGCTCTGTCCATTATTCCTGTTACGGGAAGTTTTGCATAACGCTGGAATTTACGTATTGCGTTATCAGCCGAATGAGCGTGAGAGATTTGGCCCGCCATGGATTCAATGTAGCCATAGCGTTGTAGGTATAAAAATGGCTAGAAAAAAGATAATATAATTTATTTTAGGATAAGACAAGAGTCACTTCCGGTGAAATAGCGCGCTTAGAAACATTTTTTGCAGTTCATTACTTTGGAAGTTTTCCGTAGGTGTGAAAAGTGCTAAATAGAGATGATGTAATTCATTTTCATATCAGAAGTTTTATAAACAGAATTGAAACATTTTTTTACTCAATTTTTTCAAGAGGCTTATTCTAAACCTATTATTTAGTTATTTTTAGGTGTTAATGAGTTTGTTAGCAACAAAATTTCCTTTATCGGTGAAAATATGATCAACAGATGCCAATATTTGTCATTATTTTTATGAATGTTCATTGCTTATTCTTTATCCTTATCATCACATAAAATTGCTTTATTCTTTCAACTTACGTCTTTCCTTTTCTTCTTTTGTGGTGATGCTTTGCATATTGTCCATCCAATCACCGCGATGATACATGTTGTGTAAACCTGTGGGAGAATATTCTTTTACTTCCATGACGAAATTTCATTATTACATTGATGATTGATCAAACATCTTGTATCAACATGTTGTGCGTATTGCCAACTGCACGACTTCGATTTATTTTTTATATCAATTAGTTAGCTCCTTTAAGAATAGCCTATTTGTACTATTTCGAGTACTATTTTTCCTAATAGCTTGGATAGAGCTCGCACTGAAGGATTTACAAATCACGCCCTTAGAATATTTTTTAGTCAATTCAAAGTGAGTGATAGACTCACTCCTACATCTTTTAGATACTAGTCAAAGAGACTTACTCTGCCGATTCCTGCTTGCGTTATGATTTTGAACGTAATAGACATACTTGCATGTGGATCCTAGCACGGACTATTCTACACATGCGTGCTATTTTTGTTTACGCATATTATGCAAATGAGACATAAACGTTACAAATATCAGTGTAACTGTTATACCTTCATAATTTCTTTTTGTTTTGATGTCTCCACGACACCGTACTGACCTTTGAGAGGAACTCAGAAGTTATGTTGCTTACAGCGAGTGCAACAGCTTTATTATTCGTGCAATCAGATTACTGATTACAATCAGTGTTGATCTTTCGCACTTCCCCATGACGTACACACCAGAATCTGACACAATTTACAGTCATGGGAAGTGTTTATCTTCCACAACAGTCCACCATGAGTTATCTTCATGTTTTAGTATGGTGAGATTTACATAATATAAAATAACAAAAATATTCTCGCGTCAAAATTTTTCTCTTTCTCTTAAACTTTTTTGAGATTAGCTGTACTAGAGCGATGCAGTTTAGTTTTACGTATATACTGCCATGCCTGCTGCGTTTCTCAGCGTGTTAAGGCCGACACCCATCACGATTACCACGATAGTATTTCTTAATTGTTCTCGATGATGGCGTTCAGGCATCTAATTTGCCGTCATCTCGAAAACGAGAATTGATCTGATGAAGAAACAAGACACAAATTTATTTATCAAATATAACATTGTTATTCATCGAATCAATGCAAAAACATTGTCGTTTCGCGAATACACAGGCCGGAAATTTCATGAGTGATGACGACAGCAGATGTTGGCTATCTTCAGATCAACGCTTGAAAGTGCACAAAGTCAGGACGTTCTGGAGATGTTCGAGCGTGCTATACGCACTTCCTTTTGGATACATGTTTAATTGAATATCCAACTTTGATTCTATCTCATTCAAAATGCAATAAAACAGCAATGCTAAAAATGAATAATTTTGTAAAATATTCCTTTTGACTACTATATACAAATATGTTTATTAAGAATTTACACCAAACTATTTGCCAATATCAGTTGGTTAAAGTATAACACACAATAGATAACACACATGGTAAAAATGGTGGTTTCTACATATTTACTAGTTAATTGTAAATGACTTCATGATAGTATTGGTGTAAAATATCACTTTTGTTTTACACATTAACCAAATATCATCATAGTCTTCATCAGTTTCCAGCTTCAAATAATATTTTTATTCCCTACATAGAAATAAAACAGAAACTACCATGATGATCAATCAACATCAAAAACATACAACTATCACTGAAAAAAGTGACTACAAATTCTGAATACTAAAGCAATAATCACTTTTTGCATGGCGATGATCCAATTTAATGATGCTTTCCTGCCATTTTGTGATGGTTCTAAAGCTCGAAGTTCAACAGTTTCTATCTTGTTTTTCCTCTCAGATTTGCATTTGAATATTAGCCCAGTTACTACAGGTAAGGTAGAACCTACAGAAACAGACCATAAGTTAACAATCTAGACAATTAATGCTCTGATTCAACCAGTTTATCACGGCTACAATATACCACCTGGTGTTTCAGGGTTCTCTGAGATAGTTTTTACAGAGACCAACTCTGTTAAATCAATAACACCTTCACCTTTGCCAATTATGATTTCTCTGACAATAATAAAAGCAATAGAAAATTTTCAAAACTTTATTTTGAATGTTAAAATAGCAAAACAAGACCTTAATGATGACTCTGACCTGTGATTCTTGTGGTTTAGTTGACAGTGAAAACTTTTATCGCACGAATTGCCAATGTAAAAGTTTGCCCCTATCAAAAAAAATCATTGCTAAAACATTTAATTAAGAACTTACAAAACATATTTTTAGGAAACAAGATTTTTTTAGTGGCAACCAAAGAAACTGCACACTTGACTTCTGGAGTGGCCATCAAGGACAGGACTTTCTTATATTAATTTTTATGACCATTACTACCATGAATTAAAACTTTGAGAGATTTATTAAAGAATTCATTTTCTTTTCTTGCAACAATTGCACATTCTTCACAAACACGAACTGGATCCACAAAATTCAGTCTTAACAAGAGAACTTTTTGATCACAGCATGATCCACAGAATAAATTTCCACATCTTCGACAATGATGCTGAAACAATTAAGGAATAAGTTTACGTTTTATTCGCCACCTGCAAGGCATAAAATTATTTTAAGCTTACACGTCTCTTCCAAAAATCAAACACAACTTTACATTTGATACAAGAATTGTACTAAAAAATAAGAAAGGAATTTGATACTTTTTTGTTAAATCAATCGAGATTGATCATGATATAGGATTACCAATGCATATTTGCAAAACACTAGCTTTGTTAAGGAAAATTATCAATATCAAACGTAGAGCGCAGTCAAACTGTCATATTAAAATAGCCATAACAATGATCGAAAATACATACTTGGTCATCAGGTTGCCACGGTGGTTCTTCTATTGTAAAAGGAGAACGATCTTGTTCATTGTTAGGTAGCATTCGCAAGCCACTCTTGGTTCTTGCGAGTGATTTTCCGGACGCCATCCGCTCCTTTATCTTTTTGTGTGTACAGCAAGTAAACAAATTTTTGTAGTTCGTACTTCGTCGGAAAGTTGCCGCAAGATAGCGGCAAACGTTTCGACAATTCCCGCAAAGCTTCGACAATTTCCGATCTTGCATCCAACCGCAGCTATGAATTATAAATGAAATAAAATTAGTCAACATCTTCGAAACTCTCAAAACGTCTGGTGTATTTTCAATCTTACTGATAGAAACTTTATGTTTTCGTTGATAATTGATGATGATGTTTGTTGCTATCATTCTTCTCTCTATTTTTTGTCCATCTGTGTTATCAGGTAAAAAAAACTTAAAAAAGCTCCCAAAGAGTTTACATGACTTGCAAATATTATGCATGTTGTTTTTCTTTTCTTTCTTATGTTTAAGATTCGCATTTCTTGACGGGAAAATATATCTTCTCTAGAACAATTATGATTCATATAATATTTTCATGTGATCCAATGCGCATGCAATACGTCCTGTTGTTACTCATATTCAGGATTTTGAAAATTTTTGTGGTTTTAAGTAGTTGATCTAGTTTGGAACAGAGTTTCGATGAATGACCATGTACAGCCAAGAGGATGTTACAAAGCACAATCCTGGGTGGATAACAAGGAGCAACTGTGGCTCTTTGGGGGTGTGACCTATACGTCAAAGAATGGTTCCAATGTTTTAAAATATGTACATGATCTTTGGCGTTTTGAACTGAAATTTCACAAATGGCAAAAAATGGATTACAAACATTTATCAAATAGCCCAACATTCATCGACAAAGGTTTGACAAGTTATTGCCTAGGGGATGCCTATATATTTGGACATATTCTACATAAAAAAAATGAAAGATTATGGTTATACAACATGTCTTCAAATATATGGAAATATCTTCATTACCCAAGAAACAACACAGGTTATTCATGTGTAGCCATGTGGTGTAACGAGACTTTAACTGTTATCAAACTATTGTGCCTCAAACAAAACATTATTAAATTGTGGCATTATGGAATTGTGACAAAGAACTGGAGTTTACATATGTCCACGCTTCTTACAAAGTCTGTTAAAAATTCCCATTTGTTGTTTTTATCATCAAAATATGTTTGGTCCTATCCTGGTCTTCTATCTGCTTCCAAGTTGTTGATTGTGAAAAATAATGTGTTCAGTGTATTACAAGTAAATAAAACTGGCAAAGAGTTCTTTGCCACAAGAAAGGGGTTTGTACGTTGGATTGATCGTATGGGTAATCTCAATTTGCTGGGAGGGAAGGTATCTAGGTATGCAGCTTCAAATTACTCTTCTGATCATTGGATGTTAAATATGTCCAATCACATTTGGGTGAAAATCATGTCAAAAAGTGTAAAACCTAGGGCAAGGTTTGGAGCTTGTGTTTGGTATGTCAAGGATCAGCTATGGCTGTTTAGTGGTTATAGGAAGGATAGTAAAGGACATATTGTGATTGAGAGGGATCTATGGAAAGGAAGAATTGTCTATCCTCAAGCTGACATTCATTCTAAAACAAAAGCTAGTGAAGATAATTTACCTGGAGATACACTAAAATTGTCATTGATTAATAAATTGATAATCTCTATGGCGACACTCTGCATTGTCATGGTGATTAGCATTAGGCTATGTTACAAACGAGAATTGTATCAGGTGCTGTCAAAAATGAGCAAACAAAGAGTTGTCTACCATCAGGTCAGCCAAGAGGGTGAGAAAAACAACAGGTTATGAACAAAAAATATTTATTGTACTATGTACATTTTTTGTATTCTATAGGTGATGTTGATATTCATGCTTGTTGTATTTATAAGACTGAAATTAATAATTGATGTATTTAAAAAATTAATTGATTTATAGAAACATGTACTTAATTAATAAATTTATTTAAATGTTTAGTCTTGTGGCATACATGAATTTAATTAGTAGAAAATGAATAAGGAATCACACAAAACAACACATTAATAAAATGTGTCTCTATCTGAAATTTATTTCATCTACTGTAGTACTGTTTAGTTCTTTTTTGTGGCTGCATTTCACTTCAATGTTTTTGAGTGGCGTTCCCCAAACATTGTGGGCATTTTCATTTAAAGGGTAAAATTTACATTGTAATGACATCTGAACACTGCTACCATTCTCGAACTGGATTTTAAGAGGTATAACTGTTCGAGCATTATTTTTAGTCTTTTGGATGTTACCAGATGACCATACACCAGAAAAAGAAGAGCTGGATTCCTCTTTAGTTGATTGTCCATCAACATTGACTCCACTCAAGCTTACATTGCTACACATCAAATGAAAGTGGAGTGAATATAATGAACAGTTAAAATAATACCATTCAAAGTCCTTGTCTGTCAGGTAACTAAGCAGCCATTTATTGTTTTAAAAAGTAAAATGCTTTCAAACAACTGACGAACACCTTTTTTTAATATAAGTATCAGATTTTCAACAAACCTTATATTTTCATGAGGCTGTACTCGTATGGTGATCTTGTAAACAGTTTCCGCATTAAACTTGACGGTCTTAGGATACTTGAACCGTTCACCATCCATCTTAAAAAATAATTGTGAACCATCGTCATTCTTCGATATGGAAATGAGAATCTTGAAACTTGTGGACATGATGTCAATTTTTGTTAACTTAAAGTAAAAACTTTATCATTCGTACATCAAAATGAACAAAGCAATATTAAAATATAGGAAGCTCGATGTCGACAGAGTCCAACCAGTCCAACAACCACATTTTAGTGGATGGTAAATGGTAACGAAGGAGTAAATCCAACTCAACGCCCGGGAATGTCCGGAGTAGTCCGGCGAGACTCGTTGATTTCCCGGAGTGAAATTAGAGAAATGTGAAATCATGTTAGTATTTCTAGTAATAAGCGAGAAAAACGCTAGTTTAAATAAACCAGTAGACGTATTCCTTTATAAAAAAACTTTGTTTTATATAGTGAGTTTTCTGCCTACCTAAACGTTGAATCCACCAGTATATTGTAGTTCCATGTTAAATGCACAATTGAATGAAGATATGATCTTCGCACTTTGCTGGACAATTTAAGCAATTGTCTCATGAACCTGAAAAACTCAGGTGACTCAACGGTGAGTTTTTCAGGTTCATGAGACAATAGCTTAAATTGTCCAGCAAAGTGCGAAGATCATATCTTCATTCAATTTCAAACACCGCACTGCAAATAACAATCTTTCTTAAATACACAATCCTACTAAGTGTCGTAAATATTGAGCAACTTTCCAAGTAGAAAAATGTGTTTTTAAGAGCATTTCTCATACAATGAAAATATACACATCTGCAAGTACATATATACAGCTCAGTGTCATAAAGAAAAGTGCAAGATCCTCGCAAAAGGATTCTTAAAAACTATTTTATCGATTTATATGTGTAAAAATCAAGTTTATTTTTCAAAAACATAACACCCTATTCTTGTGCTGTCCGTGTAAAGCATACAAAGAGAGAAAAGAAAATGAACACATTGCATATAACGGGCTGATAAACTTGGTATAATATATTGTTAAAAACAATCGTTCACGATTCTTGCCGATTATGTTTCTCCTCGAAATATCTTGCTGAGGCATACGCTAAGTATGATAGATGAAATTTTACAGCTCAAAATGTGTCAAAAAACAAAAACAAATAATTTTTCACTGTTTTCGTATAGGTAATAGCATGGTTTCGAGTGCAATTTGGGAAAAACATGCACGAGTGAGTTTTTCAAAGACTATCAAAATTGCACGAATCCGAAGGACGAGTGCAATTTGAAGTCTTTGAAAAACTCGCGAGTGCTAGTCATTGGTGGTAGTCAATGGACTCTACAACAACTTGAACTCTTGTTGTAGAGTTCACTGGTGCTAGTTCACTGCTGTTCGCAACGTTCGCGACATCCGGGCCTTCGCGGGCATTCAACGAATCTTTCCGGATGTTTCCGGGACGAGGAATCGAGAGTGAGGAAGAGAGGAACACAACGAAAACATGGTGATGATGTAGCGAATTTTGATTTTCAAATCTCACAAGAAAAAAAGGTGTGTATAATATTCATTTGAGAGTCAATTCAATTCTTTACAGTGTTCCTTTGACTGTAGCTTTATTTATAGACAAACGAAACCATGGTCACTATACAGGAAAAACTGGACGTGAACACGGAATTTCTAATGCAGACATCACAAATGCAAATGGTAGAGTTGAAAGTTCTGAAGAAACTGATATACAAGTCGAAAAATGCACACAAAAAGGAGAAGTTTTTTCAGTGTTTACAAAGGGTAATTTTACAAAACAATAAATTGATGTAATTTACTTAAAAGTACTCATTGATAAAGGCTAGACTTAATTTTCAAATTTTATTCTTTCTAGATAAAAAAGTCATTATACTGTTGGTTGGATTTAAAATATTTTAAAAACAGCAAACATGAGGATTTTCACGAAACTTTGGATAAGATAATGGTCGGAGGAGAAATCACATTACGGGTATGTGGCTGTTTGGTAACCATGGAAAAATCTGCCCTCTAAATATTATAGTAAACTATAGGGGCACATTTAGAAGACACTTGTGGTTGTGTTTGGGAATTGCGGATTAATTTTTCTTTGCTTTCAGTTGTTATAGTTTAAGTATTTAAAACAATTAACTTTTATGAACTTTAGTGGATTATTAATTATTGTTTCGATGTTTTCATCAGATAATCCTACTTTGTGAAGAGATTGTACAGTATCCTGAAATGAAATTTTATTAACTTGATGAGTATTCCTATCAATACTATTATCATACACTCATATTACTTGCTATTGTGAGTATTGTCATTCTCATTCCTATGGTTACTCTCATCAGAACTATCACTGGTTACTCCCATTAGTACACACATACTCCAATTAGATACTCTCAATGGTGTTTCCAATGTTTGCTTCTTATTTCTTAACTGATGAAAACTCAGGTACAATCTTGCGTACATGGCTCGTGGTTTCTTTGTGTCACTTCATGTTGTATTTGTGTCCTTAATCAGCAGGCTGTGGTATGTATTGCAATTTATTATGGTGTAATGCAAAGGAAAATTCATGGTAATTACTCTTTAGCATAAGGTACCTGATAATGAATTTAAAATTTTTGCAGGGTTCTTCAAAAGGATTGTTGGAGATGCCTTGTGAATTGTTATCAATATATTTTATTACTTGCTCAAAATTCTCAAATAGCAGAGTCTGTGAGTGTATTTGTATGTTTACAATACAATTTATGAATTCATTTTTATTTTGCTTGTGATTAAACTGCTTCATTACCTTGAATTGAAAATTGGTTTTCAGTACAACAAGTACCCAAAGTCTTTGGAAGTTTGGCTCAAACATGATGTTGATTGCATGTTAAGTAGAAAGTAATGCTCCTTCTAAATTAATTCACTTCTGCGAGAAAAATTGTCATGCTGTTGTATTTATTGATTTAGTTGTCTGGAGGATTATTGTCAACAGCAATTGCAACAACACGGTAAGATTTGGTAACAACAATATGGTAAGATTTTTGTTCCATCTGACAGATAACCACAAATTGACTTGTTATTTCCACATTATTATTTAGCACTTTCAGACATGTGTGGTGAGAAGTTGAATGAGGGGAGTTTGGATCTTGGAGAACCAGTTTTTGATAGAAAAGAATCAAGGTTAGATAAAAGGAATGAGCATTTAGATAAAACAGATAAGGAAATATTGTTAAGTGAAAAGAGTTTGGACATTGGAAAACCAGTTGTCAATAGACAACAATCAAGAATAAATTTGGTGGGGAAATTGGCCATGGAAGACAAAAGTGAAGGCATGCTTAAGCCTATTGAGACAAAGGAATTTCGTCCAAAATTAAAGCTATGTAGATCTGTGGCAGGTGCTTTGGCAAGGAAATCTTTTGCTGGTGTGCAAAACTCCTCTTGCTTTAAACGAATATTGGGCAAAGTGTTTATAAGGATCTCAAAGTATCGCTTTACTATGCTCAACTTGATCATGAAGGTGGATTTATCGCATTACTCGTCAAGAATGAAACGTGTTCTTCTCAAATTTTTTCGTTCAATCTTGCGTGAAAGGAAATTGTTGTCTTGCAAAGAGCGAAGGGTTGTTTTTAGAGCAGAGTGTTTACTAAAGAAGAAAACAATGAAAAAGAGAGAATTTTCCATCGATTCGTTCAACGGAGATGGTTTCTCTCGGAAACATAGGAAAAATTTGGATTCTTTGCTTGAATCAAAATGTTCTTCAGAATCAGATGTTCACCTTTCCACTCATCATAACTATGGGAATTTAAAAAATGTCAACAAGACAAACCTGTTGAAAAAGGCGGTTATAAATGGTATTGTTGACAAAGAGTTGACTCAAGTTGACCGTGGTAATGATGTCCTTAATTCTTTCAATTGTGATAACGAGCATTTCCTGAAAACGGATCACGTTGTTTTGAATAAAAAGGGATTTAGTGAGGAGAAATTACTACATGACAATCACGATGAAATTGATGAGATATTCAGTGTTTTAGATCTCCTATAAACTATGATAACCGAATGAAATGGCAATTTTACCCGTATTCCAGTGTCCAAAGGTCAGCCAGAGCTATTACTTTCGCGCTATATACGATGGGAAATGTAGAATGAACGCTTCTTCTATACAATTAAGTCCTCAATGACTTTCTAGTTAAGCCATTTGTCATATTTAAATTGTTCTACATAATTTGTTGCTATGTTGTAATTTGTCCAAAATGCTCCGACCATGCTTTAATTAAACTGTGAAAATAATTCGAACGTGCTTCTAATGGAAGAATATGTTGGTTTTTAGAATTGTCAATTTTCAATCAATACATACTTCAATTTTGCGCGTTTTTTGGTAATAGACCTTATGAAATACATGGTAAGGATTATACGTTGCAGGGATTTAACATGCAATGTTATATTTGTCCTAACTTTACAAATATTTCGCCCCAAATCTTCGTAATTCGATCATTGAATTGATCTAGATCTAATGGCTTGTCAAGCGTCTCCTAAGTGGAGTAAGGTTTGCATTTTTCTGTATTAGATAGTGCAATGGGCAATTTTGAAAATGTTGTGGGAATGTATTTTGTTTTCACAACCTTCCATGTTTTTTCGTTGGATGAAAGAACAGATTAAAATGCCGCTGATCAACAATAGTCCTGAAACAACGTCTTGTTGTTTGACCAAACATTTAATAACAAATACATAGGAGTTTTTCATGCTCTTTGAACTATTCTCTTTATTCTGAAAGAATTTTTACTGGACGCGACAAAAAGAAGTATTTCTTTCAAGCGATCTGCAATCATAGAGCACGGTCCTGCATTGTAAACGGGTGGATCGTCATGATAATGACGTAATTTTAACCTAAAATGATATACTATTACGCACTGTCCTGCATTGTAAACGGGTGGGTCGTCATGATAATGACGTAATGTTAACCTAAAATGGTATACTATTGTTATTTAACTATAAGTACTCAATCGAGACTTATGATGGCATGTGCATGTCACTAGATGGTGGAATTTAATAATTTATTACTTAATTATAATTGTTAATTTTCTTTTTTAACTTAGTCACAACGTTGAAATGCTTGAGTGGAGTTTGTTTTTGGATTTGGACTTTTTAGGAAATACCTTTCTGTGCTAAGGTACGTTGCCGCCCGTCTAAAATATTTGTCAACAAGAAGATCAATGATTGTCATAATTCCCTGATTATCGAGTGTTTATATTTCAAAGAATTGTAGATGCTGCACAACACTAGCTTGCGTACTTTCTCATTAATACCATCATATTCCTTTTAATTGCTAAGCAGTCTCCTTGTCTGTTTTTTCGCTAATTTTGTCTTCGATTTCTTTCTTTCTGTTAGATGGCTTGTTGTCCTCATTTTATGTCTAAAGTTGCTCAATTCAACGGTATGTTACAGTCCTTTGTCTGCACACCTGAATGCAGGTGGAGGATAAATGTTCAGTGTTCGGCATTTCGTCCGTCTTGTTATTACTTAAGTTAATGACTATACGTTCTAGCAACACGTTACTGGTTACAGGTGCTACAGAATTTTTAATGAATTAGAAAACGCATGCGCGTGACTTGTAGTTTAATTGGAAACACACAGATGCTGTGTTGTCTAGAATATATAAGTAGTTTGGTGTATTACTGTTTGACAGAAACAAGAAACAACGCAAGTGATAATCCACGAGAATTGGATATGCCGATCGGTCGTCGTGGTCTTATCGTACCCCAAAATACTTTCTTAGAAGACGTCATACGACGAACTGGTGACCTTCGTAAGTTTTTTTTCAGTTAGCTTGTTTTCTAAGTATTACCATTTCACAGCTGTAGACGTCAGAGCTATTTTGGTTAACATGCACTCTTTTCTTTGCTCGGGGTTTCTTATTTTGCAATGTTTTCTGTTATGTGTGTCATTTTTTGTGTGTTCTTGCAGTGAAGAATGATATATGAATATTATGATTTGCCACTTAGCAAGGTCATTAAACGTTTGTAACTATACCGAGTCTTCTGAACTATTCAAAAAAAACTTTTTTTTGTCATTGCTCAAGCAAACTTTTCATTTTATCGAGCGCTGCTTGATTGTATTGTTGTACGCCAAAGCAAAATTTTTAAAACCACTTCGAATTTATTTTATTTGAAAGACAATAAGCCTTTACTTTCGTTGCTAGTGTACACAAACGTCTTATTTGTCCAAAAAATCTTAATTTAATCATATAGTTCAATCATGTCGTAAACACAGCTTAAAGCCATCATCTACCACATGGAATATCGATTTTCAATCCCCCGATTATTCGTATGCGAAATTTCACAAATTTTCTGTTATCATTTAAACAAATTAAACAACGCAACATGCTCAATGCATTTATTTTGAAGACAATGGAAAATATCATAGTTATTATTAAAATTTTTATCAATATTATGATGTCTGAGAAATACAAGCTTATCAGTGTGGCGGATTTCTATATAAACTATATACGGGCGGTCTTTGACCGTTGCTTTAGGAACGCTTTAGGCACTTTATTTCGATTCCACGGCACCGTTGCGAAATATTTTAGTCTTCAAACTAATGCCCCGCGCCTTGCAGTCTTTCAATTAAAATATTTAAATCGTAAGCACAACCGAAAGCCTCTAATGGTAATAATGGCATGTTAATTTTTCACATGGAAATTATTATAATATACGTTGACAGGCATCGAAATGTGATTATTCGAAATTGAAGCAAAAAGGTGTCAATCAATAAATTTATGTATAGATGTGGCTGCACAGAAAATTTGCTAGGAAAAAATGCATGGCAACCGATTTCGTTTGATTTTCAGAAAAGTTTCCCCCCTTCATCAGTCTTTGTTGTTTGTCAAGCGATTGAAGATAAGTTTCGTTCATTACAATATTATATCTGTGCAGTTAGCGTTCGTTTTTAGCTAAAAGGAAAACTAATTTATATGTCAGCTGCATCACTGATGACGTTACAAAGATGAGGTGGCATTTGTCGTAATCCCATTTTGAAGCAATTCTTTGTGAAAGACGATCACAGGCGTAGAATGGAATCATTGTATAAGTGTATAAGTTTCATGTCGTTTCATGCAAGATGAAAAATATATACAATGGCTGTTTGTTTAAAATTCGTTGTATCAGCATGTCTTTTGACGTTTTAATCAATCATTGTTTAAAAAGCATGTTGTCTTTGTATTATCTCTCAATTTTCTGTTCCTCAATTGTCTCCTCTCGTTTCTCAACGTGTATAGCAATGATTTTGATCCTATCTCATGCGAGAGTCCTCTAAAGGCGCGTCTTAGTAAGATTTGTTTTCAAATCACTATACGATATGGTTTTCTGAGCTATTGTCCAAAGAAAGCTCTTTTTTGAACGCCCGTTTGAATTTTTAATGTTTATAAACAGCATGGAAAACATTTGAAAATCGTTGTGCCTCGATCGTGTAGAATGGCGAAAGTTTTGTCATTATGGATGTACAATCGTATAATTATGTTATGATTGGTCGACAACAGCTTTTTAAGTTGCATTAAATTGCCGTTGTGATAATTTACAATGACAAATCATCCATATGTTGTTATATTTTGAAGTCGACTACCTCACCTTTGTTGATAACACTCCCAGCTGTCCTCTGGGGCCGGTTGCACGAAGCCTGGATAGCGAAAATTTTCAAACTTGTAAAAAAGGTGTTTATATTTTTCTCACGGCAAAGAAATTTTGTAATCTTCGAAACGATATTTTATTTCAGCGATTGCACAGTTCAAATCGTATATTTTTCTCTTATAAGAGATTTTATGAACGTTCAGAAAAATTTGCTATCCAGTCGATAACGCTATCCAGGCTTTGTGCAACCGGCCCCAGATCTCTATGCTAAAACTTACGTATATATTGCTGTAAAATACGAATATATATAAATATTCTATAAATTTTCTAGATGAGAGCTTTATGGTTGGAAGTGCAGAGATAGCAGGCTATCCCGTAGTATACTGCAGTAATGGATTCTCTCAGATGACTGGATTCAAGCGTTCTGATGTGATGCAGTCTAGTTGTGACTGCAGATTTCTTTACGGCTCATCTGTGAAGAAGAGTGCTGCTGAAGAAATCCAGAATGCTTTGCGAATGAAAATAACTTGTCAGGTTGAGTTCATTGGAAGAAAAAAAGATGGTTAGTTTTAACATGCTTCACATGCTACTGTTGTACTTTCTGAAACTTGGTCGAAGACGATACACAAAAAAAGGATGATTCACTTTTGAATATCAATGTACGAATTTTGTGTTAACTCGGATAGAGCAAACAAATCCATTCCTTGGGGTATGAATTGTAGAAAATCTTAAAGGCCTAACCACTTATCATTGTGTTCTTTGAATTGGAAGCTTCTAAAACTAAATTCTTATTTTCTTTCATTAATTTTGACACTTCACGTCTATAAAGTTACTTAGTGTAACCACAGTGCCAGATCTAGAATACGCTCATCAAAATTTACATTATAGAAGCTCATTTAAAGTTAAAAAACTTTTTTAACAACGTTGTTTGTTAAAAATTTCTAAAGAAAGCGTAAGACTTAAATACTCCTTATAGAATTTCCTCAAAAGTATTAAAATGGAAGTATATATATTTTCTATGACTGTCTGACATAACCTATATCCTCTACCGTGTAACAAGTTGCTGAGCCAATTAATTTTCTTTCTACTACATTTATATTTGTTCTTGACATTTGTGATGTATGCATGTAAGTTGATTAGTTGACCGAAAGGCTACATTTGCTATTAAATATTAATTTCGAATTCTTCATCATCAATACAGGAACACCAGTATGGTATCTGTTCCACGTTGCTCCAATTGAGAATGAAGAAAATACAATTGTACTTTTTCTCATTACCGTCAAAGATATAACTGAACTGAAAGAGCCTATTGTTGAAAACGGTTTGTGATTCATGCAAATATTCATTTATCCGAAGTGGTATGTTATTTCAACATATTTGTTATCGTTTACACAGATGCCGTTCAAAAGTGGTCGAAATTGAAACAAACCATTAAGTCAGATCGTAGTGCATTCGTAGTTGCTTTTACTAAAACGAAGGAGGAAAAAAATAAGATTCGTATTGCGCAGGTAATCACCAATGGTCAACGGTGTATTGAAGTAATTGAATTTAACGTTTTCCTTCCCCTCACCTCAGTATCTATTATTTCTATTCAATATTGCTTTTAAGGTTATTACTAAGTGTGTGTTTTGTAACTGAATTTGTCACCCAATCGAACGCACAAAAAGTATTGTGGCGTTTTTCTTTTACAAGAATATTTTTGGCTGAATTTATTTTTAAATAACAATGGAGTTTTATAAACCCTATGTTAAACGTGTCTCTCAGTATGAGCAATTATGACTCTTCCTGATTTTAATCACCTCATAGTTTTGTGTTATTGTTTGAAATGTTTTCAGAATGCCCCGTTTTCATAGTAAAATTGACGCTATCCCACCCCACCCATAATCTTTTTTACGCCATCACATTGGAAACATGGGTGGTGAAGGTGTCTAAGATGTCATGTATGATTTAGACGATTTATCTTTTCCAGTTGAGAGTTCACAATTCAGATTTCATTCTCCAATACAAGCAGCAGATACCAAAACCTCCTAAATGGGTGATATTGCATTACTCTAGTCAAAAAGTTATCTGGGATTGGTTTGTACTTCTTTTTATCCTTTATACTGCATCTGCAGTTCCATTTGCATTCTGTTTTGATTACGACCCCTTGCCGATGACCATCTTTGACATTTTGGTGGATGTGTTTTTTATTGTGGATATTGCGGTGAATTTTCACACGTCATACCTTGGTCAGGACGGTGAAGTTATCACTGACCTCAAACAGATTCGACGTTACTATCTTCGAACTTGGTTTGCTGTGGATCTCATCACTTCATTACCCTATGGACTGATGTTGTTAGTTAGTAGTAGTAACACAGTGAGTTAATGTCCTTTTGTTTTTAGAATTTCTCATCTTTAGAAAGATAAAATGAGAGAGATAATTTAATATGAAAAGGGTGTACAGAAATTACAAAATAACAAATGCTTTGGATTATTGTTATTTTATAAAAGAAATAAAAGATGTTTTTCGTGTTTGCACAGGCTTTTGGGAGAATTCGAGCAGGTGCAACCCTCGACCATCGGTCTTGGGCTTGCACTGATCTGCTCTCGAGTTCTCCCAAAGGTTTGCATAAGCCTGTGCAAACAGAGTAAAAATCTTTTAGGAGCTAATTTATGCACAGAAACCAACAAATCGCAGTCTAGTGTAAGTTCCATCTATGTTATATTGGCTTGTCTTTGCTGCCATTTTATATTATTTTTAACTGTTTTCGATTTGCTATCTTGACAGTTTGTGCAGCTCATCAGCATCTTTAAGTGCATTCGTCTTCTTCGAGTGAGTCGTGTTACGCGAAAAATGAATCAATTCATCAATTATGGTTTCGTTACATTGATCCTGTGTCTGGTCGTATTCCTTCTTTGCGCTCATCTAATGGCGTGCCTTTTCTACCTCATTGCTCGTTCCTATGACAACTTTCACGAAGTTGGTTGGGTCGCCACACTTGCTAAACAAACAAATCAACCTTTCAACACAACTGAGGGTAATCGTATACTGCCATCACTCGCGTCTTTGTACGTTTCTGCTTTGTATTATTGTTTGACGAGCTTGACGACAATTGGCTTTGGAAACATATCTCCAAACACGACGGCTGAGAAAATTTTTGGCAGCATATGTATGATAGTTGGAGGTAAATAAAAAACTCGAAGTTACCGGTCAAACACATGGTGTATCAGCTAAATTAAGCCTTAGCAAGTGGTAAAATGCAAAAGCATTTTTTGTAAACTTTTTATTTAGTGTTCTTGTCTTTTGGTATTTTTTACGAATACTCAGTGATCTCCCTACCATGTGGTAAACTTTTTATCTTTTTTTAGCTCTAGGTTACGCTGTCATCTTTGGTCAAGTAACAGCCATTGTACAGCAAGCTCAAAAAAAATCCGAAAAATATCATTCACTTTTGGTTAATATTAAATCATTTCAAAAACTTTATCGAGTTCCAAGTGACCTTTCCGCTAGAATTCTTGACTATTTTATGTCGACATGGGCTCTTAAGAAAGGTGTTGATACTGACGAGGTTTGTGCAAAAGTATCTCACTCAACAATGAATAAACCATTAAAAGTTATGCGGATTTCATTCAAAACGACTTTGATTGTTTTGTCTTATTGTAGGTGCTGAAGCAATGTCCCAAAGATTTACAATCTGATATTTGTATTCATCTCAATCGGAAGGTGCTGTACAGCAATCCAGCGTTCAGCTCGATGCCAATGAGTGTCTTGCGCACTATTGCAAGGAATTTTTGCATTTGTCACGTGGCTCCTGGGGATCGCGTTATACACGAAGGTGAAAGTTTGGATGTTTTGTATTTCATTAGTCACGGGACATTTGAAGTAAAACAGGATGGTCACGTGGTTGGCTTACTTGGTAAGATTATGACGAGACGTTATTTTCAACAAAGCTCGCTATTTACATGCCCTACTTTTCAGGTCAAGGTGATGTCTTTGGCGATGACGTTTGTAACGAAGTGACTGTCGGGAAATCTATCGCTGACGTATGCGCTCTTACGTACAGTGATTTACATTGTATCGATAGGAATGACTTACGAGATGTGTTTATGACGTATCCGGAGTCTGGGGTTGAATTCTCCAGCCACCTCACATTGGCGTTTAACTTGAGATATCAGGTCTGTTCCTATGCTCAGGATTTATTGTTTTGTTGAGATTCCAATCTCAAATTCGTACCTCGTTGATACTGGAACCAGTTTCATTAATGTTACTGAAATATTAGATTTGTTGATGTTTTTATGTGTTTGTTGGATTTATTTCAGTATTGTTGAATGAATGTAAAGTTGTTTATTTTGTACATCAGATGAATCGAAAGGATCGTAATTCAGTGTTGCAGTCTGTCCAGGATATTGACTCTTTCGAAAGTACTTCGCTTTCTAACAGAGCTATGCGACACATGACACCATCTGCTGGACGCGGTCGGAGGCTCAGTTTAATTCAAGAACTTAACCAGACCATCGATTTTGAGTCATCTGCCGGCGACGGTTATTCACTTGACAGTGGAAGTGTCCACGTTAAAAACTCGAGACGACCTGTCCGGGTATCCACTGCGGTTATTGATGAAGAAAATGAAGTTGATTTGTACGAGCAGCTACCTGAGGAGAATGGGAACGAGGAAGCCTTTTATCATGCTGAAATAAAAGACAATGAGCGTATTTATTGTAACATGATTAAAAAATTCACAACTCAAGAAATTGCTAAGTTGCGCAGTGAAATGAACAAAACAATATGCGAAATTGACTCGAAATTTTCTCGCGTTGAAAATCAGCTTGCTTTACTTATACGTATGGTACAAAGCCAGAAACCTAAACCAGGGCTACCACCCAGACATTCACAGAGTTTTCCTGGGCCTACCACGTCAACCTATGAGAAAGATGACGGCCTGCGCGTAAAAGACCCCGATTCTCGTTTGATAGACAATGATTCTCAAATTGAAAATCACACTTTATCATTTGTAAACAATGCCTCTGGTAAGGTGAACCAAATCTCACCTAGCTGGTTGTTACCGTCTCAAGCACGCAGTAGTCGACCGAATTCTCAACCTAACAGCCGGGCTGCATCACCACAATCGAGACATAACCGCAGTGTGTCGCCAATATCTAACATTGCCCGTCATGGAAGAAGAAAAATTAGCAATGCATGAAGAAGTCTATCCTGTTGGGTTTGCTTTGACAGTTGACGAGTGACATTGATTTATTGCAAAAATGATGGAATAGTTCTATCGGGATATGTAATGTCTCTCATGAAACATCAGTTGATATGTTAAATGTATCTCATGAAACATCAGTTGATATGTTAAATGTATCTCATGAAACATCATTTGATATGTTAATGTATCTCATGAAACATCAGTTGATACGTTAAATGTATCTCATGGAACTTCAGTTGATATGTTAAATGTATCTCATGGAACATCAGTTGATATGTCAAATGTATCTCATGAAACATCATTTGATATGTTAATGTATCTAATGGAACATCAGTTGATATGTTAAATGTATCTCATGGAACATCAGTTGATATGTCAAATGTATCTCATGAATATGTTAATGTTTCTTGTGAATTTTAGTCAATTATCAATTACCGACAGTCGTAATTGACAAGCCATGCCTAACCCAAATGTACCTTTTATGTTTTTAACACCTGTCTAGCAATTTGCAATATTTTATGAACATTGAAAAGAACCGTCTTTTTAATTATTAACATTGAAGTTTCGTACATTTAAAATAACATCAATAATTAAATAAAACGACGCCATTCAAAAAATATGAAAATTATGTTGATGGCACAAAAATTATGATTATCGAAGTTGTGTAAAAATTTACCAAAATTGTTGAATATACAGCATGAAATTAGTTTATATTTTTGTCATTTTTTAGATTAACATTTCCACAAACAATGAACAAAATGTTTTTAGAAATGCAAAATAATGCCAGTACTCTATAAGGAACTTTATAAAGGCACGTTGTTCCTTCCAAATTAAGCGTTCCATCTCTAATAGTGGAGCGTTTGTTGAGAACAACATTTCAGAATCTAGATCGCCTTCTTCTTTTGTATTCTATACATTACAAACGGCATCCCTCGCTCAGCTGTATTATCAAGTTTTTTGTTCGTACATATTGTAACTATGTTATATAGAGATGATTTGCTTCGTGTTTAAGTTAGTAAAAGTAACAAAGATTGGTTACACCATGAAACGAATAATTTTGCATGATATACAAGTGGAAGCACACTTGTCTGGAATCTGTATATAAAATAAATGTTCTATAACAATAAAACTATTATTTCTACCTACATACATGCATTAGGGAAGTATAAAGGCGCACAACAAATGATTCCCCTACAAGAAATATCTCATATTTCTATACACGATCCACGTGCGGTTACCACGAGTGGAAGAATTTCATTTCAACAACAGGTACCTCAGCTTGTGTACGACAGCTGATTTCACGTCACATAGTAACGGCTGACGTTAGTAACGCAGATACTTGCGATTGTTTGAGTAATGATTAATGATAGAAGCCAAGAATGTGTCTAATATATTTTATGTCCTCCTAGAACGTCGTTTTGTTATCATTTTCTCTGGAAATTCTTCGCATGACTTGAAATGTCTGGACGTCGCGGTGTGGTAGTACCTCAAAACACATTTCTTGACAACCTTATCAGAAAAACCAACGGGACTCGTAAGTCATTTCATTTATTGTCTAATTTGTAAATTCTTCCATCTTCGAAATGTCACTTGGGAAAAGAGGCTATTTCGTTTTCAATAATATTTTTAAAAAAACAACATTTGTGCTTGTGCATACTTTCTCTACGAATAAAGAAGAAATTTATCAATAACTACAAACAAAACACATCACTATTTTGCATAGTTTGAACATCTTAAATATTTTGAAAACGAACTCAAACTATTGTTAGCTCGATTATATTGCAATGTCTCTCAAACGAAACTATTTTATTGTCTTTAAATATAAAAATTATCACAAAAAAAAAAAAAAAAATTAAACATGTTAGCTAAATATTACAACTATGAGCTGTGAATAGTGCAAATATACACATAATTATTGTGTTAACGATAAATTTTATTGGCATGGTTTTGGGCAATTTTGCATCTTCGTTTTTCAAAATTGAAAAATGCTGTTCATCAAGAGTAAGGTTCATCAGCTACAGATGATAGAATTTTAAGTTAAAGCTTGTGTACAGAACATTCGATGTTTCAACTTGACAAAATTTTACATAGTTGTTCACACGAACCTAATAAGCTTCGCTGTTCCGACTTGACAAAATTTTACATAGTTGTTCACACGAACCTAATAAGCTTCGCTGTTCCGACTTGACAAAATTTTACATAGTTGTTCACACGAACCTAATAAGCTTCGCTGTTCCGACTTGACAAAATTTTACATAGCCGTTTTCCATGAACATAATGAAATTTTCACAAAACAAATTGCCTAACTTGCGCCCCACATACTAGATTTTCTTGTTCAACAGTATGGCAAGTAAGAATTGCGCTTATCGTTCTCTTTTTAAAACTGTACTCTTTATTTTATTGGAAATCATCTTTTTTTAATTCATTGCCACTTGATGATGCATATTTTTCTGAGAAAGATAACGTTTTTCATCATCCATGATCACATTGGTATTTTTACTGGAAATTCAGAAGTGGATCTAGTATTGGAAAAATATATTACAACAACTCAATTTCAAATTCAAAATAAATTCAAAAAATGTATTTATTTTGTCTAACTCTGTATCTGCCGCAGAGAAAACCTATTTAGTTCAGTTAGTTACTGCTGACAACGAGTTTATTTATAATGTAAGTCTTAAAATGCAATTCCTGTTATTATATAATCTCATCCTGTGATCTCTTTTAGATGAAAATTTTTTGCTTGCAAGTGCCAACATCGTCGACTCTCCCATTGTCTATTCGAGCGAGGGTTTCACAAAAATGACTGGTTACAGAAAAGTCATGTGATAAAGAAGAAAGCTGACTGCATTTTTATGTGTGGTTACCTTACCAGCAAAGACTCTTTCCGTAATCTTCGAGCTACCATTAAGGAAAAAAAGGACGCCCAGCTCGAAATTCTCTTCTACAAGAAAGATGGTATGTGCACAAGTTAAATAGAAATCAAACGAGCAAAGAAACTAAAACATTTTGCAAAGAGACAGCTCCAGCAATAACATAACAGAAATTAATGTGTTCGTCTTGTTTCTTGACTGTTGTGCCGGACAAGTTTCAGATTTGGTCTTTGCAAACTTCTATACAGAGCAGATTTGATGTTTTTAGCTGTAGACAAATGCACGAGAACAAAATTACTTTCAATCTCAATTCGAGTTGAAAGTCCATTAATTGTAAACTTTTTCAACATTTATCCTTGAAGGTACTCCGTTTTGGGTTTTGTTAAATGTTGGTATCGTTTACGATAATCAATGCTCTCCATTGTTTGTCATCATCACCTTTCAAGAAATCACTCAATACAAAGAAGCCATTAATTCTAATTGTAAGTCTGTGATCAGAAATTTCGCAAAAACTGAAGTCGTAAATGTAGAGAGTAAAGGTCGCTCGCTTTTTGTTGTTATTTTGCTAGAAAACGTGAGAGACTTTATCAAAATATTTTATTAGTGATACATCGATGGGCTGTGATCAATAAAGGACTTCATGTAAATGGAAATAAAGAGCCCGACAATCCGATGTTGAAAGCTAGAGAAGAGAAAAACCGATTGCACATTACCCAGGTATGTATTTATCAACACTAAATTTGGTGAAAGTTCTTCAGAATGTCTAGAAGCATAAGTAATTGAACATTTTTTATTCAGTTAATGCAAGAAAAAGTGGACAGTTTGCCTAAATACAAGCAAGAAATACCAAGTACACCACGTTTTGTCTTGCTTCATTGCTCGAAAGGGAAGATCTTCTGGGATTGGTGCATTCTTATCTTGGTTCTTTATACGGCGACAGCTGTTCCTTTCATTTTCTGCTTCAATTATGATTCACAGCCGATGTTCATCACAGACACTGTCGTTGACTTCATCTTTCTCATTGACATTATTGCTAATTTCCATACTTCCTACGTAGATAACGACGGAGAGATTGTGCTCGATCTTAAGAAAATTCGTTGCGCATACTTAAAAACTTGGTTCTTTGTGGACATGATTACGTCATTACCATACGGTTTACTCAGTATCCTCATTTCCGGTGCTGGAAAGGTGAAATTAAAGACGAGGAAAATATTTTTTAGACATTTTTGATGATAGTGTGCACGTGTTTTTTTGTTATTATTGATAAGATCTCCAAGAAAACTGGTGGGTAAAACAAAATTGTAGGAAGACAACAAGTTTTAAATTCAAAAGTTAAGTCATCGCCGGTATACCCTTAGTTTATAAACTTTCAAAAACAATTTCATCGTTGACTAATGCAATTGGGGATGCTTATACACAGGGAGGAGTGTTATATATTTGGAACGAGACTGGTATTTTAGGAGAACATTTGTTTAGCTTATGCACGATAAGAATTATGCTTAGGGTTGGCTTATAGTCGGAGGTTTGAAAATCGGTTTTTGAGGAAAATGCTTTTGATTTATAGGAAATCACAAGGTTCATCAGCTTCCTGAAAGCTGTCCGCCTTCTGCGTATTACTCGAATAGTACGGGCACTTGATCATTATCTTGAATATGGCTTTATTACTCTGGTACTTTGGATGTTATTCTTCTGCTTGTGTTCCCATTGGATGGCATGCACATTTTATACGATAGCAGACAAGTACGACAACTTTACTGATGTTGGCTGGGTCAAGACGATGGCAGAACAAACGAATCAGCCATTCCTGTTGAAGGTCAACGCCTCGCGGAAGATTGAATCGCCAACCCTGGCTTCTCTGTATATGTCAGCGCTGTATTTTTCACTCACAAGTTTAACAAGCATCGGGTTTGGAAACGTCGCTCCAAATACAACTGCGGAGAAAATATTCTCCTGTATCACTATGATATTTGGAGGTGAATATCTTCAACTTTTTTTATCATCACATTGAAATCTCTTTCTCTTATCTCCTTTTCTTCATCTTCTTCCTTTCTCATTTTCCTACTTTATTTTATTTCCCTCTTCACCTTTTTTTATCCTTTACTGCCTCACTTTCTTAACCTCTTTTTTTCTTTCCTTTCATCTATCCATTTGTCCTTTATACACAGACTAATTAACTACAAATCAATCCAATTTTCACTTGAATTTTTCTCCAAGGATTGTGCTATGCCGTAATATTTGGTCAGGTGACAGCGATTATACAACAAGCTCAGAAGAAATCCGAAAACTATCAGCAGACTTTGGATAACATGCGGTCATTTTGTAATCTGTATCGCATCCCTAAAAATCTTTCCACGCGAATCACCGACTACTTTAAGTATACGTGGGTTCTCAACAAAGGAGTTGATACAAATCAAGTATGTGCATATTATGTAAAATACATGCACATTAACGATTGTCGTTTGTCAAAAATTATTTACCATCGTTTACACATGAGCTTGCGAGCACATTTTTGATATATAGAGTGTGGAAACTAATGAAAAATTTTTTGAATATAATGTATCCTGTGCTAAACACAATGTTTTAATTAATCGATGTTGGCACATATATTATAGGTCTTACAGAATTGCCCAAAGGATCTTCAGTCAGATATTTGCATCCATTTAAATCGCAAAATTATTGACAGTACGCCAGCGTTTGATAAACTCCCCAATGCCGTACTTCGTGCTGTTGCAAGAAACTTTGCGATCCACAGAGTGGCACCAGGTGAGAGAGTAGTACACGAAAGAGAAAGTTTGGATACGCTATACTTCATTGCCTGTGGCTCATTTGAAGTTACTCAAAAAGGAAAAGTTGTTGGACTGTTGGGTAAGAATGAAACATCTAAAAATAATTGACGTATGCGAAATGACAGTAATTCTCCGCGTGCTATAGGTGAGGGTGATGTCTTTGGTGATGATGTGTTTCATCACAATGATGTTGGACGATCAGTTGCTGACGTATTTGCGCTAACCTACGCTATCCTGCACGCGATGGATCGTAATGACTTGCTCCAAGCGCTCGAATTTGACCCGGAGTATGGTCTACAGTTTGCGAAAATATTTCGACTATCGTACAATCTTAGGGACGAGGTTTGTATTACATATAGTTAAATACCTTAATATCGCACTGTCAAAGATAATATCTGTTTAAAAATCTGTTTAGGTAATTATGAGAAAGCTTTCGGCTCATGCTCGTACGACATCGCGAAGAATGTCTCGCGATGTTGAAAGTCGTAGATATAGTATTGTAAACGAAATACAAGAAAGTGGATTTAACACTGACTCCAATGGTAGTTCACCCAACAGTCAGCATATAATAGACACTGACTCGCCCATTAAACCTCTAAATGTAATGAACAGACCGAGAAGAGCTACTCTTGGAAATGAAATGAATGACATTCAGGAGGAGAACGAGCTTGATAATGCTGGTGACAATGATAACAAACAAAGAAACGATCCTCAATACTCCAAGGACATCTCTAAAGAATTTTTGTTGGAGATTACTACAATGAAATCCGAAGTTCACCACGAGATTCAATTAATGGGAGAGAAAATGAATGCACTGGAGGAAAATATTTCTACCATATTAAGTATTCTTCGTAATCAAGAATGCAATTCACAAGGGCCTGTTTTCTCTGGCGACAGTGGGCTGTCAGAAAAGACACAAGAAAAAACTCAAAGTAGAACTGCTAATATCATATCTCGTGTGAAATCAGAGATGCCGGAACAAGTCTTACCAGATTGGGTAGAAGAGGAGAATTTTGGAATAAAACGAGAGGAAAACGAAAATGTTCACAAGGATGTCAAACAGAACCATAAAAGATTTATAACTCCATCTGCAAATGAAATCACCCAGGAAACTAATGATGGTACTCGTCAGATACCTTTTGATGAAAAAGATTTAGTGACGTCATGGACATCACGTGAACCTAACGAGAAAAAAAAGAATCGTAAAAAGAGAAAAGAGAGATCATTTAGACGAACGAACAAGAAAGATAAAGAAAGCGAAAAAGCACTAAAGGAAATGTCAAATAAGCCAAACGACAACCGTTGATATAAAAATGCCCAAATCATGGAGCAGACTTTCCTATGTCACTGAACCTGAAAGGAAATTGATGAATCGAATTTCATATTACTTAAACATAATCACAGAAGCATGCCAAAGATCGCTGATTTTATATTTAAAACTTAGATATGCAATTCTGCCAAATAACCAAACAGCCAATAATTTTGAAAGTATATACTTACAATTCGCAGCACAAGTATGCACTTTTTATTTCATTACATTGTAATGTAAAATTTTTTTTGTATTTATTGCACGTATTTAGTTGGTTGAATGTGCCATACAAACTATTTGCGTTTGTTTTTTTTTTCAGGACAACAGTAAATGATGTAATAAACACCTGAATTATCATTTCGATAAATGAGATGTTTCTTTTTAGGTATGTGCTCTGAAGATGGCGTTAAGTGTGCCAAAACATGTCTGTCTTAAAAAGAGTTGTAGACTCGTAGACAATTTAAAATGTGTAGAGGACACGCTTCAACTTTCAGGGGGGCGTTGATACGCGTTGTTTTAACGCGTGTTTATTACGCGTGGAAAACACGCAGCAGCTGCCAATGCAATTTTGCCACGTTTGAGCCTGCGGTTTGCCGCTGGAAATGTTAATGTTTCTATTTTACGTCCTTGACAAAAATGACAATTGACAAATACGTTTATAAATTTATATTTAAGAAGTATGGGTTTATATTAAGAAATATATCCCTGATAGGATGAAAAGTCTCCTCTGCTCAACTGTATTATTTGTTTATTTTGCTCCTTTATACTCGCGTGTCAAATACGGATTACATGAAGACAAGTGTTTTTGTGAGGTATGATTTTAGTTTCGCCATTTGTTTTTATTTTTATCATCTATTTAGATAACTCGTTCACTGTTATTTTCAACGGTCAGATAATCATTTTGAGTTTCCAGTTTACCAATTCGGCGTAAATTTCGGTCTTGAATGGATTTGACTTCTGTGGTGACGCATGCACTCGCGAAGAAGCCGTATTAACTTGTCAAGAGAAAGCCCGTTAGGTTTTCTGTCAACATTTATCTGTTCTCAACCTCACCTCTTTTGCTTTGCTTTAAAATTTGTATAATTTGTCTTTTTCTTTGAAATGACATTTTAAAAATCTATTTATTTTGACGCTCACAAGTGTCAACGTCAACGTGATGTGCGTACTATACCCAAAAGACCATCTTTTGTCTAAGTTTATTTATAAATTATAATAAGCAGTTCCCCGATTATTATTTGATTATGTTTTTTTTTGAAAGTTGATTTTGTTTCTCTTTGTTTTTCAAATTACAGCTGTCAGGAAAAGTGGAAGACTGTTGTTGTGATGTTGAGGCCGTGAACAGTTTGAATAAGGAAGTTTTTAAGAGAATTACAGAAATTGTGAATACAAACTATTTTAAATTTTATAAAGTGAGAAAAACTTGAAGCACAAAACAACCAATAGATCACGACAACAGCTAATGTTTTGTTGTAAACTTAAGGTGAACCTTGCACGGTCCTGTCCATACTGGCATGATGACAACCAATGTAGTTTAAAAGATTGTTCAGTACAAACATGTAAAGAGGTATGAGTGTATTTCTTGCATTGTGTTATTAACTTTGAAACTGTGACAGAGTTCTTATGTTGTCTTGCTTATCTCTTCTTCATCCTTCGCAAATTGGCTCAAACTTTAAATAATATTTACATATTTTATGTAGGAAGAAGTTCCAGAAGGTGTTAAAGGTCATTATATGAAGGTATAAATTAGATAAAGTATCATGTGCAAAAGATCACACTTCGGTGGTTAGCAACTGAACTTGATTGCTTTCTGCTTAGGATGAATCTAAGGATTGTTATGTAGAAAACTCTACTCTTGGAGATGTTAATATTCATTTGAGGTAAATCATTTTTTTTGGTTTGATGGCAACTGTTGCTATTTTTTTCTTTTTATCTTCTGGAATTAATTTTTCTTTGATATTTATTAGTGAAGAAGACAAACAGGTTTTTGCCACCTGGCAACAGTATGATGATGCAGAGGACAGTTTTTGTTACCCTGAAGGTTAGTTTTATAGTTTAATCTTATTGATGTTTCCAACCTTGACAAGGTTTGTAATAACTTTGGGGACACTGGCTTTGTAAACATTGAAAAGAAGGTTGGATTAATACAACCAGGATCAGGATAGTTGTTTGGACAAAAAAAAATTTTGATTTGTTTTATTTTCAAAACAGATGAAATTTCTGCTGACTCAAAGTATGTGAATATTTTCATGATTTAATCTAGAAAGTAACTACACTTCTCGAGTAATTTTGCGACTAAACAGTACACTTTTCGGATTCAAAGTACTTCTTTTGATCGCATAGAGACAGTGGTCTAATTTATAACCAGGATAGTTGTTTGGACCAAAAGAAATTTTGATTTGTTTTATTTTCAAAACAGATGAACTTTCTGCTGACTCAAAGTATGTGAATCTACTCCTCAATCCAGAACGATTTACCAACTACAAGGGACCATCTGCAAATCGTGTGTGGCACAGTATTTACAATGAAAACTGCTTCAAGTAAGACTTACTCTTAATTATTGACGTAATTCTGTATAAAAAATGTTGATATTTTGTAATTTCTTTGGTCAATTCATTTGAATCCACCTTCCGATGGGAGACACACGTGTTTAAAATACAAAATCCAATGAAATAGTTGGGGACATAGTGCTGTATATATAGAATAGTGGCAATAAAATAGAAAGAGGATGCTCTTGGGGCATTTGTAAATCTTATTTTAGAAATCCAAAATGACTAATTATAAAGGCAGAAGGTGTAAAGGTGAATAAAAACTATTTTCCATCAAATCAAAGGAAAACTTGGATATGACATGCAATATGCAGATGGAAAATTATAGAGAAAAATTACGAGTGTCATAACAAAGTGTTGATAAGTTTGATTTGCATTTGTCAAATCAAGCTTAAGACAGTGGCGACAGAACATTTATAATTAGGGGGGGGGCCATATATTCATTTGTTATAATCCATAAACACAATTGATTTCAATAGAAAGTAATAAATTAAAACATTCATATATGAAGAATAGCCCCCCCAATTATCTATGTTCCCTGCGCTTGGCTTAAAAAGACAAAGAGCATGCCAAAAATTTGTGATTGGAAAATTGACTCGGCGCATCAACTCCACCAACTCTCCAAGTTCATGGTCATGGCAACAACCAACTAGATGATCTAGTAAGGATTATGGAGTCAATAGCTCTCTCAGTCACAAATTTTCGGATAAATCATCTGCACATGCGCAGTCTGCTTGAGCATGCGCGGTCAACTTGACCAGCTGCCCAAGTTCTTAGTCATGGCAACGACCAAGTGCATCTACTAGCACTGATTTTGAAGTAAATAGCATGCTTAGTAACAATTTAATAGAGAAATCATCTGCGCTCGAGCGCATGCGCAGTCTACTCGAATAATTGTTCATAGTCATGGCAACGACTAACTATATGTACTTGCACTACTTTCGTGGCAATTAACTCACTTAGTCGCAAATTATCAAAGAAATCATCTGGGCATGCGCAGTAGTGACTTTAATAATACCACAACTTTCGTAAGCCTTTGAATTTGTGTATATAATATATATTAAGCTAAAACTTCATATAGTAGATGTCAACTAGCAGTGGAAGCTGGGTGCGATATAGTATGTAGTGGCTTAGGGGCCCACACTTCGGTGGCGACCGCACTCTCCCTGCGTACCCCGAGCAAAGCCTATCGCAAGTGATCTCGGGGTCTGATGGGTGGAAGCTTGCTATTGCATCTCCCAAGTAAGATAGCGTGGAGGGGCCGAAATCTCCTACCGAAACGTTAACATGCGGCGTTCTAGTGCCTTGCGCTTAAGAAGGTATCGGGAAGCATTGACTGAAAACGGGGTTTTTTGCTTTCTAATTTTATCTTTTTGTTTACATAAAATAAATTAAATCAAGTAATGACACATATAATTTAAGACAACCTTAAACATGTTTTATACAATTTTATTGGTTTGTTATTTTTGTGATCTTTGTGATTTAACTCTCTCATTTACTGTTTCTCATGTATCACGAGCAAACCATGGACTTCAAGGATTATCTGGTTCCGTTAATAAACATGCGACGCTCTAGTGCTCAACTATCTCGGGGTAACGGGAGGCATGGACCGAAAACGGGATTTTTTGTTTTCAGAATTTGTCTTTTTTACAAGAATTCTTCTCATAAATGAAACTAGAACATCCAAGGATACTGCAAAGGTTCAAACAACTTCTGCCTATTTGACTTATGATTTTGAACCAACTCTAAACATGTTTATGCGTTTTTAGTTGTTGTCTTTTACAATGTAATTTTCTCATTACTCTCTTGTGATGAACGAGAGCCTCCTTATACAATGTAACTCTCTCATCATGAACGATAGCACCAATGGGCTTCATGAAAAAAGGGGATTATCTACTTTTTAAAAATAGTTTTTACAAAGATAATATTTATTAAGCCAAGCCGTTTGTATCTAAATTGATCCCTTATGTCATAAAATTTTACTTCATTTTGGACAGTAAACTTCTTTTTATCTTACAATATTTTCATGATTCAATCTAGAAAGTTACTTCACTTCTCGAGTAATTTTGCTATTAAACAGAAGATTTTTCGGATTCAAAGGACTTCTTTTGATCGCATAGAGACAGCCGTCCAATTTATTACGTAAATGCATATAGATGTAATGCATGTATTATGTGATGCATGTATTATGTGATGCATGTAGCATTTCCTTGTAAGAAACCACCCTACCAAAGAATATCCAGATCCGATTTTAGCTGCATCGAGCGAAGAAAATTGCAAGTCATAGAATTTTCTTAACTGTTATTTTTATGATATTTATGATTCGATGTATCATGAGATTCCAGATGAAATTCACGACTGCCTTTGAATGCAATTAACACATATTCATAATATGACAATGTTTTCTGTTATCATTTAGCTTTATGTTTAATATTTAGTGTTACGCCTTCCGCCTTTATAAATAATCGTTCTGAAAGCTAGAATCAGATTCACAAATGTCCCCAAAACTCAAAAGCATCTACATAAACAATACTATGTCCGACCATTTGATTGTCCGAATTTTGTAATTTCATCTCGTATTTTTGACACGTGTGTCTACCGTCGCAAAGCTGCATTGAAAAACTTGAGGAAATGAGTTATGGTTTAGTTTGATGAGTTGGGGGATGGAAGAGTTAAGTTCTTTGGGACTTTCACTATTATATTGTAGAGTCAGTTGTGAAGTTGAGAAGTCTGGTTGAAACATATTTATTTTTAAGAGATTAATGTAAATTAAATTTGCAGTTTGCTGGTCTAGATTTTAAAAGACTGCTCTAAATACTCAGCCAGTCACTAGATGAATTAAAAAAAAGCTCTAGGAATCGTTTTTGTTGGTTTAATGGTCATGTTGTTTGTTATTGATGATTTAGGGTGACCAATCCATACACAGACAAATATCAAATGAATTCCATGTTGAACCGTAAGAATATTTGTTTTAGTATGTTTGATTTTACCATGCACCAAATAATCATGGTGTGAATTCAACAACACTTACAGAGGTTTTTTTTAGAAATGTGTCTTGAAAAACGTGTGTTTTATCGAGTCATATCAGGAATGCACGCCAGTATTAACACGCATCTTTCAGCTCTGTACTTGTTCAAAGGTATATGGAAAATATATAGGAGCGTTTTGTATGGACTGCAGAGTGATTTAAACGAATCACAATATGTTAACAGGTAATGGATTTTTCAAGCCGGTATGGGCTCCAAATGCGAACGAATTTAAAAGAAGATTTGATCCGGAGAAAACAAATGGTCAAGGTAAGTTGTACACTTTTCTTATAACTTCACTAAGGTGTAACTACCGTACGTCTGTCCTATAGTTGTGAAGTGTTTTATACAAGTAGATTGAGGATCTTATAACTTCATTAAGATGTATCTACATCTGTCTTTAAGTTGTGAAGTGTTGTATACAAGTAGATTAAGGATCTTATAACATCATTAAGATGTATCTACATCTGTCCTTAAGTTGTGAAGTGTTGTATACAAGTAGATTGAGGATCTTATAACTTCATTAAGATGTAGCTACATCTGTCCTAAAGTTGTGAAGTGTTCTACACAGGTAGCTATAGAGGTCTTATAACCCTACAAAGATTTATCGATGTCTGTTTTTCGTGCAGTGCTGTATACAGGTAGTTAAAGATTTTAACAATATGTGCGCTATGCTTAGAAATTGGAGCCGTTTTGATGTTTTTAAGGAAAAACGGCGCAAAATCCTTGCATGTATGAAAGTGTGGAAATGAAAAACTTGCATGTTGTGAAGCACGGTATAATTACTATTTTGTAGTTTTAACGACCATGATGTTTTGATATGAACGTGTTTAGGTCCTAGTTGGTTAAAGAACATTTATTTCTTGTATTTATTGGTATGGAGAGCTATCGTAAAGGCTGGTCCTTACTGGAAACAAGAAGGCTTTTATACTGGAAATTCTACTGAAGATGAACTTGTAAAGAAACATGTTGAAGATTTATTATCACAAGCAAGGTGGCTTTTTTACATTTTTGTCTTGTTCATTAAAAAGATTGACGTACAATGTTTCCTTGTAACGGCTCAAGCAAGGAAATTATGTTGAAAAAATTGAAAGAATGAATTGTCACTTGTTGATAATTTTCATAGAAGTTGCCCCAGTACATTTGACGAGAGTATAATGTTTACTGGTGATCCCATTAAATCAAAAGGATTGAAGGTAAAATGTAGTCGTGTCTTTTTTATGATTAAACTCTGTGATTATGGATTAATAAATCCTTAATCCTCGAGCAGGAGGAGTTTCGGAAGAAATTTCGTAACATCACTCGGATTATGGATTGCGTCGGCTGTCAAAAGTGCAGATTGTGGGGGAAAGTCCAGGTCTTTTTATCTTTTACAAAATCAGCTTAGTGCATCTTAGTTTTCCGAGAAAATTAAGTTAATGGTAGCTTTAAATTTGTCACTGTTTAGACACAAGGAATCGGGACGGCGTTGAAGATCTTATTTTCAAGAAATCAACTGGACGAATCCACAGTTGCCTCCACGTTCCGTCTTAAACGAAATGAAATTGTTGCCCTATTTAACGCTCTTGGTCGATACTCCAGTAGTATTCATTACGTTCAAATGTTTCGTTCGTTATCAAAAACATGAAGGTGTTCACAGTTTCATGAAACATTCAAAGATAATCACTTCAATTTTAAATTAATCGATAATGTAGACATTGAAGTTTTTAAAGTTTGTTTTCATTCATACCAATAAGGTGCATTCTCGAAAACAATAAAAGGAAATTTTATTAGAAAGACGTTCCTTATTAGCATATTCAATTCGGCGTACTTATACATTCTTGTCATTGTGAGCGATGATAACATGTTGACGCTAGCGGAATAATATAATATGTCGACAGAAAGTGAAGACGATTTTGAAAGAAATCGTGACTCTTCTCCCAGCGCTAGTACAGAAATAGTCAAAAATACAATGAATCAAGGAGAAAACGTACAAGAGAACAACCAAGGACAAGCTCAACAACAACAGTCTCAAACGTCGATTTGGAAATCGATTTTAATGAGGATGTTTGTGTTCTGGTTAATCTCCCAATTTTTCAAAAGTAGACAAAACACCAGCAGTAACCCAGCGGGCATCAAGTCATCGCACAATCTCTTTCCGACTGGATCACTTGTGGTTTGTTGAACACGCTGCTTGCTTATTTATTTAAATATGGAATAAATGAATGATAAGAGATGATGAATTGAAAATAAAAAATTAAAGCCACGTGTATGGTCACATGACTAGAATACTGCTCTATGATTTTTTATGGCAGATTTGACGATATGATATTTCTAAGGGATTTCGTTTTGTCTGTTATCAGGCTTTGCATGTATTGCATTTAAAATGGCCTTATAATTTTTTGTGGCTGTCTTTGTTTTAGAAATTGGCATTGCCACAGGTCACCCTAATGAAAATGTGTACAACCTGACCAAATCTTGGTACTTCTAGTGTAAGCTTTTCTGATCTAAACACCACCAATTGGTGGAAGATCAGATGCTTACCACTCAAATAAGTCAATTTAAGAATAGAGCTTTTGAGAGCATTACACATGTGTAGGATTTGCAAGAAATTAGTTACAAAGAGATTTTACTCATCTTTTGTAAAATTATACTTTGGGTGTTTGTAACTTAGTCTTAGGCATGTTCATTATTTCTGTGATCATTTTATATCTTTTATTTTAAGGATCTCTGGGTTTTTCTCTCTCCTGATAATGAAATGTTTAAGGAAAAACCAATAAATTCAAATAAGAAGTTGATTTGGTTTTTAAAAGACCTAAATGTTGGTAACTGGACTACGGGCCCTAACAATGATGGTTCTTATGTATTTCACTATCAAGTGAAAACATCTGAGGTAGCACAAAAAATATATTTTGGTATTATTTTTATTATTCATTCATCCCCGACTTTATATACTCTTCTTTTTCATAGGAAGTGCAGAATAATGGATCATTATATCTTCATGCTTTCATTACTAAGTCTGGGGTCTCTCCTGATCCAAATTCAAATAATCATAAAGAACAAGATGTAGTTGGAAGCACAAAATGTATGTTGATAGACAACAGAAGGCAAAGGCTCATGTTCAAAAACTCTTAAACTTAAAATAATATAACATTCAAAATATCAAAATCATTTTACAGTCAAACATTTTGAGTCTTTAAACAACTGATTTGTGCATTTTTTTCCCACATATTATACTAATTACCAAATTTTCATTATTTTTGATGTATTATCTTTTGAAATGTTTTTAGTAATGACAGTTTATCGTAAAAGGAGAATACATCGAACAAAAAATTTATTGACAGGAGAAGCAGACATTCAACGTGATTCTGTATGTATAGTCCCAAAATAAAATAAAGACTCATCAAAATTTGTTTACTTTAGTTTCCTAATTTTTATAGAAAACTGGTGATAAAAACACTCCAGTTGAATTAATATCATATTGGCATTCTAACCTTACAATAAACCTTTTGGATGATCAAACACAATGGACAAAAGGAAGTGTACCATCTCCTTTAGATGAATGTAAGAGTGAAACGAACATTTAAAAAATGATATGTTTGTATGTTTTGTAAATAGATGTGCTATATTCTGTGTAGTTATCAAGTTTGATGAAAAGACCGGTGGTTACTATCCTGTATTGTACCTCAATGATTACTGGAATTATTTTAGTGACTACATGCCTGTGAATGAAACTACTAAGTAAGCACTATCATGATAGGATTAAGGATGTACATTGACGGAGCCAGACAGTAAATTGGTCTTGTTTTTTTTGTGCAGAATTTTAGATCTTTATCTTACATACTCGCCACTGTCCTTGTTCAAATGGCAAATGTATGAATCTCAAAGAATGAGAAAGAAATGGTTTGCTGTTTTTGGCGATGACTTCCAGGACTCAGAGGAAGATCAAGACTCAATGAAGGTAGGCTTATTTTATGTATCTCTCATTTTATTATTGTATTTCCCTTGAACTTTTCTATTCAAATGTTTTACTTGTTTAGAAAACCATGGCAGAGACCAATCCATATTTGTTAGGATTAACTGTAGTGGTATCTCTAGTTCACAGCGTGTTTGAATTCCTTGCTTTTAAAAATGGTTTGTCGTTTTATTGAAATTCTTGATGTCTTTTTTGGTTTGGTGTAACTTCCTTAATTTTTTTTTATTAAGACATCCAATTCTGGCGTTCCCGCAAATCACTGGAAGGATTATCAGTTCGTTCAGTTTTCTTCAATGTTTTTCAGTCATTGGTTGTGTTGTTGTATGTTTGGGATAATGAGGCGAATACGATAGTTATTATTAGCTGTTTTATTGGTTTGCTTATTGAAATATGGAAAATTAATAAAGTTGTCGATATTAAGGTATGTTTTGAGCTCTTCACTCTACAATTGTCGTTGTGAAAGCTACTAGCTTAAAAGCCCATCAACATTATCTAACACTGTCTTAAACTGACAATAGTCAACAAAAATACAAAGGAAATGGAAGATATTCAATACCAATAATACATAAAAGTACCTCCTTATGAATCAGCTTTAAAAAACTGTTGCAGGTCGACAGAAGTAATCCCATATACGGGTTTATACCACGGATTAATATATCCGACAAGCAATCATATACTGAATCATCTACTAGACAGTACGATACGGTAAAGTAAAAGTTTTGCATTGATGTTTAATCGTGTCACTATCTTCATAATTTTATTTGTTTATCTACATGATCGATGTACTTTGTTTTCAGATGGCATTTAAATATCTTTCGTGGCTTTTATTTCCTTTATTATTTGGTTATTCCATTTACTCTTTACTCTATCAAGAACACAAAGGCTGGTACTCTTGGATTCTTAGTATGCTTTATGGTTTTCTTCTAACGTTTGGTAAGTTCATCATATGTACAAATCATATTTAATTTTGAGCTATCTATATGAACAAATTGATATCTGCAAGGAGGGAATATTGCCTTTCTTCATGTATAGAGCAATGTGATGGCATCTTTCCATGTAAAATTCTACCCTGAAATTCGTGTGTACATAATTTGACAGTAATGATTCATTTTCCTTTTCATCTGTTAAATTGACTTGCTTTGTTTGTGTGTGATGCCCTGTTCTGTACAATGAGCGTTGTTTCCGTGGTTGAGTTCAGTGCTCGTAATTTTGATTGCGTGTTTTATCTGTGAATATATAGTATATTCCAGTACTTTTATTTTTGAGTTGTTAACACCTAAACATAGTGTTATAATTTTCTGACGTATCAAATCCTGTCACGTCTTGATTCCTACAAATTAGAAATGAATAAAAAATAGAAATCTTCCCCATTTCAGTAAGTAGTGAAAGAGATGTTATTTTTTGTACTTTTTCCTTGCTATAATTCCATGGAGGAATGCTGAAACTGCGATCTCTAGACAAGGTTATAGATGAAGAACTTGGTGTTGTCAACCACGGAATTTCTTCGCTATGTGATTCACAACGACTGTGATTCACTTTCTCAAAACATCCCAAACGACATCCCATCTTTCCTACTTTAGCTCACTAACTTATACAAGAACGCTTGAATAAAGAATAAAATGTAGTGCGTCATAATTATCTTAATTAAGTAGAAACCGTCCCATCTCATAATTAACAAGAGTCTAAAAGTAATTTCGTATTTTTTCGGCAGCGAAGCGCGCCAACGAATTAGAAGATACCTAACCTATGTAGTTATAGTGATTTTGTAAATTAGTAACTTAAAGTAAATCTTGTTTTATTTTATGTAGGTTTTATTATGATGACTCCCCAACTGTTTATTAATTACAAACTCAAATCTGTGGCCCATCTCCCATGGAGAATGCTCACTTATAAAGCATTGAATACCTTCATTGATGATCTTTTTGCCTTCATTATTAAAATGCCGACTTTATATCGTTTGGGATGTCTACGTGACGGTGAGTAAATGTTTTAATATTATGGTAAATTATATTGTAATTATTGTACTACAACAGTACTGTCAACTTTTTTGGATAATATTTATTGAATTTTTTGTAGACGTGATTTTCTTTATATATCTCTACCAAAAATGGATATATCCTATCGATTACAAACGGGTAAATGAGTTTGGTGTAACTGGTGAAGATTTGCAATCTTCAGATGTCAATGACGATGGCCAAGCTAATGTGTCAAATGAAAACTCTGAAAACGGAGTTGTTCATGCCAAAAGTGAATGAACTTTTTAGTTAATATTCTTGATATTAATGCATAAGACAAGCATAATCTTTGAAATAGGAGTTTTAATTTGTAGTGTAATTCATAAAATATTTTCTTTGGGCTGGTAAATTTTCGATAAGTGTCTGATTGTTCTCAGGTGTGCATAAACACGTGTTTACTGCTGTTTTACGACCAATGAGTGATGAGTATGTATTATTTCCACCAATAACATTGCTGTTCTTATAACCTATGGCTTCCCGCGCTTCCTTACTGATTTGATTTTAAGAGTCAAGCAAGACAAGTCAGCCATTCGTAGTTTCGTACGGCGATATTTATCGAAATAAGCGATGGATATTTCTTATATTTTTGAGGAAGAAAGCATGAGTTTTGGGTAATTTAACTTCTCTCCTCGTTTTGAAATGAATTATGGAATTTGCCAACATCGTTTTTGTACGGCTTAATGCTTACAGTTCTATTGTACATTGGAAATTTCGTCGTCGATTTTAATCGTTATCTTTCTTGTCATAAAGATTGTATTTTCTTTAAACGAAGATAGTATATATTTCAAAAGGTTCTTGGTATAATTTGCTTGTCAAAACGAAGAATGTTTGAAGAAATTTTGATCCTGGGAAGAACAAGACCACGACTTGTGAGTACACAAATTATACTTCAGCTGTTTAGTAGTTCAATAGACTTCAAACTTACTTGAAGGTTTTCTGTTTGCCTGTTAAACAACAATATCTTATAATGCGATATATATTGACACACTGGAGAAAAACAGTTCTTCAATTCATTCACTAAGATTTAAAGCTTAAACATACTAGTTAGAAACTTTTCCTTGGTCGTTTCACCCCTCGCGGAATGGCGAATTACTTTATTTTTTTATCTCATGAAAAGAACGCCACTAAATTATGAAAGGTATGTTGTTTATGATATAATTCAGTTACTCTTCTTGCGAGGATGTTTGCTCTGCTGATGGTAGGAAAATATCCATGGTTGTTGAGTAAATTTGTTTCTTTTAAAAGTTTGGCACAAGAGTAAGTCTGAAACTCGAAGACGCATTTCTTCAAGTTCAAAAAATTAATATGCAGACAAAATTATGAATTTCTTGTACTAGATACTTAACTGCATACTTATTAACATGTAAACCTAATGTTGAGGATAATTGTATTCAATTCTCTATGGCTAGATAATGAAATATTTCTACTCGTTATGAAATAATAAACCTATTATTGGAAATTTAAAGAGCTTCTCTCTATACATTCAAATATAAGCACAAAACATATTGGTAATTGTCAAATACATGATTACCTATAAAAGTTCCATTCATTTTTTTTGTATCCTGTAGACAATATTGCAAATGGCAATGTGTTATAAGAAATGGTTGATATTTTTCATGGGATGGCTTTCACAAGTACTTTCAGCTTTCATCTAGATTGGTTTGTGGGTCATTTTAACTCGTAACAGAACAATTTATGCATGAGAGAAAGAACAATAAACTAAAGAAGCAACATAATTCTCATAATATATTTATTTTTTGCTAAGTCAAAGATTATACTAATAGAATGTGTACCTGTCATCATTCATGGCACAATGATAACAAAATTATGCATTCTTTGACATAGCCTCTTTAACATGAGTTGGAATTTTCTGCACAAACATATCATGATTTTCTAGAGTGGCAATTAGGCCTACATAGTTCATGTAATCCATGTTATACTGGTAATTTATTGGCCTGCCAAGAATGTCAGTCATAGAACCACCTGCTGCACAAAGTACAGCTTCTGGAGCACAGGTGTCCCATCGTTTTGTTCCTTTGCTTGCATAAATATAAGCATCTGCCTCACCAAGAAGTACTAACAGTGCCTTATAACCTGAACCACCTGCTTTCAATATCTTTGTGGGATTCAAGGCTTCAATTGATGCTGTATTGATTTCACTGCTGTGAGAACGAGTAGTTACAATAACTAGCCCATCATGTGTACTTTTTTCATAACCAAATGCTCCAATACCCTGCACACCCCATATTGTACGCCCCTTTTCTTTTGGTCGATAGAAAGGCTGGTGTATTACACCTGCAACTGGACGACCTCTTATTGATATTCCAATTAATACAGTCACATGCTCAATGAGGCCTACAATAGATAAAATATAAGATGATTCTTTTATTGTAGCAATTACCATTTAAGTTGTAAATAGCATACTAACCATCTGTAAATTCTTTAGTTCCATCAAGGGGGTCGACCCAGACAACTATCTTGAATACAAAACAACGATTAATTTTGCAAAAAAATGTGTTTATAGCTTTGGCAAGAGCATAGAAAAAACAGTCAGTCATTTGTGATTGTATGAACAGACCAACCTCCTCCTCTTTGCAATTCTTCAATTCCTGTGGACAGTGTTGTTGTAGAACTGTAGAATCATCTTCTGTTTCAGCAACTTCAATGATATCTGAGCAATCTTCCTGACAGGAACAAAATTGAAAGTTAATATAACACCATGACCTCTATCAATGACTTTCATTCTTTGGTGTATGTTCAACACTAACCTCTTCGCCAACTATTTTCACAGATGGAAATTTCTGTAGCAATGATGTAATAATGCATTTCTGTGCAGCTCTGTCTGCAATTGTTTGTGGATCAAATTCACCTTGACCTAAACCCTGTGAAATCAATGCAATATTTATGTAAGAAAGAAGTATTTAAAAATCTTCTGCAGGAATAAATGATGGCGGTGATTCTGATGTGATTTTCGGCGAAAGCACATTTCAGTTCATTCTTCTTCCTAGTCAAATACATATATCATATATTAAACCTTATCGATGACTGCAAGATCTCCATTTTGTAGAACACTGCGGATGATAGAACCAGCTTTATTCGCTGCTGCTACAGAACATGATACAAGACGCAAAATGAGGGGCACATTCGCGACCGCCATTTTTAATAATTACTACATGAATGATGAGCCAACGAGGTCAGTGGAGGCAACTACCTCCCTATGATCAAATTTATGCCGTACCCGAATCTTGATTGACCCACCCCACCCTCCCTTGAAATACAAAAAACGAGTATGGTTTTACGATGAATCACGAAAGTTTATCTTATTAACTCTCAATACAACAATGTATACAATGCAGTTTTAAACACAAACGATTTCATTGGCCAAAGGTCTTCTTATTGCATGAAAAAGTCTTTCCCAAAATCTTTCCTTCTTCTCTTCATCCGTCCAGTCAAGATAGACTAGATTGGATACAGCAGCCGGTGTTTTACACTTTTCATATAATATAGTTAAGACTTGATGTCCTGTCTTGCCTGCAGCAAGTGCATGGTAAAGTTCTTTCATTGCAAAAATACTTTTTAAGGAATCTTTCGAAAGAATAAACAGTGTCTTCCTGCTTCCATAGATGCCTCGTATCATGTTATCGTCAATCGTTTTTCCTATCTCGAAGTCAATAAAGTCAATGAAAACTTTGAAGTCCTGAGTTTTAAGTTTTGGAAATAGAGTGTTGTGTACCCAATCTTTGTTTTTTGAACTGTAACAAACGAACACATCTTTGGATCGAGGTAACTTTGGTGGATCTGAAACGATGATAAAGATTCTTGAGTAAATCCTCTTTTGCTTTAAGTCTGATTTGGAAAAAAAAGCGTAATCTAGCGTTTTAACTTAAGTAAACATTTACAGAACGAGTGTATATTCTTTAAAGCGTTTGGTCTTGACTCTGGTTGAATGTTTATAAATAATATGCAAACATATCTGCAGGTTATAATGGTGTCTAATTAGGTTGATAAGTTTGTGTATTACGACATTGGTTCATCAATACACATTTGGTGATCGTATCAATGTCTGGTTCGCTTGGTAGAACCATATGGGTAGAACCACATGGTAGAACCATATAGGTAGAACCACATGGTAGAACCATATGGGTAGAACCATATGGGTAAAACCATATGGGTAGAACCATATGGGTAGAACCATATGGGTAAAACCATATGGGTAGAACCACATGGTAGAACCATATGGGTAGAACCATATGGGTAAAACCATATGGGTAGAACCACATGGAGAACCATATGGGTAGAACCACATGGTAGAACCATATGGGTAGAACCATATGGGTAAAACCATATGGGTAGAACCACATGGTAGAACCATATGGGTAGAACCATATGGGTAGAACCATATGGGTAGAACCACAGGCTATGTTGGCGGATCTAACGGTCAACGGACATAAAAAGGGCAAGGTTCTGTTGCACGGATATCACATCATGTGCTTATATGTGTTACCTTATACTTTTCTTACCGTAATCAACCTCGTCAAACGGTCTCAGCAATTTTTTATCTTGATTTCTTATTCCTGATCTCCTTCTTTTTACTTCGTAGATAACAAAGATGACAAACGCTAAAACTATCAGCATTACGGTGGCGACTATAACCATTATGATTCTCTTTGAAAATATTTTCTTTTCTAAAAGAAAAGATGATATTAAAGCAATGATCTTCTAATATTACCTTGAGTTGATGATGTAATGTAATGATTTATCTTGTGATATAAGTTTCAAACAAAAATGGACAACCCTAGCATTATCTGCAACGACTAGACAACATATCTACCTAATTCATTATTAGAGGGGAAACTTTAGTACTTGTTGTGGCGGAAGAACGATTGGTTTCAGCTGGAATTACATCCTGCGCTAAAAATTTATATACCACTAACGATTTAGGATCGTGATTTCGGAAAGTTGACCAAACTTGAAACTTTTCATGATTACACTGGTGTTCCAACTTTTTATGATTCATACCTTTGACCTGAGATCCTACAACGCAATTTCTATTAAAGATGAATGCAGTTTTTGTTTCCATCTGACTCTTCAAGAATGTATATTCATTCTTGTCTTTTGGACATGGCTTGCAGTCTTTAATTGACGTAGCGTTATTGTCGTGAGAAAATGTCTGCGAAGGACAGAGTTTAGGTGACCGTTCATTCGGGGGACAATAGAATCCTTTGTAACACCTTACTAAAAATTGGATATTCATTTTAATATTTTTCACTATTTCCTTAATAGTTAAGTTGTGATTGTGGAAGTCCAATGAATGTTTTTATATTATTGCAATAAATAATGTTTATGAATACCTGCATACACAGTAATGGAAGCTTCCTCGAATCTTGTCATGTACATCTGTTTATCACTGTTCGTTTCGCACTTGTATTCTCCAGCATCGCTCACTTTAAAGTTTTTAATGACAATTTTTGATGGTGAACATTCATCTTCGCTTATTCTTTCCCCATGCATCCATTCAATGTGACCCTTTATCTCTCGGAGACGTTTTGAGTCTTTCCACCAATTAGCACCACATTTTGCTTTCTTATCTCGTGTCCACTCGCAACTTATGTTCACGTTTGAACCAATGATTATGTCACGATCTGCCAATGTTCCTTCAAGTATAATGTGTCCAGTCGTTCTTCCATCTTAATGAAACATTTAACTAATGTCACATTTACCACATACGCTAACTTTGTGTCTGTATATAGCATAACGTCCATTGTTTGTACAATTGATAGAATGGAATCGACTGTTTGTACATTTGAAAGAGTGGAATCAAAATTAATAATGGCTCGCCCATTATCTTGTTTGAATATATTGATTTAATTAAAAACAATCTTTGGTGAATGGATTCAATCGTATAAGATTGTGTGTGGGGATTTTTACTATGGAATTTCACAATGGCATCTCATTTAGTTTACTACAATCAATACTATACGATATTTTTATACTCACTAATAAGGTGAACATCTGTTAGTATTGTAATGAGAACCAAGGACATCCACCTCGCAAACCTGTATATCATGTTGTGGTGATATGTATTGTGAAATGCTAGTCCTCCTCTAAAATTTTGGAACTTTGTTTATATGTATATGCAAATTATATTTACTGTCAGACTCTTTAAATAGTTTTATTAACATTTACTATCAATTCCGGTAATATAATACGATATTAGCGCATTACATTTGAGACTTTGTCCCGGTTTTTTTTGCAAGGGAAGTGTTTAGATTATTCGCTGCATCTCCTGTGTCAAGTTTTGTCGTCTGTAATACTGTAAAACTTGGAAACTATTTTGTGTTTTTTTCTTGAGTCGATGATTATTTCTCTACTCGACTTCCAATCATGTTTAACAATGTTTTAATTGTTATTGTAATCAGCGATGCTTGTTTTTCTTAATTAAACTGCTTGTATATTTTTCAAAAGACGCTTTGCTCCGCGTCTTGAACTTTGGTCGTTCGTGTTTAATTTACCGGAAAAATGCTTTGACATCATTAGAAAGACTGTGTTCCTTATTTAGTCAATTTCTTTCTTGAGACTTGGATGTTGTTTGAACATTGTGATTATATTATTCCACGTTCACAAACATATCAAAGCGATGTATTTTGCCTTGTCTCACCGAGAAATCTTAGGTGAAAATCGTACATTTCTCATAATCTTTGATGTTTGAGATGCCGAAACATGTCTATTCTGAAAAAACTCGTCGTCTATATTAAATGCACATTAGCAATAGTGCTTCTACGAAATTATGGAAACAATATAATCGATGTTCGGATTGCGCATTCTACGTCATTTACGGATACGTGAAGCAAGAACTACGAGAGGCTTTTCATCACACACTTCCGTAGCATCAAATTTTTAAAACAATGCTGATGAAACGTTCTTCTTTTAGCTGGACATTGTCTTCCCGTTTTCCTGTTATTGAAATTATCAGAATCAATGTTGGGATTTTTGTCTTTGAGAATTTTACATTATGTTACACTGTTCATAGTACATTGTGAAATAATTTGGCTCTAAACATTTGTGTTGCTTTTGGTTACAACACCAGGTACTATTACTCTTTTCACAAGATCACGTATGTTGTTTTTTCCGTCTTTGTTAATGTGAATAGCGTGTCGCTATCACTTGTTCTGTTATGATTTTCGTATTGCCTGATAAAGTTTTTCCCAAAACTGATCTCTCTTTTCTTCGGCGGTCCAGTCAAGATAGACAATATTTGCTATTTCATCAGGCAACTTACATTTCTCATATAGCACGACTATGACTTGATGTCTGCCTGTTTTTCTTCCCGCATTCAAGGCTTGACTTAATTCACTTCGGGCGTAGTAACTTTTTATAGAGTCCTTGGACAGCACAAATATTGTTTTTCGACTCCCGTATATTCCTTTCACAATATTCTCATGGATAGAAACGCCAATCTCAAAGTCAACAAAATCTACAAATGTTTGGAAATGCTGCTCACGAAGATTGGCCAGCAGTGTGTTGTGAACCCAGTCGCGATTCTTTGAGCTGTAGCACACAAATACATCTCTAGATGGTGCATTTTCTGGAATTTCTAGAGACAAGTAGGGAAATTTGAGAAGATCATTGTTGGGTGTAATCTGATATTGGAAATTTCTGTTGATAATAAAACTAAAAAAGATTCTGTTCTCTGACGTAAACACATAGCACGAGGCCATTTTTACCTATTTGTATTTCTTCAGAGGGGTTAACCAGTTTCTTATATTTACGACATCTTCGCACTCCATACAAACCACCAATAATAATGATGACAACTCCTGAGACTATGGTTCCAACAATTGCTATCATTTCGCCGTGCAGTAAACCTGAAGATCTTTCTCCTGTAAAAGACAAATAAAAAACTTGAGTTGATTAAACTTTTGTACTACGAGCACAGAGATAATTTGGACAACATTGCTATTTTCTAAAGCACTTCTGTGAGTGCAACATTCGCTACGATAGAAACTTACATTCTGTACAGATAACTCTTTATCTCATGGTAGAGATGTTCATTTTTTACCTGATGTCAATTCTCGTACGGGACATTTGATTTCTCGGATACTCGTGCCATATTCGTCATCATCAAGTAATATCGTCAAAGTTTCATTCCAGTTGTCCGCGCACGATTTGCAATCTTCAATTTTTTTTGCATTCACTTGCATCGTAAAGGTTCCATTTGGACAGCGTATAGCTGTTTCGTTACTTGAAGGACAGTAAAATCCCCGAAAACATGGCACTGTAATTATGCATGAGGAAATGATTTCAAAGCAAAGAATAATCAGGTTTATTCGTTACAGAAAGTACATCGATCACATCGTGATTAGAAAGAAACACATCAACGATCAAATCATGAATCGGAAGGATATCAGTGGATCACTTCATGAACAGAAAGGATATCAATGGATCACATCATGAATATTATAGATATCAATGATTTTTCTAAAATTGTACTAACCGGCTGCAATCGATATTTCCTTTTGCGTGTAAGTTGAACGGGAATCTCCAATCCAACCTAAAAATTTGCATTTGTATTTTCCTGAAGAGTTAGTCAACACTTCATGTATGATTATCGTACTGGAACATAAGTCGTTGCTTGGTGACTGCCAGTTTATGAATCGACTACCAGTCATAGGTTTATCGTTCTTTTCCCATTTCCACCTCAAGTGAGGACACTGTGAAGTATGTACGACGCAGGTTATATTAATTTTTGAGCCCAACTTTACGTTCTTTTCACGTATCGTGCCGCGTATTGCTTCCATTGAAATGTTTATGGGTGCTTCTGTTTCTAAGTCTGTAATAGATTTAAATCATAAGTGTCGGCGAATGCTGATAAAGCAACTCAAAAACTCAATCAATAAAATTGTTCTTCAATTATATTACTTACCATAAACTTCAATTTCAGTTGTTAAACTAGCTCGCCCCAGGCTGTTTTCAGCAACGCAGGTGTAATTGCCTGCACTATTTTTCGACACCCTGAAGTACAAGGATTCCTCGCACAATTCGGAGTGGATTTTCTCTCTGTTTTTTCTCCTATTGAGTACGTGATCATTGTAATACCACGTAATAGTAGAAGGTGGGTTGCTTTCACAAAGTGCGCACTTTATTGTTGTTATACTACCGCTGACTTCTGTTAGACGTCGATGTTTTCCCTTCATTTTTGGTGGACCTGTAGCGTTTAAGTCAAATTTGTAAAGATCTAATATCATTCGTATTGATACATTCATTCAATATAAGCAAACTTTATCTTTATTACTACAGCCATAACTGCCAATACCTAATAACTCATAACAACGTGGCCGAGATAATCTGTGGAACATGGGCAATTTTTCTCACAGGGCCCTATGACGTCATTATTAAAGATTTGCAACTGCATCGTATGAAGTACTTCAAAAGGATAGTATTGTAAAATTTGATGCACTCTCAAAATCGGAGGCCTTCGGTTTGGTTCACCGTGGCAAAATGCCCTCTACTCTCTCCCCCTTTCTATGGCCTCGTATGCAATGCAAGTTTTTACCTATATTCTTATTACCAACAAGACGTTTTCCTTTCGTCATGGAACATACTTTAGAACAACCATGACCTGTATTAAATCAAAAGGAACACACAATTTTGGCAAATAGTGCAATAATTTTGTTAATATATATTGCAAGTGAAATTACCAATGACTGCAACCTCCGTTGTTGAATTTGCTTCTCCGAAGTCGTTCTTTGCTATACACGTGTAATTTCCATGATCTTCTTCCCTTACCGCGAAAAGATACAGCGTTTGTTCACATAAAAATCTGATGCTATGACTACGTTTTCTTGGCAAAACAAGAGGTTTTCCGTTGAAAAACCATTTGATACTCGAGGGTGAGCTGCTCCGACAAACATGACAGTTTATGGATAATGTACTTCTTAATGTCACATCTTTCCTCACTTTACCAAATTTCATGGTCGGAGGACCTGGAAAAACAGGGGAAATTAGTCGATTCAAGCTTCGATTGTTGAAAAATCTCTTTTTGCCATTTTGAGCTGGCAAGGCGACAAATTGCACAACAAAGTTAGCAATGCGAAACCTATAGAATGATGCAGTACTCGGTGGCAAAATGTTTTTTATTTTGCCTACTTCTGGTTGCAACAGTATCCTACCTAATTTATACTATCCTCTGAGGTACTGACTCTATCCCACTCCTCTCATGAAACGTTGTTTCAAACGTTATTTCTAGGAACTGTGTCATGTCACTTAATCCTTACTGTCTATAAAGGATTACCTTGCCTCGCTTTCGTGCTGTTGAAGTCCCACGTTGTCAATTTACCATTGCGAAAGGTACAATTTCTCGAACATTCTATTTAGTATAACAGAAATTATATATAGATGTTTGTTTTACTTTCAAACCTCGTGTATTCAGTAAAATGATCGGGTGCTTGAGTTTCATTTAAATCCCAAATAATTTCATCTTCGTACATATGGTCATTGTTCCCTGCTCAATGAAATGTACGATTCTTTCTGTTCAAACGTTCAAGGTTCCTCGTAATATTATCTATCTTACCTTTAATCGAAAATGCCCATGCGAAATAATCGATGAAACACAGAGAAACTGCTATTTTATAATAATGAAACATGATAGTTTTCTATTAATAACGAAGCAAATGCTTCTTGGTAAACTATTCAAACGATAATGAAAAAAAATGTAATACAAATTCTTGGAGTCGCATGGTTTTCTTGGTAATGATTGTCAATTAAGCATGCTTGTTGTAACTTTCAGTTTCCGCTTCTACAAGTCTGTAGACATCTTTAGAGATTTGAGATCTGTGCTTTTACATTATTGTTTTGATTAGACATCTTTAGAGATTTGAGATAGGTGCTTTTACATTATTGTTTTGATTATTGCGTGAGTGTGCTAATATTCACGGCAGATTGTATAAACAAAAATATATTTCCGCTTTCGTTCACATCACTGATTCTCTGCTTTGATTTGAAGAATTTGAAGAATTTGAAATCGCGATCGTTTTAATCATAAAATTGTTCAATCACTTTACACAAGTTCTGGAGGTTTTGTTAAAAATGTCTGTAAAATATATTTAATTACGTTTGATCTGAGTTCATTGCAAAGTTTGTTTGAATATTCGTTATCGTATATCAACCATATATAAATAGCAAATTCAGGATCGAATCACATATGATCCACTTCCTGCGCATCAAACTTTAGCATTAGTTTGAAGAACTTTGCAGAAAGAAAATGAGTTAAATTGACTGTGTTACACTTAATTTGATGAAATTTGCAATAAGAAAGTTGAGTTGATTTTACTAAATATTTTACTAAAGTAAATGGTTTGAACCCGGGAGTATCATTACATGTCAAAGATGACTCTGAAGATGACTACCGCTAAGGTTGTCGAAACGTCAGTCGACAACAACAAAAACAGTCCTAATCAGGACTGTACAAACCTGGACGATCTACATTTACAAACATGTAACGATACTCCCGGGTTCAAACCATTTACTTTAGTCATCTTCAGAGTAAAAAAAAAGTAAGTTTGAAAAACTTGGTCATAAACAATTCAGTTAACTTGACTGAATACTTTGGTGAAATTTGCCATAAGACAGTTGTTAAAATGACCACATAAACAATTATTAGGAGTAAAACATAAATCTAAATGCATGAAAACGTAACTTACTCAGAGATCCTCCATGTGACTTGCATTTTCCTCATATCCACCCTCATACCTCCCCACCCCTTCCCAGGCACACGCACGCAAACTGTAGCCACGGAACAACAAACTTCATTAATCGTCGTAAAGATGGCGAAGCATAAACGCAGTGTATTATTTTAGGTTTGTACAAACGCACTTATAAAAATAGTCTCTAATCTTCATCGATGCAAATTTCCAGAAAAAAAGTAACACATTATTTTTTTCACACCTTGTATTAAGTAGAAATAAATTAATTGAAGATTATCTAAGTCTTATCCTAGTTAATAAATTATCTGTATGAAAATATACAGTTGTCTAGATATATGTCTACAATGTCTACTCTTCCTAAGAGCCATTGGCGTTGTTACATATCAGTGAACATTGCTCGCAAATTTAAGAGTTGCTTAGTGAAATTAATGTTGCAGCAGCAGTCGTTGTACGAGTGTCTTCAACTTCAGATTTAGGTGACGAAGTGACGGTCTTGCAATGGGCGAAGTATTGTTTGGGCTTTGTATAAAATGGAAATCCTGGACGGCTTCTTGAAAGAACATCTTCAGGAAAACCCTTTGTCATGTAATAAGGAGGTACAAAACCAGTCACGCAAAATCCGTAATTGTCGTTGGCTGCAACAGGGGAATAAGGTGGAACAAATGCACTTGGAATATGTTCGTATGTTCTTCCCATGGGAGGGTAGGGCAAGTATCTGACCGTGTCTCGTTTGTCCATGAGTCTAGGAAGATTTTTATGTGTTCGTGATGACAGCATCATCATTTTGTTCGGTTGTGATGGCGCTTTTATGTAAGTTATTTGACCTTTGGTTTTTATCTTCTTACAACATGGTAGAATTGTTTCGACTGTCTTTATAAGATCGTAATCACATGCAGCGAGCAGCAACTGAAGAACCTTAGGTTTAATATCGGGGAAAAGACGTCGAAGAATGTTCATGAAACTTGCTTTAGGGTCTTGGTCCTGACTGCATTTTTCCAGTTCAATCATAGTTGTGCGAGCTTCGTCTGAGCCAAAGTGTAGGCATATAAACTCCCGTATTCCAGTCATACTTTCATTCAACGTCACTTTGTTTTCTAAAATGAAACAGCAAGTAATTAAACTCTCCTCTTCTCGAACAACGGGGAACTTTTTATAAAGAAAAACATTCATATTCTCGAAGGAAATGGGCTGGTCTCAATAAAAAAAAAAACAAATTAGAAACATTTAAATTGATGAAGCACTTTGTTTTCGAAATTCTTTTGACGTATGGCGTGTCTCGTGTAAGCAAAAAATGTCAGGAAAAAACAATGAAGAATGCATTCAATATAAAAAAGAGCTTATTATTAACATGTGACGTGGATGAATTAACGTTACAAGGACTTTTAGCGCCGATTGAAACGTGCGTAAATGAATGAGGAAGAAGGAAATGGAACGTGAGGTTATGACGTTCGAAGTCCAAGGTCGAACACATTTCTTGCCAAGGAAGTCGACTGAAGCGAAAACGTTGACTATATATTGTGATAACATGATTTTGATAAAAAACATTGATCATACGGGAAGACGTACGCAGGATATCTGTCGTCACTTGTTACATTGACGTTGTACTTCAATTCAATATTTGTTCTAACTTATGCTTTTTTACTCAATAATACTGCTCTCCACTTTCATATTTCTCGCCTCTATCCTTATATTTAGTCATTTTGAACAAATATTGCGATACATCACAATGCAAAGATAAAAACTGTTTAAAAAGAAACAAAATTCTAATTTTCCTCTCATGTGAATATCTTGTGCATATTCACTTTCACTATGTATTAAATTACAAGCGTCAAACATGCTGTGTAGATTGTACACTAGAAGCTAGTCAATGAGGTTGAAATACACATAGTATTCTCATTGAGTGCTTACTGTACTGGCTTTCCCAACACAACCCTATATTTAGTTCACCTTGACTGATTATCTTGACAATCATTGCATACCATACGTAATCGTTACATATAAGTGTTTATTCAGAAGGCGGTATTGCTTACTCATTTATCGTCATGATGGCACACACCGAGATGCTGTGGCAAAATATACGCACATGATAACTTCACAACAACCTTGTAGAACAATCGTTTTGGCATATAGTGATCATTATAGATGACGATGTTGCCTTGCTGTCTATATACGTCAATGTCGTTTACATATTTGAAGTACATTAGAATTTCCAAGTTCTTTGTTTCACACTAATTTTAGTAAAATATTCGATAAATGTTCTACATTATCAAACGTTAAAATGTACCGAATTTTGGGTTCATATTATAGTTCGACGAAAGAACTATAAAATGAAGGCAAATTATAGGATACGAACGTTAAATAAAATTATGACAAAAAAGTCCATTTAAACAATAAAAATAAACTCTTATAAATGTTACATCGTCTTTCACGTAGTTATATGAATCCAAATAACAAAACAAACAGAAAAGACTTTCGAGATCTTACCTTTATTATCTATGAAATATCGATCTGGTTCTGGTTTCATGATTTTATTATAGTATTGTCTATGTCTAAAAAGATCATGTAGTTTTTATGATCGCTGGTCGATTCGATTAAACTTTATCTTTTATTTTGTTATAGATGTCCAAATAGGTCCACGAAATAAAAGATCTTCAAGGAGTACGCGTGACTTTCAGGTAAATATCTGAATAAACTTCTGTTTGCCACAACTGTCTTGGCTGATTACCAACATAAAAATGTGCTGGATCAGTGTCTAGCTGCATTTGTAATACTGAGTGAGCTGTGCGTGGGCAGACATGAAGGTGTTGCTTGTCACGAGTTAAAATTGTGCGGTGTGGACAAACAACAGCGGAACCTATATCGAGTCTCAATTTCCGGTATTACATTCACATAATTGTTGCTTGCAAAGCGTACAACAACAAGCTTTATAAGGTGTTCGTTGATATATTATATTTCGTATTTCGTCATGCTAACCTTGGCAAATCATTTCATTCCCAATGGTCAATATTGCTTCGGTTTAGTAAATAACAAATGTTATCACACATATAATGACGCTGACCTTGCAAAAGGCATCCATGTAATAGTTGAATTCTATAGAAAGATTAGTATAAGTAAACAAAAAGGATCAAATTTTAATCAAGTTTGATCAATGCCATGCATTTCGTCTATTTAATGGCAGGAACACACACGATATTCGAAACACATCTGTTCCATTCGTTATATTGTCTTCGTGAAATAACAATGGCAATACACTTACGTAATCACACGGTGGTTGCAATTACTTCAATATTGCCACATGCACGTAGATATTAGCTATAATTTATACTAGCCACCGTGGGAGTTAAAGAATACACAGTATGTTTTGGTAAAATGAACGGTGTTTTCCTAAATGGAAAAAGGATCTTTGATGTATTTAGTCTTCCCAATATGCAATCATGTCATTCTTTGCAATAAAATATTTTCGTACCCAGAAGGCATCGATTAGATTTTTAGATGATTAGAAATAATCCTGATTTATTGTTTGTAATCATATTTGTGCAAGTGGACAGTATTATGGCTTGCCGTTGCAGAAATCACGTGTTTGATGACAAGGCATTTTGTTGACAAATAATAAGCAGAACATCCCTCACAAGCCAGTGAAATATTTGAATTATTTCTCTGGACGTACGGTTCGTTAATTGTATTTAAAGGCTGGTAAATTGAAAAATTCAAATATACAAAAAGCTCCTTGTGATCATCTTTTTTTCAGTTCTATCAAATAGCTTAAAATCTTTCAATAATTAGCGTTGGTGTATGTAATATTGGTCGTCTTCCAAGCAAATATTTTAGTTGTTGACTTGTTTATTTGTTATATGAAACAAACGTTGCCAATAGCGTGTCATATTACCCTGACCCACACATCACATTAATCGTAACATTTAGGATTTATTACATCAGGATGTTATTGTTCCCCCGCAATTTACGTCATCCAACTGTGGTTAAAGTGATTTCACTCACGTTTGGCTCTGTGCTCTGTCACAATCTTTTCGAAGAAAATGTTGAAATTTTCTGCGGAAATGTTGAAATTTTGCACGGAAACGTTGAGATGGCGATTTACACATTGTGAATATTTCTCAAATACTTTTCGCAATATTTGGTCGGAAACAGAGGTTAATCGCTGACGTAGGTACATGAAATAAACATTCGTTAGCTCAATTAGTTCCCCACGTCACTCTTTGTAACAAATTGATGGCAAAATTAATATACCTTATATGGCTAATGTTTTGGAAACTTTTTCTTAACTATCAGCCAATATATCAGGATTTCTTTAGGCGCAACAAAAACTACAATGCCTAGCCGTCACGAAAATAACCGACCGATACAATTTTACACTCGCGATAGAAAGTCGTCGTCCATATAATATAACCATTCCATTGACGTCATTATATTACATAAATGGATGAAACCCCTACAAGCTGCATGTCTTTGGTGTTGACTTAAAAGTTGACTTTATAGTAATTAAAGCAATACGACATATCTCCCTATGCGATATATTGTTATACAAAAACATGTTGTCGATCGTATTCATCTCTTTTCACCTCCATTTTGTGAAAATACCTAAAAAAAATGTGCTGTACTTTTTTCCTTCTACTACTTTTGAATAATCTTTTTTTCAGTTTTGTGCGATGTAGATGCCTTTATACATGCAAATATTCTCCATTGATTCATGTAATATTGAACAAATCATGATTTTACTATGATCGCATTGTTTTAATCTTTAATGGCTTAAATTACCTATCTAATTATAATAATTCATCTTCTAGCGATTTTAATGATTTCGTGCGCATTATTTGTACACGTTTGAAGATCCCATGAACTTCCTTGATGATCTTCGTGAATGAAATTGCTGTAACTCTGTGTTATGTTTGTGTTGTCTTTTTGATAAAATATAGTACAATAGATGAGTGCTTCAGTTTGAGAAACGATCATTTAAACAATTAATGCAAACATGCTTACTTCGTTATATCTATTGTTTCTGGATGTTTTTTTTTCATTTGTATTTTGTCAGCATGCCATTTGCTTTCTATCTGACGAAAGAGATCACTGATTTTTGTTGACTTTAATGTACAAGCTAACCGTTATTCATTTAATCTTTTAACTTCGAGAGTCATCTAATCAGTTAAATTTCAGATCTAATCTTGTCCCTTACCTGGTCTCATTTCTATGTTTGTCAATGTTGTCGTTTTGTGATAGTTGTTGATTGATCTTGTGCACATGTTATTGCTGCTTGAGAAATAAACGAAGGTGGGCGCGTTATGTTCACGAACAGCTTGCGTTGCATGCTTTGATGTAATCAACAATAATTTTTCTGGAAGGTCACAATGTCAATGGGGTGGCGTCATTAAAACCACTTCGCAAACATTTTATTTTTTGTTGACCTGTCGTTCAATGTGATAAATCCATGGTATTCATGCATGAAGTTGTCGTAAGGCCAAGGTCATTTAGTTGAGAAAGAAAGTATTTGTTAAATGTGTTTGTTCCTATGCGTGCTGTTTGCCAAAATACTCAAATGTTGTATCATCATTTCTTCATAATTAGCATTTAAAATGTGTGACTTTGCATGTAGAATATCTCACGTGACGTAGTATTGTAACGAGAACAATCTGGACCACTAGGAATCACATCAACGCTGTTATGTTGTTGTTGTTGTTGTCAGGCTCACTTTTAAAGAAGGAGATTTGTCGAAAAACCTCATTACCGTCTGCGAATGTTTTATTTCATGTCACACTACATGAAGTAATTTAAATTTACGTCGTCAACATGTTTGTGACGTGTGAAGTGAATAGGAAAATTACTCGCTTGACTTGAGAAGTCGATTTAGCTAACTCATACATTCGACAATATCGTGTTTTAACCTAACTCATTGTATATTGCGGTTTGCCAAAAGGGGAATAAAAGCATTTGAAGCAAAATTGTTGCAATATTTATGCTATTGTGTATGTATCGCCCATCCTTTTTATTGTTCTGCGATAAAAGCTGTGCTAAAAATAACATTTTTGCTATAAACACCTTTGACATTTTGCACATAATTCTTTAAAGAAGTCTAAGGAATGAATAGCTTCAATGACATATACAATTTCTTTAAAGATTAAAATCGTTACGTTACGTCTACGTACGATAACAGAAGGTTTTAAACCTCAACGTGTCATTCAGAATGCTATTTTATGTTCTTTTGTTCAACGTATTTTCTCGGCATTCTTTTCTAGAAAGTGTTTAATTTCCTGAAGGAATGCAGGATAGAATCTTCTCCACATTTTTATTGCTCAATATAATAAATGACATGCTTAGTAAAGCACAGAACGAATGTTATTTTAAACACTTATGATTTGAACGTCCAAAGATTGCCGTTGACTTCAAATCAACTTATAGAGTTCCTCAAAAGTCAAAACTAGTTTTCGAAATTGAGACATTTGGCTCTTTATTTGTTTTCCATATCAGTGAAAACTGCCTGTATGTCAAACTTTCCATAACAACGAATACTCAAATTAGCCTCTTAATACGAAGCTGTGGTAATGGTCTTGCACGCTGATAAGTATCTAAATTGATAATATTGACGTGGCGATCTCTCTTTTGACATTGCGTGCAATCTATTATAAGATAGATATAAAATTTCTTATCGTTAAAGAAAAATATTAACGTTTTTTCTGTTGAAACAATTTTTAGTGCTGTTTGAAAATCCATTATTCATAGACAAGATCACTTGATCTCACCTGTCGTCTATGTTTATGACGAGGGTGTAGAATTAAAGCATTTACTTTTACGACGATAGATTATGCAATCATAGTCGCGAGTCAAAAATAGATTATATTTCATGGTTATTTAATTATATACCAGCTTTTATTCTTCTAAACTTAAATTCTTGCGTGTTTTTGATTTTGCGTGACTGTACCTTATGTGTTTTAAAGATAATTAAGTAGTGCTAACCTACTCTGTGTGCTCAATATGCTAAAAATTACATGCTCACAAAGAATGCTTTTGTATCAAATTAATTCTTTCTAGACAAAATGTCTGTGGTTTTATTAACTCTCAATATCGTGTACACGTAACTACTAAATTGTATTTTTAATTGAAGTGCATTTAGATCATTCTATATCAGTTTTCCTTTCACATTCTAGGGAAATTTTTTTGTTTGCATCAAAATATTTTAATGAAATGAAAAAAATCGATTGAGATTATTCATTTTTTAAAACACCATAAGGAAATTCTTATCTATAATTTAGAGAACCATTAAGAAAGTATTTGGTTAAGTATAATCGTCTTCTTATATTTATCTAACATCCTGTCGTTCTTTGATTACATTGAATAGCTTTAGCATTTTCCCTTTCAGTAAAAATCAATCTGCAGTAAAATATTTGATTGAACAATTGCTATGGGATATAATATTGTTCGTGTGCTGATCTTCATTAATCCTAGATTAAACATCACGAAACTATCTATCATTCACGCCAAGATTGAAGAAAAAAATTAAATAACTTGAAAAAAACTTTATTTCATATAATTATTTATATTTACGTAACCCTTTCATTTCAGTTTTGTTATAAAAAGCCTGAAAGGCTGTCTCAGTACTTGTTGTGTAACAGTTTATATCTATCATCTGAATCTTGTTTTATTAATGTTTATAGTAACTATAACTAGCTTTCAACGATAATTTAAAATGCCAGTGCTATTGATCGTAAGAATTTTTTATTTTTCGACAGAAATATATGAAAATCACTTTCAATTGATATTTAACTTGCTATTTGTTTCTTAGGCTCAAAACACATTATGATCAGCGGCTGTATAGTATTTGACGTCATAGATTTGTATTTGTAACACGTCGTTAATGGTTTAACGAATCTATGAATTGCAATGAGGAATTTGTCCAAAAATTTGAGTTTTTTTATGCTTTCAAAACGCATCATGTTATCATGCTGTTAGAATATGCTATGACTTATAAGATGGGTTTCCTCACTCAAATTATTGTTATTTTGAGAAGAGTAGTCACACAATAAAAGTAGATGAACGTGTTTGCCGCCGGCGATAAATATTTTCTTTTTGTCATAAACTTGTGTAACAACTTCCAGAAGTCCTATTTTTGCCCTCCTGCTATTTTGGTTATTGTTAATTCTCAAAGCTCATGTGGTTCTTTACTAGTTTTATGTGAGAAAATGATCTATGTTTGAGATCATTATTTTACCGCAAAGTAAAAATTGCTACAATCAAGTGTAATTAATACATTAAATAAAAGAAGGGCGATAATTGAGCAAATCTTGTGTTTTCACTAGATAAAAATATCCTTAATGAAACTGTTCAGATGGTGCGGAACGAAATAAACAACACATTGTCGACATTGATAAAGTTCTCTTTCATTATCACAAAATTGTTCGCGTTGTTTTTCACAGCGCATTTAAAATGAAAATTGATATATATATTTAACAAAAAAAAACTAGAGCTCTTTTTGCCTCATATTTATATTTACTAAAATATTTTTGGTTGTAGATCTGTTCGAATTTAGATGAGAATTGTTTTAAGTGTTTCCCTTGAAGGTAATAGGGCTATTTCCAGTTAAATTTATTATTTAATAGTAAGTCTAAGACTTTTTCTTTCAGGAGTTAACTTTCTTCCTGACGTTTATGCATCGAAATAATAGTTTTATTAGCGTTAAATGAACTTAATAAGATTCTCTCGAGGAGGTAGAAGTAGCTATGTGGACAAATGTACAACGGATGGAATTTACCTCGGATTTTAACGCAACCTTCACACCAATGCGAAATTATACGTAATCTACGGAAACTTTTGTGAGGCAATGGAAGATATTTCACTTTTAACGACATGGTGTTAGAATGACACCGTTCAAAAAGCACTTTAGACAACGTCTTCGCTTACATACGTATTTCTTGAGTGATAATTTTTGTTAGGAGTAACTCAGGAAAACACGATTTGTTATATTTGGCGAAGTATCTTTACATTATTCCCTTTTGGTGTGCTTAGTTTTAAAGCATCTTTCTTAAAACTCTATTGAATTATACTTTCTAAAGAAAGTTCTCGAAAATACCGGTGTAGTGGATTAAGACCATTAAGTGACGCCATATTTTAAGATTAGATCTTTTGCAATTACCCCGTCACTTGTGTATCATTCTACTTTTATATTACGTAACAATTATACATACCTTGAACTTCTGGAGATTTGTCTCTGTGCCCTTCTTCTTTTGCTTTCGCCATTACCTTCAAGACGGTCTGCTCTGCGGCCATTATTCGCTGTCGCTCCACGATCAATGAGCAATTTTTACATGTGCAATCTTTCCACTTACACAAACCTTTGTGGCCTTTCAGAGGACGGATAACTCCGTGATTTTTGCAACGTGCACACATTGGTGTGACTGAAGTACTTCCTTCCCTGGATTTATTTTGTGGCTCAAATTTTTGACTGCTCACTTTAACATTATGTTTCTTGTTCGTAAGAATCTTCTGATGCACAATCGACGCTTCAAATTCTTTCTTCTTTCCATGATACACTGTCCTTCGAGATGCATTCATTTTCAAAGTTGTTACCAGCTTTGTCTAGATTTTGTTGTAGCTCGGATTAGCATATTCTGTCAACAGTTGAAAAATCAAATAATTGTAGGTTACACGACGTATATTGTCTGACTGTGTTATTGGTTAGTCACTCTAGTCAACATCGGTCTTCACTCACTGCGTTATAGTGTGAATATAACTACCAATTCTTCCTAGTAATTGATAAATATAGACCCACGCATCTCCATGGTTCAAACTGAACAGTTACTCAATATTTATCAATTGGTGGTCTATACATAGTAACTATTAATGTTTCTAGACCCGCATTCCGTTACATTCCAGTCATTTGCATTGTGTCTCTTTGTACGCAACTCGCGTCTTCTTCTCGACCAAAAATAGACTTCCCTTATTTAATTGCTGGGAGGAAGTTGTTTTGATATCGATAAAGATATAACTTCGTCCTCTTCGTCTTCTTTTTTGTCAACAGAGTTCTTTATGTCAATAGTGCTTTGTTTTCTTTTGAGATTTCTAAGCACCTGGGTTTTCGTTTAGAAAGACGAAATGTTCAATTCCTTGATCTTGTGCCAGACGCTGTCGGTGTTCTTTGCAATTTGGACTTTAGTTGTTTCACAAAAAAAGAGTAATTGAGCGGTTGTGAATAGTTTTCTTTCATGTATGCCAATGACTCGAAATGTTAATTTTAAATGGTTTCCGTCGAATTGGCAAAGTGATGGCTGTCAAGTAAATTTGGTCACGTCTTAAAACACGTTTTCATGCAATGGATAAATACTTGACCTTGTTGTGTAACGTTGTTATATTGCTATTATACTATTGCATAATTTGAGTGGCTTTAAACTAGACATCCTATGACAGATATTTTGATAATTTATTACGAATAACTTGACGTATGTGGCGATCTCTGTCTTTTATTAATCATTATTTAGGAATATTTCACCTAGATTTTACAGCTTTCAAAACACAGGCGTTTTTCTAAAAAATATATGTCCTCCCTTGAACATAAAAGACTGTAAGTTCACCTTGGTTTTGCTCTACGTAGATACGAAAGTAGCAGGTTAACAACTGTCTTCTCAATTACCATTTTATGTATGCTTGTCCAATCTCTCCTTGATGCAGCATTTATGTGTGTGACATACCTCTAAGATTCCGCTCTAAAATGTTTTTCAAACTTTACAAACTTTGGGATGCTGCTTTATCGAGAGAAAAATTGCTGCGGACGTACAATGCTCGAATGAGTTTTAGCATTTTTAATTAGAATGCGGTTAATGACGACTGCGAGTCTGCGATACATTTTTTGTGTATAATTCATTAGTTGCGTGAATCGAAACTAGTTGTCTTTGACAGCTAGTGTAGGAACTAGTTAAGTTGAAGACTTATTGATATCAGTCTAAAAAGTTTCTGTGACATGCTGGTCCACTACATTTGGGCGACATTACACTTGCTCTTTTATTTACAGCCTTGCTTGCACATTGTTGTAAAGCAACGTCTGAGTGAGTCAGATGAAGAATTAGTAAGGTTTCCTTGTTCTTGTAATTTAAATTAGTTTCGCTGGAATAATTTGGATCAAGTTCTTGACTGCAACTTCAGCATTCGTAACTTATTTTAGTGCTTTTTATCAATCTAATCCAATATGGTAGACTGACGTCTGACTGTCAGACAAAGTGAAGACATTACTGTCAATGTTATTCGCCACTTTATTTTATGCTGACAGAAATGAAAGGCGAGTCCGTCCCTCCACTTGACCAATGGCGATGATAATATTAACGACTGCTTTGGACATATATGGAAGAGAAAAAGTTTTGCTTTGATTCTCGTCGTCAATTACATGATCTTTCATTCCATCTTCACATTTTTTTAATAACTTGCGCACTCGTGTGTTACATAATTTGCATAAATTGCGCAATGAACATTTGAGTTGAACAATCTGCGATAATTTTTTCAAATGATTTTACTTGCCAGTTACAACTTCCCAGTGGGAAGAGACGATGAATGATAATTTGACTTGAAGTTTGTCTATATTTTGTCTGTATATTCTGTACATCTTTACAGAGCCGCTGTTACACAAGAAAAATATTTTTGCACTCTAATTTTGCAAGCGAACAGCTGACCATCAGGGAAAACAATTTCACCTAAACTTTCCATGTTTCCATTTTAGATTTCAAAGTTTCAAAATAAGTCGGATACTTTTTCATCAATGACAGCAAAGTGGGGGTGCGCAAAAAGAGCTCAAGACAAAAAGGAAACGTTTAAAGGATTAACTTGTCTCTTTCATCTCTACTTTGTATGAAGATATCATGATAATCTAACGGAGATGGCCAGAGGTGTTATCGTTGAGATTACTGATACGTAGTACGTTCTCTCGGTAGCCGGCAGCTATGTGTTTTCCTCGCACTGTCTCACACAACTTAATATGATTCTTGTAACGCCATGTAATGTGAGAAGGTGATTGCCGAAATCCTGACAAACCAATAAGCCACAGCCGAACGACAAGCCACAGAGAACGCATTGAATAGACAAGTAATTTTGTAATACTGTGAGTATGAGATTATGGGATATCACTGGAAGCTAAGTGCATTGAACTAAAGAAAATAATTGCTATCTGAAGAAAACAATTGAAGCCAAATCTTACATGAGACACGCGTGTCTGGGGTAAAATCACAACTTCAAAAAATTATTAGGGTTTTATATTACAGGTAGCGTTCCATGTATTTTAGTTCAACAAGTAAGTGCACATTGCATAGATGGATGTTTTGAGATTATGGGGATATGTAAGGATACGTTAGTACACAATGCCTACTATTGTATCCTGGACTACCTCAACTTGTTACACTACAAAACTCTTTTTGCAAATATATTTATAAATTTAAATTACACGTTACGCATCATAATCTTGTAAAGAGAACTACAAAACACTTGTGTCTTTACAATTGAGGATACAGCCAAAAATGAAACATAAATATATGCTCCACAAGTGGCAACTTCTACAGCTTTTACATTTGAAAAGCAGAATATTATCTTGTAGTTATGCCATATTATAGAAATTGTTAAAACATATGATTGATCTCACTTTTTTAGCAAAAGCAATCTTATGTAGTTTTTTTGTATCTGAGTGTAGCAATGCAATGGCTGCATTAAAAAAAGTACTTAAATCACGAGATTAGAAAATAACTGGGTTGGTTTGTAACATAATTGAATTGATTAGGCCCTCAAAGAGTTCTAAACACTAACTCCAAGTTTTTCCAAACACTTTGTGCCTTTTTCTTCGTATTCTTGTTTGGTTATCCAAAAATTATCTTTATCTTTCATGATTTCTGCCAGAACAGCTCCACCCAGAAACACCATGTGCTTACGACGTGGCGGATCCTCAATTCGAATCTTGAATTTCTATAAACGATGTATTAGGCTCATCAGTGACCTTTCTCTTCAACTTATGCTATTGAGAAACTTACAGCAAGATTTTTTCCATCTCCTTTCAGCACTCGCTCAAGGTACAGTTGCTTTATTTCCCGTTCTAAGCGACTTGGCAATCCAGGGTACATTGTGGACCCTCCTGACAACACAATGTGCTTATAGAACTCCATTCTTGTATCAATGTCTGCAGCTTGAATGGTGTTGAACAACAACTCAGCCATCCCAACACCCTCCACATTGATAAGATGAGGTTGGAAGAGAGCCTCTGGTGCTTCAAATCTTTCACCACTAACTTTCACAATGCGACCATCAGGCAGCTAAAAATTGATGACTGCACTTTGGAACTATGGACTTTAGATGATATCATCATGATTAACTTACTGTATACTGTTCCACAAGCACAGTGGTTTCATTAGCTAACTTTTGTTCTTGCTCTATGTTATATCTGAGAAAGATTAAAGCTGATAAGTTGGATATAAAAATGAGACAAAAACCAAAAAGGCAACATACCCAACATAACATAACTTTTCCTTCATCATGCGAACAGTTTCAAAGTCTGCAGTGTGGTTAAATGCATAGCCTCGTAGTAGTAGCAACTTATTATCACAAAAAATATGGTTACATACATGGACATTAAAATCTAATTATACAATTAACAGAGCTTTTGAAATCTTACTTTAATTAGATATTTTGTGATGTCACGACCAGCAATGTCCAATCTTCTAGTTAAATGTGGTAAAGCAAAACCCTCATACACAGGACAAATATGAGTCACTCCATCACCTGAGTCGATTACAACTCCAGTTAATAAACCTACATCAAAAGCATCCAAATTCATTATTTTCTGTTCTTGTATTTATAAAGTCATTAAAATTTCTTTACATTCCAGTTTACAAGGTACATTCATTGTCCACATTACCTTGTGCATACAATGTCAAAACAGCTTGAATGGCTATGTAGACACCTGCCATTTGATAATTCTCAAACATCACCTGATTGTAAGAAGAAACCAATTAGACTTGCTTACATTTACAAATAATATACAAGTATGTTTGATTTGATCCAACCTCTATCATTTTTTCACGATTTTTCATTGGATTCATTGGTGGCTCCGTAAGTAAGACCTATAAATTGAATCTTGGCACTTATTTATACAAGTTTTAATTAATCAGAAAAACTAATCTAATCTGAAAAACTAATCTAATCTAAAAAACTAATCTGGTATAGCAGACATATACCTTGCAGTTTTTAGTGTCAAGATTTAGTTTTGATGGACCAAACGTATAATCCCACACATGCTTCATGTCATCCCAACTTCTTACAATTCCATTATCCATTGGATAGTTACATTCTAACATGTGCCTCAGTTGACTAGCTTCGTCTCCAACCATTAAATCCTGTAACAGGAAGTGATGTTTACATCAGTTAGGCTTTAGGAGGCAATTCCATACTTGAACACATCGTAATAACCCAACTACATACACACAACATGCGTACCTTAATTTCTATATCGCCAACTTTTGCCGTCGAGCGAATAATTGGCCGTCCAACCATTGACGGAAAAATATGCTCGGGAAAGTTTGATCCAGCGAATCCACACTTGACAAACTGAAATGTACATTGAAACATTATGCCATACAGCGACCAGATCTCGGATGAATTTCATTTTACGTACCCCGGTCCCATTATCACATACAACAACCCTGTGCCCTTTTGAATCCATAATTGAACGAAAATTTTATACTATTTTCTTGTTTTCTTGTCTTATCTTTCTGTTATGCCTAGCTTCCGCTTTATACCGCCCAGTTATCTAGTGCTCGCACCTGAACTCAAACTAAGACTGGACCCTAAGAACACGCGTGTTATACGGGTGGATTGTCACGAAATGACGAAAGCATAATCGCACATGGAGAAAGTTATATCTCATCAAATATAATGAATATAATTGGTAAAAAATGATCACGTGTATCGCCACTGGTGATGCAGGATATGCAAATCAGGCTAAGTGCGCTTACAAGAAAAATGTGTGATTTTGATAAGTCCGGGATGCAGACGTATTCAACCAGATGTGGCAATGATTTAGTCAATTACAAATTTAGATAACAATATGCACCAGAAATGATCCCAAAAATATAGGTGAAATTGCTTCAGTGAATAAAAGGTGGGAATAGCGGAAATGTTGTTTAAATGAACCAATTTACAGAAAATCTTTACTATTATATATAAATAAGTACATTCTCTTTGTTCACGTTTTTTCTTGAACTCTTAACTTTTGCTCTCACACTCAATCTTGCTCTCTTGTTTGGGAGCTCAGATGCAACACAAAATGTGACATACTTCGAGCAAAATGAAAATTTACTAAATTCATATATTCTTGTTCCACAATTACATGTATGAAATGGATATTTTCCAAACAACTATAAAAGTTTTGCTCTTATATCACACCACTGTCCCGGGAGGTACCTGAAATGAAACAAATTAAGATCTTTATCTTCAAACCAAAGCTCAATCATAGGCAGACGTAAAGTCATTGATGAAGGTCAGCTCTTACTGATTTTCCAGGTCTTGCCCATGTACTAATGTAGCCTTCTTGGCAAGCAATAATCAAACAGTCTTCACGAAACTCTAAGCCACAAAGTCTTTCCATTGAAATTTTCTTAGCAACAAGTGGCTCCAATTGTGGAACATCATCAAACACTGGACATATTACAGAACCAAATGACTTATCATCCAAATTCAGTAACTCCTCCACAGAAGAACTCAAATTATGAGTTGTGATATAGCTCTGTATGTGGTTAGCTTCTTTAGAAGGTCCATTTGAGATATTGTTGCCTGTTAAAGAGGCTTGTGCTCGTAAACTACGAGCCCTTGGTTTGATTGGCCTGAGGACATCTTCAGTTATGTCCCATAATAGAAGCATTGTATCTTGGCCTACTGACCCAAGTCGATATGATGCATTTGGTCGATCAATGTCTATTGCACTATGTCTCTCACTGCAGGTTGACTTTCTGATATCCCCCTCTGTCCCTTTACCCTTATTGCTGTCTAACCTACCCCCACCACTGATGCTTGTGAGGTATGGGTCAAACCTGACCATACCAACCCAAGACTGATGTCCAATGCCTCTTGCTATAACACGATTTTCATAAAATGAGAATACTGTTATGAGATCATCTTCTCCACCAGTGACAATGTACTTGCCATCAGGACTCCAACATATGCACAACAAACCACCAAAATAGCTCCTCATGATCCCATTTAATGACTGACCATCAAAGTCAAAGATTCTTAAATAGCCATCTTGGCTGACTATTGCTAAATGCTTACAGTCTGGTGAGAAAGCAAATTCGTTAATACTTCCTTTGCCAATTGACCACTTGCACACTGGATTTCCCTGTGTCTTTGTTTTATTACCAAAAATCTGAAATCCAGGTCCTTGCTTCAGTAATGTAAATGTAGGTGAATCAAGACATGGAGGATTTTCTTTGTTGTAAACATACATATTACCACTGTCATATGCAGCCAAAAACAAGTTTTCTGATCCAGGGATCCACTTAATACATTTGACTGAAGATTTGTCAACTTGTCTCTGAAACAGTTAATGTTTGTTATTGGAGAAAATGTACCTGAATTAATATTCAGCTTTTATTAACCAAACACAAGGCTTTCACTGAAAAATATTGGACTAAGAAGTATTTGTACAGACTAATAAGTCCATTGCAAGGTTTGCACAACTACTTTTGGCTTTTCACAAAACTTCTGTTTGCTTTATCACATTTGTTTATTGGTCCATTACAAGAAAGAAATGGACCATCAACAATGTTTCTAAACCAATCAAAGTGCAATTTTTCACTAAACATGTCTTCTGCAATGCAATATAGATTGCATAAAGTACAAACCTACCTCTTTATTATAGCGAAGTAAGTAGTTTACACTTGCACTTAGCTGATTTAAAGACATTTTCTATCTTGAATGACAACTAAGCTAGGGAGTTCTGAAAAGAACTGTTATGTACAACTCAAGCTTTGCAGATGCAATAATACTTTTATATACATCTCCAAAAAGAGAAAAGTGGCTCACCTCTTCATTGTAAAGCTTGTTTAGTTCATGACCAATTGGATCAATAAGTTGAATCTGTCCAGCAGAAAAGCCAATTATTAGCTCAAGAAAATCTACACTTCTTGTTGGTAAATTGAAGTCATGACAAGTTGGAAATGTCCCCTTGTATCCACGCTTATCAAGTGGTTTGTTCAAATCTGCAGCCTTCAAAGAAAGAAAAACTTTAATTAAGGATTACATCAATTGTTGGTATTAATACAATTTAAGACAATTTTCGATAATGTTGAGCATAAGCATTAAACTCACACACACAAAATGATTGATACAGTTTTTCTGGGTGCTCATTGAAAGAATCCCAATGCTAGTCAATTGTTTTTAAAAGTTCTAACATAGAACATGTTTCATAGAACATGTTACATTGTGGATCCTATTTTTCTGCATTATACCATATTTGTCTCATAAGTCTCCCATCATTTTATAATAACTACTAATACGTATGCTCACTAAATGTCATTGTCATATTGGCTTTCACGATATACTCAATTGACACTTCAACTGCTTTTTCCCCGCAGTGATGGAAATCTGTATGCATTATGAAGGTCTATCTTATTAAGCAGACAATGAAAGTAAACACAAAACATAAAATTTACACCAATCAAAACAAAACTGACTTTAGCAAACACACATTCAAAAGTTTAAATACGTCAAGCGCATCACAAGACTACAGTCAAGCTAAAAAACCAACAGGGCTTTTCACATATCAACAATACCTTTTTGACGCCCTTGTACACATAAACATATAATTCTTTTCCGACATTGAAAGCAATTCTTTCTGTAGTACAATCTTTTTCTTTCAAAGTCACAAACGACATGCGAACTGGAAAAGGATGTTGAACAGTATAAGGCAACCTATTTGGTCTACAATATTCCGACAGGTTCATCAAGGTATAGACCCCTTCCTTTGTCGCAAATCTATTTTTGACATCACTGGATGCGTTTTGTTTTACAGACGACGCCATTAAACTTGTTGTGATGTTAGAAAATTCTCCATTTTGGGAAGTTTGTTAGCAAGGCGCCCACCCGTCCGAAAGAAATGTGTGACATCAACAACATCACGATGATGAGCCGATTGACTAATCGTGGTTACTCGTCACTCTCCATTCTCCCGTGATTTTTTTGGATTTTCTCAATATGTCTATCAATAATCAAGCATCAATGAATTATTGATTTTCGAGTGTTCGATCGAGGTTGAAAGTATCGTTTACAATTTATGATTCTCTTTGTGGACGAATATTTATCATAAAAGATCAAGGAATTTCCTAACAATAACAATCTATGGGTGCATTCTTGATTTAAGGCTCAAACTATATAGACAGGTTGCTAAAAAGGATTGCACAATCCATTGCGCTTCAACTCGAAACTTCAACTGTATATCATGAGTAACATTGCACTTATTTGTTTTGTTTTATTTTCATGAATGTCTGAAAAAGTTCAACGTGGCGCAAAGGATACATACAAACCTGTACAAACTGCGCGTGCGCAATACAAGATAAAATTTCAATCATGGCTGCCAGTATTCGTAGCAAACAGATTGGTAGGTTTAACTTAACTTATTTGTTATTGTATGTAGTTTCCATTGAAAGAATGATATGCCTATCTTTCTATAATGAGAATACACGGTTTTATGTCCAGTTGCTTTATTTTATTTAAAAAAGTAAATTTATGACCGGCAATAATTTTAGTGTGTAAATGTTTTATGTATTATATAGAGTGTTTGAAAAGAATGATAAGTCTAAATGATAACACAAAGAAGACTGCGTCCAGTGAGCCAGTGTGGAAGGTAATAAAAAAATTTACTTTACTATTTATCCGAAGAAAGGTTGTCTTTCAAGTTTTTCTCAATATATGCTAATTAATTCATTTTCAGATTCTAGTTTATGATCGATACGGGCAGGACATTATATCCCCACTTTTAACTGTTACTGAACTACGCGAACTTGGAGTAACTTTGCATTTGTGAGTGTACATGTAACGATAACTAAGGATGTGGAAAAAATTTTGAATAGAATTGTTTAAAGTACTAGGAATATAGATTGTAAGTTGTTTTTCATCATCAGATTGCTACATTCTAATCGAGATTCCATCCCCGACGTTCCGGCTGTGTATTTCGTTCTTCCTACAGAGGAAAATATTAAAAGAATTTGTCAGGTACAATGCCTTTTCAATTTATTAGCACATGCAATTTTGCATACTTTGATCTTATCTGTGTTTTCATGTTTTTTAGGATTGCAAAAATCAATGTTATGAATCATACTACTTGAATTTCATCTCTGCTATCATGAGACGTCAGCTGGAAGATTTGGCAACAGCTGTCCTCCAAGGAGATTGTGTCAATCAGATTTCAAAGGTGTTTATTTTTGATATCAATACAAATTTGTAATATGTACAACTTATGTATGGTTTGGGATATTTTGTATGGTAATAGTGGATGCCATAAATGATGTATTGATGTTTATGTATTGACAGGGATACACAGACATGACTAGAATGTTTATTGCAAAATTACTTTCAAAAGAAAACAGTCGGGCACAACTAAATTTACAAATAAACACCCATCAATTATTGTACTAGCTATGGCCCTTGGGATACAATAGTCACATATAAGGCACTCGTAGCATGTACTTAGACTTGTGTTTTTACCATATTTATTGATATAAAACTGGAGCAAAGATGCATAAAGATTTGCCTTTTTTAGATATTTGATCAATATCTGAATTTCATATCTTTGGAGGAAAATATGTTTACAACGCGATATCAAGAACGAGACTCTATATCATATTATGGTAATGTTTCAAAGATGGCATTAAACTTTCATAATTGTCTGAGTAAGACTAAACAAGACTTCATTCTTAGCTTTAAACAGACCTGATGCCAAAGATACAGATATTGAGAACATACAAGATACGCTAGTTGACAGTCTATTTTCATTTCTTGTGACATTAGGTATGGAAAATATTTCTGACACTCTTTGCCTTAAAAATCATGCAAATTTTCATGTTTTGGTTATTAATGTCAGGAACTGTTCCTGTGATCCGATGTCCACGTGGAAATGCGGCAGAAATTGTTGCGGAAGTATGTTTACAAATTTTGAGAAAATTGCTTAAATTGAAAGTTTATTGACAAGCACCTTTGTGTCTATGCTAAGGCTTTAGACAAGAAGCTTCGCGAGAATCTTCGAGATGCCAGAAACAGTTTATTTACTGGAGACATGAGCATGGGACAATTTAGGTAAACATGGGACAATTTAGGTAGACATTGGACTTTTTAGGTAAGTATGGGATAATTTAGGTAAACATTGGATTTTTTAGGTAAACATGGGACAATTTAGGTAAACATTGGATAAATTGTGTTTGTTTAAGATGTGATTGGTGAACCCAACTTTTGTCTTTAGTTTTCAAAGACCTGTGTTGATAATATTGGATAGAAATATTGATCTATGTACACCATTGCATCATACATGGACATATCAGGCGTTGTGTCACGATATTTTGGTAACATACCTTAGCAGTTATTTCGATCGTTTCTTTTGTGATGTAATGACGTCTTATTGCACAATCATCTATCTAGAATCTGCATCTCAATCGTATCGTTATCAAAGAAAGTACTGGGGCTGAGAATGGAGAATCAGAACACGTTCATTCAAGACCAAAACTTGTTAAGACTAAGATTTATGACATTAGTGCAACCGATAGTTTCTGGAATAATCACAGAGGAAGGTAGATTGTTTAATGCCAAATGAAGAAGAGGTTTTTCCCTGCATTTTTGTCATGATAGTTTTGCCTACAAATGTAAAATGTTTCGCTCTATTCACCTGGGAATGATTAAATTCACAAAGATAAAACAATCCCGATTAATACATTGCAAAAATCTGTTATGATTCCGTCCATTATATCGTCCATTTTAGTTCATTTACAAGTTTCTGCTTTTCAGTCCATTTCCGAACGTTGCTGAGTCAATCCAAAAGAATTGGATGAGTACAAGGCATCAGAGGGGGAAGTTAAAAGATTAAAGAGTGTCATGGTTTGTTTTTATTTGAGTCTTTTTTACTCGATATATTTGCAGTCTTACTTTTGTCAGAAAGTAAGAAATAGAAGCTGTTTTTCTTGAAGTATTTAGTGTTTTTTAACTGACGGAAGATAAAATAGGTGTGTGTGTGGGGGTAACCGTAGATGCAATGGGGAGAGATCATATGGATGCGTAAGATTGTGAAAGGACTATTGTAAGTGTTGTGTCTTGTAGGGATTGGATGACAGTGACGAAAGTGCTATCTCTGATTTAATGAGTGATCACACGTCAAAATTGACATCAGCAGTCAGGTATGTGCAGTTGAACAATAAATGGAGGATTTGATGTATATTTTGGACCTATTTGTCCAGCAATTGTTCGGAAATTTAGTTTAAAGATTGTTTTGATATGTTAATGTTAGCTCTTTGCCGGAGTTATTGGAGAAAAAGAAAATTATAGATCAACACACGAATATTGCGACAGCTTTACTGGAACAGATCAAGGTTTGAGACGATATTTCTTTTGAAACTTTCAAATGAATGAATTATGGATTACTGTGGTGCTTAAACATGGTTTCATTGCTGTTTTAGCAAAGACATCTTGACACGTATTTTGAATGTGAGGAACGAATCTTGAGCAGTCAAAGACTTGTAAGACTATTTAATTTTTACACTAACAATTTCGAACTATCGCTGTTCTTACATCCTTTTGTTCCTCAGGATAAATCTGTGCTGGAGTTTATACAGGATCCTGAGGGTATTCACTTGTATTTCACTACTATTTATTTATATATAAAACACAAAATTATTTGTAGCAGTCTTGTTGACTCAAAAGTAATTCTCAATACATTAAAATAGCAATCAATGTAACTATTTAATATTATTTATCTTCATTTTATTTTTCTCTTTTTCAGCCGGTACTCCCGAAGATAAACTAAGATTGTTTATGATATTCTATATTTCTGGACCAACAATGTCTACTGTAAGTAAAACTATTGAAAACTTTCTGCTGGGAATGGAAATCACTGATGTTATCTTTATATGCACCTGCTTGTGGCAATGATCAGTCAAATCAAAGTTAGTAAAATTTCCACCACTCGTTGCAGGCTGAATTTGATCAATACGCGGCCGCTCTTCAAAATGCAGGTGCTGAACTGAGTGCGTTAAACTACATCAAAAAATGGAAGTAAGTTTTTTCGTTAGTATTTATAATTTAGGTCAGATTTGAAGACATCGCCTTCAGCCAGCGTTTCGATATGTTTCGAAAAAAAAGCAACTTAAACTAATGATAGACAGTACTCCGGGAAATAATACGATCCACAAATGCCATCCTTGTAAACCGGATGGTTAAGTTCTGTTTTGTAAATTTAAGTAATGTTTACCTTTTTTTTTTATGTATTTAGAGCATTCACCAAAATGACGACAGGCCCAGTTCAATCTGGTGGTGGTGGACAAAATACATACGGGTATTGGGAATGATCTAAAATAAACAGCAGTTGTCTTTGAATAGTATATCATTAAGTATTAATCTTTTTTCTCCAGCGCAATGTTCTCTAAAATATTGGGTACAAGTTCTCAATTTGTCATGGAAGGAGTAAAAAACTTAGTTGTTGGAAATAAGGTATATGTGGAGACGAAATACTATTTGGATATAAGGTATGTCTGAGGACAAATAGGTACTGCGAAGAAAGGTATATGTGGGGACTAGAGATGGTAATTGGATATAAGGTATGTTTGAGGACAAATAGGTAGAAGAAAGGTATATTAGAGATGGTAATGGATATATGGAGGACAAATATGGTTGTTTAGTAAGAAAGTATATGTGGAGGACAAATTGGTAGCAAGATGGTTGTTTGTAAAGTATGTGGGGGGACAAATTGGTAGCTGGAAATAAAGTGTATGTAGGGACAAGAGATGATTGTTTGATGTAAGGCATATGTTGGGTCAGTTGAAGTTTTGAAAGTTAGGTTTATTCACAGTTTCAATGGCTTAAATTATTCCTTAAGAACTTGCCTGTGACAAGAATTGTCGATGCTCTCATGGAAATGAAGTCGACAGCCGTAAGTTTTTAGTGAATGTGACACAAAATATTTCAATGTTTTTCCATCGTCAACTGTCATTATCCATTGGTTTCTAGGATGTTGAGGAATACAGATACTTTGATCCTAAAATGCTGAGAGCTGCTGACAGGTTCGTTTTTTTTTTCTTGAACGTGGATAGATTTATAAGTCATTATTTGCATTGCCTTTCTCGTTTATGACTTATTGATAAACTGGTTATTGTGTTTTTCAATATCGTCTGAAACATCTGAGTACAGCTATTCCGGACCTTAGGAATTACTAAAAATCTTCAACGATGTTCGTCAACTACTCGACTAAAGCATGAACCATTTCTGCGCTTCGGCGAGCTTCTGACGAGTTAACGCCTTTTGTTAGTGTGCCAGTGTCAGTGGAAATTTTTTAAACAATCGTCGTAATAGTTATTAAGTGAATAAAATATCCATTCTTATATGTTAGCAAGTATTTCTCTATGTACGCCACTCTTGTTTTGTGTTATCTAAAATCTTTAATAACTTTGTCGTCTAGCTCTTCAGTCCCTCGTAACAAGACTCCTTATCACGAGGTATTAAACTATACAAGAGCAGATACCTATATGGTTTATGTTTCTGTCGAAAATCTTTATTAATTATTTTAATCATAGGCTATCGTTTTTATTGTCGGTGGAGGAAATTATATCGAGTATCAGAACTTATCTGACTATGCTGTGGTTAGATTTGAGATATTTTGTTCTTGTTCAGTATCCACCTCATTTTGAAAGAAGAAATTCGTAGTTTTTTTTTGTTCTTGTTCTACAGCGTAGTCCATCGAATCCTAAAACCATTGTTTATGGTGCTAGCGAAATATTCAATGCAGCGCAATTTGTTAAACAGGTTCGTAAACGAGTTTTGAACAAGTTTAGATATGTTTATAAACGGGTTTTAGAAGTTTGTAATGGTTTGTAAACAGGTTGTACTACACTTTAGTTTCTAGTTTTCTATTATTTTATTATTTGATTTTCAGCTGGAAGCGCTTGGAAGAGATTCACAATCATAATTGTACTTATGTTATGGTGCTCAGTAGTATTTCTCTAGAAAAACGTAATTTATAAAACATACGAGTGTCATGTGTTGGGATTTTTCCCCAGACGTGCTGGTTGGTCATGATGTTTCGAAATTGTAAATGGTAAATCCTCTGGCTAATTTAATTAAGATTATTACATTGTAAATAGGCTATTATCACGATGTACTATGAACACAAAAATCATTTACCAAGAAATAGAGAATTTGAGATTGAACGTGTAGCTTTGCACGCACAAATACAAACATGCAAACCTGTTAATACAAGCTTTACGTCATTGAAGTCATACGCATGCGTGGTATGATAATTGCTGGGTGCTATATAAACGAAAGCGTAAACAAAAACAATCAAAGAACTTCGATTAACTGCAGCTCTCCAGTTTGGCGTTGTTGAAGGGTATTTTCCCGACGATTGCTTCATGGCGTTTTTCAACATACCTTTGCAAAATCCTATCGGTAAGTGATTTTAATCCGTAATTTTTGCAATTTCTTTTACAGGTTTTGCGTTTTAATACGAAATTGAATATAAAGCAAAAGAACTCACGTTACTGAACGTGTCTAGTCAGCATTTAATGTATCACATTCGTTATCAACGTGTCTTATCAGCTTTTAATGATAAGTTCAAGCAAGTTGATCATCAATTTTTTGTATTTCTAAAGCATGTATGACGAATCACAGTCTTTGGCCGAAGCATTAGAAGAGCTCCTGGATCCAACTTTTCCTCCTATTCGCTACCAAATTACTCCTTATGGTGCGCGTTATATCAGTGATCAGTCCAATCCCCCGCAGCGTCGCTTGAATAGAGCAAAATCTCAAGATGGCGGCAAATTTCTATTGGCTCAATTAGATGTCAGCCATTATAAACCAGAGGAAGTGAGCTGCAAGGTTGAAGATGGAAAGTGTTTGTGAATGGCAAACATTATAGTGAAAATCAGTATGGTTATGAAGCATCTGAGTTTCATCGTTGCTACAGTCTTCCCGAAGGAACTGATCCCACCTCGTTGAAGTCAAGAATCTCTCCAGATGGGATTTTACAACTTGAGGCTGCAAAATTGCAACCTAAAAATCTTGTGCTGGATCCACTTGTGGGTTATGATGAAACAGATGATTCAAAAGTGTTCATGAAATTCAATTTAGGTGGTTACATACCACAAGAAATTAATGTCAGTGTTAAAGGTAATGAACTTACCGTCAGTGCAGAACACAAGATGGAAGAGGAAGGTCATTTCACACACAAACAGTTCAAGAGGCGAATTGCTCTACCTGATGAAGTTGATGTGGATTCATTGAGTTCAAAGTTTAGTAAGGATGGCGTATTGAGTATTCAAGCTTGTAAGAAATCACAACCATTTCTTGAAGAAAAGAAAATTGAAGTGCAAGAAGAGAAAGAAGAGCCTGAAGGAGGCAGTAAAGAGGACCTTAAAGAAGACAGTAAAGAATGAAATGAATGACTGCTTTGTGATTTAGTCTTAACAGCTTTGTTATTTTAGTTGTTATGAATTCATTTAATAGTAAACTGCTTTGCCGTTTAGTCAACTTGGATGTATTGCTTATGAACTTTGATTGCTTTGCAAATTAGATTAAAGAGCTCTGTCAATAAAATGTGGAAAATATTCTCTTGTTAATGATTATTGAGTTATATTCATTTCAATTCCCATGATTTATCTTTGTATAACTATATACACGAAAAAGTGTCTGTCCTTTTCAAGTCTTTGTTAATTCAGAATCATCAAATGAAACTTGGGCCCGCTTTTTTTCATATTCATTTAACTGAGCCAGTGCTTCCTTAATTTTTTGTTGATTCCTGTATCGTTGATAAGAACACAATTCCCTTCGAGAGAAAAGGTAGAGTTGTTGTAAATTTCAAGTACTCTTTAGCTAAATGATTTTTAGAGATAAAATCTACTTACCACGAAGCAAGTGACAGAACAGCAAAGGAACCGACTGCATAATCACAAGATTTCCGAATTATTCCTGCCAATTATCAATACTTTAATAACCAAACTAAAGAAACATACGCTCAAGAACCTACTTGTCTTAACAAACACAGCACTTCCAATAAATAGGCCAGTAGAGATCCCAAATATTAATGATTCTCTAGCACAAGGAATTTTTTGAATGTCCCAACTCCACGTTGACTGTGAATGAAAGAAATGACAACAACATTGTCAACTATTGTTAAACTTTCCATTAAACCTCAGGTACTAATGGAAAAAAACAGGCTCCACAAAAATGGACAGTATTCTCGCTGTTAGTGGTGTGAAAATCATTTCATTGAAATCTTGATTTTATTGAAATAACTCTGATTTCCTAAAATGCAATTGCTAAATTTTGATATTCTTACCGCATTATTGTCGTCCATGTTTTGTACACGGCGGCAATACTTTATGTAAGCGTACTCGGGTAATGATCACAAATACAACCAAATTATCAAAAGTCAAATGACATGGATCGAGAAGTTGTGAAACTCTCCTTTTTAAAATTTATTCGTGTAATTTGGTTTAGATGCAAGCATATTATTAATTAAGATATATATTTCTCTTCTTTATTAAAGTATACAATGTTTCAAATTTTTTACATGAAGTAGACTCGTAAGAAATGATGGCGGAGTAAAAAATGGCAAAAAGTGTGAATGCTAACGAGTTTTTTCAAACTCGTAGTCCTGATAAAACTGAAAGAATTAAAAAAATGTTTGAAAAATTAATTAAGATAAATGAAGTGAATATCAAAAGCCAGCAACGAGCAGAGGCAGATCTTACAGATGCTGAAAAGTTGAAAATACTTCAAGATATTTTTGAGGAGAACCCACGCTTATTTTTTATCCGTTTTGGTAAATGGGTGTCATTTGAGGATCTTACTTGCTTTGATCCAATGGTAGGAAGTGAGATGGAATATGCCATTACCACATTGAGGAAGAGATTTCATGCTACATCCAGTGATGTCTGTGTAAAAAATAGACGCTTTGAAGCATTAAAAAGATTAGAAAAAAGTCGAATTATTTTAGCGAGGAGGAAATGCAACAAAGATGCCCACTCTTGTACAAACAGTATGTTGGTCAATATATGACAGAAGAGGAACAATTGAAACAAGATGATATCAGAATGAAAGATGAAGTTAGAATGTCATCCTTCATATTTCAACAGATTGACCGTGATTGGTTGAAAAGTAAAGAAGAAGAAGAACAAGAGATGGAGGATTGTGTTGAAGAAGAAGAAGAAGATGAAAGTGATGATGGTATTGAATATGAAGGAAGACTTGGAAATAAAGTTGACACTACAGAACATGGTAAAGTACTAAAAATTAAGTTGATTTAGTGAAGCAATCATTAAAATAACCCTTAACTTTTTAATGAAACTGTAACTGTTTATGTTTTTTTTATCTTTGGATGTCATGCCTGAGTTACTTTAAATTTACAGGATTACCACAGTCAGTAAGTGAAAGGGATAAACTAAAACTACGAGAGGAATTCCTAGAAATTATGAAACAAAGATTTCTAGAAGGCCTGGATGAAGACTTTGATTACTCAAAGGTTGATGCCAATGAGGAATATGATAATCTAATAATACTTGGTCAAGATGAAGAGGAAAAATATTTTGATGATGAAGAACCTGTGACAGTCATTACAGATGTCACTATCAAGGATGGAATAAAGGAAAGCTGGTCAGCAGACAGTGATGATGATTACTTAAGTGACAAGATTTTGGAAAAATGTTGCACAGCACGATGAAATACTTACATAACTGCAATCTTTGGCAGTCAATATTAAAGCCAGGTAAATAAGAAACTTATTGATAAATTTGTTTTCCAAACAGCAATTACTTCTTAAAGGATATACTACAAATATATTTTAAATGTCTTTCATGTCATGTTATGACCCCCACTTTATTGTTCACTGTGCAGATTTAATAGAAATATAAAATATATTTGACAGGATAGACCTAAACTTAATTTGATGCAGGCGGTAATTGAACTAGCATGTTTGGATCTTCTGGTTCAGGTGTCAACCACTCTTTTGGAAGACAGTTGTAGATCCAAGGTAAACGAGAGCCAAGATTTGCTATTCTGTTTATCCATGCTGGTATATCTTTTCCACATAGTAACTGTAAAAAATATAATCATTGATTACTTCAAAAAATCAATATACATTACTTTTTAAGTTACATACTTGGCAATTGATTTTTTGAAAAATAAACTTCACAGTAACATATAAAATGCAACATTGTGGGGGAAACTGGAAAAGTCATGTGAAATCAACTGTAAAACACTTCTATGTATGATAGACCAGCGTACCTTGGCAAACTCAGATGAAAAATGATTACAGTTTCTTAAAAGAAAGAAGTTTATTAAGTAACTGTTGAATTTGTTTATGTAATCTTATAATATATTAACCTGGTCACAAGGTGATATGATAATCCTGTAAAATCAACTCCCATGTCTTGAATGATGGCTCTTATATCATCTTTATTGAGATCTGTTTCACCCAGGTAAATTGATTCCCTAAAAATACTTTATTATAATGAAATATATTTGATGCTTCATCTTCTGATGAATCTTATACCTAAATTTAAATGACTCCATTCCAAGCGATGTAATAGATTTTGGCTCCAAATCAACCAGGCCAGTTGATGCAAACTCATGACCAACAAAAGCAAACTCTTAAGCAAAACAAAGGAGGCCAGGTTAGGACATTCCAAGACACTGTAAAAAGAATTTTTCGTGGATCACTCACCTCTGCCATGGACCTCCACAGCAGAATGATAAATACCCATACCAATTTTTGAAGTGTACTCGTTTGTCCAGTGCTAAATGAGCACAAGTACGACATCGTGAAGTTTTGCTAAACAAATACTTCAAAAATTATATAGACCTACCATGTCATAGACATTAAGAAATACAGGAAATATTGGCATTACGACTGACGTTTGCCAAGATATCATAAAATTGACTGTCTTGTGTTGGAAAACCGTTCGCCAGAATTGATGAAAATTAAAGTTTTGAGGTAATATGAGGAAGTTTGCTTCCATCATTCAGTGCTACATATGTATCTATCAAAAAATATTAACAACATTGAAACGTAATCTCATATATTTTTTCTTGTTATTTTCGTAAGATTTTCAAAAACAGAAATATCACAATAACAATACATATTATAAATTATATATGTATGTAACAGAACAAAAAAACAAAAATTGTGTGAATGTCTTAACACGCTTCCGGTCAGACCCAGTTCTTTTTGGCGTAATTTTCATGCAAACTTCAAAATTCCTTTCGCTATTTTAACCAAACACGATTTTTTTGATGGAACTAAAATAAAAATATGTAGTTATAGAAGCTTAGAATCATGAAATGTAAATCCTCGCAAAATTTAAAAAAATCATCGGGCTGGCTTCGCCACTGACTTTCCCACCTTGCGACTCGTTGAAGATTGCTGTAAGATTGGACATCTTTGGCTAATGCAAAAAATGTTGCAAGAATCACAAATTTGCATCGTAATATAGAGGTTCATCTTCAGTAAAGCGACTTATTCATATTAAGTGATTTTCAAAAAAAGGATTGCTTAAAACAAGCGCGAGATTAATAATTAATTGTCCTGACAAAAACGAGGGAAGTGGCAAATGTTGCGTACGTTGCATCAATAAAGCTTTACTTTTGTTAAATTTGCGACAGTCGTAGCGAATTAAAGTTGTAACATTAAGTTCCGGTAGCTCACCAGGTGCTTCGTCTGCAGGAGTGGCAAGCTCTTGGAAACGCAATAATTCTTGAATGTCCTGTTCTTGAACATCATGGCGATTTGTGTCGACATAATCGGACACTGAGGAAAAATATCAAGTTGATATTTTGTTGAATAGTCATGAGAAGTCCACTTCATCGTTCAGTTTACCTGAGAAAACCGTCGATGCTGTTTTCATCTGAAATTGTTGATTAATGACCAACATGTTATAGGTTACAGAATAATTTGCATGTTATAATAATTGATTATATAGAAATGGTTTAATGAATCTTACATCATTCAGTTCTTCCTGATTCCCGCTGGATGATATAGGAACAAGTATTGTCCGAGTTGATGACAAATGATTTTTTGTAGTCGTCGTTTTTTTCTCATCATCAACCATAGATATTTGATGAGTTCCATAACTTTGTAATTGGTCATGACAAATATCGCTGAGGAATGAGTCTGACTACATAATTTAAAGCAATTTGGTATTCCCCGTTGAGCCAATGGGGACGGGTTTCCCACAGAGAAAGCAAAAAAAAACTCAAAATCGGACTCAAGGCAATGAAAAAAAAAGTAAAAAATCTCAGGTTTAGACAGAAACTTTAAGTTATATGTGTTGAACATTACGTGTTCACTTTCGCTTTCAGAAAGACGTTGTGCTTTCCTTTTCTTTTTAGCTGAAATAAAATACCCAATCAATGTTAGCTCTCCTTTTTGTTAGTTTTTTGAAATCATTTTACCTGGAATGTCAGTTTCTTCGTCGTATTCATTTGATATTTGTTGGTCGAACTTTTCTGGCTTAAACGTTTCGAGCTTGGGTTCAATATAAAATAAGTGTACATAAGAGGAAGGAACGAGTGAGATGTTCCCTTTGTGAAATTGTAATTTGTCGGCAATCAGCCATTTTTCTCGATCTGGCAATCTCGTCAAGTAGACAAGAAATAAATTTTTCTATTACGTAACGTGAAATGACTTAAAGGATACAAGGGTAGACGACTAAATGATCTGTTCTTATTGGTTTTAGGTCACAGTTTGTACCTAATAGCACCATAATTATTTTCTGTAAAAAAAGCATAAATTTTTCGTTTAGATAATTATTAACAATATTCAGTTGGCCATCCACTGACCTCTATATCTTCTTGGTGTCTGAGTCAGCGCAAAAATCTTCGTATCTGTTTGAAGTCATTTTTCAGGAGAATTTATTGTATTTAAAGTAGCATATGAAGTAAAAATTACCTGTATTCTTGAACATTTGAACTTTTCACTAAATGTAGCCTAATTTTGTGAACCGTCTTGTCTATTATAATCAATCTTTCGTCTGTTTTTGGAAAGGCAAATTTCTTGAGAATCATATTTAATTGACCAAAATCAGGCAATAACCACAAGTGCTGCGTAGCCAATATAGTGCACTTTAATAATGTGTGGAGCTATCAAAACTCGTTCATGTTTGCCGATGATCCATAGTAGCGCTTACAAAATTTTCCACAAAATTTTGATTTTTAATTAAAGTTGGTGTCTGCAACACTAATTTTATCAAAACTTCGGAGATTGCCGTTTCAGCGACGTTTGACGGAAGAAATGTAATATCGTCATTGTGACAATCCAACATGGACGATTTTATTTGTGCAATAAAAACTTTATGCGACGACAAAAATCATCAGCAATTATCTGAACTTTTCAGGAAAAACGGTGAAGCATTTCTACAGAATGCAACTCATATTGATCAAGTTGTTGGGGCTTTGGACTTAGAGCATCACTCGTTTGCATGCCTTACTTTGCTGTAAGTATATGATTTTAGTGATTTAGGTATGAACAGAAGTTACAGAAAACAGGCTACATATCTTGACATATAGTAATTTGACGTGAAGTTTTCACAAACGTTGGTGAACGCGTTTATTTTCACCCTCAAGTTATCTCTGTAATTTTAGTCGTCAATTTTTTTCGTTCATGTCTATAAATTCATATTCAGATATATTCAAATTCACCCAAAGGCGGAATTTGGTACAGTTGGAGAATAGTAGAGTAGATTTCGAATTAGATTCTTGAAATTTTCCATTTTTGGTAGCGATTTTCACAATCTAAAAAATAATTACTAGCAGTCACATTAACTATTTAAAAAAGGGCATTTTGTAATTTATTCAGGGCAATGAAAGTCAGTTTCTCCAATTGTGGGGATTTTGAGTTGTTATTTGTGCAGATCCAGCAATGCATAAGCATGTCTCAAGCTGAAGTGATCCAATTGCTTAAAAATCCATGTAAGTTATTGAACCAACCATGCACTCCTTAGTTATCATCTTCAACTGATAAAATTTTTTTCCCTCATTATTTTAGTATGTGAACTTTGCCATTACTTAACATCACAACTGGTCAATAAAAAGCAGGTTGTATCAATAGGTCATGCAGGATCTAATGATTATCTTTCCACATCCTTATAATCCCTATTTTTTAGCCATTGAAAGGAGTACAAATCCTTATAACCGCAATCGTGAAGCTACAAAAATCCAAGTCACAATTAACGCCAATTCATGCCGATCTGATGCAGGTTTTTTTCGTAGATTTTTTCACGAAAGTTTATGTTTTACTACAATATATGTCTGCTTTGCATTTTGAAGCTTTGCTTGCTTGCTAAATGTTTCAAACCAGCTCTTCCTTTTCTGAATGAAAACATTGTGGAAATAATGAGAGAGGTTAGCACAATTTTTGATGTTTTTTCTTTGCATGCTTTTGCATTTCTTTGCATTCATACTTTTAAAAACTATTGAGAGAACTAGTTAATCTTATTGAAGAGCTTATAAGTATTTAAACACGACAAAGTGTACTGGGACAGCCACTTGACAAAATATTGCAGGGGAGGTGAGTCACAAAATAAGTCAAATGATAAATTGAAATTTTGAACAAAGAGGTCTAGTGGATAATTTATTAGAATAACTCAATATGTAATATAAAATATTGGGGAGGGGACACCCGCCTCTCTCCTTGTCCTCCCATAGTCGCCCACTCATAGTGTAACTCACATTTTTGATAATTTTCAGGACTGTGTTGATGAATCAAGGCAATTTTTACTTTATTTCTACTATGGAGGGATGATATTTACAGCATTGAAGAAGTTTGACAGAGCCTTGTTTTTTTATGAAATTGTATGACATAATGAAACTTTACAAACATTAGTTTTTTAATATATTTTTCATTATTGCAAACTCCTTTTACTTTCCAAAGGCTATCACTACTCCCGCAAGTGACATCAGTTACATAATGCTCAATGCTTATAAGAAATTTATTCTTGTTTCCCTTATTGAACATGCAAAGGTAACTTTTAAATTTTAAAGATTTATGAATTAATAGCATAACCACATTTTCATAGTAATGGCTTTGTTCATGTTCATGTTTCTTAGATAATATCCTTGCCTAAATACGCACCACAAGTTGTTGCAAAATATCTCACGGTATTTTTTGCATTAAAATTTTTTACATGTTTGTCATCATTCTCTAATTCTTCATTCTGTTGATGTTACAGCCATCAAGCTCATGTTATCATGAACTGGCAAATGCATTTTGCTCAAGCAACCCATCAGGCATGAACAATATTGTAACCAAATACAGTGATGAGTTTACTGCGGTATGTTTGGCTTAAAATATTTCATTATTTATTGATGTAAACATTCAAATATAGAGGTTCTACGTATGTGTATTATTATATGCTACATTTTAGATAAAAATGTATTGTTTGCTCTTTGTTAGAAGGTTTTTTGATATCCATTGAAAATTGTTATTAGGACACCAATATGGGTTTGGTCAAGCAGGTCATAAAGGCAATGTATAAAGTTACAATTAAAAGACTTACAAAGGTACATAACATAACATAAGATAGATCATTGATAGTGAAAGCCCTCTAAGATGGAAAACTGTTACATATCATATAGATTTACTGTTTTGTGCAGTTTTTTTTGATGTGCATTTGTTTCCTTGATTTGTATGCAGAAAACTGTAAAATTTGGCTTTTAAGTGAATCCTCAAACATACTGGTCACATTACGTAACATACTGGTCACATTATGTTTTATACTGGATATACTTGATACTTGATATAGACTGATTCAAATTACACGTCAAAAAGCAGTGTGTGTTTTGTACTAAGGTTCTTTCGCCAGTTGTTCTTTCCCAGTTCCTTGCGCTTGTATTTCATAGAAAGACCTCAATATCTGAAGTGGTTTTTTCACGTTGTTTGAGCCATTGATTTTTTGCTTGCAGACGTTTTTGACTCTATCTCTGCAAGACATGGCTGCTCGTGTTGGTCTTAATAACGTGGACGAAGCAGAAAATTATGTGTTGAGAATGGTTTGTAGACAATGATGTTTGCAGATGTTGTAAAGCAATATTGGTCAGTGTTGCCACTTTGTTTGAAAATTTTCTCTAGATCGAAGAAGGCGAAATTTACGCATCAATCAATCAGAAAGATGGCATGGTGTCGTTTTACAATAGTCCAGAGAAATACAATGATCCTAGGATGTTGAAACAATTGGACGACCAGGTTTTCATTCTTTATTTTTATGAATTTCACGAAGCAGATATTATTTTCGAGGACTGCTCAGTTGACGAACGTCGATAGTGCTCTTTCTAAGCTTGAGGCTTGGTCGTGAGAAATGTGAACATTAACTTAAACAGCGTATTTGGTGAATGGCAAGTGTAGCGGCTGATGGGAATTTATGATTAATATATATATAAGATACAAAATAAGTGCATCAAAGTAATTATGTGACTGAGTAACCATAGCTACAAAGATATCTCATATTGTATATTCTACTTATAGATTAGAGAATACCAAGATGTCGACAATAAACTTTCTGCTATGGACAAAAGACTCGCACTAAATCCTAAATATATAAAGAAAGTGAGTTGAACGTATAAATTAGTTGGTTTTTATCCACTTATCTTGTAACTATGCTATGATGATTCTCGTTGACTTTTAGACAAGCGCAATAAGCGGAAGTTTTGAAGACGAAGGTCTAGGAAAGATGAAAGATGATGCATTTTTATAATAGGATTGTATACCATGAAAATGAAATGTAACCAATCAGGTGAATGCCCTTACAATAACTGCATTCAAATTTCAAAGTTAGAGTTATCTGTCGTGCGAATTGCCAACGCTATTGATCTGTTTCGTGTTGGTTATTGCAGTAACATCATCTTTAATGTTTGTCTTATTATGAAAGGTAAATTTTCCTTATCTTATTCTAAATGAGATTAAAGAGTTATGGTTTTGTTTGGAATGCAAAGGGTGTGTGTTCTAACAGTGAATATGTCAACATTGGCTGTTTTGGATCGTCGGGCAGATGATCAGCGTACCTTCATGGTCAAAGAACAAAACTTGAACATATTTGTGTGAAACAAAAAACTGTGAAATATGAAGATAATCATATTTAAGTAAACTTACAATGAAAGACGAAACTTTTTGATTGAAAAAAATTATTTTACTATTAAATAGTTCATGTACTTAAAATAGAGAGACAAACGTAGTTTTTAATTTATGAGTTAACAAAATACTTGAAGAAAAAATTTTGAATAACCTGTTTTCATTGTAAATTTAAATATTTTCATTATTCTACAGCCTATGTATGTTCATTGTCCTTCAATTTAAACGGTTAATAATCTTGTCGATTTTGTATTTGTGGCTCTAGCAGTACGAAAACGTCTCTTTATAAAAATCTCTATTCGTCGTAACATGTACAACACAGGAGACCAACAGATGTATAACATGACAACCAGTAGCAACAATACCAAGATACGATCAGATAAGAAACTCAGCTTTGCTCTCTCGTTTTTCCACGAATTTAAATCGTCCACATGGAGGAATTCGTTCATCACACTGTCCGGCAACTCAAACTGCGAGGGCACAGGAAACATTGTTTCATAAAAATCGACGAGCATTTCTTTAATAAGAGAAGCGTTAACATGATCATGATCGATGTTATCGTTGAGACATATAAACTTTAGTGGACGTCTACGAATGCCGTCCAGTTGTAAAGAAACATGAGTAATGTTATTTTTGATCATTTTAAAAGCAATATCGTTATCACCTACGATCTCATGTTTAAATTTATTTTCTTTTTCATTTGTGTTGTTTAGTTGTTTGAAGATGATGTTGCAATCCATTAGAAACCTTTCCGTAATCCTAGGAACTTTGTAACCATATTGGCGCTCCGAATGAAATTCGGTTTCAACCGTAGTATACTCGTCATTTCCAGAACAGTTCCGCAGTTGCCTAAGAAAAGCTTCAACTTTATCTGCATTCAAAGGTACGTCGTTTAACTTGGTCATAAGTGTTCGTAATTCGCGGTCGGATAATGTACCTACATAACAACAATTGCTCATCAGTGTACTTGCCTCGTACCCAGTTTATTAGGTTGTGATTATCGCTGAGGTTGTTATGCAAGGTCTCTTTGTATGTTCATGATTATTTAAATCAATCAAAATTTGTGGCAAAGATATTGGTAGATCAGTAGTGAAGCTTCCTTGATTGTTTCTCATACTGTGCAAATATTTTGGTGTTTATTTATTACAAAGAAAAACGAATGAAATTATTTTTCAAAAGAAAGGAAATTTTTGCAGTAAAACTTGCACAGGAAGACAAAGAATTCGTGATAGCTTTGCCACTGATATGCACTTGGGGAGTAGGACGTTGGATGTTTTCACATCATGTAAATACGTAAAATATAAAAAAGTCGTGTCGTTACGTCATCGTCGGATTGTTGATTGAATTCACGATTATCTGACTCAAATAATGGATTCAGATTCCATTAAAAACTTGGGAAACTACACAAATTTCTATCCTTCAAATATCTATAACATAAATGGTATTCTTCATACGTCATACTCACCAGATTGATCTACGTCAACTTCACGAAACATCCTTGAAACATTGAATCCTTGAGTCTGATCAATGACGTAATAAAAGTAAGATAACGCGAACTGCATGTCACGAGGACTTCGTAGTTTATGCGAAGATGTTTTATCAAATTCCTTTGGAAAAAACGCCTGTAATTCTGTCATGATGTTCACATCAATCATATGAGGCATGTGCGACGGTACTTTTCTTGCTTTGTAACCAAACGCTCTGTTATAGATACGATTTACATGAAGCAGTGAGCTCGAGAAGGCATCCAATAAACTTCTACCATGAAATATTGTCGTTCTATATCTTTCCTGGACCATTTGCCTATCTTGTAGTTGTTTGAAAGTCTGTTGTTTCTCCCACGGAAGAAAACCTTTATTCTCGATTCTTGTTTCGTCAAACTGGTTGAGAAGACGTCTTTGGGAGGAGAATTTCGTAGTGTCCAGCAAAGTAGGAGTCGTTCTTTCTTTGCTTTCTTCACTCAGCGGTTTTGTCATTGCTTTCATATAAGATCTCATTTTCATTTGACTTTGGACGGTAGTTGGAGCTGTTTGGTCGCAACTTAATCGTAAATTCTCTTTTATCAATCGTGCTTTTCTTCGGTTATAACCCTTTTTCGTTATGTCACCGATCTTCAACTCTTCTTCGAGATCTTCCAAATCCTTCATAACATTCGCAGGAAGTTTGCAACCGTCAGGAATATCGGGAACGAAATACTCTAAAGAATTCAAAGTAGGCCATGTCGGTGGAGAAAACCTTGTGTGGGGGTCATTCCAATAATTAAAATGATCACTATCATTAGTATGAATTCTTATTGGATAAATTCTTGTAGGAATTTTCCATGCTGATTTTAGCGGCACATCTTCAGTTTTCACAGTATCGACATGTTTAACATTTTCCATCATTTCTAGTTCTTCATCGAACATTGTATTAACTGTAAAATTAAACTTTAGTTCAGTCACCGCCGAACTGTTCATCGTCTTATATCCAGCCAAGCGGATTCCTACAGATGTCAGGGATTCGTTGAGATGAAATGTGACAATCATGGACATGAATTTCTGTGCAATTGTAATTGAACGTACAATATATGACCCATCTTGTTCTCCCTCAATTATCTTTCCTTCACCATAAACCTCAGACAGATTGAAATACATGGCTCTTAGTCCATTGGGTAGATGAAATTCATCATCATCTTCACGTAATGTTATTCCATGTAATGCGGAAAATTGAGAGGTACCACAGTCACCACCATCAAACCCACAACTTGGATTGTTGCAAGCACCATCACAATAACGATCACCAATCCAGGAGTCTGCACAGCCAGGACTGCAGAATTCACGAGGTCTGGCTCTTTTCACATTAGCCCAAACATTTCGCCATTGAGTACTTGGCGGCTGTGCATTGGCCTTAAGACAATCTCCCCCATCCCAATCACACTCGGATACATTGCATGCTTTGTCACAGTATTTGTCATTGATCCATGTTGCTGGACAACCTTCATTACAATTAGGCACTGGCCATGAGAGAAAAATCTTTTGTCCTTTGGAATGTGTGTAAAAATCATCAGGCCATACTTCGGCACCAAACATAACATCATCATTAAGGTATATAAATTTTTTCGATAAACCTGGAATTTTGTGAAGATGTGATTCAATTGCAGGTGAGCTGAATGTTGGTAAATGACTCTGATTGGAGAATATCTCACGATGAGTTACAATTTTGATTCTAGGGTTGTTTAAATTTAGCCAGCTAGGAATCTGACCATTTGTAACAATAAATATCTGTCGCACCCAAGGAGCAAATTTTTCAACAGATCTTAATGAATATCTCAGCTCCTGGTTGTCTGCAAACCTACTAGCAGAGAAATGGTTATCTTCTTGCTTTGCATCTGCAAATGAAAATGGTTCCCACACCATGATAACTGGTTCAAAAACAAGGGCATACCCTTGAAATCTTAGATCACCTCTCTTAATTTTCAAAGCTTCTTCATAACTCTGATCATCTCTGAAGGTCAACACACCCACATTCTCCTTCTCATAGAACTCCAATGTGATCAATTTATTTGAAAAATGTTCATGTAGAAATTGTTTTAACAAAATACCATTGTCACTAGGTCTGTTTATAGCAATGACCATTGCCATGGCACGCATACGTACACCTAACTCTGTGGCTTGACTAGTGAAATATGCTTGCTGGGATACAACATTTTCACTTTTTATCTTGAATGACCGATCCACTGCACGATTTAGAGTCTCCTTATTAGAGAATTTTACAACAATTAGTCTGGTTTGTTTTGAATCTGCTTTACGGTTTGATTTTAGGCTAATATTATAAATGTTCAATGCCTTTTCAAATATTTCATCAACTTTTTTCAACTCAGAAACCTTGATGAGGGAATGGACTTGTAATACCAAAGTATTAAGTGCAATGCAGTCCTTATAAGGGCATATTTCTGGATTATCTTTAACACCACCATTACCATGGGTTGATTTCATTTTGTCCATAGTATTTTCAGCTGATGGTACGCTATCATTAAACCTATGCTCCAATTCTGTCTTTAGTCGATTGAGTTGATTCAGTAACAATGGATCTGTTCCATTAACCCAGGTATACACAATGTCAATTGGCATTGGAAGACACAATCTACCTTGAAATGATTTATGCAAAATATTGTCTGCATAGGGGAATAAAATATTCTTATATCGTATCACACTCCATTCAAAAGCTGCTTCTCCAAACTGCAAGGCAGAAATAAAGACGAGCAACAGCGTACCAAAGCATAAGAGAAACCCGTGTTTCGATGAGATCAACGTATACATTCGTCTTTGTAAAAGTTTACAAAAGTTATCGCATCCCATTCGCTGAACCCGGTGCCAGGCCATCTCATATCCATAATATTTTCAACGGAAAACAAAACAAATATACATAAAGTGACATAACATTTGGATTAAGAGATGCTGCGTTCAAGTTTAGAAAGCGATTTAGGCACGTTTGAGGCATGTGACTCGACTATTCAGGAACAGACAAGTCAAAAAAATTCCTGGCAAACAATGTTTCGGTTTTTGAAACTTGTTGCTTCTATTATTTTACATATGACGGCATTCGTATCATAATACTTTACGAGACAATATTTATCAGTTTTTTTAATACAAATTGATATACATTATTGATTTTTTTCCTTAAAGATAATAAATATTTAAATTTTGTAATAGCAATCGCTCTGCTGTATGTTGTCTCTCACGTTGACATCATCTGAATCAGATGATTCCGCTTTCACCCATGGAGCTCTTTTTGACGGATGGAAAACGCGAATAAACGTACGTGTTCATTTAGGAGGACAACAAAATAGATGGAAAAATTTCGAAGATTTTCTGTTCATTTGTTGTCCTTATAAAAATGCGAGGAAGAAGAATTATTTTACTTGTTTTCGTCACTTTTTTTGTTTATAAGGATGAGGTGTTTAGCACGGGAGGTATCTCATTTTATTCTTTTAGTATATATTGCTTTAACATGAATTCATTGTACTCGCTACTATTTTTTAAACAAATTTTTAGTATCGAAGGATGAAGAAAAAGACGAAAAAGAGCATTTGCATTTGACAAGTCAAGATATAGCTGCAAAGGATATGAACATAAATGTTAATCTTGGCAATGTACAAAAGATAAATGATGAAAATGATCCAGAAACGATTGAAAATTTGAACAGAAAGACACCATTACTTCTCCAAACGAAAAAGCCAAGCAAATTGAGGAAGATACCAATAAAAAACTGATACTTTTGTGATTGGAAGTAATGAAGGCAATGTTAGAGAACCAAACACTGAAAAAATATATGAAAAACCTACAGACAAAGAAACTAAAGAATTTAAAACAGAAGAACACATTACAACTGATTATAAAAATAAAGATATTTCTGCAGAAGCTTCAAAATACAAGGAAAAGGCTTACAGTCATAAATTATTGGATGACAGTATATCATCACTGGATGAGAAAGTTTTGATCAAAACACACGATGATACATCAGAAGATATTGACAGAATTGTCATAATGGAGCAAGATGTTGCTCAAGAAAAGCAAAGTGATGATGCAATGAAACAATTTACTAAATCTAAACATAAGAATATACTATTGCATGAAAGTGTTGGTTTAAAAGACGGCAATTTTATGTCTTATCAAGATAAGAAATCAAAAGCAAAGGAAAAGATGAGTGATGATCAAGATGATAAATCCATGGATAATTATGATAGTATAGAGGAACAAGATGATGTGTCAAAGGATCAAGATCTGAAATCTGAGGTTAAAAAAGAGATTATGGATAACAAAGATGACATGCCCATTGGACAAGATGATGGTATGAAGAATAAAAAAAATGATGTATTAGAGGAACAAGATGAGAAATCTGAGGTTGAGAAAGACCCCTATGATGATGAAGATGATGATGATGTACCCATTGGTCAAGATAATGGCAATGACAAGCAGGATGATGTATCTGACGACGAGAATGGTGTTGTGAATGAAGTCTATGAGGATGAAGATAACTTGTTGGATGAATCAGAATTTGTGGAGGATCCTCTACTGGATGATGATGATGATGATGATGATGATGATGTATTAAGTGAGAATCCACAATCTGAAGATGAAATTGTAGACACTGACATAGTAGACACTGACACATACAATGAAATCTCGGATGAAACAATAGAATTACCAATCATTGAAGTCAATTCATATGAAATTTTAGATGATGGAAAACAGTTACCAAAGGACTCAATTGCTCCAGCTTCAAATAATCATGATGACGATGAAAGTGTATCAGAATATGATTCAAAACAAGATGAAAAGAAAGAAAATGACCAAGACAGTCTATCTTTAACTGTCACCAAAGAAAGTCCTTTATTATCAACCCAAAGTTCTTCAACGTTAAAAAAAGAAAATCCAGCCTCTTTGTCTGATCCAGGCTCTTCTATTCATGAGGCGGAAAATGTGAAAGGTAACAAGAGGCTTTTAGATTGAGATTTTTCCCAAAATTTTATTAAATGCTAAATGATACTTCATGGTGTTATTGGTACATTTTTAGAAGCTCATTTGGGACAACAGTTATATGATGAAGCAATGGCATTAATCAACAACTCCAAAACTAAGACGAATTCAAGGTTTTATGCAAATTATGATTCCATAATATTGATATGAAACTTGACTAGTTATTGTCAAGAATCAATGAATATGCAGCATGCCATTCTTAAAAAGGATTTGATGAAGAAAATGAAATGTCAAATGTTGTTGTGGCAATCACAATGGAAAATATTTCTTGTAATTCTTTCAGAATAATCCCCCTTCTTGATAAAGCAGCAAATGAGCACAGACATCAAAAATCTCAGGAAGAGCTTGGCGAGATTTACATGGTAAAGAAAAATTGTCATTTAAGATCTGTATTTTTAATGTGTGCTCAACAATCATGCAACAGTTGCAAAATTTGTTGTTATGTAATTATTGTGGTATTGCTTAAACCATGTCTAGTGTAATATTGAATTTTTGTGAAGCTTGATTTTACTGTCTATCATTGTGCAACACAAATGTTGTTTTTTAAATGATTAGTGTACAAGAACAAGGTTTTAGTGATGTGTCAGATTGTTTTTTAAAAGACTGAGCTAATATCTAATATGAAATCTTTTTAGTTTGGCAATGGTACCGGTCAAAATTTTTCTCGATCTTTCGAGTTGCTTGAGATGGCAGCAAATAGTGGCTCACCAAAGGCACAGCAGGTCTTGTTTAATGATATAATATTCATTAAGGAGTTAACGTATCAAGAAGAAAGTTGTCTTTAATTTGCTTATAGATGCTTGGATTCATGTACGCATCTGGTATGAGTGTTAATTCGAGTCAGAGCAAAGCTCTAGTCTATTTTACATTTGCCGCTTTGGGAGGTGAAACCATGGCTGAAATGACTTTGGTAAGTTTTGATGTCTGTCTGTCAATAATGTTCTCCCTAACAATTCAAGTAATTTAACGTATGGAAAGTTTATTTCGTATGCGTGTAGGGCTATCGATACTTCTCTGGAATAACAGTTCAAGAAAACTGCGAAACGGCGCTAACTTATTATAGAAGGGTGTCTAGCAAAGGTAAAAAAGTAGGGTGTAATGATTTCTAATTTAATGAGAATGATATGGAATTTGAAATTGATTTTTATCAGTTGTTGGCGACATTTCTACGATTGGTGGACCCGCAATTCAACGTATACGTTTATCGGATGAAGTAGATCAGGTTCATTGATGTTTTTTTTTAAGAAAAGTCATCTCTTTGTTGAATTTCCAAGTGTTGTCCTTTGACCGGACAGTGTAAGCTTGGAGTATTTGATATAGAATTGATGTTTGATAATTCTTGACTATAGACAAGTAACAGTGCAATGTTGGATGAAGATTTGATCCAGTATTATCAGTTTTTGGCTGAGAAAGGAGATGTCCAAGCTCAGGTTTGTTTAATGTAAATTGCTTGAAATATCATCTTTCTCGCTAATTGTTTGTGCTGGAATTAATGCTTTAGGTTGGTATAGGTCAGTTGCATTTTCATGGAGGCAGGGGAGTAGAGCAGGATTTTGCGGTATGTAGCAAGTTCGTCGTGAAATCTTTCAACTTTTTGTCAATATGTTTCTTTAAAGACAATATTTTCCTTATTCGTATTTCAAATCAAATATTTTCTGTAGAGAGCGCATCGTTACTTTCAAATGGCCGCAGACACAGGGAATTCAAACGCTTTCGCTTTCTTAGGAAAGGTTGCACACCTTTACATGATAATTTGATATGAAATATTTCACTTCATTTGCTTAAAATATTTCACTTCAGCTTTATTCTAACGGCAACAGTGCAGTTAAAGCCAACAATGAAACAGCCATGAAATACTTCAAAAAGGCTGCGGAAATGGTAGGGGTGTTGTTGATTTATGAATGGTTTAAACCCGATAGTATCGTTACTCAACTTTGAAGATGACTACCGCTTAGCATGTTGAAGCGTCAGTCGACACTAACACTTCCCAGGACTACACTAAATTGGATGATTAACATTTACAAACGATTTACTTCGGGATAGGATATAGAAATTCATCTGTCTTTCTGCTGATATTAGTAAAATCGATTTTCGTAACTTTTTTATATTTTAATATTTAGGGTAACCCCGTTGGTCAAAGTGGTGTTGGTTTGATGTACTTGTTTGGAAAAGGCGTACCTAAGGTGAGTCGTGTTTTGTATGCACACATTATATTTTCATGGAAGCAAAAAAAGATATTCCAAGATTATTTTTATATGAGAATTACACTATTTGCCAGTTTGTAAATTCTTTATATCTGGTCACGAAAGTTTCTCTTTAAGTAAATTTAATTTTTAATGATTTCCTTCGCGTGCGATGTTGAGCTTTTATGAAATGCTGTTCATGACATGGAACTCATATGAAACTCCATCACAATTTATAGGATTATGCGTTGGCTATCAAGTATTTCAAACTAGCAGCTGATCAAGGTTGGGTCGATGGACAACTTCAGCTTGGAACGATTTATTATCGTAAGTTATTCATATATTTTAATCCTCGTTATTTTAATTTAAGAAATCCTATTATTTAAACATCTATTATTTTCTACGTTACAGATGGCCTTGGAGTAAAGAGAGACTACAAGCAAGCTTTCAAGTTTTTTAATCTTGCATCTCAGTCTGGTAATTATTTTCATCAGTATTAACATCTGTCCCGAGCTCTTTATTGTTGCACAGTAAGAGCTACTGAGAGCAAAGAAGCGTTTCGCACCTGGGTATCATTATTTCTCTCGACATTCTTTTGAGCAATTGTTGTTGGTATAAAGAACTTGAGAAATTTTCGTTTTACTTTAGGTAATATTCAAGCTCTTTATTTTTTGGGAATGATGTATTCATCTGGAACTGGTACAATAAGATCTTGTCGCACAGCGACAGAAGTTAGTTCTTATTTTATCCTCACTAAATGATGAAAACGATGAAACGATGTACTTTGTGTAAGATTGTAACTTTTTTTTTGAAAGCTTTTCAAGAACGTCGCCGAGCGTGGTAAATGGTCGGTTATGTTAATGGACGCTTATAAGGCTTACAAATCTGGTCAAATTAACAAAGCTCTGGTGAAATATGCTTATCTGGCCGAGTTAGGCTACGAAACAGCTCAGAGTAATGTTGCATATATACTTGATCAAGGTAAATTGATCGACAATCTTTTTTTTGCAATTTCGTGTATCGACGATAATGTTTTAATGAAATTTCCTCGACATTTTGAAGTAAAATTACGTATACTAAGACACGAATGTTAGTGATAATTCCGCTGCATTTTGTTATTTCACGTATGACAATTTTGTTCAAAGTCACACTCGTTCTCTTCAACAGTATATTTTCATTAAAATAATTATTTTTCTATAGAACTTGATACGGTAATGTCTGACGACTTTACGTATCCTAGGGCATTACTTTATTGGACAAGAGCAGCTCAACAAGGTTTGTCATCGCGATATAGAGTTTATCTTTGAAGGATTAATTATTCCACACTGTTATCATTGTCTTTAATGGATTGTTATCACTGAAACATCATCTTTGAGAAGTCTGTTGCTCACATAGGCGTACGAGACAAGGGGGGGGTGGGGCGGCAGCTGCTACACCCCCAAGAAAGTTTATAATTGCAAAGTTGGACAAATTTTAAACGTAATTCGGGCGAAAGTACGGCGGAACATTTTTACCCTCCCACCCCCTCAAAAATGATAACTCCCGTGCGTCTATGGTTGTTCATAGTGCTGTCATTATTAATTGTGACAGTCGGTTATTACTATGAAATCTTTGAGAAGTCTTGTCTGGCTTTTAGTATTTTCATTGTTAGCCATTGTCTGTGTTCGAGAAGTCTGCTGTTATTTGTGTTGTCATTCTTTGCGATAATCTTTTACTATTTATCATTAAGGTAACGTAGGTGCTCGAGTAAAAGTAGGAGACTATTATTATTATGGACAAGGTACTAAAGTCAATTACGAGACTGCTGCTTTTCATTATACCGTGGCACAGGAACAGTTCAGAAGTGCCCAAGCAATGTTCAACCTTGGTTATATGCACGAGAGGGGATTGGGAATGAAAAAGGTGAAATATAGTTGAGAATAGACTCGTATTGTTACGTCATCATGTTGAAATGGTGTTATTGTTGATCTTGGTTTATTTCCACTTTAGGATATTCATCTTGCAAAAAGGTTTTATGATATGGCTGCCGAAGCTAGTCCTGATGCTCAGGCTCCAGTTACTTTAGCTCTGGCTAAACTTGGTGTGCTTTACAGTCTGGATTGGATAAATAATGTAAGTTTATAGTTCATTCAAGTTTCGCACAGTGTTCATTACTTGCATTACAAACCTGTTGAAGGAAGAAATGTTAATTAATGTTACATCATCTGCGGTACACCATAATTTATTCATCGCCTACACAATAATGTTAATTTATTCATCGCCTACACAACAATGTTAATTTATTCATCGCCTGCCGTGTACAATGAAAATTGTTGACCATCGTTCTCAGATTAATTTAACACTTGACGAGAATTTGTTTTACACATAGCTAGAAAACAAAATCTGACAAAAGATTTCTCCTTTTCTTTCGCTTAAGAACTACGACGTATGGTCTCGTATCCATGTCAATCTGGATGAACGCTTAGGGACAAATTGGGATATTTATTTAATGACAATATTGGCCATCCTTGTTGGTCTCCTTATCATTCTACGTTGGAGATAGCCGATTATTTTATTGTCAGCTTTTTCCCTGCCAATGTACAACATACCGTTCATATGCACTCAATTCATAAAATCATGTGAGACTGACTGTATAAAAGCACACATATTTAATAATGTCTTCATTTTTTTGAGCGTGGAATGTAGACGGTTAGGGTGTGTTCTGAACTACGCGTGCCGTTTTCGTCATCAATATAAAATTTTAAGTTGGTTACAGTTGAGTGCTTTACCTCAAAATAAATTTGCTTGTAAAAGTGATATTAATCCACATACTCATATATTTATCGACCATTTCAAAAGTCATTTACGTTTATATTTTGCTTGTCGACTTAAACCAGGAATATTATTTTGGATCGTGATCTGTACTCAACGCTTTTATTAGAAACTTTATTGACATAAGTTTAATTTTTGAACGTTTACATGGTCATCCTGTCATGTGGCTATCTGGTGGCTGTAATTAATGAAATTTTATACATTACATTGTAGTATTATTACTACAACATAATAAACAGTTGATTTTATTCAATACTGGCAATAAAACATTTACCCCCGACGACCTTCAAAATATTCGCTGTTGGAATCGTCGGAAATCGTGTACTTCCTGTCGACGAAAACGTGTAGTTGTGAAAAGTTCAGGTCGATGACAAATGAATGATGCGCGTTCAAAAATGGTCTGACAACACATGTCCGGAATTTTGTGAGAGTTCCTTAATTTTTAGCGAACTTTCGACAAATTCATCACAAAATGCCCTTTCAGACGTTGCTATCTAGTTTAACCATTTATTATCTAAGTTTCGCGTTGTCTTTGGATTACTCCGCTACTTTGGTGTCGATCGAAGAATACTGGCTGACGCTTGACGGTGAAACTACTGCCTACGGTATTGTTTTCGGGTCTTACGCGTTGGCTCAGATTATTAGTTCGCCCATATTCGGTTATCTAGCCGACAGGCGAGGAACAAAGTTTGCTCTCTGTGTATCTATTGTCATAAATGCTTGTGGGAATGCATTATATGGTCTAGCGTACGTTTTGAATTCAAAGCACGTTGTATTATGGGGACGATTTGTTTCGGGTTTCGGTGCTGGCAGTTTGATTCTTGGCATAGTTCATATTACCAACACTGCATCAAGAGAGGATCGAGGTTGGATTGTTGCTAATTATAGGATTGCGCAATCATTGGCCTACTTAGGAGGTCCATTTCTTGGTATTGCTTTTATCCCATTGCATTTACCTGATGGTATTGATAATAATGGAACAACTAGCACTAAAGAGAAAATACTTAACTTTTACACTACACCAGCTTGGGTAACCATGTTGAATGACTTACTTGTTATGTTGCCAATGGTGTTGGTTCTGTTTAAAAATCCATTTGCACCGCATGCTGCTATGCGTTTTTACTACAAAGATGCAAAAGCTCTTATCTTCCACACTGCAATGATCGGTTTAATATTGTTTATTGGTAACCTATGTCTTTGGGGCATAATTAGTAAGCTATTTTCATTTGCATTTGGTCAGTATCACATTATTACCAAGCAGTCAGATCTTTGGAAGGTTTACATAGCTGCTGGTATTGCATTCTTTGCAGGCAGTCTTGCTCTTCGTTATTTGATTAAATCTAGACTTAGTGCAGTCGCCTTGGGTGTGATTGGACTTGCTACAAATTTAATGGGGTTTTTGTTTCTTTTGGATTTCAATATGAAACAGCTTGACAGCACAATTTTCTTTTATTTGGGTTCTGTGCTTACAATGTTTGGTGGCATTTGGTTTCTCACTGGAACAATTGTCTACTATTCTCAAAAGATGACAGATTTGAGCAATCAAGCTAGAAATCGAAGAGGATTTTTGATGGGAATGTTAAACATTGCAGATGCCTTTGGACGTTTTATTGGTCCAACCGTCCTCACACCAATAATGAAAATCCAATCAAGTAATCAGCTTAGCTGTCGACCTATCAAATGGAACCCTGAAAACTGTATTCTATCAAATGTGAATGTTGCCATTCCTATTAGCATGGTTTTGGTGTTTGTGAACATTGTGTTATTACAATATTATCATTGGAAATACGGAAGGACTGATTTTGAAGCAACTGGCTCACTCGTTAGCCATGCAACATTGTCTGTACAAAGTCAATCACAGATGCAGTTAGAAGAAGTTGGTAATCTTGAATTGTTGGATGATGATGTTTTTGTTGACAATATTTCTTTGCATGATCAACAATTTATTTGATATTTTATAAAGAATGGTGGGCTGTATTCTCTCAAATTCATATTGAATACCAGTGAAATGGTTACTATGGCAAATTTATTCTGCAATAAGTCCTATTACCGTTGAGTGAGGAAGTAGGTTTTGCCATTGTGTTGAGTGAAGAGTTTTGTTTGGTCATCTAGGCAAAACAATTTTTCTTTTGAGATATTATGTGGTCAGCATTGTATCCAATTCGTTTGATTTGATGTCTTCTATTGAAATTAAAGTTGTGATTTTACCTATAGATTATGATGTGTAATGTTTATGTCCAAATTTGTTTTGACATGACATCACGCACACGTTTCAAAGATGCGATGTATACACTTTAGTTAATGATCCATGAAAGTGGCGCGTGCTTCTTTGTTTCGCTTGTGTGGCACTTGAAAATGCAATTTTATGTATCAGCACGTTTAATTGTATAACATCCCTTCTACCTTATTTTTACTTACTAAATGTGTAGCTCAAACATTCTCGACTATATGTAATGTTACTGCGCTGTTCCGCGATCTAGCTATAATGCCTTTATTCTTCAAATTTTATCGGAAAGAAAAAAATTGTTCAATGGCAGTTAAATGTTTCTCTCAAAATTATAACAACCTGCAACAAATAGCATTAGAATGTTTTGGTTTTGCGAATGAAAAAAGGGACGATGTCGCGTTGTGAATATTCGAAATGACATTAATGATAATGATAATTTTGAGTTGAAAAATGTAGTTAAACAAAGTTTTCAAAGCAGCACGTTCTTAAAGCTTAATGAGCGTGTTGCTTGTATGTAAGAGGCATAACATTCTCATTTGAAAACCATAAAGTGCGATTTGAGTGAAGATATTTCTAGATAATGTCGAAAGACCCAACGAGAGAGGAAAGCCGTCACCGACAGCTGTTCTCTGTCGGACATTCTTGCGTTGTACTAGACGATATTACAACCTGTTTATACAACTCTGTTTTAAATCGTCAAAAAAATTTCCAAGCAAATTTTTGCATTTATCACCATTTTGTGTAAAGCTTATGTCCATGCAATGTGGATTTGAACGATCTCTTCTTAATCGTAATAGAGTTATGGAAACGTTTGTACTTTATGATAACACCATAAATTAAATTATACATTTAAATTTTTTCTGTAATGAACGATTTTGGCAATATTAGTACGAACATCTGCTTCTCACGACCTGTGAAACAATGCATTTATTTAAAGTCAATCCATAAGAGCGTTGTTAATTTCAGTATACGCGATCTCGATTATTAACGAAAGTAACAGGACTTTATCCTAGATACATTTATATCTTCTCGAACTGTGCTCGTTGTCAGTCAAGTTTATTTTTTTGTAAATATGAGTGTCACCGTCTTTAAATCTGTTCATCGACAACGAACGTACGTGTATTTGTGTTAGAGTCATTAATTTTGTACACGCCCAAAATAAAACCATTTGCAAAATATTTGTCTGCCAAACTGTGCATTGGCAATATTTCTATATTACATAAAAGACTGAAAATACCACTCGACACTTGAAGAATGAATAAAATTGTTTAATTTAATGAACGCTGAGTATATTTTTTTCATTTGCTGACGTATCAAAGTCGTACTTTTTTCATTGTTAAACACAACACAGTAAAAACTCTTTGTTTAATGGACTTAAAGTGTATTTGTAGTTTAAATGAGAAACTTATTGGAATGTTTATCCTTTCACGAATGTCTTCGACGTTCGTCATTACTCTGATATATATTATATGTGAATTATTATTTATAAATATTTCTTATATCAGTCATCAGAAAATATCAGTCGACGAATCACAGTTTGATTTTTTCTTCATTCCTTAGAACAGCGTGTTGTAAAACGTGTCTAGCGCGGTTTGTCAAAGTGCGAAATAGTTTACCACAAAACTGACATGGATCAGGACGATCATTGCAATGATTATTTATATGCTTCTGCAGGTAGCTTTTGCGTCGGAATTTTTTATTACACATCTCGCAAAAGTATTGCATGTTGTTTAAATTTTGTTCATGTTGAGAATCCGACGACGATGCTGAATTCCTTGGTGTTATTTTGCTCATTTCTTCGCTATGAAAATCATCTCTGTTCATAGTTGCTTCTTTGTTGGCCTTTTTCCCCGGTGACTTTGGTCTATGCCAACGTCGATGTGAGGCAAGATTTGCTGGGCAACTAAATACTTTATCACATTCGGGGCATCTGTATTCCATGTGCTTAATACCGGAACATCGATGTTGTGCTAAGGCAAATGGATCTGGGTAAACTTTCTTACAAAGCTGGCAAATATACTGGGATTGCGGCAGCGGACCATTTGGTTTTGGAAATTCAAATTTTTCATTAGGAACTATCAACGCTCGATTGGAATTTGCTGTTGAATTTCTTTCCCTTCAATTTTCGTTTCCCTTTTTTCCTCCATGTAGGACTTTGCTTGTTTTTTCAATGCATCCAAACAACTTTGGAATGATGTTGTCGAATAATGTATTTCAACGGGATAGTTCGCTTGTTTTGCTTTTTCTTCTGCGTAAAATAATTCCTTGGCTGCATCAAACTTTGCCTCAGGAAGACCACTTGATCTTTTCTTTATTTTGATCGTCTTAACGCATATTCCCATTTCTCGGCCGCGTTGTAACTCGCGCAGAAATTTTTTATTGATCTTTGCCGTGTCACTTGTCCATTTCGATGTTTTAAGTTTCTTCACGAGAAAGGCTTTCGGCATGATGAATGATTAGTTAGGGAAGGTACCAGTTCAATCGTAAACGAAATTCCTTCGTTGTAAGTGTCAGTGATGGAATGAACACTCTCAAATCACCGTCGCTCTTTTCTCGCAAAAAGGATTTTTGTCCGAATTTTTCTGTTCGAGATGTTTTCAGTATGAGTATGCGAGTCGCTTTGATAGCAACGTCGAATGTGTACAAATGTTATAATTACGATCTGCAACAGCTGCCTGTCCCGTTGTCCCGGACGAAACTAAGAGGTTTATGGATTGCTAATTGCAAGTGCCACACGCCTTCCATTGGCCCTTTTGTTAAACATGCAGTTTTTGTTGCAACGCCACGTGTTGACGTCTTTTCACTAACCAATGAAATGGCTCCTATTCTGTATCCATGTCTATGTAGACCCGTGAACAACTATTCTTCTTTGTATATTTACCGAAAAAAAAGAACGATAAAACTTTTATGAATTATTTTTAGAAGGTCTGTCATAATATTTGATGGTGCAGCGATTTCAGTGAAACCGTGCATTTTCCCAACCCTACAATCGAGCTCGAAATATTTGACACAGTCATTTGAGTGTACAATGTTTGAAAGACAAAGAGCAATATTTGTACATTGACCGACAAAAGACTAAATTCGTAATATTCGCTGATGGTTTTACTTGTAACTTTAAGACGATGTGTCCCAAGCTTTCATTTGTCAACGTTATTTTAAATGAAAATACAAAGGAATTCCTTCATTACCCATTCAACATTGTTATGCTTCTATGTAAACGAGGATTGCCTAATACATGCTATCCGTTAACATGGATGTACATGTACACTTCTATGGAGCACATAAAGTTTCATAAATTCATGTCATTTTGTGTATTATTTAGGCAATATTATCTCTCTTACTATAGTCATACTTTAGTCATAAAGATACATTGTACAATTAACGTATTCACTTTACTCATATATCTTGAAACTAACATATTATAGAAAAAATGGAATATCTCCTTTAGTCCTAAAAACTTTATCATTACTGTGCAAAAATGCTATAAACACGTGATGATAGACAATGCTTTAGATATTTTTATTTCGATTTCCATTTTAATTTTTTTCTAGTTAGCTCTTATCTGTGAGTAAATATTTTAATAAGCAGCGTGTTGGAATAGATTATTTGATCATGAAAAGCATTGCTATGTAAAGCATGAGGTTATAATACATTTGGTAAAAGAATGAAGAATTTGTTACAATTTAAATGATTACTGTGGAACTATCTTCAGTTACACTGCACCCCCAATTAGATTTTCAAAATTTTTTATGCACACAATTGAAAGCGATGGAGTATTCTTGTTATTTTAAATGGACAGTATATCAGTAACATGTTATCAGCTACGATAATATTGGCGTATTCCCAACTCTAAGGAATTGTGTCGGACCTTAATCGACTTTCGTCATTATAAGAGCATATTAGAAAGTTAATTCTCGATATGTGATCTGCGTAGGGGGTAGAATCTCACATCATGTTTAATAACAACTCAACCAATCACAACGTGATGATTATAGGTAGAAAGCAAGAATACTTTGTTTGACAATAGATGAGTAATGATGCAGGTGTTTTTCTGACGCTTGAAAAGAGCAAAAAAATGACAACAGTTTAAATATCACGATTATTTCCATAATAGTCATTTATTTGATTCCAGTATAAAGTGTTTTGTGAAAGAAATTTGAACGGTATAATTAATAACAAGGAAATGTGCACGACCAAAATCGACTCCTATTTCGAACTACAATATAAGATTATATTGATCGTAATATTAACACAATACGAAGAAATTTAACGGTTGCTTTAGAAATGTGATATTTTATGAATCCTAGGAAAACACACAGCTATTAAGCACATTTATTAAAAAATATATGACCAAAGAGAGAATTGAATAAACGGCGCGGTGCTTTTTTTACAAAATAATTTAAAAAACAGTGTTCATTTAGGTTGAGTCCTCTTAAAGATACTTCAGTTTCATTAGTGGGTCTTTGTTACATGGCAAACGTTATAGCCATCATTTGGATAAGGTACAATGGCGCGGAGTAACCTTCTCCACGTCAACCGCCAACAACACCTTAATAAAACGTACATACAAATGATAAGAAACATTGAACTACAACTAATCGTTTTTATTATTTGAAAAACAAACACTCACCAAGAAAGTCGTCCATAAGAGATCCGATGGCAAACTAAACAAAAAAATTTAATCTACTAAGTTATATTATTATAACACCAACTTAAACTATCATTTTGAAACCCTTACAATGTCATTTGCATCAACTCTTGTACCAACAATACGCAAACGTATTTCGTCTCCTTGTTGAATGACAACATCCTAATTAATATGTAAGAAATTTATTTTCACACCATTTAATGAACTTAGATGACCATATTACTATCCAGAAACCAACTGACAACAAAACTGTGTTGAAAAGTTTAATGTTAATTCTATACAAGCAAACCTCATCTTCTGTTTTGTAACATGGTGGATTACTCTGTGGATCAAACTTCATGTCCGGAGGAATGGACTAAAGTATTAATAAAGTATAAGTCAGAAAATCAACAAAGTTGCAAGTTAGTGGTGTTAACTGGTATCTCAAAGAAAGAAATTCAAACTTACATGTCTTGATATAAAACATGATAAGGGTCCAATCTCAGTGAACAGACCAACCTATACTTAGGAAATATTGCTGTTTATCCACGAGTGTTGCAAGAGAATGAAACAAACAAAGGTGAACCTTATTCACTTGAGTAACAGCTGCATCTAAGACTTCACCTTTAAAAGGCCTAAATACAATTGCCTGCAGAGACAAAAATTATGGCAAATTTTAAACTTGTTTCCAATATGGTAATCATATAACTATTTTACTTTTTACTTTATACTTCACTGGATAGACCACAAAACCTCGACCTGGTTGAATAGCCCCAACACCAATATTATCAATGGTTGTCACAGCAATTATAAAACCATATCTAGAACAGTAAGTATTGGTTATATGGCAGCAAAATTATAATAATGTGAATTAAGATGCCCCCAAATTATATTTCATTAACCTACTTCCCTGTACAGGTTCCCTCCACTTCAGTGAAAAGTTTCTGCTTCACTGTCTGCAGCAAATTTGGACCAAAGTACCGAGGATGAAGTAATATCTCGTGTTCAAGGGATATCTAAACTCATAAACATTACTGACATTACTGACAGTGACACTGATGAAGCCAAGAGTCAAGAATGAAAAAAATGATATATCTGGTACACTCACATGGAAAAACATCTTGAGGCATTCAAAATGGGGGCAATCCAAGTCCCAACCAGTCAAATAAACCAAAGAATATTGTATTTAATAACACTTATTACAATATTTCACGATAAAAGGTCTCCTAGTTCCAGTTTCAACGTCCGTGTATTTTCAATATGGCTGACGTTCTTCAAGCAATAGAAATGCATTTACTTAAGGTTTGTGAATTTAACGAATTATGAGTGTGTGTTGAAGCAAGTTAAGGTGCGTCTTTTACTCGCAGATGGCTGGTGAATGTGTTGATTTAAAAGTCGATTATGAAAGATTCCAATGGACTATCGAACACACGACAGGTGAAGCAACATTTTGGCAAATTGTGCAAGAGCTAGTTGAGTTGTTACAGGTATACGCCACGTTATTCAAGACACTTGTATAGGAAAAGGACATAGATTTACTGCTGGATATTTCATGACTTTTATCAATACGCACGAGACACACAAATTTTCGGCTTCTCAGTTCTCACTCGCTGATGAAACTTGTAATTTAAGTTTTTCATGAAACAAAAGACTGGTTTGCTGTTGTGAAATATTTTTTTGCTTTTGCTTTGCCAGACCAAGTTAATGGAGCAATCAAAGCTGAGTCAATGCCTGGATGGAAAAAGTATTTTACGCCAAAGTCCTAGTTCATCTTTTGTACAAATCACAGCTAATAAGGCCGAGATAGATAGGAGAATTGCTGCGTTTGTCAGTAAAAAGCAACTTGATGTTGATTTACATAATCAGCGAGAATTCTGCAATCTTCTCAAAACAGAAAATGGTGAGTTCGGTTCTCTCACATACTTTAAAGTAGGGTAATTCCATGTCAAATGTAACCCTAACTTCCGATTTTGCTTACAGGAATAATAGAAATAGGAACAAAATGACCACATACATAGTTTGAGATCAGGAAATTAGTGAGTTATGGCTGCTAGAAAAAATGTTAATGTTAATACCTCACAGTTATAAAATATCACTTAAAGTGAAAGGCCAAAATTCAATTTGTTTTGATATATTGTATTCATGTGCTATTGTGCCAATACTTTTCAACATAACCGTGTATGGGTTAGGCTATAAACATATATTAAAATTAAGTTGTAAAAGCATACACATAGATTTTGAACAGTATATTTTGACTTCCGGTTATCATGCATTTCTTTAGTCGTTACATTTGGTTAAATTTTCAATATATCTCGAACTAAACAGAAGGCTGTGTTCATTTATTATCTGAAAAGCTCATGTCAAACTTACTGAAACATGTAGTTGAAACGAGTAGTTTAATGATATGCATTTGACAAAGACAAGTGGCAGCTATGGTACAAAAACATGATTTCCAGAATATTTTCTTGTCAATGAAAACGCGTTTTTACATTACCAATTAGACAATTTCTTACAAATGCCACATACTAAAGTTAATGTATTTAATTATTTTCATAGCTGGCTTACTATTTGTACGAGTGATGTTTTCGAACATTTTATGTTATTAATTGGAAAACAATTTAATAATCGCTGTATTATGTGTGGCATTATCCTCATACAACAATTGAACGTATTCTGTATGGTACTTGTGAAAGTAAAAGTCTTAATTTTATCTTCTGATGTGGTAGCTCTTCATTAATTTCACTCACATTTGTTCCGTCAGCCTGTGTAGGTCGAATTCTCTAGTCTTAATTTCTGGTAGCATGCTTGCTTCTGTCAAATCCTCCAAACCTCTTTCCTCTGCGCCAACAGTCATTGCAAACGGACTTTTGATGTTTTTAAAGCAGTCCATACATCGTTTTCATTTCTTCCTTCCATACACCACTGTTCAATGCTCAAGGATTCTGAATATTTTGATAGATGCGATACATTGACAACATTATTTTAAGGCGTCTCTTGATTGTTTCTCCTGGCTTTTGACCAAAAAATGCGTTTTTATAATATCTCTTCGAAACAACACAGTGGCAAAAGTACGATATACAATTTTTTGCCATCCTTCTTATCTTCGCAAGCGAATACTAAAGTTAAAGAATTTACACGTTCACATCTAAGCAGGAAAATTATCCAAATTAAAACTGCATTTGTGGAGGGCCTCTGATGTAGTTTAAAGCAAACGTAAGATCGGTTTTTGAATGAAAAGATTGTATCAATACAACGAGTGTTAACGTTTTTTCAATAAATTACATAAAATGCTCTTAGACATCACTTTTACCAATGGTAAATCTGCTGGGAAAATAAATATCCCATGCTCCCAACATTAAAATTTGTACAAAAAGCGATATTGCATTTGTACAAACTATTCTAATTAGCAATGTAAAAATGCGTTTTCAATGCCAGAAAAATGTCCTGTAAATGTGTTTTACCTGCCATTTTTCTCTGTGAAATGCAAATGATTAAACTAGCCGTTTCAGATAGTTTGACATGAGCTCTTTCACATGACATATGACATAGCCGACATAGCCTTGCATTTAGTACGAGACGTACCAATTAGCATTTCTTTAAACAGCCATAACTCAACCACCGTTTAAGTTTATGTGTTCATTTTGTACATAGATCTGCGCAGAATAGAAAGTTTTCAGATTACAACCCTCTGATGATTTGACATGAAATGACGCAGGATCTTGGTTTGTTTTCAAAAACATTCATTGTATTATTGTGTATCTACAGAGTTCAGCTGTGCCAGGGTTGATGCTGTATTCTTGCCAAGAGTTGGACAAAATAGTCATATAACAGGTTCACCATTGCTTTTATTGAATTCAATTTTTTCCCTGCATCGAGGAAAACGTATTATGTGCTTGTAAAGATTGGAAAAGTTCAGAAAGTTGTTTGGCATTGCAGTATTTTGTTTACTCATACATTTGTTATTGTGTATGTTGAAATTCTCAGAGTGAGATTTTTTCCTTCTATTCCACTTATGGGTGTGTTTTAATCTTTTTTAGTTACAAATGCTGATCACGAAGATAAAATAATGAAGTCTGACAATGTTACAGTAGATACAATGTTGTACTCCATCCCTGTAAAACGGCAAAAAACATCAGAAGATGTTGAAGAACTACCTTCTGGAGTAGAAGAACGCCTGCATAATATCGAATCACATCTTCATCTTAATGGTAAGATTGTCCACCCCTGCTTGTTGACATTTTTGACTGCAACTAATGAAAATTTATTTGTCAGCGGAGAGTCGTTATAGATTATATAAATCTTCTGTGAGCATTGCATTGAAAGGGGGGAAGTGGGAGAGACATGAATTGCATTGAAAGGAGGGAGTGGGGAAGACATGCATCGCATTAAAAGGGGAGGGAGAGACATGAATTGCATTGAAAGGAGGGAGTGGGGAAGACATGCATTGCATTGAAAGGAGGGAGCGGGGAGACATGAATTGCATTGAAAGGGAGTGGGGAAGACATGCATCGCATTAAAAGGAGGGAGTGGGGAGACATGAATTGCGTTGAAAGGAGGGAGCGGGAGACATGCATTGCATTGAAAGGGGGAGTTGTGGAGACATGCATTGCATTAGGAGCCATGTTCATTGAAATGTTGGGATTTTAAGGTGTAAATTCAAGTTCTCTGTGTTTTTCATAGTTAATGCTGTGCCTAAACCTGTTTTCTCACGTATCAAGAGTCTTGAAAAAAAAATTCTTTATTTGGAAAGTCTTTCTCCTGAATATTTCAGTTTCCAGGTTTGTAGCTACATACTCTGAAAGACGAACATCTTTAGCTTGAAGAAAAAATAGTTTTCAATGATTACTTTGCGTTAAAAATAACAGCTTCGTTTTTTACTTGTGATTTTTACCCCTGCAGAGTGCTAATGAAGAAATGTTATCAAAACGATACGTAACCGGGGAAACGCGACCAAACGCGAATGTGAGTGACAACGATTTTCCTTTCGCAAATAGGACAACGTCGTGATACGAGAATGTATTTTTTTAGATATATTTCGATAACAATTTCAATGATTTGGATATTGACGAGAGAATGTCAAAGCTTAAAGATAAACTTCTTTCGGAAAAATCTCCGAAGACAAAATGACTGTCAAAATGGTGAGTTCACGAATATTTTGTTGTTGAGGCTGTTTGAAATAAGATATTTAATCTTGTATTTCGGTAATTTTTGTTTTCAATGTACCCAAGAGACGAAGTCGAGGGAAATGTTTAAATTTCATACATGGAAAATAAAATGGTGTGATGCATCACAATACATCACAAGTTCTTCATTTTAAAGTTTTCGTGCGCCAAACGCATTAACAAAAATAATAAGTTCTTAAAAGATCACGAATTTAAACTGACCTTAAATCGCATTATGTAAAATTTGAAGTAGCTACTTTTTGTTGCCAAAGCCGTATGGGGGAGAACTTGCATGTTTATTTTTATTTACCACGATGGACAATTTTTATTTGTTTTTAGTCACGTGAGCACGATTTAACCAATCACCGTATGACAATGCACAAAGAACTAGTTTCGTTTTGTGCACACAAACAAAGAGCGATAATGAAATTAAAATTTCTGACCAAAACTTATTTGCCAAGTCGTTCATGTGCTGTCCGGCCATCATAACAAATGTACTTTGATGAGAAATTCTTATTTGTCTTGTTTTTCCAAGACTTTAATGTCAGCGTCAAAGCATTTGTTTAGTGCGTTTGATGATTGGATTATGGAAGATTAAGACACGTTGATAACCTGTTAAGCTGTTTAGTCAACTACATTTTACTTTTATTAGCCAGTTTAGGCATGTTTATGACGAAAGCAAGGGCTTTTCTTTATGATAGGCGGATAGCCAAATTACTTCTAATATCCAACATGCGCGTGCGCAAAGGATTTCATTTTTGTTGATCACTGTTGAAAAATGAAGAATGTCTGAATGATACGAATTTTGTTTGACTTGTTACCAGGTTGCAATTTTGCGATTAATATTGTGAGCTATATATCATCGTAAAAGATCACTTCATATTTAGGCTCGTAAAATATGATTAATTGCAACAGCAAATGCGTCATATTTATCATAAAATTAATTAAACATTAAATTTGAAAATCTATTTTTTGACACCGACGAACGAAATTTATTTTGAAAGTGGCTGGTCTTGCGTGACTTAAATGACACGATACTTTTTGCTACAGTGATTGTTTGGATTCTTTGACGTCCAGATCATGTGATTATGGTACATAAGCTATCTGTATTGTTGACATAGATAACGAGATAATTAGTAAAGTTTGATGTTTTTATGTTTTTATCCTTCGTGATAAAGGCAGCTATCAGTTTGCTACTTAGCTTTTGTACAGATAATGGCGAGCTTAAGATACTTTTTTCTTGTCGTCGTAGATTTGCTACGACTTAAGCTTACTGTCAGCCCCGGAAATTAAGTTGGGTAAAGTGCTCCATAAACAAGGCCATTATGTTTGTTTTGGTGATATTTTACTTAATGTTAAAATGCATCTGGGAGCGTGTATCGTAAATAAGATTGATATCGTGAGGAAAAATTCTACTGCAGCTATTGAATAAGCATTTTCAATCGTTCGCACTAAGCATTTTCAATCTCTATCATCATAATATTTACAATAAATATTTATTCTGTAAATCTACACATAAATGTATGCAAAATGACTGATAAACAAATTAAATATTACATATATTATTTTTAAACATCAAGAGTTTCAGGGAATGTTCTTGATTGTCTTTGAATGTTTGTTACTTCTTAAATTTCACTAACATTGTTTCCATCTCCTAATCCATCTCTAATCCAAATTATTTCATTCATCCAGTTGTATCGTCGCCATGGGAATGCTACGTGTCTTCAAAAGAGGTCTTTTCATTTTGCTGAGTTGTTTTGAATAGCGAACCATGGCTCCATAAAAACCATATTCTGCCATTCTTGAGCTGCTACCCCATACCTTCTCTGTTTTTCGCCATTTAGCTCGACGATTTTGAAACCAAACCTTAACACAACAAAACTATATCGTATAAAACATATTTCGTCCTCTTTTATATTTCTATCATTGTCTTTGGTGTTTGTACTTTTTTCCGGCCATCCACTGTCTTTTCTTGAAATATCATAGAATTGGTGTGTCCCCCCCTGTCAATGTCTAAAATGGATCTATGCGTGTCGTACTTTGTGTATATTTGTTATATTCTAGCAAGTGTGGTTAACATGAAGAATGATGAATCTGCGTGAACGTGTTTCAACTTTTCAAACCTATTTCAACTTTGCTTGCGTTGTGTGAGAACGGTATTCTTCTCAGTTAATTTGATCTATTTTCGCTGCGCATGCGCTTAGGTGCCGGAGATGGTTTACTGTATGACGTCATCTGCATTCCTCTTTTCCAATGGGGACTTTGTCGTTCCTATCAGGAATTATAACACAATTTACTAGTTATTTACCTGTATCCTTTCTTCATCTAATCCAATTTTTCTTGATAGTGATTTTCTTGACTCAAGATCAACGTAATGATTAAGTTGAAATAGTTTCTCAAGCTCTTTAACTTGACCTCTTGTATAAACTGTTCGCGATCTTCGCCCTGTTTGTTTTCTACTTTCGAAATTGTCTTCGTCATGAAATTGCTCGTTACTCTGCTTGCAGATGAAGTCGTGTTCTGTTCTTTTTATCACTGGTATTCTCCTTGTTTTTTTGTCGCATTCTGTAGAAAAAATATAGTCCTAAAAATCCTCTATTTTAAGCAATAATAAAAAATTGATGAATTTAGTTCACTGTAAACTTAGTCCAATAACTCAATAAATCCACATAACTACGTGACTCATTACTACGGCATTGTCTAGACTTTGTTCTAGTTCAATCTAGTGTATCATCGTATTTTTAGAAATTGGGATTTCCTCAAAAAATGTGGGAATAGAACGTTGAAGAATTTCCCTGAATGCCAACGTAAGCGCCGTTTTATGCCTATAAAGTAATCAATATTAAACACTTTGCCTTGACGCATACACCAAAAATAGATAAAGAGTCGTTTCTTGTATTTCATCGAATCTTTAACGAATTGGAGAACCTAATTACTCCTAGCGCCTTTGTGTTATATACAAATTAAGATGTCGGTTGATTTAATATTATGAAAATAGTTGAACAACACTTAAGTCATTTTATCCAATGATCGTTTTATTGTAATGTGTCTTATTTGGTGAGATGTTTACTAGTTCATAAAAGTTACCAAAACAATTTTATTTTTACTTCCTTTACGTAGAAATCGACATGAATTGACTTTGGGTTTTCGTATTATGTTATAGCATTTAAATCTACTCTAGAATTTAAAACGAACTGCAGTAAAATAATCTGAAGTAAATACATGTGATAAAGAGTGATTCACACGTTACCTTTTATTTCATATTGAACATTTTGCGTTGATTCTCGTTCGAAGCATTCCCTCCGACAGCAACTTCCTTCAAAAATTATACTTTTTTTTCTTTCAACATTAGCCTTTAGTATGTCGTCGACTCCAAATGGTGTAAATTTCCGAGTTGTCATCTTGTGTGAATTTATCTATCGTTACTTACTTAAATGCGCAAACTTTATGTTTTGCGCGCAATTTATGCAAATTGTTGTGCGCTAACACTGTGCGTGTCCGTGTGTGTGTGTGTGCGTGTGTATGTCTATGTCACACCCTGGAGCTGTAGCAATTATAAATTGTTCAAGTGCTTGTCACTTGAGGGCGTTGACAAAATCCGATCGAGTTTATCCGTTTTATTTTAGTCTAAAATTTATATTTGAGGATTAAGCTCTAAACTGACAAGTTGATAAGTTAAAATCGAATGCTTTTGGATGAGATATGCTGTAAGGAAATGGAATGTATGTTTTAATAACTTAATCATTTTGTCCCGGTGTGACATTCCGAGCGCGTTTTTGGGTCTCATTTGTCGATGGGTTCTCGTAGGCGTAGATGAACTGGGTGGGATGTGTTCCTACTTGCGTAAAGTTATGAGGTCTCTGTCAAACTACAGCAAAAATGTGCTCATGGTCGCAGATTTACAAAGGCTAGTAGTTATAAACTATGTTTTTTTTTATAATTCAACAAAGGAAACCCATTGCGTTTTGCCAAGCTGTCAGAAAAACTGACTAAACTATTTTCGAGACAGTTTGCCCATTTTCTAGATGAAATTTCGGATGCCATTAGTAAAGGAATGCGCGTAGTGGCTCGGAAGTCACGCCATATTTATTGCTCAAACATTAATCCAAAACTTACTGATAACTTATCTTCGTTATCTTTAATGGGAAATAGATTTGATAGATAAGATAGATACTTGCATAAGATAGTTAAATAATAATTTTATTCAATACGCATTTTGTAGTTTACAGAAGATATTCATCTCATGCAAAAGCATCAACATGAAATATCTTTAAAACAACAATCGACAATATTCATCTCTAAATAATATCTTACTGAAAATTTCTTGAATGCAAAAAAACGTCTATTCAAGCATATTTACTTTATATGCTATCGAAACAGCATCAGCTTTGCGCTCCATTATAGAAATAGATAAAGTTTAGCAAGAAGACCTATGATATATAATCTGTCTATTGTACAAACTATTGCATCCGGATATTAATCATAATAATTCAATAATTTACTTGATAATTGGTTTTCAAACCACCAATAGACTTCATCGAGCCAAAGTTTAATCAGCAAGATTACTTGAGTTTCCCATTTTCCTGTTATTGCCACAGGGCAAATTTAATTTTGTTCTGACTAGTTTATAGACTATCCATTGTAGGGCTTGTGGTGTTTAGGTATAAAAATGTTTTAATCTTCATGAAAATACATGCATCAATTGCAATGGAAAAGGATTATATCGAACTATAAATTATACATAGCGAGCTTTGTTATTTTATTCAAGTTCGTGAGCATTTCGTTGATGTACTTAATTCTTGGTCTGCGTACAATATAGATAATTTTAATCCATCCTTGTTGAATACGGAAATGAATGTGTAACGTGTGAGTCCCCATCAGGGATGTATGCTGTGCTGGTAACAAATTCAACTTTAACTAGTATTAAATGAGTCATTTATGCTGTTGTTTAGTGAGAGAATTGTCGTCCTTGTAGTGATTGGCCAAACAATATTTAAACAATGTATTTTATGTTTTGCCACGGAAGTCTATGATAATGTATTGATCTCAATAACAATTCTCATTTACAATTTGAATATATCTGGTGATTTTAATCTTTGTTCTCTATTATAAAATTTCATTTTTTCAGGATAACTAATTGCGATATTATACATGACACGTGTTATTAGTACAAACTTACACGCTGACATGTCTGTTTTCTAGTTCTAAAATAAATAGGTAAAATAATTTAGTGGGATGCCAGAACGGAATGGTTTTCTCCTTTTCTCAACAAGTATCCCACCTTCTGAAACTCGAGCCTGTTTCGAATGTACGTAGCGCATCGTATGCTAATTAGGGCGCAGTTCACCATCTTCATATTTTGGACCCAATTGGAATTGTGTCCAAAATTGTGTTTGTAATTATGTGCACAGTAATATGTGTAGAGAATTTGTGGGTGTTCTTTCTGGTTCTCGTGTGATCTTTTGAAATTAGAATGAAGTGGTTTTTGTCCTAATGCGTGTCAATCGCTTATTATTACAAATTAGATTGAACAGCATGGTGCATATTATGAAAATTTTGTTCTAAAAAATCAAAATTCCTTGGTAGTAATTAACAGCGGGAGGTTGACTGTATTTTTTGTGAAAACATACATTTACAGGGTCTGTTTTTTGTTTAGAATAAAACTTTGACGTTTCCCTGTGACTACTAAAATAAGAAAACATTTAAAATTCGAGAACTGCCAGCGATAATCAAAACAATAAACTATTTTAATTGACTCGTACTATCGATTCTGACGCACCTATCCGGTTATCTATAAAACGTATGTCTGGCTGGACTGCTGTGTATGTATATTACTATTAACCTTCAGTGACCCTGTTCATTGTCCATATTACAACACAATTGTCTTGGATTTAATCCCAGTATATAGTCATGGCATTCAATCTTACATCCTTATTAAAACACAACATAAAGACGGTCGTTAGATGCCACCCATAATTTGTGGATGGAAAATGGAACTAGAAGTTTGGTCACACAAACGATAAAAGTATTTGGAATGGAGAACGATAAGAATTCTTGTTCTTGAACTTATACAATAGGAGTTTGAAAGGGAATATGCTTTAAAATGTACTTTCAAGATTTTCAAAAGTTTCTTGAACAAGAGAGAATTGAGACATTTTTAAAACAATACACAATACATTTTATTTTTTGGTGTTGATTTATCATGTAGCTCAAATTTTAATGTTTTTTGAACAACACTATGTAAGTTTTCCCTCAAAAGATTAAATAATCTGTTATCTTTCACCCATAAATACAGATTGTGCCCACAAAACAACAACATTGCCTATGTCTTCAAAAATTTCTTGCTTTGTGTGAGACACTCCTTCTTCCCCTTTTATTGTCAACGCATGATCACCAGCCCTCAACCCAGTGTATTGACCAATTGCAATTCAATCTTCCTAAAGCTGACATCATCAGCTCTTGCTGACACATGGCATCTTGAGTACCACTGATGAACAATGTGGGTATACGAAGGGGTAGGATTGAGGAGAGTCTTTGTTCTGAAGTCTTTCTTACTGGATGAAGAGGATAGGATAAACACAACAGGCCAATTATAAATTTTTTTTTCTTGCTCAAGAGTGGATGCAATTTCTGCTGCAACTCGAGCTCCCATAGAACGACCTACATGTAAACATTTTATTTTTGTACAATGTATGAAGTATTTAAGAACAAATGATAAAATTTAAACCCACCACCAATTATACAATGATTAACTTGGTATTGTTGTGACTGCCGCAAGAAGTCCTGTATAAAACCAAATAGCAAATTATATATTGCTTAATTTTGGACCTTCAATAAAGTACAATTCTGCAAGCGTTTGCATTTGACATTCAAAAACGTTACCAACCACAACTACAGCAAAACACTTCACTCGATACATGAAATTTGGCGTCTTCATTGTAAAACGGAGGCATAATATACCAGCGTTACACAAGAATTTCACAAGTAGTTGTAAATGCTCATGAAACATGTCACCACCAGCTCCATGTGTCAATATAACGCCACATCTATTCCAAGATGTTAACTGCGGTCGTGAAATTAATGCTTCAATTTCTTTCTCGTCAAAAGGTATTTTGACGGCAACCTAATGATTTTGTAAAACCAAAGAATCTTGCATTTAAAGAGTTGTAAATGCGTGACAATATTGTGCGAAGATGCAAACCTCCATATTTTGGGCAAGATCTTCGTTGTTCGCCATTTTGGTTGCCATGTTGCCATGGAATTATTTTTTGTACACAATCCACAGTCCTTTCTCTTTACCTCATTACACACTTCAGAAAACTGCATTTAAATAACAATAGATTAATTTTTACGAAAGTAAATTTACATACATTGTTAACAATCCTTTAAATAGTTTTCTACACACTAGTCTCTCCTCCCAATTCAGCCAAAACACGAGTGTTGAACATCCTTGGTACTCTTTCTAGTTCTATTTTTTCTATTTGTTTCCGTCTTTCAATCTCACGCTGCAAAGCTTGTCGATATTCCTCATACTTGTACACAACTTGCTCTAAATCTTTCTTGTATAATCGCTTTAACATAGTTTGATAGCAGTCAAGATCTGGATATCGAAACAAATCCCACTAAAAACAGATATAGTGAATATATTATTTCCATTAACATTAAAATAACGAATGCTTAATGGAGTATCAATATGTTTTTATCACCTTTAAATATTCATCATATTCAGAGGATGCAGTAGAGTAAAACTGAAGCCACCCTGGTATTTCTAAAACATCACAAATTAGCTTTAACTTTGGACTTTTGAATAGCTTTACATCTTTTCTACATAATTACACCATCTCATAACTCACCAGCATACATGTATGGATTTGCAGGAACAAGAGAATTCTTTGAGGGATATGGGAGATTTTCTTCTACCAACAAATGCTTTGCTGGATGATCATATTGTGCAGTCTTGGTCCGATGGCTAATGGAATGAAAGAATATAATTAACAGACAAATGATTGGATAAAGCATTTAAGACACAAAGAAACATTCAAGTGTGAAAATGCTCATGATATTCAAGGTACATATTCAATACATTACATACTTTACATAGTATGTTCCATGCTCTGGTGAGTGCACTTTCTCCCAGTCTTCTGGTAACCCTAATATGTGTGTATGAAAAGATCACTAAATGTGGAAAAGGTTCATCTTTTCATACAAAATAAATCATCCTTACCAGCTTTCTCAAATGGATGGCACCATGTCGTTGTTTGATTGTTGTGACTGGGAAAGTTCAAAAATAAATTTGGTAAATTCCAGTTTATTTATGAGCATTAAAAATAGGTCATTTCAATCACTTACTCAACATAGAATTTTTCGCCATCTACTGTCCATTCTATGGTCCATCCAGGGGGGAGAGAATGATCTAGTGATGAGAGTTGTCCTGTTGAATGAGAGTAATTTAAAAATATGAATAACATCACAGTATGTATAAAATACTGTCATAATCAAGTCAATTATTATACCTGGTCTGTTTTGTTCAAGACCTGATCCCAATGGAGAAACTAGATGTTGATTCCAGTTAAGGGCTTCATTAGAAGCATACATTTGAACTTGACCCTGTGAATAATGACTATGTCGGTTGGGATGAGGCATAGCCATCATACCTTGGTTTAGATGACTTTGATTAGCACTACTATTATACATCCTTGAATGGCCTAAATGCTGCTCTGTGTATGCTAGAAAACTTAATCCATTATATGCTTCATATGGATTAGAATAAGACAAATGAGTATCATTAACTTTGCACGGATTCTGGTATTGAAACAATCCTAGCTGTTCAGGTGAATTGTGCTCATCAACTTTATTCATCATTGATTGTTGGTCCACTTTTCTACCAAATCTAAAGTGCTTGTTTCGATGAAAGATATTTTGTGTGAATGGTCTCGAACTCGACTGTTCTATTACTCTAAGATCAGGAATACTCATTGCTTGGTGTCTTTGCAAGGGTTGATTAAGTACATGCTGAGATTGACCATATCTTTGAAGTGGATTCATCCCATAAAATCCCATGCTTTTCCTTAATTCCCTGTAAGGGGGTGGATGTCGGTATCTATCAGCTGCATTTTCTGAATGTCCTCGTTGTATTCCTATCCTGTTTGCATAGGATGGAGGTGATTTGTAAGATTGTAAAATATCATCCATATTGGTCTGAATGTCATTGTGATGCACTATGTGTCTTCCTGTTTGGAGTACTTTTGTTTTTTCCCTTTTATCATTTCCACCAATATAGCTTGACCCAAGGCTGAACCTGGATTCACTGGAATCAACACTACACCCATCTGAACAAGTTTCATTTTTACGATTAACATATGATGATTCACTAGTTTTCTGCTCGACAGAACTACCACTATAACAAGATAATGGCCTGCCATAACCATTATTTAAAGTTGGTAATTCTAGGTATGCTTCTGAAACATCACGTGATGGGATCGGTCTTTGTTTAAAAAAATCCAATTCTAAATAATTGACGAAGTTTATCGGTATAAAATTATAAAAAAATAGCAAACAATGTTTGGGCTGTTAGTGCTTAGTATCGTCTCATGAGTTTTAACAATAAATATCATCGCGAATGACTCGCAAATTCTTCAAATTTTTGGGTTATATTGCCTTAAGAGTTATATTGTATCAATTAAACTGTTTTAATAAAGCACTTGTAGCAATTTATCGTGTGAAAACGCAATATTAGAAAATTAAACAGTTTATTTTTTAGTTGAGTTTTAAAAACAAACTTACGCAACACCGCAGCGTTTAGTTTAAACAAACAAAATGAGACTTGCATTTGGTACATCTTTGCGCATAGTAAAGATTACCTTCACGTTGTGAATGATTTCTCGTGTTTACGTTCGCATCCGTTCGACCGAAGCCAAGAGGTTCAGCATTTTTGCCCTTCTTCTCTCTAGCTTTCTCCTTTTTCACTTTATTCTTTCTAAAAGCCCTACTAAAGAACGGCATTTTATTTAAAGTTTTTTGGGATAAGAATCACATGAGATTCAACCCATAATTTTCACGTTTTCAATGATTTCCCACAGTTGATATACAACAGCCCGAGTATACATTAAACAATATACATCCACTGGATCCACGACTCTTCCTATATTGAAAAATGCCATAATGGACTAATCAAAATGCCTTAATCATATATCCTTAGAATATTTAAATAACCTTAAAGCTAGTGTCAAATTCCTAACTTTAAGGATTGATGGGGCATACATATTAATATATAGGAAGTTTATATGTGATGATTCTCCGTATAAAACAGTGCTCGATGCCCAAGAGCAGAGCGTAAATTTTATGTAGTGATGTTGAAAAAAATCACGAAAACTACAGATTCATATATATTAATATATATATATATTCTCCAAAACAATGTCACGAATGTGTCGGAAACGTGGTCGGAAACTCCCGGAGATCAACGGAATTTTTACAACGCGTTGTAACTATGGAAACAAGAATAGAAGAATCGGTGACATAAATCGATCTTACTTAGAGAAATAGTTGAATTTTTGGCGAGATTTTTTGTAATGGAGGTTGATTATAATTTAGAAACTCAAATCAAAAACACCAAGGCTTATCTACTGAAGGAAGATAGTAATGGAGAAGGAAATCTGTATGTATATGAGTTAATGTCTTTGTGTTCAGTTTTTAGATACTAGTTTATCTTGCTTCTGCATCTTTCTAGATATGATCACTTAGCATCTTTATTTGAGAAGATTTTGAAAAAAAGACCCGATAATGCTTTGAGTATGTCCTTAAAAAAATTTTGTGTACATTAGTGAGTTGGAAAGAATACCAACTTGTTGGTAGTTGTTTTTAGTTACTTAGATGATTTTTCTTGTTTGTCTTTTTGTCATGATTGTTTATTTGTTTTGCTTACATTCAGGAATACTTGAGGATGCAAGTCGTGAAGAGAAAAGAGCAAAATTCAAACCACCTCCTGATGCTTTACAAGTGATAGTTTTTGTTTTTGTTGATAGGATGAATGTGAACGAAAGAACTTTTTCATAACACTTATATCGTATCTTAGGATCATGAAAAGGAGTCCTCCAAAGTGTTACTGGCTAAAACTCAGTCTGAATTGTTTATGGTAATTTATATGCAGACATTAGAAATGATATCATATGAGTTTCTACATATGTTTTTATGATAGCAAAATCCAAAAAACTTCATGCGAGACACTGAACTTGATTCTGATGAAGAGATGGAAACTCCACTTCCCAATATCATGGAACTTGCTCATTACTTCTCTCTTGGTGGTGTAGGAATATGTAAAGAAGAGACATTTAGAGTTTTCTTAGCTTTAAAGAAACTGGTTGATGACAGTCCAATACTTAAGTGTCGTTTTTGGGGTAGGTTTCCACTTGCTTTGTTAGTTTGATTATAGAATTTCGTTTTTAGTAAAATTAGCATTAAAAAGTTGTGATGTGAACAATCCATGTAAATTCCATTTGACTTCTTAACCATAAATGATTCCTCGATAGCAGCCTTATGCTTCAATGCCTTGTTTGAATTAGGTAAAATACTTGGTTTGCAGAATAATTACTATGTAGCTGAAGTAGAATTTCGTGAAGGTGAAGATCCAGAACAGCAATTACCTAAAGAGGTAAAGCCAACATCATCTTTTGTTTGTTTCTCAATTTCAATGTCTTCAATTCATACTCTTTTTTGTTTTTCCAGGGTAAAGAAAGCATTGAAGCCGATTCAGAATCAGAGCAAGTTTTATCACGAAAAAGTATTTTTCTTTTGATTTTATATTACATATGAGTGTAGTTGCATGAAGATGTTTATGGACAATAAAATTGTCAGGTGTAGTAAATATGGACATTATGTTTCTCTGGTGATTAATGTAAACAATGTAGTTGTTAGGTGATAGACATTGATAGTTGTCAAGTATGAAGGTTTTGGATTGAAAATATTGGAACATTTGATATTTCATGTAGGTAATGACAGTTTAAACATGGATGATGTCGAAGATGAGGAAGATCAGTTACCAAAATCCATGTACAAACCACCCCCTGAAATCCCAAATGAAGATCTTGGCACCGGGTGTAACAAATATGTTTATTTTGTGTGCACGGAACGTAAGTTAACCATGTTATGTAAAGTGTATTTTCTTGTGTTCATGAAATATTGTTGTGTTTTAGTTGGAACTTCCTGGGTGCAATTACCTTCCGTGACGCCCGCACAGATAGTAATCTCAAGACAAATAAAAAAATTCTTTACTGGAAATCTAAATTCCCCTGTGAGTTTTGGGAGTTACATCCCGTTATGAAAACTTTGCCGTAGATTGGTGACGATCGTAGCATGATACTGTTTCTTTTATGAAACAAAGAAAGTATTGCTAGAAATAAGTCGCTGTCTATCAATAAATCCATGTTTACTTATTACCCAGATCACCAGTTATCCTCCGTTTCCTGGTAGCGAAAGACACTACCTACGAGCTGTAATCGCTAGGATATCAGCATCAGCTATCGTTAGTCCTCAGGGATTTTATATGTTTGAAGAAGATGAAGATGAAGACGACGAAGGAGGCAAGATTAATGAGAATGGATGTTTTTCTGTCATATACTCAACTTAAGTTGACTTGGAGTACATCTCTTGCTTTTGTTAGTTCGTGATTCATTTGTAACGAATCCTGACTTTGAAGGTCTTAGCGTGGCTGATTTAATAGATCCTTCTTTAACAAACTGGGTCCACCACGTTCAATACATATTGCCACAGGTACAACAACCTTCTCTGAGTTTTCTTAACTAAGTTAAAGGGGAAAGATTGTGTAAGAGATGGTATCGATATTTGATCTCGTATAGGGTCGATGCTCCTGGTACAACTCGAATAAGAAATTCGAGGAAGAAGAAGAAGAAGAGGAGGAAGAAGAGGAAGAAAGAGACGAACCAGATGAACCTGAACCTGAAGTTGGTCCTCCATTACTAACACCCCTTTCTGAAGATACTGGTAAGTTTCCTTTAATGAGAAGTTACGCTTTATGTTATTCTTAAATGTCCATTTGTTTGTTTAAGAAATTGATGGTTTTCCTGCATGGACAGTGGTAAAAGCCCCCAGTCTTGTCCCGCAACATTCTGTTGCAATATTACACAACAATCTTTGGCCTGGTGCGCACTGTTTTGCTGTCAACAGGTACAAAAATTATATCTAAACCAAATCAAGATTCGTCCTTGTTTACAAATTACATTAACCTTCTTTGTTGTTCATAATGCCTCCTGACCTTTATTTCTTATCTGTATTACTTCATAAAACTACTAGCTTATGTATATATGCAAGTTTTAACTAAATGTGTGCATTATTATTGATAAGGCGTTAGATGAAACAGCAAACCTGTTGAAATTGATTTCTCTACTAAAGGGTGGGGGGTGAAAAAAGTTTTCGAGTGAGGGGCATGACATTAGGCCACACACTTTCGTGCTGTTCATTTTTTGTTCCACTATTATAGAAAGTTTGAAAATGTTTACGTTGGTTGGGGCCAAAAATACAGTTCCGAGAACTACAGCCCGCCCGCACCACCCATTCCTCAGGTGGAATATCCAAGTGGACCCGAAATCACGGAGGTAGATGATCCAACCGTTGAAGAAGAGAATGCATTGCGAGCTGCACAACAGGAAGCATTTGAAGAAGCTGAAGATGAAGATGAAGACTATGATGATGATGAAGATGATTGAGTAAATGTAGGATAACACGAGAGAAGGTATATATATGTATATAAATATGGATGACATTCATGTAGGATGACTGAAGAGAGGTATATATTTGGGTTAATTACATACCGTAAAGTCGTAAAGAATTTTGTCTTTCTATCATTATATTTTATATTCTTTACGAAGACACTTTGAATAAGCATCATTATGGAAGGGCTTCTTTTTGTAATGTTCAACAAGATAAGCATATTTTGTTAAAGGCTACTTATACTTATAGACATGATGTCTGTAACCCCGTACATCACCAGCAAGCAGTGTATAGTGTATAAATGTCGTCTTTATCAAATTTACATAAAATGCGTTGTTTCCAAAAAAAACCACTACATTTCTAGGTTCACAAAACTTACTGATCAATCATTAAATAGATATGTTAGACTAAATCTTTAAAAAAATGTCGAAAAACTATCAATGTAGCAATATTATATCATCATTTGTCGAGTTTTCGACGTTTTGTATGGGATTTGACATGATTATTCGTTATGGCGATCACATCTAAACTCACGAAATAAAAAAGCAGTTTAAGAACAACGTGTAATTATACTTAATCAAGATAACAGCCTTACACTAATATAGTCAAATACCAAAGCTCTAAAGTTCATTTTAGACTATATTAATGGCTTGGCTTATAGATTGTTGTAATTTAAGAAATGAAAGATTTTTACTGTGTTTGCACGGGTTTATGCAAACCGACGAGACCTTTGGGAGAACTTGAGTGCAGATCAGTGGAAGCCCGAGACCGAAGGTTGAGAGTAGCGGATTTTACAGGTATTACAGAAAATTAATTTGACGCGCTGATCTTTTATGGTAAATTTATATTTAAACATGCATACAAAAGATCAAATGTTTTTTGTACAAATCAAACCATGTCTATACATTAGAAAGTAGGTTGACAGCTAAAATAATGCTCTTTAAGACACATCTTTTGATAATGTGGACCACATTTTTTGTCTTTGCGCCAATCTTTAGATCAAATCAGCCACTAGAAAATATGTTAAACAAAATGAATACTTTTCTTTAAGTGAATACATTTGCAATGAGTAAAGCACCAACCATTCATAGGCATTTCATCAATTTGTGTACTGTAATACTGCTCAATGTCTCGAAGGATTCTTATATCATCTGACTTAACAAAGTTAATGGCGACGCCTTTACGACCAAATCGACCAGAACGACCAATTCTGCAAAGAAATTGGTAATAAGAAACTTAATGAAAATTGTTCAGTTTGATTTCCACAAATGAAAAAACATACCTGTGAATGTATAATTCACGATTGTTGGGAAGATCATAGTTGATAACGAGGGATACTTGAGCTACATCTAATCCTCGAGCCCATACATCTGTGGATATCAATACCCTACTCTGACCACTGCGGAACTCTTTCATGATAGCCTCTCTTTCTTTTTGTGGCATGTCTCCATGCATTGCAGACACAGTGAAGTTTGCTTCACGCATTTTCTCTGTTAACCAATCAACCTGTAGAATTTAGAAATCCATGTGTTGAAATATGTTGTAGAGTGTGAATGGGGTGTCCTATGGATTGCAATAATGAGAAAGATAACATGTGGGTTATGTACCAGTATGTGACATCACATACCTTTCGCTTTGTGTTACAGAATATCACAGCTTGGGTAATGGTAAGTGTATCATATAAATCACACAACGTATCAAACTTCCATTCTTCACGTTCCACAGCAACAAAAAATTGTTTAATTCCCTCCAGTGTCAGTTCATCACTGAAATTATGAACAGAGTATTCAATTGATTGAAATTGTTTTAAAGTTTGTTTTTTTAATTAAGTTGTGACGAAGATATGTACCGTTTTACCAAGATGCGAATTGGATCAGTCATGAATCGTGATGTCATTTCAAGGATTTCATGGGGTAATGTAGCACTTATGAGAATGACCTATAAGGTACCACATTGTATAAGTGTAAAAATCGAACTGTAATGAGGTAAGTAATGAACAAACCTGTGTTGCTGGTGGTAGATGTCTATAAACATCATAGATCTGTTCTTTGAAACCTATATAATAAAAAACAAGATGATGAACAACTTTGCTTTGCAAAAATTAACTGTCATATCTTGAAAAACCTTTGTTGAGCATTTCATCAGCTTCATCCAAGATAAACATTTTTATGTTTCGTGTCCGTAAATTTCTACGCTGAATCATGTCTATAACAAAGTGGCATCTAGTTAACAATAATAAGTTAATTATGCATAATTTTTTTTCAACCAACCAAAGACTCGTCCTGGAGTTCCAGAAACAATATGCTGTCCATAATCTAGTTTCCTGATATCTTCACCAACATTTGTACCTCCAATACAAGCATGACACTGAACATTCATGTAGTCACCAAGTGCTAGACATACCTTAAACAGGAATTAAATTAGTTAATATTAGTATACACGAGTCATATTTTATGTGTCTTCCAGTTTTAAACTAACTTTCTGAATCTGATTTGCCAGTTCCCTAGTTGGTGACAACACAAGAACTTGTGGTTCTCTGCTCTGAAATGTAGCAGAGGGGTAAAAATAGTTGTTGGTGATTAATGCAGTTACAATAACACAGATTTTAAAATTTTGATTTACCTGTGTATCAAGACATTGAAGGGAAGCTATAGAGAAAGTTGCTGTCTTTCCTGTTCCTGACTGTGATCTAAGACCAAAAAATGAATTTCTTAACTTGGTACTAAGCTATAAATTTATGAAACAAGCGACTTCATACTGTGCAATCACATCGCGCCCTTTGAGAATTGGCTTTATGGCTCTTTGTTGAATAGCTGATGGTTTTTCAAAGCCTTTGAGGAAATAAGGTGGATTCAAATTCTACACGAGTAAAACGACTAAAGTTTGCACTTTGTGTAGAAATGTTTGTAAACAAACCATAAGCGTATATTCCACGTAAAAGATCCTCTCGAAGGCCTATACTATCAAAAGTGGGAATAACTTCAACTCCTTCCGATGTCTCGTATTCAACTTTGGTTAAATCTTCTTCAACATCATCATTTTGCACTTTGGTTCTTGACCCACGTTGTTCACGATAAGCCGCCGCCATCTTGAGAAAACACACAATGATTATCGTGAAGCATACTGGGATGTAATCTGAATGAAAAAAGCGGATGTGGGCGGGAATATGAAGAAATATCATCACTTGCAGTGCAGATACGGTGCTTCACAAAAATGTTCGAAGTTTGACGAGGCGGACGAGGAAAAGCATTGCAGAAAATGTCGTATAGCCAGGTATGCCACCTAAAACTAAGTGTTTTATTTTTTTTATTTCGAGAATCGTGTTTTAGTTTGATGGAAGTTAATATTCTTACTTCAGGAAATGTTGATACTCAAGGACTCGATTGACAGTTTGTCTCAGTTGTTGGAGGAATTGCTTGAAAAAGCTCAACAACATGTGATGGAGTCCGTGGAAAATTTCGTCAGTGATAAAATTCGCTGTCTTGGCAAAGCTATAGGGGGCTATTACACTTGCATGAGCAAAATAAAGGCGTCTACTAGAGCAGAATTTGAGGAAATGTGGAAAAGTCATTATCATGATAGGCATGTCAGGGAAAGTATTGAGAATTTACTTGAAGTTGAGGAGAACTGGGATCAATTCTTGAAAGATGTGGATCAAAAAATTGGTGGTAATCAATCTGCAAGTAGTGTAAATGTTGGCACACAAGCACCCATGGATCTACCTATCTTTAATATCACCACTTCAAGGTATTAAATTCACAAAATTTCCTTCAAACTGGCTACTTTGATTATATATAAAGGCAATCAAAGCATGTATGATGTTTATTTTATACAGCTCTACAACCTTGGGCTTATTCAAAAGTGGATATGATTTTTTATTGCTAATATTTTTGCGTCATTTTGCTTGATTGCCTTGACGGGACCATGTGGCTCAAATTGAAAAATCGCTGGCAGAATTCGAGCAAAAAAATACAAAGGTTGCTGTAGTGAGCTTTGGATCAAAGGTTAGTTGTCATTATCTCTATCAGTGCTTATTTTGATCAACTCCTTTTTCATAGTGGTTTGTGTGCACTTGATGAATTAATGAATAATGAAGTACTTATTTTAATAGGAGAAAGCAGTTTTATGGGTGGAAGATACAAAATGTAGTATTCCTATGTTACTGGATAAAGATCGTGATGTCTATGTTGCTTTTGGACTAGGCAGGTCAGTGTCTAAAGTCTGGGCAATATCTACTATAGTGTATTATGCAGAACAGAAGCTTGCTGGTCGCTCCTTGCTGGCAATGCTTAATGAAGATGATCCTCACCAACTTGGTGGGGATTTTATCATCAACAGTGATGGTAAATTTCTTTTGGTTTATCACAGTAAAACATCAACTGACAGACCTTCTGTTGACTATCTTCTCAACTATCTACAATCTTCCATTAATGCACAATAATCTTTTGAAGTGTGGAGATTATTTTGTGTTGAAGTCTATGAGTTTTATCATGACCTTATAAATGACAATGGTTTCCGAAACCTTTGAGTGGTGGTTGTCATTTGATGTTGTATAAGGTTAATAATGTGGTCAATTAGTGGTGGTTATCATTTGATGTTGTATAACATTAATAATGTGGTCAATTAGTGGTGGATATTGTTTGATGTTGTATAACATTAATAATGTGGTCAAATAGTGGTGGATATTGTTTGATGTTGTATAACATTAATATTGTGGTCAATTAGTGGTGGTTATCATTTGATGTTGTATAACATTAATAATGTGGTCAATTAGTGGTTATCATTTGATGTTGTATAACATTAATAATGTGGCAATTAGTGGTGGTTATCATTTGATGTTGTATAACATTAATAATGTGGTCAATTAGTGGTGGTTATCATTTGATGTTGTATAACATTAATAATGTGGTCAATTAGTGGTGGATATCGTTTGATGTTGTATAACACATAATGTGGCAACTAGTGGTGGATATCGTTTGATGTTGTATAACATTAATAATGTGGTCAATTAGTGGTGGATATCGTTTGATGTTGTATAACATTAATAATGTGGTCAATTAGTGGTAGATATCATTTGATGTTGTATAGCATTAATAATGTGGTCAATTAGTGGTGGATATCGTTTGATGTTGTATAACATTAATAATGTGGTCAATTAGTGGTGGATATCATTTGATGTTGTATAACATTAATAATGTGGTCAATTAGTGGTGGATATCGATTTGATGTTGTATAACATTAATAATGTGGTCAATTAGTGGTGGTTATCATTTGATGTTGTATAACATTAATAATGTGGTCAATTAGTGGTGGTTATCGTTTGATGTTGTATAAAATTAATAATGTAGCCAATGACTTTTGAGGTTTATTGTTTTTTGTGTGAATTTTGTTGGACTTAATTTAAAAACTTCTTAATGATTTAAATATTTCACGATGATGGAAATGTATGTAATTAAAACTAAATCACATCATCAGCATTTGTAATTAAAATTTAAGGTTTGCAATTTCAACTAGGGCAAAAACGAAAAATTTGTCAGTTGTCACCAGTCTTTTTCTTGGTTCGTACGTTTTTTAACACATCGGTTGACATGTGACTTGGCAGAATATTCAATTTTTTCATTGCTGTTGATTTACATTTATTTCCATCCAGTAACACACCATTAACGCCTCTATTTCAACTCTGCCTTGGTGACGCTGAAAATAGACTCTTTAGTAGACTGTAAGATTGGAAACAATCGATTGCTATGAAGTGCTTGTTATTGTGTTTATTATGGGATAAAGAATTGTTAGAAAGGTCCTTCACGGATAGAAAGAATGGATTGTTCAATTTAGGCAAAGCAAACCGGGAAACATCACATAGAACTGTCTTTTGCCGTTTATCGACAACTGTGTCGACTGTAGTTCACGTATTGTAAACTTTTTGACATTACTTTGAGAGCTTTTTTTCAGAATGAACAATTAATGATACAACGCATTGATTGTTATGACTCGTACGTTCTCCTCTATGATTGCTGGTACTTTTCTTTGTTCATTGTTTTTTATTTTGAATCTATGTGACCGGATGCCGAAGTTTGCGCAGTCACTACGAAACAACCAGTCAAAACGATGGATTTTTGTCATGCTGTGATCGCCTTTCAATTATACCACCTGTACAACAACGTCACCTTATTATATACTACCTGCAAGCATGTTGCCATGTTTAACGCGTGATTTCATTTCACTGATCTTTTTTATAAATCACTGAGGGAAACTCATCGAAAGAGACACCTGGGCATTTGTTGTTGTTTTTTATAGTAAAGGTCGGCGTGCTCCTCTTTTGCGTTATTGTGATTATTTTAAGTGGAAAGTTTACGCGTTTGTGAATAATTGCCCCCACTGGCATATAATAGACCACCGGTAAATTATTTTTATAAAACAAATTAACAATGTTTGGTGTTATGAAAGATCATATCTTCATTTAATTTCATTTAATGTTTGGTGATGTTATTCAGCATGAGAAACTTGGAAATCAGTCTATGTATTAAATGGAAATGTCAGATGTCATTTTCCAGCTTTTTTCAATTGGATGTTTCTATTTTTATTTTCATGGCTGGGAAATAGAGCGCGAAATAAGAAAGGAGAACACCAAATGATCTCAATTGTTTAATAGATTGTCTTTGAAACAAAATGTTTTCTTATGGTAATTATGGCCTACATTGAAACACATGCCAAGTGTTTATATTAAAGCAAAATATGAAAGAAAACAGAGAAGTAGCGGGCACCGTTCCAGGCAATAGCTATAGTTCGAAGATAACTCGGAAAGTATGGAAAAGCCTTTACGTGCTTTAAACGGGTTGGAGTTATCATGTCTCAATAAGAAATCGTTGGAATGTTTACCTGACGATGTTTTCGCTCGGATTTTATCGTATTTACCGAAGATCTTACTCGTTCGCCTTTCTATTGTGAATTCGCGTTGGTATCGTATTTGTTACGATGCTTCTCTGTGGCGAAATATTTGTGTACCATTTGATTATCGACATAATTTTAGTGATCGTACATTAATGAAATTGACTGCTTACAGTCGCAATGTGAACAAGCTTTGTTTTGTCGAATGTGTTAATCTTTCTGACGATTCATTATGCTTTATATCCAAACATTGTCCAAACATGAAGAAATTACAGCTTTGTGGTTGTGTTCAGATCACTGATATTGGCATGATGCATATCGCCCGACGTTCTACAAAACTCAGAAAGTTAGGAATAGCGAAGACTAAAATCACTAATAAAAGTTTAAATGTACTACTTCAAAACAATCTATTCCTCACTAGTCTCGAAGCAAGCACACAAGCCTGTACTGTTGACACATTCAAAGCGTTGAAACGTTGTAAGAATTTCCAAAAGCTCAAAGTGTACGAAATCTCAGAAGATGTATTGGTGAAAGATGACCACATTTATTTGGACGATGAAATGCTAGACGCAATCGGGAAATCATGTCCTAATTTGACGCATTTAGCTTTAATTTATGATAATGTTGAGATTACTGACTCATCTGTTGGAGCGCTCGGTAAAGGATCTCCGCTACTTCGGACCGTTGAAATTGACAGCTGTCCTTTTGTAGGCGACGATGGTGTTCGTGCTTTGCTTGAAAATTGTTCATTGGAACAACTTCACCTTGGAGAAAGTAAGATTACCGATGCTACCTTGTGTAGAATAGCAAAATATTTACCAATGATCAGGAGCTTGAAGTTAGAACATAGTGATATTACAGATTTTGGCATGATTCAACTATTGGAACATTGTAAATATCTAGAGGAACTAAGTGTGGGTGTCAAAGAACCTGGAAACATAACGGATATTACTGCCTGTATCATGTGTTGTTATTCTGGATCGTATTTATGCTCATTGGAGTTTAATTCCTGTGCCATAAGTGATCGTGGATTGAGTATTTTAGCGAATAACTCCATTCTGTTGACATCATTATGTTTGAAATCGTGTACTAAGATAACGTTTGATGGTCTAATGTCGTGTTTGAAACATTGTCAAGGCTTGCAGTTGTTGGATGTTTCTTTCTCGGGACTTGTTAAAAGCACTGAACACCTCATGGATATTGCTTCTATCTTGCCTAACCTATGTTCACTGGCTGCCGTAGATGTCAACTGTATGTCTGATCAAGATTTGGAACTGTTCCATTCTCTTTATCCACTTGTTGAAGTGCGTCTTTAACGTTGAGGACTGTGTACGAGTCGAAAGGGTTGTGAGCTAGTGCCGTATGATTGTCATCTAAATGTGTGTTGTCGTGAAGTGGACTCGCGAAAGTCTTTGAAGTTCTTCCTTAAAAAACGTTGCATGCATTTCAGCTCACCTGTGAGAGAAATAGAAAATCACTTGTATTAATCACGTGTTTTAAATTGAAATAAATCGTCATAGTAAATTAAATGATGTTCTTTCTGTTTATACATGACGCTCATTATTCCAAAGTTCTGTTATAATGCTAAATAAATACTTTTATTATTTAAAGTCGTGCATTTTCTCACCTGCTTTAGTAATGGTTGTACTGGCCATGATTGACATTTAATCAGAAGTATTTACATAACCTTAATCCAAGGTGACTTTAGTTACAAAGCTTTTCCGATTCTTCATCGCAATATCGCAATGGACAGTTGATCTTCTAGAAACTAACTCAAAACGAATGGCTAAAAACGTTAATTCGACACTGCAAAGGCAAAATGTTTTTGTTACACAATATAGGTAATATCTGATTCGATTTTGATTCATTTTAGTTAGTAAAGACTGCTCAGCAGCGCTAATCCAATGTTTTTGAACATTTTCAGAGGTCCAGAAGAACAAAGCGATTCCGTTTTTGTAAATGAGGTATAAATATTATTTTAGTTTGAATAAATTGTGTTATAAAATAACTTCACATGATCTAAGAATGAAGTACAAGATGCGATATTTCACCATCATTGCATATACAAGTTTATTTTCAGTGAATATAATCCTTCTTGTCTTCAATTGCGTTCTTCGATAATCTGTTTATTTGATCAATAGTTCATTTTAAGCTCTACCCGCATTAATAGCTGTGCAATTTAACAAAATGAAACCAGTTTGTTTCGTTTTCAAATCATAGAATTAGACATAAAATTGCTCTTCACTTCAGTTTTTCCTTTTCACTTTATAATCATGTTAAATGTCTTTTCAAGCTCCTGTCGAGCGACATAGAGACCGTTCGTTCGACTTTTGTGGTCAAAGAAGCAAGCGGGGCATATAAAGCTCGACAGGAGTTATTAATGAAAAACAAGACTATGAAGCAAAGATGTTGGCGTGTAAAACAAAAGAAAAAGATTTAAGAATACGGCAAATGCAGGTGCGTGTTTACTTACTATTTTCATTCATCGGCATTTTTTAAATGAACAGGAAATACATAGTTTGGTTAAAAAAGCGCAATTTTTAGCTAGAACATCCTAGAAATAACTGACTCTCCCCTCACTTAGTTATGTTACGTTGCATGCATGAAGGACAAAATTTGTGAATTTTGCAATTTTTACAAATTTCTAGATAGAAGAAAAAGTAAATAAGTTTGATAAGTTTATCAAAGAAACAGAAATGAAGCGTCGACGTGCTTTAGAGAAACATCAAGTTGAAAAACGACTCAATGAAATGAAAACGAGAGAATTAAAAATTCACAGCGAAGAATTAGAAAAACTTCGACAAAAGTGAGTAGCTAACTACAAAAAATTTATCGTTTTTGTAGCCTGGTGTCGACTGATTATATTTTAAGCTATATAAACGAAGTCACTGTTATGTCTGTAAACTATCGTTCTACGCAGACTTCGACAATTACAAAGAAAAGTTGAGAAGCTATCCGTTTATCAGAAATATTTGATGAAGGTTGCACAGTTATCTCCTGAAGGTTACATTTTGACGTTTCTCGTGGTTTTCAAAGCAAAGTTTCATCAAAATGTATTTTATGATGCTTGCTCTGAAATTTAGCTACAACTCTCTTTAGATTATTTCGATAGCACAAGTGATTCAGTTTTGCTTGGAATCATGGCGCGGTATAATACTCTTTATACCATGCAAAATTTTGTTTCTTTGGCGCAGAACGAAAAGAGCAAGGAGGTAGATTATTCTTTTTTTATATATTTCTGTAAGCACTCTATAAAAATATTATAACCACTACATATAAGTGTTATATTGTTGTCATGGCGGAGGATGATTGGCGGTTGTTGAACAAATCTTACCTTACGAGCACAACGCCACTGTTGAGCTTGTATCTCTACAGTTTTATCGTTCTCTGTTAAATGATGCTTTTCTGGACCTTCTTTTAAGATTGAATCGTACCAACATATTATTCAAAATGCTAAACAGAAACACTATCAAGAGATAATGGTTAGTTTTGTGGAATGCAATGATGGTTGGTATGCGAGTGAAGATGCAATTATAACCTCACTTGCATATTTCAGGTGGACAACAACAATATAGCAAGACTTCAAAACCAGCTTGAAGATCTTACACACATCAACGCTCATCTAGAACATGTATTACAAACAAACGAGAATTTCTATCGACAACAGGTTGGTTTGAATAATGATGTGTGTGCGTAAACTCTCGATTGCAATTACCTGGGCTGCAAATATAACGCCATGCTTCTTGTTCAGCGAACTGTACTTGGCCAGGTGAAACTTGCTGTCCTTAATCTCGCAGAGAAATGCACGAAGAAGAACAATGTATCATTGGTAGATCTTGATATCTTTCAGATGCTAACCATAATTGAAGTAAGTTATTTTAACAGTCATGTGATGATCATCAGAAAAGATATCATGTTGAGAGTTATGAACCTCCCATCCCCTTGAATAGCGAAGCATTCAAAATCACAGACGAAAATATTCAAACGAATATCCATCCAGGGAGGGAATCGCCTTTGTTTCCTGCTCTAGTTAGGAGATGAATCAATGGCATTAAGTGCGTACACAAAAATCAAAGATGTCCGTGTGTAAGTTAGTATTATATTAATATTTTTCCAGGAGTTTCTTCGTGAACAACAAGACATTTTTACTATGGCTCGTAACATGCAAACATCAGAATTACTTGCTTCAATGAAGCAGTCGGAGAATAGTGATGGTGAGATAAGGTTGACAAATCGATGTATGATCAGAGCCTCTATCAGCAGCGCAATGAGTCCACCATTTTAGTCCTGCTAAGTATAAATATCGGAACTGAAAATTATTTATTTAGAAATGTGTTGTTTTTGAAGCAATTTGATCACAAGAATATTTTCACATCAGGAATAAATTAAACAGGCTCGCTATACGCTACTAAATTATATAGCGTTTTATATTCGCGATTCAACTTTATGTGAAGGAGTAAAGGAAACATGAAGTATGTCGACTTTTTAATATGAAGCCTAAAAAAAGTTTTTTTTTATTTCACCTATAAAAAAATTTAAACGTTTAATTTAATGTTTTTCTCTTCGCGTTTTTTCTGTCAAGATTACTTTATCATAAAAAAACAAAAATTCGGGCTAAAACGATTTAGTATCCATAACACTCAGGGTAACAATACAATTCCAGAGAGAAATCGACCAACGTTCGTCACTACCTGAATGGACAATTTTCAAACCAATGTCCTATCATACCTAAAATAAACAAAAGATATCGTACTAAAGTTGAATGTTTCAACTTCAGCAAGTTTAATACTAAGAAATACGAGTGGTGTCATTTTATTTTTGCAAAAATGAATTTCTTGGCTGCTTGTAGATGTAGATCGTTAAGGTTAATACAGTCCTCAGAAGGACTGTTTGTGTTGATGCTGATTTCTAAGGTTGTCAAAACGTTACTCACCACCAACAGTCAACAGGACTTTATAAACCTAAACAATCTACATTTGAAATTACCCCCGGGTTTAAACCATTCACTTTATAAATGTTGATTGTTGATCATAACCATAACCATAATTGCTCCGAGCTGTACTACAATCACGTGTTAGGCATAACGACACACAAGCGAAATACCTACCACAATGAAAGCAACGGTTGTTATTTTGAATTGGGAAAGGAATGCCTGCCTGCGGTTGGGCTCTTCTTCGCCTGACTTGATTATTACCTTGTTGCTGTAAAGGTGGGGGTGGTCTTTCAGGTCGAAATATCAGATGGGGAAAGAAAAAAGGAGGTACTTGACGTTCCACAATTTGTACTTCGTTTCTATCATGGTGCTCAACCACTATAGGATTGTCATGGTTGCCAATGCGACGCTGGATTTCAGGAGGAGTTTCGTCTACAATAGATATCTCTGAAAAAAACAAAAAAAAGCTTTCTTCATAAGTAGTTCAATTAATCATCACGAATAAACTCCAAAACATCCCCTACTAACTCCTTTAATCATGGATAAACCCCAAACATCCATACCTGCTGCTTTTTCTTTTCTTTCTTTAATAATCTTTACTCTACGTGACTTTGTCTCATCATCAATAGTTTCCATTACCTTTTCAACAGCACAATCTAATACTCTGGAACGAACAGGTGTTCCTTTAATGGCAGTTCTACATATGGGACAGGTATGTTTCTTCTTCATCCAGGAGTTCAAACAATAGTTACAGAATGAATGTGAACATGATAAAGTTGTTGATTCAATAAATAATTCCTGACAGATAATACAAGTTAAATCGTCTTCCAAACGTTTCGCTAAATCGTTTTCCTTCAATTTATTAATTTCCTTTCGTTTCTCCGCTAATTCCTCTCGAAGTCGTTCAACATCTTGCGCAAGTTTCATTTCATTTTTTTCCAAGCTTTGTAACTTTTCTCGCTCGACTCTGTTTTTTTCTAGTTCTTCCTATAAAGACGCAAATGGCGATATGTCAAAACGAGTTATTACTGAATAGCTTCACTTTAAGGTAATCAAAAAATACCTGTAAGCGTATTTTTTCACTCTCTTTTTGTTTTAATGCATTCTGTAAGGTTGTACGAAGTTCATTAAGTTGTACAGTTAACTCTTTGTCTTTCTCGTCGATTGTACAGTTGATTTCTTCAATTAGACTATCCTCAACTTTCTTTTTTTCTGCTAGCAAGATATCTTTCTCTTGCTCAAACTTTTGGCAAAACTCCTCTTTATGTTTTTGTTCATCTTGCAAAAGACCCCTAAGCATTTTCTCTTGTTCCCTTCCTCTATCTAATGCCTGCTTGTATTCACAAATTTGTTTTGCAAAATCTTTATCTTTCTGCTCTAACTGAATCATGTAAGCTTTTTCTTTCTCGGCAAGCAATGTCTTCAAGGCCTCTATCTTCCTTTCAGAATCTATGATTTTAAAAACTTCAGAATTTTCCTAAAAATGTTGAGTAATCATTAAGTCGTTTTTCATTAAATTCATTTTCATCATCAACATAAGGTACAAACCTTTGAGCTTAAACCACTAGTCTCAGCTTCTTCCAAGACCTTTCTGATTTTGGGTTCTGTAGCTGATTCTATCTTATCAGATTTTCGTTTGTTATCATTATTCACTAGTATTTCAAATATGTACTCAAATTCATAACATTTTTCAACCATTGCACCAAAACAGATTTTATCCCCTGATGTCAAATTATATGGTGATTCTGGCATAATCTTTTCTTCATTGACATAGACCCCATTTAAGCTCTAGGAAAGATTAAATAACGGGAGTCATCTATTAAGTGTAGAGATGTTGAAGAAGTTTCCAAAGGGGTAAGTCTCTTCATGTAGGTCAAGGCACATGCACACAAATGAACAGATCTATGTTTGTTTAAAGATTACTGTGATAAAATATACTCACATTATGGTCAATAACCGCCCATTTTCCTTCAAAAAAACAAACTGAAGCATGTTGACGAGATATCATTTGAGGCGCTTTACAAGAAAGCAATCGAACGTTCGACGCTGCAGTTCGTCCAAAAGTTGTCACTTTAGTTGCATTTAATATAATACTGTTAGGACACATTGGTTGATCTTCTCCATGACAGTGACCAACTCTCCTCATAATGGCTTGATTTTCTAAATTACTAGTCATTTTTAACGCCATTCACCGTTCTGTTTAAGTTGATAACTCTTTATTTGACTGACCACAGTGGACAGTGTTCTCCGTTGACCCCTTCATTTTATGTTGACAAATTACTGCGCGTGCGCGTATGATAAATAAATTAATGAATCACATTAAACGCCATAAATATAACATGTGGATAGGTACAATTCATATAATAATAGCAAATATTATAAAAAGTAACGTTTCTTAAATTTATCCAGAGATTAATTTTCCTTCACAGTCAAAAGAGAAAGACAAACAACTTGCCCTATATGAAAGAGCCAATTAGCCAAACAAGCACTTGACTTGACATGTGACCAACGAGCTTTGTCATTCGTGCAAAATTCGGCGGTAAATCGGCGCCATGTTTGAATTTTAACTTTGTAAAAACCTTAGGGCTTTGGCTGGCGTGGTGTTTTAGTCGAGAGAAAGGTAATGTACTTAAACGAGTTTTTCAAAATGAGAAAACGCCGAACTAAATCCTTTGAAAATGTGGAATGTTCGACTAACGTGGGTAAGTGAAAAGTTTTTTACTTAATGATAATTTTGTACGTTGTGCTAACAATATCAACTTTTCTTCGATTATTAAAAGATTTTAAGACAAAGCTGAATGACTATAGTTTTGAAGTCCAATGGCAAAAGTCTCCTGAGAGCCCAACAATTTTAGGTATTATTTCTTTGTTTCAATCAAGTGCTTTTTTTGACTACATGTAAATTTATTAAAATATCACAATTCAAAATCATAATACTTGAAACAGTCAGCTGAATCATAGCATTTGTGTATTTATGTTTAATATATATATTTTTAATATTTTTATTGGTACATATTTACCAGTAAAATCGAGCTACCTTACAAGACTTCTCTTTTTGTGTTTATCTCTATTGTAGAAGGAAAACAAGGTTGTCAGGTGGCTTCCAGTAAGAATGATGACAGAACACTAGATGTATCATACATTGTTGAAAAACTATCAAAGAATGTATGCTTCTGTGGATAATTGATTATATCTTGTATCCCTCAGTCAATCTTTAATGATGTGTGACAATTTTAGACATCACCTGTTGTAAAGCATGGAAGCTCGGCACTCTTGGAAATGTGGTTGGACAATATTGGCCAAGCAAAAAATGATAGTGATTGCAGCAAGAATTTGAAATCACCACCATTTCAACGTCGTTATACCTCTAAAAAATCAACATCAACAACCTCTACTCCTTCATTACAAAGGTTTGTAAGTTGGAAAGGCAATAAATGATTTCTAAGTGGGAAGGCTGATCAGTAACTTCACATCAATATAGACGATCACTCCGACATCAAAAGCGAAAGCTGTCCCGACAATTTCAACTTGAGATAAGAAAGTTAGTTGATGAAATCCAGTGTAGTGGTAAGTTCATATTTACATGAAGTATTCAAATAAATGAATGAATGAGTAAATGAATGAATGAATGAATTAATAAATGATTGAATCAACTACAATATTCACCTTACAGATATAAGTGCTGGGAGCAGTCAGAGTCAAAATGATTCACAAAACATGACATCCAACACTAGTTCACGTTTGAAAAAGTAAGTATCAGAATATCACTCCAGTTTACATAGCATTCAGTTTGCTATTATTACTAACACAGTCATAACTTTTAAGCTTAAACTTCTTTACATCTTAGAGTGAAGAAGAGGAGTAAATTATCTTTGAAAAAGGTAACACCTATGAAGCCTGCTTTAAACAACAATGTGAACGACAAAAACTTTCATGCCAAAGACTGTACTTTACCAACTGGTAAGATCTCTTCTAAACCACTTATATGTGAAGACAACAGTTCTATTCTTGATAATCAAACATTTGAGAATAGTTATAAATTGATGGAGGATGATATGGATGATCTGCTTTTAACCTGTCAATTGAGCAGCTCGTCTAATTTAACTGTAAGTGTCTCTGATCAACCATGTCTTAAGTGCGGTGAAAGTCCCAATGAAATGGGGACTCCAAATGTACCGGAGTCATTTTTAGCACCAAATGCTATTCAACAGGGGGTTTGCACAGAAATACAAGAAACACAAATGTTGTTTTCTGATCATGAAGAAGACACGGAAATAAATGAACGTGAGTTGAATAGTTATGAAACTACTGCTTATGAACGAGAGATTTCGGCACAAAGTGATAACTGGTTTGATGATGATGACGATGATCTTATACTTGCTACTGCCGTTCAAGAATATGAAAAATCACAAGACCTTCATGTAAAAGGTATTAAGAATGCTGCTGTGGAAGTAAAAAAGAATAAAATAAAAGATGAGATTCATCGTCAGCTATCGTCAGGGGAAAAAGATCAAAAATTGGAATGTGATAAAAAAGTTTCAAATGGGTCATCTAAACATCCTTCATTACTCCATCAAAGTTCGACTTCAAAATCCTTCAACGCGTTGAACATAGCATCAAAAAATGAAAAGAATAAAATACAATACAACACATGCAAATATTCTGACCATGTTTCTAAAAACAACAATGATCGTTATTTCACAAACATCAAAAGTTTCACGCTTGTTAACGATACCACGTCATCTCCTTTACAAAGTATCTCTGGAAACGTAGTTCCTAAGGCTACGAAGAAATATGGGAGTCGTGAGATGGAAAAGAAAATGAAAGCGAGTGATTCGAAGGATTTTGAAGAAGCGAAAAGAAAAATAAAGAAAAGTTCAAGTAAAATTCACAGTGATTTAAAGGAATTTGAATTTTGTAACGATGATGAATTGGACGATTTGTTGGACAATATTAATTTTGACGGTAATTATTGTCAATCTTTTTATGTTTTCGTGTTGTGTTGGAAAAAATTCATTAAGATATCAGATCGATTATTAAAAACTGAGACATTAATTTTTCTCTGCTTTTTTCTTCATTAGAAGTACTGTTCAGTGCAATCAAGGATACACCGTTAACCACCGCAAACTGCAAGATATCCCCTGCAAACCCCAACTGTCAAGTAACGACCCCTAAAATTTCCACCAAGATATTCACGAGTGATGAAATCGAGAAAAAAAGACTCGAAGCTCAAAGGAGACGCCTTGAGAAGGCCAAACAGAAACGTCTTACACTATCTAATAAATTGAGATATTCCAAGAAATCGTAACACGCGATCTAAAGTGGGAATCTTCAATGTGGAAATGGTTATTTTTACTGAATAATTGCGTATGTTGTAAGTTATGTTGATTAATCGGTGGCAAACGACTTATGTACAGTTTCTCAAATTGTGGTAAAATTCTGCGAAAGTAAAAAAAATGTAAAACAAATTTGTAAAGATCAACTATTATATGTGTACTGCAACTGTGTTAACTACTTTACACAATACTTTCGACGTTTATTTGAAAAAGGACACGGACGAATGGGAAATCAAAATGTGTTGAATGATAGAACATATTTTTTATATAATTAAGGATTATCGTCAAAACTTTCAGTTTCCTTGAGCCTTTCATTAGTAGAAATTTCACCAGCGACATTGCTTCCATCTGTGAAACTTTTCGAAACACTGCTTACTCCTGCAATCTTTTCTGTTACAACACTCGTAACAGTGGTAGTATCTGCGACACTGGCGGTAGATGCAGCATTTCCTGCTCCATCTTCAACTTCATTAACGTCATGTGGGAAGGCAAAGTTTCCCTGTTTAGGAACATCCTTCTTTATAATTTCTCTGTTATTTTCTACATCAAAGGTTAAGTTTTTCTCTTCATCATGTTCATCTTCTTTATTTCCAATGTCATTCTCTCCATTTTCTTTTTTTCTTGTCTCGTTGTGTTCTGTGTAATGAATTTCTACATCTTCATTGTTTCCCATACTTTCAAAGTCAATGTCGCGTTCTACTTTGTCAGTATGATCTGCATCGTCTTCACAAGTTGTTGACATTGATGTTTTTCGTGAAACTAAAACTTTTTTCAACAAGTGTATACATGCGTTTGACAATGGTTGAAGTAATCTTCCCCATAAAAACTTTGATAATCTAAGCAGAACCATGAATGGCAAGATAAAGAAAAAAAACCACTCAAATACAAAATCCTTTACGCCTCTTCTTTTTTCTTCACTATCAATTCCCCTGTCAAAGTAAAAAAGTTTGCATCGTACGTTTTTGTATATCTTGTTAACAATTAAGTGATATTAAAGACAAAGACAAGAAATGTCAAACTCACAAAAATTCCTGGGTTTTATCTTCTTCGTCAACGTCTCCCTCTTCTCTTTGTATTACGACAACTGTTGGCGGAGCTGCTGCTTGCTTCTCTGGGCTTTTCATTGCTTTAAATGTTTTTTTTGCTGCCAGTTTTAATATCCCCGTTGGCAGAAAACTGAGAACTACGCGTAGTATGATCAAGAGAACTATGAAACCAAGCATCATAAGGAATGACCATATTTTATCAAGATGTCGGGCTAAGTTCCATATTCCCTTCACGATAGAAACTGCTCCTTTTGCAATGTCAACCACTTTGTTGACAACATCTTCTATGGTTCCGGCAATGCGGTCCATAAAATCGCTTTTTACGGGAGGTTTATCTTGATCGAAGGTTACTTTGGATTCATTAAGACAAACAAAACTTTCTTGATCCGTACACTTAAAAAAAATAACCACAAAATATGTCATTCATTAACGTTTTTCATGGAATCAACAATTATTCCACGATAGTATAATCATATAAGGAGCTTGTGCAAGAAATTATATGTCGTTTCCAGTTTTTGCACTCGAGAAAATGAGATTCTATAAATATGGAACATTGACACAACTTACCGTACAACCACATCGAAGTATACAAACACATGTGCTTGTTGTATTGATGTTGATAACAGTGGAGTCGATGGATTGTCGTCTAGCGTCGTAAAGAGTTGCTATAATAGACAACGGTTCTTAGAAAGCTTGAAATGCTTGGTATACAAAAAATACAACATGATAAGTGTAATGCTGTAACTGGACGGGTTACTAAAATACCAAATTCGGTTGATAAACCTGTGCAAGAAAATGAACCTCCTTTACGTCTGTATGATTCAAGAGTGAAATCAAAGCGATGATTTGTCTGTGGATTGATTGAAGCTGTCTGTTCGTGTCCACCGTTTATACCACTTGAACAAAGTTCCATGGCAACCTGAAAAATTAGTTTTTCTTCTCATAACTTTGTAGCTGTCAAAAGATTCGCGCAACTGCGGTCAATTATGATAAAGATCATTATGATGAAGATCAACCATTTACTTTATAAAGATCATGGCTAAAAACAACATGATTTTGCTTACAGCGAACACTTACAAAGAATTCAGCTGTAACAAATCCTGTATTCTGAGCAATGACGGTTGCCAAACCGTTGCGACTTTCAGACTCGAAGCTTTCAGCAAAAGCTTTCACAATTATCCCTGCAGCCCTTGGAGAGATTAGATCATCATTGTTAAACAAGAATCTTTGCTAACAATGACAAATGTTTGCTAACGTGCAATATTATTAATAGACGACCTTTTATTGTACATTTAGTTGAAAATAAAGATATCAATGAAACTGAAAAAATCATTGATAATGTCCATATTTGAGTAATCTGATATCCCATAAGAAGCTACCAATCACCTGTTATAAACGAGAGTCAAGTCATCTGCGCTGATCTCAAGATAAACCATAACTGATGAAGTCTCTTTTGACTCAAACTCCACCACTTTGTCGTCAGAAGCGAATGGTTTCTTCAAACCTGTTATTTTACCGTATGTTTCTGGGAAATATTTCGTTTTCTCTCCTCTTTCTCGTCGCATCTAGGATAAAGAAAATATCTGATGTTTAAACATGTGTTTTTCATTGTAGTAACGTTGTTTTACTCTTTCTGTAAAAGTATAATTGTTGAAGACATGGTTTACGATTGATTTTCTTACTGAATCTTCAACGAAATAATCTTGAACTTGATTTCGAAGACACCTGCGTTAAAACACTTGATTTTAGGTTTGTAAATGTTAGTGTGAGAAATCATGTTGTAGTTTGTACTTACGTTCCTTTCATCTGATAGCAACCATATCCAGTCAGTTCGTGATACGTACTTTGATCTGAGAATGCGGCAAACCCCACTCCTATTTCGTCACATTGACCACCTTCCTTCGTTAAAATAACCTCACTCATGGGAATTATTAAATAATCATGATATCCATGCTAAAATAAAAAACTGTTGATGTTTTTAAACTATTTATGATTGGTTCAAGGTTCCTGCGGTAACACTGACAAATAACTTCTGATTGGTAACTTTATTTACCTTTAGCTGTGGATGGTGTTCTTTACCTAACGTTAGGTATTTTGTATTTGGCGTAAGGAAATAGTGATCTTGCAATCTTGGGTACTCTGTTCCTGACTTCATTTTACCAATGTACTTAGCTACAATCTAACAAAAAGACCAATTTCAACCAGCATCCTTAATCTTCCATTAAGATCTCTGTGATCCCATCTTACCCTTCCATATTTACCCACTCCTCCTGTTTTTGATGGACTCAACTCTATCTCTCCTCCGTCAACCCACTCAATTAACGTTTCGTTGTTCTCAGTTTTTTCAACCTGATCGTAGGCCTTTATCCAAATAGTAAAGTCGAACGTATAAACCAGGATTTCGTAGACATTATACCTAGAAAAACCATGAAAAGTTTCTTTAAATTAAATGAAATAACTATGGATTTTCTTAATAGATGATCAATCTTTGGATGAGTGGATGCAATCTGATAAAACAGCACATGTAGTGTTGTTAGTATCTCATCAATGCTGGTGATAGATTTTCTTGATTCATAGAATAATTAATATATTTTTAAAATCGTTCCTAAATGCACAATTTATCTGCTTGTTAATACACGATCATCAAAGCTTATCGATTATTCTGATTCGATAAATTTCGATTTGTCATGAATGAGATTATGTAATCGCGTGGATTTGCTAACACCATCCTTAATCTTACCACAGTTTATCATAACGCATACAATGGGCCGATGAACGATATTTACTGCAGTCGAGATGGCCTCGAAAGTATTGATTCTTTTTTAAACCAAACTTGTAGATCTTTGTCCGCACTTCATTTGAATAAATTCCTTTTCTTTTACACGTACAACAGAATCCCTAAAATATTTTATGCATTGCTGTTAAAAGAGAGAGTGTCATTTGCATGATTTTGCTTTGCTTTATACCCAACTATCCCATAATGGCCGACCCCACCAATCATATGTCTTCCCGCATGGATGATTATGACTAGCACAGCCAAACCGTGTCAACGGATACATTTCTTCGTATGGTTTATTGTTGACTACCTAAAATGAAGGAAGGTAGACAAAACGTTTTATTAGGCGTAGTTGTTCACCATAATCGTGACGAGTTATGTACTTAATATGTGTGTTTACGTACTCCACGAAACACGATTGGATACACCAAACGTATTGGTGACATACTAAGAGTGATAACAAAAGGGTTGTAAAGCCTAGCATCTTCACCGACAACTGTATCTCGCACTTTATTTATTGTTGCATGCAGTTTCTCCGTTTCACCCTTTATAAAAGTAAACAACATAAAATGGTTGATTTATTGGTTGGTGTTGCTTCCGTTATATATATGCTACGTCTTTATAGTTAACATAGTCATTTTGAACATACTTTTCCTCCAGTAACCTCAGCTAGTACAACCATTTTTTTCTCGCATCGTTTGTTATGTAAAACATTCAACGGATCGTTTGCAGTGTTCTCACAAAGTGTAATGTCACTTTTTGCGATAATGGTACCATTGATCCATCTTAGGAAAATGAAAAACAATACCAACAGATAAAAACTATTTAGATCCATTTCTTTTTTATGGATAAAGCTATAGATTTCATTTTAATTATTTTTGTGTTTTTTTACTTTTTCACGTACGTAATCAAAGCATTTTCATTTGATTTCATTTTGATTATATCCAAAGTAATTTAATGATGTCATCAATAGATAACATGACACTTAATTGTACACTGGACTCCCGATCTATTTAATTAAATTTACTTTTATAGATATAGAAATTCAATCAATTGTACAATTTTGTTGTTGCTTATGTATAAAATTTACAGGTTAAGTAAAGTTAGGTTATTTTTAACTCCGATAGTATTGGAGTTAATTTTGTTTTTTCACGACACGACGATTGTTGAAGGTCTTTTTATGTCGAAGAGTGATTTGAAAATCTGTGAGAATGTCGGAGATAATCCTCACAATGTCGTCGACGACAAACCGTGCGAGAAGAAGTTAGTTATTGCGCATATAGTTAGGTCAGGACAGGTATGCTATGTATTAAAACAAATTTATCCATTGACATTCAGTACTGCACACATAAGATATGGTATCCATTAAAGTCCATTGTCTTGTGAGTACATTGCTCAATGTTGAGTGAATCTTGATGTTGTTTTAAATTATTTAGGCTGCTACAGAGTCTTTACTTTTTACAACCAATAAAGTTTATGATAGTGTGGACAATGAACAAGCAAGATTGTACTATCCTTTTACTGTCAGCATAACAAAGTCGAAACTTAGATATGCCTATCCTTTGCGTTATGAAACTGTGAGTTTATTAATTATTCCGAATAAATTTAAATTGTCTATGTATGTTTTTGTTCTGGGCTAAAACTGGGATTTAAAATGGACATTGTCTTTGGCTATAGACTGTCAACAATCATCCTTATGAAGAATTGCGCACCAAAGTTAAATGTCGTGATGAATTTGCAGATGAACACGCTTCATGTGGGTTTGCACGTGATCACATAGGAAATAAGATTTGGGATAGTCAGGTACAATGACGAAACTCTTGAGCGTATGAGAACTATTTCTTTTTATTGAGTCGATGATTGGTAAGACTGAAATAATTTTTCACTCAATAGGGTTTCTGCTGCGCATGTTCTATATATGACATAGTTCCAAAGTGGATGAGATGGTTGAGATATGGTGGTCACGTAAAGGAGTTTTATCGCGGGAGTCAAGGTGGTCTTTGCGGCTACGGTTATGACGTAGATGACATGTTTTCACATTGTATGAGAATGGATGATCTTTGGTAGGTATAAAAGTGCTTTGGAGACAAATGCTCGTGATCTTTATTGTGTGTCAGCGATGATGGGAGTCAGTGGTTTTAGTATTTTAACAGCACTTCAATAATTTTATTTCACTTTAGGTATGATGTTTACTCCATTGAACCACATCGATTGTCCTTTGTTATTTCCATTCGAGCATATGAACAAGTGAAGAAGACTGTAGACAATAAAACTCTGACAAACTGGGTTGAAGGAGGGAAGATAGATCTCAATTATCAAAAAAGAAGTGGATTTGGACATTATGGAAGAGTGCGTTGAGAAATTCTATCCGTAATAATACTACTGAAATGTCATTCATTCATTCAAAGTGTTTAGAAGGATTACGAAAGATTTTATATGATATGAATGGTGATTTATTCGTGAAATGGTGATTCGGTGAATTTTTTTCTCCATCTAGTTGCTTGCGAGATTTCATGGAACATTTGAGTCTACAAAGGAAATTCCAAATTTGAAACTAAGATATTTACTTAAACCGAGGGTAACACCAGAGAACAGTGCAAATGGAGGACACCCTCAGATTCAGGTGATGTATTGTTAAAACTACGAGATAAAAAAGCAGTCCTTTTCTTCTTACTCGTTTTGTCTTTAGAATGGTTACCATGACTACATGCTCGTTCCCGGTACCATGATCTCACTGCGCGAGTCAATGAGTAATTGTGACATGATCGGAGTATCGTACAGTTCATTTCGTAAACAAGGTGGTGGAGCCATGGGTCGTGGTCCAGGCTGTAATCAGAAACCTAACAGGTAGCTCACACTTGTTAAAGTAGATGTAAAACACTCTAAATGATAAATGTTTTTTAACCGTTTTTTTTTAATACAATTTTGTGTTTTTAGTTGCCTGAATAATCAGCCCAAAGATTTGTTTGATCAAGATACGGTAAGCCTATAAGCAATTGAAAAGAAAGTAAATGGTTTGAACCCGGGAGTATCGTTACATGTTTGTAAATGTCGATCGTCCAGGTTGGTATAGTCCTGAGAAGGACTGTTTTTGTTGTTGTTGACTGACGTTTCGACAACCTTAGCGGTAGTCATCTTCAGAGTCAAAAAGAACGTCAGTCAACAACAACAAAAAAAGTCCTTCTTAGGACTATACCAACCTGGACGATCTACATTTACAAACATGTAAGCAATTTAAAATTGACCTTTGAAGTCCCTATGTGTACACACGCATCTCTTCTTTTCCCACCAGGCACTTCGTAAAGTGGGAAAGAAACCAAAATATTTTGTTGAACAATATGGCAAATGCGTCGGTATAAATAAAGATAGCAAGTCTGGGGAGATGGGTCTGATCTACGAGTCTGATGATACAGTTCGTAATAGTCTTGTAACATTAGAAGTTAGTGCTGATGATATGATACTGATCTATAACAGGTTAGTAACACTGGAGTTAGTTGCTTTCTTTTGATGAATAAAATAGGTTTGAGTTTTTTAGGGTTTTTTTCAGGGCGGATGGTGTTATCGTGAAAACTTTTGCCAACAACTTTGACGCTTTGTCACAGGATGGTGAACTGACAGTCGTTGTTCAAAATACTGGCTTAGTAACAGCTGACTTTTATGTACGCATGTTTTTTTGATTGAATAGGGTATGAGCAGAGCACGTGACATTGAAGAATTCTTCACATTCTAAGGTCGTGTTTTCAAGATGTTCCGAGGGAATTTATCGTGGCGATGAACGAATGGCGTCAATCAATCCAAGAGCAACTCACATGTTTACTTATAAAATTGATGCGTATTTAAGAAAAGGAAAAAAACATTATTGTACAGGTTATCATTAAAATTTTTTTTATCGTGCAGAAGAATTAATGCGCATGCGTCAGTAACATTGATTGAAATGTGTTGTTGAACTTTTTCAGTTCAGTTGTACGATTCAAGGCACAATCTTCAGGATACGGCAAACGTGACATTTAAAACATTTACACCTTGTGTTTGCCTTCATAATTGTGTTTGCAAGGTAATTTAAGACTTTCTCGAGATATATGTATATATTTTTTTATGAATCATTCATCGTGAATAAAAAGAGTACTCAATAAAAAGTAGAACTAATATTTATTGATATTTTTGCATTTCTTTTCAACATTATGTACGTTCATCTTGTTCCAAATGTTACAATTATTTAAAGCAGATAAAGCTGCCTGAGTACATCAGAGTGCATCTGGTGTTTACATAATACGTACAAATAAAGTAATTATAATTATATCTACGTGTATTTATCTTTCCATGTTGTGTTACATTCAAGAATTTAGTTGTTCACATTTCATTATTCTCTGCTTTTTTGCCAAAAAATAAATATGTGCCATAAAAATATAAATATTTTTGTTTATGACAATGTTCAGTACAGCAACAAGAAGTCAATTTTCTTTGATAGTGCAACGAAATAGCTGTAGATGAAAACGATGAAAAGGAAGCAAGCATCAATGATTGTCAAGATCCTGATGATTTTGTCGATAATAACGACGACGACGATGATGACGATGAGAAAAAGAAAAACAATTTATTCACCAAATTTATGAACATAATCCGTCCATATATAAATCGTACGCGCCTCGTTCTTGGTGGATTACTTTTATTTGGTGTATTGAAAGCTTTTCTTGGTCGTCGCTTCCTTTTTATTGCAAAATTTGGTCTTGGGGGTGTTCATGTTGGTGAACACGTTGAAAAAAATGTGAGAGGAGTTAGGAAAATCTTGACTTATGATGCTGCGATGAATCTTGTTGATACGACAACGTATGTATTGAACTTGATAAATGACTTTGATAATCACATTAATAACATGAAGTAAACATTTTCACAACAGATCATTTCTGGATTAAAACACAGCATGTATTGATTTGACACATTTTGGCATAACAATGATAAAGACGATAATAGTAATAATTTTAATAACCATACATGATACAAATGTTTTTCTACTGCATGTATGAACACTAAAATATCTCCCCCCCCTTGCAATAACCGTAAATTTTTTTGCGAACGCCCCTTTAAATTTTACTATCAGGGAGTTTCAATACTAATAAACCATTACCGTTGCAATTGCGACAACTAAAATGTTTTTTTTCCATTTCAGAAATACGGTTGTCATCCACAATCATGGACTGCGTGATTTTTTCATCAATATTCTCTTCTTTTATCTCCTCCCGATCATTCTGCTTCTTAAACTCATCTATTTTGTTTACACGTACTGGCCCTACTCGCAACTAAAATCTCGAGAGGCGAAACTAGAGTCGGTTAAAGTGGCCGGGAATGATGCAAAGCCTGGGTCTAGACCAAACGCAAGAAGAATCATTCCGAAAAACTTGCCAAATAGAAAATTTGTCCCTAAGTTAAAATAAGTAACTTTAGAAAGTAAAGCGGATGAAAAAACTGCTGAATTTTGAAATTAGCTTTACAGAACAACGACAGTAGTAATTAAAAACATTGTTTCCACTTGGGAAATGTGTTTTTATGTTCATTTGAAGAAAGATCATTGCGTGTGCCAAAATAATTCATCTTCATTGATTGCTGATGTCATATAATATTCAATCATAATGTTGTCGTAATGTTGCCGTATATTTTGCGGTTTCAAAAGAGATAAATAACCTATCAATAATTTGTTGTATTTCAGATCAAATGTACTCTACAGTTAACTTCTTAATTGTTTTTATTTTCATAATTTCCTTTCATTCATATTGTGAATGCACTATCTTGACGAAAGGAAAGATCACGATGTGCGTAAAGGACAAGAACCAGGATCCATTCAACGTGGTTGATGGCAAGGGATGTGAAAAGAAACTGGTTCTTACTAAAGCTGTTTCAGCTGGTCAGGTATTGAAAATAATTTATTAAATAGAGAATATAACAATTGTCAGATGTGCTAAATTACTTGTTGAAAATGCCAATGCCATCATACAGAAAGGTGAAACAAGTTTCTATATTTTTATCTTTAAAAACATTAAATCAATTCAGCAGCAATCAATGTATGGATACTATATTTGTAATAAAAGTGATTGCATACTAAGATTGGACATTGGAACATTCTTTCAAACAATTTAGAAAGAAAGTGAGATGATTTATGTAAACGTCAGTAAAGTGAGGGATGAACTTAGCAATGACGAAGCAAGACTTTATAATCCTTTCATTATCACCATAACTTCCTCGCCAATGCGTATTATCTATCCATATTATCTAATTGGGGTATGTACTGGTTTTGAATTCCATTGTGACGTCCATTCTTGTGTTGAATAGTCTTCGTTAGAAGTGAAGATGAGTGGTTTAGATTGTGAGCTTTGAGAATGAATGAACTTTAAAATTTGGATTCAGACTGTTAACAATAAACCTTATGAGACAACGAAACGAGAGTACTGGTGCCAAGACGGCGCTGAAACAAAAGACGATGATGATTTGTCATGTCCAGTTCAAAGAGACGCCACTACTGGTGAAAGAATTTGGGACAGTCAGGTAAATTGTATATCTACATTATTAGATGTGATTAAAATATTCATAAAGGCTCCTACAATTTTTTAGAAAAGTTACGTTGATAATTACGAATATTTATGCAGATTCTGATCATTTTTCTCAGGGATTCTGCTGTCGTTGTTCGCTTGCCGAAGATTATTTATCGTCGCAAGGTGGCCGTTATCATCGCGGTAACACAGTCTGCGAAAATAAATGGCACATCCCTTTCCTTCATCAGTTATTCAAAAATAAAAAACGTCACAGTGCACATTGCATGCATTACGATGACCTGTGGTATAATGTTCACAAGATTGGATTGTATAGAATCTGGTTTAAGGTGAGTATATCATGAATTTGTTGATATTTGACAACATATCTTTTAATATTGTGGTAAAAGTCTACAATGGAGAAGTACGCATGCTTTTCGTCATTTTGGCTTTTGGCAAGTGATGTGCAAACGTGAATTTTTAAGATCTTAGTGAAAGCCTATGATCTAGTGGAAGAAGAAAGAGACGGAAGACGGTATGAAAAGTTGGTTGATGGAGGAGAAATTGAACTAAGCAACTTCAAGTCATCTGGGCATGGTGTTCATGGCCGAGTATGTGTTCAAACTTAGAAGAAGAAAAACAGAGTGAAGGACGTTTTAATAAAAGTAGATGTCTTCTTTGTTTTCCAGTTATTAGCGTCTTTAGTTGGAATGTTTGAATCTGACACTCAGATTTACAGTCTAACAGAAAGATATTTGTTTATTCCCGCTCGGAGCTCGAAGATTGACTGGCTAACTCATTCACAGACGAAAGTAGGCTTAGTAATGATTGTTTTCAAGGCCACCAATGGCATCCTTGTATTTTGTGGGGAGAGTGGTCTTTACTTTTTATCATTAAGTCAATGAATTATATAATGATTACGATCAAAAATCATTTAATTTCTCAGAATGGTGCTCGAGATTTTCTTATAATTCCACGATCTTTCGTATCATTGGAGAACTCCATGCTATCGTGCAATAAAATTGGAGTTAGTTTTACAGCATTTCGTCTGCAGGGTGGACATGATGGTCAAGGGCTTGGATGTCTTCGAAAGATTGGCTCGTAAGTAAAACTAATGAATGTGGAATAAATTGTCCCATGATTGCTATTTAAAGCGCCCGTTTTATTTCATATTTTTGATATTTAGATGCTTACACAACCAAGTAAAAGATTATTTTGAAAGTGACACGGTATTCAATTATTCTGCTTAAGTTAAATAAATTTCTTTTAAAAAATTTTTATTGTTATCTTTGGTTGTCTGTTTATTTTTAGAAAAATCGTGCAAATGGAAAAAAACCGCTGTATTTTCCAGAGCGTTATGGAGTTGTTGTTGGCACCGGGGAGTACGACAAAAAAGGAAAATATGCTTTGGTGTACAAAGCTAATAAACTTGGAAACATCTTGATCAGCTTAGAAATAAGTGCTGATGATATCATTCTTATTTATAACAAGTACGACTGTTAACTTACAAATGCTTTAAAATAGTTGGATCAGATCACATAATTTGATCTGCTTTGACATATTTGGCTCGCGCCTACATAATTAAGTCTCTCATAAATAGTTGGACCTGCTCCTACTTAGGTCGGCCCACCGGTTCGGCATGTTCATACATCGTAATGCCAGCTCCTAAATAATTATGCCTGCTCCTATAAATATAGTCAGGCCCAATGGGCTTCATTCTACATTGGTCTGTTTTAGGGCAAGTGGCGTTATTGTCAAAGCATTTGCAACAGACTTTGAATCATTATCTGACAATGGAAAACTGCATGTTATTGTTCAAAATACAGGTCTTGTGACAGCAGACTTCTTTGTAAGTTGTATTCTTATAAAACAATCTTTCATTTCTTTTCATTTTCTTATTTTTCTCTGATTTTCCCCGTTAAGGTCACTATGAAATACTGTACACGAGGTATACAACGCGCTCCTGAAGTGAAGGCATCCATTAATGCTCAGTCTGTTCATACTTTCACGTTACGATTGAGAACGACTATTCACGATTCAGGGGCATTTACGTGTATTGGTAGGTACATTAACTGTTACATTTTCTACAGATTAGGACGAGACGTACAAGAGAAACACTTATTTATAACTATTTTTATATTAGTGAATCTTTGGGACGCCCGCCATGGTTTATTAGATTCAGCAAATATCACATTTGAGACGACCTCGGCATGTGTTTGTCTTCAGGATTGTTCTTGTACAGTAAGTATTACTTCTTTTTTAAGACCATTTCATGTCGTTTTTGACTGTTTAACATGAAATTTTAACTTAGTGTCTAGGTCATTCCAGCAGCGAGTCATGCATTACTGAAGATTCAGATGACGAAGATAAAGACGCTTTAAATTTAGTCAACAAGAAGATAGAAAAAAAGAAATTTGGAAGATTGGAGGTATTTTTCATGTGGATGAACGACAATCTTGCAGCGATCGTGAGTTTCTTTACCACGCCATCATTGAACCATGCTTTAATTATGTGGCTTCTCCTTTCTCTGATGTTTGGGCTTATTAAAGCAAACCTTGGCATGAAACAGGGGGGTGCACCTATTGCATATTGGGGATGGTGGTTTGAGCAGCCTACAGGGAAGAAAACGTTTATTGATTCAAATGGAGAAAGGATTCAGGCATATTATAATCAAGATGGAGACTTAGTCAATCCTAATACGTAAGTATATCACGTGATCTTGGTTGGCTATCTGAAGTCATAGCATAAGATGGAAATTCAAGCACGTCTCCATAGGAATAGAAAGTTTTTGGTTAAGATGTTGTTATTGACCATATTTTTCTATTAAGATCGACGAAAACATGATTTTTTTGTTCTTTTCGAAGAGGGAACATTATCAAAAGCGAAAAGTTGCTTCTTTTCATCGCAAACATCTTCTTTTTTCAACTATTGGTCTTTATTTTGGGTGTTCACGCGGCGAGATATTACAAATTATGGGAGAAAGAAAACGCGGTAATTCACAAATGCATCAAACGTTTCTTGAAGAAATGTTTAGAAACATTTAATATTTTCTTTTTATTTATTTCTAGATGGCCATCTCGCTCTCCAATGTGGTTTTGAATGAAACTGGAGTTTACAGAAATTTCACCAAGTTTACAATTTTAGAAAAGACTGATCTAATGGTTAATACCCTAAATTTGACTTATTGGTTGTCACGACAACACAATGAAGAAAGACGAGAGATACAACGAATGTTTCTTTTTAGAATCATGGCGATGAATACAGTCTTGTTGGGAAGTTGGAGCTTTTAGGAGATAAATATAAGTTTGTCATTATGAATACGTTACAGGTATGAGTGAGTCGGTTTCTTCTCAATAAAATTCATGTTTCATTAAATTTACATGGATTGTTTTCAGTTTATTGAAATTCTTGACGATGAAATGTTGTTGTTGACTCCTCCAATTCCCTTCAATACCGAACCATTTACGAAAGCATTAAGCAGGACTAGTGCCTTAAACCAGATTTCACTCGTACCTCAATATGTGTGTTTAAATGAAGAGCCTGAGTTCGATTTTTACCAAGATGATGCAAAAGATTTCAACAGCGTCATTAGAAATGATGACGTCAGGAGAACTGATGACGTCATGGAAAACGAGGGCATAACAAGGACTTCATCACAATCCTCATCAAGCGATATTCCACCAGAATTACCAACAAGAGATTACTCCAATCGTGAGTTAAATACTTCATATAGTGATGACATATATGAAGAACCTGTGATACCATTGAACAGTCAAGTCTACAAACTTCATTCAGAGTTACAAGATGAAGATACTGTGAAGGAGCAATAAGTCAGGGATATTATAATTTGACATTAAAAATTACAGTATTTTCAAAATCTGTGCATAGAAGTCTCTGCGATTCTCAACCATCAACATATAACTACCAATCAACAACAAAAAGATTGAATGTTAAGTCTAAAAAATAAAACTATACAAGAAAACAATCAATGTATATTCAACTTATTAACATATAAAATGCATCATCAATATATATATATAATATAAACTATATCCGAACTTGAAATATAACTGGTCTTGAAGATGCAGCAGGATAGACAAGCTCTGCACCAGTATATTGGATACCACTAGACGAGAAAACAATTATAAAAAATTGCAAGTTTAAACTAAAACAGCTATAAATGAAGCCTACCCAGTGTTTGCTGTTGTTTGTTCTTTATCTGGTATTACTACAGCCAAAGCACATTTCATTGCTTTACCATCAAGCATGCGGTTATGGTATTTGTGATAAGCACTCTCCGCATCACCAGCTTTTTCAAACACAATTTCTGCCATGTTATTGGCTAGAGTGACATCGAACAATGGACCAACAGCTCCAAACAATTCCTGTTTTTAGAAAAAAACTGAATTAGCTATTTGAAGTTTGTGATATTCAATATTATCAAACACTTAATCATACCACAATATCTGCCTTTATTACTCGTGAATGAAGATTGGTGACAACAACTTTACGCATGTTTACGTTATCCTGTAAATGTTTTCAAATGGAAAAAATTGAGGAATATATTTCATAACAGTTGATAAGACAATTGAAGTACTAACATCACGTCTATCAGTAATTGTTTTTGTAGGTCTCTTGAGTAATAAAGGCCGTTCTCCTGTTAGAGAAGTGAATGAAAGGTTAGGACTTGATGTTCTAAGATCTTCCTCTTCTGTAATCCTTGACGATCTTGAGGTACATATTTCATTTGTTAATGTTCGTTTTGGAGGTATGTTGCTAGAAGTATCAGTTTTTGCAATCATATTTGAAGGGGTGATAATTTTCAACGAGTGTGATGAAGAAATTGTCTTGCGTGAAAGTTGAGGTTGTCTAGTAGTGACTTGAATTGAGTTTTGACTTATGGAAAGTTTTCGGCAATTATTTGGTGATTTTGTTGATAGTTTACTGCTAACAGGATTAATTAGGTGATTTAATGGCATCAATCTTTGTATTCTCGCTTTCGTATTTTTGCTGGTGATTTGTTGTGGTCTGCTTGACATCATCCTACGTTTGGATTTATTCACTCTAGCCTGCAATGGGAAAATAAGACATCTGATATTAAAACTGTCAACAAAAGCAATTAATTTGATGGCATTTCAGCAAAATTGTGACCAAAGAATTAACATTAGAATGTTTACGCTTGATATTTTTACACGTGCAATAAAATTGATGCACAAGCAGCACAAGTCACATCTTGAGTACAGAGATGTTATGAAACAACAAAATAGTTTGAAACCTTGTTGGATCCTTTCTTTTCAAGAACATCCCTAGCATCACGAATACCTAACGCTCTAGGCATATTTGTACGAAAATTCTTTCTTCCCAGTCTATTTTTCACGCTAATATTTTCCTGCTTACGACCCACCATGTTGAAGCCAACGTAATGTTCTGTTGCTTCTTCAGTTCTTGTAAGGAAATTACCTATGGATACTTTGTACCTCGGGGTAATTTCTGCATATGACTTCAGTTAGATAATGAGATCAGAGAGTGTACAAAATATTTGGATATATAGTAGCGAGGAAGTAATGCTGAAGAAGTGTAGTAACACACTTGCGTACATTGTAAATTTCTCTTATTAGGTTTTGGGTCAAAACAATGATGTAAAAAGAATGTGAACATATGTAACGAGTGGTTTTTGGTAAGTTTCTCCAACCAATGTACGAAATTTGCTAATGATCTTTGGTCTTTTCACTTTAACACTTTTGCTATGCTTGGCTGACAGTTTGAACAAAGGTTCTTTGGGATGTAGCAATCTTTCACAATACCCATATTTTTTACTTCATACATTTGCTGATATTGTGTAAGGTTTAATTTGCACTATTTTGATAGATAACTGCATCAATTAAATTTTTGAGTAAAGGTTCTTTAGTGCTTCTTTTTTCAACTTTAGATCCTGCTCAAGTTTACCATGTTTAGAGATGCTATTGGTCATAAGTTATGTTTTATATGAAAAGTCTAGCACACAGTTGCCTATACCTTCCTGTCAATGATGGAAACATCATTTGGAGCATCATTGGCAAATGGAGGAGCTCGTACTCGCGGAAGAAGTTTTCAAGATAAAGAGTTTCATTCTCCTCCTGGCTCAGAAAAAGTCAGTAAATTTGCTTGCATTGGACAGCTTGAAAACTTGTCAAAGCAATTTTGTTTTTCAGTTCCAGTTGAAAAAATGTCTTATTTTTCAATGTCTTGCAGAACTGTCAATCATTTACTGAAGATTCATTGTGGCGAACAAGACGTCTTTCCAATTTGTCTGCAGGCTCCTCATATCCATCTCTCAACAGTAATCTGAGTAATTCAGACAGTGAAAAAATAAATAAGGTTGAATAAAATCCCAAGTTTCAACATATTTTTAAGTTTTTACATTAATATTCTATGTTGAACTTACATTTCTAGGAAATTGTTGTCTTTGCTGACAAGCCATCAGAGAAGTTATTCTGTATGATATGTTCAAAAGTATTTCAAGATCCTGTCATTACATCATGTGGGGTAAATAGGCATATTTACTTGTCTTTTTTTTTTATTTTGCAAATGGCAAAACTAATGTTAGCCTGACATACTTTTAGCATACCTTCTGCAGAGCCTGTGTGTTGATGCGAAAAGTTGAACATTGTCCTGTGGATAATATTAGCTTGGTGGTGGTTGTTTCAAATATTGCGGTAAAACTTCATTATGTAGTATTGCAACTTTTGCTGACTTTTAGATACATTAACATTTTGCATTTCATTCATTCATCAGGTATCAGAACAAATTGGTGAGCTACTTATTCATTGTAAGTATGGTTGCATGCCATCGGCTACTGAAGAAGGAAAGTATGAAGTGAATTCTGCAGGTATATGATGATAGTTATCAGGTAATATGACCTTAAAGATCATGACACATTAACCATTGCTTATGTGTCATTTTTTCAAGGATGTCCAGTAAAAGTAAAGTTGAATTCTAGACAGTATGTGATTGTTATTACAGTAATGATTATCATATCCTCCTACGTACCTCACAATTGATTCCACCATTATACCTTCAGAGCTCTTTATACATTTGTCTATGCCACCCTTGAACTTACATAACTAGTAATTTCTGATGTGTACAAATGATTAGAGGTGTCCACATTAGACTTATTTGACTCGCTCGATCACCTGATCAAATTTTACACAAAGATAGCATTATCAACAGAGAAAATGAATCATGGTCTTAATTTCTGTCTTATATTCTTCAAGTGAGCACGAACAAAGCTGTCAGTATGCTCCAATTCAATGTCCTAACAGCACACTTTGTCCTGCTGTCTTAAAAATGGTACAAAAGGCTTTCAATTGTCATATACACTCAATTTCTTATGCATTAATGTTTCGTACCTCTGATAGTAAGAAGATTCCCATGCAACTTTACAATTAATATGTTTAGAATCTTGAAGAACATTTGCAGCATTGTGAGCACATAAAATGCATTCATTTAAAATATGGGTAAGACGTTAATGTTGAGCTCTTGTTGTTGAAGACATTAAAGTAATCAGAATATATATTTTTTGACCGTTTTGTAGGTGTCAATTTGAAGGCACAAATATGGAAGTCGAGGAACATTTAAATACGTGTAAATTTGAGCCAATGAAAGAATTTCTCCAACATTCTGCAGACCAAATTGAAGTTCTTCAAACAGAATTAAAAAACAAAGACCAGGTGTTAAGAATAAGTGTGACCAAAATTTTCTATCTGTATCCTATATCTTTTTATGTTTGTACAATATTTTTGATACACTTTGCTTTGATTGTATTTATTTTGAATTTTTTCATCCTTGCTCACTGTTATTTTTCTGTCTTTTGTTATCAGGAAATAACGTTTTTGAGATCCATGCTTTTTAAAATGTCGGAAAGGATTGAAAGAGTTGAGAAAACTGTAGATATAAGATTAGGTTAGATGTTTGAAATTCTTAAGTTGAATATTTTCATGAAGTAGTAAAAATCCTACTTTTACATTTTGTAAGATTTTCTTGATGAAGGACACACTAAATTATCATCAGAAATCATGGAGACAAGACGTGCAATGTCGAAACTAAAGGTGAGATGATATTACAATATTTCCATTCAAACTCATTTCAAGTAGTGAGAAGATGATACACTTTCTATGTGTTTAGGATGATATATCTGATGTTGAAGTACGACTATGGGGCGCTGGATGTAAGAAACTTTATCTTTCATTTTTTACAACTATTTTTTATGACACAATTTACTATCATATTTCATTTATTTAGCATTCGATATCTATCCGTTGTTTAAATGCAGAGGAACGTTTGTTGGTCATCAGGTGGGAGTGGATTTTACACTAACCTTAGATTATTTTTTTGTCCTTTTTCTTAGCATTATAACGATTATTGTTTATAAATGTATAATTTTAGGGACCGATCTGGGCTTTATGTGTCAGTAACGGAGAATGGCTCTATAGTGGTTCTTCTGATAAAACAATCAAAGTAATCATCTCTTCCTTTTTATGAAACGATTATTGCTGGATTGAGCTGTAGATTCCTATGTCAATTCCTATGTCTACTTTTAATGGTTTTTTCATGCTGGATACATATTCTAATAGTGATTATTCATTACGCAACATGAATCTCTAGCAATAACCGACAGTTATAATTTCCTGTCAATAGTTATTCTTCCATCCTCATCTCTATGTTCAGTGTTGCTTCTCTCATCACTTTTTCCCAGCTATGGAATTCTTATCCTTTATACCCAAACATGAGTGATATTTCATTTGAATTTGTAATCACTGCGTTAAGCTAGCGTTTCGTGTGACTGTGTTATCAATCTTTAGGTATGGGACACACAGAGCACCTACAATTGTGTGAAGACAATGGAAGGGCATGCTGGGATTGTGTTGACACTTTGTTCCGATGGGTGAGAATAAAGAACATTTTCTAATTCGCATTTTCAACTATTCATACTTCATTCAGTTGGAAATAAAACTCTAGTATTTCTTTTACAGAAAGAGGTTGTATAGTGGCTCGTCAGACTGTACGATTAATGTGTGTATTTATGTGGGATTTTCCAGGGAATTTTATACAGCATATTGTTTTTGTTGCATCATTAAACGTTATGATTTCAGATCTGGGATTGTTCAACGCTAGAGTTTGTTGAAAAGATTCGTGGGCACGAAAATCCTGTGTGTACTCTTGTTACGAAGAAAAACATGCTTTTCAGTGGATCACTTAAAAAGATAAAGGTCTGTAATAAACAAATGACGGAATAACTATAGATGTACTCTTAGACAGTAATATTGAACTTTCATCATGAAATATAAGGTAGAAATGTAAATATTTTATGTTTTCGCACAGGTGTGGAATCTCGAGACTCTAAAACAAGTCAATGAGTTAACTGAACTGAATCACTGGGTACGAGCGTTAGTTGCGTCTGAGAATTATTTGTACAGCGGATCATATCAAACAATAAAGGTGCATAGTCAGTTATGGATTAATGTCCAAATGTAAAATGCATTCTGTATTTATTTGTATTTTTGAGATATGGGATTTGGATTCTCTTGATTGTGTTCATGTACTTGAAGCTTCTGGTGGAAGTGTTTACTCCCTTGCTGTTACTAAGGAACACATCATATGTGGAACATATGAAAATTCTATTTTGGTAATCGCTCAAATAATTCTACTTATACTCTTCTTTCGTTATCCGTTGTCTATCATTTTTTACCTGTCAATTTTATTTTTAAAGGTTTGGGATTTAAATAACTATAAGTTGCTTACGAATCTCAACGGTAAGCATAAAGAAATGGCACTATTTTTAATCCATCGTTTTATAAATAGGATTTCTGTGTTAATTTCTTTTAGGTCATGTTGGTACTGTTTACGCTCTATCCGTTGTTAGTACACCTGGTCAGACCAGACTGTTCAGTGCTTCGTACGATAGATCTTTACGAGTTAGTTTTATCACTAGTTGAATGACTACAATCACGTTCGACAGGATCTTCAATTCTTTTCTCGTGATTAAACTTAGGTATGGAACTTAGAGAGCTTGGCGTGTGTTCAAACATTGTTACGTCATCAGGGTAGTGTTTCTGCTCTTGCTGTTTCACGTGGTCGAATATTCTCCGGAGCTATGGACAGCACTGTAAAGGTAAAAAAATTGAGAATGTATGAATGGAAACGAGTTTATAAAAAACGAATTGTTTCTGTATATTTTCTCATTAAGGTATGGCAATGTTAGTTAAATATACCGTTTTTGGATTCTATGCTGAAAAAATGTAAATTTCAAATCTACGCTGTGAGCTGCTACGACAGAAATGTAGAATACTATATTGCATTGCTTGCGAGTCAAAGTTGAGAAAAATTTATTAAATAGAATTGTTAATATAAAAAAATTATCACGAATTTCATTGAAGAATTATGTAAATATAGAGATCACTTCAAGAAAGTATTTTTTAAAGTAATGAAGTAAATGAAGCAAGTACTCTTGTTAACAAAACCAAGATCATGCTGGTAACACGAACCACTTGAAACAGCCAAAATTTCAAAGAATGCATCAACGTAATGGCAGTTACTACAATCCCGAAGCAGAACCTAAACTACAAGAGAATCTAGTCGAAAGTTTCGTACAAGAACGTTCTGGTATTTGTATACAGCGTGAATTGTGAATTGGAGAAACGAGTTAGGATGCGTCAACATTAAATGCTGCTTAAGTTTAGCTTATAGCAATCATTGAAAAATTTGTCAACCAGCAGATAAGCAAATGTACGATAAATCTGTAAAACTCACGCCCTCCATCTCTCGAAGACAGGCCGTCTAACCAACTGTTGCAATTTTTAGTGTTTTGAACACAGATTTCTTCATGAAATCGTAAAAAGCAACTGCTTCTCCAACAATCCATGCCACATTTTCATCCTCTGATAACTTTGGTGGTAAAGAAGCTGAGAGGGTAGCTGTGATCAATTAGGTTCCAAAGATTAAAAAATTACGAAACTGACAAGAAATAGCGTTATCATCAATGAAAGCCTCTTAACGAATTCCATTAACATTTTCGTCGACAACTTGTTTGATTGCTTTGCTCAAAATTTTGTGCAATTTTATGTCAAGTTATGCATTGTCATTGTCAGTTACTCGGTCAGTTATGCTTACTACGAAGACTTCGAAATATAAACCTGTAAAGAAGCAATATTTCAAATTGTTTTCAGTAGATTCTCAAAGTTAATTGATGAGCAATTTCCTACTTATCGTATAACAAGTTGTGCAGTAACTGCAAGTAATAATTAAGTACAAAATTTATTTTCCCTTTCAGGGATATAAGTGATTAAATGTCTCGCAAACCGAAGGAAGCTTATAATGTCTAGTATCCCTTAAAGCATGCGTTCACTTTGTGACTCTTCCTTTCGGCAATGATGGAATAAAGAAATTCATCTAGGTATTTACGTAATTGTCAATTCTGTTTTTGAATTGGTTCAGTGAACTTATATATGAATTTGCTTTGCAAATACACACTGTATTTTAATTATTGTTGAAGTTATTGATGGTTCATCAACTTCCAAGTAAGTGACAAGAAAGTTTTTGACGCATGGGAAAGACGGTTTCTGTTACCACTCAACGACATAAATTGTGAGGCACCAAGGCTTGTAAAAACGCACGTTTGGATAGGTTTACTTCTTAATCTGAAAATTAACGATGTAGCAACAGTCGAGCAAGAGGAGTTTCGACTTGGTAAACTTGCTTTCGAAGTATTGTGGTTTCGAAGGACTTGCCGAAGATTTCATGCTATTAACCTTTTTCATTCAGCAGAAATGAAAATGATTCAGCCGTTGGAAAAGTGAAGATGCAAGCATGTGAAAACAAGGTATATTGTTTTGATATTAATCAGGGATATTTAGTCTAAACGTCCCTCATCCCTATAATTGAGGGAAATACGTCAGTAAACCTCCCTGTGATAACAAAAAATCCCGCAGCAACCATGTTATTACAAAAAAACAACATAGAACTGAATACCTTTAAATTCATTGTCATAAACAAGCAATTGCCTCTCCTAAACGTCCGCCAATGGTGAAGGTGGTCCAATTTTTGAAGATAAATTTCTGAAATTAAGAATCATTAAAACGTTATTTGTCAATGAATGTCGGCTTCATAAACCATTCAAAATTAAATTAACTGGAGAAATGAAATAAAAAGTAAAAAAAATTACATGTTTAAATCAAATTACGAGTCAAATGACCGCTTTCTTTGAAACTTTAACTATCCTTGGATACCTAGTTTAACAACGCTTTAAATAATTTTGCATTACGACAACTCAAAAGGTTGTGTTCAATAGTGATTCATAATTTAAAGTTGTTTTAATCTCATAACTGCTAGGGTCATACACGAATGTATGAAAGCAATGTGACTAGGGTAACACTGGAGGTGACGTATCTAGTGTTTTATGTGGAGTTTCTAAGTATCAGCAGTTGACACTAGAGATGGTTTATACATCCATGTTTATGTATGATTACTTAGGTGGGCATCTTGATTGTTTTGTATGTCTGTAAATTTTTACATTATGGGAAATAGGTTTACATACATGTCCATTTTGTAAAGAGTGAATAGTTTAGTGCAAATGTCCGGTTTTTAGGGGTCTCTTCATAAAGACTGCTATCGAAGAGAAATGAAGAGCTCATTAGTCACTCCATAAGTTAGTGGGTTAAATCTTATAAAGTCTCTTTTGTCTAATATTTTGCGGGTGAACGTTTTTGTTTTCTTATGCATTTAATTTGGCAATCTTATGCTTTAAAGGCACAGTGCAAAAGGCAAGTTATATGAAACATTGCTTGGTTTATTTTATGACAAATAAAAAGATAAAATTCGAAAGCAAAAAAAACCCCGTTTTCGGTCCATGCTTCCCGATACCTTCTTAAGCGTAAGGCACTAGAACGCCGCATGTTAACGTTTCGGTAGGACATTTCGGCCCCTCCACGCTATCCTACTTGGGAGATGCAATAGCAAGCTTCCGCCCATCGGACCCCGAGATCGCCTGCGTTAGGCTTTGCTCGGGGTACGCAGGGAGAGTGCGGTCGCCACCGGTGTGGGCCCCTAAGACACTGCATACTATATCGCACCCAGCTTCCACTGCTAGTTGACATCTACTATATGAAGTTTTAGCTTAATACATATATACACAAATTCAAAGGCTTACGAAAGTTGTCGTATTATTAAAGTCACTACTGCACATGCCCAGATGATTTCTTTGATAATTTGCGACTAAGTGAGCTAATTGCCACGAAAGTAGTGCAAGTACATATAGTTAGTCGTTGCCATGACTATGAACAATTATTCGAGTGGAGTGCGCATGCGCAGATGGTTTCTCTATTAAATTGTTATTAAGCATGCTATTTACTTCAAAATCGGTCCTAGTAGATGCAGTTGGTGCAGTGCTAGTAGATGCAGTTGGTGCAGTGCTAGTAGATGCAGTTGGTGCAGTGCTAGTAGATGCAGTTGGTGCAGTGCTAGTAGATGCACATGGTCGTTGCATGACCATGAACTTGTGCAGCTGGTTAATTCGACTACGCATGGTCAAGCTCACTGCGCATGCGCAGATAGTTTCTTTAGCAAATAACAAAAGCGAGCAATTTACTCCAAAATTTGTACTATTAGATCCAATTGGATGTTTCCATAACCACAAAACTAGGACAGTTGGTATCACAGAATAGAAAATGAACAGAAGGCCAACTAAGGGGTGCAATGCATCCCAGATTTTTTATGCGTTTATATCAGATCCGCCATTAGTCTTGCAATTACTGTGGTTGTTAGCCACTATAAATTATACAGTACAATGGAATATTTGTGTAAGAAAATTGTCCTTTTAAACGTTGTCTTTCATCAATCGCGAGAATCTTGCTTAGTAATTAAATTTTATTAGTTAAAGCACAGTTTTGATGCGATTTTGAGTGATTTGACTACAAAATACTGAAATTGGCAGTACTTACATTTTATTTTGATGTTCTGATAATTCGAAAGTAAACCTCCACAGTGTGTAATTTAATGTTTTTGCACAATACAATTATATACAAATTCTTTAGCCATTACTTGCCTTGCCCCGTCAAGTTTCTAGCCTTGCCCCGCCTTCCTTTTCTTTTGCTTCAACGCATCGCTGGAAAGTTTTGAATGATAAACTTTCAAGCCGGAAATTTCCAACTCTCAAAGGCATGTCCGATACTCTCTTATCATCACACGCAGTTGCAATGAAAGCATTAGTGAAGGGATAAGACAGTATTTGAGAACAGAGGTACTTTATTACGATGTATAAGAAGATTGTCTCAATGCTGCCAAGGAGAGAGACATAGCCTTAGCTTTTGCATGATGAAAATCGATCCCAGGTAAGAAAAGGCGAACTATGCGGAGTTTATGAGGCGAAGTTTAAATACTTTTAAAAATTCTCTGGTATTTAGCACAATCGTGTTGACGTCGTTTGAGATTAAGGATATTAGTCACGCTGTCACAGAATGTCGAGATTGAAGCCCAAAATTGTATCAAAATCTTTTAATATTGGACTAACCAGTTTGCTTTGTGAAAAATTGTTGGACCTTTTATCAATCAAAGGAAGGAGGATTTTATTGATATATTCAAGTGCTCTTGAAAGTGAAGTTCATAATTTAAGTTTCAAAGGGCTCAAGCAACTGCGAGATCCTACTAGTTCTAGCACCACTACTATAATACCCCTCACTAAAATTAACACCACTCATGCTTATGTAAACATTTTTCTTCTTTGATATTAATTGCAACACTAATTCTATTAAAAACCAATCATAAGAAAAACAAACTAATTACTATAAATTACTACAAATTACAAGCACATCTTTAGCTTTCTTGGCTACGTCATAAGACCTCTTTTGCTAACCGACTTTTCCTCAGCCCCCTTGTTTCTATCTCCGCCAAATTAAAGATGGCGACGTTAATTCCACGGTTAGCACTATTTTCCACCCAGCAAACCGCCCTTTACTTTGAAATATAATATTTTACACAATATAATATTTTACACAATATAATATTTTATATAATATTTTACACAATCGTCGAAAAACGACATATTTTCCAGCCTGGATTATAAGTTTATAACTTAAGGTGGTTGCATGAAAATTTATACTGCAACATTTATCTGTAAATATTTTCATATGTTGATATTAAAAACTGTATTATAAAAATATAAAATTACTCGCCATCTCAAAACGACCTAGTACCAGTGCATGCATGGTTTCCTTTTAGCTTTTGGTTCTTTCCCATTAGCCGCCATCTTTAATTTATTTCCGATTGTGTAAAGTAAAGGGCGGTTTGCTGGGTGGAAAATAGTGCTAACCTAATTCCACATTCCTCATTAAAAACTTATTAACTTAACTTATAAATTTTTTTGTTTGGAGTTTTGTTCTCGTTGAGAAAAAGAGAATTAAGATTGCAGCATGCGCTATTTGTCGCGTTTGTTGTTTCATACTTTGCTAAAAACTGGAAGACAATATCGCTTGAATGAAATCTTAAAAAGACGTGCATCTTGTTGTAATATATATTGCAGAAACTTCAGTGACAGGCAAGGTGCAAGAGTGAGTTTTGTACCTTAAGTGCTTTTGGAACCATCATTTTTTTCTTTTGTGAAATTGCATTTATATTTTGTAGAACAGACTACCAGAAATTCAAATTGATTGTTCAGTAACTGTGTCAGAGCTTGCAAAGTGTGTTGGTGTTTCGACCGGTATGTTATAACAAAAATAGAGTGGTCTAAACCTTGTGGAAAGTTGCTATTGCAATGTTAAGATCAAGTGTCATAAATTTATCACAAATTTTTGAAAATAGCTAATGATTATGGTAATAAATAAAATTTAGTAATTTTAATCGACCATATATTTTTATTGCACATTTTAGAAGAAATTTTGAACTTTGCGAGAGATGCAGGAGAGAAGATTAGCAGAGGACACAAAACAGGTTTGTATGTGTAAACAAATTATAACCATATCACATGCCTATGTATCTTTTTTTTTCTGTGCCACACACTTTTTTGTAAACAGATTTATTCAACAAAATAAAATGTTTATTAAAAGCATTCCTCAAAGTTAGTCACAAGAATAACATAAACTACTAAACCTACTCAAACCATTCTAATTACTCTTTGACTCTACTGTATCAGTACTATTGTACTTATACTTCTAGTACTTTATTGATAATTTATATTATTCATCATTTCACTTGAAAAATGAAATAAATGACATTTTTATGTTCATGCATATGCATTTGTGATGTTTTTCCTTTTAAGTCAAAAAAATTTCCTGACCATGCTGGAAGATTTTCTCCAGTCTTGTTGTATTCATCTTGTTTAAACTGGTTTTATACTTTCCTTTTTTAGTTCTCAGATCAGAAGTTGCAGAATTAGTACTTTTGGAATATGGCTTTTCTGCAAGATACTTGACAAAGAATTTGATGTTTCACCAAGGTTTTTCATGTTCTTTCATTATATTTGTCAACCTGTAGATTAAGAAACTGTTGGGAGTTTCAATCTACCAGATTGAAAAAAAGAATCAGCAAAAGTCATTCTTCAACATGTATCTTGTATATGTTGTATAAATTCTGTTTTTTATGTTGTTAGGGAGCCATGTAAAGATATGCACTTTCTAAAACCAAGAGCACCTGTTGTGACAATAATGGGTCATGTTGATCATGGAAAGACCACATTGCTTGACACATTGAGAAAAACATCTGTAGTTTCAACAGAGGCTGGTGGAATAACACAACATATTGGTGCTTTCTCAGGTATTTCTGCATTTGATAATTTATTCTACAATAGATGTTTTTCTGCTTGGTTGATTTAATTACACATTTGTCCAAACACAAAATAACTTATGGAAAATACGATTACGTTTTTGCAACCATTACAGTAATGCTCAGAAGTAACTTAACACTGCGTTTGCGTTCCATTAGCGTTCCATTTGCGTTCCATTAGCGTTCCATTTGCGTTCCATTATGCGTTTCGAACGCGTCCCGAACACTTTCGAAGAAAATTTGGGGACACGTTCTGAACGCGCTCGCGATTGTGCAAAAAAACTCTGTATAACATGGAAATTTCCGAAATTGAACACTTGTATAGTGAGTATATAATGATGATTACCGATCAATGATCAGATGCGGCCAACAACGCGTTTTGATACGCGTTCCACCTTGAGCTGAACGCAATTGGAGCGCAACTGGAACGAGTTCGGAACGCGTTCGGAATTCGGTATACTTTCTTCTGAGCAGTGTTATATAACTCAGTTAACGTCGTTTTGATGTTACAAAATTTTTGAGTGATAAATTTGAAATAAAGTGAGTGTATACTGTACTGTAAAGTTCATTAAACTGTTTTGAATGCAATTTACATTATTGTGCATATTCATTTCAGTGAATTCATAATTAATTTATTTCAAGCTCCGATTTTTTGTGACACCCTGTGTACCTCATAATCCTCTAAGTGCATACAGTTTGCAATCCAATGTCTCCATGGAAACTTAACAGTCTTTAGAAATATAGAAACTTTACAAGTAAAAATAAACAATGAAAGGCTTTTTGTACCAATTTTGAAATCGCCATTGTAAAACGCTTCCAAATCTCTACCATTATCTTTCCCGAAAAACAGCTTTGTGATGGTTTTATTAAAAATGTTTTTATTTGCTATGAAGTCAATGGGTGTTTGCCACGAATCAAAATGAAATGAAACATTTTATGAGTGGTTCAATGTTCTTTTTTGAAACTTTGCATTATCCTTGAATCTCTAGTTTTTGTAAATTTGTTGTTCCAACAAAACCAAGACCAGAAACTCTTTATTTTGAGATGAATTTGTGTAATTATATTTGTAGTCAAACTCCAGAATGGATCATATATTACTTTTATTGATACGCCGGGGCACGCAGCGTTCGAAAAAATGCGTGCGAGAGGTGCTCACGTGACCGATGTCATTGTGTTAGTGGTTGCAGCAGATGATGGTGTCATGCCTCAAACTATTGAATGTATCAACCATGCAAATGACGCCAATGGTATACGTATGGCTAAAATCTTTTGATAATTTTAAATGTTTGGTTGTATATATAACAATAACATGTATCAGGTCTTATAATATAAATTTCTCGCCCATTCATTAATGAAATGATCATAGATGATGTGGCATATATTGCTCACGATTTTTGTCCAACTAGTTGCTTGCAACAATGTCTTTCTAACTTTTTTCTTTCTATCTCTTTGACAGTTCCTGTGATTGTTGCCATTAACAAGATCGACGTTGGACGTAAAGCAAATGTGGTAAAATAAGTAAATAACTAAAGTGCTTTGTTTACCCATTGACTATCATCATCTTATTATCTTTCACAGTCGAGAGTGAAAGAGCAACTTCTTGGACTTGGTCTGCAATTGGAAGAATTTGGCGGCGATGTTCAAGCTGTGGAAATATCTTCTTTGACAGTGAGTTGGTAGCAAAGAATTTTTTATGCCTATTTGCTAAGTTACTATTCATTCTTATTGACTGAAGCCATAAACACTCATAGTGAAACTGCTTTACTATAGTTAACGCTCATTCCTAGGGCTTAAACATTGACTGTTGACTGAAGCCATAAACACTCATAGTGAAACTGCTTTACTATAGTTAACGCTCATTCCTAGGGCTTAAACATTGAACTATTGACTGAAGCCATAAGCACTCATAGTGAAATTGCTATATTACGGGCTGATTTCACTGGGCCTGCAGAAGGAGTCATTTTGGAATCAAGAAAAGAAAAAGGAAGAGGGTATGATTGAACTGTGAAGAACATACGTACAACATGATAATAAATTTGATGCTTATTGAATGCTGTGATGTACATACCACTTCACCAGATAAATATCCTATATCTATGCAACACCCAGACTTCATACGTAAGCCTGTCGATGTTATCCTTATTAAGTAATGTATCGTTAAAAACAGCAATATTAAGAATATATATCATTAAAAATAGCAAATTTGTTTTGTTTAATAGTTCTAAATTTTCTTTGCTGACAAACCTGTTCTTTTGTTTTTCTAGTGGGATTACGACTCTTCTAGTTCAACGAGGTGTTTTACGGCAAGGCTCAGTGGTTGTCGCTGGGTCCTGTTATGGAAAGGTATTAAAGTCTTCAGTTACTTGGTTTGTTTCAGCTATCAATTTTCGATAATTTTCTCCGCTTCTGCCCTCCAATTGTTTTACTTGTTTCTGCGAAATAACCATTCAGAATTGCCAAAATAATTTTTGATACCTCACTGAATCCCAGCTAGTTGTTTTTATCAATAACAGGTCCAAATAAATAGGTCATATTGAGATAACACGATGTATCCATATGATTATTCTGTCTGAGGATGGCTTTGAAATAAAGTCGACAATTCAGAGTTTTATTTTTTCGTCTTGTACATGATGTTTAAGACGACCTGCTTATTCGGAATTTGTGTTTTGCTTTGCCCTTAAATTATCACTAGGTTACATCCACAAAAATCCATATGTATTATATATATTTGAAAAACACTGTATCCGGGTCTTCAATGACGATTGATCTATGAGGGTGCTGAACTAGAAATCTATGCCCCGGATATACGTCCATTGATCACATTGCCGGGTGATGTCTTATAGTTTACTGGAAAAACAACTGAACCCACAATCTGATGTCATAAATGAGATGTTTTCTTGTTCAATAGGTTCGTCAATTATTAAATGACGCTGGAAAACCTGTTTCAGAAGCTGTTCCCTCAACTCCTGTTCAGGTTTTGGGTTGGAAGTCAATTCCTGATGCTGGGGAGATTTTACTTGAAGTGGAATCTGAGGTAAATTGTATTAACATAGCTACAAGTACGCTTCCAACGATAAATGATTTCAATGGACAGAAAAAACATGTTTTCTTAAAAAGCGACGTTTTTAAAACATGACTAAATTTTAACAAGCATCTTGAACAAAACAAATTTCGAAAAGCTTTTTTTTTCACTTTGAGATTTACTTTGCGCGTCTCATGTGTAAAATTGTAAGTAAATTGACGTTGTTGGTTGTCACATTACTGATGAGTCATAAATTTTTATTTTTAGAACATTGCAAATAAAGTCGTAAACTATCGTAAGAATAAACAGAAGAATTTGAAAACGTCGAAACGAAGTTTGTCAGAGATGACGGATGATTTGGAAGTTATGATGAAAAATTTCAGTAAAACTTACGATGATTCAGATAGATTAGACATTATCATCAAAGGTATTGTATGTCGAACTCTTTAAGGAAAGAATGCGTCTGTGCTCGAAAATACTCAACAGCAGTTGATGATGTGTATGTGACGAAGAAAAAACGTTCAAAGTTCTCGCTGCATGATTGTTGTGTATGTCAGATTAAACTTGACTTTTTGCTTTTGTGGGAGGGGGGAGGGGAGGGTGAAGGGTTGGAGTTGTTGCAGTGTCATAACTGCTTGTGAACGTTATCCATTTCCCTGACTTATAGCGAAGGTTTACGCTTACTTATAACCATTGTTGTCCTCTAGTGATTTATGGGTTTACCCACCAATAATCATTTTTATCCACGAGTGATCGTAGGTATGCCCACCTATAATAAATTCATCCAGTTCACATGTATTTGTGATGACTGGTGATGTTTAGAATTATAGTCTCGTCAAATGTTGGTATTCCTTTAAAGCAGATTGATTGTGAGGATTTTCGAGGGTAACTCGACTTTCGACCGATTACTTAAAATGCTTACATTTCTATAGGTGATGTGAATGGTTCTCTTGAGGCCATACTTGATGCTATCAAAACATATAAAGTTCAGAAACCAAAACTATCTATCTTATCTGCTGCTATCGGACCTGTCACGGAGAATGATATTCGACTTTTGGAACCATTTAAAGGTATTATAAATTTGAAGCTTTTACGAATTTGTATTACTTTTACTTCTTCAGCAAGTTTACGCTTCTTCATTTGTTGTCCATAGGAATGTTGTTCTGTTTCAACGTTAGTATTTCGAAAGATCTTCAAAAACTCGCACAAAAGTTGGAAGTGAAAGTCTATACAGGACAAGTTATTTATCATTTACTCCAATCTCTCAAGGTAAAGGTACTTGTACATCACACAGGGTAGAATGTTATGTACCTATCTATGTGTTCTGAGTTTGCTATTGGTTCCTATATTTTCTGAGTTTGCTATTGGTTCCTATATTTTCTGAGTTTGCTATTGGTTCATATATGTTCTGGGTTTGCTATTGGTTCCTATATGTTCTGAGTTTGCTATTGGTTTCTATATGTTCTGGGTTTGCTATTGGCTCCTATATGTTCTGGGTTTGCTATTGGTTCCTATATGTTCTGGGTTTGCTATTGGTTCCTATATGTTCTGAGTTTGCTATTGATTCCTATACGTTCTGGGTTTGCTATTGGTTCCTATATGTTCTGGGTTTGCTATTGTTTCCTGTATGTTCTGGGCTTGCTATTGGTTCATATATGTTCTGGGCTTGCTATTGGTTCCTATACGTTCTGGGTTTGCTATTGGTTCCTATATGTTCTGGGCTTGCTATTGGTTTCTATATATTCTGGGTTTGCTATTGGTTCGATGTAAATTCAAGGACAATGAAGTAAAATTTGTTGTGTAAAAACTTTGAAATTATTAATCTAAATATGTTCATCATTGTCTGATTGAACCAATCGGGATACTCACTCATATTAGGTATAAATATTTAGTGCGCTGGACAATTTTCATTTAAATTTACCTACAACTGTGAACACTCCCCATTCGTAGACTATAGACAAGAACGTTAATTTAAATTGGGTTTTTTTTGTAGCTCTTTATTATACCTTTTATTGGGTTTATTGGAAAAACTGAGAGGATAAAATAATTTTATATTTCTGGCTTTATGAAACGTATTTCTGTTCCAGGATGAAATGTCGCTCAAATTACCTTTAGTTAGTGAAGACATTCCTGTTGGCGAGGCAACTGTTTTACAAGTATTTCACCTTAGTGGTAAAAGGAAAGCTTCTGTTGCTGGATGTCGGGTAAAGCAGGGTCAGTTGAAAAAGAAGGAAATGTATCGCGTGTATAGAAATAGTAACGTAATATTTGAAGGTATAAATATTTTGTTCTGAATATCTCTTCAAATTGTAGTAAAAATCTCTTGGAAGGTAAAGAGCTACGATGTGTCTTCACTCACCCTTTAGTTTTAAGGCTTTCCTTTCGGTGTTTGAGTGTTACAGGACTTGAGCAACTGTTCTGATCTTTTCCCAGGTCATCTGTCTAGTATGAAACGAGGCGATGACGACACTGACTTAGCAAAGAAGGAGACAGAATGTGGTTTGTGTTTTGCTAACTTTCGTGATATTCAGGAAGGAGATAGAGTGGAATGTTTTAGTAGAACTTGGAAAAAACAAGAAGTTGAATGGAAATGGAAATTTTAATGACAAGTCATCAAAATTATTACAAGGTAGGATTTTTACATGTACATGTATTCATTCAAGGCCTCCAACTGCTGTTTTGTTAAAATTCGAGGTTATGCTTCAAACGCTCTTATTTTGCTTCACTCAACATCGGCAATACTACAAACAAACTTTAGGTTACATGTTTGTAAATGTAGATCGTCCAGGTTGGTATACTCCTGAGAAGGACTGTTTTTGTTGTTGTTGACTGACGTTTCGACAACCTTAGCGGTAGTCATCTTCAGAGTCAAATAACATTTGCAAGCATGTAACATTTACAAACATGTAACGATACTCCCGGGTTCAAACCATTTACTTTAAACTTTAGGTTGTTGTTTATAAAATTGCAGCATATTTTTATAAAAGTACAATGGAATTTATTTTTCTAAATTGGTTTGTTCGAGTCCTTACGACCTAAATCTTAACCGAACTCCATTTTTGCTTTATCACACACTCACACACTGTTATATGTGGTAATCACACAAAATACGTGGGAACGATACAGACATACCAACTCTATTTTTATTTGCCTCGCAACCGCGTTTAAAAGAGATTTTGAAGTACTTCATAAAAAACATTTGTTTCTTTGTCCTACGCTGGCGAATAATTACGCGTAAAGTAAACGCAACATTAGTATTTTTTTTGCCAAACGTGATTACTGATCTAAAAATTTACAATATTGTAATGATAAAATCATAAAATCTCCTTATGACACGCACGAATTAGACGACAGACGTCACATTGCATTTGATCTATGTTTTCAACAGATGATGTAGCACTTACGTAGAGACGGTAAGAGACTTCAAATATTTACTTGCTTAAACAAAGAGTACGTCAAAGATTCCTTGTTGTAAACAAAAATATGTTTTAAACATTTTGCTTCGTTGAAGGAGTGAATGACCATTCATCAGCGATTAAATGACATTCTTCATTTTTAATTACTGAAACACGTCATGAAAGCATGACGTCATGAAAGCACGACGTCCTCATCAGACTATATGTTGATGGCTCTCCATGAAAAAAAATCGAAATTTAATAGCAACACACGTAAATGATACGCAATATGTTTACACCTGTTTAACTTTACACCGAATTCAGAAGTAATGTAACCAATGATATAATCGATAGCGTGATATACGGGAAGTGTAGCTTGACAACGCTTCCGTTTATCATCATTTACCACCTTCACTTCCGGTCATTCAATCTTCAAGTGTTCGGCTATTATAATAGAAAAACAGTTTAATGTTGAAAGTTTTTTAAGTGCAAAGCTTTGCAGTTGATATTAAGGCAATAATTCTTACTTGGGTGATCTTTTTACGAAATGATGACTAAATTTAAAGGGCTTCTGTGTGTATTTTGGTTTGTATTTATGGCAAATTTCAAAACAGTTTTGGCGTCGTATTTTCACGTTTCTTTTTGTACTAACGCGTCTTCAATTTATACAAATGAATCAAGAGAAGGTAAAATCGTTTTCCCATCGACAACGAAGAACTTTTCAAACGAAAGGTGCTCAGCTATAATACACAGCTTATCAAAGGAGAAAACACAATTGACTTTAACAAACTTGCGTAAAGCGCTGTCGAATGAACAATGTGAAAGTTCACTTGAAATTCGTAATTTGCAAAGAAGTTATTTGTACTGTTTTAGTCGTGAAAGCAAAGATTTTATTGAACTCTTCGGAATCATACAAATGGTATACAGGGCCACAAACCAAAATGAAGTGGACCAAATGACTATTGGATACAACATAAGTGTTCAATACCAAACTAACGAAAGTTCGAAATGTAAACAAATATTACGATCCAAGACAGGTGTTTTAAGAACATCAGGCTATCCTTCTCCACTGCATGGAGAGTGTGAATGGATAATTGACACAGGTAATGATGATAATTATGATGTTGTTGGGATTGCCATTGAACTAGTAATTGTAAATGAAAACCATTTGAATCCTGTAAATAACTTTATTGAAATTCAACAAGACGGTAGTACAGTAAATCCTACTGTCATAAGTTCACCTTCAGCATCAACTACAGTGATGTCATCTTCAACGAAGCTGCAAATTCGTGTGCATTCCTCTGGTGATAATGGAATTGGTGTTGAAGCTACTTACGACACATACAAAACATGTAAGTTTAACACGGGTTACAATCAATTAAACTTTGAATCTTCCTATGAAAGTTGCCAGAAATGGAACCTCACTGCTCCTTCTGGAAAAATTGCTGTACTGTCTTTCACAAATCTTAACATTCCTTATGACAGTTTATCTTGTTCTGGTAATTATGTTGAAGTTTGGGATGGAAGTACTTCAAGTAAATACTGTGATTATAATCCCCCTCCAGCTCTTATAGCATCAAAGGGACAAACTCTTGTTGTGACATATCGATCTAATGATGCTTTCATAACACATTTTGAAGCAAGCTTCATATCAATCTCTCGAAGCAGTTATAAAACCAATTGTTTTGTACAAAATGGAATTCTTATTTTCAAATGCAAGAATGGTCAAGCCATTCGCTGTTCATGGCAGTGTGATAATGTCATGCAATGTTCGGACCGTAGCGATGAAGATTCTTGTTCTGACATGAAAGAAAGATGGCATAAACTACAAATATTTGTTGTTGTTCTTGGATCAATATGTTCATCAGTTGTAATATTTTGTTTGGGGTTAGTGTGTTTCAAGAAGTGTATTATTCAAGATAGATCAACAAGATCAACACGACAAAGGCAAGATTTGACAACCTCTGAACAATCACAGTTTACCTCAAATGCAGACCTACCTAGCCCACCCCCTAATTACTTCACTAATCCTGATGAAGTGCATCCAATTTCCATAATACGTGGAACATACTTCTTTGGAGATGAATTCTCTCAGAGTGGTATCCACAATGCTTCTTTGTTAGGAATACCACCACCTAGATATCGTTCAGTAGAATCACTTCACCAGACAAGTTCTGAGGCACTTAGTATATGGCAGAGAGGCATTCTTGGCATTCCATCGGTTCAAGGAGATTGTCTCCCAAACAATCCTCCGTCATACACATGTGTCCCAACTGATAAGAATGAAGAAGCAATACATGAACAATCTGGGAACGAAAGTATTCTTATTGGAAACACATCACAAAATAGTGTTATGATGGATGAATCTCAGTCACTGGGTTCATCTATTGTTAACAATAACGATGATTCGCAAAATGAAATTGGTATCGTTAATCGTGCTATGACTGCAAACGTTTAAATACGAACAACAAAAGAAGCTAAGTGCTTTTACAATTTCTTTATGGAAAGGTTGCCTGCCCGTAGTAAATCTTTTTGACCCTGGTTAACAACATACATTTTATGAAATTGATGGAGTTTGAGAAAAAAGAGCGGTATTATGGTTATTTTTCGCCATCTGTCGATAATTTTCTAATGACGCAAAGTTGTAAAAACTTGTAAATATGAACTAAATAATGTGAATGAATAAAATTGTAAAGCTCGTTTTTTTCTTTAAGAATCGATCTCAGCTTCTCTGTGTTTGCAACATGACTGAAGACAATCAGCTTTTTATAACAATACAATATGTTCATTATGTTTATTTCCTCTTCAACTATTAAATGGCTCAGATGCACAATTCAAATTATTTGTTTACATACGTAGAAATATCTCCCGTGTCGATACATAACATTACTTAATGTATTTAATTTTTTTTATATATTTAACAAATAGATTACATTAAACTGTTGTCTATAGATACACTGGTTTGACGTCATTTGTCATACTCGTATATCTATAACTGTATAGACAACCGTTAAATGTAATCTATTTGTTTTATATAAACAAAAATCACAGATATTATGAAAAAATATCACATGAAGTTGCTCATTTTTATCGTTATTGTGTAAATCTACGTGTTATTGAGTATGTTTTCCAATATGTACAATGACGTAACTACTTTTTTTACGCCCAAATTAGATTAAATTAAATTGGGCAAATTTTTCAAACTCAGAATCAATTATGGTATTTCAACAACATTGTTGACCTCATATGATCGCGAAACCTTAAAATGATATTTTTTACTTCAGTGATAGTGTAATATAGTAAAATGATATTTAACATTTTGTCAATGTTTACGGGGCAACAATGGAACATTGGTAAATATGGCAGAAATCTGAAAATTTTCTCTTGAGAAGAGGGTGTGTATTGTTAAGTTACCTGGTGGTTAACATGTAAAAACTGAGTTTCATCGGGCTGAGAAGAAAGCAAATGTACTTTGAGTTTTACTACAAAATGTGAGATAACACTGAGATGTTGTTAAACAGTTTATGATGAGTTGAAGATTCTTGAGATAGTTCTTTCTGATGATCTCTATGATGATCATTGCCTAGAGGAAAACTTTATATCTCGGTTTACCTCCCTTCAAAATTAATTTATAATTAACGATGACTTGCCAACTATCTATATGACTTAAGTAAATCTCATTAATTAAAGTAATACACTTCGCTACAATTATTGTAAGAAAATATTAGTGAATTTACTCAAAATCGTAAACTTATTATTGCATTCATCGATTTAATTCTTCATTTTAAACTCCAATTGTCTATTCAAATGATTATATACATCTAGCATTGTATTATTGTTATTATTGTATAATTTACATCATATATTAACTAAGTCTTTGACAAGATTTATATCTACTTGAAATTTCTCTCTTCCCCAATTCAAACTTACACACAACTCCCTCTTACTACTATTGCTTCACTGAATTCTTTACCATTTCTATGTAAAGTGTTTTTCAGTTGTTCTTCTTTTACAACTTCCACATGATACTTCTTCGTTGCCTCGTACATTTCTTATAGCATTCATTATTTGACACTGTACATTTGTTTGCAGAGATTTTATCTGGGGCAGCTTGCATACATGAATTATAGTTGCTGGAACAGATGTTTCTGCACTTTGAAGGCGAAGGTAGTGATGTTGCCTCTCGTGGCAGAAGTAGACTGATGAATAGCACCAAAGTTAGTAAACAACGAGAAGAAGTCATCTTTGTCTAAATCAATAATATGATGTTATTTACGGTTGTGTTACGAAAATTTGATCTGCTACTTTATATGGGTACAAAATTTCATCAAAATGCCAGAGTAAATTGGCCATTTTCTCTTTTTCTTTACATCTTACTGTTACATATTGCTGAGCATCTGACAATTATTAGTGGAATTGATTATTATCTTCAAATATCTCTGAAACAAGCTTTCCAGCCTACCATGAGCTAGAAGTTGCTACGTTTCTATCAATACTGCTATGTACGTTGCACTTTAAGATGAAATCGAGCGCTAAAGTTATCATAAAATTGAATTTTTACAACACATGCATGAAGTGATCATATATATATGTGTGTGTAGTGTTGAAACATGTTAGAATACCTGCACGGTACAAAACTCATCTAGACAACAATACTGTTCTGTAGTTGTGAAAAACGTGTCTCGTTCATTTCATTTTTTAATGTCAGCAAGTCGAAAGAACAGAAGCCAAAAAAGCAATTCTAAATGTCTGTGAAATTAATTTAATTTCAATAAAATGTCATCAGTGCCATGTATTCGTTTCATTCGTAGTTGTTTACGACAACCACGCGTCGGACTTTTCCTATTTCAAGTCATTTTTTCATCTACACGTGTTTTTTATATTAGCGTGGGTGAGTGCGTGACCAAATGCACGACTTAGCTTACCGAAAACAGTATTGCAATTTATTGACTAAAGGAATGCCACTCAAAAACTATTTAAACTGTATATATATATATATACATTGTTAGCATATCCAATGTTAAAACAAGGAAAGCCTGGCATAAGTTGGCTGTTTCGTCTTCCCAACAACCTCAATTACTTGCTCGCTAAGTCTAAGATCTCAAAGTTTTTGCGAACACCAGCAGACGTCAGCAGCAGGCTCTTGTAAAAGTGTGTATAGAGAGCAAAGGTTAAGTTTTGAGCCGTTGAAATGGTTTTGTTCGTTTTACATGCATTTGCAAACTCAATTGCGCGAAAGCCCCCTCAAAGAACGCAAACCATCCGGCTTTGAAAAAAATCTGTCAAGATCCTTGTGTGAACAACACAAAAATAGTCTAATTTGATATCTATTTATAGTTGAACATTTCTACAAACACCTGAACTCGTGACTAGGATTTCGTCTCTTCATCTACACTAGTGTATGGCAAGAAGTGAACACATTATTAAAGATTAATGCACTCCCCAACAGAAAATGGTATTTTTCAACTGTTTTATTGGTTGCGATGCAATGTCTTTCATTTACTTTGTGAATACAGACCGGTATCCTTTAACATAGTGTTTATAAAATCAGAATATTACAATTTCGTCTGTATAATTGCAGCATTATGTAAAATATTTCTTTATTTTGCATGTGCATTTTTACTTATTAAGTACTAAAGAATCCAGAGTGATGACTGAAAAGAGAAGCGATTAACGGCCAAATTACTATGGTAGGGCATTAAAGAGCTGCAGTTATCGGTGCTCTGTTTTGAGGTCTAAGTTGTTATTTAGTTTGTTTCGGTCTGATTTTGTTCATAAGTATGTTATTTTAAGAACTGCAGTCACTTTGAGAAGTTTCGTCTCTATATTTAACGATCAAAACTTAATCTCCTTTATACATATTCCTCCTTATTAAATGACGAAAAATGTAGTCTTAAGACACTTCAAGTTGAAGAAGTTCACATTTAAAACAGCCGTCTATATACCTTGTTATGACGAAATCGATGTTTCCTTCAACAGCTCTCTGTTTCTTGTGTCCTTATCAAATGAAATGGCGCAATGTAATCATCTCAAGAATTTCCACCGTTTATATACACTCCGTTGGGGAAGTCTTGCTCTCCTTGGGTCATAATTAGCTGCGTAGGTTGCTATGCGATTGGTTACTTCATAAAAATTCTTAAAGCGATAAAAAGCTTATGAACAATTGAAGTACACGTTCTCCAAGTTGCGCACAAATTGGATGGCTGATTATGTTGACAGTTATAAGGAGATTTGAATTGAATAGCATTGTTCTCATGCTTATTTTTCCTCAAATTGCATCATTGAAAGAAAAAATTACACCAATTGCAAGGATTATAAAATTCCTTGTTCATACATTACGTGCATTATACATACTCATTATTTGCATGCTTTTCGACATTGCATACCGCAGTGTGTGATGGGACTAATGCTAATTAGAATAATATGCGGGCCAACCAGCACCCAGCTTATTTTTTGAATAATGCTAAAAACAAATAGAACGAGAAATTGAAAAGTTTTTTAATGATTGGCTTTCTCCGCTTAAGACTACGTTATTGGTAAACTTGTAAGCATCTTCGTATTATCTATAGTTAAAATGTCCTGCTGAAAGATGCGATGTTAGATGATCGTAAAAAACGCTATGTCGTAGAACATTTTGTTAAACTTGTACGTAACACAATAAAACTATTAAAACAGTTATCGTCTGAGCGTGAAGGTTTTACGTCAGTCATTACGTACGTTGTTCAATCCGAGATAAAAAAAAAGTATTTTTTAAAGATTGCTTTTTAATGGAGGTGAGAAGAATGTTCGCGGTGTTTTCTATAAAAATAAAGAGATTTACAGATCTGCAAATTGTTTTTCTTCGAGCAAATTTTTCGTCTAATCTATTGAATGTCAAATATACCATGGTAATCTCTATCCACTTAACATTTACAAGATTGCTTGGAGTTTCATGAGCGTATTGTGTCAATAAATCAGTTTACAGTTAGTGTTTGATCTTCATGACTCAATTGGTTTCAACTTTAAAGATTATTTCACGAGTTCCGGCTTTGTGCATGTGTCACTAGACGACTTGTATGATGTCGCTTGACACTGTCTTCTCAGAGATTCCATAGATTGTAAACTGTTCCCTTTTTTTTCTTAATTCCCCTTTATTATCAACGTGTATACTAATTGCATTCTTAAGAATAATTATTTTGCCGAACGTCTTCAAAATTTGAGTTAATGAACGTATTATAATCCATTACCCTTGGAATCAATGTCAGTGAAATTGTGGTAAACTTGACAATGACATTAGAAACACATGGCAGAGGTTGTAAGTAGTTTTTGCCTGTTAACTTCTTCTAGTTGCCTCTAATCCAAGAAGATTTATTTAATCTTTCTTTACGTTTTCCTTATTTCTGGACACTTCTCCCGGTTAAAATAGAAAAGAAAACGACATATTAAAATCTTTGGCACTTTGTGCCAAGGAAGCTTTAGTAAAAGCACACGTAATGCATTTGTTGCTAAAACCGTAAAATCTAATTAACATAATCTGCGTTGCCTTGCAAAATTGTATTTGAAAATTCTGTTCTGCTGCTGAGACGTGATGTGAAACCTTACAGATCATTCTCTTCTTTAAGAATGTAGTATTGGTCGAATTGGCGTTAAATATTCCTGTTTATTCTGTCAAAACGATAAGATATGCGTATGTATTTCATTCATACCTTTCATTGACACTCGTTACTACAGCAATCATCCTTTTTGTCAGATTTATACGAAAATTAAATCCCACGCGATTCAAATATTTACTGTATAATGCAAAGAATGACTATAAGTTTATCAGGCGATTATTCAGCATGCAAGTGTCCACGCATGTTATACAAAGGTATCTTATCAGTACATATGTTCCACTTGAAAACACAACTTAATGAAACGAACCATTTATCTGCGCCGTACATTTGATTTGTCTCAGAAAAAAGTCATGAAAAAAAACAAACCTTTCCCCCTAAACATGAAATTGTTCAGGATTAAGGAACAAAATGAAACAGTGGATGTCTTTTTCACAACTTTGTGAACAGAGAAACAAGGAGTCTATCGAACTAAAGAAGTAAATTTTACGACTTCCACTGTAAAAACATATTTTATCTCAGTAAATGCTTGCGCTTCACCTATCTACATAGCGATCTTAACCTTATTTGCTTGCTTCTACGTAATTAAGATTTTTTGTTATATTTTGAATTCTTTTCACTTCTAAAAATCATGTTGAAAATGTCCTATGATCATAGAGTCGTGTAGGAAATGATTTTTAATTTATGTTAGTTAAAGATGCGAATGAAACAGACCAAAGAAGTAGATATGAAATATGAAATGCAGTTTGAAAAAAGAACCGATTATTTAAAATGATTTTTGTATTTTTTTAAAAATGTGACAGTGTAATGACTTAATCTTCAGACATGATAGGCAAATTTCTTCCCTGTCAGTATTAGCTATCTCGCTATCAAGTACGCCCAAGTACGCGTTATTTTTCAAAGCAAAACAAAATAGCTTAACGGATTAATTTTATTGAGAGGAAGGTCATCAGTCAATTGAATTTAACGATTTTATCATTTGCCAAGGAATGTTCAACAATTCGGTACTGTACTATACTCTCATATATGGAAAATTACTTAATTAGAAGCGATTTTCTTGTTTTTTCTCTTGCTCAAATGGATTTATCATTTTATGACCAAAGTTATCAGGCTGATGATTCCTTCATTAATATTAGGGTTGAAACTATCAAAATTTCAGCTCTTTATTGTTTAATTGATTATTAGTTAAAACACTGTAATTAATCAATGTAAACAAACAAATTACGAATTCCTTCGAGACTATTTTTTATGTCATAACAATAATGAATACACCAGATACAAATCAGGCAGTTTTTCCAGCTCATTTTCGTACAAGCGAATTTAACAGATGACTTCATAGAATTGTTGAGTCAAGATTTTAGGAAAAATAAATTTATGACCAATTGCAAACGTTCTTAATTTTCTGGACATCATCTTCTCGTTCGTATTTCAAAAACGTTTTTTTACGCCATAATCATTCTGGTAATTTCTCACCCACGATCATCGTTATGACGAAATCATAACGTCAATGGTCATGCACGGAAATTGGGTAGATTGTCAGAGGAGTTCTTTTTCCATAAGAACGATGGTGCATTCCGGATTAGTTCGACAAAGTTAAAGGTGTTACGGTTCCAAATGGTGCATAACCTGTAAGGAAAATAAATTTTCAGCCTGTCTCAGTGGGGTCAATTGTTGAGGAAGCACTTAATGTTACTACACGATTTCTTGACACGATGGATTCATCCTTAATTAAGAAAATATGTTGGGTTGAGTGAATGGTTTCCTGGGCAGTGACTTTTGCGGAAAGTCACTCCATTTGTGCGTTATGTATATTTAAGATGCTCCATATTCACTGAGCCTTTTTATGGCGTTCCCTTATTCTTCGCTTCAGTTAATTATTAATACAATATGCAGCAGCTAATGATGACCATCAGGTCTCAACTGACATGAATAATATTCAATGAGTACATTACACACAAACTAATTAGCATCTTTTAAAACATTTAATGCATCAATGTTTATAATGCAGTTGTCTAAACAAGAGTACAATAAAGGTAATTAAGTTCTTATGGCTTAAGGAAATTTAGTCATATTATGTCTAGCAAACAACACACCTGCTAAATCTGGACATTTACAAAGTTTCCGTAACGCCAATGCCTAGAAAAACAAACTTTATATCGTAATAAGGGCATGTTTGCGGTATTATTATCGGAAACATCACCAAGGCTTGGCAAATTTTCCAAAATTTACAAACATTATCTGACCTCTGGTACAATAGTTTCTAGATTCCTTTCTCGGCTCGCGTGGGAAGGATGAGTAGATAACCATTCAACATTGGTGATATCTTGAAGTTTTTCTTGATCGTTGAATTTTTTCCAAACTTTTGGTCCCTTTCGTACATCAAAGCATGCCTTTATAGCAACGAGAAACAGCTTTCACTAAAACGCAATTCCATTTATCTCATTTCAAGTTGAATATCATCTTATAATCTCGATTTTTGCTTTATTTCATTTGTGGAAGTATGCACTTGTTATTTAAGCCTGCCGCACACTGGCGAACTTGCCGCTCGTACTTGTTATTCGTGACAAGTGAGATAGATAAGACAAATATTGTTCAAAACTTACGCGCACACTAGGAAATTTTATCGATCACACTTGTCACGAATAAGAAGTACACGCGGCAGGTTCACCAGTGTGCGGCGGGCTTTACGCCATAGTTCGTGGGTGTCTTACAAAAAAAACACATTTCCTGGCTTTATCTTTCGCATTATATTTCATATTGAAAATTCTGTCGTTCTTGGTTGCGTAGTTCGTCATTACCGTAGTCTTGAGACTTTACCTTATTTTTTTAAATGACATATTTGTTCTTTTATAGACCTTGGGGTGTTGTATACCTTTGCCGTCAAGTAAAGACCGACTTTGTCCGCTTCTTCTTCAAGGCTTCGCGAGTAAGGCAAATGCACGAGTAGCTGAAGAATAATATAATTTTACATTAGCTTTTGCAATGAGGATGTTTCACTAGGGATTGCTTTCGCAGAAGAAGCATTGTTGCTTTCTCGTGCAACAACTTATGTTGTAAAAGAAGCATTTATTTTCCGTTTACGTCATCAAAAATGTTCCGTTCTGTTCAGTGCTGTAGAACTAAATTTATCAGAGGGGGGGGGAGGCTCTCTTGACGTTTTTGTCAACAGTGCCTTTTTATAATTACCCATTTCAAAGGAAGAAGAGGGACTCCTCCCCCAAGCGCTCCCCACTTCTACAGCACTGGTTCTGTTGCCAAAATCGTTAACTTAATTTCTCAAACTTTGCTACATCTCTAAGACATTAAAGACATAAACATTTTTCACACCCCTAGTATCGTGTTTTGAATAAATTGCGTTAAAAACGCTAGAAAATCACTGGGAATCAGAGCCCAAATTGTTGCCAACAAGATCACCTTTACCAAATTCACAAATCCATTAAAACATAATTGTTCTGCCTAAAATGAAAAGGAATATACAATTTTTGTGGTAAAACCATGCAAAATAAAGAAACATTTCCAGTCAAATTATTACCATTTTTATGATAAATACCAACCGAATGTTGCAGAATTGCATGAGCAATTTCATGGCCGAGGACAATTGAAAGGGCATCATCATCTGGGAGGAATTTTAATAATCCGCTGAAAACAAAAATTTGCCCATTCTGAAAGGGAAAATTTGTTTGATAAATAACTATTTTATTGCAGTCAAATCCATTCTGAAATGCACATGTAACAGTTTGTCAAAAGGACATTGACATCATTACTTGAATAATACTAATGCTACAACTTGCAACACATTAATTCTTCATGAAAAAGTTGAATAAATTATTCTAGCTGAGAGCATTGCTAAATAAATTATAAGTGACAGTTATGGAAGTTTTAACTGTAGTCAACTAAAATTTCCACAACACTTACTGGTAGAACGAAGGCATTGATCTCATCTGATTCAACAACATTTATTTCCCATTTCAAATGATGGCTAATTACATCCATGTTTGCCATAAGCAACTTCTTAGCAATAAGAAATACACGCTTGTGATCTGGGTGATTCACTGGCAAGATATTATCTGCATATTGTTCTAGAAGTTTCCTCCATTGACTTTCAACAATCTCTCGAAGCTGTTTAGGTGAAACACCAACATATCGCATTCTTTTTGTATAAGGTGTCTCTTCAAGATGTATATAGTACAAAAATAACCAACCACTAACTAGTACACCAACTGCTCCACCAATAACCTCTTTTCTTGACATTAGGAAATTTTTAAAGTCTTTTCTCTTATGGTTTGGAAGCTTTTTCCACCACTTACGAAAAACTCTGTAAGATGTATTCCAACAATATTTTTATAAACACGACTATCTTAGATGCAATTCATATTTACTTATATACCTTCCAATTATGACTGCCATTAGTTTTAGTACTTGTGCTATGGGTCCAGAAAACCTTGCCAAAAATGCACCAATCAGGGGCAAGATGGGCGTGGCTCTCCGAGGTTTGCTCAAATGAAATTGGCGTGCTAAAGTTATCCCATGGTTTTCACGACAATTTAATAATTTATATCGTTCATTTAATATTAGCAACCTCACATGTATCGGTTCTTTGCTTACGATGTTCGCTGTTGTATTAAACTGTTCTCTCAAAAGCCACTTTCGTCGTAATTGAAAATGGTTGTGGGATTTCGTGAGCCACCATCTTCTCATCTGTGGTGTAGACACCGCTCGGAAAATACGACCAAGTTGACTTGACATTGATTTGTCACAGTCACTCACAGGGTGTATTAATAAAATAGAAAGACTTCGCAGATCATATTGAATTGTATAGACAGCATAATGACGTAGGTTTTGCGGTCTTTTTTAAAAAAAATTCCATTTCACTAAGACCAAAAAACTTATTCCTGCATGACATGTCTGAGTCGCTCACACTTCGTTACTTCTGCACAGTGGTTGCTGCCATGGTGACTATCTCCAACATGGCCGACAGTGGAGAAGAAAGACAGCGAGTTTCACCGGACTCTTCCACTCAGGTTTTAAAACAAGATAAACGAAAACACCGGAAAAGAAAAAAACACAAATATAAGTAATATTGTACTCATTGATTAGGAATTTGAAATCTTCTAAATGCCTATCCTCCAATCAAAATATTAATGTATTGAATTTTCAATATTGCAGATCTAAGAGAAGAAAACACACACATTCAGTTGAGAAAATCTCAGATTACAAAGAAGAGGGGTCAAAATCGTCATCCTTATCTGATGATTCAGGTAACAGTGAAAAGCTTGATACAAGTACATTGGACGAGTTCACCATTGATATTAAACCGTTAAATGAATATGTTGACGACAGAAAGAGACTTAACGATGAATTGTTTAAGATTTTGGATAGAAAAGAAATGAAAAAGTTCATGTCAAAATCTGTCAAGGTATGGAAATGAAATTGAATTATTTTATTTGTTTTTTGAACAAAACATGTACGTGTGACATGCAGATTGTTTATCTATACATTCTTGCAGATGAGCATTGAACTTGGAGTTTGACTAAAACTACTTCAAGTTAAAAGCAGGTTGCATGAATTGCAATGCACATCCAATACAAAGTGCATTCCATGTGAACTGTATAGCAAGAATGCCAATATTTATAAATATCATGCTTTAAATGTTTGGCCAAAATATGTTTGGTGAAGACTGGTCAACTTCATTTTAGCTCAGCCAAAGTCAGTTTTTGCAGTAAATAATGTAAAAAAAGTTTTCAAAGACTACATGTTCTTAGTTTGACATTGCCATGCATTGCCTTACCATTGTGCTTTTGAAAAATATGAAAATGTTGTCGTTAAAAAGTATTTGTAAGACATTGTTTATAATTTTTGGAGTTTACACTGATGGACATTCAAATATCCACACCTCAGCTATCAGAGCTTAAAATTAAAAAAAGATTTAAAAAATAGTCATATGAATGATATTTACCTTTGTATGTTTCTACAGGTAATTTTATTACTTCAAAGCACATTTTAAAATTTGTGTTTGCTATGCCTCCAAAGATTTTGATTCTTTTGACTGCATGCTACTGGTTATGTAATTGTTGCTTTTCTCAATATTATTATGTATTTTGGACATGAATAATTTCCAGAAAAACAAAATTTGCTGTGGGAAAGCTGAAATAACTTGTGATTTTTTAAATATTCTTGAGAATGAATGTACAACATGTTAGAAGAAGTCAACCACAGGTAGCTTTGCAGGATTACATTGTTTGAGGCCTGTATTAAAAAAGCTATTGTGGCAGGATTTGATGCCTTTGTTTGGGGTGTCTATAGTAACACTACCAACAGAAGTTGCAATGTCCAAGAGCATTCCTGCAATTGCGAGCTTATTTTTGGAACTTCAGCTTCTTACGTTGATTCCTTGCACTTTTCCTGTATCATCATTTTGCATACTAATGCAGCTCATAAAGAACGGTCTTTGATTATTGATAACACAAGAGCGTCTGAACAGACTGATGATGTTAGGAATTCATCGTGATTGAGGGAACAAACTGGACTTGGATGTTGTAGTGAACAGTGTCAAAGCTAGGTTTTCTAAGTGTAGAATTGCTTTAGGTTTTCTAAGTGTAGAATTGCTTTAGGTTTTCTAAGTGAAGAATTGCTTTAGGTTTTCTAAGTGTAGAATTGCTTTAGGTTTTCTAAGTGTAGAAAGCACGTCAAGAATTCAAATGGAATGATTCAATAAAGTGTTTTGTTCATATGTTGTTGTTAAGTGAATAAAAAATTGCTTCAAGTATTCATCATCAATGTAGGATCACGAATAGCTTTGTTATCGCTTACATAACGTATATGTCCAATGTCCAAGTCCACGCACAACTACCCTATTGTACTTTGTATACAATCATATAGATCATATTTTATGTGATGAAATTAATCGCGTAGAACATTTCCAAAACAAACTATGTTCCACTTAATTCACAATGCTATGATTTATCATGAAATGTGTTAAACCTCGCATTTTGTTTGATTTCTGTTAATTTGAAATGATTTAGAAACTAAAAATGGAAGAGTTAAAAGCCCGCTGCTTGGACGTTTTAGAAATTCTTTCAAGAAAAAGATTACTACGAATAATGGAAGGGGAAGAAATGGATTCTTCTTCAACAGAAAGCGAAACTGTGGCAGGAATGATGTTACCACTAATGACAGCTGTACAAACAGGGAGAACACAGTAAAAGTGTCCCGTGAATCAGTCATTGAAAAGAATGTGGTAGGCTTGTGGTGTTGTAAATTTCTATAGTGTGTAATCTACTTGATATGTTTTTATATTTCAGGACAGGACTGTGAATATCTTGGAAGAAATGAGTGTAGGACCTGATCAATATGAAATTGATGAGCTGGTCGAGGGAAAGCAAAATGTCAAAACAGAATGTCAAGGTGAATAATCAAGGCATTTTCTGGTTAGTAGTAACGTTTAAACCAAGATAAAAAAATTAGGAATTTTCTGATTTCAGATGATGGTGTAGCTAAAGATATTCTTCATGGAGATGAACAAAGCCAACAGGATGATGGAGATACAGCTGCACAGATTCTGGAGTTAGAATTACGTGCGCGAGCATTAAAATCATTAATGAAAGCACAACACAATGTTGACCCTTAAACTGTTGTGTTTAACATCTATTGGTGATGAAACTAAAGTGAAGAGAATTGAAATTATGAACAAAACACCTTATGGTATGGTGACCATTAAATTGTTAAAATGGTGTGCAGTAAAGGTGTAAGAGTGTCATTGATGATGGAATTATTTGCAAGAAAATTGATGAAAAGACCAATAAAAGGATTGCGTTCAAATTGAGAAGGTATGCCAGTGGAAGAAAAGGTATACCAGTTGAGGAGAAAGTATTCCAGTAGATGAGAAGGTATTCCAGTAGACGAGAAGTTATTCCAGCATACGAGAAGGTATACCAGTAGAGGAGAAAGTATACCATTAGACGAGAAGGTATACTAGTAGACGAGAAGGTATACTAGTAGACGAGAAGGTATACCAGTAGACGAGAAGGTATACCAGTAGACGAGAAGGTATACCAGTAGAGGAGAAGGTATACCAGTAGACGAGAAGGTGTTAGAGTAACGCAATTTGAGTTAAGTTTGACTATTGTTCACAGAATTAACCAGGTGTTTAGTTCCTTCGTTTTAATAGGATTTATAAATCTTAAGTTGGGTTTTACTTAGGGCAATGCATTGAGTTTCCAAATGACGTATATAACATCGGACCTTAAATTTCTGTACACAAATACAACTATTTAACATTATTTTTCATCCATTTTCAACAAAAAAAACACGAGAGGAAACCGTATTTGATCAAGTGTTTCATAAAGTACTCGATGTTTGCAGCTGATAAACACGAGCGCCTTTTTTCAATAAAAAGTTTTGGTTGTTCAAGGAATAAATGAAATCTTCAAACCCACTCACACCAAGTTTCAAATCCTATAAATAAAAGTAGAAAGTAGTAAACTGTAATGAAATGCTGATAAATAAACCATTAGTCAAAATACCATTGCAATATGTCTCATTTGATCCATTGTGAAAAGCGAGTTATACTCTAACTGAGATATTCTTTCCAATTCGGAAATAAAACGTTTCGCCTGTTGAGGATAAAGTTTTACAATGTATCACAGCTGTTGAAATACGAAGGGGGGAGGGGTGGGGAATTTTTGTCTACCTGCGCATTTTTACTCATGCCCGACCCGTTTTGTGAGCGGTTAAAGTCTAAACTTCCAAGACCATCGCTGAAGGTGTCCACAAGACTATATAAAGAGAACAAGTTTATGTGTATAATATCTTTGGTGAACGTTGAGGGCACGTCATCATTGATTTAAAGGCTTAAGTTTGATGAATGTGGTTGGGAAGTGTCTTTATCTATTTATTGCGTTCATGTAAACAGAGTCATGCTGTACCTGTATTTCATGATCTCAATAACGTCAATAGCATCTTGTCTAGTTGCTTCTTCACGAAGTTCCAGTCTAGATCGAGCCTGTTGTGGTTGGGCGAGAAAGAAAATATCATATTCATAATTTGAATTCCCTCTGTCATCATACATTTCACTTCACCTCGGTCAGTCGTATTAAAGACTCCAACTGTCTCGTTGTAATAGGGGTGCTATCTTGTGACCGATGTTGTTGACGTAGATTTATGTAAAATTTCTAATGAATTCAAAGGAGAATAGTGAGGAAACTTAACATACTTGGAAGAAGATGTATCCATCTACCTGAAGTTCTTCAGCTGCATCATCAGATATTATTGGATGAACATATTTTCTTGCATATGCGATGTACTGTCATAGAAAGTAAAAAAGATTTGTATGGCTTTATTTCATGATTTTCTAACGAAGAACAAACCTTTCTCAGTAAGATGCTAGGTATTGCATCCAGCTCTCTTCCTTGGACAACCTAAATATATTATCATTCTACGTATACTAATTTATTCATTGTTATCCAATCAACTGCACATTATGACGTGATAGTTTAGCTGTTGTTGATGGAGAAGTTGGTGTGATGGAGAAGATTTCACTTTACCTTAAGTCGTTCTGATAAAGGTTTATCTGCTTCCCATTGTGTTCTCATGTTTTCTTCGCGTATTTCATTCTGTGTCAAGTAAAAAACTCGTTTGTTTTAACGGCTTCTTGGTAAATAGAGATATTTCTCAAGCAATGTGGGAAAATATTCGTGACTGACTTCTTGGCAAAAAAAAAACTAGCAACTGATCTTAGCTTTCTACCTCGCTATTTCGTCTAACGGTGACTGTTTCAAATGGCCTGAAACAAAAAGAAAAATATCGAATTCAAAATTATCCATACTCTGTTCAGTAGCTCACCCTTAAAAATAACATGTGTTTTAATTGATACGTTGTGGCTAAGTTCTATATGTCGTTCCTGTGTTTATGAACCTCATATTGAGATTTGTCAGTAAATCCATCTCTGTTATCTTCTATATTGCATTCACTAACCCCTTTTTCCTGAATGAAAAGCCATTACATGTTCAGAGAGCATTGAATCCATTTCCTGTACAACATCAAAAAGCACTTTAAATTATTTGGTTTCAGATCAGTTTTTAGGATTCATTGTGATCAGGTTTACCTCGTCTGGTTTGTCGAGCATAATGAAGACCTTAAAACAAAAATTAAAGATATTTGAAACACTGCAGCACCGTCTTTGCATTTCTCTTGGAAATGAATGATGATATGTTGTGTCATACCAAGTCAAATCGTGAAAGCAATGCGCTACCCATTCTTGTAAATATAAAAGAAATAAATTTACAAGTTATCCGTCATAGGCAACGGTACCATTAAATGATTCAAAACCATCTATGAAATATTGTCACTCACCTCAAATTTTCAGCGACGGTTTTTGCTTTATTGTAATGTCCTCCAGCTGGATTCGCTGCCGCCAGGATTGAAGTTCTCGCTGGTAAACTTACAAGACAAAACAGGTCATAATTCAAGAAGTTGACATTATCATATACCACGAATGCTCCTCAACTACCTGCAAACCATGCCACCTTTAGCAATGCTGATACATTGTTGTTCCTAAAACAACGTGACGAAAAGCGTAATTTACATTCGACAACTTTTGTATTGATTATTCTTTAAAAAAATCCACGAATATTTTTTTTAGTAAGCTATGAAAAAAAGTATCGGGTGTCATCCTTGAATTTTTCTTCTCATAATTTCATAGTAAAGGAAAACTTTATTTGGAAACCTATATGAATCCTGGTATTGCCAACCAGGTCTCAAAATTTAAACAAAAAAAATAATCGAGGTACATCTTAAGTCTGTTGGAAGAATTTGAATTTTCCTATCAAAATTTAGTATAATCATACCATTGCTTCCAGTAGAGCTTGATGTTGACTTCCCATCTTATCAAATTCATCTATACAACAACATCCGCGGTCAGCTAAGACTAAAGCACCAGCCTCAAGGGCATATTCTCCTGACGAACTTTCCTTTGTAAGCGTAACCTGTTCGAAAAAATTTATTTGTTACATGTACACGAACGTACATGCATTTACACCAAGGATGCTGGCAAAATTGAGATTATCTCGTACAGTTAAACCAGCAGCCGAAGTTGTATTGCCACAAACATAAACCCCTCGAGGTGCCAAGTTTGAAGCAGCTTGAAGCATCTAAAATATAATTTGAAGTTTTACAAACGTTTTTTGGAATAAAAACCTGACAACTGCATCACGAAAAGTAATATTACACAAGATAAAAGGGAAGTGTGCCGAAAGCGACAGCTAAATATTGAATAAATTAAATGAAATGAAGCGGAATAATGTAATATTTACTTGACGATAAACCTGTCAAAATCATGAAATTTCTCCGTAAATTTTACGCGTTGACTTGAATAGAAATTCTAAGTAAATACGAACCTGACTTTTTCCCAAACCTGGATCACCAACAACAAGAATGTGTGGGTTGCCACGAACTGGGACACTGTTCTGGTATAAAAGTTAATAACTACTTTAGAATAAAGAAAAGGTTCTGTTCAGGAATAAAGTATCAATTGGTGGAAAAGTTCAACAATTCTAGTAAAGAATGTTCTTCTAACATTACTAGTTAACATTACTAGTAAAAATGTTCTTCTAACATTACTAGTAAAAAATGTTCTTCTAACATTACTAGTAAAAAAATGTTCTTCTAACATTACTAGTAAAAAATGTTCTTCTAACATTACTAGTAAAAAAATGTTCTTCTAACATTACTAGTAAAAAAATGTTCTTCTAACATTACTAGTAAAAAAATGTTCTTCTAACATTACTAGTAAAAAAATGTTCTTCTAACATTACTAGTAAAAAAATGTTCTTCTAACATAATTAGTAAAAAAATTCATAACACATTTTATAATACTACCTGTTGAGCCAAATTGTTAAAATGAAAATGTAAACAATTTAGTGAAATAATTGCGACATTTAATTGATACCTTATCATTTTGAAAACGTTGACAACCACCAAATAAACCGAGAATTAGACCAGCCTTGATAATCTACAGATAGATTAAAGGTATCGTGTTTTCGTTCGAGAGAGGGTGTGTTTTACTCTCAATAAAATTTTGGTGTTGCCTTCTTTTACCTCGTGTCCATAAATAGTTGGGCAAAGAGACCTTAATATATATTAAATATTAAAAATCAATTTTATGACTTCAGTTAACAAATGTCATTCCAATATGTACATAAATTCTTTCAACAACGTTGCGTACGTACCCACAAATAAGTCGAAAAAGGTCTTTTTCAGCTTGAATCTCCCGTATAGCGTACAATTCCTGCGGATGGTGAAAAATTTGAGCCTTCGGTAAAACACATTAAAAAAGGGATGATGTTCGGTAATTATTAAAACCTTGTGGAATCTAATCATTCTCTAGATAAAAGATTTGTTATTGAATCTTGATACTTTCCTAGATTCACGAAATACAATCTCATATATTAGCTACTTACGTTACTCGTGACATAGGACATTGAAATGGCACATCTATATTAGTGTTCTGTGTTTCCACTTGCCTTGAGAGTAAACTCCGCTGGAATTTCATCGCTTTCAGAAATCTTTTGATCATCTTTACTTTTCTCGACAGAATTAGCGAGAATATACAACAAAAACATTGATTTCTCTTTACTCCGACCTTTGTTCTCGTCTGCATCCGCTACTTTGACGATACCGCAAACTTTTACTATATCACCAGGTACAGCACTGTCCACTGAAAATGTACGGGGTAGTTGCTATTGTTCTCTCAAAAATTTGTTGTGTAAAACTATGAAGACTATTTAAAAATTCACCCAGTTCAGATGTGAGTTCGCATTCAACTGTTCTAGGAATACGGCCCGTTTCTCTTTCGTCGTCATCAATAATTTCCTGAACTCTGAAGAAAAAAGTTTCTATTGAAATGATTCATCTTAAATGTAGGATTCGAAACAAAAAGATTGTGAAATTGCATTTCGAAAGCACAAATTTCATGTTTACATGTTAAAATGCGCTTTGCAATTACTTTCAGTCGAGCAATGACCAACACATGAGGGTCTTCAACTCCGAAACGAGTTCAGATGAATTGGAGAGATGAGGTATGCTCGTTTTGATAACAGCACCACTAAAGCCCCTCTCCTCCTACACTTTTGCACCATAAAATATACCAAGCTATGTCATCATAAATATGTCATATTTACTTGATCGTTTGCCAATCGATCGTTTTAGTCAAAGGAGAACTTTCTAGTGGATTGAAAGATCGCCCACGACACGTATCTGATTCACACTAAATGTAATCGAATACATCGTTCATTTCATAAGTAAGAAATTCTGGTCAATGGCAATATGCTTTGATTAGTATTTGTTTTGGGATGAATAAAATGTGTCAATAACACATAATTTGTTAAAGTAATTACTGCATGGTGTTATTGAAATACCATACAGAAATCATTGGTGGGGTAGGTTTGGAAAATTTTTAGAGATGTGACTTACAGTTGATTGACACACAAGAAAATGTTTCTTTTAATCACTATACATGAAAAATAGATTGGTCACAAATGAACGCATGGCGTACCTATTTTTCGCGACAAAATTTTTTATTGCAGAAGAATGATTCATACCTTCGTGGGAAGCTTAAACTTTCCATCTGGCAATGGCAACACCTTGCATACAAAATATTTTAATAATAAATTATTGAAGTCATTTAATTTGTGGTCGCAGGTTGTGCTCACATAGAGCAAAAAAATTGTTGTTGCAAATGTTGTTTCACAATACCTGTATCTCTTTGCATGTGTTGCACATGAATGCCATATGTGAGACCATTGGTTTAATGCTACTCAATCTTACCACAGTTCCATGGATTGCAATGAATTTACCTTGAAGAATGTTGTAGATATGATTTGTATTGGTAAAGACTGTTCAAAAAGGCAAATTCAATGAGAAGTTACCATAGCAATTTGCTTTAAGATTTTTCAGTGGAGTGATTGGATGATAATTTTTCATTCTAGTTAAAGCAGAAACAATCAAAAGTTGATCAAAAAATACAGTATAAAGCAAATTCTGAAAAAGCAAGACATCTTGAGGTTGCAAAATATGCATCAAAATAAGACGAGAAGTGAACTGTAAATTTTCGACTTTATTTCAAAGTCATCCTCAGACATCCACGGAAATACCTAGCTTCAATGTGAGACACTCCAAACAAAAACTGTGAGGATGGTTGGCTTGGTAATTCATAAGAGGCAACAAATACCTAAAATAGAGATTATCTTCATTCAGTCACAGATATCTTGTTCAAAGAATTAAAAGATATTGTCCACAAACCTGATATGCAGCGAGACTTAAAGACTGGAGAAATTTTACAGGATTATCTCTTAGTTGTTCTGAGATGTTTGGTAAGCTTTCTATGATACCTAAAGATTGAAAATAATATGAACTCTTTTAATGACTGGCACATCCAAGATATTTTAGTGGCTTTGATTAATTGACTAAACTAAAACTGGTAACTGCACCTGGATGAGATGCAAGTTCTTTGAAATTAACAGTCAATGATCGTGTCATTTCAATGTCGTCCTGAAAACAGGAAATAATAAATGTTATTTTATAGTTTGCTCCTTGCTCATTTGTATATTTGATGCTATACCTGAGAGAACAAATCTTTTGTACTAGTAAAATAATTTTGAAACAAATGAACTTGCTGATCCAGAGATGAGTTTGGTACATATGCTGTTTGAAAGGATTTTTCATAAATAAATTTTATCAATTTTTTCAGAATTATTGCAGTCCGCTACTAGATCTTATACCATCATTTGGAAAGTATGTGTGCCAGTTTTTGTATGGGCAGTTGACCAGTGTAGTCTGACGAAGTTGAGTTTGTGAAGAAAGTACAGAGTTGGAAAACTGTGAAGTGTTATCATCTAGAAAGTGAATGAAAATGATTATACATTATGTTGAAATAATCTTTCATTTAACTGGAGACTGGATTAAATGCAAAACTTGCACTGGTAAATGCATAATATGACGGAGTTGAGGATTTCATCAAAAACCCCGATTGTTTTGTTAAAACATTTGGCAAATTTTAAAGCATTTTTATGATACTAAAAATGCATTTAAAAAACTACTCGAGTTTCCAATCCAAAATATCAAATAGCAGAGCAATACCATGTCGATTTCTGAAAGCGTTTCCTCGAAACCCACGTCGTCGCCCGCGCCAGAAATTTCCTCGAGAGTTAGACCCGGTAGACCTCATACTGCATGGTATAATGCTAGAAAATTAACATTTACCTTTAAAAAGAAATACGTTTTTTTTACAATTTTGATCAAATGAAAAACAGCCTCTTTAAGTTAAGTTTCCCGCCAAAGATGATCTCAATATATATCAGGAGTGAAATCCACATCCACTAAATCAAATGAAATCGCCCACAAACATGGCGGCCAAAGTTGCAAAGAAATCAAGTGAAGTTATTGGAAGATTGCGTACGTATATTCCTGCAGGAAAGGCTTCAGCTTCTCCACCTCTTGGGCCACAATTAGGACAGGTAAAATATCCCATTTTTATCTGAAATGGAATGATATTCATGCGATATATGTTCATTTAATATGAAGTCAAAAGTTTTTTGAGTGGTATAATAAATATGATTTAATAACCAATCAATCATGAATGATTTTTATTCCTGCAGAAAGGAGTCAACATTTCGCAATTCTGTAAAGAATTCAACGACAGAACAAAAGATTTCAAGCCTGGAGTTCCTATACCTACACGGATCACTTTTAAGGTAAAGTAAAATTATTTTTCATTTTTAAAAGTTTAAAATAATTCCATAATTTCGTGGCAGCGCGATTGAATTAAGACATTTAAGGTAAACGCAACTTTTTTTAATTTTTCAATGCATACATATTTCAGCTAACTAATGCCATCTTCAGTGCAGAATCATGAGTGAAATATTTACATAAAGTTAATGTATAATGAAATATGATACATGATAAGTGAATAGATAAATTATTTACAATATTGTGATTAGTTAACTTCCACATCCATCTTTTTGGTCTATTCACCTATCCAATTATCATATTTCATTATAAATTAACTTTTTGTAAATATTTCACTCATTACTCTGCACTGAAGATGGCATAAGTTTGCCAAAACATATAAGCGTTAAACATTTTTACTATATGTAAGTCTTTAAAATAATTAATAAGAAAGAAAAAACAGGAAGATAAAATTGTTCAGTCAAATTTACTCATAAATTACCTTGCTGTAATAACTATTGGCTTTTTATTTAAATTAAAAGTTTCATGATGTTTGTTGACATCAATGATTTGTAGCGTATAACTCAAATACAGAAGTGAGTAACAATATTTCTTGGTGCATAAAACTTCACTATGATTTATTTTATTAAGGCTGATAGAAGCTATGTATTTGAGACAACTATGCCTCCTGTTTCACATTTCTTAAAACAAGCTGCTGGCATAGAGAAAGGAGCTTCCAAACCAGGTTTGTTGAAATATTTTTGTTATCTATTTAATATGCATGGTAAATTGTACAATTTTCAACTGCAGCTGGATTGCATAGGGAAAGGAGCTGATAAACCAAGCACCGTTGGAATGTTTTTGTCAACTTTGTCTCACCATTTTTTGTTTGAAATATTCCGAATAGTGCTTCAGGTATTAGGAGACTTTGGGAGAATTTGAGAACTGATCAGTGCAAGCCCGAGACCAAAGGTCGAGGGTAGCACCAGCTCAAGAGTTCTCACAAATTTCTCCAAGGTTTGCGCAAGCTTGTGCAAACACAAAAAACATCTTTTATTTCTTTAAAAAAGTAACAACAATGAAAAAAGAAAAATTTAAAACAGGCATTTTAATATTTCTCCTTACATGTATTAATAATTTGTGGGCAAATTCTCTTTCATTTATTGACTGATTTGAGCTCAGATCTTTTGCACAGGCTAATGCAATCACAGCAATGGATTCATACACACACACACTTTTTATTGTTATTATTTTATAATCTCCCCCAAAAAGGTTAAATGAATGAATGAATGAATGAATAATTTTTTATTTCAACACGCTAACCATTGTCAACAAGTGAGTTGTTTTCCACATGGGGCGTGCACAAATTTTACAGAAATGAATTTTAACAAGAATACTAAATTAACAAAGTACAGTTCCTAAAACATTAAATTACGTTCTATAGACCACAAAGTTAGGTAACCTGTTTGTAAATGTAGATCGTCCAGGTTAATAATGTCCTGAGAAGGACTGTTTTTGTTGTTGTTGACTGACGTTTCGACAACCTTAGCGGTAGTCATCTTCAGAGTCAAAATGACAATAGACAAATCTATTTACAAGAGGAAGAGGATTAGTTGTTGGGTTTTGTTGGTTGGTCTTGGGTTCATTCTTATGATTGGCATCTATCCAAGCATTTTGATTGTTATCAAGGAGAGACAAGATTCGATTGTTGTCTTCTCTTAGCATGCTAATAGAAAATTTCAAATGGTCAATCTCAGCTGCCATTTCCGCGTTGTCTACTAGAAGGACGGCTTTTTCGTTATCATTGTTTTTCGATTTTTCTTCTAAAATACGTAGACTAGCGAGGATTTGGTCGAGTTTACTTGCATTATCGTCGATGTCTAACTTTTTTGAAACAATTTTGTCTGTGCTGGGTAACGTTAAAACAAATGTCTCGACATCAATCACGCGCGCCCGAAATTTAGGTTCTTTATCATTAGGTTCGATGCACTTTTCGTTTTCTTTCGTCTTGTTTCACTTATCTTTGGGAGATCTTTCAGTATTTATCGCGGGTAAGACTGAGTTTAGGAAAGTTATAATTTGTATTAGGCCTTATCAATAATTAATTTACACATTTTTTCTCTGTCATCAAAACATTTCAAGGTTAAAACTTCAATGATTGTGATGTTTAGTTTATGCTTATTGTTTATAATTATTTGCAATTGAGGGGATATGTACTTGTCTTTCAACAAAGATCTTTCAAGTTTATTGTTAAATTCTTTACTTCATCTACGGTTCTTGAAGGCTTCTTCATTCGTAATTTCTTTTTGTAAAATACAATAATTTTATGTTTTTATGTTCGTTGATTATACCCTGAAATGTTCTTGAGCAAAGCTGTGTGCGTTTTCACAATAAATATTTAATTAGAATTTGTATTTTGGTGAAAGGTCAACAATCAATTTTCTAACTTTAATTAAAATTTTTTGTTGATGTCATTTAGAAAATTTAAAACATTTTACGTCGTCATAAACTTATCAATCCATAAAGTTGGCTATAAAAAATCGTTGTAGACGTTTATAAAATATTCCACCAACAGAAATCCTGTACGTAATGATGGATGTACGAATAAAGTACAAACCTCCGTTGACAAAAAAAAAGGGGCAAAGTAAATTAAAAGAAATTGCAAACGGCATTTGTGCTATTTTGAATAATGGCTACGAAGGCGGAAGGCTTATTTTAGAGAGCGAAACAGGATCGTTGACGGCGAAGGATCATGATGATACAACGCGTAAGATAGAACAATGTGTAGAAGACTCGTTTCCAATGGAAAATTTGAACGATGTATTGCATAAAAGAAAGTATGGGTTTGACAAAAGCGACCGAGAAATTCATTTTGATGTCAAACCAATTATTGGACTTTTTCCAAAGTTATGGATCGTCAACTACAATGTTTGTCAAACCAATAACTCAGAAGTTAAAATAAGACATTTTAGCAACGAACAGTTTTTGAAATTTCTTGAAGATATGGAACAAAGAAAGACAAACTCAATTTTAGGTATGCACGAAAGAAATTTTTCGTACAATTGCCCTGTTAATCTCGAAGAAAGCAGAGAAATTCAAATAAAGATGCCAGAAAAAGTGGAGAATATTGTTAAAGATGGTAATAAACTCACGCATTATATTTCAGCTTTCGCCAACGGCAACGGGGGAAGTATTTATTATGGCATTAAAATGAACGAAGACTCAAAAAAATACACAGTTTATGGAATGAATGTGGCACACAATGAGAAAAAAAATGAAATAATTAAGAATGTTACGGACGCAATTGACTGTATGTTTGTTTGGCCTGTGTTTCAACCGGGCCAAAATAAAGAAGAAAAAGCAGGTAGTTTAGTGAGAGGAGAAGACTGGGAAATATATTTTGAAAAGGTTTTAAATGTGAAACCGAATAACCTCAAGTTTGTTATTGTGATCTCAGTGAATCCTCTCAACCGTGCAGTATTGATGAAAAAACCTGAAAGTTATTGCTTTGATGCTGATGCAAAAGTAAGAGAGATGGAGATAGAAGAAATCAAAGAGCGTCTGCTCATGACTAACTACAGACATATTTTCTTTCTAGAAGAAATTTCAGTACCATTACAGGTTAGGCGTGCTGAATGGAGTTCATATGATCAATTCAAAATTCACGTGACAGTCCTCGAAAAGCTTGTAAGTTATCGTAACGATGGTCTTGATGAGAAATTTTGTGAGTACAAGAAAGAGCTGCGTGACTCAAGAGATTTTATGAAAATGTGCTTGGCACAGCAGCAAGATGCTGCTGATTGTTTGCGAAAAGGAAAACTGAATGAAGCTGCAGAAAAATTGAAAGAGAATGAGAACTTTATCAAGAATGAACTTCAGACACCCCGAAAATCAAATGCGAAACATCCAGAATCAAATGAGAAACACCCAGAATCAAATGAGAAACACCCAGAATCAAATGAGAAACACCCAGAATCAAATGAGAAACATCCAGAATCAAATGCGAAACATCCAGAATCAAATGAGAAACACCCAGAATCAAATGAGAAACACCAGAATCAAATGCGAAACATCCAGAATCAAATGAGAAACATCCAGAATCAAATGAGAAACACAGAATCAAATGAGAAACACCAGAATCAAATGAGAAACACCAGAATCAAATGAGAAACATCCAGAATCAAATGAGAAACATCCAGAATCAAATGAGAAACACCCAGAATCAAATGAGAAACATCCAGAATCAAATGAGAAACACCCAGAATCAAATGAGAAACATCCAGAATCAAATGAGAAACACCCAGAATCAAATGAGAAACATCCAGAATCAAATGCGAAACATCCAGAATCAAATGAGAAACACCCAGAATCAAATGAGAAACATCCAGAATCAAATGAGAAACATCCAGAATCAAATGAGAACACCCAGAATCAAATGCGAAACATCCAGAATCAAATGAGAAACACCCAGAATCAAATGAGAAACACCCAGAATCAAATGAGAAACACCCAGAATCAAATGAGAAACATCCAGAATCAAATGCGAAACATCCAGAATCAAATGAGAAACACCCAGAATCAAATGAGAAACATCCAGAATCAAATGAGAAACACCCAGAATCAAATGAGAAACATCCAGAATCAAATGAGAAACACCCAGAATCAAATGAGAAACATCCAGAATCAAATGCGAAACATCCAGAATCAAATGAGAAACACCCAGAATCAAATGAGAAACATCCAGAATCAAATGAGAAACATCTAGAATCAAATGAGAAACACCCAGAATCAAATGAGAAACATCCAGAATCAAATGCGAAACATCCAGAATCAAATGAGAAACACCCAGAATCAAATGAGAAACATCCAGAATCAAATGAGAAACAGCAAGAATCAAATGAGAAACACCAAGAATCAAATGAGAAACACCAAGAATCAAATGAGAAACACCCAAAATCAAATGCTGCAATTTATTTGGTTCGATACCTGCATTGGAAATCTGTCGTAATGAGGGCTCAAGGGAATTACAAAGAAAGTGAAACTGAGGCAATTAAAGCTCTACAGGATGCAAAAGATCTACCTGTAATATTAGTCATTCCATGGCTGCATTTTAATATTGGTAAAATAAATGAAGCGAATATTGTTCGAAAATGCAATCAAGTAGAAAGCATAAAAAAGAAATTGATAAAATCTTATGAAGACGCACTTCGTTCCGCCATTTATCTTTCAGATTATCCCGAGAAGCTAATCTTTAGTTTAAAATGTCGAACCATCATCAGCATGGCAAGAGTATATCTGGGTTTATTTTTTGACGGGAGCCAGGTCTTTTGCAAACCGTGCATGAAAGATGATGTTTACAAAGCAAAGGAACTCCTTAAAGTATTAAAAGATCCAGAATTGAGCGAACATTCTTACTTGACGAAGGTTACCAAAGCTGAGATGCTTGTTGTGGAGTGTGAATTACTTCTCAGAATTTGGTTACAAAAAAGGAAAGGAAATTATTTGCAGAATACTTCTGAGAAAGCTAAAGAAGCTCTAAAAATCGCCAAAAAGAATAAATTTGAAGATGTGAAGAAGCTAGCAATTTATAGCACGAAAAAATGTGAAGAATTGATGCAAGAGGAGGAAACGTTAAATCGAGTGTTCTAACAAAATGAACATTGTGTATTTATGTAAATAGTTCTTTAACTTTTTATGTGTGATGATGAATAATTGATCTAATTTCATATCCATTTTATATTTGTGAACATCTGTATAAAAACTATGATATGGACCTACTTGTAAAAGTCATACTCTTTAAAGTTTTTGTCATCGTTGATTAAAGTAGCTCTAAGCTTTCAGCAATTCACACTTTACTTTTTGACAACAGTATTTTCTTGAAAAGGTGTAAGCAAAGTCTGTAATGTGTTCATTTTACTCTTTTTCTTTAAAGTGTGACAATACATTCCAAATAAATTGATCGACAGTCTATGTTTAGTTGCCATAAATTTAACTAATGGAGTTCGTGTACAGATAGAAAATTCCATCCAAAGATTGCCGTTTGCATTTCTTTAAATTCACGAACAAAATGTACCGTAATCTGTTTTTCTTTTTATACAGGAAAGGAGATCGCTGGCACAGTTACGTTGAAACATATATACGAGATTGCGAAAGTGAAGAAGTCTGACAAAGTTTTTCAGAATGCCTCCTTAGAAACTGTTTGTAAGTCTATAATTGGTTCTGCAAGAAGCATGGGCATACATGTGATAGACGGTAGGACTGGTGATCAATTAGGATGATTGTGTGGATAATAATGGGATATGATGTTAGACTTTGCTACTGTGAACGAACTTAAGTGAATAATTATATCCCGCATATGACGTAGCATGTCAGAAGACCGTATTTGGTCTTAGACTACATATAAATTGTACTGATCAGTGGTACTTATGCGTAAAACGCAATCACTGAGGGCGCAATCAGTCGTCTCCATTGCAAATACGTCGCTTGAAAACGTCACTTTGCCTCAAAAATTCGTTTTAGTTGTACACAAAAGTCTAAAATTTGTTGGCTTGTTATCGTGGCACCATCATTTGTAATATCTATGTCTTTTGCATCATCATGTTTAGTTCGCGTCATTTTTGATAGATTTCTAATAATGACTGACAGTAAGCTGGTACAATGAGATCTATGACGTATCTAAACACAAATCAAATGAATTCGTTTCGGCAACTTAGGAAACCGTTACCCGTTACAGAGTCATTAGTAAGTCCCATTTAAGATAACTAGCATGCTCAAATCTTGACTATGTGTGGTCTTTCATTCATGTTGCTCTCATAGGATGAAATAAATACAACTTTGTATTTACTTAAATTTCATTATCTTGTTTAACGTGTAATCCACATTTTTTGGTTATTTCGTTTGACTATTTCATAAATATAAATATCACAAATCATAAGTTATAATTGTTGAAATCTAGAAGTTTTCAATCATTCTCAGAAGAGGCTATACTTCATGTAGTAAACGTCCCATATCCATCATATTACATTAAAGTCCCATATTCATAGAAGGTTACATACTCATAGATGATCACAATAATAAAAATCTAAATGGAATAATTAAAACACGAGTTGTATTCAATTGCATCAAATATGGCATGTCGAAAATTGCCAAATTGACGATCTGAAATTTTTTGAAATCTGCCATAGCGCTCTCGCAATAAACTCATACAAAATTATAAATGCTTGAAATATTCTTTCTACATGATGCTTATTGTTTGTCAAGTTTCACCCTTCTATAGCTTGAATTAGTCAACGTGTTTAAAATTGTGTTTTTAATAAAAATGAGTGATTTGCTTTATCTATAATGTACAGACTATAGAGGAATGTCTTAGCGAAGCAAAAAAAAATACAGCAGCTGAAAGTGACAAAAAATGGCGTTATATAGCGTGCTCGGTTTTTTTTCTCCAATTAAAAAAAAAGTTTCATGGGTGTATGTTACCTACCAATGACATGTATGTAGTACTAATTACTGTAAGTTTAGTAGAAATCATTGATGCTGCCTCTGTCACCTCTTTCGACAACTTAGTAAAGATATAGTCAGTCTAAATAATTATGTAAACATAATTAAGGCCTTAAGTATGTTAACATCCTTTTTTGTAAACCTAACTGGTAAAAACAGACAAGATAATCCTAGTGATACGTGCGCCTAACGAGAGGTTTTCTTCCTGCGGAACGTTGAACAAATATTCAATACGCACGTTTTCCTTCCTCTTAAAAAAAGAGTGACCATGTCTGGGACCTACAAGGAGTTAAATTACCAAAAACCAACAACTGGAAGAAAGAAGAAACAACGTGAGTCTCACAGACAATATTTCATTGCTACATATTTACTTGAAGTGAAAAAAAAGTGTACTTGTATTGCGACAAATGTCAGAGTGCTTCCTCCTCTAAAATATGATTCCAACCTGAATCACTCTAAAAAACAACTACAATTTTTATTGTAATAGATTTGACTTTTTTTCAAATGATCTTTACTTTAAGATCTTAGATATAACCAAAATGCTCTTTACAAGAACAATTAATCATATTCACCATCATATAACTCACTGGAAAAGACAACCTTTGGCCTCTTGAATCTTGAGATTCGCTGCAGACGACAAACACATGTTGGGGGGCTGTCAACCTTGTCTTTGTGCAAAGACTTTGCCTTGAAACTGTAACTCCTACTTGGATGCTGCTTTTCGCTTTCCTTTCATCACATTGTTTGTTTTGAACACTATGTTTTGTAATCGAACAATGGCCATTTACACCATAACATTCTCTGTGAAAGATTGAGTTTTTTTTGCTTGTATGAATGAATTAAATGCTGCCATTGGTCTTTCGACTAACTGAATATAAAAGCTTTATAGTTATTGATGTCTGATTATGTTTTAACCGTTTTGCCAAGCAACCAGAACTATTCAAGTTTGACTTCCTGTAAGTTCAAAGAAATTCTTGAAGAAATATGCTTACTGAATAATTTATATTATGATTGCTTGATACTTTTTGCAACAATTTCCTGTTATTCTTTCAACAGACGAAGACGTCCTCTTTCTCCTGTGTATTTATCGCGGGTAAGACTGAGTTTAGGAAAGTTATAATTTGTATTAGGCCTTATCAATAATTAATTTACACATTTTTTCTCTGTCATCAAAACATTTCAAGGTTAAAACTTCAATAATTGTGATGTTTAGTTTATGCTTATTGTTTATAATTATTTGCAATTGCGGGGATATGTACTTGTCTTTCAACAAAGATCTTTCAAGTTTGTTGTTAAATTCTTTAATTCATCTACGGTTCTTCATTCGTAATTTCTTTTTTAAAATACAATAATTTGATGTTTTTATGTTCGTTGATTATACCTTGAAATGTTCTGGACGAAATTCCATAGCAAAGCTGTGTGCGTTTTCACAATAAATATTTACTTAGAATTTGTATTTAGCGAACCTCTTATGGTCAAAGGTCAACAATCAATTTTCTAACTTTAACTAAATTTTTTTGTTGATGTCATTTAGAAAATTTAAAACATTTTACGTCGTCATAAACTTATCAATCCATAAAGTTGGCTATAAAAAATCGTTGTAGACGTTTATAAAATATTCCACCAACAGAAAGCCTGTACGTAATGATGGATGTACGAATAAAGTACAAACCTCCGTTGACAACAAAAAAGGGGCAAAGTAAATTAAAAGAAATTGCAAACGGCATTTGTGCTATTTTGAATAATGGCTACGAAGGCGGAAGGCTTATTTTAGAAAACGAAACAGGATTGTTGACGGCGAAAGATCATGATGATACAACGCGTACGATAGAACAATGTGTAGAAAACTCGTTTCCAATGGAAAATTTGAACGATGTATTGCATAAAAGAAAATATGGGTTTGACAACAGCGACCGTGAAATTCATTTTGATGTCAAAGCAATTACTGGACTTTTGCCAAAGTTATGGATCGTCAAGTACAATGTTTGTCAAACCAATAACTCAGAAGTTAAAATAAGACATTTTAGCAACGAACAGTTTTTGAAATTTCTTGAAGATATGGAACAAAGAAAGACAAATTCCATTTTAGGTATGCACGAAAGAAATTTTTCGTACAATTGCCCTGTTAATCTCGAAGAAAGCAAAGAAATTCAATTAAAGATGCCAGAGAAAGTGGAGAATATTGTTAAAGATTGTAATAAACTCACGCATTATATTTCAGCTTTCGCCAACGGCAACGGGGGAAGTATTTATTATGGCATTAAAATGAACGAAGACTCTAAAAAATACACAGTTTATGGAGTGAATGTGGAACACAATGAGAAAAAAAATGAAATAATTAAGAATGTTACAAAAGCGATTGACTGTATGTTTGTTTGGCCTGTGTTTCAACCGGGCCAAGGTAAAGAAGAAAAAGCAGGTAGTTTAGTGAGAGGAGAAGACTGGGAAATATATTTTGAAAAGGTTTTAAATGTGGAACCGAAAAACCTCAAGTTTGTTATTGTGATCTCAGTGAATCCTCTCAACCGTGCAGTATTGATGAAAAAACCTGAAAGTTATCGCTTTGATGCTGATGAAAAAGTAAGAGAGATGGAGATAGAAGAAATCAAAGAGCGTCTACTCATGACTAACTACAGACATATTTTCTTTCTAGAAGAAATTTCAGTACCATTACAGGTTGGGCGTGCTAAATGGAGTTCATATGAGCAATTCAAAATTCACGTGACAGTCCTCGAAAAGCTCGTAAGTTATCGTAACAATGGTCTTGATGAGAAATTTTGTGAGTACAAGAAAGAGCTGCGCGATTCAGGAGATTTTATGAAAATGTGCTTGGCACAGCAGCAAGATGCTGCTGATTGTTTCCGAAAAGGAAAACTGAAGGAAGCTGCTGAAAAATTGAAAGAGAATGAGAACTTTATCAAGAATAAACTTCAGACACCCCGAAAATCAAATGAGAAATGCCAAGAATCAAATAAGAAACACCAAGAATCAAATGAGAAACAGCAAGAATCAAATGAGAAACACCAAGAATCAAATGAGAAACACCCGAAATCAAATGCCGCAATTTATTTGGTTCGATACCTGTATTGGAAATCTGTCGTAATGAGGGCTCAAGGGAATTACGAAGAAAGTGAAACTGAGGCAATTAAAGCTCTACAGGATGCAAAAGATCTACCTGTAATATTAGTCATTCCATGGCTACATTTTAATATTGGTAAAATAAATGAAGCGAATATTGTTCGAAAACCCAATGAAATAGAAAACATAAAAAAGAAATTGATAAAATCTTATGAAGACGCACTTCGTTCCGCCATTTATCTTTCAGATTATCCCGAGAAGCTGATCTTTGGTTTAAAATGTCGAACCATCATCAGCATGGCAAGAGTATATTTGGGTTTATTTTTCGACGGGAGCCAGGTCTTTTACAAACCGTGCATGAAAGAGGATGTTTACAAAGCAAAGGAACTCCTTAAAGTATTAAAAGATCCAGAATTTAGCAAACATTCTAACTTGACGAAGGTTACCAAAGCTGAGATGCTTGTTGTGGAGTGTGAATTACTTCTCAGAATTTGGTTACAAAAAAGGAAAGGAAATTATTTGCAGAATACTTCTGAGAAAGCTGAAGAAGCTTTAAAAATCGCCAAAGAGAATAAATTTGAAGATGTGAAGAAGCTAGCAATTTATAGCACGGGAAAATGTGAAAAATTGATGCAAGAGGAGGAAACGTTAAATCGAGTGTTCTAACAAAATGAACATTGTGTATTTATGTAAATAGTTTTTTAACTTTTTATGTGTGATGATGAATAATTGATCTAATTTCATATCCATTTTATATTTGTGAACATCTGTATGATAACTATGATATGGACCTACTTGTAAAAGTCATACTCTTTAAAGTTTTTGTCATCGTTGATTAAAGTAGCTCTAAGCTTTCAGCAATTCACACTTTACTTTTTGACATCAGTATTTTCTTGAAAAGGTGTAAGCAAAGTCTGTAATGTGTTCATTTTACTCTTTTTCTTTAATGTGTGACAATACATTCAAAATAAATTGATCGACAGTCTATGTTTAGTTGCCATAAATTTAACTAATGGAGTTCGTGTACAGATAGAAAATTCCATCCAAAGATTGCCGTTTCCATTTCTTTAAATTCACAAACAAAATATACCGTAATCTGTTTTTCTTTTTATACAGGAAGGGAGATCGCTGGCACAGTTACGTTGAAACATATATACGAGATTGCGAAAGTGAAGAAGTCTGACAAAGTTTTTGAGAATGCCTCCTTAGAAACTGTTTGTAAGTCTATAATTGGTTCTGCAAGAAGCATGGGCATACATGTGATAGACGGTAGGACTGGTGATCAATTAGGATGATTGTGTGGATAATAATGGGATATGATGTTAGACTTTGCTACTGTGAACGAACTTAAGTGAATAATTATATCCCGCATATGACGTAGCATGTCAGAAGACCATATTTGCTCTTAGACAACGTATAAATTGTACTGATCAGTGGTACTGGTCATTGAGTTCTATATAGTTATTATAGAACTCAATGGCGGAAATACGTCCGTTGGCCGCCATGTTTTTTACAACAGTTCCCAGTCCACTTAGCCGCTCCAGTTATTATAGAACTCAATGGTACTGGTGCGTATTGATGCGTTAGGCGCAATCACTGAGGGCACAATCAGTCGTCTCCATTGCAATCAGTTGATGAACATCGTTTAAAGTCCCATATTCATAGATGTTTACATACTCATAGATCATTACAATAACTATAAAAATCTATATGATAACACATAACACAAATCTATATGATAACACATAACACAAATCTATATGATAGCACATTTAAATGTAATTAAAATACGAGATGTATTCAATTGCATCAAATATGGCATGTTGAAAATTGCCAAATTGACGGTCTGAAATTTTTTGAAATCCGCCAAAGCGCTTTTGCAATAAACTCATACAAAATTATAAATGCTTGAAATATTCTTTCTACATGATGCTTTTTGTTCGTCAAGTTTGAACCTTGTATAGCTTGAATTAGTCAACGTGTTTAAAATTGTGTTTTTAATAAAAATGAGTGATTTGCTTTATCTATAATGTACAGACTATAGAGGAAATATCTTAGCGAAGCAAAAAAAAATACAGCAGCTGAAAGTGACAAAAAAAGGCGATATATAGCGTGCTCGGTTTTTTTCTCCAATTAAAAAAAAAGAAAATTTTCATGGGTGTATGCTACCTACCAATGACATGTATGTAGTACTAAATACTGTTAGTTTAGTAGAAATCAATGATGCTGCCTCTGTCACCTCTTTCGACAACTTAGTAAAGATATAGTCAGTCTTAATAATTATGTAAACATAATTAAGGCCTTAAGTATGTTATCATCCTTTTTTGTAAACATAACTGGTAAAAACAGACAAGATAATCCTAGTGATACGTGCGCCTAACGAGAGGTTTTCTTCCTGCGGAACGTTGAACAAATATTCAATACGCACGTTTTCCTTCCTCTTAAAAAAAGAGTGACCATGTCTGGGACCTACAAGGAGTTAAATTACCAAAAACCAACAACTGGAAGAAAGAAGAAACAACGTGAGTCTCACAGACAATATTTCAATGCTACATGTTTACTTGAAGTGAAGAAAAAAGTGTACTTGTATTGCGACAAATGTCAGAGATTTGGCCTCTTGAAAAAGAGCTTTGGACTGGAAAAGACCTTTGGCCTCTTGAATCTTGAGATTCGCTGCAGACGACAAACACATGTTGGGGGGTTGTCAACCTTGTCTTTATGCAAAAACTTTGCCTTGAAACTTTAACTCCTATTTGGATGCTGCTTTTAACGCTTTCCTTTCATCACATTGATTGTTTTGAACACTATGTTTTGCAATCGAATTATGGCCATGTTGTACAACACCAATTACACGATAACATTCTCTGTGAAAGATTGAGCTTTTTTTGCTTGTATGAATGAATTAAATGCTGCCATTGGTCTTTCGACTAACTGAATATGAAAGCTTTATAGTTATTGATGTCTGATTATGTTTTAACCGCTTTGCCAAGCAACCAGAACTATTCAAGTTTGACTTCCTGTAAGTTCAAAGAAAATTCTTGAAGAAATATGCTTACTGAATAATTTATATTATGATTGCTTGAAACTTTTTTGCAACAATTTCCTGTTATTCTTTCAAGAGACGAAGACGTCCCTCTTTTTCCTGTGTATTTATCGCGGGTAAGACTGAGTTTAGGAAAGTTATAATTTGTATTAGGCCTTATCAATAATTAATTTACACATTTTTTCTCTGTCATCAAAACATTTCAAGGTTAAAACTTCAATAATTGTGATGTTTAGTTTATGCTTATTGTTTATAATTATTTGCAATTGCGGGGATATGTACTTGTCTTTCAACAAAGATCTTTCAAGTTTGTTGTTAAATTCTTTAATTCATCTACGGTTCTTCATTAGTAATTTCTTTTTTAAAATACAATAATTTGATGTTTTTATGTTCGTTGATTATACCTTGAAATGTTCTAGACGAAATTCCATAGCAAAGCTGTGTGCGTTTTCACAATAAATATTTACTTAGAATTTGTATTTAGGGAACCTTTTAGGGTCAAAGGTCAATAGTCAACTTTAATTAAAATTTTTGTTGATGTCATTTAGGAAATTTGAAACATGTTACGTCGTCATAAATTTATCAATCCATAAAGTTGGCTATAAAAAATCGTTGTAGACGTTTATAAAATATTCCACCAACAGAAATCCTGTACGTAATGATGGATGTACGAATAAAGTACAAACCTCCGTTGACAAAAAGATGTTCGCAAAGTAAATTAAAAGAAATTGCAAACGGCATTTGTGCTATTTTGAATAATGGCTACGAAGGCGGAAGGCTTATTTTAGAGAGCGAAACAGGATCGTTGACGGCGAAAGATCATGATGATACAACGCGTAAGATAGAACAATATGTAGAAGACTCGTTTCCAATGGAAAATTTGAACGATGTATTGCATAAAAGAAAGTATGGGTTTGACAACAGCGACCGAGAAATTCATTTTGATATCAAACCAATTATTGGACTTTTTCCAAAGTTATGGATCGTCAACTACAATGTTTGTCAAACCAATAACTCAGAAGTTAAAATAAGACATTTTAGCAACGAACAGTTTTTGAAATTTCTTGAAGATATGGAACAAAGAAAGACAAACTCAATTTTAGGTATGCACGAAAGAAATTTTTCGTACAATTGCCCTGTTAATCTCGAAGAAAGCAGAGAAATTCAAATAAAGATGCCAGAAAAAGTGGAGAGTATTGATAAAGATTGTAATAAACTCACGCATTATATTTCAGCTTTCGCCAACGGCAACGGGGGAAGTATTTATTATGGCATTAAAATGAACGAAGACTCTAAAAAATACACAGTTTATGGAATGAATGTGGAACACAATGAGAAAAAAAATGAAATAATTAAGAATGTTACAAAAGCGATTGACTGTATGTTTGTTTGGCCTGTGTTTCAACCGGGCCAAGGTAAAGAAGAAAAAGCAGGTAGTTTAGTGAGAGGAGAAGACTGGGAAATATATTTTGAAAAGGTTTTAAATGTGAAACCGAATAACCTCAAGTTTGTTATTGTGATCTCAGTGAATCCTCTCAACCGTGCAGTATTGATAAAAAAACCTGAAAGTTATCGCTTTGATGCTGATGGAAAAGTAGGAGAGATGGAGATAGAAGAAATCAAAGAGCGTCTACTCATGACTAACTACAGACATATTTTCTTTCTAGAAGAAATTTCAGTACCATTACAGGTTAGGCGTGCGGAATGGAGTTCACATGATCAATTCAAAATTCACGTGACAGTCCTCGAAAAGCTTGTAAGTTATCGTAACAATGGTCTTGATGAGAAATTTTGTGAGTACAAGAAAGAGCTGCGTGACTCAGGAGATTTTATGAAAATGTGCTTGGCACAGCAGCAAGATGCTGCTGATTGTTTGCAAAAAGGAAAACTGGATGAAGCTGCAGAAAAATTGAAAGAGAATGAGAACTTTATCAAGAATGAACTTCAGAAACACCCAGAATCAAATGCCGCAATTTATTTGGTTCATTACCTGTATTGGAAATGTGTCGTAATGAGGGCTCAAGGGAATTACACAGAAAGTGAAACCGAGGCAATTAAAGCTCTACAGAATGCAAAAGATCTACCTGTAATATTAGTCGTTCCATGGCTGCATTTTAATATTGGTAAAATAAATGAAGCGAATATTGTTCGAAAACCCAATGAAATAGAAAACATAAAAAAGAAATTGATAAAATCTTATGAAGACGCACTTCGTTCCGCCATTTATCTTTCAGATTATCCCGAGAAGTTGGTCTTTAGTTTAAAATGTCGAACCATCATCAGCATGGCAAGAGTATATTTGGGTTTATTTTTTGACGGGAGCCAGGTCTTTTACAAACCGTGCATGAAAGATGATGTTTACAAAGCAAAGGAACTCATTAAAGTAGTAAAAGATCCAGAATTGAGCGAACATTCTAACTTGACGAAGGTTACCAAAGCTGAGATGCTTGTTGTGGAGTGTGAATTACTTCTCAGAATTTGGTTACAAAAAAGGAAAGGAAATTATTTGCAGAATGCTTCTGAGAAAGCTGAAAAAGCTCTAAAAATCGCCAAAAAGAATAAATTTGAAGATGTGAAAAAGCTAGCAATTTATAGCACTAAAAAATGTGAAGAATTGATGCAAGAGGAGGAAATGTTAAATCGAGTGTTCTAACAAAATGAACATTGTGTATTTATGTAAATATTTTTTAACTTTTTATGTGTAATCGTTTATGCGTAATGATGAATAATTGATCTAATTTCATATCCATTTTATATTTGTGAACATCTGTATAATAACTATGATATGGACTTACTTGTAAAAGACACACTCTTTAAAGTTTTTGTCATCGCTGATTAAAGTAGCTCTAAGCTTTCAGCAATTCACACTTTTTGACATCAGTATTTTCCTGAAAAGGTGTAAACAAAGTCTGTAATGTGTTCATTTTACTCTTTTTCTTTAAAGTGTGACAATACATTCAAAATAAATTGATCGACAGTCTATGTTTAGTTGCCATAAATATAACTAATGGAGTTTGTGTACAGATAGAAAATTCCATCCAAATATTGTCGTTTGTATTTCTTTAAATCCACGAACAAAATATACCGTAATCTGTTTTTCTTTTTATACAGGAAGGGAGATCGCTGGCACAGTTACGTTGAAACATATATACGAGATTGCGAAAGTTAAGAAGTCTGACAAAGTTTTTCAGAATGCCTCCTTAGAAACTGTTTGTAAGTCTATAATTGGTTCTGCAAGAAGCATGGATGTGATAGACGGTAGGACTGATGATCAATTGGGATGATTGTGTGGATAATAATGGGATATGATGTTAGACTTTGCTACTGTGAACGAACTAAAGTGAATAATTATATCCCGCATATGACGTAGCATGTCAGAAGACCATATTTGCTCTTAGACTACGTATAAATTGTACTGATCAGTGGTACTGATCATTGAGTTCTATAATAACCACCAAAATCCGCCATTACCGCCATGTTTTTGACCACGAGGCCCAGGCCCCTTTGCCCCTCCAGGTCTTATAGAGCTCAATGGTACTGATGCGTAAAACGCAATCACTGAGGGCGCAATCAGTCGTCTCCATTGCAAATACGTCGCTTGAAAACGTCACTTTGCCTCAAAAATTCGTTTTAGTTGTACACAAAAGTCTAAAATTTGTTGGCTTGTTATCGTGGCACCATTTGTAATATCTATGTCTTTTGCATCATCATGTTTAGTTCGCGTCATTTTTGATAGATTTCTAATAATGACTGACAGTAAGCTGGTACAATGAGATCTATGACGTATCTAAACACAAATCAAATGAATTCGTTTCGGCAACTTAGGAAACCGTTACCCGTTACAGAGTCAGTAGTAAGTCCCATTTAAGATAACTAGCATGCTCAAATCTTGACTATGTGTGGTCTTTCATTCATGTTGCTTTCATAGGATGAAATAAATACAACTTTCTATTTACTTAAATTTCATTATCTTGTTTAACGTGTAATCCACATTTTTTGGTTATTTCGTTTGACTATTTCATAAATATAAATATCACAAATCATAAGTTATAATTGTTAAAATCTAGAAGTTTTCAATCATTCTCAGAAGAGGCTATACTTCATGTAGTAAACGTCCCATATTCATCATATTACATTAAAGTCCGATATTCATAGAAGGTTACATACTCATAGATGATCACAATAATAAAAATCTAAATGGAATAATTAAAACACGAGTTGTATTCAATTGCATCAAATATGGCATGTCGAAAATTGCCAAATTGACGATCTGAATTTTTTTTGAAATCTGCCATAGCGCTCTCGCAATAAACTTATACAAAATTATCAATGCTTGAAATATTCTTTCGTTATGATGCTTTTGTTCGTCAATTTCGAACCTTGTATAGCTTGAATTAGTCAACGTGTTTAAAATTGTGTTTTTATTAAAAATGAGTGATTTGCTTCATCTATAATGTATAGACTATAGAGGAATATCTTAGCGAATCAAAAAAAATACAGAAGCTGAAAGTGACAAAAAATGGCAATATATACCGTGCTCTGTCTTTTTCTCCAATTAAAAAAAAAGAAAATTTTCATGGGTGTATGCTACCTACCAATGACATGTATGTAGTACTAATTACTGTTAGTTTAATAGAAATCAATGATGCTGCCTCTGTCACCTCTTTCGACAACTTAGTAAAGATATAGTGAGTCTAAATAATTATGTAAACATAATTAAGGCCTTAAGAATGTTAACATCCTTTTTTGTAAACATAACTGATAAAAACAGACAAGATAATCCTAGTGATGCGTGCGCCTAACGAGAGGGTTTCTTCCTGCGTAACGTTGAACAAATCTTCAATACGCACGTTTTCCTTCCTCTTAAAAAAAGAGTGACCATGTCTGGGACCTACAAGGAGTTAAATTACTAAAAACCAACAACTGGAAGAAAGAAGAAACATCGTGAGTCTCACAGACAATATTTCAATGCTACATATTTACTCGAAGTGAGAAAAAAGTGTACTTGTATTGCGACAAATGTCAGAGATGCTTCCTCCTCTAAAATATGATTCCTACCTGAATCACTCTAAAAAACAACTACAATTTTATGGTAGTAAATTTGACTTTTTTTCAAATTATCTTTACTTTCGGATCTTAGATATGACCAAAATGCTCTTTACAAGAACAATTAATTATATTCATCATAATATTACTCACTGGAAAAGACCTTTGGCCTTTTGAATCTTGAGATTCGCTGCAGGCGAAAAACACATGTTGGTGGGCTGTCAACCTTGTCTTTATGCAAAGACTTTGCCTTGAAACTGTAACTCCTATTTGGATGCTGCTTTTAACGCTTTCCTTTCATTACATGGTTTGTTTTGAACACTATGTTTTGTAGTCGAATAATGGCCATTTACACCATAACATTCTCTGTGAAAGATTAAGCTTTTTTTGCTTGTATGAATGAATTAAATGCTGCTATTGGTCTTTCGACTAACTGAATATAAAAGCTTTATAGTTACTGATGTCTGATTATATTTTAACCGCTTTGCCAAGCAACCAGAACTATTCAAGTTTGACTTCCTGTAAGTTCAAAGAAATTCTTGAAGAAATATGCTTACTGAATAATTTATATTATGATTTCTTGAAACTTTTTTGCATCAATTTCCTGTTATTCTATCAACAGACGAAGACGTCCTCTTTTTCCTGTGTATTTATCGCGGGTAAGACTGAGTTTAGGAAAGTTATAATTTGTATTAGGCCTTATCAATAATTAATTTACACATTTTTTCTCTGTCATCAAAACATTTCAAGGTTAAAACTTCAATGATTGTGATGTTTAGTTTATGCTTATTGTTTATAATTATTTGCAATTGCGGATATGTACTTGTCTTTCAACAAAGATCGTTCAAGTTTGTTGTTAAATTCTTTAATTCATCTACGGTTCTTGAAGGCCTTTTCATTCGTAATTTCTTTTTTAAAATACAATAATTTATGTTTTTATGTTCGTTGATTATACCTTGAAATGTTCTGGACGAAATTCCATAGCAAAGCTGTGTGCGTTTTCACAATAAATATTTACTTAGAATTTGTATTTAGCGAACCTTTTATGGTCAAAGGTCAATAATCAAATTTTTTGTTGATGTCATTTAGGAAATTTGAAACATGTTATGTCGTCGTCATAAACTTATCAATCCATTTTCTAGGTTTTTAGTCAATTTAGAAAGAAATCTGAGTCCTTGCTCAATCTCAATTGTACACCTACGGATATAATGGGATTGGACGATATAATGGGGAAAACCCCTGGAAACATAACAAGAAATTCAACCAAAGATGGATTAAATTTCCCTATGGATAATGCAGCTGTGCTTGCTGCTGCTGTCGTTGAAATCTTGATAATTCTCGTTGGATTGTTTGGGAATTCATTAACGATTATTGCAGTTCTACGTAGTCGAGATCTTCAATATGCTACCAATTATCTCATCGTATCCCTATCAGTCGCTGACTTACTCGTTTGTACCATTCTAGTCCCTATGCGTGCCTCACAGCATATTGCATTCCAGTTCGATCGTACTATACCGGAGACCTTTGTTAAAGTTGCTGGCTTCATTGGTCGTGTGAATATCCTCGCTTCAATTTCCACGCTAGTCTGTCTTAGTATTGATCGTTATCTTGCATTGTCCAGACCATTGAAATATGCCACATCAATAAAGTACAACTTATCAAAGGTACTTATGGTCATAGTGACCATATGGATTTTGTCTGTAATCATTACAAGTATCCCAAAGTTTCCTGGCATCTCTGATTCTCCCTTCCTAATATTTTTCGTCGTGTTTGTACTCACTGCAACGCTACTAATAGTTATCATGTATTATAAAATATTTCAAATCATTGTGAAGTATACGCGAAAGATTGGCGAACCCAAACGGTATAGCGGAACCTTCCAACGATCTTCGAAAAGGAAAACACGCAAAGAAAGGGAAGATTCCGGTATAGTAATTAGTATAAACAGCTCTGCGGAGTCATCTAATGTCAACTGTAACAACGAAAGAACTGCTGAAGTCCTAGAGGACAAAGAAGACACAATTGTTTCATCTTCAAGCAGTAACGATGTCACAAAAGTAGCATCAAACGAAGAAGCTAGAACAGGTATTGTGCCGTTTTCACGAGAAGAACGTAAAGCAGCCCAGACTGTCGGGTTCGTTATAGCTGCTTTCATTCTGTTCGTTTATCCAAGAATTATATTAATCCTGTATCATTTTGCTGAAGAAGAAACAAATAACAGCATCATTGCTCGATTTTGGATGCGTGTTCTTCTCTATGCTAATTCTGCTGTAAATCCGACGTTTTACGCCTATAGACATAAGGGTTTTCGAAAAGAGTTTCGAAAAATGAGCCTGAAGTGTTTGGGATTGGGACGATTAATTCGCAATCGTTATCCCACATATCGTGAAACATGATGAAGCACGACTTATAATGCTTCCGAAAAATTTTTATATTAAGAAGCTCTAAAAAGCCATTTCCTGGACTTTGGAGGATAAAATCATACAAACTGTATTATTTTCAATGTTTTATCAATCAAAATTAAAATTTCAACTCATCATATTTATCTCTGAACCCCCCTCAAATATCAACAGTCTCCTGTCCCCTCCATCCCCCGGCAAGTTGCCCTACTGTAATGGATTGTAATGTATTGGATTTCACAATGCACTTTAAGAAACCTTGTTTATTCTTTTTGTTCTGATAATACTTTCTGAAATATTAACTCTGGTATGTCTTGAAAGTGTAAACTAGTCTGTTTGTTCGTCCTTTCCAACTTTTTTAAAACTTGCGTTATTATTACATATCGTACAAATATTCTAATTGGTAATAAACCGATAGCCAAACATGAGTTTTGGTCGTGCTTTGAAAATTTCATAAGGTAACTTTTATTCATTAATGTCTCTTGAAATACTATTGTTTTTGCAGTTGATAGTTTTTATGAGATAACACGAGAAAATTTGCATAACAAGAGTAAATAAGTAGGCTGGTTTCTCCAGCTACTGGTACCTGTTCTTCACTCTGAAAACGAGTCCATACTCTTATTCCACCACGATTAGGGGTAAAGTGTTATTTAGCGATCCACAAACCTCCCCTTCAAAAAATTGATAGGATTGTAAAAATGAGGGTGAAACCAGGTGAAGGAGTGGTATGTGATGGTATTTTTGGTAACATGCATTATCTCGAACTAATTTTGAACTGTTTTTTTTATGTTGCTTAAATATTTTTGAACTTGAACGTACGTAAAAAATAAACCGTACTCAAATAGACTAATCTGTAATTGTTTAAAATTGTATTGGTCTCACATTGTTAAATACTTATTTTTCATCTTATCGTAACTCTTTCAAATTTGCACAGAATTTATTAACACTGGAACAACTTGAAGGTAGGGCTAGTACGGTCATTTTGCCTGTAATGTTCATTCGTTTAGTTTCCAAGCAATTGTATCTATTTTTCATCTGCAGAATATCACGATGCATTTGATCTTTATGATCGAGATGGTGATGGAAAAGTGACAAGTCATGAGCTCGGTCCTCTGATGCGTTGTTTAGGTGCTAATCCAAAGGAAGACCACTTGCAAGAATTGATGAACGAAGTAGATTATGATGGTAATTACAATACTAAAATTGTTCAACTTAACTTAATGCAATCAATCAACTCTCAAACAGATTTTTGGCTGTCACTCATACAACATGAAAAAAACATCTAGAATCAAACATTCGTGTTCTGTACTCCAGGACAGTAAATCTCGTTACTAGTGATTAGTTGAGACTAGAATGTTTACATATGTGAATTGTGAATCTTACTTGTGCCTACATCAGGAAGGATTTTTTAACTTAAACTCGTAACATTTTGAAAGTATACGTCTTAAAATTGTTTGAACCTGGTCATATGAGAAAATATACTAAAGACTACTGTTTTTGTTTGTTGTTTTTTTTTTTGTATAAGGCGATGGTTTCCTCAACTTCACCGAGTTTATTGATTTAATGATCAATGATAAACCAGAAATTGACGATGACATCGAAATGATCGAAGCTTTTCGTTGCTTTGATACAGAGAACACAGGTTAGTACATTGCAAAAACGACAATTTGCGCTAGTTTTTTTTTTTTTTTTGATATCAAATTGTTTTATTTTTTCTCTCAACTTAACTCAACCTTTTTATTTGCAAGGTTTTATCTACTCTGCTGATATACGTGAAGCTTTATACCATATGGACGAAGGTCTTTCCCATGTAGACGGTATTATAGATGCCGCAAATCTTCAAGAAGACAGGCAGATTACGTTTGACGGTAATAGTTTGAAATACAATCAAAATAAGTCATGAAAATGTGAAATGGCCCTGGGGGCTAGGGTAGTTTGTAAGAACTGAGAGAGTTTGTCGAATGTACAGTGGATGTAGAGGTGGGATTAGGGTAAAATTTAGAGTAAAACTAGGATATTAGAATAAAAGCAATGGCGAGAAGCACCCGCTTATTTGGATCTGCTATGGCGATTATTGTGCGTTCACCTTAAGATGTGTGCAGTGCCCAGTAATATCTAATGGTACATGAAATATACAACCAATCATACAACAGTTTTAAATGAACAGTAATTAACTTTTTTCTAGAGTTTATTGCACTCACAGTTATACAAAAGTAGCTCAGGAAGAATTGAGAAAAAAGCGGCTAATGAAGATCAAAATAAACGTAAAGTTCTAACTATAATAAATAACCATCTACAGTCATTAAAATCATTAATTCTTTAATAAACAATTTTTAGTAAAGATGCATCAATGTTACAATAAATATGATACCTAAATTGCAATTACAGTTCATTTCAATGTGAAATGACGCTATGAAAATTTTCATACGTAGAAGGAAAACCTAAAAATTATATTTCTTTTCATTCAACTTGAGAAAGCAAAAATTAAATTAAAATATAAATAGTGGCTATTTGACATTTTGATATGCTTTAAACTTTCCTTCTTTACATTGAATAATTTTGCAATAAGCAACCTTGCACTTTAAGTTGTAAATATTCTAAGAACAAGTATTTGCTAAAAGTAGCTGGAACCTGTATTTTTCACTAAGTCTTGCAGTTAATACATAAGTCTTCATTTTTCTAACATTGTGTTTTTAAACATGAAAGTTGCAAATATGTCTCCATAATTGTTGTTGCATGGTAATATGAAGTTTACACCAGCTACCATTTTACACCGGGAATTATTAAATATCCACGACCATTTTTTTATGTATATCCAAATTGCTAACCATCTAAAAATAATACCAAAGATCACCTTAATCAGCTCTTCTCTTTAAAACAATGTACTTGAAATCACATAATATTATAATATACAAAATATTGCCTTTTATTTTAATGTTGCAACTTAAAATTACCAGCTAAATTTCTGTTACTTAAATTGTAAAGTTAAAAAATGGCAATATTTTGACTAAATAAACAAATTTTTGCTTTACTTTTGTATTAAGCACTATTTTTCCTTCACAATTGAAGATTCAATAAAAAAATGCAGGATATGTTATATGTACACATATTTAGCATCTCTGATCTAACCTGTGAAAATTCAGTAAATGAAATTTTTCCATCTTGGTCTTTATCAGCATACAAGATAGTTTTATCTACAATTTGCTGTAGTTGCACATCCTTTAAATTGTTGCCAACCATCATTTTTAACACTTGAAATAGCTCAGAGTTTGTGATGAACCCATCACGGTCAATGTCATAAATTTGAAATGCAACTAAGGGTATGAACAAAGGAGAAAACTTAAACTATGAAATAGTGTTTATCTTTGTGATTAAAACTTCAATATTAAGGAGTAAAATAGCTTACATTTAAGTTTTGATTCCTTGTTACCTTTTACACTAAATTGAGATACGCCTTCAATAAACTCTACAAATTAATTTTTATAAAAACATAACTTATATCAATCAACGTTGACAAAAACTTGTTGTTCACCATCTACAAACCTTTAAAATCAACTTCTCCATTACCATCTGTGTCAAAGATCTCTATTACTCTTTGGACTAATGGATTTTGTTGTAATTCTGGTAAAGACATAAACTCTTCCACGGATAGTGAGCCAGAATGATCTAAATCTAATTTTTTGAATCTTTTTCCAAGCCGTCGTATTTCATCTGGTTCAACTAGAATATGAAACATTCACTACAGCTTGCTTGGAAATAATTATTACATTAATCCTACAAGATACTCACAATGGGAAACCATGTCAGAGGGTAAAGTCATTTCATTTCCCTGTAGAAAAACAAAGCAAAATATTCTCAAATGAAATGTAGATATTGGTTTTGTGCAGTTAGTTGAAGGGAAAACGCAAAAATCGTCACAAGAACAACAAACCATCTTCTTGTATAAGTACAAAATACTAGCAGATATCAGGCTTTGTCAGATCATATAAACACTTCCTTATTTAACATCTGAATGCGCGTTTATACAATGCACACTTTTAATAAGCGTTTAGCGCAGTAATAACTGAAACATGAATTCAAACGGATGTATAAATCATCTGTTTGAAGTATTTGTTAAGCAAATCCATTTGGCATCACAAAGCTGATTTCGAGATTATATTGCCGAAGTTAGGCCTTTAATAATCGTTTTGAGCATCGTTAAAACGAAAGGTGTCGAAAATCTTTTATGAAGAATACACAAACTTACCATCTCTTTTTATGTCTTTAAGCTGCCCCTAAAGATATTAAAAGAATGAAAAATAACAAGAGTATCAGAAATTCTGACAATATAAACTGAATATATGTGCAAATTCAAGGTGAAGCGCTGTCATTCGTGGAAGCCGCCCGCCTCTAGTGCCAATCTCCAAGACCGACTATCGCGGTTTCAAAAAAGTTTCGCGTATTTTTTAGGATGTTTAATTCTTTTATCCTGATTTTTAAAATCGTATTTGACTCTAAAAGCTTAAAATTTAGGTTGTGAGAAATCAAATCTAATTGATGAAATAAAGTGTTTTTTATTTTTGTGTTTTTTGTCAATATAATTGCATTTTAACATTTTTGAGTGTAGACTATTGAAACTGTTCCTAAAATAACTTCTAAATATTGAATGAAGGAAGCCAAGACGAGCCAAAAAGTCAGAAGTAAACGATACACATGTATTGGGATGATGATGAAATCACTGGATAAAATAGCCTGCGCGAGAATCAGGAGACTGGAATCTACCTAATTATTTGGACATGTGTAAATCACTGGCGTCACTGTACTAAATGCTCCCGAAGACAGAAGAGGGAAATTATTAAGATGAAAGACCTTCATTTTATAGTAAGGTATGTTTCCATTTTACTTCAAATGCTTGCTCCCGTGAATTTATCGTATGAAGTGCAGTATAGTATAAATAAATGAGTGCAGTTAATGGAAAAATTTCTGACCATATTGTGAAGTTGTGTTCAGATTTTTGACATCACTTGACTTACAATTAATCAATTAAATCAATCCAGTCTGATTTTTTTGTTCCAACTTACGCTGATTTTTACATTTTCAAGACTTAGATCGTTAGTGATCATTTCTTCATTATTATTCTGGTCCACACTGGCAATTGACATGTCTAAGTTTAAAAAGTGTGAAGATAGCAGTTTTTGCAGGTATGGTATTATTACTAAATGTTTGTACTTATTTATGGTGTTGGTCAAATAATTGTCTATTCCATTCAAATTTTCATCCTATCTTTGTTACTTCCAATTTTTCTAGACGAAATCGTGCAATACCACTTGGCCAAAGTCCATATGGAGTTGTTCCCGGTTCAATAAAATTTACTGATTCAAATATAGATTTACAAATTATTAATAACAATACAAATATAGTATTAACTCTTCAGGTCATAATACTACAGCATAATACTGTTAGATTTAAAATTAATGAAATTAACCCTATCCATCAACGATATGAAGTACAAGATGTGTTAGTTGATGATCCTGTTAGATCAAGGTAAGTTAGATGTAGTGTTGGGAAGCCCACCAGCCCTTTAACTCTTAGTAATAATATAAAATTAGCATTGAAATGCTTGTTGCCAGTTAGTTATAAGTTTGCAAGAGTACACAATGTCAAAATGGTCATGCGTAGCTGTGTGAGACTGTGCATTACTTCTATTTTACATTATATGTCTCAGAACAAGACTTGAAGTTTCATTAATAGATCAATCATGCCAATTTGCAGAATAAAAACTTAGGTATATTTGTGTTTTTCTGCAGTTATGAAAAAGTTAGTGAGAGCGAAGATCAGCTGCACCTCAAGTTCCAAAGCAATGGCTTGATCATAACCATGAAACCGCTGCGTTTGGACTTTCTTGTCAATAATAAAATTGCAGTTTCTGTGAATTCTAAAGGATTAATGAACTTTGAACATTACCTGGCAAAAAAAGAGTAAGTGTGGTTCCATCAGGTTGACTCAAGTAGATTGGATACTTTATGGTTTTGATGTTAGATGATGGTAGATGGACTAGTTAGATGGCTAACACATTCTGTTTCTTTATCCAGATCACCTTCGCTCTTAGGTTCCCTGTATAGTTACTTGTAAGTGTTAAACTTACCCATTTCCATTAGTTGTGTATTTTATTGATATGGTAGACAGATTATTCTTGAAGTAACAACTAGGTTAGATATTTTATCGTAATTATATTTATAGTTTAGAAAGATTATACTAAATTTATCAATCATTTATCACATGTTGCAATAGATTGTGGCTATGAATAACAGCCTCTTGATGCTTTTGGTGTTAATTTTGTGATTATGAAATATCAAAATGCACTCTGTAATTGCTAAAACACATTTGATATATTGCTGAAACACTATATTTTGCATTTATTTTTAAGTGTCTTTGTTAATATGATCAATATGTATATTAATATAAAATAGACAAAGTTTCTGCTGTAGCCATATACATATATGTATATCTGATTTTTTGTAGCAGCTCAGAGAAGAAAGCTGAAGTTGCAGAATCACCTGTTGCCGAAGAGAAGACAAATGAAGAAAATACAAATGATGAAGAGTCAAATGCTGAGGTACTGATGAAGTAAACCATAAGTGTAAAATGTATTTTTATTTCTTCAAACTTTGTAGCTATTGATTTTTTTCTTTCTCTCAGGGTGACCCTGATGAAGAAGAAGTAAAAGATGAGGAGGTGAAACCTTCGGTGGATGAAAAGGTTGAACAAGATGCAGAACAATCATGGGAAGAAACATTTAATGAACATAAAGATTCCAGACCAAAAGGCCCTGCATCTGTTGGTCTTGACATTTCATTTCTTGGTTTTGATAATGTTTTTGGCATTCCAGAACATGCAGATTCACTTGCTCTGAAATCAACAATGTAAGTAAACAAACAGTGTTTTATTTAATTTGAGCCTTTGTGGATTAAAGACAAGAAAATGCTACCATATTCGTATGCCTAACTTTCTTAAATATATTTTTAAGGGGTAAAGAGCCTTACCGTCTTTTTAATCTTGATGTCTTTGAGTATGATTTAAACAATGGCATGGCGTTGTATGGATCTATTCCGTACATGTTAGCACACAGGTACAAGACATTGAAGTAAATATATATATATTATCTATTGTTAGATTTATAAGAATATTTGCAAATGCTGCTTTCTGGTCACAACTTTTCTTCCTTGTCTTTTTGTTCATGTTACATTTAAAATCATGTGTGGCTTATGAAATTGATTTAATTGATCGACCATTTCATATGTGGAGGAAAAATATATTGTAACTGCGAAACCTCTTTTCCATAGCCCAAATAAAACAGTTGGCGTATTTTGGTTGAATGCTGCTGAAACATGGATCGACATCAGTACTGAAAATGCCAAGAAAGTGAGTTGACTTCTAGTTTCAGAAAATTTGCAAACAAAAGTATGATTGCTGAAACTAGCTTTTCAAAATTATTCCCTTAAGAATATGTTGGATTCGTTGATGTCGTACTTTACCGCTGAAGAGGACTCTCAACAAATTGACACACATTGGATGTCGGAAAGTGGCATAATTGATGTGTTTGTAATGTTAGGACCCAGACCCCAAGACGTCTTTCAACAATATGCTGCTCTTACTGGGCCTGCCACCTTGCCACCGGTAAGAATCAACTGTGAATCTGTGATCATAGCTTTTAAACTACGTAGCATTAGTCAAACCGTGTCCTACTTAAACGAACACCTCTCTTAAGCGGACATTTAATGTAGACAGACGTTGTTTTTGACTCACAGAATGCTCCAACTTTCCATAACCTCTCCTAAGCGGACATTTAATGTAGACAGACGTTGTTTTTGACTCCTAGAATGCTCTAACTTTCCATAACCTCTCATAAGCGGACACAGGACCAGGTTGCTTACGGGAGGTTCGACTTTATTAACATATAAGATTAATAGACCTAAAATTAATCATGTATCTAAGTTAATTACTTATTTTTTCACTTTAGTTATTTTCTCTTGCTTATCATCAATGTCGATGGAATTACAACGATCAAGAGGATGTTTTGAAGTAGGATTTTGCGTAAATGTTGTGAAACATGTAAAGTTCAAAATTAAATTGCTCTATTTTTGTTGAATTTTAGTGTTGATGCAAATTTTGATAAACATGATATACCTTGTGACGTTATATGGCTAGATATTGAGCATACAGATGGGAAACGGTTTGTGAAGATTTGTCACTCACTATTGCCCATGTTATTTTTACATTACATACATATTATTTGTGGAAATTCATGGTCGAGCTTTAACGTGCATCTTGATTATATTTGCCGAATTTCAATCATTTCAAAGGTATATGACCTGGGACACCCATAAATTTCCAAATCCTGAAGAGATGCAGCAAGCATTAGCAGTTAAAGGAAGACGTGTATGTTTTATATAAAGTCAATGAAAAACTTATATAAAATCAGCTGAAAAATTATACATCGTTTCGTGGTTTTATGGAAACTAGTGTTGTGTGTTAAGGTTCCATAAATTGTGGAATAACAACCTCAGAAACGTTGTGTCTACTTTAAAAACATTTGAAGTTTTTAAAAAGTTTTAAGATGTATATAAATAAAGTTTTTATTGTGCTTTAGATGGTTACAATTGTCGACCCACACATCAAGAGAGATGATGAATATCATATACACAGAGTATTATAAGTTTTTTTTATAAATATTTCCCTTCGTGAATGTTTATAAACATTGTTATCAAAACAAAAAAATGTTCAATGAAATGCTTCTTTATTTGTAGGAAGCCAGTTCTAAAGGATACTACGTTAAAAACAAAGATGGTGGGGATTACGAAGGCTGGTGTTGGCCTGGTAACGATAGTTAATCCTTACGTTCATGTATATTTATTGTTGAGATAATGTATAAAACTTATTTAGACTTAAATTCTCGTCATTTATTGTTTTATTGAAACAGGTTCGTCGTCTTGGATCGATTTTTTCAATCCTGAGGTACGAGATTGGTGGGCCAGTAAGTTTGCTTTAGATCAATACAAGGGATCAACTCTTACACTCAGTGTTTGGAATGATATGAATGAGGTTTGTATATACCATGATACATCATTATCCCCATAGTTCATGTCAAGGTCACGTCTGTTTTGTAACAAAGTGTGAGCAAAGAATGTATCAATTATTCGCAACTTTCCACTGATTTAAAGTTGTGAATTTTATCTCTAATGATGATAATGGCAAAAATATTCACCATTTTTGTTTAAATTTGTTTATGTCAGATGTCCGTGTTCAATGGACCAGAAATCACTATTCACAAAGATGCAATGCATTATGGGGGATGGGAGAATCGTGACGTTCACAATCTCTATGGTTACTATAACCAAATGTCAACATATAACGGTTTGAAGCGAAGATCTGGCGACAAGGAACGACCCTTTGTTTTAACAAGAGCATTCTTTGCGGGAACCCAAAGATACGGTGATTGTGGGGACATTCTTTTAAGGAATTTGTTATTAAATGTCATGTTGGAAGTGCATTAAAAATTTGCATCGTACGATATTTTAAAAAGATAGATTGAACTATTAAATTTATTCTTCTTACATTCAAAGGAGCGATTTGGACGGGGGACAATATTGCTGAATGGTCTCATTTAAAAATGTCATTACCAATGATTTTGACTTTGGGCATCACTGGAATGCAGTTTAGTGGCGGTATTTGTGTTTTTTTAAAGAACATTATTTAATGTGTTCTTTTAGCTAAAGTTTTCTTCTTTTATAGCTGATGTTGGAGGATTTTTAATAATCCCGATCCTGAACTTTTAGTTCGATGGTATCAAGTATGTTTGACTCATTTCAACTTCCAGATCCTGCTTTATTTATTCTGTAAATTTGTCACAGAAAAAGTTGGCTGTTTCAACATTTGCTTATATTTACAAATATTTTTACATGACATATTTTGCGGAATAAATATTTGCAAAATAACTCATTATGACTTCAGTCAATTGGTCAATGAATAATTTAGTTTATAAATTAAAATGTAACCTCAGTCCTCCACGACAAATTTTAGGCTGGTGCGTATCTTCCCTTCTTTCGTGCTCATGCGCATTTGGATACAAAACGTCGTGAGCCGTGGTTGTTTGAGGACAAATACAAGAATCTTATGCGAGAAGCAATTCGTCGTCGTTACGCATTGTTGCCTTATTGGTATACACTGTTTCAAGATGCGTCAAAGACTGGCTCACCTGTTGTTAGGTAAGTTATCTATATTTACATAGTTCGTAGAAAAACTTTGAATGTCCTTGAATTTATGAAGATGTGCTTGAGTGTCTTCGAACTATTTTTTTTATCAAATTTTTGTAAAAAAAACATGTCAGCGAATACATTTATTTCATTTTTCTGAAGTGTAGATAAAATTGTGGTTTTTGTATCCTAACTTAAAAATAACCTACCAACGGGGCGGCTTTCACTTCCCATGAAAACACATCATTTGTTGTCGCTTTATTAGAAAATTCTTTGGTTAAAATGTTGATGATTTATTTAATGATTTCCCGTGTGAGTTGTGCTTTACATGTTATTCAAGGTCTTGGGCTTAAATTTTCCTAACAATTTCTTTGAAATTGCGGGTATGAATTTCGTTACATTCTTCATTTTACGAATACTGCTTGTACTATGAGCGAGAACCAATAAACAATTAGAATACTTGGCTCTTGAGTTTGGGTTAGAGTTAAGGCTTGGGCTCTACTAACTGTTTTCGTTGAACTGTGGATTTTTTGCGTGGTTTGCTGTTTATTGAGATATGCCAGTTGAATTTATCAAATTTTCATATTTAAACATTTGTGTTACCTAGACCACTTTGGGTAGAATATCCTGAAGATAAATCGACATTCACAATGGAAGATGAATATTTACTTGGTTCGTTTACTTTTGTGTCTTTATTATTGAATAAATTATTATGTGTCACTGTTGTTTCTGTTGTAGGTCGTGATTTACTTGTAAAACCAGTCACTACACAAGGACAGGTTACTCTTGATGTTTATCTTCCAAATAAAGATGAGGTATAAATTTACTATTGTCATAAATTTGTTTATCATAGCGTTCACACTTTCCCAATGTAAATACTCTTTCAAAATATTTTCCTTTACAGTTATGGTACGATCTTTCCAGTAAGAACTTCCACCTTGGTGGACAGAGTATTCATGTAGCCACTCCACTTAACATGGTTTGAATTTCATTTTTCACTTGTTTCCCGATGTAAAACTCCGCTGAACAACTTTATGTTCACTTATATTTTCCAGATTCCAGTATTTCAAAGAGGTGGAAGCATTGTTCCGAGAAAAGAAAGAGTTCGACGTTGCTCTTCTGTTATGATTAATGATCCTTACATTGGTCATTGCTCTCAACAAATCGGTAGAATCTCAGACATTAAATTTTTTGATGAAAAATCACATCTTGGTGCTGTTTAAATTTTATGTCATTGATGTTTATGGAAGCAATGAGAAATAATTTAAGTTTAGCATGATGGCATGTAATCCTTTGTTCGATTTGTGAAAGTGATTTTTTTTGTTTGGAATGAGTTTTCCACCAGTTCACTTAGTTCAATTGTCTTGTTTTCCCGTATGGAACGCTATTTGTATCCGTACTCCATATGGCTCAACGCTCGTTAAGTCTTTGTCATCGTTCATTCAGGGTGAAGCTAGTGGAAAGTTGTACATAGACGATGGTATTAGTTTTGATTATGAGAAAGGAAAGTATGAGCTTCGAGAGATTATGTTCAAACAAGGAAGACTAATATCAAGGTACGTAGATTTCATTTTCACGTGTAGTTTTTTGTCACATTCTTGATTATGTGATCAGCTGTCTCATTCATGATTATGTGATCAGCTTTTCTTTTCCTTTTGTTCTCCTTCAGATCTCTTGATACTTCAGCGCATTATGAAACCAAATCATGGCTCGAGCGTATTGTCATTATGGGCATGAGTCAAAATCCTTCGCAGATAATCCTAACTGACAAAGGTAATAGAATCACATCTATTTTCCAACTATTTCCAATTCAAAACGTCAAGATTATGACTATATATCTTAAATTATGATGTAGTTTTATGTCAGTTGCGTATATCATTTTATTTAGATGGTAAGACCACGAAATTAGATTATAGCCTAAATGCAAGCGCTTATAAATTGACCATCAAAAAACCCGCTGTGAACATGTCAGAGGATTGGAGCATAGTTCTATATGCCTAGTGTGGTTTGTATCTAGTTCATATGCCCTGTTGTAACTAATCAAACCATATTTTATATGGTTTTTGGGACATTTTTAATAAAATAAACAAATACAGCGGTTAATCGAGGCATTAAAATGCTGAAGTTACTGAGATTTGAATTTTGAATTTTTTCCCAGTTTTTTCAACATCTTACTTCACATGCATTAGATTCAACAAAATTTTTGAACTCTTCATCATAAAGTTCTGTGTCAGTTTACAATTAAGTTTCAAACGCACATATGAACACAGCTTCTGTACTAACAAGTAGAGATTGTTTAGTTATGCTTTGGAATGAATTTTTGAAACTGAATGATTGAGAGACGTGTCTTAAATGTACATACCTATCCAGTTTGGTTTACTTCATGATCAACATGTTCAATGTGTGTAGTAAACCCTGAGAAAATTTATTAATGAACCATGCCTTGCGATACTTATGAACACTTTTTAGAAGAGTTACTTTAGTAAAGACGATTGAAATTTACCATATAATACGATGCCTGAATTCTTACTTTAAACATAGTTATAAGGTTCAACATTAGCCTGCTATAAACGTTTTAGAGTAAGATCTGCGATTATTTTTAGTGTTGGATCATGATCCAAGTTGGTTACGCTCTTTTCTCCTTGAATGCAGCTCCCCGTGTACTACTGTTCATTAAATTCTTCAATGCCCCCCAGCGTACTCCAGTTCTAGAGAGATCCTTTTTTGCATTCGTGACCTGGATACTATAATTTTTATTTATTGACAGTGCCAAACTAAGCCCGTCTTTTAGCCATTTTATATAAATAGTTCTGTGTTCGCTCACTGCAATTTAGTTTGCCGAGAAATCATTAATATCATTAATGAGTTGTTCAAAAATACATAAACATTGATGTATATTTGTGGCAATTGAATTTTATAGTTCAAAATGCTTACTCACAGTAACGTGAAAGATAAAATCAAAATTTGTTAACGTTTTGAGTGAATGCTTTTTCGTCAGAGGATTAAATTAGAAAAGGTTTTCCATTGTTTTTCTCTCGAACATACTGTGACAGCTCCTCCCCATAAACGCCATGGAATGGAATTTTTTAGCATAATTTAACGTATTTGAAAAATTTCACTGAACGTCTCGTTTATCGAAAGGCGCTTGGGTTGCTTACGATCGTTGTACGAAGTTAAACCGTGGTTTTACCTTTAAGTTAGAAGTAAGTGCATCTTTTTAACTTCATGTGAAGACTGTTTCGGTTTTTGTATTTTATAAATTTATTTATGGAAATTTTTGTATTTAATATAAATATCTTGAATCATTTGATGCATAGCATGTTTGGAAATTTGTTCCGTAATTGCCTTGCGTAAACCGAGTTTTTTTGCAGGAAAATGCCCCACTCCTACGAACAAATCAAGCTCTCTTGCTTGAGGTCTGGAAGGTTGTACGAAGATCCAGATTTCGAAGCCATTGATGATAATGTTTTTACAAGTCGTCGCCCTCCACGACCTTTTGTATGGCGTCGTCCAACTGTGAGTTCAGCTTGAATTTTAAGTGATATATTGTATTTCTGAATGCTTATCTTGTCATTTATTTACCAACTGATCCAGTACTTGTCCCAGCCAATGTTGTACACTTGCATTTTGTCAGATGCCCACACAATGTTTCAAATCGTCGTTTCTATGCAAGGATAAAGCCGATTATATCATGAAACGCGGTTTTAGTTAAATGCGTCGGACTTTTCTCTTCATGCAATCTGTTGGGCGTTTTTAAGCCAGATAATGCACTTTTTTGGTACATGTAAGAAAATGCATTGTCTAGAATACTCGAGAAGCATTAATCATGTGCCAACGGCTGTGTATTACTGGTGATGTTGTACTTATAAGCATAACGTGCTCCAAATATAATTTGTGTTGAATAGTTTGGTGATCATAAATAAGTCACCAGATCTTAGGCAACCGATCCATACTTTTATTTCCAACGTTTCCTTGATGCACATTCCTCATAAATGAGGATTTATCAGCAAAGTATAGAAAATATGAAAATAGAGTGTGTTCACTAGGTGTAAATAAGTCCTTACGTTGAAAAATTCTAGAAGGGTGTTGGCGATAAAAATATTTGTTCAATCGCCTTCGCAAGCTTAATTGATCGGAACGGTTTTGTTTTGCGTTGTAAAAGAATTGACATTGATTTTTTTTTTAAGTTTCATTACACGAAAAACATTCATTTTTGTCCTCATTCGATGTTTTGCAAATTCCTTTACTCGAACATTTAAATTTATGTAAAACATTTTTTCGTTATCGTGCAATTAATATTTAATTTGCAAATGCCAGCTATGTACATAATTAATGATTTGGTATCAATTCACAAGAATTCCAGCAAACAAGGGTTGATACTTGATCACCTATGCCACTGATCTCCAGGCCACACTCCAGACATTGCAGAGCTGGGGGGAGCTTGGCAGGGGGGGGGCATAAAAGAAAATGGATGGTGGGAAAGTTCAAAAATACACCAAAAAAAGCTTTATTTCCACAGAAAAGATAAAATTTATTTTTATTATAGTAAATATAGTAATTTGTTTTATTTACTACCAATTCCCATGGTGAATGGAAGATTGGTGATTGGGGAGTATTATATTTACATAATGATTCATATATAAGTATGTTGATATTTTATAATCTGTAATCACAATTAAGAAATCTGCATACAGTAGTGTATAAGAAAAACCAACATAGGTACCTATAATATTTTATCATAAATGCAAAACCCTTGATGAAAATGTAATAAAATGAGCAAGATATTATTTGAACCTTACTTGAACCTGGCATTATTTGAATCTTTGGAAATGATTAGGAAATGGTGCAGAATCCCGTTCTTGTTGACCAAGGTGCAAGTCGTATGGATGTTGCTCAAGGGCGTCTTGGTGATTGTTGGTTCTTGGCAGGCATTGCTTCACTTACTCAGCATCCTAATTTGTTCCAAAGAGTATGCCCAACTGATGATCAAAGCTTTGATTCAAAAGACTACTGTGGTGCATTTCATTTTATGTTTTGGCAAGGTGGCGATTGGATTGATGTCATCATTGATGATCGACTTCCTACCATCAATAATCAACTTGTTTTTGTACATTCCAAGTCACGAAATGAGTTCTGGAGTGCACTGATGGAGAAAGCATATGCTAAGTAGGTGGCTGATGCAAGTTTTAAATATTGCTTTATTTATGTAGTGAAAATACACTAGTTGCACAAAATTTCTCATTTTGTCTTTTGAGTAAAAGTAATATCAGTGTATTCTATTCATGCAAACAGTTTTGAAAATAATTTAATGATTTTTTTAGATTGTGTGGCTCATATGAAGCATTGAAAGGAGGTCAAACGAGTGAGGCGATGGAAGATTTTACTGGTGGAATGACAGAGTCATTTGATTTGGGATCTAAAGCTCCAAAAGATCTTTTCAGCATCATGTCAAAAGCTCATGTCAGACAATCGCTAATGGGATGTAGCATCAATGTTAGTTTTAAATGTCAATGTAAAAACTATTTTAAATGTGCTCTTAACACTTAAGCTTTGTTATTTGTCTTATGTAAGAATAATTTAGGCAACAAGAAAATGGACTGCCTTAAATTAAGCTTTTAATTATTGTGGGCTTACATGGGATTTATGGATTAAACCAAATGCACAGATTACTTTTTGTAGATTAATGTAATGTTATACTATTACAAATAAATCTCTCTGTGTTTTGAATATTTATCAGGCAAAATCCAACCAAATTGAAGCCAAATTGGATAATGGCTTGGTGATGGGCCATGCCTATACAGTGACTGGAATACATAAGGTAAATGTCAAAATTTGTTGAGTTTCTTTGGAGTCTGGTTCATATTGTGACAGTTCCTTTCATGTCAAAGGTGCAAGCTCGAACTAGATCGGGAAAAGTGGAAGTGGAACTTGTTAGTTAGAAACCCTTGGGGAAATGGCGAGAATGGACTGGTGCTTGGGGTGACAAATCTCCTGAGTGGACTCTTCTCTCTGAGAAAGAAAAGAAAGACATGGAGTTGACATTTGATGACGATGGAGAATTCTGGTATCATGTTTTACTTTAACCATCACAAGTGGTCACAATTACTTCCTAACAACAATATTTTCTTGTATGGACTTCAAAATCTTATCTTTCTGCTTTACATAGGATGAGTTTCCATGACTTTGTGAACAATTTTCAACGGTTGGAAATTTGCATGTTGAGTCCTGATGTAAGTGTTGAGAACTCAAAGATAACTTGGTCAGCGGACAAGCATAAAGACAAATGGCGTTATGGAAGTACTGCTGGAGGTTGCCGTAACAACCCCAACACCTTTCACCGAAATCCACAGTTCAGGTGACATTTTTAAACATCGTTTCCTACTTGTTCACCATTTTCCTTTACATGTAATGATGGTGTCACTGCTGTAGTGAAAAAAGGCAATTGAGGCACTTACACGATTACATACTTTGTTTGATAGAGTTACTTTGGAAGATCCGGACGACGACGATGATGACGATTCTTGCACATTGATTGTCAGTCTTATGCAAGTTGGACGTCGTAAACTACGAAGAAAACTTGGCGCCAATTCTAATCTTACCATTGGCTTTGCTATTTACAAGGTATTAGATGAAAGAACTGCAATATACCTAAAGTCTTTTCAATTAAAGTTCATCGCTATTGACGATGTCACATATGGCTTAATAATGAACCCTTAATTCTTTATCCTGCCTCTTAAATGAAATTTGAATTGTAGCTGGAAGAAGAAGACACAAAAATGGCTCGTCTTGATAAAGATTACTTTTTGTATCATGCATCCACTGCACGATCTAATACGTTCATCAATGCCCGTGAGATCACAAATCGTTTTAAACTCAAACCTGGTGTCTACTGTATTGTTCCATCCACGTTTGATGCTAATGAAGAAGGAGATTTTCTCGTGAGATTGTTCTCTGAAAAGGAAAAAAAAACAGGGTTTGTTGACATCTTTATTTTTAGGGGGTGGGGGTGTTCTTGAATGTGGCCATATATATTGGTATATTGAGGGGTTTCGCTAACTATAGGGTATTTTTTATCTGCAGAGGGCTGTTTTCCTGGGGTGATTGCTATTTATAGGATGGAAAATAAAATCATCTTTTCATATTTTAGTATCCAAGACGAGAAAACTCGTATTACTCGCAATGTTAAACCCAGGATTAGTGCAAGTGAAGATTCTCAAATGGACAGTAAATATCGTTCGTTCTTCGAGAAAGTTTCTGGATCGGTAAAGTGTATTTTTTATATGAAATATTCAGTTGGGTTATCTGGTACCCTTGATCATTTTGTACGTTGAAAAATAACAATCAGCCGTCTTTTGTTTTATGCTTAAGATGTTATTTGTTGTTTAAATATCTAGGATGAAAAAATTGATGCTTTTGAACTGAAGAAAGTGTTGGAAGCTGCATTTAGCAAAGGTGAAAGAGTGTTTAAACACATTTTTTGAATGTTAGCTTCATCTCTAGCGTTTTGTTTTGATAAAAACTCAGTATTGTATAGATTTAGAACAGTTAAGTATTGTATAGATTTACAAGAGTTTAGGGTTGTATAGATTTACAAGAGTTTAGGGTTGTATAGATTTACAACAGTTTAGGGTTGTATAGATTTACAAGAGTTTAGGGTTGTATAGATTTACAAGGGTTTAGGGTTGTATAGATTTACAAAAGTTTAGGGTTGTATAGATTTACAAAAGTTTAGGGTTGTATAGATTTACAAAAGTTTAGGGTTGTATAGATTTACAAGAGTTTAGGGTTGTATAGATTTACAAGAGTTTAGGGTTGTATAGATTTACAAGAGTTTAGGGTTGTATAGATTTACAAGAGTTTAGGGTTGTATAGATTTACAAGAGTTTAGGGTTGTATAGATTTACAAAAGTTTAGGGTTGTATAGATCCATCGCTATTTAAGACTGTTAAGAAGGTGTTCAACATTTTCTGTTTGCAGCGTAATCAACTGTTTGAAGTGCCGTTTGATTTTTTTCAACATAAAATGGACAATAGCCACTAATCCTGGTTTTTTGTTTTTTTCTATTGCAGATATTGGCGACCAAGATTTCAACATCGAAACATGCAGGAGCCTCATTAGCATCTACGATGTATCTTTTTTTGTGTATAGTTGTGTGAGAATGAAAAGTGTAACGGGTAGGGACGTCGCGAACACCTTGATTTTTGGGGGGGTGTCATAAATATTTACCTGAAGATTTTTTAAATTTACCTGAAATTTTCGGCGTTCCACGCATGCATTTGGCCGAATTTGGGAAACACTGACTTCAAAATTCAAAAATATACCCACTTTTGCATATTACATGCCAGTAATTTAAGACTGGCAACCAAAGCAGCTGTTTCCAGTTGGAATTATCTAAATTGATTGTTTTAGCAATAATTTATATCAGTATCGTACTAGTTTACCACATGATTTTTACCTGATTTTTGTTTTAATTTTTGATTGGGGTGTTCACACACACACACGGTAGCGACGTCCCTGGTATCGGGGGTTATTGGGAGGTTTAATGTGCACCCATGGTGTGACATAACATGAGTAAGAAAGGATGGAGTGTGTATGCAAAATGACAAGAAAAATAAAGATAATTTAGTGATATCCTCTGTACTATGACTTTGATACAGTTTCTTTAACCTTGTATGACAGGATAATGGTACTGGAAAATTGGAATATGATGAGTTTAAACAAATGTTGCTGACAGTGAAGTCGTGCCATGTACGTTTATTGTTTGACATCAGTGTTTGTTGGACGACATAATGTTTCCACTTTCTAAAATTTTATTTTATATTTAAAAACAACGTTTGTGAATTGTGAATTCTTTCTAGGCCGAGTTTAAGAAAAATGACAAAGATAGGAGTGGATCTCTAGATTTATACGAACTTGAAGATGTGTTGGGAGAGTTAGGTATTTATTGTTTGTAATTTTTTTCACAACACAGTCTCTCTGATGTTCTTAACGATGATTATTTTTCCAGGCATAAAAATGAGCAAACGTTGTTTAACTGCTGTCATCTGTCGTTACTCGAACAAGAAAGGAACAGTTGATTTTGACGACTTTCTTCAAATCTACACCAAAGTTGTTGGCCTAATTGGTAAGAAATAATAATCAAATACTTGGACTTCTTTTCTACTGAGAACCATGTCATTTCATAGACAAACCAATACGCATGTAATGTTCGCAGATCATTGCAGTATAATATAGTCCATCACCCCCCCTCCCCCCTCCCTTCCATGCATAAACCCGTGGAAAAGGCTTAAGATCTTACAAAAGCTGAGCACATGCATAGGCAGAAGGTTAATCTGTCATCTGAAATATATTTTTGTATTTTGTTATTGATTTCAAAATTGTATCGATTAGTAACTAATATTTGTCTTTTTAAAGATACTTTCCAGAAGTACGCGCCGAAAGGTGGAAGTAAAGCAGTTTTTGAATTGGATGAAGTATGTGATCAAGTGTACGAACGCTAAGATTTTTGCTGTTTTTCGCTAAATTTTTTTGTTCATATTTTCTTAGTTCATTGAAGGTTCTGTTGGTCTTTAAGAATGTACGAGGTAAAACGAATTGATTTGTTTTTAAGGAAGATTTGAGAGAAATGGTTATTTGTACAGCTCAGAACGATTCTCTCAGCATGTACACTACCATAATAGTGTTGTGATTTGCTGAACTTTGAATAACGTATAATATCGTTCCCATGAGCGGTCGTGTTATCTGCTTCAATTGGAAGTAAATGTCTTTTAACTTCACAGCAATCAATCAAAAATGTATGATCACGTTTGATAAATAAATTTCTACTTTTCATTTTTAGGGACCACGTTGAATACTTTGTCATCAACATAATTAGCTATAATGACAATTTTTCCGTTGGTATATGTAGGATGAATTATTGATTTTTATAGATGTGTCATTTTCTTAGTTATCACTCAATTTTATTTCTATAATTTGTCAATGTTTGTGGGCTTTTCACGTGGAATTTTTCTTTATTAATATGATTACATATATGCCGCAGATACTATTTCGTGTTTTGTATTTTTTTATATGATCACCTGCGTGATTTCTTTTTGTCATCAATGTGTAAAAGTTACTTGCGACGATGAACAAAGTTTTTGTAATTTCGATCATAGACTTCATCAATCGCTTTTATCTGCACATTATTTAAATGAAGTTCGTGGGACGTTCACTACAAGCATATCATATGCCATAACGACATTGTCAAACTCGTTTTTCGCTTCATGAAGAAGTTTCATCACACTTTCTTCGCCTGGCTTCAAGGATTCATTGTTTGCTTTGTAGCGTTGGCTAAAATGAGTTAAGATCAGTTTTTTTGCACGGATTGACTTTGCAAATTTGGCTGCCATGGCTGTAAAAGATGTAAGATAGAATAGATAGTGAGGAAAAACTGCAAATCTTAAAGTAAAGAAATAAGATTTGTTTGTGTAAACCTGGAGTAGAGTGACCATTCTCAACACACTTTAACTGATGCGCATTCTCGTTGGTTGCTTCATGAACAAGAACATCTGCATTCATAGCAATGTCATTAAGTTGGCTTGAATTACAAGTGTCTCCCAAAACAACCACTTTTCGTCCAGGAATTGGTGACATGAGAACATCTCTTGGTTGCACAACTATGCCATTACTGGTAATGATACATTCCCCATTTTTTAACTTAGAATATAGTGGCCCAGGGGGTATACCCATAGATTTCAACAAGTTCACATTTAATTTCCCTGTTTGCTCTCCTTGAAATACATAACCAAAGCAAGTGATCCTGTGTTCTAAGAGGGCAGCTAAAACGGTCATGTTTCCATCATCCAGGACATTCCAGGTGTTATTTTTATTTGGAGGGATTGCCTTGATTTCAATTTGGTTATCTTCATTATGAAGTATTGTTTGTTCATGTTGATTTATCTCAGAGCAATCATCAATCTCTTCTATAATGATAAATGAATCAAGCTTTACTTTCCTTTTTAAGAGCAAACACATTCCACAAGATCATTTATTACCTTTTGATTCAACAAGTTCATGAATGACACAAGAAAAATTTAACTGTGAGCCTGATAGACTTAGTGTTGTCTTAATAAACTGTCCAAGACCTTTCGGACCATATATCATGATTGGGGACCTTCCTAAAGGACTATTTAAACTAATGGTGCATAACAAACCAGGCAAACCAAATACATGATCTCCATGCAAATGTGTAATAAATATCTTTTCAAGCTTTCCAGGTCGGATGTTACTTTTCATGACTTGTGTTTGTGTTCCTTCTCCACAATCAATCATCCAACATGATCCTGTTGGATGCCGAATAACAATACTTGAAGCCCCTCTTGTTGGAGAGGGGTTGGCAGCACCTGTACCAAGAAAGTGAATCTCCATATTATTGAGCTCAAGACTGAAACAGTTGTAAGATCCGTTTTTGAGTAGTGTGCGTGATGATTCATGATGAAGAAGAAAATGAAGAAATGAGTCTGCACAAGGAGAGTGCTTCCATATTTCAAATTTTGAAATACGCTAGAAAGTTATAGCAGTAAGTAAGTAATCCTTGATAACGGTCGAACAGCAATGTGAAAAGAGAATTGAATGAGAATTTTCTTTATTCAGAAAACATTTAATAAAATATGTAATTACATTAAAAAATACTATGCAACATTTTACAACTTCAATAGAGAAATGTCTATATAGAAGTGGTAACACCAACACGTTGTTGAGTTATCAAATATGGCGGACACACCAGAGACATTAGAATTGACCTTAACTGAAATAAAAAAGCTTAAAGTTGCCGAATTGAAATCGCGACTGTCTACTCTTGGACTTCCAACAACAGGTATATACTGAGGCTATTTTGTTTTTGATTGACGGCTTTGTTGTTCTCAATGATTCAATGTTATTTTATTAGGACTAAAGGCTGATCTTGTGGCAAGACTAGCATCCTTTTTAGAAGCTAAGGTATGCACAAAGCTCATTTTAATAAATTTCGTGCTGTTTTTTTGTAATATATGAAAGTTTAGACATGCTTTATTTTAAATTTTGAGGCTTTGGAGCAACAGCTGAGAAATGATGAAAACTCTGAAGATGGTTTGTGCATTTGCAAGCTTTTGTAATGTTATATTGACAACAAAATGATTCTTGACCACATTAATTGTATCTTTTAGAATCTAACATTGACGCAACTTCTGCAGAACAGCAAAATGTAATAGTTGTTGAAGAGCCAGTCGCCATCTGTAATACCGATGCGACTTTGGAATATTCAGACAATATAGTTACCATGGATACCAGAGCAGTTGAAGAAAGCCTTGTCAACAACCCAGAAATTGTGATGACAGCTTTTGATCAAGGCAAGCCAATAAATGAAAACTTGAAGCTGCTAATGAAGTTTCACAACAGACTATAGCACTGGAAGAGAAACCAAAAGTTGACAATATTCTCACAACAGAAGAAAATGTAGGAAAACTTGATGAAGTGAAACTCAAAGAAACCAATGATGAACCTTTGCCATTTAACCATGAATCTTTTCATCTATTGATAAATCTTTATCATCTAATGATGAACCTCTGCCATCTAATGATAAACCTTTGCCATCTAATGATGAACTTTTGGCAACTAACGATGAAACTTCATCAACAAACAATGAACCTTTACTATCTGAAGATGAAACAATGCCATCTAGCAATGAACCTTTGCCATCAAATGTTGAACCTTTAGAAGTTGAACCTTTACCTAAAAACGTTGAACCTATTCAATCAAACACTGAACATTTAAAAACAAAAAATGAACATTTACAATCAAACGATGAACCTTTACCCCCTAACAATGAACCTTTACTATCTAATGATAAATCTTTACCATCTAACAATGATGAGTCTCCACTTGGTGATAAAATTTCTGAAGGGGATGTCATGATGTCTTCTGCCACATTACCTTCCTCTGATTTGCCACCAAGAATGGAGATGCACAGCACAGAAAGCGCACCACATGCGGTTGACCCTCTTGCTGAGGCTAAGGCCAAAGCAAAAATTGTTGTGGAAATGAGAGAAAGAAAACTAAATGAAGAGGTTCAAGTTGGAAAAAGAGGTGATGATTCAGGGTATGACGTTGATCATTATGAACATGAAGGGATCCCGTCTTCTGAATCTCATCAGGTGTTTTATTGTAATTATAAAATGATATGTTGAAAATTTTTTAAGTTAAACTAACAACTATTTCCTTACATTTAGGAAAAGAAAAAGAAAAAAAAGAAGAGAAGAAAGAAAAGAATTGTTGATCAAACACAAGTAACATAGATTAATTTATGAGTTTTGAGTTCTTCAAACAAATATTTCAAATAGGTTTGCTTGTCATAGGTTCAAAATGATGCAGCACCTGAAGATGAGGGCATCGAAGTTGAGTATGTGACAGAAACTTTGGATGTTAGAGATCCAATTTATGCTCAGTTTGCTTCTATATTTGAAAGCTTTAAGGTGAATCTTCATTATCTTTTAATCAGTTTTACTAAACATGGTTTTAGTTTGAGTGAATTGACTGCCTTTCCCATAAGTTACCCTACATGTTGCTGGATTGATTAATGAAGACAAAAATTGTACACTTAATATGATTTTTATAGTTAAATGAGAAATCAGAATCTGGAAAAGATGAAGGAAAGAATAAGACTGAAGCAAAGAATGTAAGTTTAATTTTTGCTATTGCTGTGTACTGGAAATTTATTATTAATGACTGTTTATGGCTATTAATCATTGTCATGCTAGCACTACACTAGTTTTAAAAACAGTTATGTCTTCATCAGTTTTTTCTACAAAGCGTGAGAGTTATTCTTATGCATGAAAAGATTGTCCTCTTTTTTATGTTGAATATCTTCAGATTAAAAATTCTACTTAACAATAAAAATATAATGCTATATTTATAAAGCTACAAAATTCTTTACAGTTGAATTTTGTTTCTGTCTTGTGTTCTTTACTTTAAAACATCATTGACTTCAGGCTGAAACTATGCAAAAGGATGATGATGATGAAATGGATATGGACAGTGATGAAGAAGACCAGAAGAAAAAGGTAATGTGTAAGGCAAAATAGAAACATTAGGTACAATGATGGATTTGAAATGAGGATAATGATGGACAATGCATGTTTCTCAACGTGTTTAATCTTCAGGAAGAAGAATCAGGAGATAAAGTAGAGAAAATGTCAAAAAAGAAATTGAAACTGAAAAACAGAATGAGTGTTGCTGAATTAAAACAGGTTTGAATAACAATTTTTTGCCATAATTATTTTTATCTATGTCATTTCCATGGTATTATTTTAGACAATCCATCGCCCAGACGTTGTTGAAATGCATGACGTCACAGCACCTGATCCAAAGTTGCTTGTTTATCTTAAGGTATGTTTGATCTTTTTGTATTTGATTTTGAGTTAACAAAACCCTTTAAAAAAGATTCTGTTTTCATTTGTTCGCCAGGCATGTCGAAATACAGTTCCTGTCCCACGTCATTGGTGTTTCAAAAGAAAATTTCTACAGGTTTGATTGTTTACCTTAAAACATGTTTGGTTGTTTTTCGTTTTACTTTATTTTGTTGTATATTTTTAAAGGGGAAACGTGGTATCATTAAACCACCATTTCAACTTCCTGATTTCATACAGGTAAATTGTTTCACTTTCGTGTACTTGCGACCATTTTTGATGTTTTTGTCTTTGAAAGAAATTGTTGTAATGATGAATCTTATTTTTCTTACAGAAAACGGGAATAATGGAGATGAGAGAGGCTTTGCAAGAGAAAGAAGATGCAAAAAACATGAAAGCAAAAATGCGAGAAAAGGTGCTTGCTTTTCTCCTTCTCCTCCATACCCTCCATACTTTACCAAAACGTCCTTCATTTTTGGCGGGGCGGCGTTAGTGATGCCCTTGAACAGAATAGATGGACTTAGTTTTATATATTTTTTGTAGATTCGACCTAAAATGGGGAAGATTGATATTGATTATCAAAAACTTCACGATGCATTTTTCAAGTAAGTGAACAAAACAAAATTGTGATACTCATTGATGCTAAATATTTAGACATATGTATCAATACCCATTACAGATTGGATCTGATTATATAAAGTATTATGATTAATAAGAAGAAAACAGTAGTTGTGGATTTTGACATTCGTTTTCTTGTTAATGCAATGATATTTCTACATAGATACAATTTTCACAGAACATGCAACAAAATTTTATAGATGTGGCAAAAGACCTTGGATTTTCTCGCGTTTTTGCATGCTTAGATGATTTCTTTAATAACTGAGGAAGCTATTCACTCTGAAAGTTGTGCAAGTAGATTCAGTTTGCTGTTCACATGACTATGAACTTGAACAGTTGGTTGAGTGGACTGCGCATGCTCATGTAAGCTGCTTATGCGCAGTTAACTGCTCTAATTAATTGGAAAATCGAGCAAACCAGCTACTCAGGAACAGGTGTGAACACTAAGTAGATTTAGTTATTTGCTGCAAAGACTGTAAAAATGCTTCAATTTGCCATGAAGTAAATGGACTCATATTGCATAAATCAAAATTAAATAGGAGTTAATGGAGAAAAAAAGAGTCTAAAGTCAGTGTTTTTTCATCATCCATGGATGTCCCGTTGGTTTAATTGCTACTTTTGACTTGCATATTCATTATGCAACTTACCAATAGATATCTTTTTTTCTTTTTTAAAGATGGCAAACAAAACCAAAAATGACAATTCATGGCGATCTGTACTACGAGGTTCGTTCGTCTGCACTTCTCTGATGTTCACTTATTCATAGAAATAAAAAAATACTTATTGAAATCAACTGCGACAAAGAGAGCCATCCTTAGCTGCTTATTTGATTATAGGGCAAAGAGTTCGAGACGAAATTAAAGCAAAAGAAACCTGGTGATCTATCAGAAGACTTAAGAACAGCTTTAGGCATGCCTACTGGTCAGGTATGTAGATGTTACAGATGTCATAAAGGAAATCTGTTGTTATTTTTGACTAATTTCTATAAACAAACATTTAGATGGTAATTTTACCGTATATTTCAGGGGAGCAATCTCGTACCACCACCTTGGTTAATTGCCATGCAACGTTATGGTCCACCACCATCCTATCCTAACCTCAAAATACCAGGACTCAACGCACCAATCCCTGAGGTACGTGGAATTATTTCCGCTTCAAATGTTCTAAAAGTCTTAAGTTTATCTTGTTTTGTAATATTGTAGGGAGCGTCATTTGGCTACCACGCTGGAGGCTGGGGCAAGCCTCCTGTTGACGAACATGGACGTCCCTTATATGGTGACGTCTTCGGTGTACAGCAAACAGACATAAACATTGTTGATGATGAACAGGTAAACTCTAATCTTTGGGGAGAACTTGAGTCTGAGTCGGAAGAATCCGAGGAATCTGAGGTTTGTCTGCTTTCTTTAATTTGCAAAAAAATGTTTTTATGCAAAATTTGAAAATCAAGCCCATCAAATGTTGTTAAAATGAATGTTTTATAATTAGGAGGAATCTGAAGAGGAAGCTCCGGATCAATCTGGTCTTGTCACTCCTGCTGAAACGTTAGTTTATTTGTTTGTACAGTTTTATTATTGTAGATTGAATGAAATCAATGCAATAACACAGTGAGCCTAGTATACTAAGTTGTCCAACTAAGTTTTGCAATGAATTGATTTCTAAATGTGTACATTGTTGTACAAGTTTTCAAACATAGATATAACTTTACTTTTGTCATCAATATCTTGGAATTTTTGTTTCTTCATGTTTTAATTGAGATTCGACAATGATTTTATTTTCAAGGGGTCTTATCACGCCCAGCGGTTTGACATCAATACCAGCTGGAATGGAGACTCCGGATATGATAGAGTTGCGTAAAAGGAAGAATATCGAAGATGCTATGGAGAGTGGCAGTGAACAACAGACATTGTACACAGTGTTACCAGAGAAGAGAGCTGGTGTTGGTGGAATGATGATGGGAACATCACATGTTTATGATCTAGCGACGGTAAGATTTTCTTAAATCCATGTTAATTACGAGTTAATATTTTGGCGTGTAAAAATGAATGCTTACCCTAAAATTCACGTTGGGAGGTCACTTTTTTAAAGAAGGTGTTTTTGAAAAATGTAGAAGCATCTGTAACTGTGCAGTCTTTACTGTTGTTATTACAACGTAAAAAGTTTTTTTTCTCCCATAAATTTAGGCTGCTGCTGCTCCATCTGGCACCAAGCGGGTAATTTCGAAACAGATTTTATGACATTTACGTAACTAATAGACATTTTTTACCTTTAATAAATTTTCCTTATATTTAGTCGGGAGGTTTGTCTGAAGGCGTTGAGGTAGCATTGGACCCGAGCGAACTGGAGCTCGATCCAGCCGCAATGCAAGCCAGGTTAAAAGTTTATTAATAATATTTTGATACACACATTGACTTAAGATTAAAATCACAAATTCAAGGTTAGAGTGAATGTTTACTCAGTGCATTGATCTTTTTTTCAGATATGATGAAACCTTACGTGAACAACAGAATATCCAGAAAGAAGATTTTAGTGACATGGTTGCTGAACATGCTGCCAGACAGCAGAAGGTACTTATCTTACTTTGTACTTTGAGGATGAATTTTTTGTCTGTTTCTTTTTATGCATACATATTTTTGTTTCTAAACTTTTAGAAACGCAAGAAAACTACTGATAGCGGGAAATCTGCCAAAAAGTACAAGGAGTTCAAATTCTGACACATTATTTGCAGTATCCAGTGTTGCAAGATATTTTTCTCCGCTTATTTTATGATTTTAGTGAAGTTTAAGATATATTAAACGATATATGTCTGTAGAGTGTGTCATATTACCGTATGGTCAATGGTATAGCGTCTGATTCGATCATGTAATATGGTTTATTGACATTTCCCTGTCAGTACTGTGTACCTTCGAATCTTTCATGAACCCTTTCATAATCATCATCCAGATTGCTGTAGCAGTCATCGTATGACAGCGAATGAAAATAATCAGAGAAAGTCCTGGGAACTATAGCAACTGTTAAACACTATGGCGGAAATTTTGAGTTTCGTAGATTATTTAAAATTAAATTTAATTTGCTTACTTTGACAAGTAACTTCTACTTATTATACATATTTGATATGGAGGCACTACAAAAGCCTCAAGTAGTAGTGCATATTTCAAAAAGCTTGAATTACACGGCATTCGATATCAAATGGATTCCTTGTAGTACAAAGTTTGTTGTTCTTGGCTCACATCCCAGAGGAACAGGAGCCATTCAGGTGTTTGATGTGTGTCGTGGCGATGCGAAGCTCGTATCAGATGTAAGTAGTTTAAATTCAACCATTTCAAGTTATAATTTTCTTAAATCTCTCTCGGGTTAAAATTTATAGATTGAGAAAAAGACATCGTTTAAATGTGGAACATTTGGAGCAAGCAGCTTAGAACAACGACATTTGGCAACTGGAAATTTCGATGGAAAGCTAATGATATGGTATTTTTAAGCTTTATAAATGGAGATGAAGTGGTAATGAAATGATGTTAATATGATAATATCCTCACTTGATAGGAACCTCGAAAAAACAGAACTGCCAGTCTACTCAGTCAAAGCACACACAGAGATTATCAACTGTATTAGTGGCGTTGGGGGTGCTGGGATAGGAGAAGGGGCACCAGAATTGGTGACTGGAAGTCGTGATGGTAAATAGTGTTTGTGAACAAATGATATATTCATTTCTGTGACATGATTTTATCCTTAGGAAAGATGATTGAGTTAGTGAATATGCTAGGAGCTTTGGTGACAAGCACACTTCGTAACCAATTTACCATTGATTAATTTCTTGGCTGTCCTATATATCTAAATATTTTCTATTATTGAAAGGTACTGTTAAAGTTTGGGATCCAAGGCAAAAAGATGAACCAGTGGCAAATATGGAACCCTGTAAAAATGAAGATCGTAGAGACTGTTGGTGTGTCGCTTTTGGTATGTAAACTTGTTTTTGTACAAGCTCTTAATATACACTGACATGCTAGCCTTTCTTGTAATATTTTATCTTAGGAAATGCTTATAATGCTGAAGAAAGAACAGTAGCAGCGGGCTATGATAATGGTGATATTAAATTGTTTGACTTAAGGAACATGTCACTTTCTTGGGAAAGTAACGTCAAAAATGGAGTAAGTGCATATTTTCTTTTGTAAGAAATCACTGACAGAATTTAAGTTTATAACAATATTCATTATTTATGTTTCCATTTCATGTATGTGATATTCAATTTGATCGTTCTGATATTTTAATGAACAAACTTGTTGCCACAACTCTGGAGTCTAAGTTTTTTTTGTGGGATATGAGAACCTATCATCCCAAGAAAGGCTATGCTATGCTGACAGAAAAGGTATGTGTGCTGTCTATAAATGGGAAACTTCATGTAGGCATGTATATAGGTCAGAAAATAAGTTTAAGAATATTAAAGGCTTTTGCTTTAATAAAGTACCTAAAAGTCAGTTTCTAGAGGTTGTTGCAAATGATTTGTTATTGAATGATTGTTATTCAATAGTTATTCACCTCTATAGTTATTTTGTTGATTAGTAAATTTTGTCATTGTATTCAAACAAAAGCAAACTCCTTGTGGAAATCAACCTCAGTTGACAAGGCTTGTGTGTCAAAATAAAGATTTTCATTCATTCATTTATTCATTCATTTATTTGTTAATTTTCTTAAGGCTGGAGTGTTAGCATTACGTAAAGGCATTTTTTCTTTATTCAAGGCTCACAAATCTACTGTATGGTGTGTACGTCATCTACCCCAAAACAGAGAAATATTTACTACATGTGGTGGCAATGGATCCATCAATTTATGGAAATAGTGAGTACTTCATGTAAATTACACAATCATTGTGATGTTTTCATTGATATATGTGAACCAACTCTAAATTAATTTTGTTGTGTAGTGATTTTGAAAATTGTGCTTTTTTGCACGTTATTGAGTGACAAGAAAGATATTTATTTTATTTAAGCACATATCCATCAAAACGAGTAGTGAAAGACAGTGAAGGTAATGAAATGGGGGCTGTCGGTAATGTTAATCTTCTACAGAATGTCAATATTTCTACCCAACCTATTTCATCAATGGATTGGAATACAGAGAAGGTACAAAATGTCAGCACTTTGTACCATATTGAATCTGCATAACTTTCATTCTTCTATGCAGCTATGCTAAGGATTGTGAATATGTTTGTTTCTATTTAGGAGGGTCTTGCTGTCAGTACTTCTTTTGATCAAGTTGCTCGAGTCTTGATTTTTACAAAGTTGGGGAAAGTCTGAATTGTATGACATCAATAGCAAGAGTCTTGTGTTTATTTATGCATTTATGATCTGCTTTTATGCTTCTTTGTGAGATTCTTGTCCAGATGCTGCGTAAAGGAAGACTACGGCCAAATATTTTCCCAAAATAGCCATTTTTTATAGTTTTTAATTCAGAAGAGTTGTAATTTCGAGAAAAATACACTGAAATACACAACTGAGTCCGAAAATCTGAGAATGTAGACTTGCGCCTTATGTATTTATAGCCAGCGGCTATTCCTATTGTAGAAAACAAAATTACAAAAATAGCGATTGTTTCATGTTTGCAAGGTACGCTTCGATAATTCCATAGCAAATGTTAAAGCAGATTGTCTTGAACGGTGGGTTTAAGTCATTTATTAATTGATAGCCATGCATAATGTCTTGTGCCCTAAGTTCATTCGCATACATCGAGAATGTGGATCGTGTGGTTTCATGTTTGTATCAATTGGATGTGAACAGTAAAGACTCTTTGAATGAAGGTGATATAGATTGAATTATTGAACTAGAATAACAATGTTTCTATAAAGTAGAGCTCTGTATCAAAGTTCCAAAACTTTTCAATGCTATTTTTTTACGTAGAGTGGAAAATTAGCGATGACTATGATTGGGGATGGGAAGATGCTATTGATGGCGTAGAAGTAAGATCTAGTCATCTAGTGGATTATTTTTTACTTTATCATATCTTCCATAGTGTAATATTATTCTAGTCTTTGATTAATCGTTATATTTTGTCTAGGTGGAAGAAAATGAAGTGAATAGTCAAAGCAAAGACAATTTTCATACAAGATGGTTACAGGATTGTCAGATCGCCATCTCACCTTGTGAAGACCTGGTTGCTTTGGGGAGAGAAGATAGATTGGTTATTTTATCGGGTATGTATTAGAATGTGAGAAAAAAAACACTGTAGAGAATTTACAACACATTATTATATTGCTATGGCAATATATAAATATATATATTTCATATAAAATCATTTGATATGAATGAACGAATGTGCAATGTTTGCATGTATTTCAAATTAATATTTGTGTAACTACAATTTAAGAATTGCAATTATTTGATTTGCTATGGTTTTCTTTAAAATATTTTCAGCAAAATGGGACAGACAAGCAACTTCCGAGCCAAAAACTAAATTTGAAATTTCATGGTCTGGGCTTCTAGATTTGGAAGAAGGGTATGATTTTCCTTTAGTAATTATATAAAGCATGTTTTTATTTGATATTTTTGTATAATTTATGTGCTACTTGAGACATTTTGTAATAAATTTCCTTTCTTTTAGTGAATGTATTTCAAGTATAATATGTATACCATTGGCATCACAACATAAGTATTTTCTCCTCCATTTCTTAAAACTATTTCTTTGCTGGCACTGAAACTTTCTCCTTGTACTGTTTTATTGAAATAGAAGCTCCCAAGGATTTCCTGATTGGACGTGTATTGTAGCAGGCTTTACATCAGGTTATATACGCTTTTACTTACAGGTAAACTTATTGAATTCCTTTAAGTTTGACTTATGCTCTTTTCCAAGTGCCCTAACATGTTCTCTTTAGGATGGTTCATTGTTGTTGCATCAACTACTACATGAAGATCCAGTGTTGAAAGTGAAATGTCAGACATGGCAACCTGATGTTTCATTCATCAACTTTGAACAAGTTGAGGAACTGGTCATATTGTATCCTACATCACTTGTTATTATTGATGGCTTTAGTCTTTATCAGTCATTGAGAGGCTGTCGAAATCAGCTTGCTAGAGGTACGTATATTACTAGAATAAAAACTGGGCTCTTGCTTTCATTAGAACTGGAGTGATCAGGCATTTGTTTTCAATTTTTTAGTGCAAGCTAGTGGAAGAGGTGAATCCATTCGACCACCTCCCCTTGCTTATAAAAAGTGGAATTTGAAGGGACAAAAGAATATTACAGATATTGCTTCTTGTGGTAACTATTGTCATAATGTAATTTAATCGTAAAGCCACATCTACCTCAAGACCACCAGTAGTGACACAAACAGTTTTTCAGTCATATCTTTTTGATGTTTTATTCAATTCTTAAATTGAGCTATTTCAACGCAATTTTTTACAGGTGTGGTTACGCCAAGTTTGTTTGACCACCTTCAGAATGCCTCGTTAATTGGTGGATGTGATGCTAAAATACGAGCATCACCACCGTCGATATCACAGTTTGTAACATCAGGTGCTGATCCTTTTGTTGGTCTTTATTCTGCACTAGATGAAGGCAGCATTCCTTTAATGTCTGAGGTAGCATTTGAGGTTGCCACCAAGTTGACATCTGCTGTTTTGTCCAAGTTATCTGTTGCTAGGTAAGAGATAGAAATAAATTGTGGTCCAGTGGGTGAAGTTCTTGTCTTACTCAGTATCTTATTTTGTTATTTTATTCAGTGGATGGTTTGGATGGACCGAAAGTAAAGTAGACGATAAACAAACATATGAAAAGGCAAAGAATAAACCAAAAGTAGAAAAAGGATCATCTCTTTCTTTAAGGTATGTATCAATTATGGAGAAGGACGGTTAAACTTCTTAACTTTAAATAAAAAGTTTCGTTTTCATGTTCACTGGACCTTAGCTCTATTTAGCCATTGTTGATTTTTGTTTGTCTGTTGGTTGACTATTGTCAATTATTGTTGATCTTTACCACAACAGTTTATTCAATCATTAAAATTAGATTCGGTTTGGCTGACCACCGTCGCGAGGGCGCATCTATAACGCTCTCTCCAGATGGGCGATTAGCCGCTAGCACTGACGAATTTGGCCGTATTATGTTGATGAGCATGAAGGATAGGATTGTATTGCGATCTTGGAAAGGTTGACTATTCGTGATAATTTACTACACTCGCCTTTGTCCTAAATGGACGAACTATTCAATTATTTTCTTCTATTATGTGAATGGTTTTTTTTTCATCTCAGGATATCGTGATGCCGAGTGTGCCTGGGTACCAGTACAGGAGGAACATCATGATCATAATTCCGAGCTTACGCATCCTAGACGTACTGCGTTGTTCCTTGTCATTTATGCTCCGAGGAGAGGATTCTTGAAGTGAGAAAACTCTGTTACTATTTTGAGAATTTTACAGCTTTTATCACAACGTTTTATCGTTAAAGGTTTGGACATCAGAACATGGACCAAGAGCAGCTGCTTTTAACGTGGGTCGCAACAACAAGTGGGTACTTTTAAGTACAAACTTAACGCTAATTTATTGTGTGCTAGGTGTTATTGTTTCTACTTGACATCACGTACACGGTTGAAACACTGGGGCGAGGTTTACCTTACTTTCCCAGGTTTTTTTTATCATATGGTAACGATGGAAATGAAAGTGTTAATAAAAAATGAATACATACATAAGTGAAGGCTTGTTGAAGTGACTAATACTTCAACAAATTATTCAATGAGTTAGCAAGATTGCATTTAAACTCTCTTTTTAATTTGAAACTTTTTATCAGGTTCATCAACATTAGTCATCATATCCTTGGTCTCAGTCACGTGATGAGTCAGTCCAGTGACGTCAACTCTAAACCATTGCGTTGTGTTTTATTTCAACCGTCTGGCAGTATAAAGATTCTTACAATACCATTCCATTGTGCTCTTAGGTATGTCGCTATTTTGAATGTGAAAATAAACCTTTCTCTGAAACTTTTTCGTCGTATTTATTTTCAGTAATAAACATGGTCGACGCGTTCGAGATCTTCATCTTCTCACGAAACTTTCAACAGTTTTAGATGAAGTCAAATCACATGAAAGTAGGTCTCAGTCTTTCTTTGATAAGATCACACCAATAGGAGTAAGTCCCTTTTTCCTTAAATGAGGTCAAAGCTTGTGACAGTCTTCCTTTAGCAACAAAGAAAACTCAAATTTCATGTTTTTTAGTATTAGTTGGCTTCAATTTTAGTGTTGTTTTGTAAAGATATTCTCTTTAAGAAAAATTGTTTTGTCCTAAAAGTTGTTCAAGGGAGAACGTTCGAGAAATTTGAGACAACAGTGCTAGAGATCTTTTCTTCAATTCAAGTTCCCGCTTTATTGCAACAGGTAGTGTAACATCGTGTATGGATCTCAGTACAGTTGAAGTACATCAATGATATGGTTGGCTAATGATAAGTTTTAATAATGTTCATTTGTTATAAATTTGAATTTGAAATAGTTTGGTGTATTTGTTAGGCGCTTCAGTGTCTTTTATCGACACCATCTATGCCTGTGAGTTTGTTGGAGAAGGCTGTGATGTCAGTTGCGCAAAACGTATCAAAAAAACGTAATAACAAAAATGACTTCAAAGATGTCAATTGTTGCAAGTAACACGAATTTTATCAACACCTTGTTTCCGTTGTACAGCAAATGTCAGCGATGACCATGAACACGAAGACGCAAATGATATCGAGGCATTAGTTGAGTACACTAAGGTACAACGAAGGATCATTGATATGTATAAAACATTGCACGATGAAAAGAAACGTATTGAAAATGTGGATGGTGTGATTGACGATGAAAGTGAATGCGATGAAGTCTTGAAGGGAACGGAGGTAAACTTTTTAAACATTTTTAATGATGTTTTAGTCGTGTTACTTCATGTTAACACTTTTTATTTAAATTAGTGTCCTCGGGGGGGGGGAATATAGTTTTCACTTTGGGGAAATATGATTTCCACAAGGGGGAAGATGGTGTTCACTGGGGAATGTGGTGTCCACAAGTGGGAATTTTGTGTCCGCAGTGGGGGATATGATGTCCACAGGGGGAATCTTGTAAAAAAGCTGTGTCTTATTATAAATTCAGGAAGTTCATTTCAACTATGAGCATTTTTACTTTGACTAAAAGATATATTGTTTTTTATTTTAGTGGCTTGTGTCGACATTTTCCATTACCTCATCAGAAGCATTGTCTTTTCTTAATTCCATTGAATGTTACTGGGATATTTGTTGTGGAAATCACAAAAAGACTCAACAATCACCAAGCTCTAATGATATGACAATCACGACATTTCTCAGTTGTTTTGAAGTCACTAAAATAATACCAAAGAATGATAAGAATGATGCTAAAACACATGTAACTGAGGGACACTTTTTGAGAATCAGAAAGAATCTTTCTTCCAAGACTCAAGCTGATCTTGGTAAGTATTTGTACATCTTTTATCGTGTTTTTTATAAAAAATCCTTTGTCAATGATCTTTCTATTTTTGTTTAATTTAGGAGAGTTTTTATTTGGAGTAAGTATGTTTCATCTGTAGTTCATTGGTTGTTGTTTTTTTGGGGGGGAGGGGGAGGGTGATGTATGTATAGTGTATAAAACAACAACATCAATAAAGGACTGTGTAACATGTTTCTAAATTTCCCCTCTCTCCCCTCTCTCCTTACAATATCATACGAGATTCATCATTGATCTATTCACGATTATTTTGTTTTATTTAGGCTGTATTCAAAAGATTGTTATCCATCGAAAAGCTTTGCTTAATTATTGACAGTTCCAGAATTTATTCTTGGGATATTATGGTGAGTTTTCCATTCTCGTATTTTTATTTTTGTTTTTATTTCCTTGTTGTATTTTAATTAAATCCTATGTTTATGTTTTATGGACAGCATTTATTGTTGAATTATTGGTTGATAAGTACGGAAGAAAAAATTCTCCTCAATCTTTCGGCTGTGTCTTGTCTGCGTCATTTGATGTCTTCCATAAACTCTATGAAAGGTAGGTTGAAATACGCCAATAAAAATTTGTATTATCTTATCTTGAAAGATCGTTTATTTAACTTGTTGCGTCGAGAGTTTCACGTTTCATCAAAAGTATTTTTCTATTCAACTCCAGGCGAACAGAATGATTGTGACATGACGTCATGGGAGCAATTACGTCACTCACTTGCTGAAACATCCGTGACCTCACAAACATTGTCAGCGGCAGTCTGCTGTCGAAGTGTTCTCTTGGAAAAACAAGTGATAGCGAAGAAACTTGAAGTATTGATATTTATTGTTCATTATAATTATTCATTTTCTACTACATCTATAAATTTGTTTTAAGGATGATCACAATGACCCAATAGAACACGCTGATTGGGTATCAGTATCACTTGATATGGAACGATGGAATTTGCTTGTAAACCAATTAGAAGACGTTTTGAACCTTGTCGTATTTTGTTTTAATTTGGAAACGGACTTTGAGCCCAGTGTATCTTCCTCTGAACTTAATAATCTCAATGTTTTAGGTAGGTGTGAAATAAAATAGGCGTTTTATTTTGAGTGGTTAGCTTAACTCATGTTCATTGTTCAATGTCATAAACACATCAATCTATTGATCTCGACACCACCGCTCATTACGGTCAAACAATTGTTTTTCATTGAAAATATCATTTTAGTCTTTTGCTTTTTAATTTTTTTTTCAGACATACTTGGTCGCGGTCAGTTTTGGATCCCTGAGATCATCGCGAAACATGTGGTTCGTCTCAACGTTCTGCCTGAAAAACTTGGTTTTCGAACTTTGAAGAGGAGTCCTCCCGTAAATACTGCAAACAATGACGATCGACCGTTGGAGACTGATGAAGATACATCCATTTGCGAAATGCTACCTGGTATGTAGAAATAAAATAATGGGGGATTGTTTTTTCCTTATTTTTATCGTTGTTATATTTTTATAATATCTAGGCTTGTCTGAACTGCGAAAACGATTTCCGCATAGTTTGTCTCGAGATGTCTTTTGGGCTCATTGTATGCAAGAATGTTTAAGTCAGTGGTTGACAAACAAAGAAGTAAAAACTAGTTTTTGTTGTTTCATTCTACTGTATAACAACATGTAGAAGTTTGAACGTCTTTTTTAAACGATTGACACTGTGTAAATGACAAATTCGTTGTTCTCTAGCAACCTGATTTTTTGAAAAAAGGCTTAGCTCATGTCAAGTGTATTGAAAATAGAAGTTTGAGACACGGTAAAGCTTGTTTGGAAACTTAATGATTTAGAATATACACCATCCATCATGTGTCATGTATATCCTCACTAAACACAATTTATTATTAACAGGTCTTTGCGTTCGTCTTTGGTATCAAGTAAACAAATCTATTTCATCACTTGCAGCTCTTACTGAAAAAGTGATACATGTTCATTCAAATTCCTATATATTTATTGTTCAACTAAAGAAATGTTATTTACTTTAATCGTCTTAATCTTTAAGGTTGGTAAGGCACCCAAGGAAAGACTTTGTGTCAAGGTATCATAAGGCTGACTTATCATCAGAAGATTCTTTAACAAAGTTTTATTTTTAACATGACTTATGTAGTATGTTGACTCACAATTTACGTATTCACTTATTTTATTTATTTTAGACATTGAATATGAGCTGTGATGCAGTGATCAAGTTTTTAAATAATTGTAGACTGATTCTTCATTTCTTAGCAGAGGTAATTTCAAATCATAGAATCTGTATTTCATATAGTATGTATTGCAGTTAGAGAACGTTTGAGTTACTGCGCTTTGTAAAATGCATTCATTGCTTGGATGATTTTTCAATGGTAGATGTTGAGTGAAGATTGTGATCAAGATGACAAGGAACTGATTTTTGAAATTGAAGATTTTTGGCGAACTGGGGAAGTGTACGTGTAATTTCCATTTAGAAAAAATATATCTCTATGTGTGGGGTCTAAAAAATCGCGATCCTCAGACTATTTTTCTTTTATAGTTGTCCACCATCTTTTATCCAGGAATCTATGGCTACTAATCTTTGTAATTCTGACTTGATTGGCCTTCATTATTGGTTTGTGTCCGTGTTGTGGTTTATCATGGAAATGGGCATGAAAAGTGTAAAGCCTTTGACTTTACTTAGTGGCAAAGTATGCTAACTAAATTTTGATAAAAATATAATTTCTAACTACCTGAATGAGAAAGGCCAGAGGGGGTGCGCACCAAACCCTAAATCCATCCCTGGTTCTTGAACGTATAAAACTAATGCGAATATGTAACTACTTATTTTGACGTTGCATATAGGAAAAAAAGTGCGTATTTAAACAGCTGAACTTGCCATTTGAATTTCAAGATGTGGAGCCTGAAGTTTTACGCGAGAGAGAAATGGTTAGTCTTACTTGATTGCAGGAGTCTTATTGTGACAAACTGAAAAGTATTTTTCCTTTTTGTAGTTCTTCCACAAATCTGTCTCCGCTTTGGTTCAAGTTGTCTCCGCTGAAGAATCTTCACCAATGAGAGCGCAGAGTTTTAAAGACTTATCCCGTGATTGGTCAACATCGATTTTTCAACTAGCTGAACAAGTTGAAATGAAAATTGAACCTTTAAAGGAGAAATATACTTGTGAATTATGTTTGGCTGGCTTGTACAAACTTGCTGGAATGGTAAAGCCATGATTTTAGTTCAATTTAACGAAGAAATTGTCAAATTATTCTTTCATATATTTTACTGCGCCCAAGGCAAAGATAGTAAATTTATTTTATATTCATAAGTTTTTCTAAAATGGTTGTTCTTTTCTACGTTTTTTGTTAGCAAAATTTGACCGAAGTCATTTGTTTTTAGGAATTTCAAGGTATTCGGGACAAGACGAAACTCAGTACGAAAATTTTAGAAATAATTGGTGAAAGAATGGCTGAACATCTCTTTGAAAACAAAGATCCAAGTGATACAGCAAGAATTTTGTCCAGAATACCATTTTCTGTAAGCTCATGGCTTCGAAAGCAGGTGAGCAACAATGTTGCTTTTTTTGGAAACCATTTATGTAACTTTTCTAAACAAAATTAGTGTTGTTGTTGGACTCTAGTGACGAAAACGACAAAAACCTTCTGTGAGAAAAATGTTGCTACGAAAACACTTGACGAGTTTTTTTATACCCATTGCACCGTTTATAGTTGAAGTGTAAAAGCGTTTGTTAACCAGGGTTAACTTGGTGCAAAGCACTTATTTCTTCATGCTAATACTTTCCAGTAGCATCAAATAAACAGGCTGAAAACGAGGTTGATACTTTCCCGTGGAAATTTTAATGCACATCTACGATGAAGACAAGTTAAAAAAACTTGTATTTTAGCCCTGCGTAGTGATTTTTACATGCAATATGAGCTTTCATCTCTATTTAGGCACCAATAAAAGAATTCAAGCGAGGCACGTCGTTGAATGGTGTTATGGAACTTTTATGTATGGTACAAAAAAGTTTGTCTGATGAGCGACCTAGAGACTATGAATTAGTGACGAGTTTGATTGAAATATTAAAGTATCTGCAATAAAGATGTTCAACTTAAGATGTGAAGAATTGGGTCAAATTTCGTTTCCAACTTAAGGTACGGTATTCAACTTTCAAGTAATTCTCCTTATTTGGTATTTCCCAGTTCAGTCTTCTAAATATAAAGCGAAGTTGTTTTAATGTATTTAGTATTTGATACCTAATATTTGTACAGTAAATAATAACATGCGTAATGCAGTTGATGGGAATTCTCGCTCGTCTCCAGCATTTGATAATTTAAAATAACAGACACATGTATATCAACTTGAAATCAGTCTTCTTACTATTGGTTCTATTTTGTTATGTTTTACTATTATTTGACTCGACAGGACATTACGTAACCTGTACATTATATAAAATTATTTGTGGACACTTTTATTTGTCCATAAAGCTTTTGTCTCATCTAAAACTGCACTTATATCCTGTCTACTAAGATGCGTCAGATTTGTAAACAAGGAACCATTAAAATCTTTTATTTGACTACGGCAAACGACGCATAAATGTATCGCTGAGTTTTGCATCGCCACTTTAAACGTTTTCCAAGCGCAAAAACGACAAATCACTTTATGTTTACAGGGTAAAGTTTCAATCTCAGCTGGTTCATCTAAACATATAACACACCGCTCCCACTCACAAACGTTTTTTAAATTTCTTTTTGCTTTTTCTCGGTTGATTTCCATAAAGCGCTCGATGACGAAAGGTCTTTTGTTCAAGTCGATGTTTTCTAATTCGTCTATTAAGGTTTCCAACGTCCAAGTAACTTTTCTGTATTTTGATAAACGTCTATGGTATATATATGCCAGGCAAACGATAAAAAAAAGTAGTAAAATTGAGTGCAAAACGTTTTCCGTCACATAAAATACGAGAAGTGACGGCAAATATGAAATTGTGAAATAAAAGCAGAATTTTAGGATAAATGTTTTCCAGACTTCCATTGATTTCGATTTTGGTTTTGAATTACTTTCGCATCTGATTACCTCGTGTCCATTGTGAAACTTTTTAATAATATTGCTCTGTGTATTTATATGAACCTGTTGAAACAGCTGCCTTGTCGTTTAGCGGCTAAGCTAGAAGAGCTTTTATATGAATACTGGTAGGATAACAGGTTGACTGAGCGAAACGCATTAGTCGCTTTTCTTTGCTGTTTCTTGCCAATTGTGAGAAAATTCCTGTTTAAGGAATACAAAAACTTGCGGTGAATTAGAAAAATTCACGGGATTATCAGTCGAGATTACTTCGTCATTAAAAGCTTAGAAACTTCCTTCTTTCGTATCGCAAATTAACTTGAATTAGCCGTCCGCATTTTCAGATTGTCGACAATTATTTCATAGATATAATCTTGGTAATTTAAAAATAGCCAATTCTTGTTGAATTACCATTAGTTTCGCGTGACTTTTCCTTGGCGTGATGTTGTCGATTTCATTACGAAGGCGCAAAGTTCCATTAAAATCAAGTAGTCCAAGTTAGTACGTACATCATACGATCATGATGAACTTTGATCCTCATTTTGCAATTTAATGATATTGCTATCATAACTTGAGAACACACATTGAAACAAATTTCGTAACACTAAATGAAAAGCTAGTAAAAGAAACTGTAAAAACTAGGACAGGATTTTTTTAAAATCTCGAATACAATGCGCTTGGCCGCGCATTAAATAAGTCTGGAAAGAGTGGGAACGACAAATAGCATTAATTTCCAGAAATGGTAAACAGTAAAGATAGTTGCTATTTATAGTTTGAAGCAAGAAACAAGTAGAAAGAATAAGTTTTATCACATATTTTAGACAATTCTCTCAAGTTCTTTTGCGTATTCTAGCATATGTTGTATTGTGTTAATAGACGGGATCTCTGCTTTGCTCTCAGACTCTTCTTCAAAGATGTAGAAATTTTTCGTGTTTAGTTTCCATCCGCGCTGAAATAAAATGTTATAAAGTAAGTATAATGTTGCATTCTGAAATAATGGAGGAAAAAAATTCTTATGAAATAAGCCATCAAGATAAAATCAATGAAGAAGAATACAGAACTGGAAATAAATCGGTTCCATCATTTATGTCTGAATGAAAAACTTAAAATGTTCTACTTTTTTTCAAACTTATCATCAAACAACATTTGTTTTAATAACAGCCTTTTGATGATGATAAATATAATCTGCATTTGAGAGTCGATATTTTTACACCGTTAGCGCGTAGCAGATACGTACATTCCGCTCGCTAGAATAGTCAATGAATGAAATTGAAATTTCACCTTCGCTCCAAATGACTTTGTATCTTTTTCTGATTCTAAATACAACATTCTTCGCGCTTCAATGAACGATATTTTTTGATATGATTTCTCCAAACACGCAGCAATTTCCTCTCTGTTGAAGAGAAATCATGTTAATCAACTTTCAATAGTTAGTAAATAGCAAACGTAATTTTTTATCGAAGAAACAATCACATACCGTAAAGTGTTTATCAAGATATCCATAAAGACATGGTAACTTTTAGCTGGAACATTTCCCTTGCTAAAAATACCTGCAGGGAATAAACTGTTTAATACAGTTTTCTATAATCAACATCAAGAAGTAGTATTTTGGCTGAACCCAGTAGCAATGCAATGCAACGATACTGGCAAAGTCTTTGTGTCAACAGTTATGTAACTTGCTTCAATAGAGATCTCACTAGTCATACTTACTTTGTTGTAGTTTCCTTCCATCAAAAACTGAAAGAAATTGATAACATATGGTAGAATGAACATTGATGTACTATTTAAAGATATAAAAACAAACCCTTTCCAACTGTACAGGATGTTTGATGTAAACATTCTCATTATATTCATTTGGTGGCAGTAATTCCAGTTCCTGAGAAGAAGACACAAAATCAAGTTTGTAGATGGTCCTAATTGAGAATTTAGTGTAGGAGCAATACATACTGTGTGAAATTCGGCCAGTCTATTCTGAGCCAATAAGAGAAGAAGGTTTAAACCCAGCATTTGGTACATATATGGTGACTCCTGGAGTATGCCACTAGGAGATATGATATTAAGCCGTTAAAAAAATTGATTGAGATACTTGCTATACGAACTATCCTGCAATATAATACCGATAGTCTAAATAGTATGGTTTCAGCTGTGCCATGTATCTTTCAAAGGAAGGTATGTCATTTTTTTCGACACTCCACTGTACTCCAATTTCTAGAACATCTCCTATCAAATACCACGAGAAAATTATTTTGAATAAAATCAACACTTAATAAAGACATTGTTCATTTACTTACTGGCAAGAACCAATTCTTGCGGTTTTGGAACAGATGTTGATGTTGGAAGAAATGATAGTCCAGTCAAAGCAACCTTGGTAGAAAGAAGTTGATGATTCTACGACCTTCATTCTGACGTATAATATGACAACATAAATTTGATGAAAAGTGACAAATTTTTCTTGCCTTCAAAGAACTCAAAAGTTTGCCACATTTCTCTAGATTAACCGGCTTTTTATTCCAGTCTTTAACCAACGTCTGATACATGTTTACCACATCGTTAATATTTACCGAAGCCATGTTGTCTAGCTTCATGTTTTATAATTTACTTTTAAACATACCGAAGGCTCGTACGGTCAGCCTTGCAGCCTCGATACTTCATGTTCATAAAAATCTAGAGATTTGTAAAAACTAGTTTTTCGTTCGTAGAAGCTTAAAGAATTTTCTTTAGAACTTTACCAAGCTTTATATTAAATTGATTATTTTGTCCATGTGAATGTTAGCAAGATTTATGCAATTCTCATTTCATTACGTCATTGTGAAAGTTTGACGATGTAATGGGTTTGCATTTATTATACACCTTATACAACGATCCATTCAAATGTCCTTGCAAGAAAGAAAGAAGTCTTGTCCTGGCTGTGTATTAAATTTCCCCGTTAGGTAGGAAGTACAATGGAGAACGATATTCTCGATTCGTTAGAAGATTTAGGGTGAGTATTTCAGTAAATTCACGATTGAAAATGGCAAACGGTACAAATTATTCTATGTCTAAATGTGGGACCTTTATTTGTTTAAAGAGCGCTTTATGTGAAGTAAGAAAAGGAAAGTAAAGTTTAGCTTTGCAACTTTGTAATAAACTTTTCTGAAGAATTTCTTACAGTTATTTGTTGAATTAGTTGATTCTAGTAATGTGTGAACTCATTCTAACTCAGAATAATATCCAACTGCCTTTATGCTTTCTTCAAATAAGAATTTATTGATTCAGTTTTATGCTTTTGTATCTACTAACTTATGAGTGAATCGTTCAAGGTTTGTTCTTCGCAACATAATCAGTGTTGAATTTAGTTATGATATTCATGTGTAGGTACAATGGTCCACTAATGAAAGATGGTGCTCTTCTAAAATGTGTAAAAAATGCTGATATTACTCTTGAGTTCATGGGTTTGTGTAAATGGCTTACAGATGAGATACAAGTCTTTACTGGAATTATTGAAAATATCACAGGTATTCATGCAAGCACTAAAGCTCACAAAAGCTTGGGTGAATGCCAATATTATTTTATGTAGGAGCAGATAAAGATGAGTTTTCCATTGAAATTAGTGGCTTTTTACGAGAATATGGTATGAGTGTACATTACAAGCAATAATTCTGTCAAGATTTCATTTTATTGAAAATGGTGTTTTTGCTTATTTTGCAACTTTAGGCTGTTCATATCCTGAACTCATGGGGTAAATGCTCTGAGCATAAAGGAAAATCGGCTATTGTTACTAGGTTTCTTAACTTCTGAACTTCAAGCTTGTAGGATGCTGGGTTTGGATGACAAAGAGATGGATATTGAAGAGGCAGAGGTTTATTTACAATTAATTTATTGTTGTATTCAATATATCATATTTTAACTTTGTTTACTTAAACTTTAGGCTAGTCCAGCTTTTAAAAACATCAGTGCTATATTATCAGCTCTCCATCTATCTCAACCAAACCAAGAAACATCCATATTTAATGTGTTCTCAGATATTGAGAAGAAAGTATGTTGCTTTACTTTGCCTATTGTTTTTGAAGTAATGACAGTGTTTGGTGTTAAGGCATGATTTTATTCTTATTGTATAAACTTTCATCAATTAATAATCATGCTTAATTTTTGAGAGATTATACAAACTGGTAAATAAAAGCTTCTGTATCATGTACATTGTTGCTTTAATCAATGGAATCTCTATTTATTGTTATCTTGTCTCGCTATTATTCATCAGTTTACGTCAAGAAAGTGAATACTATAATTTATCATCTATTTTTCTAAATAATAGTACATATCTTTCTTTAGTAAACCATGCATGGATGTTAAAATTCACTATTTGTCTTATTAGCTCATCATTTGTGAATGATTTTTAGGTGAATGATGTTATTCGACAAAGTCCTAGAGGTTTTCTCGGCGAACCCTTGTTAACCAAACGACTAAGCCCAAAACAATGGGTATGTCTATTTTTTACTAGTCTGTTGGTAAAAATGGTGCCTTGTTGCTCATGCCCTCTAGAGACAAAATATACATGCATAGAAGACATAACAAAACATAATGCTCAACGTAATGCTTGCTGTGAAATATACTTCTTAAATATCTACATGACATATTATTTTTATTTTGTCTTTATTCATTACAAAATTTACAGTTTCATTTGCTTGGGAGAATTCGCTTTCATACTCCTTATCGTAATGCCTACAACACTAACATACTGTGTCAGTCTACAGTTACACTATTCTCTTGGTATTTTATAAAACATTTAGGTAATAGTTTTCAATTGTTTAAATGGGCAATGTTTCAGGCTTGTGTTAAACGACACTCCCACATGCTAAAATCAGGTCATCCAACTGAACTTATCCTACTCTCTATGTTCATTATTTACCAATTTCAAGAAACATCTACGTTACTGTCAATGTTTTTTTTTATTATATTGTTGTTTTGTAATTATGATTTTTTCTGCAGGCTCAAGTTGAACAAATTAACAAAACTTTATCAAGAGAATATTCGTTACGTAGACAGACATTACTGATGCGTCTCGATGTCACTGTTCGTTCTTTTCAATGGTCTGAGCTTGGAAAGGTACATTTGTCATTTATTAATTTTTTATAGCTTTTATGTTTCAATCATTGCAAATATTTTGCTTTTTCTTTTACAATCTTTGTTTAATGAAGAAAAAACAAGATTCTATATCTGGCGATTTTCAACCAATCAGAAGGTCGCTGGAAATCCATGCACCCGTCTCCATTGCAGATGTCCTAGCCGCTCGTACTGGTAAGAAGCAATTGCTTTTTAACTTTCAAAGAGAACTGTGTTATTTTGAACTTTCAAAAAGAATTGTTTGATGTTTACCTTTCAAAGAGAACTGTTTTATTGTGAACTTTCAAAGACAACTGTTTGATGCTGTCCCTCCAAACAATTGAGAAATGTTTCTAAACGTTAAGATTTGACAAAAGTAACGAAAACAAGCGGTGGTGAAATACGAGAAAAAACAAAATGCGCTGTAAACAAAATAATGATAGGAAAGGTAAAATTGACTCGATCATTAATTACAAATAGCATGTTGTTCACTAAATTTCATCGTTCAGGTTCCTTTCAGAGGTGGTAAACCTTCGTCTCAGCCACCCCCACCGGACATGCCACAGTTTTCAAAACGACAGGAACCACCTAAAGATCAAAGAGGTATAAAGAACAAAATACATAACTTCTTACCTTCACGTTACAAACTTTGAAAAAAGCTAGCGAGCAAATCCACAATTGAACTTCTTGTTTTCGTACAGGAAATAATCTTGGTAGTGCTCGAGGAATGCGAGGGAGAAGAGGTGGTGGTAGTGGTGGTAATCGTGGTAACCGACTACAGGGAGGTACAAATTTTACCGTATTGTATTATTCTAGCAATTTCGTTTCACAACTGCAATTCTTAATGCGTAAAGCGACTAATTTCTCAACGCGCAGACTTTTCACTTTTTTACCTGCGGTTTTTGTCTCTTTGGCGGCTTTTTTCACGTTTATAAGACTCCGTGTATTGTTCAGGTTCAGGTTGGACAAATGGAGGAGGGGATAATCGTGATCGTGGACCAGACCACGGACGAGGTAACAAAGGTTGGGGAGGGAACCAAAATGGTCGTGGGTTGCATGATGGTAATCCATTTGGAAACCCAAAGTCGTACTTTCAACATGATACCTATCGAAGCTGATAGAGCTCTGTGTGGCCTGCATAAGGGTGTGTTTGAATGGAGAGTGTGTGTGAGCCCGCGTGCATCGAAAGCCATTGAAATGTCATGGCATTTATAAGTGAAAATATACTAGATGGTTTTATTTTTTCTCACACAGAAGATCTGATTTAAAATAGAAAATGTTGACGTTCATCAACTAACTACGGTTGTCGTATTCTGTTCTTGTGCCTTTTGGTTCTGCTGGCGTGTTTTTGTCATTTTGTAAATGCTCGATTTGACAGTTCTGCTTGAAATGCTTTAATTTAGCTCTAAATGCCATCAATGCTGCCAACGTTTTCCAAATGTGTCAAGACAATAATATTTATAGTTCTGTAATTATAATCAATGATTAAATCATGAATTTTTCATCGAAAATTTGTATTAAGGTTATTTTGCTTTTCACACGAATTCCCTATAATCTCCATATATAATGCTTTCGTGATCAATCTGATTGGCTAATTCCATAATTAACTAGATCATCTACGTCATAGTTACAATCCTTAACCTCTGGAGGGGTTGTTCAAATTCATGATTCATATTAAGGATTCATATTATTATGATGTTTCTTTTTGTTCATTAGAACAGCATAAGTTGAGGTAGTGGGTTTGTCTTTTTGTTCTTGCACTTTGTCTCCTTCTACTCCTTTAACGACGCTTGTAAATCTGGATCGCGATTGACATCTGGGTCGCAATTACAATCTTTCATTTCTGAAGTAGTTGGGATGGGTATTTTCTTCATTTCAAAAGCGCAGGTGGAAATAGCTGGTCTGCGTTTTTGTTTCTATTCTCTCAAAGATATTTGGAAAGTTTGTATCATGTTTGTATCTTGACAGCACGGAATTTGCTGCTTTTCAAAGTTCTACGTACAATGTCTATATTTTCTTACGAGGCGGAAATTTCATTTTAGCTTTTGCGAAGGAATTGTAGAGCTAGAAGTTAGTCGTCACTGTTGGCAAAATAAAAGTAGAACACCTGTTATTGATGACACATCATCGACACATCCCATTGTTGTCATAGTTACAAGCGACCAAGAGAACGAGGCTGGTATGTTTTGAAAGCCGTTCTTCTTCGGCTTGTATTCGGCATACTACGCTAAAGAGCCGAAAGAAATGAATAAATTATCGTTTTTATCGTTTTTTATCGTTTGGATAAAAACTTGTAGTACGTAAGAGAAGCGAAAGGCTTCCAATGTCGTGTACAATCGAAAAACGTATGCCATCAAGAAATTCGATATGTTCTTTGTCGTCATAAGCAGGTTTTACGAAATAAAGCACAATGGAAAGCAGGTCGACCTAAATGCTTTTTTGTCGTAAAAGTTTGAGCTTCTACTAGAATCTAGTTACAATTCGCTCAATTGCTAATTTAGCTCAAAATTCATAAAGTTTGAAGGTTGTGAAGTAGCTTGCATTTATAATTTCTTTATATCTTTCAATAACTGTTCAATTTATTGGAGGTGAGGTGATGTGTATAATACTGATTACACCACACCAAAGTAAAATGAACTTTCATTCTAGTTACATAGTTGCGATGAAGACGTTATCTTGTCATATTCAAGATACCTTACTTATCTCATCAATTTCCTTTTCTTCAAAGTCACCCATTGCAGGTCACCTCATTATTCACGTTTTTAAACGCTTGAAACAAATCCGAGCGAAAGATTTGCCCTCCACTTTGCATGGTGTTGGTTTTTGGCCTCTGAAACATGTCATTCGGAGGCCCATTGATGTTAAAGATTCATTCATTAGTAAAGGTTCATTAATAAAATATATAAATGTTAGTCCGTTTACTAAGAAATTGTGTTCTTTTTAATATTACTAGTTAACCAATGTTAAACCATTTACTGTCACACTATGAACATGTGTTTATGATTATCACCGAGAGTATAAATCTACGTTTGTCAGCGACATTTTCTTGTTCGCCCATTGTCATCAATATGCAAACTCTTTTTGCCATGATAATCAAAGTCTTGTTGTCATGATGAACCCGGTTTTGGTGGTACCCATAGCACAGACTATTCCAAGACGTCAGGTCTTCAGTCACGCATCAACCATGGAGCGAGTGGACTAATTAGAAGTTGCTTCTACCAAAAGTCTAACACTCGGGATGTTCAGGAATTGATATACGCACTTCCTTCATTTTAGATACGGGTGAACCGTTAGGCTTTTTTGGGTATTTTTTATCACTAAATGGCCCAGTTTCCTCGTAATCCATTACCTTGAAAATAATGGACAAAACTTAGACAGATAGCAACACATGAAATGTTTCCCAATTCACTCCTTGTCATCAAAAATATCTTGTTTCTTTGTTCTTATGACTGTGATCTATATTCCTGCAAGAAATGTTTACCTTTTCATTCACCTATTGAGATGAAATCTGAGAATTTCATTAGATAAAGTCATAATACTATCTTTCCTTTCATTCTGTCAAGTGTATTTAAATCAATATATTAGTCTAATTCACTCACTTTTTGTCGCTTTGTCATTTCCACGGTTTCTATTTCACTATCTTGATTATAATCTTCTTCCTCTAAGGTTGAAATAACAGACGAGTACCTACTTCGACTACGAAACGATCGTCGTCGTCCGTTATAATTCTGTTGTTCATCATTCGAAAGCGAATTCTCTGGAGTGGCGAACTGCAGGCCATGTAAATCACTGTTTATTATCTTCTTATTTACCCGCTTAGGTAATTTCATTTTAACCTATGGTAAAAGATACCACTTCATGTTTTGGCCATTTGGTAAACGTTGAAAACGCGAGATGGAGTTTTCTTTGCGTTTCAATGTTGAAAAAGACCTTGGGTCAATGCTTACATGAAACTTTTCATTAGCTCGATTCCCATTGGGGATTTCCTCGTTATGATGAATGACGTACCTTAGCATAATTGTTGTATAACGAGAAGTTGCTAGCAACAACTGACACGGGCAAGGCCATCATCAAAACACCACTCAGTGCGCATGCGCCTCCCACTAATTTTCCATACAAAGTTGTAGGCGTGATATCACCATAACCTATATAATCATTGAGTATACAATCAGTATTACAGGATATATTTTCCCTGCAGAACATAGGAGGAGTTGACTTCTCGTCTGGAAGCCTTACCTACGGTTGTCATGGTGATCAACGACCACCAAAAGGAGGCGGGAATACTTGAAAAATGTTTGTTGTGGTTTTTTTCTGCGTAGTATGCTAAGGAACCGTAGGTAACTACCAGTGTTGAAAAGATAAAAAACAGAAGGAAAAGTTCTCGTAGACTTCCCATTAACGTCTTTATGAACACTTGAAGCACATAGGAAAAACGATAGGCCCGAAACGCTCGATAGAAACGTAACACGTAAAGTAGTTTCAACACACGCAAACCCTCGTATGGAAACGCAAGTATCAAATAAAATGGTAGAAAGGCCATCACATCAAGCCATGTTTGTATTAATTTCAAAAATGATTTCTTGTCTGGACAAGTCAACAATCGAGCCACGAATTCAAAACTAAACCAACTTATCAAAGCTTTTTCGAAAAGGTATAGGATATGCCACGTGTCATTATCGACCAAAGTTGAAATCCAGAATAGAATAACGACTACAAATGCCAGTATTAGGGAGATGAGACTGAACACCTTTAAAAGAATAACGACTAGAAATGTCAGGATTAGTGAGCTTAGTAAACGATCTAACTAACTAAACAGGTTTGCAACCTGGTTTACAACAGTATCAGCTCATTTTTCTGATTTGTAAATTGTAATATAGGCTTTACTAGATAAAACTGTCACTGCTTATTTGAATACATAGTGAGTTGAATTGTGAAAATGTTAATATTAATCAAACGCACTAATAACGTATGAATAGTCATTAAAACAGTCGAATTTGACAGCTCACGACAGTGAAAAAATATTTTCAATAGATATCAGATGAAGACATGTTTTGCCAAAAATTTTATTTAGCTCTTTGTGATTGCATTAAAAAACAAGTCATTTCAAAGTTCGACTGCATCGTAGCTATATACACAGTTGCTGTCATGTGATCAAGAAGTTTACGTTTATATTTTGAACTTTCGTACAGCAAACATGCGCCAAGGAAAAGTTCTTAAAATTAGCAAACAAAACGCAATCAGTTACTGGAATTAAACTGCATTGGAACTATAGAAACTATACATTTTTAAAATAATGCGTAAATTTGATAACTGATGCTAATGCCGTTATTACTTTTTTGCTCCGATACAATGGGAACTAAGTGATAGAGCGTCGAGTATCACTTAAAAAGTACTAGAAATGACAGTAGATGATGAAAAAGTATTCAAATAGTCATTTATATCGCATTACGTGTAGTTGTTTTTAACAACTTTTTAGCATAACATATCCATTCTTTTGCACTGTCATGATTTAATTATTGTCTTCGCTACGCATGCGTGTACAGTGTGGAAGCGACGACAATAATTACTTTGCTTGAGTGGAGCGACGGCATTAAGGCGCGATTATTATGAGAATTGCAATTTGAAACAAAATATAACACACTTGTGTGACACTAATTTTGTCTAATTATACAGTAAATTTCAACCTTTATAAGACGAAAACAAACAAGTATTTTTTGACGGAAAATTATTGCTTGAATTAAATCAGAACAAGAAAGAAAAAAAATGCTTCCTAGTGGTACATGTCTGTGATTTTAACTATGGCAAGTTTTTCTTTGAAATATTGAGGCATATCTATACTCATTATGCTTGATATAAATTCGCCTTTATGTCATAATTACAGTTAATTCTTTTAAATCAGCAAAACTATTATTTTGTTGCAAATTATGCATAATAGGTGTATACATCTTCTATAAAAAATACCCTAAATGTTTGTGCATGTGCTGGTGGTCACGTCACTATAATAACGCTGCTGGTAAAAGTTGAACATTGTATGTTCACTCTGGATGGCATATGAACGTACTTTTTCATCTTATTATTTTCTCATTTTCACTGCTATTTTTGCCTAGGTTAAATCTCGAAAATATTGCAGAATGTACTTTTAAAAATATCTATGGTCTTATAACGTGGAAATTATCGAAAAAAATAGTCAAATTGACGTTGTTGGTAACGTATTTTTCCATCTGTTTCATTTTAATAAAATATGACATTTTTCAAGAAACAAGCTGAATTCACTGACAGCTGAGTGAAATGGAAAATTATTGCTTTCATCAGAAAATATTCCAATCGAATTGCAAACATTTTAGGGCATAAAAAACCATACCGTAATCTTTATTAAAATACAATTCATGTGATATGCAGACGGCAAACACGACATCTGCGTAAAGGCGTGTAACAGGTGAACGATAAAATTTCTTGTTAAATTTATGTTGAAAGTATGAATGATAAGCCTTACATTTGAAGTGTTCAGAAATATTATAAATATCTTAAATACTTAAGTAGGCACTCACCCATGCCCACTTTGACGACTTTGGCTTCTCTAATAACTTCCACACGAATTTTGCGCATTTATTCCAAGATTTTTTTAACTGCTTAGTTCGTTTGTCGAGACGGCTTGGTTCGTGTTTCTTTGTTTCACAATCATCCTTAAAAATATCATCAATATTTTCAATTTTTTCCTCTTCATCCGACGGGCACTCTACAAAGCTCTCTTTGTCATCCATTGGTCCAAAGTCTCGCAGTTTTTCTTCCAATTCATTATGCTCATCGTAGTAAGACCAACAACACGGTTCTATAAGCTTTGGGTTAATGCCCCAAAAACTCAATTCCTCCTCAAACATTGGTCCGCATATATCTCTTGGAGCATGAAGCTTACCGGTCCTAAAATAGTTCAATATGTGGGAAAACATTCCCGGGTGACGGTCAAAGAAGAACTCACGGTTAGGACGACGATCCTGTACGACTCGTTCTCTAATCCATGACAAACGTGTGTCAGTAAAATTATTCAACGTGCTTAAACGGGTTTCGTGCTTTTGACCGCCAACGTTCAAAATCACTTTCAGTAGATCATCAGAATTTTGATTCACATAATCGTTGCTACCAATCGTTGTCCTCTTGGACATATTCACGATTGTTGCGCCAACTGGCCGAGTTCAGTTGTAACTATCGTTTAGCGTCAAAAATAGAGACGACGATGCCGGCTACTGTCTCAACAAGAATGTGTTAGTTAAGACGATAAAAACGATTCGTTCTATAGGTAAAAACACTCTTTTGTCACTTCATATGTCGTATCTATGTGTGATACACAGCGTCATCTACTGTTATTGTCCTTTGTTGGCCAACTGCAGCTTACAAACACTCGTCCAAATGCTAACGTGTAAATAGAGGAGAATATTATTCAGCAACTTGCACCAATGAGCAAGCTGCATTCCATATGTTTACTGTCTTTGGCAAACAGATGTCATGTCGTCTGCCGTGTTTTTTGTAGCGATTAGCATTAATTTTCTTGTCATGCAAGACAATCTCTTATCCGTTCCTCACAGCTTATGCGCGAGTTGTTATTCAGGACTTGTACGATACGTTTATTGGTTTATGCCTATCTCTTTCCAGATCTTCAGTTGTCAAGTATTTCCTGTCAAAAGTTGCTTTTGTGTCGCAAGATGTTCTTCAGTTAAAAAATGTTCTCTTGAAAAGACACATGTCAGTTTTACTTATGATAGATATCTTCCGGCATCCTGCTATGGCATTTTAAAACTTTAACGATGTTTTCTTCTTCAACTTCTATCATAGTTGCCAACCTATGTAAATATGTAATATAGATACAATCAATCAATACAAAAGTTGCTGTGCAGTGTGCACGGTCTGTTACGATGGGATGGGAAGAGTTATCGCTTGTTTAAGTGATTTTTTGGGCCGTCTATGGTTGAAATGAGAGTTGTCAAACTTTTGCAAAAAATAAGACCTTCTTCAATGTTCATTGCCATACATAACGTGGAAGTCACGCGAGATAGCGTGCGTGACAAACATTGCACAAAAATCAAAGAATATATTTACTATTTAAATAAATCGATTGCATAAAAAATCTAAATAGATTTCTGGGCCGCTTATGTTATAATTTTTATTTTATAATCCAAAGTTTCGACAGTTTCACAAGATTGTATTTATAACATGGTAAGATTTTATTACTATGATATGATAAAAAATACATATTTTTCAGTGTACCTTAAAGTTTAACCCGAAATTATGTGAATCAAATCAATCAACGTAAAATATTGTTCGAATTTTCGGTGAATATTGTACAATAATAATTTGTACTTCACTTTTACACTTTGACAGTCGGGTGGCTTAGTTATATGTGATATTGATGAAGACCTTTGAAGAAAATAAAGAAATTTAAGATGCGCAAGGAGAAAAATAATGCTGCTATAATCAGTTAGTAAATTGTTTTCTGCAAAGATGTGTCGATATATTCAGCGAAATGGATTGAATTGGCTATTTGTTTCATAGTGAAAATCAACCAAGAGAAACTACTTATTGAGGAAGATGAAGAGTTAGTTGTAAGATTTGGGTTTGTTTTACGCCTATGAAATGTTTATTAAGCTGTGCTAACATTGCAGAATTAAAAATATTCTTTTTGGCACCATGTTTTACTATTGTTTAAGGTTGTATTGGTCAAAAGCTAAACTAAACAATACATATGTGTATATCAGCATTTAATCATTTCTTTCTTCAGGATATGACAATTGAGGAGTTTCAGGAATCTTTGCCAGCGCATATACCTTCATATCCTTTGATACCCTCTTTGGACAATTTAGATATTACAGCTGTCTTTTGTTTTTATTGCTATATACTTATAAAAATTTCTTGACTAATATTCAGATATTCTGTCGTTTCATATGTTTACAAACATGATGATGGTCGTGTTTCATATCCATTTTTCTTCCTTTATGTTTCTCCTCAAGGTGTACTTTATATAAAATTTAAAACTGGTTTCAGCACTTTCTCTTTCTTTTAAATTGTTTTGTTTAATTCTTTTCTACCAAAAAGTCATTAATGGGTTTTTTGGGCAGGTGCAAGGAGTGACACCCCCAAGCATCAAAATTCACCCCTCTAAAATCCAGACCATTACTTTGTGTTACATCACTTCTTTTCAGCTCACCCCTATAAAATTTTAGCACCTCCTTGTAAAAAATATGAAAATCTGCCCATGCTAATAATGTTTTCATTCATTTATGCAGGGTGCAAGCCTGAACTTCAAGTGATGTATTCTGGATCAAAAGTGAATTTAGTCCATCAGTGTGGGGCAACAAAGGTTAGTTCTCCATTCAAACCTGTTTAGGCTCTCTCTTTAGTTGACAACATTTATTTTTAGAGATTTAAATGTGGTTATTTTTTTACCTTGTGTTAGGATTTTGAAGTAAGAAATGTGGATGAAATTAGTGAGGACTGGTTGAAAGAAAAATTGAGATTCTTCAGATGAGTTTATGTGAATGACATCTCTTACTACTTAATTGAAAACAGTGAATTGAATGTAAATTTTCTACTAATCATACATTATGCATTGTATGTCTACATAAGTATTTTTCCACCAATTTTAAACATTTTCGTTAAAACACAATTTATGAAAATTAAATATAGTGTCTTGTTGTTATCCTGACTGATGAAAACAAGTTAATGCGTAGATCATCAGTGAATGTCATTTGTAGTAGTAGCTTGTAATTTATATTTTTGAAAGCCTGTGTTTTTTTACAAAATGGCCAAGTGGGGAGAAGGCGATCCTAGGTGGATAGTAGAAGAACGAGAAGATGCCAAAAACGTAAATAATTGGCATTGGTAAGTGCGTTAACATGTGTTCCTTACCATGCCTGAGTGAAATGAAATTCTTACGTAATAACTAATGTTGTTTTCAAGCCGATTTCGTTTACAGCTTACGACCACCACATTCATGTTTTGTAAAGAATGAATTATAATTCTCATGTTAAACAACGCTTTGTTTGTTAAAGGCAGTTACAATGATAGAGGGGTTTTTTTGATAATTTTTCCACCCAATGGTACTTTGACCTTAGCTCGTCATTTAGCATGCTGCATTATGAACCAAGTCAGAATTATTTCAAATTTTCATTTTAAAATTTTTGTGTTTGGTTTATCCTTAAAGAGATAACGTAAAACTAAAGAATTTTTAAATTAGGAGTGAAAAAAATGCAACACCCTGGTCAAAAGCTCGTCTTAAAGAATTATTCACAAAATTACAACTAAACTTTGAAGGAGGTTAGTTAGAATGATTCAGTGCATTGTAAAAAGTTTACATTGCACTTGAATATTTGGATTTTTGTTCAGGTGAATGTGAAATAGTGGAAGTAACAAAACTAGAGGGAGAGGCGACGGCCAAGTATGACCGAATCATTTGATTTCTTCCTAATTTACTCAATATCATTATTTGTGTTTCTTTTACATGATGGTTAATTGATATTTTCTTGTTTTAATGTTCTTTTATCTGTAGCAATCGTAAAGCAAAATTAATTTTCTTTTATGAGTGGGAAATGAGTCTGGAATGGAGCGGCTCTTTGACTGATGGTGATGATATTATCAAAGGGACTATTAAGATACCCAATTTAAGTGAGGAAAATGAACCTGAAGATATTACAGTAAGTTTATCTCATATTTTTTGGAGAAAAACCAAACTGGAAAGTTTGCAGAATGTGCAAGGAAAATGGAAATTTAGCTGCCATTTTGCACGGGTAGAGTTTTTAAATTTATACAGGTTATTTTACAAATATAGTGGTTGTTGTTTTAAAATCTTACCCAATTACATATGTTCAGGCATATCTATGTCAAAAGTGCTTGCCAGATATCTCTGGAGATGCAAACTTTCCAGTCTTTCCAGTTTGGGAAAGAGACAAAAGATAATACATGTATGTTTGCATGCTAGATTGTGTTTAGCACTGAGAAAGAGAATGAAGAGTCTTATAAACTAAAACAGCTGTTGATAAAACATGGGACACCACTGATACGAAAAAATCTTTCCAAATATATCAAAGAATTGAGAGAAGGTCTGTAATGATGTTATAAAGTCTTACATGAAGTATTACTTATACTTTAATTGTTTTCCAGAATTTAGTCAAGGTTTGGTATTACCTACAAAAACATCCACAAATAAAGTTAACATCAACAATGATTCAAGTATAAGTAAGGTAAACTAAATGTTCAATAAAAATAATGACCTTAGAAATGTTTAAAACTGATGTTGATCCATGTAGGAATTCAAAAAGGCTCAGATTAATGATGCAAAGCCACAAAAAAAAGGTTAAACTTTATTTCTGGTTTATATTTATGTTCTTTATATCAGATCATTTTTTGCCTAAATAATTGTTTCTGCATGATTTGTTGCCAGAATAATGTTTTACTTTTATAAGATGATAAATCAGTTGGTTGTCGGATTGAAACAACAAAATTCTCGGCAAATGAAGAGTTCCTTACTTCAGCAGGAGAGCTTTATCATATTTTGACAAACGAAGAGGTAATAGATAAAATTTAGAAGAAACTATGTTCAACCTAGAGTAGTAAAATCCAGTTATATAGTAATCCATAATATTTAATTCCTGACTCCTTTCAAGAGGGTTAAAGGCTTCTCAAGATCAGATGTGAAAATGGATTCCATGAAAGGAGGATCATTTGTTATGTTTGGTGGAACAATAAGTGGAAAATTTTTAGAGCTTGTATGTCATGATGTCAAAGTATATTTCTTACATTGTTGTCATTTTTACATTTTTAATGTTGATTTATACTTTTAGCTTCCAGATAAGAAAATAACAATGTTGTGGCGTTTTAAGAATTGGCCTACAGGTAGCTTTTTCTTTATCTTTGTGAATATCTATGGTTTGATTTTGTCTGAAAAATTTCTTTTATCTGTATAGAGCATTATTCAACAGTTACTATGGAATTATACCAGAAAGATGATAGAACAGAGTTGAAATTCACACAAACTGGTATCCCCAAGTCAGATTTGGAGAGAACAAAACAAGGCTGGACACAGTACTATTGGTCAAGTATAAGACATACGTTTGGGATTGGACTGAAGTATTTTTGAACTGTGAATTTTTGATAGTTGCCACAAAATGGCATGGATCAGCTTTGCGCATCTCATGAAACTGCTTAGCATAAATGAAAGCTTTGTGTAAAATAGCAAAGATTAAGAGAATTTACAATCAACATGAAAGATGTATTTGGATTGTGGTGGACCTTTTTTAATGGAGATTTTTCTAGTTATGGTCATCTTTTTTCAGATTAGTTCTATGTTTCCTTTGACATAAAAAGGACATTCTTGACGATGATGAAAACTTGTTTTGATATGTGTTACATAAAGTATTGCATGCTAGTCAATATGGTTTCCACCAAATGTGGTATGTTTCGCTGCAGTAAAATGGCATATACAACCACAAATACAACCATCCGACTGGTGCAGCTTAAGAAAGACATTTCAGGCTTCAATTTAGTGAAAATTTTTAAAATTTCATGTTTGAGAACAATATTTCTTCGTGTATCCATGTTTTTTAGGAGTTTACAACATCAAACGTTCGAAGCAAGGCACCACAACCGATCAACAGGGTTCAGAACTCATAAATATCTATCTGAGAAGTCTGGCTTGGAGAATGATACTTAGACTAATTATACTCTAACTTTGTTAATTCAAGAACACAGTACTGGACTACTGGTTTTTGTTAATTGGGGTATTTTTGGATTACACTGGCTAAATGTATCAATTCAGAAAGAAATTCAGAAGCTCAAATGAGTTCTTTTACAATAACATTGAGAGGAAAGGAAACACATGAATTGATGATGTGGTATGAATTTTGAAAGTGTTCTTTTTATTATTTGTAGTTCCACAAATTCATTATTTTATCAGATTAAAAGTATGTGCATATTTTTAATTAAATAATGTTCTTTATTTTAAAGTAAATGGTTTGAACCCGGGAGTATCGTTACATGTTTGTCATTTGACTCTGAAGATGACTACCGCTAAGGTTGTTGAAACATCAGTCAACAACAACAAAAACAGTCCTTCTCAGGACTATACCAACCTGGACAATCTCCATGTACAAACATGTTCTTTATTTTGTAGGATTTGCAAAATATCCTTACCAAGGAATTTATCTCTATTATGACAGAGGAATCCAAACAACCATATCATCATAATCAAGTAGTTCTCACTTTATACTTTATACCACTAGTCGTGCTTTTAATGTGTTATATAAAATAACAATATGCTTTATAATTGCTTATGCATGAAACACTGTGTAAAAACTTATTAATTAAATGATATTTTGAAACTGTAAGTGTGAATGATTATTGCATACTTTTTGTTTCAGAGTCATCTGTCACCTATTGGCCACTATATTGGGCTATTGCTACAGTTTGACTTTGCATCAAATATATATCATGTCAGAAATCATTTGTTGTTCATATTTATGATGCAAACATAAAAGACAAATTTTGAAAAAATGAAAATCCCGTTTTCGGTCCATGCCTCCCGATGAGTGTTTTGATTTGATGCCTATTCCTTTCGGCTACTCTGCGAGAGAACAAGAGTTCGGAATGAATTTGAGGTGTTGCAAATAATTGGAAAAAGGGGGGTTTGCTTCAGTTGTTAAAGTAACTTTTTATTACATACAACATCGTTTAAATGGAGGGTAATTTGGCACATCACACTCAAAACAAATCATCGTTCCAACTGTAAGTCTGTATTATAAAGATATTTTTGTGCACTAAATGAAAAATTGGTTGTAAGTGCGCTTGAAAAACCTTATTCCAGACTTCAAAATATTCCAGCTTTGTCCTGTATGTACGAGGCATACTTGAAAGAGCTGAATTCTAAACCGAGAAGCGGGTGCTGAGCTGATCACGTTGTTGAATAGGAAAATATAAAAATGTAAGTGTATTGCATTGCGATTTTGGGGCTGAAGTTTATAATCCTCTGTATTGAAAACAATGATCAAATACACAGCTTTAATGTACTCGTTAGATTTTTAATTTGTCATGAAAGCACACACAATGTAAAATTTACTTTTTTCTGTAATATGACTGCTAATTAGGCAGAGGTCTTTGTGAATGTCTTTATTTTCCCATTCAGGGAGGTATTGCGATAAATTTTCAAATTTGTCCGCCATTTTTTTATAAACATGAATTTTCTGTGACGTCAATTCCGTGCGTATGCCTTTTATAGATCATAGCTCTCGACCAATGAAATTGCTCAAATTCCTCTGGTTATTATATATGACATTAATATATGTTATGGCCATTGAGGTCTTATAGAACTCAATGGTTATGGCCCAGTTATCTTTAGGTCAGAGGTGGGCACGTATTTGGTCAGCGGAGACCCTCATTTATACATTTTTTAGATGGTTTTATTTGTATACGCCAGAAAATGGATGCGAAACATATATCAAATTCTAAAGAAACAGACGAAGACAAGATAGAACAGGCGGAAAGATACAAAGCGGAGGGCAATGAATTGTTTAGAAATGGTGATTTCAAACCTGCAATCAAAAAATATCATTATGGCTTATTGTATATCAAAGGCATCGGCGAAAAGCATCCGGTTACAGGAGAGCAACATATTTTGACAAGTGAATGGAAATTACGTCACGATCAAATGAAGTTTGGTTGTTATAATAACCTAGCAGGTGTCACATCGTTTTTATTTTATTGATGGATTTTTACACTGTGTATTGTAAATAATTATTTTCACTAAGCTTGCTTGATGAAAGAGAGAAAATGGGAAAAAGTGATAGAATATTCTAATAAGGTATGAGATATCTTATTTTAAGTGAGGTAAGACCGTAAAAGATATCTTGTCAATTAGCTATCTAATTGTTTACGTCAGTATAGTTGTTAGAATGAATTCACCTGTGCTTGGACATTGGTCAACCACAACATGTGATGCAACATGTTATAACACAAGAATATGGCCAATAGTCTCATTGTATAATTCAGGCTTTAGAAGTTCAACCAGATAATCTGAAAGCATGGTTTCGAACTGCGCAAGCACACTTTCACTTGGGAAATTTGGATAAAGCACTGGAAGGGATAAAAAAGGCTGAAAAGATTGAGCCAACTGGTGAGTATATTAAGTTTACTATCACTGCTTAATTACCACATTCTTATCCATAATGATCAAATCCTTTTATAGATGTAAATGTCAAAAAGTACCATGTAAAAATTGAGCAAGAACTGCGGAAATATAGAGACAAAGAAAAGGCAATTTATGCTGGAATGTTCAAGTAATGAGGATAACAATTTAAATACAAAATATTTATTACAAGCATTGGGTATTGAAATGTTTTAGATATTGAAATTTTTTATATTTTATTGAAAGACATTAATGTATCAAAATTTCTTCAATATAAGTTATTTGCATGGAATTTATGTAACCTTAAAAGCCAATCCTGCCAAAAATGTTTGCACTGGTTTAAACATAAAACATGAACATCAGCTGGAGAACCATCTTCATAAGCAATTACCAAGACACAATTTCTAATTAATGTTCCCCTTGTTTTATTAGTAGCATTAATAGCACCTGCATATGCAACCATTTGTATTGGATAGTCACCACATTCATCAAGATTCTTCTTGCGATGTTGACTTGTCTTCCATTCTACGATACAGGGAATATCTTGGTAAAGTGCTAATGTGTCCATTTTACCTTGATAATGTAGAAATGGATGATGAATTGCTGCCTCGCTAACAATGTTGCCAGTCAAGTCATTAAGAACATCTTTTGTGCTTTCCACAAAACCTTTCATTCTTTCTGGAATAATGCAATGTAATTTGTCTATTGCTAAACATTTGTGGATGAAATTGTGAAACTCTGTTCCCTTCCTTTTTGCATTGTTCATTTTATCTTGGAAAGCATCTTCACCTAAAAGAGCTTTCTGCTTTTTCATCCAATGAGAAATTGCAAATAGTTTGCTTTTTGGAGTTGTATTTCGCAGAATCTTACTTACGCTGGGAATTCCTTTCACTTTAGGAGGGCTTTGCCCTACTAAATCTTGAGAAGAAAATATGTCTTCAGGTAAATCATTGGTATTTGGTACGACCTTAAAGTGACGTACTTGCCCAAGGCCAGCAGTGGTTTGTTCTATTGTTGAGCTATTTATTCTCCAGATATTGTTGAAGGAATTTTTACTAGATAATGACAACCCTTGTAGGTTTGGTGTAAAATATTCCGCATTTTGCACAGGTAGAAATGGATGTTGTAAAATATCACTTTTAGACAAAATATCTTTGTGGAAGTTGACCAGATCTATCTGCATCTGAATCGTCTTTGTGTTCGCTCGAATGCCCAGTTTTTTGCACCATTTTTGAAGTTCCCGCCTCGACATGTGGGCGATCTCATGGGAATCAAACCATTTTTCAGGGAACAAGGCACTTTTGTGATTGTATTGATCAGTAAACATTTTACTGAAAGCCTTTTGAAGCCTTACGGTTTTCAAAATCCTCATTGGATTTGCGCAATTTTTGGTGAGAATCATGTCTTCTCAAGTTGTTATGTCATCATTAGTTTGATATGTTTTGATATGCTTAGATAACGCCATTGTGTATTTTTGCCCGCGGGTCAAACACACCAGGGGCTCCGTTATATTTTTGACATTTTAAAACAATTTTGGTGAATTACATATAGTTATTTCGCTTAAATTTGAACAATTGTCAATGTTTAGTCGTAAATTAAAGGCTTTAGGCTATCACAGTCACGACTGTTTTGATGTTAATGGTAGGATTTTCATTTATATTCCTGTGTTAACTTTTAAGTAGTTGATTTTTGAAAGTGTCATCACAAAAAATTACAATAAGACCCAATAACTCGACAAATATTTCAAATTAGAACAAAAGCAGTTCTCTGCGGTTATTGTGTGGTTGGAAGATATCAAAATTCGCCTTTACAAGATCGAGGAGCGAACTTTATTAAGGGCAACGGACCATAAAGATTGGCCTTTGGCATTTAAGCAGGTTTTTTTTCACTTTACATATTTACATTTGATTGATTATGAATTGAATTATTAAATATTAACCACGTCATGTAGTATATTGCGGATTTGGAATGTCCTGTAAATTCTGAAAGAAAAGAGCAAGTACTTGACTGGCTTCTAGGTCATGCCATTCGACTTGAATATGCTGACAAAGGTTTGAATTTTACTTGTATTCCAGCCTGGAAAGTTTGTAAAATGCATACCTGAGATTCAAAATTTGTGCTCATTTTAAATAGTCTATTTTTCTCAAAATGTTGCACCTGTGTTTTCAGATGTGCAGTACAAATTGTGCAGTCTGACTAAATATTATAAGCTTTATTAGTTTTGTATTGACAGTTTAAAAGTTGACATGGTCTTATAGCTTCACAAATAAATGAAATGTGGATGGACCAAAAGGCCAGAAAACAGCACCAAAAGAATAACTCTGTTGAAACTGAGGATTCCATATGGAACATTCAAGGTAGTTTGAACTGTTAGAGTTAACACACTGCATATGTTTGTTAATTTTATGGTATAAATAGTATGTGCTAATGTTTTATATCTATAGTTGATGATCCCAATTTGAAAGCTGGCATTTTATCTTTGGCAAGTATGTTGAAAATTCCAGAACATGATGATCTGCTTTTAAAATTACAAGTGAGTGTTTTGTTTATTTGAGCATCTTCATCAGAGTCTGGTCTGCACTGCGTTTTACAAAGATTTAAGTTGGCAACTTGCCTTTTACTAAGGTTTAAGATTTATCATTGACAACATACCTTTTACTAAGGTTTAAGATTTATCATTGACAACATACCTTTACTAAGGCTTAAGCATTGTTGGCAACTTGCTTTTCACTAAGGTTTAAGATTTATCATTGACAACTTGCCTTTCACAAAGGTTTAAGATTTATCATTGACAACATACCTTTCACTAAGGTTTAAGATTTATCATTGACAACATACCTTTTACAAAGGTTTAAGATTTATCATTGACAACATACCTTTTACTAAGATTTAAGTTTTATCGTTGGCAACTTGCCTTTCACTAAGGTTTAAGCAACAACTTTTTACTTGAATTTTGAGTTTGTTGTAAAAAAATTTAAGAGTAGGAAACATTCTCAAATGGGCTCAATCAACTGTTAATTATCAGGGATAATGCAAACTGTTAGATGGAGGTGATTAAGTAATTGGAAACTAAACTGATTATTGTTCTAGTGCAGTTGTATGAAAATTCGATTTTCGATTACTACCATTTATTCAAATTTCAATGTTTATTTGAATTTATGTTGCTTTTATATTCAGGCCATCCGTGCAATAATTGAAAATAAAATGACCCCAGAATCTCAAGCTAATGCAACATCACAGGTTACAATTGTTTAAAAGAAGTAGAAATGTTGTGTCAATATTTACTTTTGCAAAGATTGCTTCAATTTTTTATTGTTTTTTTGGTGTAGAAAAAATCTGATCTTAATGCAAAGTTTCTACAGAATATGAGTCTTGGTTTTGATACTGGAGGTAACCTTTAGTATAAAGAAACTTTCCTATAATATAAAGCAACTCAGTTCTGTGTAAGGCAATATTCATCAAAACTGTGTTGTTTTCATCCATAAACTATATCATAAATTTTATTGGCCTTAATGTAGTTTTGAAATAATGATTTTTCACATCAGTCATGTCACATCAAGACATTATGAATTCATGGATTGATGTAATTTTTTATTCCAATGATCTTTGATCCATGTAAATGGAAGTGATCATATTCACTTCACTTTGTCGACAATAAATGATTTGAACCAAGGAGTATCATTACATGTTTGTAGATGTAGATTGTCCAGGTTAGTGAAGTCCTAAGGACTGTTGACGTTGATGTTAATTGTTGTTTCAACATTCTTAGCTGTAGTTATCTTCAGAATCAAATTTTCACAATAGATGCCCATCTATGACATTTATTTCTCACTTTTCTCTAAGGATGACTGTCACGAAGGATGTTTAAAAATCAGTCAATTCCAACACCAGCAGTCTTTAGAAATGCTCAAATTAAGACAAGCTACTTCTACAAACATGAAAACAATTGTTTTTTGATTCTTATATCTTCCATCTCGCTTTATTCAAGGCATTCTTACATCTTGTACGATTCATTGTGCTGTTTTCTCCTAACCAATTCTCTCATTCTGCACCAATAGCTTTTTCATGTTTTCGTTTGGTTATTGTGGCAAAACTACAAACTCTAAGAGTTAATGTAATACTCAGTAAACAAACTTCTGTTTCTTTATCAACAACTTTATTTTCGTTAAGTTTTAACTTGCTTGTCTTTGTCTGAGTAGCTAACTATATAAGTTTTGCTTAATTAGTTTAACTTCCTTCACAACATCGTAAAATTATCTGTGTGAATTCATAGATCTTTATTTTCGTTAAGTTTTAACTTGCTTGTCTTTGTCTTGGTAGCTAACTATATAAGTTTTGCTTAAGTAGTTTAACTTCCTTTACAACATCGTAAAATTATCTGTGTGAATTCATAGATCTTTATTTTCGTTAAGTTTTAACTTGCTTGTCTTTGTCTTGCTAGCTAACTATATAAGTTTTGCTTAATTAGTTTAACTTCCTTCACAACATCGTAAAATTATCTGTGTGAATTCATAGATCTTTATTTTCGTTAAGTTTTAACTTGCTTGTCTTTGTCTTGGTAGCTAACTATATAAGTTTTGCTTAAGTAGTTTAACTTCCTTCACAACATCGTAAAATTATCTGTGTGAATTCATAGATTCAGCTGTCAATGAAGCTGCAAAAATTCTTCGTCTTCTTCATGTCTCTGAACTCCGCGAACTTCAGACGAGCATTACGCAGGCTATTGTTGCTGTGCAGTCACATACAGCTAATCCCAAAACTGACACAAAACTTGGAAAAGTTGGAGTTTAAACAAGTGATTGTATGAATAAATGTAAGGTATGACCGTGTTTTGTGATTTCATTGTCAACGTCACAGATAGTAAATATTTGTTTAGTAATGAACAGGGTTGTTGCGTTTATCAAGGAATGTTTTTGTCAACATGGCAAATGTACAAAGTTGTGCTCATTGAGTTGTATATAAACATTGTGTTCTTTATGAAAATTGAGTTCTATATGAACATTGAGTTCTTTATGAACATTGAATTATTTATGAACATCGAGTTCATTATGAACTTATTGAGTTCATTATGAACATTGAGTTCTTTGTGAACATTGAATTATTTATGAACATCGAGTTCATTATGAACATTGAGTTCATTATGAACATTGAGTTCTTTGTGAACATTGAATTATTTATGAACTTTAGTTCTTTGTGAACATTGAATTTTTTATGAACATCGAGTTCATTATGAACATTGAGTTCATTATGAACATTGAGTTTTTTTGTGAACATTGAGTTTTTTTATGAACATTGAGTTCTATCAAATTATTACAAAGCACAATTGTTGCTTAAATGGTTTTGGCCTTCGTTTCTGTCGTGACTGCTAATGATGAGGACTAAACTGTATGTGATCATTGAATAAACCCATTACCATTCATGGATACCAGCCATGTAGTATATAAGTCTCGTGATGTCATTTAATAGAAATATGTATAGCATAGAGTTATTATGATATTTAGCAAAGAATCATGATGATGTGTCGTGTGAAAGCAGATATGTTGATGATTGAGTTGTGGTAAAAAATGTTCATATAAAAAAATGCAAAGAAAAGCCTAATAAGGCTGTGGACAATTTATTGCAAGTTATCCTTTTGAACTGCTGAAGTTTTATCTTTGCAAACATGAACAACGATAAATTTTATTTCATATAGTTTGACTCGTTGAAATTGATTTTCACACAAATGAAACTTTAACGGAATTTACGAAATGATTTGCGCGTTAATTTTAATACGAAATTAATTTTCACAACTGAAAATCACTTTCTGATTTAAAACCTAATTTCCGCGATCAACCGTATGTATAAGATAATGACATACTGTTTTCGAAATTTTCTAAAGGAGTGACATTTTCTCTTATCTTTTTTTTTTCTTTCAATCAATGTAATTCGTACTGTAATGCTATAAACGTAGTATACTTATTTTTCATTATGATATGCTGTGCAAATTTTTTTGGGTTGTGAATGTCAACAAGTAGCCTGTGTATCTAAAATTATATCATGTTTTTTTTACAACCACAGTCTTGGTATTTCAATGTCATAGTAATAGCCAATGGTGGTGCAAATTGGATTATTGTTAGCCGGTTGCAATATGGACATTATCTGTTGAAAGGAACAAGGAAAAACCTCACGCTAATGACGAATTTTTTATCGAAACTTTATTCTAAATTCGAAAAGTTTATCTCAGATTCATGAAAATGTTAGAATAAATATTTTAAAGGCCACTTTCATCCAGCAGAAATTCAAAATGTCTGCATCGGTCCTGTCTAATGCCAGTTGATGCATCCCAATTTATTGATAACATTTATAGCTTTCGCCAATAGAAAGACCATTCGTGCCCCCCATGAACAAATATTGACCAATAAGATGGCTGAAAAAAATTGACACATTTTTGACAGTGGGAGGAACAAAGTTTGCAAGAAAACTTGATGTCGAGAAAAGATCTCGTTCACATACAGTGTACTTGTCAACCTCAACTTTACTAAAATCCATAATATTAAAAAACTTTGCTTAAAATGTCGTCAAAGAAATCCAAAGGTAAGTCGAAAAAGAGAGCCACTCGGGCAGCGTCCAATGTTTTTGCTATGTTTGACCAACAGACTATTCAGGAGTTTAAGGAAGCCTTTAACATGATCGATGTTGGCCGAGATGGTTTTATTGACAAGTCTGACTTGAACGAAACCTATATCAATCTGGGAAAACTGTGCACGGATGATGCCCTTGAAAGTATGATGAGTGAATCCGCCGGCCCTATGAATTTCACTGCTTTCCTGACATTGTTTGGTGAGAGATTGAACGGTACGGATCCTGAAGATGTCATACGTAATGCTTTTGGCTGCTTTGATGAAACTGGTAGTGGAAAAATCCCTGAAGAAACACTCAGAAACATGCTTATGCAAGCAGGAGATAGGTACAGAATAGTCATATTTTTCGGCAATTGTTCTCTCAAAGTTCGTACAATTTTCTTAGTGTAATTGAAACATGTCAGAACGACAATTCCTCGTAACTACTGTTAAATATATAACTGGGATTGAGCCTCATATACGTTTTTTTAAAAAAGAAAGCGTTTTAGCATGATTGTTTTTATCGAAACAGATTTTTGCCTTGAAATTTGATGCTGTTATGAAATTTAAATCTAAGTAATTATTGCCGTACGTACTTGATCGAAGCTTAAACATCTGAGACTGTGAACTGATCGAAATGTTTCTAAAGAAAAAATTGTTTTATACAACTGATTGCTATTGTAATTTTATACTCTGGAATATTGTCTGAATGGTTACGTATTCTACTTTAAGTTAATCACGAGAAAAAAGCGAGCAGATTTTTGTCGTTGATTCCGTTGCTTGCTTGACGTATTTATAATGCACACAGCGGGACATGAATGTCGGTTGTACATGAGTCTCGTGTTGTTTTTCGGAGCATGCGCATTATATTAGAACAATTAGTGATTGATGGGGGATTGGGGGGTGGCCGACAAATCAAGCATGTTCTTTTGATTTTTCTAAAATGTCTCAAACTCGAAACATGTGTTTTGGTTTGCATTTTCGTGAAAGCAGCCTGTGATTTCATCCATCTAGTCTGTTTTCAATCGTAATTTCATATTGTCACATTTTTGCAGTAAACAGTCGAACCTCGTTCATTTAAAATATTTTGTTACCCTTTAGATATTAAAAAAGATGTTGTTTGATTGTGTCTTAACAGCAAACTTTTTTAGATTCACGGAAGAAGAAGTTGAAGAAATGTTCAACAATGCGCCGATGGATCGCCATGGAAACTTGCTTTATAATGATTTTTGTAAAACAATCAAAGGATCAGAGAAAGATGACGACTAGACTAACACATTATAGACATTGTCTTAACTCAAAGAATGTCTTTTTTTATTTTCTGTAATAAAAGTATATGCTGTTACAACTTTGTGTTTCTGGCAATGTTGAGTGAAATTGCACTCGCTTATCAGTAGAACTCGCAGTATTTCTAAATTACCCAAGAGATGAAAATTAGTTGAGGATGAAGCTAGAAAAGCACTCAATTGTATTCAAAGGTTCCTTGGCTTTTTTCAATGTATCTATTTGTGGTTTTGTGAGTAAAAACCCAATTCTTCACGTATCGTTTATATCAACCTCCTCAACCGGCTAATACGCAAAATCCAAGTCAATCAAATACAATTTTTGTCTTCGCTGGTTCGAAAAGTTTATGGATAAAAATTTCTTTCCCTGATTATATATAGAACCACAATTTCACAAATTTTCACAAAAAAACTGCAATTCATACATTTTCCCAAATTTTCATATTTTTTCACGCCAACACTATAATTCGTCCATTTTTTTAAATTTTCACATTTCTCACGCAAAGACAATATCTAACGCAATTTCACAAATTTTCACATTTTTTTCAAGCAAAGACTATATTCATGCATTTTCAAGTAAAAACAGACACAAGTTCATGCATTTTTACGCACAGGCCATACATTTTCATGCCAAAGTCCATGCATTTTCACCCAAAGACTATATATAGTTCATACATTTTCACCCAAAGACTATATTTCGTGCAATTTCATGCCAAAAACCATGCATTTTCACCCAAACACTATAGTCTTTGGCAGCTCATGCATCAAAATGTGTGAAAGTATAATCTTTAGCATGAAAATGTGTGATATATAATCTTTGCTCTGAAAATAAATGAAAATTCATGAACTATACTCTTTGGATAAAAATGTGTGAAAATACATGAACATTTAATATAAACGACAACTTTTTTGAAAATACACATGTTCCGACATCTCATGATGCAATCTTCAGTATGATTGAAATAATACGTGATACAAGGTTTATATAAAAGTAATATGATACATAAATTACAACAATAAAAAGGAAATAAGATAAATTAATGAGGAGCGTCCGAGCGTATTATAAACTAAATATTGTATTGAATTTAAAAACTTGAACATTGAGGTCAGGGTTAGGTTTGTTAATGTAAAGTGCTTCTTTGATTTTAAGGGTGAATGAGGTGTCGGAAGAGTCGATGATTTTGAAGCAAGAGGGTGAATAGTTGGTTTTACATGAGTGAGATTTAAGAAGGTGTCGGTAGATATGAGAGTTTTTGTCTGTTGTCATATGTTCCCTTATTCTGGTGGATAAATGGTGTGCATAAAAATTCGTGAACTATAGTCTTTTGTATGAAAAATCGTGAACTATAGTCTTTTGCATGAAATTTCGTGAACTATAATCTTTTGCATGAAATTTCGTGAACTATAATCTTTTGCATGAAATTTCGTGAACTATAGTCTTTTGCATGAAAAATCGTGAACTATAATCTTTTGCATGAAATTTCGTGAACTATAGTCTTTTGCATGAAAAATCGTGAACTATAGTCTTTGCATGAAAATCGTGAACTATAGTCTTTGCATGAAAATTCGTGAACTATAGTCTTTGCATGAAAATTCGTGAACTATAGTCTTTGCATGAAAAATCGTGAACTATAGTCTTTTGCATGAAAAATCGTGAACTATAATCTTTTGCATGAAAATACGTGAACTATAGTTTTTGCATGAAAAATCGTGAACTATAGTCTTTTGCATGAAAATTCGTGAACTATAGTCTTTTGCATGAAAAATCGTGAACTATAGTCTTTTGCATGAAAATTCGTTAACTATAGTCTTTTGCATGAAAATACGTGAACTATAGTCTTTTTCATGAAAATACGTGAAATATAGTCTTTTGCATGAAAATTCGTGAACTATAGTCTTTGGCATGAAAATGTGTAAAAAAGCATTAACTATAGTCTTTGGCATATAAATGCATGAACTATAGTCTTTTGCATGAAAAATCGTGAAGTATAGTCTTTTGTGAAAATTCGTGAACTATAGTCTTTTGCATGAAAAATCGTCAACTATAGTCTTTGCATGAAAAATCGTGAACTATAGTCTTTACATGAAAAATCGTGAATTATAGTCTTTGCATGAAAATCTTGAACTAAAGTCTTTTGCATGAAAAATCGTGAACTATTGTCTTTTGCATGAAGAATCGTGAATTATAGTCTTTTACATGAAAAATCGTGAATTATAGTCTTTTGTATGAAATATCTTGAATTGTAGTCTTTTACATGAAATATCGTGAACTTTAGTCTTTGACATGAAAAGCTGTGAATTATAGTCTTTTGCATGAAAAATCTTTAATTATAGTCTTTTACATGAAAATCGTGAACTATAGTCTTTTACATGAAAAATCGTGAACTATAGTCTTTTGCATGAAAAATCGTGAACTATAGTCTTTTGCATGAAAATTCGTGAACTATAGTCTTTTGCATGAAAAATCGTGAACTATAGTCTTTTGCATGAAAAATCGTGAACTATAGTCTTTTGCATGAAAAATCGTGAACTATAGTCTTTTGCATGAAAAATCGTGAATTAAAGTCTTTGGCATGAAAACTCGTGAACTATAGTCTTTTCCATGAAAAATCGTGAACTATAGTCTTTTGCATGAAGAATCGTGAATTATAGTCTTTTACATGAAAAATTGTGAACTATAGTCTTTTGCATGAAAAATCGTGAACTATAGTCTTTTGCATGAAAAATCGTGAATTATAGTCTTTTACATGAAAAATCGTGAACTATAGTCTTTTGCATGAAAAATCGTGAACTATAGTGTTTTGCATGAAAATTCGTGAACTATAGTCTTTGCATGAAAAATCGTGAACTATAGTCTTTTGCATGAAAAATCGTGAACTATAGTCTTTGCATGAAAAATCGTGAATTATAGTCTTTTACATGAAAAATCGTGAACTATAGTCTTTGCATGAAAATCGTGAACTATAGTCTCTTGCATGAAAATCGTGAACTATAGTCTTTTGCATGAAAAATCGTGAATTATAGTCTTTACATGAAAAATCGTGAACTATAGTCTTTTCATGAAAAATCGTGAACTATAGTCTTTTGCATGAAAATTCGTGAACTATAGTCTTTTGCATGAAAATCGTGAACTATAGTCTTTTGCATGAAAAATCGTGAACTATAGTCTTTTGCATGAAAAATCGTGAATTAAAGTCTTTGGCATGAAAACTCGTGAACTATAGTCTTTTGCATGAAGAATCGTGAATTATAGTCTTTTCCATGAAAAATCGTGAACTATAGTCTTTTGCATGAAAATCGTGAATTATAGTCTTTATGAAAAAAGTGAACTATAGTCTTTTGCATGAAAAATCGTGAACTATAGTCTTTGCATGAAGAATCGTGAATTATAGTCTTTTACATGAAAAATCGTGAACTATAGTCTTTGCATGAAAAATCGTGAACTATAGTCTTTTGCATGAAGAATCGTGAATTATAGTCTTTTACATGAAAAATCGTGAACTATAGTCTTTGGCATGAAAAATCGTAAACTATAGTCTTTTACATGAAAATTCGTGAACTATAGTCTTTCGCATGAAAAATCGTGAACTATAGTCTTTCGCATGAAAAATCGTGAACTATAGTCTTTTGCATGAAAAATCGTGAACTATAGTCTTGCATGAAAATTCGTGAACTATAGTCTTTTGCATTAAAAATCGTGACTTATAGTCTTTTGCATGAAAATTGGTGAATTAAAGTCTTTTGAATGAAAACTCGTGAACTATAGTCTTTTGCATGAAAAATCGTGAACTATAGTCTTTTGCATGAAAATTCGTGAACTATAGTCTTTTGCATGAAAAATCGTGAACTATAATCTTTTGCATGAAAATTTGTTAACTATAGTCTTTTTGCATGAAAATACGTGAACTATAGTCTTTTTCATGAAAATACGTGAAATATAGACTTTTGCATGAAAATTCGTGAACTATAGTCTTTGGCATGAAAATGTGTAAAAAGCATTAACTATAGTCTTTGGCATATAAATGCATGAACTATAGTCTTTTGCATGAAAAATCGTGAACTATAGTCTTTTGCATGAAAAATCGTGAACTATAGTCTTTTGCATGAAAAATCGTGAACTATAGTCTTTGCATGAAAATCGTGAACTATAGTCTTTACATGAAAAATCGTGAATTATAGTCTTTTGCATGAAAATTCTTGAACTATAGTCTTTTGCATGAAAATCGTGACTTATAGTCTTTGCATGAAAATTCGTGAACTATAGTCTTTGCATGAAAATCGTGAATTAAAGTCTTTGCATGAAAAATCGTGAACTATAGTCTTTGCATGAAAAATCGTGAATTATAGTCTTTACATGAAAAATTGTGAACTATAGTCTTTTCATGAAAATCGTGAACTATAGTCTTTTGCATGAAAAATCGTGAACTATAGTCTTTTGCATGAAAATTCGTGAACTATAGTCTTTTGCATGAAAAATCGTGAACTATAGTGTTTTGCATGAAAAATCGTGAACTATAGTCTTTTGCATGAAAAATCGTGAACTATAGTCTTTTGCATGAAAATCGTGAATTATAGTCTTTGGCATGAAAACTCGTGAACTATAGTCTTTTGCATGAAAAATCGTGAACTATAGTCTTTTGCATGAAAAATCGTGAATTATAGTCTTTTGCATGAAAAATCGTGAATTATAGTCTTTTACATGAAAAATCGTGAACTATAGTCTTTTGCATGAAAAATCGTGAACTATAGTCTTTTGCATGAAAAATCGTGAACTATAGTCTTTTGCATGAAAAATCGTGAATTATAGTCTTTTACATGAAAAATCGTGAACTATAGTCTTCGGCATGAAAAATCGTAAACTATAGTCTTTTACATGAAAATTCGTGAACTATAGTCTTTTGCATGAAAAATCGTGAACTATAGTCTTTCGCATGAAAAATCGTGAACTATAGTCTTTTGCATGAAAAATCGTGAACTATAGTCTTTGCATGAAAATTCGTGAACTATAGTCTTTTATGCAAAAATCGTGAACTATAGTCTTTTGCATGAAAATTCGTGAATTATA